ACCTCAACAGACCGACTCGAACTACAACAGACACCAGTCATAGAATTGGAACCAGAAGAAATCATACCACAAGATTCCTCCACAGTAATCCCAAACATAGCGAGAAGGGGAAGACCTCGTGGCAGCAGAAATCACAACATCTACAATCGATCAGCCCCTCTTGGTCAAACAAATCAACAGCCACCAGAAGCAACAAGATCATCACAAAGACTGAGAAGAGCAAGAGAATCCCACTTCACACTGCAATCTACGGATACAGTAAAAGGAAGAGATCAATGGGATGCATCAGCAGATGATTTAGGCAATCCACACCAAAAGACACTTCCACCAGTTCCAAAGAATTACAGTGAAGCGATCAAACACCAATACAGTCACAAATGGATTGCTGCAATGAATATTGAGAACAGATCACTATGGCAAATGGGCACGTTTGAAATGATTGATCTTGGCAATATTGATCAAGACACTCAGCGAATTATCCCATTGAAGTGGGTATTCACATATAAGGGCAGCAAAGGATATCTCAAGAAGTTCAAAGCGAGGATCTGTGTTCGAGGAGATCTCCAACCGACAAATGAACTAGAGACCTATGCCTCAACGCTTGCTGGTATATCGCTGCGAAGTCTCATGGCAATTGTGGCGAGATTTGACTTAGAGACTCTTCAATTGGACGCAGTCAACGCATTTACACATGCCACAATTGATGAGGAAGTCTATGTTTGGTTTCCTCCAGGATTCAGACAAGAGGGATACTGTCTTGCCCTGCGAAAAGCACTATATGGATTGAGACGAAGCCCACTGCTATGGCAAAAGAATCTGGAGAGATCATTCAAGAAGCTTGGCCTTATCCCACTCCAAGAAGATGACTGTATCTACACCAATCAATACTTCATAGTATTCCACTTTGTGGACGATATTGGGGTTATATACCATAAAAAGCATGAAACCAAAGTAAAAGAAGCAGTTCAACAACTCAAAAAGGAGTATGAAATGAAAGATATAGGAGAATTAAGTATCTTCCTAGGAGTCAGAATAATAAGAGAACGAAAAACCCGTCAACTATGGATGAGTCTCGACAACTATATATCTAAGGTCACTGAAGAATTCAAGATCAGAACCTCAACCAAGCGACGCCAAACACCTATGGCAATAGATAACCTGGTCCCAAGTCCTGGTCAGGCTACGCCAGAGGAAATCAACTACTATCAACGGAAGGTTGGATCAATCAACTATGCTGGAGTGATTGGCAGACCAGATATAGCTCGAACAAGCTCGAGACTAGCAGAATTCCTATCAAATCCATCTTCTGAACACCAGAAAGCAGCATATGAATGCTTACAATATCTTGAGGATAATAAATACCTCGCTATCGAGTTCAACTGCAAAGGGAAAGGAGTCCTCTACTACGCCTCAGACGCTTCATTCGCTGATGACTCTGTCACTCGAAAAAGCACTCAAGGATATGTAATGATGCTATTCGGAGGTCCAATTCATTGGAAAGCAGTCAAACAACGAAGAGTAGTCACTTCAAGCACAGAAGCTAAGCTTGCTGCTTTGACAGCAGCCACAAGAGAATATATGGCAACCATTCGACTCATGGAACAATTGAATCTCCAATTAGATGATAAATACATCATGCAATGCGACAATAAGCAAACTCTTCGACTATTGATTGCTGAAAGACCCCAAGCGACTAGCAAATTACGCCATATCAATATCAACAACTTATGGCTTCGCCAGGAATTACAGAAGGGATCAATTGACTTTCAATGGGTTCCAACCAACGAAATGGTGGCAGACGGTATGACTAAAGCAATGCCAGCCCAAAAACACAACCACTTTATCGCCCAATTAGGTATGGCGAATATTGAACATTTGATCGAGAAGAACGTAGTATGAATCTGGAATTTGGTAGTAAGTATACGGAGTTCTGAATAGTATCATTTCTGTATTTGAATGAGAATACAGAGAATCAACCTACAACAGGTTGCCTCTCTGAGGGGGTGTGTCACACGGACCACTGCATATATCGGGGCATGCATTCAACCCATGCACCCGGCTATTGTTTCCCATATAAAACTAACGGGGATGTCATTTTGTGCATGAAAACCTTCAAATCGGTAATTACCGAATAGACGGTTATATAATCAACCCAATAACCCCTAGACAGTCTCTAAGGAATGGAAGCATCTTTTTTTACCCCATAAGTGGTGGGCAAATTGACTGCGTGACAGTTTTCATGCACAAAATGACATCCCCGTTAGTTTTATATGGGAAACAATAGCCGGGTGCATGGGTTGAATGCATGCCCCGATATATGCAGTGGTCCGTGTGACACACCCCCTCAGAGAGGCAACCTGTTGTAGGTTGATTCTCTGTATTCTCATTCAAATACAGAAATGATACTATTCAGAACTCCGTATACTTACTACCAAATTCCAGATTCATACTACGTTCTTCTCGATCAAATGTTCAATATTCGCCATACCTAATTGGGCGATAAAGTGGTTGTGTTTTTGGGCTGGCATTGCTTTAGTCATACCGTCTGCCACCATTTCGTTGGTTGGAACCCATTGAAAGTCAATTGATCCCTTCTGTAATTCCTGGCGAAGCCATAAGTTGTTGATATTGATATGGCGTAATTTGCTAGTCGCTTGGGGTCTTTCAGCAATCAATAGTCGAAGAGTTTGCTTATTGTCGCATTGCATGATGTATTTATCATCTAATTGGAGATTCAATTGTTCCATGAGTCGAATGGTTGCCATATATTCTCTTGTGGCTGCTGTCAAAGCAGCAAGCTTAGCTTCTGTGCTTGAAGTGACTACTCTTCGTTGTTTGACTGCTTTCCAATGAATTGGACCTCCGAATAGCATCATTACATATCCTTGAGTGCTTTTTCGAGTGACAGAGTCATCAGCGAATGAAGCGTCTGAGGCGTAGTAGAGGACTCCTTTCCCTTTGCAGTTGAACTCGATAGCGAGGTATTTATTATCCTCAAGATATTGTAAGCATTCATATGCTGCTTTCTGGTGTTCAGAAGATGGATTTGATAGGAATTCTGCTAGTCTCGAGCTTGTTCGAGCTATATCTGGTCTGCCAATCACTCCAGCATAGTTGATTGATCCAACCTTCCGTTGATAGTAGTTGATTTCCTCTGGCGTAGCCTGACCAGGACTTGGGACCAGGTTATCTATTGCCATAGGTGTTTGGCGTCGCTTGGTTGAGGTTCTGATCTTGAATTCTTCAGTGACCTTAGATATATAGTTGTCGAGACTCATCCATAGTTGACGGGTTTTTCGTTCTCTTATTATTCTGACTCCTAGGAAGATACTTAATTCTCCTATATCTTTCATTTCATACTCCTTTTTGAGTTGTTGAACTGCTTCTTTTACTTTGGTTTCATGCTTTTTATGGTATATAACCCCAATATCGTCCACAAAGTGGAATACTATGAAGTATTGATTGGTGTAGATACAGTCATCTTCTTGGAGTGGGATAAGGCCAAGCTTCTTGAATGATCTCTCCAGATTCTTTTGCCATAGCAGTGGGCTTCGTCTCAATCCATATAGTGCTTTTCGCAGGGCAAGACAGTATCCCTCTTGTCTGAATCCTGGAGGAAACCAAACATAGACTTCCTCATCAATTGTGGCATGTGTAAATGCGTTGACTGCGTCCAATTGAAGAGTCTCTAAGTCAAATCTCGCCACAATTGCCATGAGACTTCGCAGCGATATACCAGCAAGCGTTGAGGCATAGGTCTCTAGTTCATTTGTCGGTTGGAGATCTCCTCGAACACAGATCCTCGCTTTGAACTTCTTGAGATATCCTTTGCTGCCCTTATATGTGAATACCCACTTCAATGGGATAATTCGCTGAGTGTCTTGATCAATATTGCCAAGATCAATCATTTCAAACGTGCCCATTTGCCATAGTGATCTGTTCTCAATATTCATTGCAGCAATCCATTTGTGACTGTATTGGTGTTTGATCGCTTCACTGTAATTCTTTGGAACTGGTGGAAGTGTCTTTTGGTGTGGATTGCCTAAATCATCTGCTGATGCATCCCATTGATCTCTTCCTTTTACTGTATCCGTAGATTGCAGTGTGAAGTGGGATTCTCTTGCTCTTCTCAGTCTTTGTGATGATCTTGTTGCTTCTGGTGGCTGTTGATTTGTTTGACCAAGAGGGGCTGATCGATTGTAGATGTTGTGATTTCTGCTGCCACGAGGTCTTCCCCTTCTCGCTATGTTTGGGATTACTGTGGAGGAATCTTGTGGTATGATTTCTTCTGGTTCCAATTCTATGACTGGTGTCTGTTGTAGTTCGAGTCGGTCTGTTGAGGTTTCCTCTATGGTCTCACTTTGATCCGATTGTTCTGGAGTTGGCGATACTTCTGGAGTTTCTAGAGTCTCCCTCACCCCCTCAGTTGTTTGAGAATCTGACAGCTGTACTGTTGGTGATAGAGAAGTAGGTGTAGGTAATTGAAAATCCCCTGATTCTTTCTCCTGCATCGGTGTTGCCGGTGTTGTTTCTTGAGCGGCTGGATTCGAGGCGGGTAGTGGCCCGGTAATATTATCGCTGAAATCTTCTCCATCCCAGCCAGCTGTGTCTAGGTCTTGTTCAATTGGATTTGTGAATGGGATATCCATTTCTGTGAACTGGAATTCAAGTTCCATTTGGCTTAACTTGCTGGTATCCTCAATCCTTGGATCATACAGCGTGTTTTCGTCGAAAGTAACGTCTCTAGTTCTCATGACTTTTCCTATTGCTAGGATCCAGATTCTGTAGATATTTATGCTGTCATAACCACATAGATAGCCAATATGAGCTCTTGGCGCAGTTTTGTTTGACTTTTCTATTCCTCTCTTATAGTTTTGTGTCAAGGGGTAAGCTCTGCAGCCATATCGCCTCAAGTGTGCTAGTTGTGGCTTTTCAGCCCTCTTGTGGGTAGACTGTTGATGAGAGTTCAGCCAAGTGTTGACCAACCCCAATGGTGTCTGCTACTTGTGGCGTCTTCGAGGCAATCTGTTTGACAGATAAACTGCTGCTTTTGCCAGCTCTGGTGCCATCAATTCAGGAAAGCGAGATTGAAATCGAAGTGCTCTCATGATCATAAACACAGCACCTCCAGCTCTTTCTGCTGGGTTTTGAGCACCAGTGTACTCAGCTGATCTTTCAATCATATATCCATTCACAGCTGCCCATAGTTCAAACGCATTGCGTAAAGCAACCTCCCAATCTAGGCGTAGAATAGAGATTTTGATAAAGCACTGTCTCTCGAGGTATGCTGCTAATTCTGTCATAGCTTGTAGTCCCTCCTTTCGAGTACGAAGAGTTCTTATCCAGAAGAACCCTGACCAGCCATCGCTGACCAGCAGGATTACCTTCTCCCCATTGTATGCTTTGCTAAGTGTAAAGAAGTCGAGAGATAGATAATCTCCTACAGCAGTTGGCCAATGGTCTGGGTTTCTGCGGGAAATTTGGCGAGTTGCCTTCCCAACAGCACAGGCATCACATTCCACTTTTGTGATTCCTTTTATCTGTATCCCAAGAGCTGTTTTAAGTAGCTGTTCCAGTCCCTCAGCGCCTGGATGACCAAGTCTCTCATGCCACAACTTAGCTTCTGCTGATGATGTTGGGAGTGGTTGTCTTGTTGACTGAAAACCTTTGGTTGGTTTCCTTTCTACGGTTGGGCTGAATCTCACAGTCTTCTCGGTATTGCTGAACGAGGTATTGTTCAGCAGAGCTGGGCCAGCTTCAATAATGTATTGACCATATCGGTTTGGTGTTTTGAATAGAAGTCTGCCTTTTGAGTCGATAAGACCCGGTATTCCTGTTGTAAAGATGATCCCTTTTTGCTTCAGCGGTTCTGTCCCAAGGAGCGATGTTGGGTATCCAGGCACAAGCCATACATTTCTGACTTTGATCTCCTTGTTGTTGGATTTGCCGCCTTGGTTTGGTTTGATGATCATTGTGCCTTTCGCAATTGCATGTACATCTCCTCCTCCAGTGGTGAAGTCTTTTGTGACTGTGTAGTCGAGATCATGAAGTCTTGAGGAGTCGTTGCAGATGTGGAATCCTGTTCCTGAGTCTACTATCACACTGTCTGACAGTGGGAATCCTGAATAGAGACTTGCTTCTCCTTGATTGACGATAGTGACGAAAGATGAGAGTGATCCTTCTCCATCAGACACTTCTTGAGTATAGTGGGATGATGATTGTGTAGTGTTTCTCCAGTTTGAGGAAGATGTTGCTCGATCTGGGGACTTTTGAGACTGCTGATCGCTTGCCCCTTTTCGTAGTTTTTCAACTATTCTCTTTAAGTGTGGTTTCTTCTGGAGATACTCATTCAATCTTTCCAGTGCTTTCTTATTTTCTGGATTATCTTCATGATAGTTTGGGCCTCGCTTCTTAGGGTTGGCATGTTTGCAATCAACAAATCGGTGACTTTCGTTTGGGCAAGCTGCACACTTTTGCTCTCGTTTTGCCCCCTGTTTTATTCCTTGTTCGTTTTCTCCTTGCCAAGTAGCGAAACTCGTGTCTTTTAATGGAGCAGCATTCAGCCAGTCTGGGTGGAAAGTTCTCACCCAACTGCGGAAATCGTTAGCTTGCTCAATTCCAGCAGTCTTGCTGATCGAACTGTAGGTTGGGTCATCCTTGTATCGCTTTGTGAAGTCGTAAGAGGCAGATGTGTAGTAATCTGGTGCAATTTGCTTGACTGCTTTCAAGAACTCAGAGACTTGAGTAACTGGATCGCTGAGAGCAGGGATTCCGATTGTTTGGGCTTCATCCATGATTTCTCGATAGATTATGAGCCATCCTCCAAGTTTTGCTCTTTTGATTGATAGCATATGCTTGTTATATCTTTCCAATACCATTTGTTGTCTCCCAAAGTTGTCTGGCGCTAGCTGTTTTTCAAGAGCTTTTATGATATCCCTGACTGTTTGCTCCTTGCTGACTTGGCTGATATAAGTGGCTGCTACAGTGTTCATGATCCAACTGTGAATTTCTAGAAGACTTCGCCGAACCTGGTTGTATTGGTCTTTTTCTTCTTGATAGATAGCTTTTCCATAGCTGATAACGTTGCTATAGTTTGCTCGTTCTTCTTGTCTGAGGTCTTTTGGGTCTGGGAATTCCAATCTTGGCTTAGTATTAATCTTGGTTCCTTTTGGATTCACATAGTCCCAGACTTCATGAACGTTTGCCAGCATCTGTAAGTTGTTGAACCAGTGGTTCCAGTCGCTGTCAGTCTGTAGCCGCTGTGTGTATTTTGCAGTTTCCGTAGTTGAATTCATGATCTCTCTTGAAAAGAGAACTGGTCTCTCTCTTCTGATCGTTGTGCAGTTGGTTTTTCGCCGTGGCCAAGATTGAGTTCGTGACTAGACACTTCTTGTTTCAAGTTGGTGATTTTGTCGATTGTTGCCTAGAGGTTTGAGGGTATATAGCCAATCTCAACGCCTCAATTCTCAACAAAACGCAAGACGCCCCCCCTGTCTAATGAACCTGCCGTTTAGTGTAGTTGGTCTAGCCACCCAACTTGTAGCTATTCGCAAGGACCGTAAGACTGGCAAGCTCCCCTTCGTGGGTTCAATTCAGGGTTGTGGAGTTTTCGCAATTTGTAAAAAGTCTTATCGGTTCCGTTACACGAAGACTATAAAGTGAACCACCTGTTCGTCTTATCTGCCCGAAGCTTTCAGAGGCATAAAATGAGCAACTAGGTGTCTCTTCCGTTTCGTAATTCCAACCCTCCTGGCTGCGTATCCGTGGTATGGTCGAGCATGAACTTATATAAGGTTCAAGTTAAGAGTCCTGGGTTCAACTCCTCAGATGTGGTAAGTCCCCCTGAGTTGAGATGAACCTTTTGTGATTTTTTGATAAGTGTTGATGATATGAATTGATGACCAGAAGTTCTTTTGTGATTGAATGTTTCAACACTTCAACGTTCAGCCTTGTGTGATTGGAATTGATGTTTTGTTTGGTGGACTTGACTGCCAAAGTCTCATGGGTCGGTAACTTCGTCAATTGAGTGCCCTTGTCTATGGCATAAGTCTGAACTGCTCCCTTCTGGAAGTCGGTTTTTCAATTGGTAATTGTCACCATGAGGTACTGGGCTCATAACTGTCACGCAGTCAATTTGCCCACCACTTATGGGGTAAAAAAAGATGCTTCCATTCATTAGAGACTGTCTAGGGGTTATTGGGTTGATTATATAACCGTCTATTCGGTAATTACCGATTTGAAGGTTTTTGTCACACGGACCACTGCATATATCGGGGCATGCATTCAACTGTTAGATAAACGATATTAGTTTGATGCAATACACCTGGGGTTCATTGAGCAAAGAGTGATTCATGTTGTTGATTGAGTGATTCTACCCATTCCGGTTGAAGCGGGGTTCTGTTTTGTATCTACCCGTTCTTCCCGGTTTCAGCATATTGCAAGAATGCAACTAAGCTAGATTTCCTAGCATTTTATCCGGACGCAGGCGTCAATCTAACAACAAAATGACATCCCCGTTAGTTTTATATGGGAAACAATAGCCGGGTGCATGGGTTGAATGCATGCCCCGATATATGCAGTGGTCCGTGTGACAAACTACCTCGAGCTGTGGTGGGTGGGTCCTTTCTACGCATCCGGGGAAGCCCATAACATTCCGCGGAACTCCTCTTGAAACTGGACTGCCGAATGACAAAAAAGCAAGCCATGGAAGCATATTTTAAAATGATATAGTGGGATAAGATGCTTGAATGAAGACTCTTAAACAAGACTGTCTTGGTTGGAAATAATACTTCATAATAACATTACTGGCCGAAAAGATGTCAAATCACCAACAGTCTGCATCAAGCGTACCAACATCGTCTTCGGCAAATACCATCATGGACGATGGAAAATTTCAAGCCGAGCTCGACAAGCAATTGTCTCTGAAGCAGCAAGCTTTGAGCGTAACCCCGTTTATGCCCGGCTTCAGCATTCACGACAAAAAAGCACGTTTCCCCGGCTTCCACATGCGCAGGGTCCAATACAAAGCTGGCCAAGTAGTTGAACCGGGATCATTGCCACTAAGCCATGACTTGGTAATGCATGAAAGCGTACCGATGCAGCTTCGAGATGGTACACAATTATATTCCGACATTTTTCTCCCTTCTCGATTTCAAGATCTCCAGTCAAAATCCAAAGATCCCGTGCCAGCTATCATCGCTTGGTGGGTTTCCTTTCCGTCTTCCCCATCTCTCAAACGTCCATGTACATTAAACGCCTCCTAGGAGCCCATATGGAAAACAAAAAGGCGTGACGATTCTAGATGATTTGCCATTCCGCGCTGGTGTTCCGAAGCACCGTGTTTCCGAACTTCAAAAATGGGAGGGACCAGACCCCGCATTCTGGTGTCCGCAAGGATACGCCGTCATCAATCCTGACAGCAGAGGAGCTTATACCTCTGAGGGAGACCTCTTGATGTTTGGCCATCAGGAAGCGGAAGATGGAGCAGACTTTATAACGTGGGTATCTAAACAGCCGTGGTGCAACGGTAAGGTGGCTTTGAGTGGAAATAGTTGGCTTGCCATTGCTCAATGGAGGATTGCTGGACTGCGTCCAGAGGGCTTGGCTGCTATCGCTCCATGGTAATCAGTTCAACCCTCTTAACACACTTTCGACTTGATTCGCTGACATTTTAACAGGGAGGGTTTTGTGGATTTCTATCGCCAATCTATGTATCCAGGCGGAATTCTGTTTCCTGGCTTCCATCAGGAGGTTGTCGGTATGCTTGTTGTCCTCTGGCCCTTTTCGACCAATTTGTTGTGTTTTAACAGTCCCAAAGGGTCCTTCGCTACGCAGGGTAGGCTGGAAGACATAACATCATATGCCCGCAATCACGACGTTGTCGATGCATACTGGCTGGACAAGATGGCTCATCCCGAGCGTATCAATGTGCCGGTATATGCTGTAGCCTCTTGGACAAATCCGGTTCATACGGTCGGAACCTTTGCGGCATGGGAGGCACTGCCTGAAGACCTGCCAAAATGGCTGCGGGTGCACAACGCGCAAGAATGGGCTGAATACTACAACGATTCAAACCAGAAAGACCTGCTCCGCTTCTTTGACTTCTATCTCAAGGGCAAGACTGGGAACGGTTGGCTCAGCACGCCACAGGTTCGTCTCAGTGTGTTGCACTTTGGGTTAACGGATCTAGAGGACACAACAAATCGGGCCGAGACTTCGTTCCCACTCGAACGTGTCAGAAACACCAAGCTTTTCCTTCAAGAAAATAATTCACTTTCATTAAACCCCAGCGGTCAGCATTCGGCTCTTTCTTATGACTCGACCTCAGGAAAGCTATGTTTCTCTTATCAGTTTCAGGAGGAATGCGAAACGACCGGCTACTTCATGGCACACCTCGCAATGTCATGCCAGGAGCACAGCGAGATGGACATATTCGTGCAAGTTGAGAAGCTCACGCCAACCAATCGCAGGCAGGCCGTCATGACTATTCGGCCATTTAACGCTGCCATCAGAGCAGTTCTCAAATTTTTGCACGATAAGGACTACCTTCCTGGGTCAGCGGGCATGGCTTTCCACCGTGGCCCCGACGGCTGCCTCCGAGCAAGTCACGCTCTAGACAAGGACGAAACGACCAGCCGGCCGGAAAAGCCGGTTTACACGCATAATAGAAGAGTGTCTCTCAAGAAGGGAGAAATTCGACATCTCGATATTCCGATGAGACCTTATGGCATGTTTTGGAAGGTAGTTTATTCCCGTAAACTCTGCATGGTGGAAGATCATCCAGGCTAATCCTTCGAAATAGGCTGGTGACACTATGCGGTTGACAGTTCAAGGAAGCATGGTGATTCCATTCGCCATTCCAGGCTTGGAGATGCACAACACAGACAACAAAGGTATACATGTCCTTCACTGCGGTGGAAACAGACAAGAAAGTTCATACCTTTCGGTGCCGTTTGTCTGACCGCCAATGTCGGCTCTTTGTCACGGCATGCTGCAGTGAAAACAGTCCTCTGGTTACTATCAAGGGGTACAGTAGTAATACAGGTTAACTCAAAATTTCAAATTAATTACCATGCACTGTTGGAACTCAATGGAGGCCCCAAGCTGAGCCTTACTTATCGAGGAAATCAATTTGGGATAGTACTATTTTCTTCTTAAATGAGAGACAATACTTACAACAACTGTCTTACACTTGTAATATGACAAGTGGTAATCTTGAGGAAAGAAATGTAAGAAGGCTCATCTACCTGGAGCCGGAGAACATCCCGTCGGCTGGCCGCGGCAAGACGCCGTTTTTGCTAGACCTAAAAATTCCCATCACAATAGCCACTTTCTCTCCGCTATACAAATAGCACATAAATAGCGGTTCATTTGCTAGTTTATCACATGCAGATGAATGGCAAAGCTTTGCGTTGATCGAAATGGACAGCATCTAAGCCACAGTCGGAATTTATATCCCGTCAAGTGCTGGCCGGCAACAGGCAAAAATCAACCCAGATTTCCCCAGATACTGACTGTGTGTGTAGTACTGAACATTTGGGGAGAAGCCTACTAATATTCTATTTTGCTACAGCCCCGAGTGCCATGTAGCTACCTTATGGCTAGTCAGCAACCGATGGGATAGAGCATAGAGGATAGGTGTACGACATATCTGAGTACACATGATACTTGAAAGCAGAGGCGCCCTGATTGTCTCTACCCCGAGCTTACCAAAAGAATGCCGTCTGACTAGAATTCGCCAGTGGTTTCTTCTCTCTATTTCCAGAATATATGCTCAAACAACAGATCGTCATCAGACTGGTTCCATCTCGTCGAGCGCATGCTGTCCTTCAACATAATGCCGAAGCCCGAGATCGGCATCCTGTTTGGTGCAGGAGAGAAACTGCAGTCGCTGATGTCGATGCTATAGGTGGCCAGTCGGGCCCATCTGAGGTCGTTAAGCTGGTATACAATTTTTATGAAAGCTGGGGTAGAGCGCATCAAAATCAAGAGGAAGGGAATTACTAAGAAATTGAAATAAAAGTAGATGGGCATTGAGAAGATTTTAAGCAATTTGCTGATAGAAACGATCATGTTTAAACAGCTAGGTAGCCGTATTTCATTGATGTTTCTGGGGACTTGGGGCTGATGTCAACCTGTTTGTGAATCACCAGCAGACATCAGGCCTAACTGATTAAACTTGATCAAGGGTGTTCCTGCGTTGGAGATAACTTGCCTGACACCGGCGTGGACAGCGGTTCGCTTCATGAAAAGCGCTCCGACTTAAACCAAGACTGATTTGGCAACGCCCTATAGTGTGGCTAGACCGTGAGCGAATCTCGACGCCTGTCTCTAAAATCGACGTATGAGCGGGTGGTATCTTCAAGGAGGGGTTTCGCGCGGGGCTCCCTGTGCGATTTGGCTGGCACTACGTTGGATGTTGTTGGGATGGATGCAGTCTCGCAGCTGGGTCTCGGCAGCACCGTCATGTGAACTACTGATCGGATGCCTTGGCATGAGGTGCCTCGCGACCAACAGGGAAACCAAAACCAGTACAAATCACGACCCGACATCATATGTGGGTCTTGATAAGGTTGCCTTACGGGAGCCTATTGCTGACTGCATGTAGCCTGCTTGGCCACAGAGGTATCCGTCCTGAGCGGAGGATTCCTCTCCGGAATTCATGAAGCTTGTGTCCCAGAGGCGTGAACATCGCCCTCTGTAAGGACTTTATACATTACAGTCGAATACATATTGGACGCTGTGGAATCCATTAGTAACTTGCTAAGAACTCCGAGCAATGCGAATGATGGGGAGATTTGGTGTTTTCTACCTGCGCGCCAATATGGGTAGTAGGTCTTCTCTCAATGTCTTCCCCTCCCTCCCACACGCATGCATTATCAGACACATGCCTGCGGGCTTAAGCCGCAGCCTGCCTAAGCGCTTATATGTTTCCCCAATCCCATCAATGGCATACCCTCTAGCCTCTGGTTGAAGCGAACACCTCTCGCGAAGCTGAACAGGCGCAAGGCAGTCGTGAAGCAAACCACTTTCTTGGTCATCCTAGTAAAACTGGTGTCAAGAACTGCCGAGCATGTGAGTAACATCCATCTAAACCGACATTACTCTTTTTTGGTCGTGAGGGTGTGAAGGCGCCCGAATATTGCGCTGCCTTTTATCTACTTCGGTCGGCCCTAAAATGAGAACCACTCCCATCTCCAAACTCTCTTGTAGAGATTCCAGTTCACTACCTGTTTTTAGTCGCCGTACTATGACAAAAGGCCGTTACGGTCTCGTATTGTATCATGTCCGACCCCGGAAGGAATCAAGGCTATGCTACTGGCCAGAACCAAGGACACGGAAATCCGTAAGAGTTCAGAGTCCATTATTATTGACTCTCGAGTTTTATTTTGTTTGAATAAGAAGTGCATTTTTCATTTATATGTCGTGGCTGACTTAAGAATTGCGGTACAGGTCCCCAGACTACAAAACAATCTCCTCATTCGGTCAAGAGATCACTGATAACTTATTGGTCAATCATGATGGCGCGGAATTCTTACCAGCTGACAAATTCCGTGACCTTATCAATAGAAGCCGTGTAGCCAAAATTCTCACGGCGGCAGAGCTTGGCACTGAACCCGGCTTCATCGACTTTGTGGTGAAGGATGCCACTTGTTTATTCCTGACCCTTGCGTCAATGTCAACCGAAGATGCTGCGAGGGTGTCTTGGTTGAAGGAGTTAAAATCCAACCATTTGACCGACGAATCCCTCCCCATTACATTTCAAATGACGCGAGACGCTGCCGGTAGCAACACGATTTGGAATTGGCATCCTGACTCGTCCACGAGCAATTCCGGTACCCGAGACCCTCTTCACATTATGGGTTGGGATCGCTACAACAAAGACATGTTCAACCTCTATCAATGGAGATTCCTCGCTCCAGTATTCGGAACAGGCCAACCTTTTCGTTTCCAGTTCCCGAAAGGTACGGTACTTCCATACGTAAAGGTCGATCGGAGATCAGAAAGCAAGGGGTTCTTTGGGGAGGTGTCAAAAGTCAACATTCATCCAGCCCATATCAAGGCCCCGAAACTGGCTATGGTGAGCACTCAACTACAGTCATCGTATGCGTACATCACATTTTAACCGCGCTTTGCAGAACAAAGACGGCTCCATAGCGCTTGCACTAAAGAAAGCGAATGACGATCCTGGACTTTACGAATATTTTGACAAGGAAGCAAACAATCTACAGAAGCTGAAAGGTTACAAGTCAAACCACTTGATCAAGCCCATTGCAGCATACGAATACGATGGAGATCGATGCCTCCTCTTCCCCTGGGCAGAAGGGGGAAACCTGGCCGAATACTGGAGCAGGAGGAACTCTGGGAGTTCTTTGAACAAGAAAGAGTCCGCATGGATTTTCAGCCAGCTCACTGGCCTGTTCGGTGCTCTCGAAGAACTGCATCAAAATAACTGCAGACACGGGGATCTGAAGCCTGAGAACATCCTGTTGTTCATCGATGCGGACAAAACAAAGACACTGCAGATCGCTGACCTGGGGCTCACTACTTTCCACGAGCTAGATGCCGCGACCAGGATCCGAAAAGCTAAGGACATTCTCACCATGACGCCACCAGGAACATCCCGGTATGAACCCCCTGAGATGGACAAAGATCGAGACAAGAAGCTACCTGCTCATAAGACTCGTTCAAGAGCGTATGACATCTGGTCAATGGGCTGTGTTGTTTTGGAGCTGCTCATTTGGCTTGCCAACGACTTTGAAGCCGTGAGCGAATTCAGAAATAATACCGCATATTTTTGGGATCGAGTTAAAGGCAAAGGGAAGAAATATTGTGTCCAATACGACTCAAAAGGCTACATTCAAACTCTGTCGACTAAGTGGCCAGCGAGATCAGCGTGGGGAGAGCTTCTGACGCTTGTAAAAACCAGGCTTCTCGTCGTCAAGGTGTCGGAGAACTGGGACGTCAGCTCACCTAGGTATCGCGGAACAGCGTCTGAAGCTCACAAGACGATGAGAAGAATCCAGAAGAAGTATTACCCTGTGTGAGTTTCGACGACAGAGAAACTTCAATTATCGAAGTTAACCTATGGAAAACTCAAAAGTAGCACTACGGACGACGGACTGGCCCCAGGATACGATTATGAAGACAATGGCATCATACCTTCGCTGCCTTCTCACGAAAACAATCTTGACGAGTTTGATGGACTGGTTGGCATAGAGCGCAAGGCGACAGAGGAGCTAGAGCCAAAGCCTAGGCGTTCTCTAGCGAAAAACAATTACTATGAGGTAAACAGCAAGTTTGAAGAAGTAAGTAAAGCCATCCTAAGGAATAAATTCAAGGAGCGGTCAGACATTGACTAAAGGCTGGTGTTAGTATGTCAGTATGCGCCCCGTTAGGGAAGTAAATGTATTATCATGTTGCTAATATCTCCTAGAACGTTAGTCATCTCTCTGCTCCTTTATTTAGTTTTTGATATCGCAGCTTTTAATCTCGCTTTGAACTAGTCGGTGAGTCGAAAACCAAGTAGCAGGAGAAAACACTTTGCTAAAACAAAAACATTAGTTTGTATGTATCTTAAATTTGATGAGGTATCGACGAAAAAGCAGCTAACATTTCGCTTGCCAGCAACGAAGCAAGCTCAACGACTCTTGGGAATTTCATACCGACAATACCTTCGCCTCCCAAGTCTTTGAAAAAGTTAACTATGGTTTATGGGGACCGTTGACTACCGGGAAGAAGATCTTTTGCGCGAAATGTATCACTGTTTCTTCGCAAGCTCTGTTCCCATCCGAATTCAAACCATTAGACGCCCAATCACACTGCGATCTATGCGGTATACTTCTCGACGCTTTGAGGCGAGTATACAATGTGCTTCCGGAAGTTGTGAGGCTACGTCAGACTCGTACGACAATAAGTGTAGAAGACGGACCAAATCTTCTCTCGATCTATATTGAACCAGGTACGCAGCTTGTGACACGTTTTAACTTCGCTTCGGCTAAAACTTGCCCCCAGATCGCGATATTCCCCCGGGAAGGCAAATCGGTTTAACAACGCTTCCTGGAATGAACAGCACCGAACAGCTTACTTTGTTGAAACAATGGTTGTGCAGCTGTGATTCGGCACATGACGCGTGCAATCGTCGCGCGGGACAGAATGACTTGGGAATGCCAACCCGCCTCGTCAAAGTCACAGAGCCAATGAAAGTCTTGAGCTCGAGTACACTGGAGTCTTGTCGATACATTGCTCTAAGCCACTGCTGGGGCCAGTTGCAGAAGCACGAACGATTTTGTCTCTACCGGGAAAACCATACTCAACTACAGGAACACATCGAGTTCAATTGTTTACCAAAAACCTTTCAGGATGCAATTACAGTCACTCGCGGCCTCGGCATAGACTATATTTGGATCGACACTTTGTGCATTATCCAGGACGATAAGGACGATTGGGAGAACGAGTCAACGAAGATGGAAGAGGTCTTCAGTGAGGCATACTGTACTATCAGTGCAGCGTCTGCCAAATCGTCACTCGATGGCTTCCTTTCCGATCGTCCGCCTAGGCAAAGCGTACATCTACAGGTGAAGGGTTCTCCAGACCTGTACGTGTGCCCACATATCGATGACTTCCATCAAGATGTCGAGCTGGCAGAGATCAACAGGCGAGGCTGGGTCCTGCAGGAAAGGGCTTTGTCGAGACGGTCCATTTATTTTACTCCAAACCAGGTATACTGGGAGTGCGGAGATGGCATACGCTGCGAGACTCTGGGTCGCCTGTACAAGTAAGCTGAGCTTCACCCCGAAAACGGAGATGAAAGACATCTAACCATTTCACTCATAGCTCGAAAGCGGCATTTCTTGGGGACGCCAACTTCCCCCAGTCTGCTTTGGATTATTACCGAGATGGGAGGCAGCTACTGATTCAAGATTTGTACGAGAGATACTCTGCGCTTGCGTTTACGATGGCTTCCGACAGGGCCGTCGCAATTCTTGGTCTCCAAACGAGGTTGGCGCGGGCACTAAAAACTCAAGCCGCCCACGGGTCCTTCGAGAAATATTTCGCGCGGAGTATTCTCTGGAAACGCAATCAACCAGCAGACATGACTACCATTGTTCAGTCGACTTGGACTGTTCCCACTTGGTCGTGGTTCTCCAAGAGCGGAAAGATTCAATACATGGATCTCGAGTTTGACAAGATTGAGTGGGCGAATGAAGATTTTGAAAGCCCTTTCTCTCGGAATCCAGACTTGCTCTCAGGAGCGTCATATTTTGGTCGCGGTGAGGACCATACCATCCTTCGGGGTGTTGCAAGATGCATGGACATCAGTGAAGAACAAGTCGCATCACAAATTGTTTTTGACAGGAAGAACGAGCTCAAAGCCAAGGACTTACGGGTTGTTATCATCGGTCGTGACAAGGAAGGCCTTGACGCGAAAGCCCACGCTCTCGTCATCTGCAAAAGCCAAAACGAATCTCGGGGCAATCGGTATGAAAGAGTCGGGGTTGCATCTCTTTTGGAGACACAATTTTTGGACGAAGGGGTCAAGGTTGACATTTGGTAATTGTCTGCTTCTCAGATTTATCTGTACTATGTATGCTTGAATGAACACGATTTCACCTCGCTGAGCCGTGGGGCATCTCTCTGCTTTTGCATAATAAAAAACCAAGACTCCTCCTCTTTCAATAATCATTTGACTTGAGGCGTTCTTCGCGATCGATTTGAAATCGTGTACAACAGCACATTTTGCACAGGTAGCCGAGGCTCAGAGGCTCAAGGGCGCAGCAGGTGGAGGCACACAGAGCGATACACGCTGTCAAATGAAGAGAGTTTTTAGTTTTCTTTTTGTTACTGTCGTGGCTTACTTTTTGCCCTTTCGCCTTCATCAGGAAAATAAACGAAACAATCAAGTATTGGAGGTCGAGAATTCAAAATATAGATTCGTGCTGACGTAGCGCTTGGAATTCTGCTAGATCCCGCCTCATCAGCCCTAGACACGGATTCATTCGCAAAAGCTTACCGATGTGCGCCTCTGGCAAACCAATATTTCTGTTCCACGGTACCCTTGCCAGCTGACATTTTCCACTTCGACAGTCCGGGAGAGGAGCCGAGCAAATCGGGCGGCGGCAGTGTTGGCGCAGCAAGATGTGAACCAATAGCAGTGAGAGGGCTGGTGGGTGAGACAGATCGTATTGCGGTCATCTGGAAACAATCAGACTGCCCTGGCCCTCCAAGGCACTATTGAACGACGCCTTACAAGGCTTTCTTCTTTGCTAGATGATATGGAGACCAGATCTCCCGAATTTAAACCCTCGATTGCTGGTGAAAGGGCCGTACCCGCAGACAATATCAGACTAGCTTTTGTTATTCGTTTCAAGCACCGTCTAATAGCTTGAATCTTCTTTCTTTCTGCCTACATCCTAACACTGGCAACATCTTGTATCGCCATCAAAGCGGGCGCATCGATCCCAACTCAACACACTCGTCCCACCGGGAGTCGACGACATCCACAGATCTGGCCTCGCCGACGCGCAACAACTGTCCCTAAACTCACCACCGATAACAGCGAGACAAATGAGGCAACCCACGAGCAAACCGAACGCCAGATATGTCAAGAAGGAGCACGCAGTCACCTATAGCACCACGACTAATATTCAGAGCATCGAAAACGCGCTTCAAAATGCCAAGAACCTTCCAGTGTCAAGCAAAGCGCTCGGTGCGTCGTACTACGGAACCCCAGGCATCATGACAGATGCGCCAGTTGCATGGCAAGGTGGATTTTCAGGCGGGTCAGTTATTGGAAGCCACGAATACGACAGGAATAAGGCGTCGGGTCAGAATGAAAAAGGGCTTTTGTATTCTGAGTCGGGCGAGACCGACGTCGTCGTCTCTGTTCGCGACTTAGGTTTCAGTGCGGTACCTTGGTCAACACACCCCTCGTGCAGCCCCAGACCCAACCAAAGCGATGTATCCAATCACATGCCCTGTAAAGAGCATTTGGTGAAGCATATCCAGTCATCTGCCCAGATAGAGGATGAGATTCGACACAAAATCGAGAGCAGTCTTAGCTGGAGTCAAATGGACCAGGAGGAATACCTTCCAGTCGATTCATTTGAGAAGATCTTTAACATCGAAACCATGATTTCTCTCATCCAAACCATCTACCAGGATGCGACCGACGATGAACTAACTCACAAGGCTGGCCAGATCTGGGGTGGTGATACGGGTAGCCGGCGAAGGATCATTGCCACGCTGGTCTTCATGAAGCAGACGAGCCGCATCGAGGAATTTATCCAGGAAAACATCTTCGATCATCATTTGCCACTGCGCCATGAGGGGAAGAGGAAGAAAGAGTTCAGAACCCTTGTTGGTGATGACCGCGTCAACACGACACTGTTCCAAAATTGGGAGCGCGTTCACGTCGATATGTTCTATATGTACCAGAAAATGATCTTCGTCCCATTCTTGAGCATAGGAAATGGCACTCTATGCTCATATGTATTCGATCGTGGCGTTAGGCTTCCTTGGAATAAATTTGAGCAAAAGAGAACTGGTGGGCACGGCACAATCCATAGGCTCGAGATTCACCAGAGCCACCACGATTACAAAGGAAACAATGTGAGAGTTTCGTAATTATTCCTCTTGAGGTATTTGCTGATTATTTTGCTCCAAGGCCCCAGGGAGACCGCCGTGTTTTGCAGTCAAGGAGATTAATGGTGCTGACCACGAGTCTTATCGCAAGGAGCTTAGAGCCCTCGAGCATTCTTGCGCCAAGGTACAGAAGGAGAAACATCTGATAAAGCTACTTTTTACTTTTCAGCATGGCAACAAGCCATATCTTGTATTTGAATGGGCAGACGGTAACCTGGAGGAATTCTGGGAAAAACGACAGGTTGAATCATCTCCCTTGGCGACAAAGTGGATGGCACATCAATGCCGGGGCATTGCAAATGCCATCAAACGAATTCATGGACTCGCAACATGGCAGAAAAATGAGAGGTCGTCAAATCCCAACTTTCAAGAGACGTTTGTCAAAGATTGGGGGCGACATGGCGACATCAAGCCGACTAATATCTTGTGGTTCTCAACCCACGGAGAAGATCGGGATCACCTCGTTGTTGCCGACTTGGGATTAACCCGATATCACTCCAGCCTCACAAAGTCACGCGTGATGAGAGTGGACGGCTATACCGGGACCTACCGAGCTCCCGAAATCGACCTTGGCAGCCCCATTTCTTCCAAGTATGACATATGGTCCCTCGGATGCGTTTTTCTCGACTTTTGCATTTGGTATCTACTTGGGTATGACGAAGTCAAGAACTTCCAGAGAGCCCGCAATCTCAATCGCCCGTCAGATAATGTGGACGACACACAAGAACCTGATCATAGTTACTTCGTGACTTCGCATATGCTTCATGGGGGCAAGCGAGCTGAGCTCCACCCAGCTGTGCAGAAGGTGAGTCGAGAAAGTTCCTACACTGTCAAGGCTTACAAGTTTGACAAATCTCTCACACTTTTTATCAGTGGGTCAATAAACTGAGGAGTTCAGCCTCCTGTACAAGCTTCGCCGGCCAGATGCTGGATCTGATCATGGATCGAATGCTCGTTATTGATCCTAAAAAGAGACACTCCATCGACATTATTTCTTCAGAACTGTCACGTATTGAAGCCTTGCTGCGAGAAACATCTGGAGGCCGCGCCCCGTTCCCAGGTACTACGAACACATCCTATCAGTCAAAGGAGCCAAAGTCTTCCAAGGTGAGTTTTCTCAATGTTCCGATAGAGAAAGTGTAGTAACCCCTGTTCACAGGATTCTCTCCAAGTGCCAGTATCTCCTGCAAGTTTGGTCAGATTTGCAGAAGGAAACTTTATTATCCCTGACAGTATGGTGTCAAGTGTATATTCTCGAGAACGAGCGTTGTCCATCACATCTAGCGATGCAGATTCATACGACGGCTCATGGAACGACCAGAGCACGGCCGCTACCAGTGTGTTTGATGATGAACCAAATGAGCATACCCTAAGGCCGAATGTGACGACATCCTAGTTTGGCTTATCACAAATACTATACTCCATTTTAAGGCAGTGATGATAAAGATATAATGGAACCTGCAAGAGGTTGATACATGTTGTGATTGAGATAGACATTGCAATAGTCTGGTGTTTTGGGAACTTGATTCAATAGAAAGATCTCAGTGTATTTGTAAGCCGGGTACGCTTGCTTCGCGTGATGCTAGATGCTCTGTTGGAATCTTCAAAACCATGTGGTAACCGTGTTGTTGTATCATCAATTGATATCCCGGTAAATCTAACATAGTACTATGAGAAATGTGGCCTTGTATCATTATGTTAGAATTTATGAGCTAAAGCTAGAAGTATGTATGCATCATTACTAGAAAAGTAGAAAACCTCTAGTCTAATCTCGTTCCGTGTTGCTCATGGACGTGTCTCATAGATGGGAGACAGACAGATACCTCTGACCCCAACAGATAACCTATATGCTTGAAAGTTTGTTTTCTACCGTTAAACAGGGTAGAAAACATAGATGGTGATCTAAACGGCTGGAGGCATACGGTGCATCGCATTTAGGCACTGGCGGCAACTACATCGAACTTGATGTTAATTTCAGCATGAAACTTATATCTATGATGCAGAGTGACAATGCAGTCGATGGAGAATAGAAATACTGGCGATAGAGTCTAGCTTCAGAGGGAAAACTCCCGAGCCTCGGGGTGATTCTACCCCCAATCGGCTTGCATCAGATGAGCTCAAAGTTGGTAGTCAGTGGTTTGTAGCCAGAAAGAATAACGAGAACTCGCCTTGATGGGTATTCACGTAAGCAATTTTTTTTTAAATATTATGTTGGCTGATGCCCACGACATATGTCAATCGTCAGGTGGGAGAAATATTGTCGGTTTTGTCATCATCAGTGATCATACAGAACTTTGTCTCTCCTTACCAGGATTGGCCTGTGTTAACCGATGGTTTTCCTAGGTGTATTTACCACCAACCATGTAACTCTGATGATTGCTCGCACATATGTCATGGCCAGAAACTATATATTGAATAAGTATCTTAGAATTAGATGATTTGGTCGGTTAGAAAGAGTCTAAACTAGTCTTTGAGTGGCTATTCCCCCTCATCGGGATGTACCTGTAGCCCACCAGGCCCTGATGGGATAGGCCATTCAACAGTCTAGGGTATTGACAGGGGACAAAGCGCGAAGCACAACGGGTAGTAAATTCGGCACCAAGTTATACCCCGATTGGACCAGGGAGGACAAACAAGCCTCCGCCCGCCCACATATTCTTTTCTAGGACACCCTAAACCTCTCGACGCACTCTTACGACAGCAAGATTGTTACGTACGCCTCACTCGCGAACTTGTCCTGCGGTATGAACGAGGATTCTTCTCCTGCTGCTGATCGCCCGCAGCGTGTAAACAAGCGGGTTGCTCGCGCTTGCGATTACTGTCGCAAGAAAAGGGTTGGTCACTCCGGCCCTTGAACCTGCATTCAAGCAACATGGTGAACCCCCATCTAATGACCTTCGCCCTCCCTCCAGCTCAAATGTACTCAAAACCAACGTCCCTGCTTGAATTGCCAGCTGTACAACGCCCAATGTACCTGGCGCGACCGTGAGTCGCGCCGAACCCCGCCCAAGAATTCAACGCAACATCGGAAGCGCGAGGAGGCTGCTGAAGTCGTCGCCTCCGTCGACACCGCCGCAACGGCTGACCTTACTCAAAGCCAGCGCGAGGGTGTCTCTGGTCCTTCAATAGATCCAGCTCTAGAGCTTGCAGTGAACCCGCTGACTGATCCATTTAATGGGTTCGTAACCGGCCTAGGAGAGTTGCATTGGACTCGCGGCCCAGAGTATGAAGCCTGCAATTCCTCTCCCGACTTCGATAATGCACTCCACGAGCTTGGCATCGGCATGTCTGCTCCTTTGTGGGGTCTCGAAGGGGCTCCAGCTCTAAATACGCCGGGAGTCCAACCTAGCCTCATCGGCACGAACTACGACCAAGTAGGGTGTTCCGGGGATCAAGGAATATATGGTAATGTGGGGCGCCGGGAAGCTTCTTCGTCGGTTTCGTTCTCCCATTCATCCATTTCAGAGCCCGACACGGCGAGCGGCAAGGTTGCGGGCATCCAGTCACTGACCAGAAAAGAAGCAATTGGAACTGAGGCACAGGCCTCGATACCCCCGGGCGTTTTGGTCCGGAAGAACGAAGTTTGTACCAATCTCATCGGTACAGTTTTGTAATACTCCTCCTGCAAGTTACGCTGTGCGCTTACGTTATGCCAGGTTTGACCTCAGTTGGTGCCACGATGGCTCTGTGTTTCAACGATGCGTTTAGAAACCAGAATTCCCAGCTAGGGCCTGCAACTGTCGATTTCCTCATACGGGCTCACAACTACGTGGATGAGGTTGGGTTGGCTTCTGCTCTTGGCCAATCGATGCATCAGTTGCCCCCGCGAGATAAAGCTATTCAAATGATCGAAGGTACTATAGCTGACATCCCACTACTAGTTGATCACACTTGAGCTAAAGGAACAATCAGAATACCTAAAGAATATTAACAGCTTCTATCCTATTACTGATAAAGAATCGTTGTTGAAGCTGACTGAGAGGTTGTACGGACCAGACCGAGGACACGTGGGCTCCTTGGATCATTCCTTTTTCTACTTGGTTGTGTCGTTGGGTGCCCTAAGTGTAGGCCACAAATATCAATCGAGTGACGCGCTTGATGATCTCTATGAAATCATGTTTCAGAGAGCTTGGTCCATGATACATGACTGCATTGCATCTCCTTGCGAGACTTCTCTTCAAATCTTATTACTTTATGTGAGTCTTTTACCCCCGAGGTGTTTCAACTCTCTAAGACGGATCAAGGTTGTACATCATATGTATATGATCAAGGACGGCATAGCTTGGGTCCTTTGTGGGTTTGCCATGCGAATTGCCCAATCAATCGGGCTACACAGGGAATTCCCAGAAGATATGGATTTACCTGAGCATCAAATCCGCTTAAGGTCCCGGTTATGGACGATTGTGTTCAGCGTCGACGCGTAAGTTCTGTCCAATTTGTTGTTATACTTCGCAATACTGGTTCCAAGGTCTCATTCGATACAGTAAACTGTCTTTGTCACAAGGGCGATCTCCTGGACTAGAAGAAGGCGCAACCGACAAAAGCATTACCCCAGCCAAAGTACGCGTGGAGCTGGAGAGCGCACCCTTCCCAGATGCCTCAACAATCAACTGCTGGACTTATACGCTCAGCAAGATCCAAAATCGCTTCTGCAACATTATGCATTCCAAGAACCACACCGTTTCCAGGCTCAAGGCAATCGCCAAGGTGGATGAAGACCTGACGGCTTGGAGAGATGCAATACCAGCCACCTGTCGGCCGAATCAACCAATTTTGGTTCCGCCAGAAAGTTACACCAAAGTTCTGCTTTTACACCTCGACTATATGAACCTTTCGCGGTCAGTCCATTGGGCAGTCGCAACGTTGACAGCCACGCAGGCTGGTGAATTACCCAACCTCGGCCTCCGTATCAAAGCGTGCGAGACATTGTGTCTTGATGCTGCGCGCTCCTTCATTAGAGCGTTGAATGAGTATGTGCAGTTGCCTCCGAGTTCTTATGCTTGCAATCTGACTAGAAAACAGCAGTGCCAGCTGTCTCGGAGACAGGAACGTCTTTATATTTAGGTGCGTAGATATCATGTTTTGCTCTATAATCACTAATCGCTTCCAGCGTTCAACTCAATAATTACATAGCAGCAATCTCAGTGCTCTACCGATCCATCTGTCACAGTCCGTCCAGCATGACAGCACGAGCAGACCTTGAGTACTTACGAACCGGCAAGCTTCATATGGAACTTGATATGCCCAGAATTCACAAGACATATGCTTCGAACTCCGTAAAGACACTTTTGAACGATATCCTTGCGTCTGCTGAGAATCTTGTTCGCGATAATGGTAATTAGGAGGGTTACCCCTTGCGTATATACGAATTCCCAGCACACTCACAACGTGTTTATGCAGCTAAGTTGTACTGCGATCGCCTTTACACCATGTAAGTGCCAGCTGGTGAGAGATGCATGGCCCGCAGGATACTAGGCAAACAAAAAGTACTGAGCATTGTGTTGTTAGTACTTGGGAGAACATAAACGATGAAATGGGGTAATTGGTTTCTGTTTTGAATAGGCACTCCGACTTGAAGAGATGCACCTTTACTGTATAACATATCATTATAGTTGGCGCCAAAGTGCGCGGTACCACTATGTCTTTTCGCTGGAAAAATAACACTGGTCCCTGCAGCCAAGTCAACGGAGATTCAGCTTGCCCCCAAAAATGTCAAACAAAAAAATAATGTAGTCAAGAGAGTGAAAATGATATGTGCTTTGATGCTCTCCCCACATCATACTATAAGAGATTTTGTTGGTATGTGTAGGGTCAGTGACCTTGGTATAAGATATCATGTATAAGCAAGGCATACCACTTATTAGCCTGACAATAAGCCTAATTGGTCGTTATCCCCTCTTCTTGATATTCTATTCAAGTATGTCTAATCAAATCTCAGTGTTGAACAGACATTGTCGTAGTCTAGACGGTTCAGTGCTAGCTGGTCCAACACAGAAGCTCGGCAAAACTGAGTCAAGCTCGGGGTTTGCGGGATGGCCGAGGTCCAGAGAGCCTAACCCAAAGTAGCAAATTCAAACCGTGGAACCGGCATTTCAGTCCACAACCCCCGAGCTCGAGCACGGACGTTGTTAGTGTTCCGGGGAAGATGAGCTGGGCACGCAGAGCTATCCGGGGATGTAAATGGCCATGGGGAGGGACTGCGTATCACCATGTGATACAAGCCATCCGGCGTCACGAAATAATTAAACTCATATTTAAACCTACAGAAACTTTGTTTGTGTCAATAGGCCATAGCAAATCAAATAAGGACAAAAACGACAAATGGCAGGCAAAAGGTCTTTGAAGGTTGCCGTCTTAGGCCCAAAGGGCCAGTGTGGTTCTTGCGTTGTTGACGAGCTGTTGCTGCAAGGACACGCAGTCGTGGGAATCTCTCGTTCGCCTCCAAAGACATGGAAAAACTCTGAAAACTACTCCGCCGTCTCGGCGGATTTCAATGATATCAACCAGCTCGCCAAGGTCATGTCTGCGGGATACGACTCTATCGTGTGCGCTTACGGCCCTCCCCTGGACAACATCGGCGCCGTCTACATGGAATGTGTAGAGACGCACTGCCGCATCAAGTCCGCCCTGCTACAATCCACCCACAAGGGCTCGTTCATTATCATTGGTATGGCCTCTAAAAGCATTTGAAAAAATAAAGTTTGCTCGGGACTCACATTTCAATAGGAGGAGCTGGTTCACTCCACAAAAAGGACGGCTCATCGTTCGCCGACGAACATGAGTTCCCATACGGCGCGTGGTATGTTGGCACCCACGTCATTACCGAGTCCTGCTAACGGTACGCTTCCACAGGTACAGTTGGCCAGACAAGCACCTCGACTATATGTACTCTCGCGCAAAAGATCATGGCTCGGCTTTTATGGCCCGCTTTATCAGGCAGTTTAAGTGGGCACGTAGCAACATCGAGAACCCTGGATGTAAGCAGCTGCACCATATCAACATTCTCCAAGTCTCAGAAGCTAACACGATACTTACATATAGGGTTCTCGTGGCTCTTCCGCCCGCTAGCGCTACTGACGCTCCGATCTATCAAAAAACTCATGCTCAAGCCCGAAACGAGAGGTTTGATACTGGGATCTCGAGTTGCACTCCATCTCTGGGAGGGCGTCACAGAAAAGTCCTGGTCCTTTCTTTCTCCACCTTGGCTCTTACGTGATAAGGGTAAGTGGTTAATCCAAAGTTCTGTAATGCGAACGTGTACATCTAATTAAGCATTTACAGGTATTCGAACTGGAAAAGTAGAAGTTTTTGTGGACGAGCCAGACAAGCCTGCCTACCAAGGCATTGAGGCGGGCGTGTACAACGAGGACATGGCGGTGGCCATCGTCGAAGAAGTGGAGAAGAACAGACTCAGTTTCAAGCACTGGACCTGTACTGGGCCTATTGGTCTCAAAGAATGGTAAAATTCTCAAGGACAAGCTGCTGTGGATGCCGTTTTTATGCTTTGGCAAAAGCTAGACATTGCTATTTGTCTCTCATAGGGCCAGACCATACAGACTGCTCGCAAGTGTAAATTATTTTGGGTGATATCACATGCAGCCACATCAGTCTTGTTTGCATTTGGCTTTTTAAGTAGAATCCCACCTCAATTTGAATATTAAATATGAGTTTTCTCAACGGAAAAAACTGATTCGTGATCCTGACCTTTCACTTGTGATCACATATAAAAAGCAAGTGCAATTCAGGCGTGCCGCGGAACTGGATGGGCTTACGTATATACAGCGTAGCTTACATCCGGTACTAGAGAATGAGTTCATTTCCTCTCTTCTCTCTCTAGCTTGAGTCTTATTGGTGAACAGGGGTAGCCTTGCCGTGGCAGTGAGACTAGGCTAGTGTACGATGATTCATGTTTTGGTTCGAGTTTTGGCTCAACAGAGAAACCCGTTCAGTTGGTCGGTTAGAAGATGTGATTTGCCGTTGCAAAACAGAGATTGCATCTTTTTGGAACTTGATTTCCGCTTCTAACCGCTCCATTTTGGTCGCTTGTTGCCTAGAAGCTTGGTCTTGCTCGGCGACGCGATGGCTTAGACGCTGTTCGAGGTGTTTTATACGGCTATCAAGCGAGCCAAAATGTTGGTCGAAAGACGCCTTACTGACCTCAACCAAGGTTCTGCAGTTGCTGATCAAGACCGTGTTAGACAGGAGAGCATCCTCCATCTTATTTAACCGCTGCTCAAGATCAGTATTAGTAACGGCTTGCCCGTTCAAGAGATTTTCCAAATTGGAAAGCCGCATCTCCATCTTCTGTTTGTTCTCTTCATAACTATTTTGTCGAGTTTCAAGAGAAGATATAACAGAATTGACTGAAATTAGATCGTTCGTAGTAGTGTCTAGCCGCTCATCTACTACTTGAACGGATTGACGGCAGTCGTTTTTCATTTCTTGTATACTTTGAGATGCGGACTTCAGATCACTCCCCAAACTTGTTAACTGGTGGTTTATGGCGTTACGACAGGTTTCGTATTTACGATCTCGGTCAAGTTGCTGCTTTTGCATTATCTCAAGCAGTTGCATCGCAGACTTTACATTTGCGCTGACTGTTTCGAACTGGTTCTCATAACCATGCTCCTGCTTCTCTTGCTGCTGCTGTAATTTGTGGGCAGTTTGGCGACATTCGGCGATTTGGTTGCTGAGAGCAGTTAGTTCTCCGGTAATGCCGTTCAGCTTCTCCAGCGTATTTTTGTACTCTGAAGCTGTAAAGGTGGTGAGATCGTTGTACGCCTTTTGAATGTCGCGTGAGAGGTCGCTGGGCTGTAGAACAGATTTCACCAGGTCATCCAAGGTTTGAGCTTCTTGATGATGCTCGACAACTCGTCTTTCGGGATTGCCTGGCCGAGTCTCGTGTGTTTGAGTAGTCTCCTGTGCGCTTTGCCCTCCATCTTTGACCAAAGAGGATGATTCCTGTTCTTCGGAGGTTGGATCTGGTTGGGTGAAGGTCGCATCCAAAATGTCGCAATCTCGCTCCGGGTAGGGGTTTGTGTTTTTGTCAAGGCTCATCGAAGCTTTTGCGGGAGATTCCCCGGTTTTTCTGTAATCGGGTTTTCCCGATTTAAGTAGTTCTCTGCCACTTTCAGGTGCAGAGAACAAAGAATTTTGGTTGAGTGGAGAGGAAGAAGAATCCCTAGCTGCTAATGACTGCTTCTCTGCTTCCGGCTCAAGATGAAGATTTGAATCGGTGGTCTGGTCAACGCCGAATGCCGGCTCTCCCAACTGTAGAGAATGAGGTTCATCTTGTACACATTGACGTTTCGTGATATTTCTATCACAGTCATTAGATTCTCTTCTGCGCTTTTGCCCAAGTTGATCTGGAGTGTTGACAAGTTCATCGACGGCCGTTTCATGTACGGTTGATGTTGTTGATCCAACAGGGATGGTGTCTGGGGCGTTGCTTAACTTCTTAACCGCGTCTTTCGAATCGAGTTCGTCGTCTTCAGCTTTCTTGATGAATCGTGCTGGAAACAGCTCACGATTGCTGTTACTGCTGCTCCTGCCGGATCTCGACGCGTCACCTTTGATCATCAAGGTTGCTGAAGTTTCTCCGTCCCAAGAGAACGTCCGAAGAGGTGGTATATTATCTCTCCTCATCAGCGACTGATAGTTAACAGTGATTTGATGGTCCCAGTCCTCTCTGACAGCTTCCCATTCGGCCGCAATGACATGGTCAGGTGGCAACCCTGACACGGGAACATCTTCGGCTCGTTCAATCCATGCGTCAATCAGATCTGTCAGGAGATCACAGTGTTTGTGTCGTATCTTTGGAGACCGGACATATGCAAGGCGGCGGCCCACATATGTCCTAACCAGTTGCTCAGTTTGCTGTGCGCTGGTATTACAGCCCCAGCTCAGACGGACGAATTGCCAGAAATTGTCATGGTCGAACGACAAGTGTTGAGCAGTGATCAATATCCGAAACAATACGACTAGATTGACGTATATGCGCCGTTTGCGATGCTCAAGTTCGTTGCCTCTGCTTTTGCCGTCGTGTTCCCCGTCAATATGTCTTGTGTGAATGGGGTTCAGGAGTACAGCTTTGGACATGATCAAATTTGACGGCCATGGCGCCTTGTCCAGGGATACGCCGCTGATGAACCAGATCTTGTTATCTGATGCGTCGCTCGATTTGGACATCTTGACAAGATATGCTGTGTTAAAGGCCTATGGGCATCATGATACCCCTTTTGAGGGGGTTAGGTGTGGTTTTTATGTAGGAAGCTTGGGGACAGGGCGGGACCGTGACTTTTTCTCTTCCCTTAATTAAAAAAGGAAAAAAGATAGAGTTTGTCGTCAATTTCTGGATTCGCAGGGAAGATGACTCCTTGCTTCGTGCAGGGGCATACACACACACACACACACACACACACACACACACACGCTAAGGCTAGGGTGCGCAAGCGCTACACAGTGAACCGAGCTACGGTGGGAGGTAGCAGCACACCTCCATAGGTTATTAAGCTTCCATCTGACGAAAGCACAACTGCTGCCCCTCTAACGCCAGTGTTTGCACCAACACGGGAAAGGCTATTAGAAAGCCAAAATCGACAGGAGTGGTGGGTTACCCTAGCAATAGCGACGCAAACTATAGCGGTCTTTGCACATTTGCCTGCAATTTGGGCTATTGCCCATCCACAGCATGTGCAATAGAAAAACACCGCGATTATATGCCAAAAATATCACCCTTCAATCCAAACACTCACGCACAGGTGGTGGACATGGCAGCTTTTCTCGTATATGTAGCTAGGCATCGATCAGGTCTTCAGACCCGTACGGAGCTTGCAACGGTTAGGGAGATTGGACATTCAAAGAGATAAACGAGTCTTCAATAAAACCACGCTTCTTCTTTGATGGCGATGCGGCTCGGCCATGATATAAAAGATCAATTTGTAGATTTATAGATTTGATCGTAAGTTGCTGGAAGACGAGACTCAGTAGGCAGTGGTTAAGTTCTAACCAATCACCCCACTCAAGGCCCCCACCTCTCGATAAACCCTCTCTCACGTAAAAGATGCCGAAAACAACAACACAAAGAAGAGATTCAGCTAGAACTCGAGTTTGTTACCTATCGAAGGTAACTAATTTCACAATGTGCCGGGTTTGCTATAGTCTTCTTCTCAAAGGAGAGTTGGACGAGGCACAGGTTTCTAACGAACAAGAGGAAGGAAAAGAAGAGAGGCAAGAGGAAGAAGGCGAGGAGGAATACTGTCGACCACCACCACCGCCAGACCCACCAAACAAGACTTTCGTTCAGCCTGCGCCTAGCCATGATGGTGCCCCAACCTTCGTGGCGTACAAAGTCTACGACACTACCCCAGACTCTGAAGGTGCACTCCGACTTTTGCGTCCCCCTTTTGGCATTGTCGTCTACGATACAACACATACCGCCTGTCCGGCTCGTAGCGCCCGCCTCGCCCGTGCTTTGTTTGACTGGACCTGGCGGATACGCAAGATACACTCTAGACCAGACAGAATCGAGGTCGTCACGCTACCTCTACCGCAATCCTTATTAGACGTCGAACGCATAGAGGCTTGCACCCGCCATTACGAGGATGAGAGCCGGAACCGTCTGCTGATTGCTGATAAAGCTGAAGCGGCCTCATGGTTCCTACCCGAGCGCATCATGGATAATCACTATGCGCGGAGGATCCTTGCTATTAACCGTTTTGAGGATGATGGCAATAATGATGCCGAGGTCGCCTTTTGGGAGGAGTCGCTTGGTAATCGTGATCCTTTTTGCCCAGCCATGGAGGAGCCTAAAGAGAGCCGGTCTGGCAGCTTTCTTTGCATCGACTGGCAACCCCGTAAGGAGACATGGCAGTTGTTTAATGGTATGCCCTACTCCCCCGAATTTCGTGTTAGTTTTCATGTTTTTGGGTTTGAAGGTTTTGGGCCTTGCTGTATGGATATGGTGGATGCGATCGAAATATTCTACAATCATTTTATACCTGATGGCCTGCTCGATCGACAATTGGAGGAGGCTAGAAAAGCTTGATTGTAGTGTTGTTGATGAGCAACTAATTCAAACTTCAGCAAGATAGGAGGAGTTTTACTAGGTATCTAAGTAGTAATCCGCTTTACACTGTGAACCGAGCTGCGGTGGGAGGGGGTAGCAGCACACCTCCATAGGTTGTTAAGCTTCCATCTGACGAAAGCACTGTCGATGCTTTATTGACTACTGGTATGTAGAGGTAGTAGCCGCATAGACTGGAGTCCGACGAGGACTGGGCATAGGACGGAATATGAAAATCGGTGTTGAATTAGCATTTGATACCGAACGCAGTCTCGCTTTGCCATGAGTAGCGTCGGGCTGCAGTAGGTAGGGCTAAAGAGACCCAATGCAGACTCCTGCAGACTATAACCGGGGAGAAAGTTAGGGGGCATGCATGCGCTATTAAGCAGTGGCGATCAGAGAGCTAGGGGTCCCCTTGGCTCTAGATCACATAAAAGCTTCATCAGTGCATTCTCGCGCAACGCAGTCAAAACGTCAATGCAGCAACAAAACATGACGCCCAACAGTTAAGAATAGAAACTTTTATTTGGCGAAATCCGTAGTTTCAAACCCCGTGCCATATAACTCACCCAATCACCAATACGCTGCGGAAACGCACCTTGTTGGAAGTCATATGCTCCGACGCCTTCTTCGCATCGTCCAGAGAAAACTTCTCAATCATACATTTGACGCCGTGTGTCGCCGCAAAATCAATTGCCTCCTCCGAATCCAACTGGTTGCCGCTCGGCCAGCCCACCACCGACTTGCCTCCGACGATCAGGTCCACAGAGTCAACTTCCAGCTTCCCTACCGGTGCCAACACACACAGCTTGCCCCCCGGCTGAAGACCGCCGGTGAGAGGCGAGATGGCCTTGGGGTTAGGCGCCGTCGCGAGAATCAAAGCGGCGCCACCGAGCTCCTTGAGTTTCTTGACGGGATCCTCTGCCTTGGTGTCGATGTACTCGTGAGCGCCGAGCTGCTTGGCAAAGTCCTTCTTTTCAGACCCCGAACTCAGCGCCACAACCTTGTATCCCATACGGTTGGCGTACTGTATGCCGAGATGACCGAGGCCACCTAATCCCTGGATGGCGACCAAGTTCCCCTGCTCGATACCCGCCTTGCGGATGCTGTTGAAGACGGTGACACCGGCGCAAAGCAGTGGGGCCGCCTCGGCAGGGTCGACGTCCTTCGGTACCCGAACGACGGCCTCGGAGCGGAGTAGTACATACTCTGCGTATCCACCATCACGGAAGACACCGTTGACGGTCCCCTTGTCGCATGTCTGGAAAAAGCCCTTTTGGCATTGGCGGCAAGTCCCATCGTGGCCTGGGCGGGTACAATGTTAGAGCGGGCACTCATCAGAAGTCATACTCACTAATTCCGCAAAAAAAAGGGGGGCATCTTACCTCCATGCCAAGCGCCTCCCACCCTCTCTCCGCCAGAGAACCTGGTCACGTTCTCGCCGACTTCCACTACGTCGCCGATGATTTCGTGGCCGGGAATACGGGGAAATACGTCGCCGAAGCCGCCCTGCTGGACGCCCACATCGGAGTGACACACACCACAAGCCAGCACCTTGACGAGTACAAGGCCGGGGCCCGGCTTCTTCAACTCCTGCTCTACGATCTTGAGCGGCGCATCCTTGGATTCCAAAATGGCAGCCTTGAACGTCTTTGGAAGTGATGACATTCTGACTAATGCTTCGTTCGCGTCTGGTGTGGATCGTCTGGCGATAACGAGTCCGGAGAGATGCTACAAATAGCTTGTCTACCTGGTAGAGAAGATGAAGTTAAGGTCTATGTAAAGAATATTTGCAGCTCAATGCCCCCCTTATATAATGCCGGGGAGTTTCTGGTAACAGGCCTAGCTTCACTGATTGTGTCGGACATGGCAGCTAACTCCAGGCTAACCCCTCACCTCAACACGATCAACAAACTCAAAGAAGAATAAGCATGTATCACTACTTCGCTTATAAACTGCTAGTATCCCAGGCTGCAGTATGCCTCAGAAGGCATAGCTGGCTCGAGAGGGGTCGCGAAGCACATGATTCCGGGATGCCATTAAGCAGATATGCATCAGAAGGCTCCGTGATTGGTCTGCTAGCTCCTTATCTAGCACCCACGAACCTGCAGTAAGAATTAAGAGCAAGTTACGGTAGTCGAGTACATGCAACTGCAGTAAGCTCTCGCATTCAACAAGTGAGTTTGTGGGGAAGTCAGGGGAAAAGTGCTTTGGGTTTTAGCCACAGGCGGGCCTAGAGCTCCGGATGACATCAACAACGTCCAAGTCGTCCCATCATCGCCAGCCAATGATGACGTACACGTCAGCATCTAGCCCTGGGTGCGCCCTTTTCCGATTACTGAACCATACCACAGTTATTAAGATATCGCAGTAGCCCAAGTCCCCCATGTGGGCAACTTAACAGCCGTTCAGGCGCTTCGTGTGTGACTCCTCCCGCCCACTAGCAACTGCGCTAGACCCAACTCCCGTCGAACCCGCGCGGGAATAACGGTAGATGAGCATGTTCAGTCTCCTTATTACAGAAAGGGGAGGGGACCCATGTTCGGAAAGATGCTACTAAATCATAGACTTAATCGCGTCTTGTTCCCTTCGCTAACCCCGTTGACCAATCATACGAGGCCTCTTCGGGTTTACACAGTTGCTATTCTCCAAATCCGAACGGACATTGGCGGAATTACCTATACAGCTGCTGGCTGGGCCAGCTACTAGGTTTAATTCAGTAGAGGCCTCTTAACTCCAGGTCCTAGATAACCTACTATGTAGCACTACGTAGTATAGCCGCGGCCCTATCGGACCAATTCCAGCAAAACCCATCCCAACCCGCTCCAGAGCTCATGCGGAGGCTCCGGCCCGCACAGTAATTACACGGCTCCGATGGGGCTCCGGGCTCCATTCCACCAACATACACTACTTAAGACACTCGCGGTTCGCGCCCATCACGATGTCCGAGTCACAAAGTGGAAAAAGGCCGTGTGCACAGGCAGATTAGTCCGAAGTACGATTTCCCTCCCGGACTCCCGGTCGGGACCCTCTCATACACAAATCCGTCGCAAGCTCGGCCTTTCGCGCATTAGAGCCACGCTCCCCCTACTAGCGAATATTTGCTAGGCTTTGAGACTTTGCTCCATTATACACTACGTCAGGCAGATGATTACAGATCGGGGACCACAAGGGTCCAATGCGCGCAATGGTCAAGGGGATTACCGTTTCGCCTTTCAGTTAGACGCGATGAACAAATTGCTTTGCGCAGCCTAGACATAGATTTAGATATTTAACATTTCCAGAAACATCTGCATAGTCCTCCTAGTACAAGCAAAATCCCTTCCATTAACTCGGTTCGACAGCCAAAGCGACGTTGCCTAGCGATACCATCAAGATCCGAACTTAGTATCAGGTCCTTTCCACCAAATCCAAAACTAGCAAACATGTCCCTCCAAGACAAAGTCATCCTCGTCACAGGCGGTTCCAAGGGCATCGGCAAGGCCATCGCCCTCTCCGCCGCCGCCCAAGGCGCAAAGGTCATCGTCAACTACAGCAACGACTCCTCCGCCGCTGACGAGGTCGTGGCCCAGATCGGCAGCGACCGCGCCGTCGCCGTGCGCGCCGACAACTCCAAGACGCCGGAGCTCCAGAAGCTCGTCGACGCCGCCGTGGAAAAGTTTGGCCGTATCGATGTGCTCATCCCCAACGCCGCCATCATGCACATGCGCACCGTAGAAAACACGACGGAACAGGATTTCGACGAAATGTTCAACACCAACGTCAAGGGTCCCTACTTTTTGGTCCAGGTATGATTCGTCCTTTTTTACTAGTGTAACTGCATTCACAACGACTCACAATCCCAATAGAAAGCTCTCCCTCATATGCCCGAAGGAGGCCGCATCATCTTCCTCTCGACAACTGTGCTCGCCTCCAGCAACCTTCCTCCGCCATACCTCCTCTACGCCTCGACCAAGGGCAGCATCGACCAGATGACCAAATTCATGGCCAAGGACCTGGCAAAGAAGGGCATCACCGTCAACGCAATCGCCCCAGGTGCCACCGGTACGGAACTCTTCTTCAAGGGCAAGACGCCCGAGATGATCAAGTATGCCGAGGCGAGCAGCCCCTTCAACAGGCTCGGCACACCGGAAGAGATTGCTGCCGTCGCGACTTTCTTGTCAGGCAAGGATTCATCATGGGTTACCGGTCAGGTAATCCGTGTCAATGGAGGAACGGCGTGAAAAGAACACCCAAAAAGACTTATGCTGCGCATTCATTGCTGTAGAGAATATATAAAAAATAAACCGTTCAACGCCCAGGCCTGGGGTTTTCCAAGGCTGATTTGATAACAGCATATCCCGCGTCACCGTCCTGCTCGCATTATGCATCCAGCTAGCTCTATTACTGCGCACCCAGGGCAGCAAGTGCATTGCGCAGCTCCTTGACCGCCGTCGGCACATCTTCAAAGTTGAGCGCAGAGATGGCCCACTTTGCGTGCTTCTGCGCCTTGGGCAGATCCAGGTCGTCTGTCGGCCCGCTGTTCGGCGTCCACGAGTTGTTGGAGATGGGAACCACGGGGGCTTTCGGTTGTTGCGGGATCGATGGTGGGGGCTTGAATTGCTCAGGGGCAGGTGGGGGTGTTGGCTTGGGTATTTGAGGTGGCTGCCACGGTGAAGCATTGTTGGGTGGGCTGAAAGATGGCCCCGCCGACGATCCGGCAAAAGGTGAAGGGGCAGAGGGTAAGTTCGCTGGCCCTGTCGTGTCGTTGGCACCGGTTTGGCTTAGAGGCGAGGGAGGAAACTGTTCGGGCGGGTCGAAATAGCCCTGTGTTTGAGGCACCTGAGGTTTTACATCGTTTCCTGACGGGACTGATGGCAGGTCCAACACACTTGACTGCGCAGGTTCGGACTCGGCGGGGACGTTTGGCGGCGTAGCTACGCCTGGGGACGCAGCCTTCTTATAAAACTCGGTCTCGGGGTCATCCTCCACGAAAGCAGCCTTCGGCGGAGGCGATGCTAGGCCTTGTACCTCTGGGTCGCTGGGGTCCAGAATAGGGAGAGCTTCCTCCGGTTCCGGCTCTTGCTTGGGGTTCGACTCGTTCGGGTCCTTGCCCTCCTTGATAGCCTTGAGTATGCGGGCGGCATTCCACTTGGCGTACTTGACCTTCTTCTGCGTCTCTTCATCTATTTGACCCCAAATGTTGCCTAAAAGGAAGAATGTTGCGGCAGCATCGTACGTGTCGGCAGTTTGTCTGTCAAAGAAGGTCAGCAACTAGAGCTGAACAAAAGAAACGGAGATCATTCAGCCAGCGTACCTGGTGACTCGGTTCGCCCGCATTACTTTCTCTGCTCGGTCGAAAGCTTCCTGAGCAAACTGCTCCACATATGCCTGGCCGACCGTATCGTCGGTGATGGCTTCCTCCGCCGAATTCTCGGTTTTCGTCTGTCAATCGCTGTCAGGGCTGAATCTTTCTGGGGTATTTTCCTGTTTTATCGGGTTCCTTACCCGCTCAAGACGGTCCATTAGATTAGTTGTGTAGGAAAGGCTCTCGTCGTCGACATTGTGCAGTTGTTTAGCCAGAATCTGATTGATAACCCAGTATTCGCCTGAACAACGTGTTAGTTGGAAGTAGATATAAATGAGCCCCTACTTCACGTACACCAATAGGTGATGGCAGGCTTATGATTGCGCAGCTGGTTCGCGCGATTGATGAATCTCGTGATGTCGGCCTGTCGCAGGCTATCGGGGATCGGTTCGGCCATGGTGGGCTGCGGCAGGTAACCCGAGAGGATCGAAGCTCGTAAGAATCACGATTGCTGATGAGAAGCGTCAATAAGCCAAAGCAGGCAAAAAATGACGACGCAAAAATAAAAACAAAAAAAATTGAACCGGCGGCAGGCAGCTCAAGGGCGCAAAGGGGCAGCGGACTTGCGACGAGGGGTGCAACACTAAGGTGTTGGAGACATGTTCTTGGGTATCTTGGAAGCCTTACCGCAGCGTCAAGTTCCCCCACATGGCATCACAGCGGGGGGGAAGCAGAGAGGTACAAGGATTATGTACCCTTTTGGTCCTTCTGGTCACGCCCCAGCTGCCTGAGAAGGGGACAGGTGGGAAGGTACTGGAAGAAAAGTGGGCTGATTGTGAGAGAGGCTGCTGCGCCACACCCATCGGCCACGTTGTTTGCAAGTTGGAGATGTGGCTCAAGCTTCAATAGCTCGTGTGGGGCTGTGGCTTGAATAAGCCAGTAGTACTTCCACCTAATTGACTGGAAATTTCCACGGTTCCATTCACAGACTAATTGAGCCCCCCCTTAGGCCTGCCAGGCCAGGCAGGCTATACTACTTTACAGGTGAGGTGAGGGGTTCGCGTCTCACAGTTCCACGCTGGCCTTTTTTTTCTCTGGCCCGGTAAAATGAAAAAGATGCCAACTTGACACTTTTTTTTTTTCTTTCTCTTTTCTTTCCGTTCTTTTCCTCGTAAAGACCTTCCTCCAATTCTCTCGGTCCATAAATGCAAGACCAAGGTCCTTCAGCTGCTGATTCTAGCTGAACCTAGTTCCTTGCTCTGATCATATCCTTCCAACCCGCCGTTATCTCATCCCTCTCTTCTTTTAACGACGTCTTAGTCTTATACGACCTAACAACCGGTTACAACACCCCCACTAGCTTGCTCGTCTCTATCCACCACGATGCATCACCCCACTATGCTCGCCGCCGCTGGCGTTGCCGTCCTGTCGGCTTTGCCCGGTGTTCAGGCCGGCATGTACCCAAAGAGCTCTCCCGTTTTGCAGCTCGACGCCCGTAGCTACGAGCGTTTGATTGCCAACTCCAACCATACCTCGGTATGCATGCGCCCACCACCAGTCAAACAAACCCGTATATATGTCCCTACTGACTTACACACCAAATTCAAAAATTATAGATTGTCGAGTTCTACGCCCCTTGGTGCGGTCACTGCCAGAACCTCAAGCCCGCCTATGAAAAGGCTGCCAAGAACCTCAACGGTCTTGCCAAGGTCGCCGCCATCGACTGTGACGATGACGCCAACAAGCCCTTTTGCGGCAGCATGGGCATCCAGGGCTTCCCGACTCTCAAGATCGTGAAGCCCGGCAAGAAGCCCGGCAAGCCCATCGTCGAGCCGTACGAGGGACCCCGCACCGCCACCGGCATCGTCGAGGCCGTCGTCGGCAAGATCACCAACCACGTCAAGCGCGTCACCGACAAGGACCTCGACTCCTTCCTCGAGGGCGACAAGCCCAAGGCCATCCTCTTCACGGACAAGGGCACCACCAGCGCCCTCCTCCGCAGCGTCGCCATCGACTTCCTCGACGCTGTCACCGTCGGACAGGTCCGCAACAAGGAGTCTGCGGCCGTCGAGAAGTTTGGAATCAAGTCCTTCCCCACCCTGGTGCTTCTGCCCGGTGGCGACAAGGAGCCTATTGTCTACGATGGAGAGATGAAGAAGGATGGAATCGTCAAGTTTATTTCTCAGGTCGCCGAACCCAACCCCGACCCCGCGCCCGCCAAGGGTAAGAAGACCGAGAAGAAGTCGGAAAAGAAGAGCAAGTCCGCGTCTGCCAAGTCTAGTTCCTCCACTAAGCCCGCCGCCGCCTCCGAGGAGGCATCAGCCGAACCCGAGGCGCCTACCGAGACCCCGTCTACCAAGGCGGCCCCTCCTCCTCCCGCTCCCGCCGTCCCTGTCCTCGCCACCCCCGAGACTCTCCAGCAAGAGTGCCTCACTTCCAAGTCCCACACCTGCGTCTTGGCATTTGTCCCGACCAAGGAGAGCGAGAACGCCCAGAAGGCCCTGGGCAGCCTCGCCGAGATCGCCCACAAGTACGCCATTGCTCAGCGCAAGCTGTTCCCCATCTTCGCCGTTCCCGAGGAGAACACCGCTGGTGCTTCCGTCGTCAAGGGTCTCTCCTTGAAGGACGAGGTTGAGATCGTCGCCGTGAACCCTCGCCGTGGCTGGTGGAGACACTACGAGGGCAACTTTGACGCCAAGAGTGTCGAGAACTGGATTGACGCTATTCGACTGGGTGAGGGCTCCAAGCAAAAGTTCCCCGAGAGCCTGGTTGTCGAGGAGGTCGAGGCCGCGCCCAAGGAAGCCACGGAGTCTACCGCAGCCACCGAGCCCACCCCCGAGGCGGAGACGGAGGCCCCCAAGGAGACGGTATCTGAGCCTCCCAGCAAGCACGATGAGTTGTAAAAACTGCTTCTCATCTTTTCTGTATGCATAATTAGTCGGAGCTGTAACATAGTAGTAATCAGTAAGGGAGTCTGACCGTTGTCAAACATGATTCATTCCGTCACCGTGATGCATCTTTTTTTGTTCAAGACGACACTCTTAGGATTCCATCTCCAAATCCAAACCAGTACCCTTCTCTACCGTACCCTCCTGCACCATCTGTCTGCCCTTCTCCTTCACAACTCGATCCATGAACTGTCGCACCTGCTTGCATCCATCCACACCGACGGCGAGCATGCCCTCCATACGACTGACCTGGACACGACTCTCGCAGACCAAGACCGCGACACGGTCGGTCAGGCCCAGAGTTCCCACGGTGAGGTACGGCAGCTCCTGCTCTTCCTGCGTATTCAAATCCAGCAAGGGATCCGCGCCGTCGTCGGCAGCTGCGTATGTCGAGGTCGAACCAGCCGTGCATGCGGCAATGTAGTCGGTCATGGGGATACCCGCATCGATGAGGGCGAGGGTGGAAGCATTAAGGAGAGCAGCCAGCAGAGAGCCGTCCTGCGACAGTACGTGGAGGGAGATGGAGATGCTGCTGTGGGGGAAGAGATGGGTGTGAAGGTTCGCCGAGACGGCCTTGGCAATCGTTGCCTCGAGCTCCTGAGTTCGCCTGTCGTAACATGTAGTTTTAGCTTTCCATATCCCATCACATGTCTTTTTTTTTTCTTTCTTTCTTCATTAATTGGGAATTAGGTAAGCACCCACTTGTCGTTGCGACCGCGCTTCTTGCGATCAACAGAGCTGAAGCCGGCAACCACGAGGTTGACGTTGACAGCAGCCTCCTTGGTCTGACCGCCTGCGCCTCCGCGACGTTGGGGTTCGCTCGGTCCCGTCACGACGCACATGACCTTTGTGTGTCCCATCTCGAGGTAGCTGGAGCCGTCGGCGGCATCCTGGGTACGGATCTGGGCGTGCAGTCGTCGGAGCTCGTTCCATCTGCGGCCGTCGACGCGCAGCAGCGCCAGGGAATACGTGGAGGTATCGAGAGGCATTTTGAAATAAGTGTGAATCTCTTTTCCAATGTCGAGCAGCAATGCAGGGTCGGTACGACTAAAGACGGGTGTGCTTCAAAGAGCTGGGGTGGCTGATACCGGAAGCCAAAAAAAAAAACGGGAACGAGGCTGCGCTCAGAAACAAAACCAAAATTTTGGAAAAGCGTCAATCCACTACAAGCATGGCACTTGCCGACCCGCCCCTCTGAAAATCAAAGTGGGATGGATGGATGGATGGTGGGGCCGGGTGTTCGGTGTTGGCGCCCCGTATCGGCGCACGAGCCACTGTGAACCCCTGGAAAAGCCCAGAGAGCCCAGAGGTCCTAGAGGAGAGCAGCAGCAGGCCCGCACTGTCCCTCCCGAAATCGTGGGGAAAGCTGGCCCCTCCTCTAAGCTTTAATACTATGTAAGCGAAGAAGGGGGAGGGCCAAAAGAAGAGGGAAAAGGGTGTTTTGAAACTAAAAAGCCCGGGTTTAGCATGGATGGTGCAGGTTGCGATGCACACTACACACCCGACAGAGCTTTTACGACTGAGACGCCATTGGCGGGAAGTGTGAAAACGCGGGGTAGCGAGAGTCAATGCAGCACTTAATGTTCGGCGTCTTGCCTAACGGGACGGACCATGAAGAGGGAAGGAATTCTAGCGGGCCACGGGACCCAAGCCTGGAAGTGGTCTGATGACGGGATCTTGGTAACGAGGCGCAGAGGTGGGTGTCGTGTGTGTGCGATCTCATCGCCTTTGGCGGGAGATTTACAGTAGATCATTCGCAGCCTCACGTATTGTCACGGTAGAGGATCAGGCACAGTCGATTGGTGACACATCGTGTTTCTCGTTCCTCGTCATGCTTATATTACACACAACTTCATCACAAGCGAAGAGTACGGTCGGCTACTATGGCCGCCGTCGTGACCCAGTTCAAAGTCCGTTACCTGAATTCCAGCCTGTCCCATGCCAAACCTGTCCGAAAAGCCAATCCCAAAATTGCGAGTAAAGTGAAAAAGAAAAGAGCTCAAACGAAGACGGGATGGACTTCCGCCATCACTCCATTACGCCATAACCAAAACGCCCATGCTGGACGTGTTAAATTCGGGTGGTGGCGGCACTAGCACCAGGTTGCTGCTGGGCTGGGGCTCGTCGTCGGGGCCGTCAGTCCATCCTCTCTCGGGGCCCCATCTAATCTTGCGGTTGTTCGCCGCAGTAACATCGAGGAGTCCTCGCATCATCGCGCCCGACTTCTTAACACTGGGCCACGCATCAAAGGTGACTGTGTCTAGCCAGGGCATCTCGTTCATAACTTCGGTGAGAAGCGATTGGCAGAAGCCTTCATAGAATCCGTCTGACCGGCGGAATCCGTTGAAAACGCCGTCGCTGGGGTCACACTCAACCATGACCAAAAGACGACGGACATTCTTACATTCATGGAGCCCCAGGGCGGGTTTAACCACCCATCCTCGCGGCGGCTTATTCCAGCCGGGGCCGAGACGCAGCTCCAAAGACGTAATGTGACTGCGCGAAGTCGGTTTAAGACGAGCCAGGAGAGGCTTCTTAGTCTTGAAGAAGCGACCCGGGTGTGTTGGGAAGATTCGGAAAGAGCGGCTGCTATAGAAGTAGTGCGAGACTTCGTTGTAAACGGTTCGACAGGTCCTCTGGATGCCGAGCTTTTTGTGCAGTTTCTTATAGTTGTCCGGGTCAAGATCAATGACACTGCCGCTGCCCTCAAAGTAATAGTCGTACACCTTAAGACGGAGTTCGGATGGCAGCGACATGAACGGAAAGGGCTTCGCCTTCCGTCTAGCCTTCCTCTCGGCGAGGGTCAGGGATCCCATAGGAAGATTGTTGACTTCGCTATCCCAATCGACTTCGGAAGCGTAGGTCGACGGGTAGGCCGAACTAAGGGGCGTGGTGATAGTTGAGGAGATGGGCGTCGGGTCGTGCGACGGGCCGACCGCACGCGATATCTTTAAACGGCGAACCATGGCGATCTGTGTTTCGTGTGATTCGACTCAATGGCAATGGTCGGCTATAATTCGAATATTTCAAGGTCCCGGGGTTTTTCTAGGACAAAGTCGTGGATTTGGTTGATAGGAACGGCGGGAGTGGCGGGTGGCGGGGTACTTTGTTGCGCAAGGGGGGTATCTAGTGGCTATGTGCAGCAGAGATTTCAATAGGCGTAGGGTGCGATATTCAGGTTGAGAAGGTCGACAGATAGTCTCGAAGGACGGAAAGAATCACAGAGGGTGGTCCCATTGTGATCGTAACATCGAACTTGGGGACCACCCTCTAGAATTCACCACACGCGACAGCCATGGTGACGGTATATGTAGATAGTGTAGTGCGAGTTGGATATTGAATGGGGGAGCGGGGCGACAGAGGCCGATTCGATTGATGAGAAGAGGTCGAAAAATCCTGTTCTTCGAGATCGCAATGAAGAAATGAATAAGAGTAATTCCGAAGCGGAGACACCGGGGGGGATATGCTCAGTTTATGTGAGAGGGGAAAAGACGACGGACGACGGATGGGAAGCGAAGCACCTTATGCATGAAGGTCACTGTCACTGCAAGACACACCTCTAAACACAGAGAGAGAGACGAAGCAAGGGAATGGGCGGCGGGGACAAGGTTCGCACGTGAGCCGACGCCAGGATGGTTCTGTTTAATTGACTAAGCCTGATTAACAAGGGCCAATCAGCTGAGGCGAAGACCATGTGGAACGGCTTCTGTACCAAAAATGACCTCATTGGGGGAGACAGGGGCAGGAGTACGTAGTCAAATTGGGGACGTACTGTACTGCTTACAGTGTGACACGGTACGGCCGGAGACCGGAAGAAATTCGGCGATTAACGGGGGGGAGCTTGGGGCTAGATGGATGAATCCAATGAGAGCTCTGGATTCATCTGGAAACTCTGCTAAAGTGGGGGCCACACTCTCAGTCCACCCAATTAGTAGTCCACCAGCCAGCTGGAAGGAAGAGGACAGGGAAAAGGTACGTAACTGTGCACCGGCGCTGCCCTTGTCAGAGCAGAGCCTGAACCTGCCAAAGGTCCGTTCAGTGGTGTCTTCCTCTCAAAAAATTCTAGTGCTTTCGTCAGGAATATCCTCCAGCCCACTCCACCCAACATCCAACAACGCCCACCAGGCTCTCTTTTCCTTGCTTGGGCGCATTCCCTTTCGCGTCTTCATCCTTTTCGAATTGGAACTGCATCACTGTTGGGTCATTAATACCCCTTGTATTTTTACACACCGACTTTGGCCCTTGAAACGCCATGCTGTCGAGGGCAGCTCGGATCGCGCGCCTGCAGCCGACTGCGGCGCAGCTCTATCGCTCTGTCGCTGTCACATCACCAGCTGCGAGACCTCAGTTTGTGGCCTCATCATGGAGAAGAACTTTTGCACAGGAGAATAAGCCCAAGGGACCCGAGGCCCCTAAGCCCTTCAACAACGAGAAGCCCGCCGATTCGACACCGGAAGAAACAGCATCATCCAAGTCTTCAACCAACACATCCGAAGCCGAAGCCAAGTCAGATGCCTCCGATGCGAACGAAGCGCCTCAAGAGTTCAAGGGTCCTCTGCCCGATCTGACCCAGGGTATTCCATCAACTCTCGCCTACGAGATGTCTGGAGCAACCAACAAGGCCGCTCTCGCCGCCATTGCTGAGGAGGAGGCCGTCGCCTCAGGTGGTGGCCGTGGTCGCGGAGAGCTTCCCGATTCCGCTTACGTCTCGTCAACAGACAGGAAAAGGCAGCAGCTCGCAAACCGTATGTTCCTTGCCTTCATCGGCTTCGGCTTGAGCGGTGTCGTCTATCTCGGACGCAACTGGGACGACAAGGACGAGGAGAAGAGACATGCCGAGGACGCCCCCAATGGCTGGTCATTCGGTGCTTGGTGGAACAGAGTAAAGGCGCGAACAGGCGACTTCCTGAACTACTATCAAGAACCGGCATTCGAGAAGCTGCTTCCCGACCCCGACCCGTCTTTCGAGCGCCCCTACACTCTCTGCATCAGCTTGGAAGACTTGCTCGTCCACAGCGAATGGACCCGTGAGCATGGCTGGAGAGTCGCCAAGAGACCTGGCGTTGACTACTTCTTGCACTACCTCAGCCAGTACTACGAGCTTGTTCTTTTCACCAGTGTACCCTTCGCCATTGGCGAGCCCCTCGTGAGGAAACTTGACCCTTATCGCTTCATCATGTGGCCCCTCTACCGCGAGGCGACCAAGTACAAGGATGGAGAGTTCGTCAAGGTACGCATACCTTCCCCGCGTGCTCTTTTTTTTCCACTTCCATACTGATTACCCTTTAGGACCTTTCTTATCTCAACCGTGACCTTTCTAAGGTGATCATCATCGACACCAACGAGAAGCACGTCCAGAACCAGCCGGAGAACGCCATTGTGCTCCCCAAGTGGACAGGTGACTCCAAGGACAAGGAGCTCGTCAGCCTTATTCCCTTCCTCGAGTACATCCACACAATGCAGTATGGCGACGTCCGCAAGGTCCTCAAGTCCTTCGACGGCAAGCACATCCCTACCGAGTTCGCGCGCCGCGAGGCTATTGCGCGTGCTGAGTTCCAGAAGCAGCTCGAGGCCAAGAAGAAGAAGGCGCCCTCTGGTATGAGCCTGTTGGGCGGCATGCTTGGCCTGAAGCCTTCCAACATGAGCCTGATGGTCTCCCCTGACGGCGAGATGAACCCTCACGAGGCTCTGGCCCAGGGCAAGATGCTCCAGGACATTGCTCGTGAGCGTGGTCAGCGCAACTATGAGCTCCTCGAGAAGGAGATTCGCGAGAACGGTGAGAAGTGGCTCAAGGAGGAGGCCGCCATGCAGGAGAAGATGCAGCAGGAGGCCATGCAGAACATGATGGGCTCCTTCGGCGGCTGGTTCGTCAAGAGTGACGACCCCAACAAGAAGCAGTAAAGAGGAGCAAATAAACTCCCAAACCGAAAAAAAACGAACCAAAACAAAACCGGGCTAATCAGCACAGACTGTGCGTTCTATTACCAAGATTTCTTCTCTCCTCTTACCAAAACTACTTGTACTTGTATCATCGGGGCGGGTTTCGGCGATGGGGAGGCGCCACAACTTGCATATAGACTTGACGACGCGAGGGTCTGCGTATGTACGAATCTCTGTATACTACCCTAACTCTAGGCCACCATGGAGAAGAAGCATGGTTTGACCAGCTTGGTGTATCTATGTGAAAATATTATATTCTCCGCATGTTTGTGGTATTACTGTGGTTGAGAACGAGTGTCCATTGAGTTACGTGACTAATAACTGTACATTATACTTGATGGCAGGTTTCTTTAGGGACTGCCTTGTATCGTTTCCCCATCATAAATCATGTACGTCCAAAACTGACGTACTTCATTTGGTAGTTTGTCTAGGCCATGAAAGCATGCCTCGGCAAATTCCTTTACCTGTCTGCGACTCTTCAATGCTAATCTTCCTGGAAATAAGAACCTTCCCTCTTCTCTAAGCGAACAAGTCTGTTCAGCTGAATGAACGGGTCATACCCTTACGCGCGCACTCTTCGCAGTTTGGATTCGTAAAGCATTGAAAGAACCTGGCCTCGATATTAGTCTTAACCACCTCAGTTTACCAAAGGATCCAAACGCAGACCCTAGCACGAAATGCCATGAGCGAGTCGACTTACCGATCATAATCCTCGTCCTTGTCAAACTTTGTACAGTCGCACGTTTTCTGGCAGTACTCCCAGGACAAGTTGATGGGCGGCTTCTTACCCGCTGCAATCAACGGGTCGACTTCCTGCGCGGACCTGGAGACCTTTTGCGTGGTTGGTACAGCGAGGCCGTAGCCGGCGAGGAAGGTGAATATCGTAATGCGAAGAAGCTGCATATTGATTTTCTTCGAAGGTTCGATGTATGTAAGTGGAGCTTAGAAATGATATTTAAAACTTGGTGTACTGCTTTGAAGCTGTATTCGACCTGATGTAGTCAAAGTTGTTCATCGAGGTTGTTCTCCGCCTTTTATATATGAAGCCGATCCGAACAAGTCGCTGTCAACGTTGAACAACCTCTCACCAGCGCATCACCTGCCCAGTGTTTGCTCCTTGGCTCGCAACCCGGGCAGCGGCAGAAGCCCTCCTGGTCCAAGACCTCGTGATCGCCAACAAAAATAGTGACGACGACGGGGTGATGGTATCCCACAAAGCACACAGCCTTGCACCGACCAGTCGTTCAAAAAAAAAAAACCAGGTACGGACCGAAAACGAAATATTAAAACAAAAAACCAAAAAAAAAAAAAAAAAAAAAAAAAAAAAAAACCCACGATAGCGTTCCTGTCCTGGGCCGCGCGGCAGTGGTGGTACGGTTGCACACGACGCAGTCAAACAAACACACAACACATGGCATGAGTGACGGGCAAGGTCGCCAACGGCCAGCTAGGCGACTTATAGATGCGCGCACGCAGGAAGAACAGGACTCTTTCCCGGTATTCAGGGTAACCGGAGACCCCCCCCCAGTGGCAAGGGAGAACGCATCGTTCCTTTCCAGATAGTTCGTATCGTGTAGCCGCTTGTGCGACGGTGACGGAGACGCGTTGAACCGGATTGTATAGTGCCTTTTTTTTTTTTTCTTTCACAGTTCACTTTGGCAAATATCCGTGTTGGTATGGGCTGATATTGCAACATCTCCAGCCCATCTCTCGGCGCCGAGAAGGGGGGCTTGTATTGTAAATTACTGTGGCTCAGGGGAGGGGGGTGATCATGGGCTCTCACAAGAGTGGGTTTTAAAGAAACACATGGCTGTGCTTGGGGTAGTAGATTGAGGTGAGACCTGTCACGGTTGACAAGGCACGCGAGGTAATCTGGAAACATTTGAAGAAGGGGAATACGGTTACCCCCTTGCAACTGCTTGCGTGCGAGCCACAACACACAAGATGTCTTTATGGTTGCCTCTTTGGCGGTGAGTTGACCCTGCCGCGAATCGTATGTAACATGCAGTGGCTGACAGATGTCACCACGGCCGTAGTGAGGAACTGGAGCACAGCATGAGGGGAAACTCGGCTACCGATGACAGGGCAAGATATATATAAAGATTGCAACGGGACACGGGGGGGTTACAAAGGCAGGGACGCTCGTGAATGGAGAATTCCGGGGGTACAATGACGAATGGGCGTGGTTTGTCAACATAATATAGAACGGAATGTCATCGGTTAAAGAGACACACATGCCATAGAGTATAGCGCGGGCGCGAGCAATGCTACAAAATGAATTGCTTTACTAAGAAACTGAGACAGGCTTTGCCCTGCCGGGTATTTGTATGACACGAATGACTACGACAAAATGGCCTCACCGTTCTCTGTCGGCTTCTTAACTGCACCATTAGAAGGGACGACACCGTTCGCAGGGGTGGGCTTCCCATTCGATGTCACGGTCCCGTTCGATATCAAGGCCCCGTTCGATTTTGCGGGAGACGGCGGCTTGTTCGCCTCCAAGACGGACAGGACAATGTAGGCGATGATGCCAACGACCGCCACGAGATCCAAAATGTGGACGAGCCACCACATGTGCTGCGTTCCCAACGCGCACGTCGCATATTCAAACTTCCAACTCCACGTCTCCTCGTCAAACCAAGCGCTGAAGAGCCCGGCATTACCGCCGAAATCACCCATCATACTCCTGACTGTGATTTCTCTCAAGCCGGGGACACCAGCGGCACCGGCCACGCCATGGCCCTTGGCGTCCTTCCATTTTTGGGCCTGCCATCTCCTGTCTTCAAGGTTGCCGTCCGTCTGATTGATGTAGTGGAACGTGTCACAGCCCTCGTGATCATGGCCGTTGAGGATCACGCCTGGGCGACCCTTGCCGTTGCCAGGCGCCTCTGTGTTGCCGCTCATGCCGAATATGCCTTCGAGGAAGCCCTTGCTGGCGTCGTAGGAAAGTAAGTTCTGCTCCTTGACTCCGCCACCGTCTTCGTCGCCGTGGAAGTCAAAGAAGGGCGAGTCCACGCAAACGCCTTCCGGCTTGTGTAAAGGAATGTGTGTCAAGACAACAGTAAAGTGTCCGTTGTACTCGACTGCCGAAGATGTCTCTATGACCGAATTAATGAATGCATATGTGGCATCCTGTAAATCCGCATCTTTGGCGGGAGTGTCGAGGTTCATGTCGTTGAGAATGATTACGCGGATCTCAGGGGGCAGACGATCGGAGCTGGGATTTGCCACATCGTCCACCACAGTGGCATTGACTTTTGGGTCTTCAATAGGAAGCTCGAACCGCAGCTCGTAGTTCGCCTTGCCAAACAGACGCTCAAAACGGCCAAAACGGTCCTGGTTAATGTCACCAGCGTATCCAATGTCGTGATTGCCAGCCACGTTGATGACACGACGCGGCCACTCGGCAGAAGGCTCGCCAGACGGCGAGAGTAAGCCCGAGAGTTCATATTCCATAGAGGGGTATGCGGCGACGTCGTCTGGAACACGCTCCGTGCCTCGCATGACGCGGTCCCAGTAACGGCGGCCACGGCGCCGGAATTCTTCAATACCAATCCACTGGCTGCCCAGCAGGTCGCCAAGGACAGTGACGTGTGTAGGCCGAGTCCACCAGTGTACGGTGCGGTAGATGTGGGCAAGGTAAAAGTCGTTGCCAAACAGATCTATCCGCTTGCGAATCGACTCAAGCTCGTCAAAGACGTCCTCAAAGAAGATATCGATCAAATCGTGGAGCGACTGTCGGATACGCTGTCGCAGCGAGTTCTCGGATTGAAAGGTCACATGGGACCAGAGGCTCCTTGCATGAGCAAAGATTGGGCCATTATGTCTTCGAATCGCAGTGTCGCCCTCGAGTTGGGGATCACCGAGTGCAAGGAGACGAAACGGGGCTGGACGCGCGCTCGTCTTCCGAAGAGGGATGGATGGGGGGAGATGCGGTCGCACAGCTTCGAGAAATGCGACTTTGCTGCCGAGTTCGGCACCGCTCGAGCTGTCGCTTGGTGCAACGGGGAATGCGCAGCCGATGAAGATGGGATAGAGGTAAAGGTAAACGTTTAAGACTACCGCCAGCGGGAGTAGGAGGCGGAGGCCATGGCGGAGGAGGGCCACAAGGGACATGTGGCTGGCAGCATCGGCAGAAGTCGAAGACTCTGCGGCTGTTGTTGTGACGGTCCGCCCCTTTTCGAGGGTTTGGTGTGGTGTTGTTTTGGTAAGGTGTAAGAAAATAAGTTGGCCCTCCGTCCTATATTTCTTTAAAAGGTAGGTTGATTGACAACTGACATGCCTGGAAAAGGGGTCCAGATGGATACAGTGAGACAGGGGGAAGGATTTTACTGTGCCTGGGTTAAGCAGTGGGGGGGCCATGCAAGAACCCTGCTCGTTATTTCTTAGCGATCGCGGTCCAGACCATCGACGTCATTTGTCTTTACTGAGTGCAGCACTGCTTTTACGAACTACCAACCAGTCTTTGTCTCTTTGTCTAGGGTTTAGGCTTATGTTATGGACCCTTAATCCGTTTATGGGAGATGTGCATCTTGGTTTAGGTTCTAGCCTCTGGTTTTGAGATGCTGCTGTATGCAATGACTCTGCCAGCTGAAAGCGTTGATGGTTGAAGGTTACTCGGTGTTTGAGGCAGATCCATGATATTAGAGTTAGGGTTGAACGGACCTGGGTTGTAGAGAATTGCCCCGATTTATATGACACGGGCCTTCATTTATCTTCTCTTTCTGCAAACTATGCTCTTCTTATTTACAGGTGTCGATGCTCCCCTGTAAGACCCCTAGCACCTCGGTAGTCTAAACAAACTCAATACTTGACAAGCAATAGAGTACATGGAATGCCAAGGCAGTCGAACCCGTATATATTCTACTTTGTACCAAGAACCAAGTTATCTAATTCAACCCAATTTCGCTCTTAATCTCATAGTATATAATGTCCCATTAGAGTAATGGCCAAGATGATACAACTCCTTTGACTACCTATCCAAATGCCGACTTATAGCCTCGCGAGAGGGCCATATTTCTGCACAACTCCCAGCGATGCAGGGGTAATGTCGGCAATCGAAGTACATCCACACAGCTGCATGCATCTCTTGAACTCGCCATACATAATATCCAAAACTTTGGTGACACCTGCCTCACCGTCATACTATCCAGGATTGAAAGTCAGAGCTCTGAAGTTCGGGACTTTGTACTGTCAACTTACCGCAAGTCCCCATATCATCGGCCTTCCAATCCACACACACTGAGCACCGAGGGCCAGTGCTTTAAAAATGTCAGTACCACTACGAACACCACCGTCAATGTGAACTGGGATTCTCCCCTTCGCCGCCTTGACGCAGTGTGGGAGCACGTCGATCGTGGCTGGGGTCTCATCGAGCTGCCGACCACCGTGATTACTCACAATGATCCCGTCACACTTGTACTGGATCGCAAGTTCAACGTCCTCTTCAGTCAGTATCCCCTTGATCCAAATTTGCATCTTGGTAACGCTCCTCAGCCAAGGAATCTCCTTGGCCCACGAGTGAGCGTTGGAGTTGATGGAGTCGAAGCCGTCCTCATGAGTGGTAGCTCGGATTGTCTCCGAAGTCCTCTCAAACATGGGAAGAGAAAGCCCCTCGGGAATCCGGAACTGGTTGCGGGGCTCATTATAACGAACTCCCAGCACCGGGCTGTCAGCAGTCAAGAAGATGGCCACGCAACCTGCCTTTTCCGCGCGCCGGATAATGCGTAACTGAGCATCGCGATCTCTCATTGTGTAGAGCTGCATGACGTGCTGGATCGGTCCCGTATCGAGACCGGCTGCTCTCACTTCCTCAACAGGATAGTTGCAGAAAGAAGAGATGCCCATGTGAACATTGCGTCTCGCACATGCCTTGCTAGTTGCAAGTTCACCGTCAGGGTGTGCCATGGCCTGGACTCCGGCAGGCGAGACGCAGAGTGGAAAATCGATTTTTTGACCGAACAGAGTAATACCAGTATCAACTTCGGACACGTCCACAAGAACTCGTGGAAGAAGACGGTATTTGGAATATGCTGCGGTGTTGTCTTTAACTGTAACCTGACCCGTTGAACCGGCATCGTAGAACTCTGAGCGTCGTGTGTAACTTTTAAGTAGTGCGCTATATGATAGTCTGGAGTTCACAAGGAGGGAGCTTACCTCTTGCGCTCGAGGAGAGTTTCTTTGCAGCGGCAATTCTAACGTCCTCGACGCTTAGAATTAGGTCTTGCTCACTTCGCTCAGTCATTGCTGCTTGTTATCGACAAAATGTGAATGATGTTTGTGAGGTAGATGTATCTATCGGCAGAGCGTTGACGAGAAAGAGCGGCGATGGAAATGCTTGGGGTCAGCAGTGTCATTTGTTGGGAGATGCGGGTGCTATCCCCTTATCAAGCAGCTTATAAACCGTGCCGACTCCGATCTCGCCATAGTTACCAACACCAGTTAGTTCTTGGTCTGGGGAGAACCCTTTGGTCGAGATGCAGAAATGTAACGAGTGGCATTAGTTTATCTGCACGCCAAGCATGGAGATAGCTAGCTTGCCGCCCACTACCGAGGCGGGGGTGACTAACAGTTTGCTGGCAGATGCTACAACAGCCTGCAAGGCGGAGGCTATATTGCTGAAATACATGCATTTGGTCTCAGGGATACTAATTACAGCAGTCAGATCTGTCGTATTACCGCCAGTAAAATAGACTGGTTTCTACTGGACAATACATGCATGGCTGCAAGCGCTGCTAACGCCGACGCATTCTCCTTGATGGTATCATAACTTGAAAATGTTAAAGTTTGGTTTACATTCAATGTCGATTCGTCTATGCGGGTGTCATCTGACACATGTAGTATTTCATGTCATCGGGAGATCGCATCCGCTATGCTGTCATAAATTCTCTCGTCATCAGCCGCCAAACTTTGTGGTTGACGGTGCCATCTCGATACCTCCATTGCCGGAACGCCATGCATCTAAGCAAAGTACCAAACACAATTAGACATCAGATTCCATGCCTTCTTCCTCTTCCAGGTCATCGTCCAGGCTAGGCACATCGACGACAAATTCGGGCTCGTCGACGTCAAAGGAGAATGCAACAGCGCAACCATCACGCAGGCCCCTTCCAACAGGTGTATCATCGCTCTTGACCTTGATGTTCTTCCATCCTTGTGTCAAGTCGTTCGCGTTGACGGGTAAAGCATAGGCTAGTTGCACGTCACCATCCGGAAGGGCCGTAGTCTCGGGAGATGTGTGGCTAATAGTGAGGCCATCGGGGAATCGGTCGCGGAGAACCTCTAGCAGTGATGTCGTGATTTCAGAGAAGTTCTGCTGACTGTCGACGAACATCAAAATGGTATGCGCACCATACTTGAAGCGCAATGAGTAGAATGTATCGTCAACGTGCTGCGCAAATATTAGCAATGTGTACTTCGCCTGATTACATCTGGAGTGTGCTCAAACCATTATAACGGTTTCGAATCTTTCGAAGGTGAATATTTAATTCAATCTTTTGAATTGGTTTCCGGGACTGAATTCTTAGGTAGGATGGGAAGACTGAGTTGCTGCTGTAAGATGGGCGGTGTTGGCGGAAAGTGGCGGGGAGAATTTCAGGCGGCTATGGCTACGGCAGGCGCGAGCTCAGTGGAAGGTAAAGGCAAGCGCGGGGCACTTTAAGATGCGAAGTCATGTGATCACGTGTTAATGGCCTTCCCGCAGGTCCTTCCCCGATTAGTCCCTGGTCCAAGCTCCCTTCCCGACAGAGGCCGATTTCTTCTGTGCTGAAGCAATCGGAGCTTTCTTTGAGCCGTCACTACCGACTTGATCGAAACAAACCTCAAAATTCAGAGCAGAAAAGGACACTAGGTGTTTGGGCCGTTTACCGATTGTCGATTCGTCATAACATAACACACTGCCGAACCTCCATTCGCGATCACACATCACTATGGCCGAACGCAGATCAACCATGGCTGAACACTTCAGCCAGAAGCCGTCCGAGTCCCGTCTCTCCATTCCGACACCTGCACGTATTCCTCTCGCTGGCTTGGTTGGTTTCGGTATTGGAACGACATTGGGCATTGCTCAAGGAGGCCAGACCGCACAGCTACGTTTCCGTGCCGAGCACGCGCACAAGATGCCCACTACCACCACGGGCTGGTACCTCTATCATAAGAGCAAGAACTATCACACCATGTACGGCGGTCTCCGCGAGGGCCTGCGTATGGGTGCTCGACTCAGTTTCTGGACCCTGATGGCGTTTGGTCTTGAGAGCACTGTAGATAGATACCGAGGGAGCACAGATCTTCTCAGCACCGTTCTGGCCAGTTTAACTGTAGCTGGTAGCTTCAGTCTCGTGAGTAAGTCACGCCAATCTTGTCTCTCATTTCCTATACATTTCCGCTAATACAACCACCTCTTCAGATCGTTTCTCTCTACCAACTGCTGCGCGCACGGCGAGATACGGATTACTCTTCGGGCTGGTATACGGCGGGTTGCAAGACGCCGTCGGACTTGCTCGCGGCCGGCCCGTCGGGTATGTTGAGTTCGTTCGCAAACGCTTCGGTTCTGGGATGAAGGCCCAAGTAGAAGAAACACAGCAAGCCTAGGCCGAGTCTTTCTTGAACAGTATGAGGTTTCCGTTAAAGACCGCCAATGTGGGCCTCACCTCTCCCGGCAAGTATAAACCGCTGCAGCCATGGGCTGAGATCAGTCGATGGCGCATGCGTTGGGTCAAAAACGAGGAAACTTGCAACTAACTGAATACACATCCTCCGGTCCAAGGTGCCCCAGCCGGCTTGCACGGTAGCAAGGTCTGAATTGCAGCGCCAGCGAGGCCTGCCTGCAAGAACATGCGTCTAGCGCTTACCTGAAGTGGATGCAATGCTGCGACGCTTACCCACCGGCTAGCGAGGATCACGCCTACTAGTAGAGATCCAGCGCTACAAAGCCGTCATCGGCAGCGCTTATCTTCTATGGCATCTATCTTCAGTCAAGCCATTGTGCCCCACAGCCATCGTGCCACGCATGATCATCTTCAGCTCGTCTCACACATTCCACATTGCAACACAAGGTCGGTACGCTTCTGGTCGACATGGCGAACCACATTGACTGCTCCACCACAACAACCAGCGCCTTCACATCATCGCAACTCTGTGAGGCTTGCTCCGTCATATGCTTCAACGACAAGGAGCTTCTAGCAGGTTACGCAAGGCAAGCTGACGATGGGTCAACTTACTTGGACGTTCGACGTCAACAAAGCTCAGAGTCCGTATCGCGTCCCGCCGTCGCCGAGTCTGAGCTTTGGCTCAAGTATAAAGCCCACGATACACTGCCCGACCTGCCGCACTTGAGGAGTAATGCAGACAGCGGTTGCCAGTTTTGCCGCCTGATGCGGGAACAGATTATACGTGCCAACTTCCAGCGTAAGGGTCCTATCGAGATTAGCCTTTTTTATAGTTGGGGATTTGCCAGGTTCGGTGGCCTTGGTTTGGCGGCTCTCGTTGCGAGACTTGACTGGCCAGATATGACTTGGGAAGACATCCAACAGTCTAGCATCGTCTTTACGGTAGAGACAGACTGCGGTATGTGTAGATCCATAATTGGGAAAACAGACAAAGGGATATCTGAATTGACCAGGCACGCCCGTGAAATTAGAAGCTGTTCGTTCATGGCTCAAAACCCCGTTCGCGCGTCAACCACAAGTGCTATCCGATGCCAATGTCCACTTCATCAAAAATGTATTGCAGAGTTGCGAGGCAGAATGCCACCACCTCAAGTTCACGGAACACACCCCAACCAGGCTTTTAGACCTGCAAGCAAGCTTAGATGACCCAGCAGCTATTCGTCTCGTCGACCAGGCAGATCTTCCCAGCCGGCCCGGAGACGACAAGGTACCCTGTTATGTCGCGCTCAGCTACTGCTGGGGCTCACCTGAAGATGCAGCAAATCAACTCCGAACGACGACAGCTACCTTGGCCTCACGTAAGACTGGTATACCAGAGGCTCTGATGACACAGTCCGTACGAGACGCCGTTAGAGTTTGCAGGTCGCTGTCGATACGTTACCTATGGATAGATGCTCTATGCATCATCCAAGACGATGCCGCAGACTGGCAACGGGAGAGCGCGTCCATGGCTTTTATATACAACAATGCCTATTGTACCATAGTCGCTGCGTCAACAAGTTCCTGCCATCAGTCTTTTCTTGAAAGGCGATTCGACATGATGACTGTTCCCTTCGTTTCACGCATCAATCCCGAGTCGGCGGGTCATTACGGCTTGTATGCTTCTGGGTACGGAGCAGGGGGCGCGTTCGCATGGCCTACACTAGATTTCGACAAGAATTGCAAATGGTTACACCGAGGATGGACGTACCAGGAAAGAAAAATGTCTCGTCGGTCCATATTCTTCGGGAGGAATATGATACATTTCGAGTGCAGTTCCATGTCAGTCGCAGAAAACCAGGAGCCGGATTCTCGCCGTGCTTTATCTCGCCCATCGGCCTTGGGCGAACTTATAAAACATCAGGATCCCAATTCCGTGTACAAACAATGGGATATGATAATTACGAGCCTGAATCTCAAGGAATTCACCTTTGTGCATGACAAGTTACCTTCCGTGTCAGGCATTGCAAAATTGTTTGCCGGACTTGCCGGCGGCGATAGGTATGTTGCAGGGCTGTGGCAGCAAGATTTGCCTTTTGGTTTATTGTGGTTTTCCCGCTGCGCAGTTATCCCACGCTTTAACATCAGCCTGCGCCAGCTTACAAACCGGCTGAGGCACCCTACGCCATACATCGTGCCCTCGTGGAGCCCTGCGTACATAAGCGATACTCAAATTAGTCGTTCCCTACTTGGCCACAGGATCGAGCGGCAAGAGTTCAGACCGCGATGTTCCGTTATCGAAGCACAAGTTACCGTTAACGGCGAGAATGCCTACGGACAAGTACAAGACGGAGTCCTCAAGGTGCGAGGGAGGTTTGGTAGGATTCCGTCGGACTTTTTCCTCTTGTCCTGCGCGCACTCCATGGTTGAAGTACGGTACCTTGTGGACTCTGGCCGTCTGGTCGCGTACTGTAGCCCGGATTGCTGGTCCGAGGAAGAGGTGTGGCCGCGAGACGAAGTGGCATTGCTGGTTCTTGGAAGCTCCGACGCTTTGGGATCATTTCTGGCAGCATCCCATAGCCGGAGAGATAACGAGAGCTGGGGACGTTGGCATTGTAATGCCGCTACGTATGGTTGGTATGGCTACAAAACTATTGTATCAAGTCCGACGCGAGATGCAACTAGACTGGTACAGGAGCACGGAGTACGGGAAGAAACCGACGCAAAGGCCGCAGGCGCCGCATTGTCGAACAAAATGGAGGTACCCAACGAAGACGACAAAGGGAAATCTACATGGGGCCCCAGCGGCGAGTCTGATACTAAGGAGATGAAGAGTGGTACCCAGCCTCCTCCAACATTAGAGTTCTCAAAGTTAGACATGATCGCTAACGGTAGCGACGACACAACTCGAGGGGAGGCAGAAAACGGAGTTACCTCTGACGGGAAGGACGCAGAAAACGCCACCACCGAACAAAAGATTGACCAAGAAGATCTGGACGAGCAAGTTATATTCACCAACTCGGACTCGGAGAAGCCGTCGAAACATGAGTTTTCCAGCACAATCACAACCGAGTCATATTGTCCGACATTTAACTACTTTGACAGAATCGGCAACGGCTGGTACGAGGACAACGAAGACGCGTGGGGGCTTCTTCTCGCACCCGCCGCGCAAGAGGGCAAATGGATCCGGGTGGGAGCGTGGTGGTCCGTCGTCGGCGACGGAGGGGGTACCAGGTACTTTGACAAGTTTGACGTGCAAGAAGTCGACATTATCTGACGGGGCATGGGGGGACACGGAAGGGTCCGGCGGTCAGCGCCAAGTCGCCGTGTTGGTGAACCTGTTGCGGTTCGGGTACATGGGATGAACGCCGTGTAGTACTTACAGACAATTACACAGTCTCACTGTTCTGCAAAAGCTATAGCCACAAAAAACGCTGCCAGTTCCTTGCCTCACCTTGGCAATTCAACCAGGATGATAGCACCTGACCTTCTCACCACGTGAACTCCTCCCCCCCCCCCCCCCCCCAGGGTCGCATCGCCATCTGGTTGCGGCCCCGATCCCATCACCTCTCTCACCTGGACAAATACACGTACCATCCCTATGATTGGACAATTGGAACCAATGAGCAGCGACGCGATCCAGGGTCCCCGTCCGATCCGATCGAACGCCTCCGCATGCGGTTTCCATCGGCTCCCCCTCCTGCCCCATTCCAATGACACAAACCATGTCCACGTGAGATGTCAGCGAGCCAAAGATAAGAAGAATGAACAACGAGACGCACACGGTGGCTAGGCCTATTTTGTAGGACTATCTAGCCCCCCTCGTAGGAATACATCATGCATCACTCACTCACTCATCCTCCCTGTCCTTTGATAACGGCTCGATTGCATCAGGAAGGTTTACGGATGAAAGGGGGGGTCGGGCATATCGGCCTGTGGACGCCGAGAGATAAAGAGAGGTAGCTTGTTTAGTTCTGATTGTCGAGTATAATAATCGTTCGATCCATTGCGCCAGTAGTGAATCTTGTCTTTACATATTTTTGTTTAAAATTACGCTGTCTAGATAGCTCAAGCTTCTATCTCGTCGTCATCACTCCAGATATAGGGACTGTGCCACATTATTCCCCCCGCATATCAGTGTCTCAAAGTGTTTTACCCCCCCTATTCTCCGGGACCAACAGACTGCATGGCTAGACTTCTGCACAGCCTGTATCTGCCTGGTGCAGAAAGGTCAATTGTAATCTATGCACAAGCGCGCGTCGTAGTAGTAGGCAGCGGGGCATTCGGCGTCGACATCCCGCCGGTACCTTTCGCAGCTTCATCAGGCAAATTACACCGTCGCAGATACCAAACATCAGCCATGGCAACACGGAGAAATATCCATTCGTCAAAGAAGAGGTCCTCTTTGACGAATGAGCAGGTCATGGTAGAAGGCGCTACGCCAACTACACTTGAACGCCCGACACCAACATCACCATCAACTTCATCATCATCATCATTATCAACACCACCGCCAACACCTCTCGCAGTCTTGCCATTGCATATGATAATCCGCTCTCTGCTAACCACCACCGTCTCATCGTCGCCTGTTTTGCTCCCGCCCTCGTTATGGATCATGTCGATCCTCGCTCACACGACGAATCCAATTCTCAACCCCGATAGAAACCCGATATTGCGGTTCTTTTTGAAACACACGTTTTACGCCCAGTTTTGCGCGGGAGAGAACCAGCTAGAGGTCCGAAAGACCATTTCCACTCTCAAGGACATCGGGTTCACAGGTGTCATTCTGGGCTACGCGAAGGAGGTCGTCCTCGATGATGAACAGACCAGAGACCTGGCATCATGTGGCGAGGGCAAGGAAGCGGAAGAGTGCATCCGTAACGAAATCATCCCTTGGGCGGAGGGGACGATGGAGACGGTTAAATTGGCGCAGCCGGGTGACTTTGTCGCTCTCAAGTAAGTTCGTCTATTTCATCAGTCGGTTCTTATTCCGTTTTTTTTTTTAACTTTTTAACTTTTCTATAGATTCACAGGCGCAGGCCGCCAGGCGCTCTACTCCCTCTCGGAGCGCCTCCCTCCCTCGGCAGCACTGGCCGAGGCTATTGACTCCATCTGCTCCCTTGCCGCCGAGCGCGGCGTCCGTCTGCTCTTCGACGCTGAACAGGCCGCCCTTCAGCCCGGCATCGATGACTGGACTGTCGACTACATGCGCTCGTACAACACTAGTCCCGACAACGCTGTCATCTACGGCACATACCAGGCATACCTCAAATCCACCCCGCAGACCCTGCAGCGTCATCTCAACATTGCTAGAACCGAGGGTTTTACCCTAGGCGTGAAGCTAGTGCGTGGTGCGTACATTGGGTCTGACCCCAGGCACTTAATCCACGACACCAAGACCGACACCGACACCGCTTATGACGGCATTGCAGAGAGCCTGCTGAGACGACGGTGGGGCGATGTGTTGAAAGGCGACTCGCAGATGCCGCCCGTCAGCATGGTTTTGGCATCGCACAACGCCGAGTCCGTCAGGAAGGCGCGTGCACTTTGCGAGACTGGCGAGGCAAAGATTCAGGTCGCATTTGCACAGCTCCAGGGCATGGCGGACGAGGTAAGCTGCGAATTGGTGGCGTTCAAGAAGACAGAAGACGAAGACAGGAAGACGAGGTCGGTGAGCGCGTATAAATATCTCGTCTGGGGGTCGACGGGTGAATGTATGAAGTATCTCTTGAGGAGGGCGCACGAAAACCGGGATGCCGTGCAAAGAACGCGAAGTGGGCGGGATGCGATGTGGAGCGAGCTTGTAAGGAGGGCCAAAGGCTTTATCGGGGTGTCTGCTTGAGGGGTCCTCTGTTTGATCTTTTCACCCCGCGGAGTTGGCGTCTAGAGCGATTTAGATATGATTTGGTAAGACGACAATGATGTTAGCTTACGAGTTCCCGACGGTGTCAGCATAGGATCGTCGTGATCACACAGAGGCATGCGACAGGGTGTCGGTAGCATAATTACGCCGTGCGCAAGGCCATGGCACCCAGAACAAGAGTCTCGAGTTGTTCCTTGCGCTCTGCTTCGTCCTTGATGGCATCCAGCCACGGCAGGCCATTCAGCTTGTAGTACTTGCGCACCTTGGCCCAGTCGGTGGAGGTGGCAATGGATTCGTCCGTGAAGGGCACGGGAGTACCCTGGAAGTTCTCATTGAGATGTTTCTCGACATCCTCGGCGAGGAGTGACTTGGAACCGGCGGGAGAGGGGGACACGATCTTGACGGCGATGACGTCTTTGCTCGACGGGCTGATACCGTAGCGGCGGTATGCTTCTGCGATCTGTGCAGAGTTAGAGAGACCATTAAGGCGTGTCAAGGGGGGATAGTACATTGTTGGCAGAGCTGAGAGAGGCAACAAGCTCGGAGTGGACGTTTGGGGTCTTGAGACTACCATCCACCTTTGCGGTCACAGCCTTGAAGGCGGCAGCGAGGATGTGAGTTCGAGAAACAGCCTGAAGGATGTGGGTGTCAGTGGCGTCGAGCTGGTCTCTCTGTTTCCAGAAGGGATATTGCCTACCACAGAAGCATCGATTAAAGCATACTCGAACTCTGCATTACGAGCCAATAGCTGCGAGTGAAGGAACCCAGCATTCTGAATGTCCTTGAAGAAGGCGATGTGAACGGTATGATCAGCAGGCACGTGATCGATGGGGATGGTTTCAATGATGGACATGATGGCGGATCGGCGACAAGGTGACGTGGAGAATGAACGGAGGGAAGGTACAGGTAGAGTATGGAGAGGTACAGGATTCGCTGAACGGAGGATCGAAAACTTGGTGGTGGACGTTGCGGACAAGACTATCGCGGGGTAAAAAAAAGGAAAAAGAAATAAAAAAAAAGATGAAATAAAATAGACTCGAATTCCACAGGAACGTCCCATGTGTTCCCTGCCAGTATGCCAAATCGTTATCGGCGATAAGCTTGGAGGGGCACATTTGGCGGGGTTCGTAACCACGTCACGCACGTCAGATAGCGCTCACGGTCCCACTTTTCCCGATAGCACTCCCTTAGAGTTCTCGCCGTAGTGAGGTTGTGTTGGAGGGAGCTATAGGTGCCTCTGGTGCCATACGGTAAAGACAAAGTAAAACGTATGTAAAGCAGGCATATAATTAGTATAATGCCTCAAGGTAGTTAGACCACGGGTTAAAGAGGGCCCTGGTCGATAAACCTTGAAGATGATTCATAAGCTTCATCCGCCTGTCCAGTCATGTGTAAGTATAAGTATGCATATGCGTATGTGTATTTGTACGTGCGATTGACATAGTCTTGGATATGATTTGGGAGGGGGCAAAAAAAGGATTCCGCGGACTTTCTCAATCCAACATCCAATAACCAAGTCGTCCTTGCATATTATTCACTTTCTTAAGGTCTGACTATCTTTTTCTCCCAGAGTTTATCTTATGGGTCGAGGCTTGTATAGTCTTCTAGCTCGAGTCTGTAGTCGATTATTTGAAATCCTACGTCGTCGCAATATAGTTCCCGAACTCGTTTCCATGAGAAGCTCTCATGTCAGCGACCTTATCCGATATTGCTTTTAAGTTCAACGGCCGTACAACAACCAATCATCCAAATGCCTGGTCCGGCTATTGGGCGGCTGAATTTCCTCGGCAGTGTCCCCGGCCGGCGCGTCGCCTCAACTCAACTGGGAGAATGAAACGTTGGCATCAAATCAGGCGATCCATAGGGCAACGTTCAGATGAATCAACCTTTCAGAAAGTTTATGAGGTGGCCGACAGCCTTAGAATTACGCGGCACCCGGGGATGAGCCGAATCCGTGTTTCTGATGTTGGATAGGTGGTTTCTCCCCCTCTATTGAGCCTCCAATCATATAGAGATCCGGTCGTCGTATATCCGCCTCTTTACCATGGCAAAAGCTTCCACTAAGTAAAGCTACACACAGACTGAAATCCCTTGGATCACGACAAACCTGCCTATCATCATGTTTCGATTTGGGTCGCGTGTACAGGGCAAGCAGCTCGGCTAATGGTGTTGACAAGTGTACCGCCCTCCTTTTGGTAGTGATATGACTCGGGAAAAGACGAACCTCCTCAAAGGGGCGCAACGGGAATATGTCGTTGGTGTTAGATAAACGATATTAGTTTGATGCAATACACCTGGGGTTCATTGAGCAAAGAGTGATTCATGTTGTTGATTGAGTGATTCTACCCATTCCGGTTGAAGCGGGGTTCTGTTTTGTATCTACCCGTTCTTCCCGGTTTCAGCATATTGCAAGAATGCAACTAAGCTAGATTTCCTAGCATTTTATCCGGACGCAGGCGTCAATCTAACACACCCCCCCAGTTGAGGCCGCTTAGGCAGAGACTGATCCGCTGGGTTACTTAGTTTTCCAGTTTTTCCATTTCACCTAGAAGTTCCATTTCTCCCAGTGTGGGCAGCTTTCTCTTCTCTAGGTGGTTGGAGATGTCCACTAGGCCGATTTGTTTGATAAACGTCTTGAATGGCGTATGGCTCATCGGTTTAGTCAGTCCGTCTGCAACCATATCTGCAGTAGGTCTGTATTCCACTTTGATTCTATTCAATTGAGCTTCCTGTCTCAACCAGTGGTTGTGTATATCAACGTGTCGGAGTTTTGTCTGCAACTTGGTGATGTCCTTGTTGATCAGTTGTATTGTCTGGATGTTATCGCATTGTATTCGTATCCGTGATTCATCCAATTGAAGTCCAAGTTCCTTAAGTAGTCGCGATACGAATATAGCTTCTTTGGCTGCCTGAGCAAGAGCAAGTAGCTCAGCTTCTGTTGTTGAAGTAGTAACGGTTGCTTGCTTATTAGCTCTCCAACCGATAGTGCCTCCAAACAATCGCATTACATAGGCTTGGGAACTCTTGCGGTCCTCTGTATTGTCTGCAAACGAGGCATCGCTTGCTACGAAGAACTCATCGTCTCCGCCGAATTGCAAGGCAAGCGATTTGGTTTTCTTCAGATAAAGCAGAACCTGGTCTGCTGCTTTGTGGTGTTCTGGACCTGGGTTTGCGTTGAACCTGGCTAGTTTTGATGCTGCGAAAGCTATGTCAGGTCTAGTAATAACGGCAGCATATAGAATTGATCCAATCTTGCGTTGGTATCGCCTTATAGACGCTATGCTAGCTTGTTTTTCATACGGTCTTAGCTCTTCGCGTCTCATGGGAATGTCATGTCGCTGATCTCTATCTTCAGATAGGTTAGCAATCTTGTCAATATAGTCTGACTGTGATAGCCAGATAAGTTTCTTGTCTCGGTCTCGAATGATTTCGATTCCAAGGAACCACTGTAGTGGTTTTCCCCCCGTTAATTTATATCGTCTCTGTAACTTTCCTGTTACTTCTTTGATTTCATTCTCTTTCTTCCTTTCATATGCCAGGACTATATCATCCACATAGAAGAAGATAATGATAGCTCCTTTGATTATGCAGCAGGGCTCATGTAGAACGGTTTCAAACCCGAGGTCTTTCAGCGTAGCCATAAGGTCCTTTTGCCACAGGAGTGGTGACTCTCTTAGGCCATACAACGCTTTCTGGAGCATCAGGATGATTCCTGGTTTCCGATAGCCTGGAGGCATGCGCATGAATATGTCCTTGTCTAGCTTTGCGTTTACAAACGCGTTAACGGCATCATACTGGATTAGTTCGAGGTCGAAACGTGCAGCAACCGCCATCAGTGTCCGGAAAGACCGTCCTGCTAGTGTTGCGGCATAGGTTTCTTCATGTATTGACTTGATTTGCTGGTCTCCTCTGACTACGAGGCGTGCTTTGCCCTTTTGAAACCGTCCATGCTTGTCGAATTTATATACGTATACCTATATACAGTCTAGGACCTGACAGTCCTTCGCACGGGTGTCTTTTCGACTTATTTCAATCTAAGATTTCATCTCGGCGTGACTGCGTAGATGTTGTTATTCCGCCGTCTCGAATAGCGTACCCATGGGGTGGTTTCTAAGATCAGCATGGCTTCGCGGTAACGGAGGCATCTGCCGCCTGTGTAGGCAACTTGGATTCTTTAACAGTCGTTGAAGCTTTGCTTTGTCGATCTGCTTTCCTTCAAAGATGCCCACCGGCGTGGCCTGTCGTCCAGCCGCAAACGCTGCCTTCCATGCTTCAAAGACATCATATAAACTTTCACCTTTCTGAGCATTTGCTTGTAGGAATTCCGAATCATCCCGAATCGTCATAGCTAGAAGTGCTGTCGGTGGAAGAGACACAGGGGATGGGTACGGACGACTCTGGGCATCAGAATTCTTGGCTTGGTCATCGGTGCCGGCTTCTGCCTGGTCTCCCGTGCCGCCTTCTGGTTTCCCCAGGTCGACTTCCGCGTCCCCGGTTTGTCCAGAGCCTTCGTCGGTACCAGCTGGTTGATCAGACTCAGCCTCCAACTGTTCAGCTCCTGTATCTCTTTCTACTTCATGGAGAACGGCATCTTCCCAACTGAGCTGGGTTCCGACGTCCTCGTCTTCTCCATAAAGGCCCTCCCAATTTGTTTGGGGTATAAAGGCACCGGTATGGTCTTCTTCTGCTATCATATTTCGGTCTATTTCTGGTTCCTCAACCTGGTTAAGTAAATTGATTAGCTCTTGCTGTCCGACGTGAAGGAGGTCATCTCTTAATTAGTTCAAGTTTCCGTTAAATAATTCGTCTTCGTTAAAAATAACGTCTCTTGCTCCGACGACTCTTCTAGTCTGAGGGTTCCATATTCGATAAATGTTTGTTGACTGGTACCCCACAAGAAAACCGATCCATGCTCTTGGGTTCAACTTTTGCCTTTTCTTCCGTTGTAATTAAGCATCCGTCGTCATAGCATATGCCTTACATCCATAGACACGTAGGTGTGCTTGGTATGGCTTTCGGTCTTAGACCGCAACCCCGTCTCTATACGCTAGGGCGGTGTAAAATCTATCGTACGGTATTCGCCAGCTATACATATGCTTTAGCGTCCGGTTATACAGATATACAGCTGCACGGTAAATCTCGACCCACAGATGCTCTAGCAGCCGAGCTCCTATCCTTATAGCCCGCGCTTTCGCCTTGATAATTCTCCCTGACACCTCAGCTCCTCCGTTCTGTGCTGGGGTGTTCGGAGCTGATGCTTCGACTCTGATATGTTGGGAGTGAAGTAATACAGATACAACTCCTCCCGTCACGATTTCATTATCGCATTCGATAATCTTTGGTTTGATTTGGTATTGTCGTTCGAGTATGCCGGTTATGTTTTTCAATACGGTACTGATCGTTCCTATTCTTCTTTCCGCAAGGTAGTAGTCCCAAATCATTCCCGACCAGCGGTCCGTGATTAGCATTACGCTACTTCTGCCTATAGGGTCTTTTAGAAGGTCATGAAAGTCGATTGCTAATCGCTCACCCGGGCCGTAGCCTACGTTCCGTGGTTGACGGCTTATTTGACGCTTCATCTTGGAAAGTGCGCATCCATCACATTCCACCGTGGTTAGTCCTTTTATCCGGACCCCTTGTGAGGTATTAACTAGATGTTCCAGAGCCTGAGGTCCTGGGTGTCTAAGTCGAAGATGCCACCTCCTTGCGTCTGCTTTCATAGCACCTTTCTTTGTCCAGGAGTTCAATTTGTGTCTTCGAGTAACGAATGCAGTATTCGGCGTGTTAGGAGGTATATCTTCGATGACGAATTGGTCATATCGGTCTATAACCTTGCATACGATTGAGTTATCGAATAACCTTATGTAGTTAGAACGAAGACGATTGTCCCACCAATATCCGCGTTTTCTTAATTGTCTAAGGGATACCAGATTGCAAGGGAAATTTCCACATAGTACGACATCGTTCAGTTGGATTATTCTTGGTCCTCTCGGTCCCTGGGTTTGTATGTTCACATTCCCGTATCCTTGGATAGGAATTCTGCTTTCTCCAGCAAGGATGAAATCCCCAGCCTCCGATCGACGGAAGTTGTTAAACCGGTTGAAGTTATTAAAGATATATATTGTTAACCCTGAGTCAAGAAGAGCCGAATTCTTCAATTGGATTATTCTTGGTCCTCTCGGTCCCTGGGTTTGTATGTTTACATTCCCGTATCCTTGGATAGGAATTCTGCTTTCTCTAGCAAGGATAAAATCCCCAGCCTCCGATCGACGGAAGTTGTTAAACCGGTTGAAGTTATTAAAGATATGTATTGTTAACCCTGAGTCAAGAAGAGCCGAATTCTTCAATGGGTAGTATGTAGTGCAGGACATCGAATTAAACGCAGAGACAACGAAGCTAGCTGTGCACTCTCCAATACTTCGTCCTAGTCAATCGGTAGCTTCAACGTGTTTAACTTTCTTAATGCGGTTGATTTCATCCTTGAGAGATGCATCGTTCTTAAGTCGATGTTCAACCGCATCACGGATTAATTTCCTACCCTTAAAGTAGTCTAGTGCATCGTTGGAAAACACATAGTAGCAGTTTTCTAGAGCGTGATTGCCATCACAGGCTTTACACACTATATTAGTGCTCCGTGTAGTGACTATGCGTTTTCGCTTTCGGCTATTAACTTAGTCTTGACTAGGTTGGCTCCCTTCTTCGTTATGCATTTCAGCCTCCGTCCAAGATGTATTATCGCGGTCTACGGCAAAGGTTAGGCCAAATACGCCTTTGGTTATTTGGGAACCTTTCTCTCGCGAGCTAAGAAGATCTCGACGTTCTGCTTCCTTCCTAAGGTCTTTTACAACCTCTCCGATCGTCAATGATTTTTCCTCAAGTTTGTTTTTGTAGATTCCAGCATATATAGCTGCCCAACTTCCCAGAATTGGTTAGATAGCCTTGGTCAAATCGTCGAACCAAATATTAGGGTCTTCCACGCCTCCGGTTTTCCTCACGAGCACATGGTTTGCCGCCATTTCCCAGGAAGTGATCCATCCAGCGAAGTCTTTAGGTACCCTAGTCAATGTTGTTATAGCTGCCTGGTACTTTCGACGAGCCGCAGCTTGTTGTTCTCTTTCAGTAGCGCCTACACTCGTCTGTAGGTTGGAGTACCATGTCCTCAAATCCCATATAGCGCGGCAAGAGCTCTAGCGTAAGCCATAGTCAACCGTATCAATAACCCAAGCCTTAAGCTTCTCAGAATTTGCTTCTTGCTCTTTGTATTCCTTGTAGTCTTGTTCGTAAACCCTCTATTCGAACGTAAAGGAGGCTTTGTCGTCCGTAGTAAGTTCGGATAGATTTCGAGCATGGAGGTGTGGGTTAGTTGACTCAGTTGCTGAGGGTAGGGAGTCGCCCGCAGATGACTGGCTAACTGTCTGACTCGATTGGCCACTGTGGCGGGTCTGTCTCCCCTGTTGGGATAGTTGCTCCGGGTCGGTAGCTCGAGTAATCTTTCGATTATAGGATTCAACTGTCGGTCTCGCAGGTTTTTCCATTAAAGCTCCATCATTTTCAGGATTGATGTAATCCCATAAATGCAAGCCTATAGCTTTTGTTTGGAATTCTTCGTCCCAACGGCCCCAGTCTTCAAAGGTCCGTAGTAGTACCTTCTTAGATGAGGTATTGCCACTCGACATCGTATCTTTCCATGCGCGTAACTGGCTCTCGAGCGATATGAGACTCTTAATTGTTAGATAAACGATATTAGTTTGATGCAATACACCTGGGGTTCATTGAGCAAAGAGTGATTCATGTTGTTGATTGAGTGATTCTACCCATTCCGGTTGAAGCGGGGTTCTGTTTTGTATCTACCCGTTCTTCCCGGTTTCAGCATATTGCAAGAATGCAACTAAGCTAGATTTCCTAGCATTTTATCCGGACGCAGGCGTCAATCTAACAGTTGGATGACCACCCCCCTTGTTTAAACTATACGGTTATACTCTATCCGGCGGTATACAGAGGGTGGGAATCGGATTTCCCGCGCACTAGTGGCCAACCTAATGGGATTCCCTTGGGGGGTCTAGGACGTACGACAAAAGAGACAATAAAATGGCCGTTCGCGGCTTGGATGATTGACGCTAATAAAGACTTTGAGGGCTCGACCGCGCAATACTGTCCATTCAGAATGCCATGTCTCTATTGATAAGAGGCCTGTTGCTTGCAACCGATGGCAACTTAACCTTAAGCTAGAACCTTGGAAGTATTGAAGTTTTTCTTCCTCCATTGTCAGTGGTTGTCTTTGTCGTTTTTGGTCGAGGGACACCTTTTAATTGCCCCCCCTTTCGATCACTAGCCTCATCCAAATGGAATGATGTGGCCGCCCATCTCTTGAATCTAGGGAGAAACATTCAGGCGCAGTACAGATCGGCACCTGGTGGTCTGCCATTCCCGTCATTTTGCCAAGGTACCAAAGTGTGAATGAGATTCTTTTACTTTTGCTACCTGGTTCAAATGGTAAATTGAATCGCCTGAGATCAAAGGTTTGATGCTTCGCCATCAACCACCCATCAACAAGTTGTCTTGTTTTTTTTTTTTTCCCTTTCCTCCACACCACCCTTGTCAAAAGTTCGGCCGGTTCGATCGGAGTAGTCAACTCACCTTATGGTACCTGTAGTCTAGGGGGATATCTAATGTCTTGGTGTGTCGTGTACCTTGGGTACGTGTAAGGATCAAGCCATGTTCAAGTCCGCGGCCTCGATATCAATACTCTCCATCATCTCTTCCATCATCGACTTGCATACTGAGATTTCTTCCCCCTTTTTTCTTTTTCCCTCTTTCACATAACAGCCTCCCTCCCCGCCTTTTTCACTGAGATTTACATTCTTGTAAATTAAAAATTAAAAAATCACCAGCCAGCGCCACTCATTCTCGCCCATAAAATTAACGCCTCCTAAAGACAAGGTTCAGCGGCTCCAGACCTTCTAGACTTGGTCTTGGTCTCAGCCAAGTTCCGGTCCTTGGCCCGCTGGAATCTGGCACCCGCCCGCCCGCATCCCGACAGGCTGGAACTCCACTGGCGCGCTGTTGGGCGTCCCTGGCGCGTGTAACTTGGGTGGACCCAATTACTGTGTCAGCCGTCACCCACAGGGCTGCCCCAGACGATTTACAGCCCATACTCCCACACTCCCCTGCCACCGGGTGATCCCCCCCCCCGTCACTGTCGCCTGTCTTCCCACCCTTGACATAACCCAGCACTTTGAGCTCCCCTAAAAAAAACACGGAAACCTCCATCTCCAACGGAAAGCCCCGTCGCGACACTACCAAGCTTGCGTCCGCGACCGCGTCTCCGATTGCGCCAGGACCTTGGTTTTTATTTTTATTTTTATGGTGCCTTGTACGGTTGGCAAGGTCTTCAAGACGTCCTCCTGTATTTCCTCCAAGATCATGCCCGGTCGCCCAGTCAAGCGACCGGCGGATGCTGGCGACAATGGTACAACTGATGGCGACACTCCCCCTTCTGCTCCCAAGGTGAAGCTGCCACGACTCGAAAAGGGTGGTCAGGAGGACTTTTCGTCTGTTGTAAAGAACCGGCTGTCTTCTTACACAAGGACAGGCCAGGCCTGTGATAGATGTAAAGTGAGTTCATCTCTCCTTGAGTCCTGGTTGTTATGCGACTCGCCGATGAATGCTGACAAGTGGCAAAAGGTTAGGAAAATCCGATGCGATGCCCTCCCCGAAGGATGCTCCCACTGCATTAATCAGAACCTCGATTGCTTCGTTACCGATCGTGTCACTGGCCGAACCGAGAGACGCGGATACCTGCAAGAAGTCGAGAGGGAAAAGACGGATATGCTGAACCACTTGCGCGATCTGGAGAAGCTGCTCGAAAGCAATGGCATCGAGGTAAAGCCATGGAACTGGTCGCCCTATGGCATGTCCGACCCTCATCCCGGCGTCACCTATGACCACATGGGTAACGCAATCGAGGACCCAGCCGAGAAGGATGCTTGGACAAAGGTCGGCTCTGTCTGGGTGAAGAACTACAACTTCAGCAAGCCGACGACCAATCGCTCCTTTCCCCGATCCGCCCTTGAATCGCGTCCTGTTCATAACCATCTCGGCGTAAGCTCCGACAGCGCGACGCTCAGCTCGATAAAGGGTACAAAGCTTTCCATCCTCGGCACCACGATAGACGTCACCTCCTTTGACGCCCCTGACATTGACGAACCCGTGCCGGACGCCAAGGTCTCCCAGCCCCTGTACAACAAGTCTCTTCAATCCTTCCTGCAGTCATGCATGAGCATCAATCCGCCAGTTAATATCGAACTTCCCTCAAGAAGCGACGCATTTACCTACTCAGAGTGGTACTTCTTAATGATTTGGCCGTTCCTCCCCGTTCTCCATAAGCCTGCGTTTATGAACATTGTGAGTCGACCTTAGCCTCAATAACCAACGCTCAACACTAACCATCGAATCTAGTTGACTCGCATATATGATGAACCAGATTTCGAACCATCTGTGCCCGACCTGGTCATGGTACACATGGTCTTTGCCACCATTTACTTCCAGTACGGTGTGAGAAACTGGGAGCAGCAGGAAACCCGCTCCCAACTTAATGAGCTGTCCAACAAGCACTACCACTTCGCCCTGAGCAAGATGTACGACTTGGCGTCGGCGCAGTCCGTCCCCGCCGTTCAGGCCATGGCCATGATTTCTGCCCACACCCGCGCCTTTCCAAAGCCGGGCTGCGGTGCCATGGTCACCAACTTTGCCTTGCACTGCGCCATTGAGTTGAACATGCATCGTGCCGCCAAGGCTCCAGGCGAGACGACGAACCTGGAGAACGAAATCCGGAAGCGTACATGGTGGACCATCTTGACTGTCTACGTCACTTTGAACGGGCGCCTCGGACGGCCGATGCCAATCAATGTCGAGGACTACGATGTTGACTTCCCAGAACCCATCCCGGACGAGGCACTAACGCCGGAGGGTGTCGACGCAGCGGTAACGACACCTTGCACATACCATGTTGGCCTGGCCGGTTTCAAAATTGTGCCTCTCTTCATAGAGATGTACTCCAACATCTACAGCGTCAGGCGCGACCCAAAGAACTACGTCGATGTTGTTAACGCTCTGGAAGACCAGCTCCGTTTGTGGAAGGAGGGTTTGCCCGAGAACCTGCAAATCAACATGTCCGGCCAGTCAGAGCACGAGGGGCGGGTGTATGCTTTGTACATTCACATGTACGCTCTCGAGTTCCGCCTTTGTCTACGACACCCGTCCGTGGCCATGACGACCGACCGCAAGATGCTCCTCGAGAACGCCCGCATCTGCGAAGAGACGGCGGCGCATATGTTGGAGACCATAAAGAGCATCTGGAAGCTCAAATCTCTAGACACGACGTGGTATCAAATAGCTGTCTATGGCGCCGCTATTTTCACGACCCTAGTGGCCCACTGGGAGCGTAGGCTCGAGGCGACCCCTAGCCAGATTGCTAGTCTACGCGACGACATGAGGGACTGGATGGAAATCATCAATGCCACGGTCTCTCTACTAGGTAAGCAAGACCAGAGACAGGTACATCGATAATGCGGAACTAACAAATGTAAATGTAGGAACGGGGTCTGGCATCAGTAACGAAATCAATCTCATCATTGAAAGAACCATTAGTTGGATCGAGCACGACTCGAAGCACAAGGACTCCTCATCGCTCGCCCAGACGCAGATGCAGGCCATCAAGACCGATTCATCGGAGCAATCGCCTTTCCAACTTTCAGCACAGCCCCAGGCTCCGCAGAACCTAGCTGTTAACGCCAACGAGACGTCCGCGAAGTCCTTCTACCCCGACGCGGCGAGCCAGGATGGAACCACGCCATATCCGTCATTAGCATACACCGAACAACCAGCAAATGGCACACTGGTACCCACGACTGGGTTTGAGGCAAACAGCGGCTATGCTTACGCACCTTCAGTGCAGACGACCAACGGGACAGACGATAGCTCAGCCGAGACCAACCCTCTAATCGTGTTTGCCTCCCAGGCAACCCAGCATGTGGCGGATCCCTCGGGGACGGCCGCAGCAGCAGAACTTCTCTGGCGGCAATCGGCGTCTCAGGGCAACACCTGGCACGACTGGACGGCCGCCATGGCCGACAGCCAGGACAGGTACAGCGCCAACGCCCTCCTGACGCTGGGCGGCGGGCCAAGGGACCCAGGCGGCGTTACGGAGGCGACGACCGTCGCCGACATGGCGGCCGTCACGGCTGCGCCAGTGGGCCAATGGCCGCTTCTTCTCTTTGACGGCGCGGGAACCGCTGGGGCTCAGTAAGCAGTCATCCCGGGGGGTCGCGGTGTCATGTTCAAAGGAGCATTCTCTTTATCAGTTGTAATGGAGCAATGCTAGGCGTTTTTATTGGTGGTTTCTTTCTTCATTCAAGGATGGGAGGGGTGGTTGTGGTTCAGCAACTGGAAAAGGCACAAGGCAGGGGGGTTGGAACACAGGCCTATTGGGTTCGGTTTACCTAGTTATTGTGAACGGGACCGGTCCTCTGCAACAAAAGGACTTTGGCGTTTTTTATCGGTTGCGCTGTGCTGAGAAGACATGGCATTCCTTTAGCGATATACCTAGCCTCGTCGTGGGCTCTTAAGCGTTTTTACCTCATCTGTCTGTTGCTCTGGTGATTTTTATTTGTATGATTCCGAGAACTTCGATAAGTCTGCGCAAATAAGATCACTGTCACATGATTAGTCTCTACTGAAGAAACAAGTTTTTTCACGATTCCAATGTACTCAAACGGCGTTTTGATCTCGTGGCATTGACTCGTAAATACTCATTACTAGAAGTGAAATAAGGGCTATATAAAGTTACGGGACCAATTATGAGTTGACAAGTTGTATCAAAGGCCAATACAACCGACCCCTACTACACATTTTCCTGCTCTTCACTTCCAACTCACACCTAGAAAGTAGCCGGAATCTGCACGGAACCGAAAGCCGGCGCGAAAATGTCGCCGCAAGTATGGCCCTCGGCCGGCATCATCCCGAGCACGAAAAACGTGTAAAACAAGCCAAACAGACAATTACTCGCGGCCGCGAAACTAGTGTGTCCCGCCGCGAGGTTCTTCACGAAGACGCCCGTCGAGAAGCGCGCGGCGATGGCCCTCGCCGAGTCGACGCTGCTCGCGGGGTCTCCGACGCCGTTGAGCACGACAATCTTGCCCTGCGTCTTGACCGGTCTGCCTGAGACGTCGTCCAGTAGCTTGTTGACGGGGTCGATCTTCCACTTTGAGCAGACGAGACGCCACTCCGCGAAGATGGGGGCCACGCTCGGCGCGGCGTCCGTCATGGCTTTGAAATACGCCTGGAACTCCTTCTCGTTCTTGACGTGTCGGGACTCGTCCAGGCACGCGCCGGCGAGGATCCCTTCGAACGCGGGGTTTTCCGTGAGGAGGGGAAGCGGCTCCGGGGCCGCGTTGAGGACGCTGGTCATGGCGTACGTGATCGCCTGTCCCGGTTTCCCCGATTCCGTCTCCGCGAGGACCCCCGCGAGGAGCGGGAACAAGCCCGGGCCGTGAAGGGCGATGGACACCAAGTTGTGCAGGGCGGACCAGTCGAACTTCTTGGCCTGGCCCGCGACGGTGATCGGCTGCTTTTTCAGTTTGGCGTCGATTGAGTCGTAGCGTGAGCGTAGGCTCTTTGTGGTATCGGAACTGCCGGCGAAAGCGCAGGTTGCCGAACCGGCTTTGAGGCACGTGTAGAAGAAAGCCTCGAGGCCGCGCTCCGCGTCCTTGATCACGGAAGGCTGGGCTTGGGTGACGGTATACGCGTACGAGGAAGGCGAAGGGCCTAAAACACCGCGATATGAGCATTCCTAGTTTCGAGAAAAGTTGATCTAGGGGGGGGGAGAAGGGGGAGGACTCACTGTCGAAGAGGAACTTGTCTACCGCTTCGGGGTACAGCTGCGCGATGGTCTGCCCCAGGTGTGCGCCGGACGAGACACCCCAGAAACCGAGCTTGGTGCGGTTATCGGCCTTCATGACGGTGTAGTGGTCGACGGCGTTGGAATACGTGCCCATGAACCGGGCGACGTCCCCGCCGTTCTTCTTGCACCTCTTGGCCAAGTCCTCTGCGCGGGCGGCGCGAACGTCATACGCTGATTTGTCGGCACCGAGGAGCTGCGGCTCGGAGAGGGCGAACTTTTGACGCTCGTCTTCGGTGGCGAAGCAGCGGAATGATGGTGTTGTCCAGCCCCATCCGCGATAGTCTGCTCCAAGTCAGGCGCCGTTCTTTCAGGATAGATCGTGGTTGTAGATGAAGGGCTTTACCAATGGCTAGGAGATCATAGCCAACGAAAAGGGGCGCGTAGTCCTCGCCGAAACGGACCAGAAAGTTGGTCGACGATGAGCTCCATCCTCCGAGGGAGACGTGGACGGCGCCCTGGTGAGGAGGGCCGCCGGGCGGAGCGACGTAGGGGAGCTTGACGATGGCGAGATCAACAGTTGGCTCGCCGCACCCGCCCTTGACCTTCTTCGGGTTGCGGTGATCCTGGATTTTGGCGTGGACCTTTTGGATGTTAGCGGCCAGAGTTGAGGTAGCGATGCAGGACGATATCTTACAGTCAACCGCGCGCACTTGAAGACGGTATAGCAGTCGTACCACTTGAGTTCGGTGCTGGGCTGGATAATTTGGAAGAGGGTGGCATTGATATCGTGGTGAGGTGACTGAGCCAGCACGGGGACAGTTGCAAAAGAACCCAAAAGGGCGGCGACGAGAACGGCAGACTTCATCTTGGAGAGAGTGACAAGATGACGATGAGAGGAGTGCCCGTGGGAGACTGACGAAGACGGGGGTTCAACGACTTATACGGTGTGTTCCCGGCACCGTGGGCAGGCAACGGAAACTTTTACATCTTCTCTCATTCTCCGATACTAGATTTCAGGTGCCAAGCACTTCTACCGTTACCATCCATGGTCGAGGAAGACGATTTAAGGGGCAATGAACGCCGACTGAACGCCCTGCAGGATCTAAGAAAAAAGCGTAATAAAACAAGTTCCTTCTCTCCGATTGAGTGCTTAAATCAAGGCTCCTGGTAGCCAGGGGTCGCTTACACAAGACTACGATTCGGCAGTTTGGACGAAGCGTTGCTGTGAAAGGCATGAAGGGAGGGCTGGAGGCTTGGTCTAGCAGCTAATAAAGCAAGGTGGGCTTTCGGATTTTGAATAAAAGTGGTTTAGCGCCACCACGTAGTTTCTGCTTGCTGAATCTGATAATCGCCTTGGGAGGGTAAACATTTTCGGTGCCAAGAGTGCGGCTGAAGAAGGGGGTGACACCAGATCTTATGCTGTTGGAATTAGACGCGGGGCAGAGATGAGTTTGGGAATATGGGGTTGCTATGCTGTGATGGGTTGGCAACATCCCACGTTGATGGGGTGTCAGTCTTAATAGAACTGGTGCCCTTCAATAAGCCGAAGACTTTCAAGTGTATTCAGCAGTCCAATGTTTCAACTCACCAGTTGCCTGGGCGCTAGAGAAGTTTTCTTTCTTTGTCAGCGTTGTTGGGAAGCTCTGTCTTGACTTCATTCCAAACACCAAGTAGAATCACATTGCTGTATCACACAGCAGCATCACACCAAGAGACTAATCTTAATTCAACATTCGATTGAATTGTCATAAAAGGCCAAGGCGCCGTAGCACGAGGCTCAAAGATAGGTATCAAAAGCTAACAATATGCAGACGTGCTTCTAGCTCCTCCCACTAGTTCGTCCCCTTTTAAAAACTCATCTAATCGCAAAGGTGCTGAAACGTCTTGCAGTCATCACATTATGTATCGCCTTCATTAATAAACCGCTTCCACTCATACAAAGTCAACAACCCGTCTAAGCCGACTCCTTGCGGACGTGGTTGTACGGGTTGTTGTTGTCGGCCGACTCGACCTGGACCTGGGCGGGAACCTTGGTCTCGCTGACGTTGTCGACAGCCAGGGCCTTGTCGGTGTCGTACTCGGTGACGCCGAAGAGCTTGTCCATGTGCTCGAGGGAGATACCCTTGGTCTCGGGGACGAAGAACCAGACGAAGAAGAACATGGAGAAACAGAAGCTACCGAAGATGAGGTAGGTTCTAAGGAAAGATGTTAGCACGTGAATTTTGCTATAGGTTTGTCAGGGACTATGAAACTTACCCGTAACCGTGAGCACCGACGGTGGCCAACATGTTGGGGACAGTGCGGGCGACGATGAGGTTGAACAGCCACTGGGTGGCGGCAGCGAGGGCAACGTTCATGGAACGGAGACGAGCGGTGGGAATTTCAGAGGCGTAAATCCAGCAGGCGGGACCCCAACCGAACTGGAAGAAGGCGGCGAACAGGAAGATGGCGACGAGAGCCATGTATCCGGCACCCGGGACCGGCTGTCCCTCGATGGGCGGGGAGATACGGACGTAGAGACCGATGTAGAACATGCAGACACCCTGGGCGATGGAGGTCCACAGAAGCGAGCGACGACGACCGAGAGAGTCGGCCATGAAGAGCAGGAAGGCAATGCAGGAGAAGACCTTGACGATACCGTAGACACCGGTGGACAGGAGAGGGGTGGAGCGGCCGGTAACACCGAGGTTCTTGAAGATGGTAGGGGCGTAGGTGTTGATGGCGTTGGTACCGGTCATCTGCTGGCAGATCATGAGGAAGATGGAAATCAGAGCACGGTTGCGGTTACCCTTGATGGTCCACATCTCCTTCTGCAGGTTCATGAAGGTGGCCTCGCCGATGAGCTGTCTCTCGTGCTGGAGCTGGTCGACGATCTCCTGGAACTCATCCTCGAGGTAGGGGTGAGACTCGGGCAGGTTGCGGAGGACGGAGAGGATCTTCTTGGCCTCCTCCCATCTGTCCTGACGAGCGAGCCATCTGGGAGATTCGTTGCAGAAGAGCATGCAGATGAGCAGGAGTAGACTGGGAAGACCCTGGATGGCGAGGGGGAAGATGTACATGGTCTTGCCAGTCAGGTTGACCTCGGCACCGTAGTTGATCCAGAAGGCAATCATACCACCGGTGACGATGAACAGCTGGTACATACCGGTCAGGAGACCACGAATGGCACGGGGGGCGTTTTCGGAGACGTAGAGCGGGTTGATACTGGAGGCGGCACCGACACCGAGACCGGAGATGAAGCGACCGACGAAGATGGGAGCGAGTTTACCGAGAGAAGCAGCCTGGAGAGCGACACCGACGAGAATGACGGCGGCGACGGAGATGAGACACCACTTGCGACCATAGCGATCAGTCAAGGGGGCGGCGAGAAGAGCACCGACCAAGCAACCGGCTTGGAGGGTAGAGACGATGTTACCCGTAAGGTTGGCGGTCTCGACCTTGGAGGCTTCCTTCAAGCCGTAGTCACTATCAAGTCAAGTCAGCTTGTGTCCGGATCCTCTTTGGGATTGAATACGAGGTTTTGTCAACTTACTTCATGAAGGGCTTCATGACGACGACACCACCGATGACGGAACTGTCCCAACCGAAGGACATGGCACCGAAACAAGCGGAGGCGGCGAGGGCAAAGACTCTCCAGCCGTAGATCTCGGCGGGATCAGTCTGCATGGAGTCATTCTTGACGATCTTCTTGAGAAGCTTCTGCATAGTCGACATTTTGGCGGTTGTTTTCTCTGCAGCAAGCCAGGCTCTGGCGGGGGTTTGGTGTTGCTTATTGAGCAGAAGAAGAAGTGGCCGATTGGACACACACTAACACCCTTTTTTTGGTGATTGAGCCTCTTCAAAGCCGATGAGATGGCGAAGAGAGAGGGGGTGTAAGGGTTGTGAAAGGCGGTGGAAGGACGAGGCGACGAAGAGAGAAGGGAGCGATGGTGATGAGGAGGGCGAGATGGCCACCTTGATATATCCAGAACTCCAGGCGCGGTGGTTTTCCTTTTTTGCCCTTGCTGATCCAAAGGGCTCCTCTTCCCCAGTGTAACCGGGGACCCCTCATAGCTAAACTAGTCAGAAATTTTGCCATCCACATCAGATTGGAGGTTCCGCGACAGTACTGCGTGTGTGAGAGGAGTACATGCTCCTCCGTCCAGGGGTGGTGGTGGTGGGCTTTGGTCGCGGTGCGCTCCTGTACGTGTGTTCTGGTACAAACCCAAAGAACCACCCCTGTCCCGTCTCTTAGTCTGGCCTTGTTCGCCCGCCGCCCATCCATCAAGTCGGAGCTAGCTGTGCCTCTCTCTCTGCATCTCTTCGCTCTGGTAAGAAAAAAAAAACCCCAAGAAATCGAGCCGCAACGAATACCAAGACGGACGGTGAATTGTCCATGGGATTTTCCACCATTCAGACGAGGCGGGAGGACAGCCCGAGAACGATGGACTGACGGGGGCGGTAGAGGAACGTCTTGGCCTAGGGGCTCGGTTCTGCGATCAGCCGACCAGGGCTTGTAATTGGAGGCATCTAGGGAAGCGTGGAACATGGCAAGCTTTTTCTGGAGGTGTGCGGCGTGGGCGTTGGGGTGGTGGCTTTTGGCTGCGGCGGACGGATGGGATGCGGCAAACAAACAACAAGCATGCCATGACCGGGGCTAGTCTCAGAAGACTGGACTGGGCATGCTACTAGCTAGCGTAGCCGGATGGCACTTTTCAGTCAGACGCAGGACGCAGACACAGACACAGGACGACAGCTCGTTTGGACACATGCCACTGGATCAACATGGCTCCGATGAACATTCGAGGCGGGAGCTGCAACAGCGTGATATCCGTTAGGTGGGTTTCATCGGCAAAGCAGATTGGATCAAGTTGTCTAGGGGGCTCGTCATATCCGTGGGACCACATTCTAGTTACTACGTTTTAGAGTTGCCGGCAAAATGACCTTGAAGATGAGGGACCCCATCTGCATACGGCATAGCCGTTCATGTCTGGTGGATCGTTGATAAACAGGCCGCAGGTTGAGCTACAGAACTGGCTCCGCATACTAGTAGTCAAGCTTAACAGCAATAGAGGTGGACTCTCTGGGGCCCCAGAGATGCCCCATGTGGCCCCCCCAGGTTACGAAGGGCGCGTCGGGAAAGAAATGAGAGATGAGAGGTGAGCTGACATGACAACCTCTCTCACGTTGTCACAGCAGGCGCATGGCTGGAAGGACAGAGAGACTGGACCGTAACGAAATGAAAGCGGCCATCCTCATTGCGGCATGGACCGCCGAGCTATCGGCCGTTCCCTGCGACAGAGCTGGCGCGTGATTCGTTGGAGGGAATGCAGCCGTATCGTTTCAATCACAGAATTTAGGCTGCTGGTGGGGGTGGGGAAAAAGGTCGCCAAAGAGGAGACGAGGCAAAAAGGCAAAAGAACAAGGGGCTGGTCCGGGGTTGTATGGATTGGATAGGTTGATCAATGGATGAGGACAGGGGTGGTGGGAGGTCTAGTCTCTAGTAAGCTGGACTGAGTTTAGGTCACATGTATCGTCATGGATAGTACATTTCGTACCAACAGGGGCAGTCTTTGGGAATGGGACGATGACAACGATGTGTTATGACCAGTTGGCGAGAATAGTTGTACAACTACCTACGAGATGAGTAAGGCAAGGATACGAAGTACCAGTGAACAACTCACCAGCCGTCGAGTTGTTTTGCTCGAAACAGTTACCACCCATTTCTGTCGACCCATCCAATCCGGTGGATTCTGCGGAGAACGGACGCGGGTGAGAGTAAAAAGGATGGAGAAACATTGGAGATCGCGGGGGGTATAATGAGGGGGATGGCAGATGTATGTCGGGGGTCGCGCCACGCCAACTGGGGGACGAACACCCCCTTAAAGAGAGACATGGAAACGAGGACTTGAAGGAGAGGTTGGGTTTCCCAAGTTTGGCCTTTTGCGTCTTTCGTGTTTTCCAAGTTTGATTCTGGGTAATGTTTAGTCAAGTTAGATTCAGGTTTTTACAGTAACCGGTACAACCTTTTCCTATAATTTTAATCAATCATTACGACTCCACAGCAACTTGAGCAAAGTTTCTGTTAATAGATTGGGGTCAACAAGTAAGACAAGGCCCCGAATCAAACAAAATCCCGGACGCCAAAGACGGTGTGTGCCAGACATACCCTAACCCAAATCCTCCTCCTCCTCCTCCTCCTCCTCCTCCTCCTCCTCCTCCTCCTCCTCCTCACCCCAACATCCCTCCAACGACGGCGTCGGCTGTGTGGCGGCAAATCAAAAGAAAGTTCTTGGCTCTCTAAAAGTCTTGGCTACTCTTCAAGAAGCACATCTATTTGACGGAAAAATTCATTTGCGTCCTTAACCTGATGAACTGGATCGTCCCTAGCCTGGTTTTACTTCCACGAGGCCGAATACATCCTCAGTGTAGTGCGACGCCTCGTTATTGGTTTCCAGGCATCATCATCATCATCGAACTCATTGATTTGATTTTTATTCTCGTCGTTAATTGCATCCGCGTAAACCCAACCATAGCTGACGCACACAGGGCGCTAATGGCACAAGACGCCCGACTAGGCCAGCATCATGCGATGCCACACCATGCATTTTCGTACTCTGGCACCCGACCCGAGTCCTCGGGCCCTGCCAAACCTGATACGGTCGTTTAGACATCGTGTGTCGCCCAAGTTGGAATCTTTTCCTCTACGCGATGACTCTGTCCAAAAACGTAGTCTACACTAGCTTGATGTCCTGCGCCGCAGGTTGGCGACCGGCAGCTCGGGCTCGGATGCACAGCTGGCTGTCATGCTCCCCAGGCCGTCTCCCCCACCCCCTGCTCCCTGTCCGCGCCTCGATATCATGGGACGCGATGGTTATTGTATCGCGGTGTGTCCCTGCGCAGACGCGCTCTTGAAATTCGTGGTCTCCAACTGTTTGCTCTCGTCGCCGAACCCAGATATTGTAGAATAGCAGTATCGAACAAGTTGCTCTCGTCCAAGACTTGACGTTGAATACGCATGCCAAGTTGGATACAAGGGCCTCCTGTGCCAATGCCCATCTAAGTATCTAAGCATTGTTGCCCAGTGCCATGAGTCTTGGTAGATGAACAATGTGCATTCTCCCAAGACTCCCTACCCACAATTCTTGCGCCTCAAAATGCCAAGATCAGCCTCCTCTCAAGCCTCACATCTCCGTTCCTGCTGCCTCTTGTCTGACATGTCGTCGTGACGAACCGGGATGTGACCTAACGGGCTGCATCGTCTGCAAGCAAGCCCCTGAGCTCGCTGTTACCGGGACCCGAGCTGCCTCACCGCACTTCGGAGTCGCGGTCGTGCTGTCCAGGGGGTCGCGTCTGGGGTTTCCGAAGAGGGTAGCTGTTTACTAGAGCGGTGCCCTGTCGCCGGGCCACGAGAGTGAGATGGTCGTAATTCTCTGTCCTACACCTCACGTCATGGCCTTCCAGTTTGCAAATGGCAGTTGTCTCTCTTGATGGCAGTTGCCAATTCCTCGCCAATGGCTCTAGAGCGGCGTCAGAGATGTCTGCCAAGGTAAGATGACATTCGAACTTCTTTAACTGTCGTGACCGTGACATCTGAGTGTGTTGGTCACTTGAGTGGTGTTTTCATGGTATCGTGCTCAGCTTACAGACAATGAACTACTAACAGATTCTCAGCTCGAGATACTGACGCTTAAGGACACTCTCGAGGTCCTGAGTGGCCATGAATCAGAAGCTCCTTCCTTCCAACTCCTCGCGTATCTCGATATCCACTAGAAACAGCTTCGAAAGCTTCTTCCTCCAGCGGTTTAGGTAAGTAAACATCCCTCTCAGCTCCCAGCGACACAGCTTAACTCGGTGGCGACTGAAACATCTACCATTATATCGACGGCATATATGGCTATCTTGAGAGCTCTCGTGTGTGGCCTACTACGGCCCTCGAGACTTGCGTGGCTACGGTCAGAGATTGTTTCTGCAATAAACGCAACTTCTTCAGCTCAGAAACAACAACCCAAGCGAACTAGCAACACAAGCAACTGATCAAACAATGGGCGTACATCATTGACAGAGGTTCTTTGGATGGCGAGCACCGCAACCCATCATTGTCGATACACAAATAGTAAAGCTTCTAACTCATCTGTACCGTGCTTAGGGATATAATGACAGGCACAAACAAGTACGATATCGTCCGGCTACGAATCCTTGCCGCGGCGTCTAGCCATCGGTAGAACCGAAACCTGACCATCCTTCACTTCTTCTTGCATACCTAGTTCTTGCTTATCAAAGTCAAAGGCGAACGAACATGTCGATACAATACACAAGTGGCGATGGATTATAGGAAGCTAGAAAGGGAAACAGATCACTCCTTGGACTTCGCCAAGTCGTATGATGAGCCGAGGGCCGGCGCGTCGCCGTTCCCGAGTCCTGTGTGACACCTTGAAGGAACGTGGACGATCGAATTAGATGCCAGAATGCTCTTGATGGTGATCACAACTGCACATCGCAAGTATCTGATTGGTTGCCCAGGAAGCAGACTTGTAATCGTGACCATCTTTTGTCCGTTAAATCCGGAGCGGACCATCCTCTCGTCGATGACAATGACCAGAGAAGGCGGCCGATCTGCCATGACATGACCATCCTCATAAACCGTAAACTGTAACTATCACGGTGGCGCGAGAATCGCCTCTGTAAAGCTCCTCCTAAGTGCAACGTCGTAAGAAACCTGAATTCCACCACCTACCACGACTTCAAATTTACAACGGGATCAGCCAGTTCCAATCGAGATCGGCCCCCCGTTACCGCAGCTCGACCATCTGTGCGCCAAGGACCGACGTAGCAAACTCTCTCAAGAAAAAACCCCCTCATCACGCAAGATTCCCCCCATTGGAGGACTCAAACCCCGATGGAAAAACGATACACGTCAAGACTCTGTAACGACGATTGATTTCCAATCGCCAAAAGATTCGCAAATAGCACAGATTCGCCAGCAGGCTTTCCCGCCGGCCGCCCCCACACACACACACACATTATACATAATCGCCAGCGTCTCACCCAATGTGGACTCAATATAACCCTGGACAATATGGTTAGCGATCCTTGGCTGTTCATGTTCAAAGGGGGTGTGGGAGGGACGGACAGACGCCTTGTAATCAATCAATTCCCCCCCTCCCATGGCGACGAGAATTCAATTCACAGGGCCCTTGGTCTTCCTCATCAGCCACCGCCTGCACCTCGGTATACGGTGTCCGAAGAGAAACACTTTCCTCCCATTCAATTAAAACAAAAAAAAAGGGTGTATCCCCCCCCGTCCGTCCCTCCCACCCACATCCCTTGGCCAACATCCCCATATGCATTGAGCTGCAAGCCCGCACCGGCCACGGGCCCAGGCTGCCTAAGCAATCTAGACGGGAGCAGATTCCTCCTGCTGCCAAGCCCACGAAAGCTTTTCCCGCAACGCCAAGAAGAACCAATGAAAAGGCGAGATTTGAGTTTTGGGGTGGAGGACAAAGTACATGGTCGACTGGGGGTGTGATGAGGAAACGTGGATGGATTAAAAGAGAGGGAGGGAGAAAAAAAAAATGAAAGTGGTGTGCTGGGCACGAGGGGGGTGGGCAATGTATAAGTCTTGGCGAACCACGGAAAAAGGACCTGGACAATATAGACACGATCGATTCAATACACGCTCTTGAATGGACGGAAAAAAAAAAGACAAAGTGGAAGAATGGGTGTGTGTAGTCCACTACGGAGTTGCATACACGGAAAATGTCCCACGAGCGGTTGCAACTTAGACACACCAAGTCCAACGTATATCCATTCCAACGTCAAATTTGTATCTTGAGTCATATCAAACCCCCAATTCCCAAACCCGACTTTCTCGTCATCATCTCATAATCCACCAATGTAATAAATGGATCAGCAAAAAAAAAAAAAAAAGGTATGTATAAGAATTCGTGACTCGTGACTATATCAATCACATGACTTTCAATCCTGCCCTTGTCAACTTCAAACCCCCTCAGCTCAGTATCTCTTTTCCAGTCCTCAATCCGGATACTTTGGGTGGGGTTTTCTAAGTAGGATTTCCTCCTCTTCCTCCCCGACTCATCAACAAATAACTTTAGTTGAGAGTCTTCTTGGCCCAACCAAGACGGTTAGAAGCGGCGTCAAAGACGACAAAGGCAGCCTTGAGAGCGACGTCGCCAAAGATGTTGATGCCGATGCCGGAGCTGCTCTGCAGGCCGCCGAAGCAAGTGCTCGTGCTGACGGGGGCGTAGTTGAGGTAGCTGGCCGGGACGGTGATGCGGGCGCTGCCGACGCCAAAGGTGAAGGCCGGGACGGCGGCGGAGCAGGGGAACGTGTAGCCTCCCTGGGAGGAGTCGTACTTGGCGCCGGTGATCTGCTTGTAGTAGGCCGTGACGACGGACTGCGGGAGCAGGAGGAGGGTGGTGCCGGTGTCGGCGATGCCGTTGAGCGAGGTGGTCGTGAAGGTGGCCGAGCCGACCTGGTAGCCGGACGAGGTGAACTGCCACCAGCCGTCCGAGTTGTCGATGGGGACGTAGGTGATGGCGCCCGTGTAGGCCGAGGAGTCGATGTAGCCAAAGTTGTACTTGCCGGCTGTTGACATGGTTAGCATCGTCTCACACACAAGTGTGTTGTTATTTTTCAAGCGAAAAAGAACGACTTACGAGTGCCGTGCTTCAGGTCAGCAGTGAAGAGGTAGGCGTCGAGCTTGGACTTGGCAGTCTCGAAAAAGGTCTTCTGCTGCGTGGGGGAGACGGTGTTGATGGAGCTGAAGCCGAGACCGAGGAGCCCGTCCAGGTCGCTCTCCTCGCTGAAAGAGGTGGAGACCTTGGAGGCGGCCTCGACGGCTTGGCCGGTGACGGACAGGCCGCCGACGGAGACGGTGTCCTTGTAGACGACACCGCTGGAGCTGGAGCCGTCGCCGTAGGAGATGGACCAAGTGGCGCCGGTGAGACGGGAGGCGGTGCTGCTCTTGCTGGGGTCGTAGACGGTCTGGCCGTTGCGCTGGCTTGAGGGGGTGGAGGTGGAGAAGACCCAAAGGTCGGAGGAACCGGTGTCGAAGTCGAGGACGAGCGTCTGGGCCGGGGTGCCGATCTGGACGGGGCTCAGGTACTCGACATCGTTGTCCTGGGGGTTAGCAGCGACGCTGCCGGTGGCGCGCTTGGCGGCGCCGTTGTTGGCGGTGATGTTGGCGACAACTTGGGCGAGGTCCTCGGGGAGAGGAGCACCGTACTTGCGGTAGGCCTTGGCCAGGGCGAGGGGACCATTGCGGACGTAGCGAGGGTTGCGGATCTGGTCAACGCTGAAGCGCTTCTCGTTGGCGTTGGCCGCGGGGAGGGCAGCGGCAGTGGAAGCCAGAGCCAGGCCGGCGGTGAGGGCCGTGATGAGAGTCATGGTGAACAGGAGGCAGAAGACCAGGATACCGAGAAGAGGTGCAGAAAAGAGGATGAGGACGAGGACGAAGACTGGAGAGACTGATGAGGATGAGAGGTAAGACGAACAAGACGACGATGGGAAAACAGACTGGTCCTTATATCCTCATCGCCGACTCCACGATGGTATGGCACGTCGACGAGGAGAGCCCAGGGTGGCCCAAGGGAAACGGCGAGATTGCTCGAACAGACCAGCCTTCACGAATCTCGATATGGCATCAACCAGGGCGTCAGTTCAAGCATCAAGGTGTCCGGCACGAGATAGCCGGGGAGAGAATACCACCTTCCAAGAGGGAACATCGTGCCAATAGAGTCATATCCGAACAGGCTGTCGCAACTCCATAGATTGTACAGCGTAACCAGGCATATGCATCGTGACTCGAGGGGATCCAGATGGGCCAAGCTTAGATTGAAAGGGTGGTAGTAAAACAAGGAGACTTGCGAATGGCGGCTCCCATTTCACAGCTTCGACTGACTGACTAGCTAGCCAGGGGGGGGAGGGCGAGGCATCAGCTTCAATCCCATCCCTACCGACGGTACTACGTAGTGTTAGTATGGTGTAGAAAAAAGGAGCCCGTGACAACTGCCAGCGTATCCCCGGTTGAATCGGTAGCCACAAATGGACCGGACTAAGCTTTTTCACAAGCTTCCACTGGCAGGAAGCTAGATGGAAAAGAGAAGGTCCAAAGAGGAAGCCAGACCCCCAAACCGCGGCTCTTCGTTCGTCCAAGGCAGGAGATGAGATGAGAAAAAAAAAGGGCCAACATGGAGTAGTACTACCTGGGAGTAGTAGTGTAGGCGCCGGAACAGCTGATGTATATGGGTCCCCGGGGCGGAGAGGGCGGCAGGGCGGAGGAGAAAGCCAAGGGGGGAGCCAATACGCAAGCTGAACGATCCCCCCCCCCCCCCCTTTCAAATCTCTTGAATAAGGCTCGGGATACCTACACTATGTAGCCCCGGAATGGACTTGAGTCGAGCGGGCTGAAAATGGGGGAGCAGAAAATAAGCACCTACCTACTCGGGGCATGGCCCCGGGAGTCGTCAGACCCAGCTCCGAGACACAACCGGGCCTAACCATGCTCGAAAAAGTGCGCCATCATTATACTACCAACCAGTGGCAGCCATTTTCCAAAGCCAAGTCGTCTTGACGCTTTCTTTCAATTGACGACGTCTTTGCGCCTCGGCACATCGAAACAAGCTTTACCGCCAAGTCTCCACCCGCAATCCCGCATACGAGAGACAACTCCAACCCGACCACCCCCCCCCCCCCCCCCTCGTCCATTTGTCTAGGGGAGGGGTGAGGGAACCATTCTCAGGCATGAGATCGAGGCCAAGACGGGAAGGAAGGGGAGTAGGCGAGGGGGAGATGCGAGATGCAGGAGGGGGAGACTGAAGGAAGCGCGGGTGAAGTAATGGATTCCGCTTGGTACCAAGGCATGTTTCTCTTTGTCAACGGATCCAAGGGGACGGACGGGGATTCGGCTGTCGATTTCCATCTTGGCGATGCGCGCGGAATTAGCAAAGAAAATAAAATGGGCGTCTGGCCTGTCAAATGACGTGCTGGCGGTTACACGGGTCTCTAGGCACTGTTTGTATTCGCCATCATAGTAGAGTAATAGTAGTAGTAGTAGATGGCCTCATGAGATGGATGGTCGCGCGATTTGTGGCGGGTTGCGTCTGCAAAAGTTCGCAAAGCCTGTCGAACCTTGAATTTCTTCTGCCCGGGTTCTCCATCACGAGACTCTACTTGACATCTTTCTCTTTCCTCATTCATCTTGTCGCTCCGTGGTTTGGTTGACACGGTGAAAAAGGTAGTTTTTATCGAGTTGCCCAAAACGGTCGAACACCGCCTTGCCGACTGAGCCGGTCTCCTTGCTCGAGATAACATAACCTCCGCCCTTACTACATAGGAAACACACCCACATACCGTAACCAGTGGCGAGGTTTCTCTGCCGGCGGCAGAGATAACAAAACACCCGCGAGAGTTGGGGCGGCGATCAGGGCGAATAAGCATGATTGAAATAAGATTGCGCCGTTCGGGGCCACGGCCAGTCGTCCCCCAGCCGGGTCTTCCCTGGTAAGAAAGTCTTGTTAGGTAAAGCAACGATTCCATTACGTACCGTGAAGTTTGTTAGGTAATGCCATTTCACTATCACGGCCCACATGCCCGTCAGCCATTTGGTTGTTGTTCATCTCAGTGGAGTGCAGCCCAAGGTAGTTTAAACGACTTGTTTCCCCTGCTTTCCGTTGTTTGTTGTTTTTGTTGCTACGTGTGATGGTGTTTATCAGCTGTCATCTGAACTTTTGGAGATAAGACTCGGTCGGCATTTGTGTTTCCCGACTCCGACCAATTCATAGGTTGTGAGGTCATCGCTTTAGTGATCTTTTGTGCGAATAAGTCGGTACTCTCTCAAATGTTGTTAACTCGTTCAAGGTGACGATGTTATTTCTCCCTTTCGGTCGTTATTCTGAATCCATGACTTGAGTTGTATCCATCGCAAATCTCATCATGAAATGTCGTCCTCCACCGCAATCCAACTCACAACCAAATATTCTCATCCAAAAGACTTCAACCTCATAAACAGTCACCATCGTCGATGCGAAACTCTGAAATGTTTGGTCATGGTTTAAAATTTGACGTGAATGACGTCCCAACCGTCCAAAGAAGAAGAAAAAGACAAACGACAAAACACTGATCGGATACGTCCCCGAACCCGTTCAACAGCACCGAGTAGTTCGCGTGGTTCGGCATGTTCCAAAAATACAAAAAGGTTTGCGAGACGAAGCGAGATCTTCTCACCTTTTTAAGTCCGATATGACCTCACCGGCTATAGACGGGCCAAGGGTTGCCAGTCTTGGCCGGTGAACCAAGTAACTAGCTCTCTGCAATTTGAAAAGGTTAACCATACTATGAACCCCATCCCACCCACTTGAGCCACACTTTATTCGCCGTTTAGCCGAATACACACCCTTCACTTGATGTAACAATAACAACCACTACTCTCCAAGAACTTCATGCATTGTCATTATATGAATTGCGAATATAACCAGACCAGGACCTATTGATACAGCAGCCAGCCAAACAGTCTCTTCGACCAGACCCGCCAGACGATGTATACAGCCAAAACAAAGCCTGAATGACAACTACAAACCCGAGTGAACAAGTTGCCCAACGCCTTTTACTGGAAAATTAGGAAGAAACACAGCCTAGACTCCCCCCCAATAACCTAAGGGGACTACAACAACAAATGGGTATGATTTTGAAACAAAACTCAACGCCAGCCGGCCGTGTTCGACCTGGATGCCTTTTCTATCTTTCCGTTGGACGCGAGACTGCCAATGGTGATGCGTCTGTTCTTGAAATCGGCGCTGGCGATCCGGCCTTGAGGGCTTCCCCCGTCCGTTCTCAGACTACCTCCCAGGTGCATCCGTCTGGCCTGACCCGGGGTGAAGGCCCGGTCGCCCCGCATGTCGGGTGGCGAGCAGGTGATGGGCGGTGAGAGCCTTCGCTCGGCGCTAGCTCGCCGGTGCCGCGAGATACCGTTTGAGCTACTAGCCAAAGGACCCGAGAAGCTGAGAGATGCCCGGTGGTGGCTCGACGTCATGGGGCCGATGGAGGAAATGCGCCTAGCATTTGAGGATGTCGTGCCCGACACGGACGAGATACGGCGATGTTCGCCGCCGCCGCGCACTTTCTTCATGTTTTGCAATGCCGACCGGATCTTTCGGGGGTCAATGGTAGGGGATTCCGATTCGGAACCGGACGCCGTGTGGGATGCCGGCGGGTTGTTCTCGTCGACGGACAAACCCGAGCCGGAAAGGGAGGCTCTCGGAGGCGGGCTAGCCCTCGCGATCCTAGAGCGAAACGCTGGCGGCGAGAGGTTGGAAGAGCGATGAATGTCGAGGGCGCGCAAAGGAGCCGAGCGAGATCCACTGTCCGAAAGCGGTGACGATCCCAAAGGCAACGACATGGTCGGCACTGGGGCTGTAGGAGAGCCTTGGCCGATGGACGACACGCGGCTGGCTCCCTTGGTCAAGAACCCTGCCTGGAACCTGTTAGGCTTCGCCATGGGGATAGACGTGGTCTCGGGATATTCCAAAGAAGGGCTTGAGTCGGACGCAATGGAAGTGACGGTGTTGTCCTCCTGCAGGTAAGAGGGGAGAGCCGGCATCCTCAGCGGCGGACCGAACTTGTCAGGCGAGTTCTGCTCCGATGCCGAATCGAACTTCTTAGGTGTCTTTTCGAAATCCGCGAGGGTTCCCTGCTCCGTCTCATCGTCTCTCCAGCGAACCGCACGCTTAGCTTCTGCCTTCTTCTTCACGGGAGTGAATGAGACTCCCTTGCGGGGGCTTCGCGGAGCGCCCGTCTTCTTACGACGAGGCGATGACTTCATGGGCGACGCCTGCGGTTGGGGCGCCGGCTCGGACGCTGGAGCGAACATGGGCTGCGGGATCGGCACGATGTGGTTCACGGCAGCCTTCTTGCGCTTCGGAGTGCCCTTCTTGGTGGGGGAGAACTTTTCGAGAGGGATCTTGGTGCCATCCGGCTTAACGACAAGGGACGCCGCCGAGAAACCTGCTTCCAGCAATCGATTGATGATCTGCTTGGCGTGCGTGACCGCTTCCTCCTCGTTCATAGCCAGCGTATCGGCAAGTGACGCCAACATATCGAACTGAGCTGTAAGAAGAACCTGAATCATGGCGGCGTCGCCTGCCCTGTCCATCTCCAGAACCTCCCTGTTGGCCTCCCGGCCAAAGTTGGACTTGAGAAGCTCTGCCTCACGAGTGAGGCTATCAACCTCGGCGCTGTCGGCCTCACCCCCAGGCAACTGCTTGAGGCTGTGGTGGAGCGCCGTGTCGATGGCTCGCTCCCAGTTGGTGTTCTCGAGCTTCTGGTGGATGTGCTGGCGGCTGTGCTCCAACTCAACCAAGATGCCCTGCGCCGTCTTGCGAATGGCAACAAGAGCTGGGGGCATCGAGTCCTCGTCTCCCCTCGTGTCACAGACGGTGTCGAAAGATGCAATCCATGCCGAGAGCAGACCGATGCGCTTCTCAAAGGCTCTCAGCTTCTTCATGTTGTGGATCTTGTCCTGTCGCTCCGACGCAGAGTTCTCGTAAGCAGCGCGGAGACGCTGCACACCCTCGCGGGCGACCGAGTCGCGCTTCTCCATCTGCTTGCGGAACTTGGCGAAGAAGATCTTTTCGGTGTCCTTCTGCTGGGCCTTGAGCTCGTTGATCAAGGCCATCTGCTCATCAATCTTGACCAAGAAGTCCTTGACGTGTCTGTTAACGTTGAAGACGTTTCTAGTGACCTTGGTCTGGATGTTCTTGGCTCGGTTCGCGTATCGAAGTGTGTTTTGCGTCTCGTCAAAGTGGACGCTCGAGGGACTGACACAAACAATCATGACAGTCTTGCAGTTTCCGCCGAGGGAGAACTTGAGGAGTCGAGTAAGCTTGCTGTTGCGATATGGTACGTGGTTGCGCTTGCGAGGGTCGCACAAGGCATTGATACAACTTCCCAGAGCCAAGAGGGATTTGTTGATGTTTGCACCTTCGAGGAGGCGCTCGCCGCGGTTCTTCGTGGCGCTGGCACGCTCGCTACCGGCAAGATCGATAATGCTGAGCGTGGCCATGGTGTGTGGTTCGTTGACGGAGGCGCTACGGTCCTTCTGGGCGACGTTGATCTGGAGAACGGCATGGGAACGCGACGACGTCGCGTTGGCCTCCGTCGGTGAGACCGTCCGCCACTCGTTGCCCTGCACGATCATGTCCATGACCTCCTGAACATCCTTGGGGTGGTGGCTGGTCAGGCCAGCGACGGAGACGGCCTGATTCGAGTCCTCTCGGAGCATCAGTCCCTGCTTGCTGCCTCCGGGGACCAACAGGTCGCGGATGGTTTCGTTGTAAATTTCGAGATAGGAAAGTGAGATTTCGGTGGTCTTGTCTTGGCTTCGCTCATTGATTTTTTCAAACAATTCCTGCATGGTGAGGAAGATGATACCTGGGTGTTGCGATGTGCCGGTAATGGTGTGCGTCTTTCCGCAGCCGGTAGCACCGTACGCGAAGACGGTAGCGTTGTAGCCGTCGAGAACGCTGTCGAGCAGCTGTTTTGTTGTGCCCTCATAGACATCGTTCTGTGTGGAGTTTTCGTCGAAGATTCTGTCGAACATGAAGGTCTGATCCTTGACCTTCTTACCGTTGGGCACGACGGAGCGGGAAAACTTCTGCATGGGGTTGTCCTCGGGAGGATCGAATACGCTGTGAAGCATGTGTCAGAGCGAGTTGAAAGGAGCAACAGGTAACAGGACACTCACAGGCATTGGTCGTCGACGACCTTGATCACCTGTCGGATACCGCGAGTGTGAAGTTTGGGTGTCGGGATGGCGGCGAGGGAGCCGTCTCCCAGAAACATGGTACCCTCATCATTTCGGACTCTACATACGATTAGTATCGACTGGTTTGTGAACAAGCAACTATGTCATGGGACCGACGTACAATTGCGCAGCTTCTCGGATCGTAAAAGGTCGAACTCGAACTGCAGATGGCCAAAGTAAGCATTCACGGCAGCACACACAGCAGACAGCGACAACCAAACGAACCTGCGACCGTGATGGACGATGCTCCAGGGTCGACGACCATATTGTCTGATGTCGCGTACGTCGAATGTAGGAGATGTGTATCCTGAAATGGACCCTTTACTCGCGATCCAACACCGTAAACAAGCCGAAGCCGAGCTCCGAGGTATCGTCAGCTGATGTGGGTGGCAGCAAAGGTGTGTAATTCAAGATATAAACAAAGCCGCTCTGCAGCGCGGACCGAGCATCAGCAGACCAAGGAGGGAAAGAGAAGAAGAAGAAGAAGAAAGAGAAGAATTAACGAGATGGGCGAAGCAGCTGTTTGGGTTAGTGAATGTGGTTTTCTTCTCTGCCGCCGAGTCGCAAGAGGGCAATGTCGAGGAGGAGGAGGAGGAGGAGTGGATGGAAGCTGCTGCAGATGGATAAGAGATTAGGAAAATGGACGTGTGAATGTCTTGAAGGGTCTCCAGTGTGTCGTAGCGTAGCGCACCACCTCGGGGGGCTTCTGTGACTGACGTTTGTTGTTTTTCTTTTGGGGGGCTTGTTAGTGCTGAGTGCCGCGTTGTCCCTGACAACCGGGAACCTGTTTAGCGAAGGATGTGTGGAGCCTCCGTCCACTAGAATCCCGCTAAGCCCGCTATAAGCCCACTGTAAGCCCACCACTTCTGTTGCTGTCGGATCCACTGTCCTTGCGCGGCATACGAATGAGGAAAGGCGGTGACTTGTGCGCCACAATAATAGATGGAGATATAAGTGAGGCTGACCCATCTGCCACATTACATAAGTGATCTGTGGCTTGAACTTGACTCCTCAGCCACAAACAAATGTCACATCTTAAAAGAGAGAACAAAGGCAGCAAACAAGACTCAAACTCCCAAACAAAACACCACAATACCACGCCGTTCCCAACGGGGCCAGGTGTCAAGGGACTAACGGGAAAAGGAATATATGGAACAAAAACAAATTCCCTTTTTTAAATAAATGGAGAATTATCTGGGGACTAGGGTAGTATAGTGATTCTGTGTTTACACACTACGGTATCCATTCATTCCCATCTCTTTTAATTCATCAACATCCAAATACAGTCATATAAATCCACATTCAACCTTAGAACATGGTCATCAACACACCCATAACCATGGCCAACACTCCCGTAGTGAAGCCGTTGGCCCACATCTTGGCACCCGCGCTCTTGTCGCCCTTGTCGTTCTTCTGCTCGAGCCTGGTCGCGTTCTGGTTGCCGTGACCTCCCACAACGCCAGGGCTGCTCGTGAATGTCGTCTGGTTGTATTTGCCCTGCTCGTCGCGGCCCAACAAGAAGCTCTCCGGGGGACCCAGGTACGACTTCCTCACGCCGCCTAGGTCGACCACGACCTTCTGCACGATGATGTTCGGCAGAAGCGCCCAGATCCGCAGCGTGTACGCGCCCTCCTGCGTCACGTTGAACGACGTCGTCGTGTAGTTGCCAGTCAGACCCCAGACGGCATCGCCCACCGCGTAGCCCCATCCGTCAGGCATGTTCTGCCCCTGAGTCTTACCCACCGGCTGTACCGTCTTGGGCTGCGGCCCGTCGCTGCCCGAAGGGAACAGCGAGATGCCGTACTCCAGCGGGTTACCGTCGCCGAGGTAGTTGGCCGTGGGTGAGATGTACAGAGTGACGTTGGCCTTGCTGCTGTTGGTGAAGAGGTACATGTTGTACTCCAACGCGGGACCCTCGCCGAGCTTGACCTTCTCCGAGTCCGCCGGGTACAAGCCGACGCCTCCGAGCGTGCGCCCGTAGTTCTCAAAGACATGGTACTCGAGCTTGCTCGAGTTGGATGACGAATTGCTGCTGCTGCTGCTGCTCGGCTGAACAATGTTCTGGTAATGCGGGCCCTCGATCGACACGTGGCCGTCAGACTCGACGAAGCCCTTGGTGAAGTTGGACGGAACGGCTCGGTTGACCACGGGGATGATGACCCTCTGTCCCGGTCCGGCATATCTCTCCAGGCCGCGGCACGGCGTGGTGATGTTGATGTACACCTGCGTCGCGTTGGGAGCCTTGGGAGCATTTTCCCAATCGATCGAGACATGAACACGAGTGTCCGTGCCGTTGTTGCCGCCGACAGTGCCATTGTACTGCGACAGCTTCACCCAGGGCTGCCACGGGCTGGCCGTCCACTCACAGCCTTGCGTGCCGCGGGTAAAGACCTCAAAGTAGCGAGTGAGCGCGCCGTACGGGTCCAGGGGAGGCGTGGCGAGGTCGTTGGCCGAGTTGGTGTGCCACTTGTCGTCTCCCTGGACGCTGGCGTTGGAACCCTCGACGCCGACGCCAATCTCACCACCCAGCGAAGGGAATGCCGTCTGCACAAAGCGCATGTCTGGAAGCGTGTTTCTCATAGGCTGTTGCCAGTACCCATCGTATCCCAGATGAGTCTCTATAGCGGAGTCAGTGATGTGATTTGCATAAAGGTAAACGAGCCTACTTACGGTCAAGAATGTGCTGCCACTTGCCGTCCAGGAGGTTGTTCCACCTGATGGTAAGGTTCGCGTCAGCTGCCAGCAAAGCTCGGGACTCATCAATGATGTCGTTGGCCAGGTTGCGCTTCTGGCCGGCATACAGCTGGTTCTTGGCTCCGTTGATCTGGATCTTGTGGAGAATCTCTCCCGCTAGAACGGGATGGAGGATCATCTCGAAGAAGGCGGGCTGGTACTCCTCGTCGAGGGCATCGTACACGGCTTGGGCCTGTTCGTGGAGGATGGCCCACTGCTCCAAGACGGCGTCGGCCTCGTTGTAGTTGATGACAGAGTACGTCTGGGGCTCGACGAGCTCGTACTTCCTGCGAGCCGCATACATGCCGTACTTGGTCATGACATCTGTAATGTTTGCGGCGTGCTCAGTGCCGAACTCGCGGCCGACCCACGAGCTGAGCCACTCCTGCGTGTTGTCAGGCCCCCATTTCTCCGTGTCGTATGCGAGATCGAAGAAGTGGCTGATGGGGATTTCCAGGGGCTTCAGGTCGCCGACGTTGACGATCCAGATTCGGCGGGCATGGCGCGCATAAGCCAGGTACATCTATTCCCGTCAGTTGGTGTTATGGTTGAAACATTTAAACAAAACTCACCTGCTCTGCCGTCTTCTCAAGCTGAATAGTGTTGATCCACTTGTAATCTCTTGGGTCGCCGACATAGTCAAAGTGGTAGTAAACACCGGCTCCTCCGCTGCGGTCGGTCTCGTTGGTCAGAGGCAACCTTCGGATGTTGCCCCAGTTGTCATCGGCCCAGAGGAGGGTAATGTCCTCGGGAACATGCAGGCCTTTCTCCTGGTACGACTGCACTTCCTTGTAGAGACACCACAGCGAGGGAACTGTAGAAACGTCCTCAATCTCAAGCCCCTCGGCAATGATCTTGCGTTGGTTGTCAACAAGCTTCTCCAGCATAGTAACGATAGCCTCGATGCCCAGGTTACCCTCAATCGCCGTGTCACCTGTGCCGCGCATGGCCATGGTCCACAGACTGTTGCGGGCATACGGCTTGGCACGCTGCACACCGTATCGGAAATACTCATCAATCGTATTGTTGTTGAGGTTGTATGCCCATTGGCCCTTGTAGTATGTCCTAAACTCATTCTGGGCACGCATCAGCGGCTCCGTATGAGAACCGCCAAGAACGACCTCGTAGGCGTCGAGAAGGGGCTGGTTAAGCGGGTCGTCGACGTAGAAGATGTTACCCCAGAGCGTCGGCCAGAGGTAGTTGGCGCGAAGGCGGAGGAGAAGCTCTCCAACCAGACTGTAGAAATGGTGGTTGTACGGCGCGGCGTTGTTCCACGTGTCATTCCATCGTGTTCTGCTCACTGTCAGCACTCAACCTTGTCTTGATGACCGAGGACAGTACTTACGAAACCCAACTAGACAAACCCGGCTGCTCATCGTTGAGGAAGAACCCGCGGTACTGGACCGACGGCGAACCCTGGACCTTACGCTCGGGCAGAACGTAGATCTCAGTAGCCTTCTTCGAGGGGACGTCGGCCCAGAAGTACCACGGACTGACACCAATTTGTTCGCTCACGTCGTAGATACCGTAGATGGTTCCTCGAGGGTCGCTACCGGCAATCACGAGGGCACGAGAGCATCCCGGGATGGGCTCTTCGACCAATTGGCTGACAAAGGCCTCCCACTCACCCTCGACTTCGCTGACATTGAGCTTCTGGGCCTTGACGAGGTCGTCGATGAACTTGGAGTGTCCAATGGTACCAGCGATGACAACGGTGCTGCCGGGGGCAGGGTTGGTGTAATTGGGGCCGGAGAAGGATTGCTGGTCTTGCACACGGTACTAGGGAGGTCAGCCAATCTACTCCTTTGAACCCTTTATACATATTCGCTCCTCAATCTCTAGTAGTTGAAGCAGCCATTGAAGTTAGTAAACACGGAGCAACTTACAAGAGTGTTATTGCTAACATCAACTGGTTCAAAGTTGTAAACAGCAGGTGTTGCGCCGTTCTCGCCGTTGCTGAGGGTATAATTGGTGCCAGTGACACGACCAAAGTCCAACGCCAGGTCGCCAGCAGCGCGAATAACACCCCAGTAGTCGTCGCTAGACACAAGAATCTGACCAGCCCGGACGTTCCCGCCGGCGATTTGGAAGGTATTCGTGCCGCTCTTGAACGAAATAATGGATTGCTGCCCCAGAGCTGACACCAGAGGTGCCAGACCCGTGAGCGCAGCCACGAGGATGAACTTCATGACGAAGGAGGCCGAACTCCGGCGAAGCAAAAAAGCTCTTACAAGAGTCTGCGGCCGTCAACCTTGGCTTCGGAACAAAGCAATCTCGGCGAGCGTCTTTGGCAGCTCACAGCGAGGTAATGCGTACCACGGGGAGGCAGCCAGGCAGGGTAGAAGACAGAACCAGACGGACAGCTTCTCCGGGGGGGAGAAGCTCGAGCTATTATATACTACGTAAACATACAGCCAAACGTCCAATTGACCTGCACGACCCAGCCGTCAGGCCAGGAACGGTTGGAGAAACAGCCCGGGATGATGCTTCCACGGGGGGGAAAAGCAGATTGATCAGGCATGGGCGAGGTGGCATCCATGGAGCACACGCACGCAGTTTGAATGACACCACAGACATACATAATAGCTTCAACCCCACGACCAATGAAGGGCGAGTCACGCACGCAGGGACGGGTTTTTGGGGACGTCCAACATGGGGCGATCGTGCCTGACCGACGGTTAAACAGGGTCACCCAAGGAGACTAGAACCAGCAAAAACATTCATTGCTCACGCCCGGCCGGAGAGAGGGTCGGCAAGCTTCTTGGCCCCTGTGGGAAGAAAAGCCGTCATTCCACCAGAGACCCATGGGATCCCCAACCTCCAATGTGTTTGGGGTCAAGCTTCCCCGCAGCGCGGCGTGCCGGCTACTCGCAAGCGAAGCGTGCCTTGTCGGCAGTCTTACCCATGTCGTTGATCGGATCAGTCACCAAAGGAAAGGTTGCCGACTGCCGAGGGCTTGATTTTGATGCGTAAGTGAACGTCAAGTCTTGAGAGTCTAAATCAACCAGGCTATTTAGCATCTCATCCGCCTAAGAAAAGCCCATCATCAAATATTAGCAGTAGAACCACAACAGATTCACGGGTTAAACTACTCCAAAAAAGAAGTCCATTTTGGAGAATTCGACAATCTTCTGACCCAAGGTACTGACGGTAAAAGTCGCTGCGGGGAAACACACGGTCTTGTGCCATCCGAAGTGGAGAGGTTGAATTTAGCCGCAAAGCGAGCATTTCCACGCCGAATTTGCCTGTTGGGAGTTGGAAGCACAAAGTCCCGACCACTACCTAGACTGCCCAGACTGGAGTCTTTTCTTCCCTTCTAATTATCCGGTCGCGTGTCCCGGCACCCAGGTACGACGAATATGAGGCCATACTGGAGGCTTTTCAAATGCCCTCACAATCCCCCACAACCTTTCGATCCTGGCCGACGTCATCGCGCTTTCTCATGATATTGACTCGTGGAATAATGATAGCAGGGATGTATTGCGAATCCTTGGGTCCTTGCGAACCGGCAATATGGTTAACATCCATTTCCATCTACTTCCGCAGTGCTACGGTAACCCTAAGAGCAGGAAGACGGAACTAGATTTTTGTTGCCATGTTTGCTTTTTTTTAGAATAAGTACCAAGTACTCAGCTGGGTTTGGCCGTCCTTTTCGATGCTATATCCTCTTCGTAAAATGTTTGTTGTCAAGACGTCGAGTAAGTCCGCGTGGTAAGTGAGGTGTTGCTGCTTCTCAAACGTATTTTAGATTGGGTCTCGTCGTAGATACATTTTCGAGCACCGAAACTGTTGGCACCATCCAGTATGGATGAGAAGAACCATTCACCATCTATTGTGCTTGAAAATTTGGTGAAGCTGTTAACGATGACTTACTGGACATCCGCAGCTTCATGTATCATCGCATCTTTATTGACGGCTTTCTCAAGAAACCTGTCAGTTCTTGTCCATCCTCCATAGCCAACATCGATTGTATAATCACTGAAAACCATTTGGAGCGCAAAATCTGCGATTCTTATTCAGCGCCATGGCCTGCGATGAGTACAATGACGGAATTTTTAGTGCATCCCTTACAGTTATGTACATCCTAAACCCAACTACGCCGTTGAAACTCCGCTCCGATGGAATGCCGTCCTTGCCCGAGTATTCGAAAATCGCACCATTTCTCGTGGGTGCCTCGCTAGGATCTTCGTGCCGTGAGTTGGTCTGACAAGAGCGCGACGACCTCGTCGACATCCAGCTCACTTAGAAACTGACACCAATCATGATGCGGGCGGCGCCCAGGCGTACTTTGGCAGTTGCGCCATCCGTTCTTCTGGACTGACCTCGGTGTCGGCGTATACCATCCTGACGTTCTTTTCCTTGTCCTTCTTTGACTTCTTGTCTCCTGCGGCTTCTTCCTCGTCTTCGGGCTTCTTGGGTGCTTTTATGCCCGACTCGGCCCTGCGGATAAGCTCATCAATCTCATCACCATGTTGTGCGGCACCCGAGACAAGCTCATCGACAGTCGACGCGCCTGGGTACTGAGGAGCACCGGCGCCATTCCAGAACTGGCCCCCATACTGAGGTGGCCTTTGGGGAAGGCCAGGTGTCGCCTGCAAGCCACTTGATGGTCTCGCCGGGAGAGATGACGGAGAGAAGCCGTTGTAGTTGCCAGATGGGTAGCCCTGTTGCGGGTACTGCGTCTGATCGGGAGTAGCGCCGTATGGTGCTTGAGGTGGGGGGTAGGGGGAGTTGTTCTGGGATACATGTTAGCATAGATGTACATGTTAGTTGAAAGAAAACACGTACAAATGCACCAGGACTTGCGCTTGCGGGCGCGCCGTTGGCGGGACTGCCGCTGGTTCCCGTAGCCTGTCCGGAGGATAGCTTTGCCCGATGCTCAGCAAGTCGCGCCTTGAGCTCCTCGGGGGTCTCGACCTTGAGCTTCTTTCTCGGCTGCTTAGATTGGCCAGGCAACGGGTTACCGGTCGCAATGCGACGATCCTCTTGCGCCTGGTAGAAGTTCTGGATGATGCGGTTTCTGTGCTGATCCAAGATGTCTTGGGGAATACCTTCCATGCCAAAGATCTCAACATCCAGACCTTGTCGGTTCGGTAGCGCATTCTCGACTTGGGTAAGCGTTTCCTTGTGTACTTGGTTCAGATGGACGGAGAGACCTGAAGTTTCACAAATGTTAGTTGGCGACACATCGCAAGTAAGCGGCGGCGTGTGTTAAACCCACCTCCAGCAGTGTTCAGGCGGCGACCGCATCTATCACACTTAAAGTGCTTGGCCTTCTGATGGGAGATGAGAAGCTTCAAGTCTTCAAAGTCACGTTCGCCTGCGATGAAAGTCAGTATGCGCATTCAGACGAGCGGGGAGAGGAGCTTGTTCTTACAGTAGTAGCACCACGGCCGAGAGAGGACGTCCTCGACGTCGGGGTGTCCGCGCTTCTTCTTGCCCATCGTGACGGTGTCGAATTGAATCGATTGAAAGTAGAGCTCGACGTTTGTTCGTGGATGGAGATGCGCGATTCGACGGCGCGAAGTGGGATGCGGCGGCGGAGGAGGTGACGTTCGCGGAGGGTTTCTGTAGAGGCTGGCGCCGGGAAGGGATTTGACGCGAAAGCTGCTTGCCAGCAATCCACTGAACCTTCCCAAGCACTGACGCCTGCTCAATTGGCCGCTAGCCAGATGTGGACTAGCGGAAGAGGAGCCGAGGTGTGGCTCGTGTCAGCCACACATGACTGTGCCACATCCTCCTCACACTGTCGATCAACCTGGCACAGTCGCTACATCTCACCAAGATGATATACCATCGAGATACCTGGTCCGGCACAGTTTTCCTTGCTCTATCATGTTAGAGCGTTCATATTCATAAAATATAACCGATGGTTCACAAAGGTATCAGCCTCGACTAAACCATCCAGTCTGTCCAATCTCACTACGCACGGCCGAACGTCCCGCTTCAGGCCTACCTCCTGATGAGGGACGAACTGAAATCAGTCTCTGCTCCGTGTAACTCGTACACACCTGATTTAAACTACGAGATTTGAAATACATATCGCTTTGTTCGCAAAAATTTCCGTCTTCTTCCTTGGTCTGCCACTAGGTGGCCAGTGCTGGCACTGAGGAGTTGTCTAAAGACACCAGCATAATCCACTATTCGACCTAGGACAAACTCTTCAACTCCTTACTTTAGCAGAGTTAAAGAGCATAGCTCGGAAAGATGGAAATGTCATTGCCAGACGAACTCTGGGTTGCTATTTTCTCATATCTGCCCGACTTCAACAATCTGAGAGACGCTGCCCTCACTTGTCTAACATGGTTCCGCTGTGCTCCTTCGGCTTGTCGTCAGGTGATTCTGAACGAGACAAACCAGCACACCCTTCCTGAAGCTATTATGGCATTGGAGTCTTCTAAATTCAGCCCCAGAGATCTCAATATGGTCGCTGCTTATAGCGACAAATATCTCAAAAAACGACCCCCTATCCCTCCTTCGATCAGCATGGCTGACGGTGCCGCCCTTGCGGAAATAAGCAAGTGCGCCCGCCATCTAACAGACAAATATCAAGAATTCGCCCTCCAACGTCTCACAAAGGAGCAGCGTGGTCTAGCCGATGACCGCCGAGACTGGCCACAGCCTCCTGCCTCGCCCGAGGAACCTACAGCTGCAGAAACGGCCCGTTTCCAACGAGCTCTGTACCGGTTTGAGGTTTACTGCAATCTTTTTAAAGATCCAGAGGTCGTAAGGTTCAACCTAGACGTCGTCAATTTTCAACGGGCTCATTTCTTTGACTACCTGTCGCCCTGGGAGATGGAGCAGCTGGTTGGTGTGAGAGACTATCTTGCAGCCGCCATAATCGGACCTCGTGAGTACCAGCTGAACCATATCACTTGACTTGACGCTAACATGTCCGGTAAGCATTGTATGCACTCGTAGAGCTCCGGAAGCTCGAAGCACTCTCAAAACACCATTGTGGCCCCCGGAACGGGCAACAAGTGGTGTACTGGACAGGTCCGGTTCTCCCACCTAACCTGGAGCGCGGGGACTGCCACATCAAGCAGAATCAAGCTCGACTGCTATGTTTTGGCATCAAGTTTCTCTACAAAGTGTCTATTACACCCACCACCCAATTCTACCAGCTTCTCCTTGCTCTCCCTCAGCAACCGCGGTACAACAGCTACAATCGCGTGGGCGAGATCTACGTCTGGTTCTCTGATGCTGTGGACGAATGTAATGAGCTGAGCAACCTCGAACTACCACTCGACAAGCCTGTGGGCGCGTGGACGACAGAGGAGTACAGGGAACACGTTCGGCAATCTCTGGTGACCCAGGATACTGACAAGGGGCCCGAAGAAGCCTGGTATTGGGCATACCAGTGGTTTCCGGGTTTTGAGAACAACGATTTACGAATGACTAATTGCCGTCTTTTTGGGCTGTTCTTCTGGGACTCCGAGCGGCTTAAAAACGTCAATTTCTTCACGCGAGTCGACTTCTGGTGGTGGAGGTGGGAAGGTGGCCGCCAGCCAGACTTTGACTGGGAAGTTGGCGCTACGAACTTTCAACGATTTTAATACGTCCATTCAAACATAAGCTGGGGTAGATGGGAGGTGTGCAAGATGTGGGTGATCAGGTTCTTGGTGTGGTCACATGACTGCTGTGCCTCATCAGTCTATCCACTGAAATCATGACGGCACATGCTCACTTCCTGGGAAGCCCGGAACCCAGAGAATGGTTATCAATTGCTCTCGAACATTTCTTTCTCATTGAGTTTATCACACATGAGATCACACATGAGAGACCTAGATTGCGTAGGTGAGACAGGCTCATTATGGAAGGGCATATACTGCACTTGCATCCAGACGACGACAAGGGAGACAAACCATTGATCGACACGACGGAAACAATCAACGACAAAGTATTTCATGAGTCCAAAGACCCTAGAGATGACAGTGACATCCTGAACGATGTATTCAACAAGGAAAAAAAGAGAAAAGTGATGTTGTCGTGAGACTCACAGCTGGTCTCGCTCCAGCACCTCCAGGAGCTTTCGACGACTTACACTAACCTCCAAGGAGCTTCCCCGAGCATTTTTGAGCAGTTGCACCTGCCTTGCAATCAAAAAAAGCTGCAATGGCGACGACATATAGCTTGGACATCATCAGGAGGTAGATCCATCGAGTGCAGGCCCATGTGCTGTGTGGGGAGTAGTTGGTCTCAACGGGGGTGGCAGGAATCCTGCCTGCTCATTGGTCCATACCGAGGACACCCAGAGGAGAGGGACACTCACCACATAAAACCCCCGGATATCCCACCACCCTCCTTTACTCAACCTCTCCCCCCTTCTCTGACTTCTTCGCCTTTATCAGAGAACTTTCTCTTTCGGCCCAGAAAACACGCCAGCCATCACCTCGCATCTCGTCGAGCCCTCCCGAACCCAGTCAGTCGCCTTCGGATACCTCGCATAGCACACTACCCTTCCACTGGCCTCGTCACACCCCGACCTGGCCATCTTCGCCATCTCACGACTACCACTTCATCGCTTTTCATCCAGATCATCTGGTAAGACCTTCATCTGTCATGGCTAACACCATGCATCACGCTCTTGAGTACTCATCAGTGCCCAGGACGTAGCGGACCATGGCATTCATGCCTCTCGCCTTTGAGACCCGGTCAGACACCACCACCAGGCTCTCTTACACCAGATCGTCATTGAGCCCAGCAAACCAAATGGACACTCGCATGCCGTCATCACGAGGGAACACTTCCCCTCACGGCTTCAATACCGGGCACGCCGTCCTCAGCCCTCGTGATCGTCTTTCGCCAAAATTGCAGGACTGGCCACCGTCGCGAGCAATGCACTCCGACTTCTACTCCGCCAGTAGCGCCTTCGGTCACCTGACCAAGGAGCGCTTTCACAGCACATCTCCACGACCCCAGAAGACGTCGGACGCCTCCCAGGACCGCCGGAAATCCAAGCCCAAGTCACCCAAACGCAGACGCAACCCGGATCACAGCCTGCTGGCCATCGGATCGTGGAGCAACCAATCTCACCACCATGAGACAAACCACTCGCATGCCAATCGATTCGGCGACCACGTCACCTTCAATGACCAGGCTGCTGCCAACGACCTGCCGATGGGTTACTCGGCTTCATTCAATGAAACCGACGACTTCGTCCTCTTCCCCGACGACACTCCAGAGGACGAATTGGTGCCTTACGGAAGGCCATTGCCGCCACGAGCACCTCGAATTTCCCGCTTGCGCACACCGGACATCGCTCCTCTATCCACAGATGTCCAGTTCTTCCCTTGTCTTGGCGATGAGTGTGAAGAGGACAGAATCAATGAGGCCTGGTACCTCGCCGGACGAGAAACGGTCGACTCACAACGTCAGTTTCATTCCATGATCTCGTAGTCTCACCATCTCACGATCTGGCGTGTTGGTGTTTTACTCGAAAAGTCCAAAAGGCTAACTGTGCTGCAGTAAATGATGCCCTGGCCTACATGGCTGGCGTGGAAGGCCGCAGAACATTGCCCTGGAAGTGAAGTTATTCTCCTGGTGCAATGGACGAGGCTTCCATCGTATTCTGGCGTTTCTTCGTGTTGTGCGATAAAATGAGCTCCTCGGGAGGGAGATGCTCACTCGACGATGATTTCGGTTTGACGATACAAGTACGGCCACGGCGTTTGGCGTGGGACAGGACAGAAGCTGTAATGAACTCCTAGGGAAAAGATAAGCTTAACATAACGGGCGATGGGAATTGACTATGCGATTATTAAATCCTTTGAATGTGATGTCGTGATAATCATCGTGACCGAAGACGTTCGATGTCGTCGCCCGGATTAGAGCCTGAGGCACATGAATGGAGATGTATAAGTCTAGGATGCATGAAGCGATAGAATGTTTGAAACGATTTACATAAATACATAGGATTTCATTTGAAGATCTGGCGTAGTTGGCGTGGACGACGGGGTAAAGCCCTACCTACGATGGCTTGACTTACACGTTAACCAAGCAATCCTAGGCGGAGGCGAGGAACGAAGAACAGAGTGACGTTGGGGGAGGGAAGAGGTGAGAAGGCGGGCGGGGAGGGAGACCCTGAAAGCCGATGGTGGCCCGTGCACTCAGGTTCTCTCCCTCACCGAAGGCACCTGCACTCACCGATACATGCCGCTATTGCATATCTGACCCAACTATATAAGCATATACTGCATATAAGACACAAACATACTGATAATTGCTTGTTATTCACCATGTAACATAATTCTGTTCTATGAAGTAGACTCTATTTTGGGTATCATTTCCAATCCGCCCCGACGCCCTCTTCTCCCGGCTCCTCATCCTATCTCCGAGCAAGATGTGCCTTCTGCGGTTGCTTTTTATTAGGAAAGAAGGTAATGCTCTTGAAATATGAAGGTCCTGGTGGAGACTTTAGGAAATGCTCTGCCCAGAGACCAACTGTCGGTTCGACCTGGTATCTGAGTGCTAGCGCTGTTGTGGCGGGCATACCCCAAACAGAGTACCCTCTGACCATGCTGTTTCTCACACACTCCCGCAAATGGCTCGTGAACCATTCTGGGCTCGGCTTTTTCTCGATTCCCATCTCCTCGAAGAAGTCCAGGAAGTTGTTGATGTCATGAAGACGGCGGACGTCGGTCGACAGTTGGAGAGCAGCTCCGGCGGGTGGCGCGCCGTGGCGCTCGAAGAGCTCGTCACGAATCTGAACAAGCGTCTTCCCATTCGAGGGCCTCGCTATGCGGCGGAAGAGCTCCGAGAACATTAAGAGACGGTAGGATGTGCGGCTGGCCTCAAAGGTCTTCCTCAAGCGGTAGTGTGACGTTTTGTCGGGCTCCAGATAGCTCAGCTCTGGCATGTTGGCTCCATTCTTGTCAAGCATCCAGACCACGTTGCGCGTGATAGCCTCGGTGATGATAGCTTTCCGCAGCCTCTCGGTAATTTCAACATCGCTAATGAGAAGATACACAAGAAGATGCCCTAAATTCGGGCAATCAGCCTTGGACGTATTTCCTTTTTTGAAACTCTGGATTTTGGCATTGGCGGTCTTTATGAGCCGGTCATCCTCAGTTGCGAGACACAGAAGCAAGTGAAACAGATGGAAATAAGACTCTATCGCCTTCTCTGACGCGTGACGCAAGGTGCTTTTCTGCGCAGTCCTGATGTTATACGAGTCGCGGTGAGATGCCCTGCCTGAAGGCTGCTCCGCTTCTACCTGGTTGAGGCGCACAACAATGGCGTTCATGAATGCCGCAAGAACGTCAATAGGGGAACTGCTCGATATGAAGGCTTTCCCCGCTATGGCGCGCATCGCAGGTGCAACGTCTTCCCGCACCGATGCCCAATGACGGTGGGATAAAGGCAGCGGCAGCCAGTGCTGGAACCGGATGTTGTGAACAGAAAGCCGAATGGACAAGTCCTGGAAGGCCGACTGAGAGATGAAGTCGAATTCGGACTCGATGGACCGTCCTACATTGCTCGACACTGCGACTCCCACTCCAAGTTTGGTGTTCTGGAAGTTGGTCTTGGAGAAGAAACATTGAAGCTCGCGCAACCTGATCAAGTCGTAGTGTGTTATGATTTTGGCAACCCTCGGCCAGGCCTGCGAAAAGGCGATCAAGTCCTCAAAGTCGAGATTCTCGAGCGCCGCAAGGAGGAGTTCATCTGGCAAAGTGGCTAGGGCAAACTGCCTCCGGTGCTCCTCGTCAGCCGCCATGGTACCCTCTGATGGAGGGTGGGCTTTGACGGCATATCGACGAAGTCTCCTAACATCCGCTTTGGATTTGGTACCATCAAAGTCGCAATGTTTGCAGATAAACGTCTGCTTCATTGTTAGGCTTTGTTGCCGATAGTGTTGGAGGCTGTACTTGACGTCGCCGTATGATTGCTCTATAGACTCGCTGTTGAAGAAGCTCAGCATCTGGATGGCGATACCCTTGAGGGTATACGCCGGTGTGTATCCTTCAAATGTGTTGAGAATTGAAGCGCAGATGTATGAGCTGAAGACGTTGGGATGCTGCATTGCCGTGTCCATCTTGATGGTGGGAGCAACTAGCGGGTAGCGATCCCTAAATTCTACAGTAGTGTGAATGGGCATCCAGCCCTCCGGCTGGAGTACAAGACAGGCTTTCTTGAGATCGTCATCTCTTGTGTGCAGTGTGATCCGAGGATATGGCTGCTGCTGGAGCTCGGCAATATCCTGGAGGAGACGACGCTGCAAATGGGCTGTCATGATGACTTGCCTTGATGATGTTGGATGGCGATGATGGATAGAGACTGATGACCATACGCAAGTCTGATGCGATTGGCTTGTTTTAATAATTTTCAAAGCAGTGAGGCCATTTTTTGATTGTCTTGTTGCCGGATGAGTCGAGTGGTGGTGGCTGCTGATTGCGGAGGTCAATTGGCCTCACCTGGGTTGAGGCCTCAATGGGGCAAGAAAGACCTGCGCGTAAGCATCCTTCCAACATCGGTCGCCCATAGCTAGAAAAAGAGTTCTTTAGCGTGGCAGTGTTTCAGAAACACTTTGACTTTATTTCTTTTACTTTCAAAACGCATGTCTTGCGTCCAAAACCATCCTTCCTCTTTCTCTTTTTTATCATCCAAGATTTGGTAACCTTTCCTGCTTGGTAGACGATATATGATTAATATGGAAAGTGCTTCAGTCATATCCAATCCATTCTAGATCCTACTCATCGATCCACCAAGAAAATGAGCCTGTTTGTTTTCTTTCGAAAACAATTAAAATTAAACACGGCATCAGGCCAGACGTCTTTGACCGATACTTGCATTGAATGAGTCTTTGATCCGAGGGGTGACCTGTTGACAACCACAAGACGACTACCCATTATGCCTGTTATACAACTACAGGCAAGTACCAGTTTACGGTCAAAACACTCAAAAAAGCTCCGGCGATGTTCGAGAACATGCTTCTTAATTGTTGCATTTTTCATATTCTTATGTTGTAAAAAGGGGCTTTGGGCGACCGTTTGCAAGACGTTTTACTGTAAACAAACATTTGACCTGTAGTTGTCCAGCGTCAAATAGCTACTCAGTCCTAAAGCCATGTACCTATAACAACTTACTTGCGCCGGTTGCATGCAGAAACTATTATCTTTAGCCAGAGGCTCTTTGGAGAGTTCGGCGTATGCGAGATTGGTTCCTTAAGGGGCGGCACAGTGGACATGACCTGCATTGCCGCATGACCCCTCCACATTTAAGCTTACCCTCGTGTATCCCTGTCTTTCTTGACATCAATCGTGATACCAACTCCATGTCAACACGAGCCACCTCTCTTTTCGATCAGATTAGAGCAGATGTCTACTTTTCTCAACCGCCTGAGTCCCTCGCCTGCGTTAACTGCCACCGGGGGATTGCAGGTTCCCACCCCAAAGTCGGTTTGTCACAACTCGCGCAGCTTCTACACTCGAACATGGCGCTCTTCTTGGCCATGACAGAGAGCCTAGGTGTACAGTAAATAAGGTAGGCGAAACAGTTCTGGCTGGGGCGTGGGCAAAACATTCCCTAAAGGGGCGAGCTGCCACCACTAGTACCGAAGTTCTTACAAAGCATTCGAGGCAGTGCATATTTGGCGTATTGACAAGCACCAGACATGGCACAGAGTTTGGGTCTAGCATAGGTCACAGAAAACCCCGAAATTTCAAGAACATGCATGTTTTGAGAGGAATTACACCCCTTCCTACCGTCTCATCGCTTTAGACGAGTTCTGAGCGCCTCTATGGTATCTTGATAATTAACAAAATGAACGCTCGTTCCTTCACTGTATAGAGTGCCTCTTCAGAGCCTTTTGAGAGCTCCGATGACCCCCTTCAATTTCAGTGTGAGTATGCCGGTGAAACCATGCCACCGTATCGATGCTAATGAGACCCAAAAGGTAAAATGCTCACCGCTACCCTAACGCCGCCAGTATGCAAAGAGTAAGAATGCCTTCAGCCGGAACTGCTCAGCCCCGTGCAGGGGCCTGTTGCTTCATTTGGATCCTCCTCAGCATCATCCACGTCGACCGAGGCTCAAACTTCTCCGTCTTCGGGTTCCAGTGGCCCCAAACATCCACCACAACAAAGCCCTTTGGCAGCTCGATCTCGACAAATCCCGAAACGAGAATGCAGCCTCGCGGGGGATAGGCTCTCGTGGGTTTCCAAGACTGCGCCAGCTTTTTCCGGAATTCCCTCGCAGGACCATCAGTAATCTGCTTCATGCCCTCAATGTGGGAAATGGCTGTGTCCCTAACGAAGTTGGTTCTGCCGCCACTTTCAGGCTCTCCAGATTGCCTAGCGTCGGAGGTCTTGCTAACATCGTGGGAGGCGTTTTCTGCTGGTGTTCCATCCGGAGTCTGTCGGTTGGCCGAGGGAAGGGGTCCCTCTGTTTTGGTTTGTTGCATGTTGCCGCCCCGCGCTGGCGGGAATGGCTGCGCTGGCCTGCTCGGTTCAAAACCAAGCGCTCGAGACACATCATTAAGGTGCTGCTTCACCAACGCTGACGCAAACGCCCACGAGGAGACGGTCATCGCCTCTGGCCAAAGGATCTTCCGCAGCCTATTGACTGTCAGGGAATCGACAGGCTGGGTTGACCAGTACAGCCCGTCATCCTGCATCAGAAGTCTGCAAACTATTAGTAAGGTGTCGCCTTCCGAAGACGGATCCAAAGCATCTTTTCATACCCAGAAGAGTAGTAAACTGGCGGTGGACGGTAGGGGAAGTCGATGTCCAGCCAATACCTCCGTAGCTTTACCACATTGCCGCATCTCGTTGTGATAGTAGGATTGCGCTCAACGGCGTTCCGCACCCAGTTAGCTAGGTCACCTGCGCAGTCGTGTCAGCCAAAGTCCGAGTCGCCGCATCGCTGTACCTACCCCTCATCCGATTCTGAAGGTCTCTATCCTTGCTGACCTTCACGTATTCTCGCCACTCCGGGTCGGTACCCTTGTAGGGTGGTTGGTTCACCTGTTTGGTCGTAAACGGGAACGGAATGAACCACGGTTCTACTTCCTCCTCCATCTCTTCATCTAGCGCTTTCTTTTCTGCCGCTGAAAGACTCTCATATTCTCTGTCTATGTGTCGGAAGAAGGGGTTCAGGACAGTCGACCAGTACATGTGCCAGCAAGCCAGCGAGATACCTGCGCCGAGAAGAAATGTCCTAGAAAATAGTTAGCGATTGCGCTCTCCGGAAGAAGCAATAGAGGACATATCCCGTACCTAGCCCTGAATCTGGGTTTTGAGACCTTGACCCTCTGTACGATGATGGTCTGTTGACCTGGAACCGTCGGCGCGAGCGCCCGAGCAGCGACGGTGCTTGCGCGTGGCCGAAATAGACGCCACATCGTCGATGGTTTGAGGGGCACGCCGAACAAGGGCGGCCGTATGGGATTCAGTGACAGAAAGAGTCGCTTTTAGAGGTAATGGACAGATCGCAGGACGTCGAAGTAGGGAAGACGGAATATGGTTCGTTACGATGACTGAGGAAGATCGACAACGGTAGCCGGCGGAGGTGGGATGAGTGGCGAACAGGTGACCATGTGAATCGGCAACAAGATGAAAGAAAGTCGAGAAGTAGTAATGCGACGGTAGAAGTGAAATAGAAAACTGCAGATTGGTTGGCTCCAGCAGCAGTTGTTTGGTTCCCGAAAGGCGGCAGTCAAAGGCGTTCTCAACCTTTCGAGGTGGACAGTCAGCTACCCAGAACGCGGCTCTCTCTCAGATGCTCTCCGCTCAAGTTACCAACCGATGTTCTAGATGCCTATCGGCGCACAGTGTTTGTTGGGTCCGACATTCACCCCACTGATGCCATGAGATTCCACTGAAAGACACCCGCTGCAGGGTCTCGGGACAGTGTGGATGACAGGTGTGCACGGGGCAACACTGCCCGATAAGCCGCTGCCGGAGAAATGGTTTAGCCGATACAACTAACTGCTGGAAACACGGGGGCAAAGGCTCCAATGGACCCAGCCTGGGACGTGCTGCGACAGCTCGACTTACGTGCCGACTCGCCGCAGCTTTGGAGACAGCAGCAACCAGCAGCATCGAGCTCGCCCTCTTCACACCACCATCGCCCTATCCATCTCTGAGCTCCATCCCCGATATTCTAACATCATGAAGCTCTCCGTGGGGCTTGCGACTGCCCTGGCCGGTGTCGCGACCGCGCTCTCCTCAGACCAACCCGCTGACGTATATCTCCTGCAATCGAAGCAGGCCTCGAGCTCCAACATCCCATCATTACCACGACAGATTGCCCGCCTTATCCTTCTGCAGCGTCTGTCCCCCGAGGGCCAGCATGGAACATGGGATCTCCCCCAATCTATCTCCGATGAGAAGGCTGTCAGCTACCTGAACGAATTCGGCATGGCGCCGCAGGGCCTCTTCAGCAACGCTGCCTCCGCCAACCCTTCCCAGCTTGTCGTTATGCTTGAGGGCATTACCGCCGACGATGCCAAGAAGATTCAGAACTCGCTTGGTGCTAAGGCACCGAACTTTAGAGTTGGAGATGCCCCCTCCGCCGCCGCCAACGACCTGTTATTGGCCAACGACTTCCAGAACATTGGTGTTACCCAGAAGGGTTGCCAGTTTGAGAAGGCTATCAACCCATTTGCGGAGCAATGCTGGAGTGGCAAGTCATCTGTTGCTAGGTTCGACGCGAAGAAGGTATGGATTACTTGTCTCTGCTATCTCGAGGTTTCTATGATGCTAAAGCCCCGCCTAGGACTCTTCCATCGTCACGTCCCTTACCGATAACGTCTCCCTCCTCAACAAGCTCGCTCAGAACGGCGAGATGGAAACCATTCTCGTTGTCATGCCCGAGTCATCTCGCAACTCTAAAGTTCGTTCCTGGTCGTCCAAGCCCGAAGAGCTTAAGCGCCGCCAAGTTGAGGAGGTGATGACCGAGTCCGACGAGAACGACCAACCCGCGCCCACGAGCCCCGCTAAGCCCACCAAGAGTGGCAACCCTTTCCCAGGCAAGATCGAGCGCGGCTCGATTCCCTCTTGCTTCTCCTCTCTGGAGTCTTGCCAGGAAGCGACCAAGAACTGCACTGGACATGGCGACTGCTACAACAAGTATCAGAAGGCTAACGGCGAGGTCTCGGGTACCTGCTTCGCCTGCTCGTGTCTTAAGACCAACTCCACTACTGGCAGCACAACCCAGTGGGGAGGCCCGGCTTGCAGCAAGGTCGACGTCAGTATTCCCTTTTGGCTTTTCACTGGCTTCACTATCGCCTTGGTTGGCATTCTTTACTTCGCCATTAGCTTGCTCTTTAATGTCGGTGAAGAGCAGCTCCCTGGTGTCATCGGTGCGGGTGTCTCAAAGTCCAAATAAAAGCTCACTTGGAGTGATGCTTTACGTAAGAAAGAAAGGGGCTTGGAACGGGGTGGAGTGGCTATGCTTATAAATGGCAAGTGGTAGTCTGTACCATAGGTGTATTCTCATGCGGCGTTGGCATTGGCAGGACATTTCTCTCTTTTTACATGGAGAGGTTATTTCTTAAGACAATTGAGGAATTGAAGCAATGTTTTTTTTTTCTATGAAATAGTCTATTTTGGGGGGGTATCATTTGAGGGTTCGTGGTGAAGTTGCTGCCCGGCGCGCTCAACCTAGGTCCTCTGGATCCGGTCGCTCGTTCGGGGTGGTTCCGAGGCTCTCCAGACCCCTCTCTACTCTGAGTTCACTCGCTCCAGCACTCGTGATCTGCCGCGCTGGCGACTGCGTAGCTGATTCCGCGGCCGATTCGTGCCCGATTGCTGCCGTGTACTTCTGCCCAGCTTCGTTAAGAAGCTGCTGTACCTCGTCCTTCCTCGTCAGGATGCTCTCCTTCTCTTGTCTCAGTTCCTCCACGCGTTTCTTCTTGTCTGCGAGATCCAGCTCCATCGCCCGCATTGTCGTCTGCAGCCTCGAGAGACACTCCGACAGACTGGGCAGTGGGGTAATCTTGGGCGGGACCTGTAGAAGTTGCTCTGTCGGGTTCCGCTCAGGCTTCTGAAGACCGTCCAGACCAGACCGCGTCTGCGCCGCCTCAAAGGCCGCACGCCGTTCAGCCTCAGAAGCGTCCGACTCGTCACCCGAATCACCCTCGGCCATCTTGATCTGTTCCGCCATCTCGCGCCGTCGGCGAAGCTTCTCTTCCCTCTCCGCTTTCCTCCCAAGTGACAATCCGCCGTCTTCAACGAAGTCGTCGAAACCTTCACCGAGATCCTCATCCTCAGGCACAAGACGCGTATCGTCCTTTTTCTTGCGTAGTGATGCACCGCCTTCGTCATCGTCAAAAGAAATGAAGTCGTCAGCCTGTTGCTCCTGTGCCAACCGTGCCCTGCGCTGTTTCCTCTCCTGAATCTCGGTCTCGGTAAGAATATTTGTCTGGTGCGGTCGTGAGCTGAACTCGTCCGGATTGACAATCAAAGCGCCCTCCAGTTCAGACGCGTCCAAGTCCATTCCGTCTTCATCTTGTATCTGCTGGGAGGAGATATTCTGCGGTGTGTTGGGGGTCGAGTTCTGCAGTTCGTCGAGGTATTCCTTGCTGTATTTCGGCCGGTCCTCTTCCTCATCACGGAATGAGCGCATTGGGAGGCGGTTCTTCAAGGCGCTATTCTCGAGAGCTTGGTAGCCCAGCGTTGACTTCTTGGGTGTCGTGTATTCTGACTTGGCACCATCATCGCCGTCACCTTGTGCCCCGCCAAATGAAAGTCGCGATGTAGATTTCCGCTTCTTCTGCTTGAGAGAGCTCGATCGGCTAACCGTGGGACGGATCACTACAGGGCCATCGTCCTCGTCATCCTCCTGCGCGGGACCTTTAGTTATGCCCGCGTCGCCGGTCGCCGCGCCGCCATTGGAGCCGTTGAACTCGTTAACGTTGATGCTTTTACGCAGACCGGATTGACGAAATGGTTTTCTCGTGAATTTGACTGCTATCGGCGCGCCGTCTGTCACCCACATTAGCCTTCCGAACGACATCAGCGCAACGCCTCTGGACCAGAAGTGCAAACTCACCATCTTTCACGGGCTCTTGGCCAGTTGGAGAAGCTGCTGGAGCATCGTCCTCCTCGTCATCGTGGACCTTGATCACACGCGCTTTCCTTTTCGGTGTAAAAGAGCTCATCCTGGAGAGATGATGCAATTTATGGGTCGGTTTGTCGAAGTTGAAGCTCCCAAAATTAATCGTGGTTCAAAGCAAGCCGGTACCTTGGCTGGAGTTGCCGATAAGCTCTCTTATCGCCACGTGACCCACCCAAATTTCTGATAACGCCTTGGTAGGCTCCCCTCGGCCAGGCTGAGCGAGGCAGAGAAGCTCCGTCGCGTCGCAAAGCCCCCAATTCGCGCCTTCATTTACATCGGCTACCACCAACCAACCGTACACGAACGACAGACGAGACAAGATGGCGCCCGCCCAGCCCGAATTGAAAAAGGTACGGAGACCCGTCTTCCTGACGGACATTCCCGAGTCCCCGGACTTGTATGATGTACAAATCAAAAACAAACGGAGTGCCAGCTATGGCTCATCCTTTGATCAGCACATTTCCCTGCAGCCAATGATGAAAAGTGCTAACAGCTGTCGCAGTACCTTGACAAGAGGCTTTTCGTCCAACTGAACGGTAGCCGCAAGGTTATCGGTGTTCTCCGTGGTTACGATGTATGATCCATCTGCGCAGCATCATCTAGCTACCAGTGCCAACTAACTTGTCATTCTAGGTTTTCCTGAACATTGTGCTTGACGAGGCAGTTGAGGAGAAGGAGGGCGGTGAGAAGGTCCGGATCGGCATGGTTGTAAGTGCTCAATCTTCCCAATCGAAATGCTATTCCAGCGCTAAGTTTCTACTAGGTCATCCGCGGCAACTCCGTCGTCATGTTGGAGGCCCTCGAGAGAATTGGCGGCGACGATCGCCACCAGCGGTAAACAGACTTCTCATCCGGCGGTCGACTTCCATGAGATGCTTTTGCAGGGTTTACATTGCACTTCGGCGTTATAATGGCATAAAAAAGATGCTTTTTTTTGGTTCAAGACAAGGGGCGGGGGGATGAAATATGGCTAGATACCAGCAAATGTCACATTCATACGGACCACCACAGCTACCGCTGGTGCTGCAGACGACAAATGTCGGAAAGGTCTCTCGAAAACCGCGCCGCAGCCGCTTTATTTTGCAAGATCTGGCCAGGCTTTCTCTTCATACCAGTCCATCATGCGGCCGCCATACTTGCGCACCCAGCCTTTGATGCCGCCCTTGAGGATGACGGCCTGCACAGCAGTCTCACCGACCTCGTCAAAGTAGTCCTGCAGCCAGTTCGCAGAGCGTGGACCGCGGCCGTTACTGCTACCTATGCGAAGGCTTCAGCAGGGGGAAGGGGCATTTCCAAGAGTGTAGGTGTATACGTGTAGACAGAGAGGACCAGGGCGGACTATTACTCACCGCAATAAAATATAACACGCTTGACACCAGCTTGCTTACACAACTGATGGATGACGGGTCTCGTCTGGTACAGAGTCTGGGCGGGGAAGTTGATCGACGTCGATATGGTGCCACCCTCCCAGTCATTACGACGGACGTCTACAAGGAGAAAGTCGCGAGGCGTGTCTTTTCCAGCTGCAGCCTGGGCTTCAAGCAACTTCATGACCTCCTCAGCTTCGATCTCTAGAGACTTGGCCTTGGGGGTGGGAAAAGCCGCCCACCAAGGCGGGGTATCATTTCCAGCCGCAGCTTCAGCCATTGCGTGCTTGCGATCCGCCGATTTGGGGATTTAATTGATGTTTACTCGGCTGTTGTGTGTATTTCTCCAGAAAGCATCTAGTTGCGATCTTGCGGGCGCAGAGTAACGGGCGTAAATTACCCCAGAATCTGAGAGGCAATGGAGAATGGTTCAAGTTGCAGAGCCGCAAATCCGAGGTTAAGCCACCAACTCTCTCTCCTCAGCTCAATCCCCTCCCCCCCCCCAAAATCTCTCGGCACTCTACAACTGTGGAGATTCCCGCTCGGAGACATTTGTCATTCCGGGGTCCCAATTGGTTGTCAATGATACCATCACGCCAAAGGACGCCATTTGCAACTTCGAACCCTTGAGCTGCCACACCTGATGCACTTTAAAGGGTGTTTGGCTCCCGAAACTCTAAGAAACACCAAGTTGTCTATACAGTCTTTAATTTTTTTTTTTGCAACATCACAACCTGTTGCCATGAAGGCCCCCCGTGCTTGTTTTCTTTCTTTTTTATTCCCTCGTCTTGGACCTTCCAACCAGCTGTTGATCCGCCCACATGCCGAGACTAATACACGTATCTCTCTTATCTTTTCCGTGGGATTCAGGCTGGTTATCTCAACCAATAATACCGAGAGTCTGTCACCGCAGCTCTCTTAATCGTTGTCTCCCCGCAAAGTGCGGCATTTGTCCTTATCTCGACTCGCTATAATATTGCATCCGAGTTTTCTTTTCTTCGGCTTCGGTTAAAAGCTGTGTTTCACTTTTTCTCATCAAATTTTTTGGCGGCAGGCAGAGATGCAGACGAAATCTATCTTCCATTATCACCGGTGTTAGATACGGAGTATACGAAGTTGAGATGGCTTTACCCTTTGGACGAGGCCGTTGTCGGAGGAGTAATCTCCAGGCAATGGATCCGAGATGCTGCAAAGTTGCTTGTTCATCATAGAGCTATCTGTCAGGGTCATATGGCACAGTCTGGGTGTATGACACCTGCGTTCGATTATGCTGCCGTTGAGAGGAAATCATGCCTGGGGTGTAGACCATAGGTTGCTTGTTACTACTACAATGTCTATAGACTTCTTTAGATCGTAGGATTCTACATGCTCGTTCAGGCGTGGCTCGGCTTAATGGGCCAACCGCTGACTGTCAGACTGTCACACCACACCGTTCTTTACTTGGCATAAACTACTAGTCTACCGCCCTTCTGTGTTCGGCAACTCTACTATACATCTTACCTGTCGTATCTCGATTTTTCGGGCGTAGCCGGTGGAAACCGTGACACCCCAACTACTCATCTTATCCCTTCACGTCCACGACAAGGCGTCAATAGGGCGCAGAACGACACTAGCAACTGATAGCAGATGGCAGAGCAGCTTTACATCCGCTTCCCCAGTTCATACCCACCTTGTTTCCCCCACTGCGGCATCCGGAGCCAAGAGATTGGGGCCGAATCGGAAATCGCCCTGCCACTTGGGGTACGGTACTCGTTAATCGATAACTCGTGGTTCCTATCTTCCCGCTCTGCTGCGTTGCCTCCACTGATAAGGGGAGACACCCAATGGTTCAGACCCTCAACACCGACAACACCTCTAGAAGACGTCAGTCTGCATGGTATTCACTCGGTAAAGCGTATAGTCATCCTTTCGATTGCACTTTCCACCTGCTGCTTTTGGAAGCATAGGGGGTCAGAAAACTCTCCGATGGGGGGTTTTTCTGCTCACAGGGACGACCCTTGAGGATGTCGTTTACTATCGAAGCGACGCGAGCCGACGCTGCTGGTCATATTATCGATTAGATGACCAATATTGTTATGTTTATGGAATGGAAAACCGTCAGCCTGGCTCTCGCCGCAGCTCGGATCAGTCTTACGTCGGATGAATGCTTCGCGGAACCGGCGCCGGCCCGGACAACTCGTACAACACCTCAACTGAGATATAAAGAGCAGGTGTCGTAGCGCCAAGATGATAATGTCCTGACCTTCATCCTCATACCAATCTTTCCTGGACAATCCTCTTCAGCAATGGCTCGGTGGCTCCTCTCTTTCGTTGCTGGAAGCGCCCTTGCGGCGGCTTCTGGGCTTCCACTCAAACTCGAGACTCGGAGCGCCGTCACCTCGCGTGTCTCTAACATTCACTTGACGATCGAAGAGCCTCTTGAAGGGGCAGTAACTTTCACCTACGGATCATGCCGTGGCATCTCTCTTGATGATGCGCACCATACCATCGCCAAGTCCGAGGTGCGCAACTCACAGCGCCTTGTTTGGGTTCTCCCAGAGAATGCCTACTCCGAAGGATGCATTTCTGCATGGGGTTCGTCTGGTTCTTTGATCGGCCGAAGTGAACCTCAGACACTCCACCACAGCTGGAAACGCCGGGCTCAAAAGAGAGGTAAGTCGTTAGGGCCGTGAGTTCATCCTGTTCGTAAGCTAAGCCATCTACAGCCATCCATATGAGCAACGAGACGGGCTTTGATACCCTTGGAGCCTGGTTCGAGGGAGTAAACCTCCTGAAAGATAAGGAACCTGCGATCGTTGACGTCGATGCCGCCAAGTCTAAGCAGGTTGCCATTGTCGGCGCCGGTATGGCAGGTCTCATGAGTTATCTTGTACTCTCCCAAGCCGGCATGACCAACATCAGCATTATCGAGGCTGGCCAGCGCCTCGGTGGCCGTGTGCACACCGAGTATCTCAGCGGCGGCCCTTTCGATTACTCTTACCAAGAGATGGGCCCTATGCGGTTTCCCGAGCACTACGTCGACCCCAAGACCAACACCACTTACAACATTACCGACCACCAACTTGTCTTCCAACTCGCTGCTGAAATGAATGAACTCAACGGCCACGACAAGAACTTGAGCGTTGACTTCATCCCTTGGATCCAATCCAACAGGAACGGTCTCTCTTACAAGAACGGTATCAAGCTCGCCAACGGCTTGCCGCCGACCCTTGCCCAGATTTCCGCCAATTCATCCCTCGCCGTTTCCACTGGGTACGACGACATCACCAACACGCTTTCTGAAGAGGTAGACAAGTACATGCCAGGCAGTGACTTCTCCGTCCTTATGGCTCAAAACATGTACAAGGCCCACAGCGAGTGGTTGCGCAACGGTCTCGACGGCCTCGGCGGTGACGTCTGGTCTGAGTACGCCTTCATGGTCAACTACCTCAAGGGCACCCTCAACTCCACAGATGCGCTGGGCATGTACTCTGCGACGTCGTTTTGGGACAGCCTGTACGAAGGCATGTACTTCCAGGCCGCGACCTACAAGACCATTGACGGCGGTCTCAGCCGCCTGCCGCTCTCGTTCCACCCACTGGTCGACAACATCACCACCATGAACCGCAAGATCGAACGCGTACAGTTCGACTCTGAATCCTCCCGCGTGAACCTGCAGTGGCGTGAATCCTTCAAGGAGCAGACGTTCCAGAACGCCTCGTACGATTACACCTTGCTCGCCGTGCCGTTCTCCATCATCCGCAAGTGGCGCCTGCCTTCGCTGCCCCTGACGATTTCCAACGCCATCAAGGAGCTACCCTACACGAGTGCCTGCAAGGTCGCCCTCGAGTTCTCGGAGCGCTTCTGGGAGCACTACGAGAACCCGATCGTCGGCGGTTGCAGCACCACCTCGGACATTCCGGGCATCGGCTCCACTTGCTACCCGTCGTACAACATCAACGGTACCGGCCCGGCTACGATGCTCGCGTCTTACATCTCGGGCGACTGGGGCCACCGCTGGGCTTCCGTGTCGGAGGAGGAGCACGTCCAGTACGTCCTCGACGCCATGGTCGAGATTCACGGCGAGAACACCCGCGACCTGTACACAGGCAAGTATAACCGCCGCTGCTGGGTTCTCGACCCCCTCGAGAGCGGCAGCTGGGTGAGCCCCGTTGCCGGCCAACACCAGCTTTACATCCCCGAGTACTTTAAAACGTACGACAACGTAAGTGGCCAATTCTTCCTGACCCCTGCGGACGGTGATGGCATACATCAGATTGGCTGATCGTCAAATGTAACACAGATGATCTTCATCGGAGAACACACCTCTTACACCCATGCCTGGATCTCCTCGGCTCTCGATTCAGGTATCCGTGGTTCCGTGCAGCTGCTTCTCGAGCTCGGTCTCGTCGACGAGGCCAAGGCTGCGGTCAACAAATGGATGGCCAGGTGGATCGATATTGTAAGTTGAAAAGAGATTGTAATCACGCCGTGCTGCGCCGTCGCTAATTTCGTGTTGTCCAGTGATTCGACGTAATGAGAATTAGATGCGGTGGTTATTATGTCGATGTTGGGGAAAATAAGATAGACACATGAGTAATGAGCCATGCACATACGAGGGGATGTAGAACCCCGGAACGTCGTCGAGGGGGGTCTCCCCCCTCCCAGAAAAACAATATGACGAACTTGACGAACGCAAGAGAAAATGAACCATCCTCCCAATCCCAGTACGGCCTGTACGTACAACAAAATGAGCTCCCCCCGTCACAAAACCAACACGGACAATATGCAGGTTCGCCTTGGCACGAACTACTACCTATGCACACATTAGACGATGCCCAGATTTCTCCATAAAACAAAAGACGACAATCCACATGGCCATGCATAGAAAACCTTTTTCTCATTTTCCTCTCCCTAACCCCCCCGGCCCCCAAAAGTCACCTCCGCGGCCGCTCGCCCCTCTCCCTGTCAGACGTCAAACGATGCAGTTGGCGCTGGTCCTTCCTCTTTCTGCTTGAGCGCCAGATCCCAATCACTTCAGCCTTGCAGATATGCTTCATGGTCCGATTCCGCGGTCCACTTGTGAGAGGGACAGGGGTTCGGCCGGACCCGGGAGGAGATCGTTCGGCATCTGCTGACAACGCCGCGTCTCTGCAGCGCCTGAGCGATCCTTCAAAGCACGCTTTCTTGTCATCAGTGACCGCTAAAATAGGGCGAGGCTCGCATCTGTTGCCGGTTCCAGGGTATACCCTTTTTTCCCACCGGCTGTATATGCCGAAAACTGCAAGGTCCGATATGTAGGCACGGGAGGGGGAGCAAGGGACAATTTTTTTTTTTTTTAAGGAAGAAAAGTTCTTTATGCGCGCGAACTAAGATCGGTCGGCTCTTCCAATCACTTACCAATTCTAGAGTGGCGTCAGTTGGTGACGAGAGAAAGAAAAAAAAACGGCGTGACCTATGCGAATTAGGCGAGCAGCTCGTTTTCGTGTCTCTGCAATCTCTCCTCGCTTGTCTCGAATAGCCGCGGAACTCCAGATTGGGAAAAGGGCACGCGATCCCGGACGATCCTCGCGAGTCCCTTGGCCGTGAGAAGGATGAAAGCCATGCCGTGGCCGTTGAAACCAGCCGCAATGTACTGCCCTGGCTTGGATGGCACGGCGCCGACATGGGGCAGGAGGTCGTTGGTGTACTGTTTGTTTTAAACCCCATTTGCGTTAGTTTTGTTCGTCAATAATTTCCCCGAATACGCGCGAGAGAGAGAGAGAGAGAGAGAGAGAGAGAGAGAGAGAGAGAGAGAGATAGAGAGAGAGACGAGTTTGCATGTTCATGTGAAGACTTACCCCCATGATTCCGGTCCAAATCTTATCAACCTTGGCCCCGGTGTTCTCCCACCCGCGGAAGTTCCTCTGCATATAACCGTCAAAGTACGGCGCAGCAGGCTCGATCAGCGTGGAGTCGTCCCAGACGTTGTACCACTCGTCAAGCTTCTTCGGGAAGAACTCCGTCCTGCCGCCGCCGACGATGATGCTGCCGTCCGGTCGGGTGATTTGGTAGTCGTACAGCCCCGGCCCATGACGGAGCGAGTAAGTCGAAGGAAGATGCGGAGGGTCGACGCCTTCTGGGACGACCACACGACTGCAGATGCCACGGGCCGGGATGATGCGGTCCTTGTACTGGGGCAGCAGCGACGAGGTGTACCCGTTTGACGCGAAGAGCACAGTCTTTGCTCTAACGGCACCTCTGGGCGTGGTCACGGTCCAGAAGCCGTTCTCCTGTGTGTCTGAGACCTGGGACACGGGAGTATGCGTGTGAAGCTGGGCTCCCTTGTTGACAGCCTGTGACAGCAAAGAGAGGACGAACTTGTACGGCCTGCAGGGATCAGCATTTCTGTCGTGTGTTTGGTGGGACGTTGCGGCGGGCGGAGTCGTACCAGATAGAGCCAGCCTCGAAAGAGAAGGCGGCCCTCGCATCCTTCACCCCGGAGAAAGTCTCGGCTGCCTTTCCCTCAATGATTTGGACTTGCTTAGCAGTTGGCGACCCCAGTTTGAGGAGCTCTTTGATGCCTTCCTTGAACGGGGCCGCGTGGACCTCATCTCGGAGGACTGCCATGGAGGTGGTCACCCTGAAGTCGCAGTCGATGTTCTCATCCCGCACCAGGTCTCTCACGGCATGGAGGTTTGCCAACTCGAACAAGGCAATCTCATCAGCCGCCTCTTGTCCGTGCTTTTTGATGAGACTAGGGAGGCCCTGGTAGAGGTCTGGCCTGACGTGGCCGCCTATTTGATGTTAATGTCAATTCGTCGAATTGTGATTGAAGGTGGATATCTACCATTGCGAGCTGTCGCCCCGGAACAAGCTTGCCTAGCTTCGAGTATGGTGATTGATGGCCGTGATGCTGCATCAACGCCCTCAAGAAGGTAGTGAGCGAGGGCGGCACCAGTGTATCCGGCGCCGATAATGACAATATCCTGCTCCGAGGGCAAAGTCTCCGAGCTCTGGTAACTGTCGAGCTCATGAAGCTCTGTTCGCCAGTAAGGAACCGTCGAATTGGGAACTGGGAATGGCTTCTCATCCATGATTGCGGCTTTGATGCGTGGGCCAAGTGTAGCGACGCGTAACAGTAAATTTGGCGAATTGGTGAGTGAGAGACCGGTCCCAATTGAATGGCAACCAACCGGCGACTTTTGCAATGCGGGGAAAGATTTTCAAGGTATGATTGGTGAATGTAACAATGCAAAGTGGCCAGTTTGTACGATAATTAGCAACCGCCCGAAAAGGTTCTCAGACAGCTCGGTGTCACTGTTGCAGTTTCCGAAGAAAATCGCGGAGGTGGCCGTTACCTCCGTCTCGGAGCCGACTCAATTGGGCCGGCAGCCACCCGGCGGTCTAGCGCAATTCCCGGGGGGAAGTGGCGTTCACACCCCCGACATGTGGTTCGCTGCAGGCTCGCATCTTCAACTGTGCTGTGACCGCCACACCGAGACACTAAAGCACTCTGTCTCACTTACACCAGCTTACCTACCATGTTACTGCCCACAGCTCAACTTTCTTTCGACTTCATATTCAAGCGAACCTCGCGATACCTCAATTACCCACCTTATTTCAGCTGAACTACCCCCCCCCTGGATACGGCTGACTGACTCGCGACATCGTCAGATTCGCCACACTTTAAACGTTCGCTTATTTACGGAGATATGGGCTTCTGTCACGCTATCTTGACCGACGCTACGACACCGCCGGCGTTATTCACCGACCAAACGTTTGCCCCTGTCCCCTGCAACTGTCATTTGCTAAAATTGGGAGATGGGGATTTCTCCGGCGACCTACCCCTTGGGCGTTCGTGATGAACACGTGAAGCTGTCAGTGTCAGTGTCGAACTAGCGGCCACGAGGCCCTAGGGTGCTCCGGCGTGGGGATTAGCAATCACACGTGCTCACCCTGATCACACGTGTCGTACCATAGACTGGCTCCCATGGACTCCTTAGCTTCGTTCTTCGTCTGGATAGCTTCAGCTCATCATTCGTGGGCTGCCCTGCAACACCTGGAAGAAACGGGGCCTTCCCCCCTTTCTATTCCTAGGTAGAGAGACTTCCCACCTGCAGAAGTGAACAGCTCCAGCGTCGTCGTCTCTCGTTCGGGGATTACGTGATTTGACAGTTCTTGACAGAATCCATTCTTCTGAGGGGTTAGACTCCGCTCATCGTACCATGCCGTGGGCAGAAGAATGACATGCAAGTCCCATGACGCTGGAAACACTTTTCAGGTCTTATCAGATAAAACAGAATGGGTTAATCTCAGCAACGAGTCATGATCGCAGACGAAAACATGTCATTTATCACAAACCGAACCACTTCTCTGTTCGCATCTCAATCGCTGCCAATTTGCTGGTTATATCCAAGCACCAGCCGCCAATCTCGCGCAGTCCAGCATGAACCAACTAAACCACATATAAGAGGCTGTCCGCCATGAATTCTGATTCTTGCTCCAGGTTTGGTGTCATCTCTCCAATCAAGTGTAATGCCTCAGTTACGCGGTAGTGGAAAGCCGAGTATCGGTTCGTTGGTCATACATAAGACCAGACGTTTCCGTATCAAACGGCTTCGCAACTATTCTCACATGGAAGGAAACAGTATCTTTTCTGTTGTCAAAGAAGTAGATATCACACGTAGTTGTGGTCAAGCCCAGGTTATCACGAACACGGCATCCCACAGTTTCCCAAAACGGAACGCTCAGACGAGTTTCTGCCTCCTTTCGGACACGCGATGTCCAGGATGCAAGGGGCGTCGGTCACTACCGACACCAAATCGTCTAAAACACCAGGGAAACCCCACGTTCGTCGCATGTTCGGCTAGCTGCCGAATGTTCACTCCCGTCTTTTAGTGCGTCGAAAGTGGGACAGCTTTTCAAATCCGTCGTCGTGCAGCAGGATCGTTACCAGCATCCATCGATCCTCACGGGTACCTTCAAGCAGTGATGTGAAGAATGCAGCGGAAAAAAAAAAAAAAAAAACATACGACATTCGAGGTCGTACAACGCTTGGAATTTGCTGCTTAGTTGATCCATGTCAGTGTTGTGCCGGTTTCGCCCGAAGGAATACTGAGTAGCGGGAAGCAGTAAAGTCTACGAGATCTTGGCTAGTCGCAGAACAAGAAGATGCAGATGCAAAAACCTTTACTGGGTATCCTGCAAGAAACACGTGTCAGTAATACTGATGAGCTGTTTTGTTTGGTACGCGAACACTTGTCTCGTAGCCGGAGATATCAAGAGCCGATGTTTTCGTCCCACTTCGACGGACAGGCAGCCAGCTGTGCACGACCATGTTCTTCAGACCCTGCGATTTTCGATTACTGAGATCTCCAGACACGATAAAGATCCATCTCTGCTGGGGGAAGAAGGCCAGCAAACTGATGGTCCGCATATTCATGCTGGTCACAGGGCTGAGCTTGGACTCTGATGTGCGGTCGCGTGGGCCAAGGTTACAATGTCTGCTTTCGTTGACGCATTGACGATATATCTGGTTGATAGATCATAAATTCTTTTTCCGTCAAAGGTCCACGTTCCCAGGCGTAAGGCACGGAATCCCCGTGGGCCGGCTATCTCCAATTCCTGGGGATCGCAGAACCGAATTCGTGCAACAGCGGGGCTGTCTCGGCAGACTTGTTGAAGCCGGTGAGATCCGGCGGAACGGAGGTGACCTCCGACGACGGTAAGATGCCCAGCAGAGCAATGCTCGGATAATAATTGTGTAGCCAAGGAAGTTCTTCGTATGAAAAATATATGGGGCAGAACCTGTCAGAAATTTCAGCTTCTGAGAAGACCCTCAAAATGCCAGAAAATATTTAGATTATCCAGAAATCACGCGAGAATGGCAAGGCTCCTGAGATTACCTCACCTACAGCCACCGGACGCCTACCGGTTTTGTCGAGCGCAAATCACAAAGCCGCGTGAGGATGTGACGGCTCAGACCTTGCCACATTTTGATCACCAACACCCATGGCGGGTACAGCCATTGTACGGAGTAGCGAAGGCCATGATTGACGCGCATCCTTACCATGAAAACATTGTCTTTGTCTGCAGCAGGGGGCTCTCTCATCCCGACTTTCCGTCTTTACGCGCTTTCCGGGATTATTGACTCCCCGAATCCAAAGGCTGCGACTTGTTCCACCGAGGGCAATGGGGATACGGCCTTGTACGAGGTTTGGGGCCCTAAGGCTCAAACGTCTGTCACTTCCGAACCGGCGCATCATACAGATTAATCTGCAACATGTTTTCGGCAGCATTCCGTTCGCTTCGCGCGGATAACAGGTCGAGATGGAGCCGATCAACCACCCCCTCATCTTGGTTCGCTTATGATGCGGATCAAGCATCGCGGCCGCTGGATGACTGCAGGACCGATATCTCGGGACGACTGATGGGCTTTGTAAGCCCACTTGTAGGCATCAAGACGTACAGTAGGGACGTGTTGAAGGATTTCCAAAGCCGAGGCTATGATGATAACCCGCTAGGTACACACAGACGGTCCAAATGTGCAATCATCTCGTGTGTGCCCGCTGCCGAAGGAAGCGCCAGCCGGACTCACCTCCGCTTATGGGTATCAATTGCACTCATCCGCCACGTACTCCACGACGTCAAATGCCCCATCCGTGTTGGGTGCGGGCTTGAGAAAAAAAATGTGATGGTGATGGGTCCAGACTAAACGACAAATCACTTAATACTCAGTTGGCGACATGTTGGTGCCTAAAAAAGAAGAAAAAAGTGGAGGTTTCTTCGGATACAGTATTGCAATGGGGGTAGAGATATGGATTTGGTCTTTCAGTTTGATGAGCTTGCTGGGCATAGATTCATGTTTATCGAGAAACCAACCCCGGCTGAGTTTGGAAGAGATTTTCCGTCAACGTCGGCTTTGAGCTGTCAGAAAAAAAATTCAGGATTTTACCCGCTCGGCATTGGCAAAGAAAGACGGCCAGGTTCAGGGCAAGCCTAGTCCGGTGGCATGCAGGCCGTTGGTGGCTTGGGCGGGGAGAAGTCCTTGCTGGCTTCACATTTCTTCTTTCAGATGTAGCATCGTGGGAGCCATGTGGCTCGAGGAATCCGCTTACTTTTTGACGGGTGCGGAAATCTAAACGGCTCCAGACCAAGGTCGAAATGTTTGCTTGCCAAATTTCAACGGTCGAACGGACTGGACATTGCTTGTTTCCAAACAGCTAGGTGTGTAGCAAACTCGACGAAACCGGTATGCAGCTCAGCTTGTCGCCTCAATCACCTGCGTTATGCATCTGTAGCCTGAGAATCACACACACACTCTCTCTCTTACACCGGAGACACTATGCAACCAGGCCGATTAGTCTTCGCATGGGCCCAAATTCGACCACCAAATCTGGTCGGACTCACATTACGTCAAATCTCACTTTTGGGACAGAGTAATAAGGAAGAAGAAAGAGGGAGAGGGTAATCAAACAGCCGTTACAATGTCTACGAGCGCCTCGCATTGATTAGCTGGCGACCTCAATGAATATGCATCGAGCAAACATTTTCCTTTCTTTTCTGGGCTACCTATGCAAAGGGAAAACACCTCGTAAACGACCTGTCACTTTTGGCCTCTCTGCGAGTCTCCTAGTAGTAGTGCACCTCGGTCCAGAGGACGGTGGTTGGAGCTTGCAGCCCGCCCGCTAAGCTTGCTAGAATCTCGCCTAGGAGTACGCTACTCCTGACGTGGGTTGGGCCATCCACCACCACCACCACCCCTTGACCTCCTCGGCCTCGTAGATGATGAAGTTCCATGTCTCAACATGAGGACGCGTGGAGACGAGCGTCGTCCGCAATGTCTGCGTTATCATCTGACACCTGTCGTAAGGAACAAAAAGGAGGGGCTTCATGAGCATTGAGAAGCTCCCCACTCAAAGGGTTGTTGGTTGGTCCATCGAGATCTTCACAAGATCCCCATCATTGGAGCTGGCGAGTGGACTCTGACCGGGCGGAGGGCCACATTGACATTTGATAATTTGCTTGCAAAGGACTTTGATCCGCTGACGGCTGCCACTTCAAGACTGGGCTGCCAGGCCACCGTCAGGGGGGCCATGCGGGGTGACTCGCCGGTGGTTTATGAGCTTCACAGCATCAACGCCGGGGAATCCCGAATATGGGCACTGTTGACAGACGATGGCGTCGAGGTAGAGACGCCATGTGCCCGAAATGTGAAGATGAAGGAGATGAGGCTGGTAGATCGTGGCGTGACGAAGCGACATGAGTAAGCTTCTTGACATGCAAACCCCGGCAGTGGAGGACGCCTTGGCAGATTTCGAACCCAACGAGGTTCTCTTTTTATCTTTTTCCCCAATTAACTCTGCAAATTCCCGACACAGAATCCAGCGAAGCTACGGCACGGTCCTTTATCATAGCTCATTTTGCAGATACACAGTCCGACTAGTTGGTGCAGCTAGAAGGCCAATACAACTCCACCTGAATCCTTTGGGTTCAAGTTGAAACTCGAGGAAGAAAGGATGTATGATTGCAACTCCACCATGTTGATTCCAAGACAGTAAGCAAAGTGCCTCCTCTATCTGGGCAGTTGCCGACGTTGCAATGGACGGGGCAATATCTGAGATCAGATTTGAGTTGTGTATCGTATTCAGTGTCTCCCAGATCGGAAAAGGTACATGCTCCCACGCCTGGTGGGCAGAAAAAGGTACTCGGAAAGGAAAGAGAGAGAAAAAAAAGAGGCACAGAGTACAAAAAAAGAAAAGGGAAAAAAAAAAAGATGCAGAAGACTAATACGCACTAGAGCGAGAGACAAGGATGTGTTTCCCCATTGAAATCGGGGTTTGTCAACTAGGCTTCGTTTAATTGGATAAGCGTGTCAATGTCTGTGGTTCCATAACCCTGAACCCTTGTCAAATTATCACTCTTCGTTTTCTCTCTTCTTCTTGTTCTTCTTGTTCTTCTACTTCTTCTTCTTCCCTCCAGCAGCTAGCACAGCCGATGCTTGCTGGGACCTGCATAACGTACCCATCCATTGATATTGAAATAATTGGGCGCGTCGTGGACCCCAAATTAGGCAATTCGGAAACCGCAAATCTCATCATACGAGTTTGCAATTGTAACTCGGCAATTCCCTGCTGTGGCGTGTTGTTTTCTCCACCGAATATCGCGTGTCACTGACGTCTGTTAGGAGCTAGGGACGAGCAAGGGGACCACACAACCGCCTCTATCCACCTCCATCACCGCCCGGGGGTTCCCGTCCGACTGCTCAAATTTTTCTTTGCTCCAAAACTCTGGGCAGCGGGCAGGATTGACGTGATGAGCCCAGTGAGAAGTGACAGACTAGGCAGTTTGCCCGGCCATGGCCTCCATGAGCCCTCTTACTTTCTTCTCCGTATACGGTGGACGGGGACTCCAGACCTGGTGAAGACCCCATTGCTGCTGCGAGTCACAACAACTCCGGTCATAAACCCTTCCCCTTGACATTTCATGGGCCCCAAAACCGTTGCAAACGTTTGTCCGGAATACCCACCGCCAACCCGCCCCTTGGCTCACTTCTAGAATGAGCTCCCGACCGCATATCTGCTTCGGTTTGCTCGGCAGCCCATGAGCGGTGTCCCACTGGAGAGGCTTCGGGGTCATGCTCAGGGTCCAGTCGAGATCCCTGTTTGGTGTGTGTCTCCTTGCACTCATGGGCCCTGGTACCCTGGGACTTGCCTGGGTCCTCCCCCCCGGCCTGGTACAACCGAAGCAGACAGGGCTGACTCTTAACCATTCCTCGGTTCATCGCGAACGCCCGTTGCCATTGGTGCTGCTCGTGAGCAACTAGTCAATGGAGCCCAGCCGCCTTCTCCATGGACCTCACCCTTGAATACAACATGGGGCCCCCATGAGCCGGACTCAAATGAGGAACCAGCTTCCTTTTTACACTACGGCATACAAATCATACGATGTCTATCCGTCGAGACGGGCGGTGCCTGATTCGAAGCATGCAAGCCGCGAGGACTTGAACGCACGCCGCACGACGAGGGGGAGGGGTGAGGCCGAGTGATGGTCTACGCATGAGCTCGGAGTGGTTCTACAAGAAAACCAAACTCGAACCGCATCACAGAGACTATATATCTTTCCTGCGAGTCCCGAGTCCAAAGTAGCACTCCAAGCAAACGTGTGTGCATCTACGTCCCAGACCCTTGGATCCGGCTCTTATTATTCTGTCTCTCAGACGTCTGTCAGTGTCTGTGCCATTTTTTTGATACCCCCTTACCATTCGCACCCCTGTCCACGTCGACGGCCCCAGAGATCCATACTCTATCCATACCATCCCAATCCTTTTGAGACTTACAAGCAAACAGCCGCAAGGCTTCCCTTTTTTGGTTTAAAGGACGCCCACCATCAGCTGAGGATTCGAGCTTCACCAAACCGAAAGACCCAGGCGAATAAGCTTTTGCTCCCCTTCATCATATTCCTTTCATTCACAAATACACACACACACTACACACATCCACAGCCATGGCTTTGACATACAAGCAATCACAACTGGTCAAGAGCACCATCCCCGCTCTCCGCGAGCACGGAGAGACCATCACTACCATCTTTTATGCAAACATGCTTCGGGCTCATCCGGAGCTGAACGACCACTTCAACAAAGTTAACCAGGCCAATGGCCGTCAACCACGTGCCTTGACGGGCGTTATCCTTGCCTTTGCTTCCAACCTCAACCACATTAGCGAGCTCATTCCCAAGCTCGAGCGCATGTGCAACAAGCACTGCTCTCTCGGCATCTTACCGGAACACTATGAGATCGTCGGAAAGTACCTCATCCAGGCCTTTGGCCAAGTTCTCGGCCCCGTCATGACGTCCGAGGTCCGCGAGGCCTGGACAAAAGCCTACTGGATTCTCGCCAGAATGCTTATTGGCCGTGAGGCCCAGATGTACCGCGAGTTCGAAGAAGACAAGTGGACGGGATGGCGCAAGTTCCGCATCGAGCGCAAGGTTGCCGAGACGGACGACATCTTCTCATACTACTTGGTCCCCGTCGACGGCAAACGCCTCCCCGAGTTCTACCCAGGCCAGTACATCACCGTCCGCATGACGGTCCCGACTCTCGGCCACCTGCAATCCCGCCAGTACTCTCTCAGCGACTCCCCCCGACCCGACTACTACCGCATCACCGTCAAGCGCGACCAAGGTGTCAAGGTCGGCAAAGGCAACGCCGTCTTCAACCTTAACCCCGGCGTCTTCTCCAACCTCCTCATCGACGACAAGAAGCCCGGGGACATCGTCGAGTTGACGCACCCCACTGGTGACTTCTTCTTCGACACCCACGCCGCCGGAACCCTACCGGTCGTTCTCATCTCCGCCGGTGTCGGCGTCACCCCCCTCATGTCCATCTGCAACACGATTATCGAGCGCCAGGCCGTCCGCCCCATCTCGTGGATCCACTGCTCGGCCCGCAACGCCCCGTTCGAGGAGCACATCCGCAAAATCTCTTACAGCCGCGCCAACTTCATCACCAAGTTCTTCCGCTCCCAGATCGCTGATGTCGAGGACGACGACTCACTCTCGTCGGCGAGCGAATTCGGTCTGCGCATGGATCTTAGGCGGATAGAACCCGAAGAGCTCTATCTCGGTCACGGCGGCGCCGAATACTACATCTGCGGGCCGGAGATCTTCATGGATGAGATGTCTCAATATCTCCTCAACCAGGGAGTCGATCCCGCGAGAGTTAAGTTCGAAAGATTTACCACAGGTGACTTGGCTTGAGCCGCTCTACGATATTTGAACTGTAAAGGAGTTGGGGTGATCATCTTGGTGCGGTATCGGGAGGTTCATGGAGTTATTCGGGCGTGGATGGGTATCACTATGATTTTGACGTTTATCCAGGCGCAAAAATCGCCTAAAAGGCAGCGATTGGTTAAAGACCCATAAAAATTAGGTATTTCCTTCGTCTAGACGTGTTGGCCGTCTTTCGGTAGTACTATGTGTACGTTTCGTGGCACGTCGTCACAGTAACTTCTAGATTGAGAGGTACAGCCGTTGGAAACTCAGGTTTTCGTCGGATAGCGTGGCATTTCGCCGCATGTTTAATGGGCTGTAAATGAGTTGAGAGTCGAGTCTCTGGGAAAATGGTTCACAGATTCAACTACCCACGCTTAATGCTTCTTCTGGTTAGAATCGAAGGCGGCATTAGCTGGTCTTCAGGTTTCTAGGTGTTGAAAAGAATATAGCGTACATTTCTGCAATCAAGAGTCAATCTCACCTTTCATTTGTTTAAAATCACCTCTCAGTTCTGCACTCTTCGTGACGCAGAGGCGGCCTCGTGAAATGCCGTCGCAAGCCAAGAAGACGCATCTGTTGACAAACGCTGTCAAAAAGACATGATCTCAACGCAATAGCTTGGCCCTTGTTCAATATCACAGATTAGTACTCATTGAGAAATCGACATCATACGAGAAAAACTGGATTGGACGCACAATGCAACCGCCTGACTCGCCGCTATTTATTGCTTCCCCGTGGCTCTTACGGGGCATCTAAACTGGGGACCCCCAAGGGAAAGGCTGGGGTTTTCTGTGGATTTCACATTCCGGTTGCAACCTGGGTCTCACACATACATAGTGCACTTACATCCGCGGATCGCAATGGCGTTGAGTTGGTAATGGTTAGTTCCCACATGACAAGTCACCAACCATAGCAACATCCCACAAGCGCGTCCGACCTCGCACCTGAAGCGAGAGAAAGACTGCAGGTTTATTGGATCGTTCGCGAGGTATTGATGGGACATGGTAGGGATAGTGTTGCTGCCATCCCTTCCTGTTAGCATAGGCACATTCATCAGTGAACAAAGAGATGAACTGTATTTGACGGATGTTTTCCGTGATAACGAGGGTATCTCGCTAGTGATAAGGGCACCCTATCACAGCCAAAGTTCCTGTACTCGGCTCCCTGAGCGTGGGTCAAGACTGAAATGCAGCAGAAACCGTTGGGACGGCAGGGTCAGGTCTCGACTCTTCCGTAGCCCTTGGGGCTTGGCTCTAGAACAATAAAGAGCCTGCATAATGGCTCATCTAACCACGACAAAAGCCTTGTCGAGCTCTTTCGCTTTGGCTCTGTTGTTCTGCAGCGGACCTTAACGCTTTGAATGCCAGGGAGTGCTGATACCCGTCATCGGCAATGGGACCGGCTATGCCGTTTGTTTTCACTCTCCAGCAGCGTCCGTGCCAACCCGCATACGCTAGCTCCCGCTCGCCCGTGCGCGGTCCGCAGCTTTTGTAACTGTCTGTAATACGATTATCTTATTGACTCCTTTTCGGCACTTGATATTTTCTCATGACGGGGAGAAATTCTCTTTCGCGAGTTTGAGTTATTGATGTAACACGTGGATATTAAAAGCCCCATTCGATGTCGTCACCCGCAGATTTCGTTCATATGTTAGGTCTGCACCACCGGAACCATTGACGAGTCGAATATCCACAAACTCCAACAGGAAGAGACATCCACCGGAAGACTCGCCGGCCAGCTCTGGCAATTTCAAGGATAATCGCTGACTCTACCCCTTGCTTATAACCAGAGCAACGGTTATGGAAAGATTCGCCATGAATTGTGGGTGGGCGGAAACTCCGTTGCTAGCAAAGTGCGGCTCTCGTAGCACTGTGGCTTGCGACATGAGTGCACTGGGCCTATGACTAAAGTCAAGTTTTTCCATTCTATTTCAATTGTTCTAAAACATACTGTGTCTTTTTTATTTTAATACTTTACCACCAGGCTACCGGCCTTCATGACATGTTTCCCACCTACAAGCTTGTGTGGGCCGAGTATCTATGTCATTGGGCATACAAACGTCTCAAGTACCCCTTCATTTGTGATTCTAGCGATCCTTTCAATGTTTCTCCTGCATATGTATTACTTTTGAATGCGGTGTTCAATCGTCCCTCTGATGTGTTTGTGTCATGCTATGCCATCTCGGCAAGCTTCTAAAATTCAGCTTCTCATGAAGGATTTCATTTTCCTAGTACTTCAAGATTCGACACGTTCGTATTCTGGGCTTAGAAGTGAGCCCAACGAAGACTTCTTAACTCTGACCCTATGTATACCCTGCACTTGAGCCCAAAAAGAAACATTGAGGCTCGCAAGTATTAGCGCTTGCCCATACTCTAGCTTTCAGTACTAAGCCCTTTCTCAAGCGCATAGACCAGCACAAGATACATGCCAATCACGGAGACTTTGATGACGACGCAAGTATCCCGATTTTGCCCCTCTTCAGTCAATTATTATCTCAGTCGCCGTCGACGTTGCTATCAAACAACAAGGCGGTTGTTATTATTGACGCGGTATGTCCTGGCCAAATACTTTGCTACAGCCGCTAAAGAGCCTTTGATGCGCATAAATACGTAGTCTGAGCTGGTTGCCGAATTGTCTTTCTCAGTAAACGCCTCTAGTAGGGACCCTGCAGTTTAAAAAAGACGTTAACAATTAATTGTTCACATTAATAAGACTACACCAAAGGACAATGCGATTTTTAGCGATTCCATAGTCTGTAATGTCTTTGAACCGGATTCATCACGCTCTTGAATGACAACATCTTCGAGTTGCTACGCACCCGGAAGATTCAACACCAGCAAATCTACTCCCCAAAAAGCTAAAATTGTTAGTCTGTTGATAACGCATGACTCAAACTACTTCTGATCTCTACACATCCGGCACTGAATTGCCACTGCTCGATGACTAAGGACTACGCTAGGGTTAGGTGTTCAGGCGCTGCGGGGAATATTCTAAAGCCCGCGGCGGCTGTTGCTTCGGATTCTGCTGAATATGGATTTCTCGAACGCTACGGCGTATAGTAAATTTCCCATGCACCATTTTATCGCTTCCTTCGAGAAAAAGATTAGCGATGGCAAAAGTCCAATCAAATCAAGACTTGCAGTCGTCGGAGCCACCCCAGCCCCCTCCGGATCCGAATGTCGGGAATGGAGCCAGCCGAGAGCGGAATATGGACCGCCATGCGGGAGGGAAACGGAAGAGTGACCATGGGTCCGCGACCGACAGCATCGGGCAGTACCGTACAGCTTGTTTTACGTGCCGGGCCGCGAGACAGCGATGTGACCGACGCATGCCATGGTAACTTACCTTAACAAGAGGCAGTCGTTATTGAGAACGCCGCTGATGCTTCTACATGTTTAGTTCAAGATGTACCTCTCAAGGCCACACTTGCCAATACCCGCCGCGTTCAAATAGAGGTCGCAAGGAGGGGAGTACTAAGTCAGTATTATGCGGCACTCGAAAATTGTCGCTTGATAAATCTTGTGAGAAGTCAGGCCTGCTGACATCAAACAGTAAGCCAGATAGCCTCGAGAAGTTACTAGCACGCATCAACGACAGTCCTGTAAAGGATGAGGTGATCGCAGCCATTGTTAAGTCCCTCGATACCGGATCAACGACTTCGTCTCCGCCACTGAGCGATTCATCTCCGGGCTCAAAAGTTACGCCAACGTCAAATCACAACACACGCGCAACTGCTTCCGCCAAAACCGCCACCGCTGACGACGATGACGGCTCAGATAGTTCCGGTATACCGGACACAACCGGAGTGTCGTGTCCATGTTACAACCTGAAAAGGCCGAGCTCTGTCTTGTCACCTCTCCAGATCATGGCTTCGGCTTTGACGGTGGACAGGACTACCACCACTTCATCCGTGAGCCAGCAAGCCCAAGCCAGCAAAGGTGAAGCTGTGGACGACCGACTTTTGGAGTACCTCAGTAAGCTTACCTGTAGTCTAAGAAATAGCACTGCCGACTTGATTTCCCCTTTGATTTCTCTGCTAGTCGTAAAGTTCGCCGGCCTTACACATGAATCTCTCAAATGCGGAATGATTGTATCTCATACGAGGTTAACACATCACTTGCTGTTCCAGATCCCCGGCCCACTCATCATACGGATTGGCAAGTATTAGCCTCCCAGTCGAACAACAATACTTTGAAACTGGAGTCGACAGCATGTGATCCAGTCACTGCTCGCCTCGTTGATCAGAGTGATGTCGCGTTGTACTTTGAGCTGTAAGTTTTCCTCTGATGCCAATATGCTTGGTACTGAAGGCCTTTCTCAACCAGCTTTTTCGCAAAACGAAATCCTCTTGTTGGCTTATTAGACCCGGCACTACATACACCAGAGTACGTCTACTCGATGTCCTTCACTCTCTTCTCTGCTGTGTGCGCTCTTGGCTGCGCCATTTCAGAGCGACCTCGAGACAGGATCATATACCCTGCACTCATTTCGATGGCAGAGGCAAACATGACATGGTCGATCGCCGCTTGTGTAAAGTCCGTTGAGATCATTCAAACCATTCTCTGCATGAAGTATTGGTCACCAATACATCAGAGGCAAGCAGACGACCCATATTGGCTCCATTTAAGCCATGTGAGTAGAATACCTTTTCATCATCTTGCAGAACATGGCTACTAATCATACTCTAAACTAGGCTGCGCAGCTTGCGAGAGAGCTAGGTATTCATAAGCCTGCTTTAGTCACTGAGCAAGCCAACGCTCTGTCTCTAGAGTCGACTGCTGATTTTAGAGAACAATTACTTCGAAATTTTGAAAGAACTTGGCTCAATGTGTTCATAGCTGACAAGAGTTTCGGTATCGTTACTGGACGTTCCACGAGCATCGCTTGGAATGAACTTCCACCATGCCCATGCCAGTGGTGGCGAAAACCTCGGAATACTCCATTAGACCGCATGATCAGTGGAACTATAGAAATCAGAGTTCAACTGGTAAGGCTTGTCTTACACTCACTTGCAGCATGCAATCAGAATTCTCAAAGAAAACTCTAACATTCACTCGAAAAAACTAGCTAGCATCCTTGAAGCAATTGGAGCATGTCAAAAAGACAACAAATGCCATCTTAAATTGGCATACAACGGCGTTTGACACACTAGAACGCACGCGTACTCTTAGGTGTTCTACTGATGATATGCAATCAGTGCCATGTCTTGCTGTCCTAGCATTTCATATTGACCACAGTATCATGGTCTTAAATGCACAGGCTATGAGAGACTTGAAAACTATCGATGAAGTGGGAATTTCAGCAGAGTTCTCTATACTGTCCAAGAGGACATTCAAAACATCAATGCGGGCGCTGGATCTTGTTCTCTTCGATCCCGCACTAACGGAACTTAAGTTAGGTTGGCATAACAATCAGTTCATCATGGTTGCACATGCAATGACTGAAGTCCTCCACGTAAGTATTCTTGTCAGCCACCATTAACCTGAATGCGGTTGCTTTCGACGGTAATTGTTGACTCATAGATACATCTTCTAGGCTCTGAAGCGTGGTAATTTACCCTACGCAGACGTTGCAGAGGCAGCATCCAAAGTCCAGACAGCCCATATATACATGGAAAAGATGGCACACGAATTGCCAGACACATCTGCGGTTCACATTTACCTTGCTCTCTCTCGCGTGTTTGCTTCTGAGGTAGAGAAGATTTTGAAAACCGAGAGCAACAATCAAGACCAGGAAATGAGTGGCGATCCGAGCCTATTTATGCCGGACTGGCTGAGAGGTGTCAATAGCAGTTCATTAGATCCGGCTCTTTGGTTCGATGTGGGATTTCTGACTGTTGAGCAGCCAAACTTGAATGCTGTGGACCCGAGCGGAATTGAGGGTCTAAACAACCTGACGTTTAATTGAGTTAAAGGCCATGACAGGTGCAGATCGCTATCGACCCAGATCAATAAGTTGTATGTTGATGATATGCCACATCCTCTGCGCGCTCATGCCGGTGTATGGTTAGAAAGTCTTAGTTAATTGTTCGTTCAACCGAGATTCAGACTAGCAACAAGCATAATAATGACTTTCGATGTGTCGATAATGAAACATGCATCCAGTATACAAGCTTCAACTTCGCTTATTTCCGCTATCTTTTATTGGGGAAACTACTAACCGCTTACTCGAAATTTCAAGCGCTCTCTTCTCATAGAAATACATCATGAGTTGCGAAGTAGTCTAGAAGTAAAACAATGTGAAGGATGTGCGTTGAGCGTTCTGACCGGAGGGCGCGTTGAGCCGCAAGTGAAATTTTCTTATTGGGAAATGAGGTCACTGAACTCCCCAGAAACATGGAACAGAATTCATAATCATCATTAATCACCCAGCTTTCGTGGGAACTGTATGAATAGTCCTCTGAAAAAGTGTGTATACGCATCAAACACTATCAATACCTAATCAAAATGTCAGTTCCAACTTGAACAACCAGATCCTCCCTTCAAAAAATGGGACGTCTTACAGACTTTTCCATGCCCTCGGAGCGTCAGAAACAGATCAAGCTCCCACAATGAGCATGGTAAACCTCGGTCTCTCGGTTACAACAGGGCACCCGCTACAAAGAGGCCGGGAAGTGCAAAACTCCAGTATGGTTTCAGCGAGTTTCCGGCACTGCTGCCAATCAACCGATAGCCTTCGACTGCATATTTCTCGCTCTGGGTTCTCGAACCAGCGCTAGAGTTCGCGGGATGCCGCCTGGCCTCAAAGTAGAACACTTTGTCGGCGGAAAGTGTGTTCGGGACGCTTTCCAATGCCTTGACTTCGGAAGCCGGGTCCCACGTGTAGACGAATTTACCGGGGTCCGGAGCCGAGAGGTTTTTCACAATGGCATACCCGAATGAACCGCCGCCGCGAGCGAATTCGCCGTGCCACCAAAGATCGATTTCGTTAAATTCGGGATTCCCTTCGTTCTGCTGCAGCAGCCACTCGACGGTGATTGGCGCAGAGAGATTCAGCTTGCGGCTGGTGTCGGGCGCTGTGAATTCGAGGCCATTGATGACGGGCAACAACGCCAGAAGTGATGCAAGTGCAGATGTTACACGCATAGCTGCTTGTCGGTTGGATTACAGAGATGACGTTTATATCGTGCGTATTTCTAGGTTCTAAACAACCTTAAATGATTTGGTGAAGGTAGTGTGAGGGAGAATTGAAGATCTCAATCCCTGCTTACTTTGGGACTAGGTCAATTATATACGCTGGCTGGGGCTAGGGGGAATGCCAAGCTAATTGATCCTACGTAGGCAGCAAGATAATCGTTCGTGGGGCTGGTACCGCATTATTCATTGGGCGACAGATTTAATGCGTTGGACGGATCATCAATCTTATGTCTACGAAAGGGACTTTGGATGTCTTGGGGCTGCGCCACTGATTGGAATCAGCTTCAGACTGCCATATCAGACCCATGTATTCGGACACGAAATGCCTAACCGGGATGGGGACAGCTGTGGCTGTGCTTAGAAACATTGATCGCTGGCCGCTTCGGGTTAGCAGTTTTCGTATAGGCTGGGGTATCGTGAATGACTGGAATCAATCGCTTGTCTCAATTTAAAGGAAACATTCAAAATGAAAAACGAGCGAGTAAGCTAGGGGTATTTCGCGCCTTTGTAACTTAAAAGAAGAAAAAAAAAAAAAGAGTAATCCGCAATCATAGCTAAGATTGCTGCTATAGAAATGCTTCCTAGACCGACATTTCAGGTCAACGACACTGGCATACTGATGTTCATGGTGAAACTGACATAAGCATGTTGGCCTGCATTGTTTTGCTTTTCCGTCACGTCGTCAAAACCACAAGGCGAAGTGACTATATTCGTAAAACAGGCCTTGGCATGCTCTTGGCTAATTGAATACAACCAGGCTCACTTAAGGCATGCTTGATTTCTTGACTTGGGTTCAAAACAGCCAGTGAGGAAAATACGGTCTTGGGCCTGACATTACGGGCCTTTATTATGCTTGCAAACTGGTCATGGAAAGACGGTAGGGAATATGGATGGAATTATTGACCAACTTGTAGGAGGAAGTCATGAAGTGTTCGAAAAGGTGTCTTGATGAAACAGGCGATACAATATTTACTGGCTCCCGCCGTGCCAGCTGATTCTCAGAAATCAGGCATGGCCACTAGAGAGGTATGAAGTATGACTGCTTAAGGCCCTTTTTCTTATGCACCTTTCAACATTTATACAAATATCAAAAGTCAAATCCTGGCTGGCTTTGGAGGAGCTTGATGCACTTCCAAATCACGGGAACCACCGGGGTGTAGAAAGCCAAAGCTTCAACCAACAGAATTTTCCCTGAGAGCTCCATGAGATCAGAGCAACCCTCAATCTTTCAAATGGCCATGAAATAACTCACATAGTGCCTGAGACATTCATACAGTCAGCTTTGAAGCAGTTTAGTTGTTTATGAGTTTCCGCACTTGAGCAATGCCTCGGCAATGTAGTGTAAACTCTCCAACGCCCATATATGAGCTTGTCCTTGCCATATTGTCGAGCCAGCACTTCCAGATCCAAGCCAGCGTTGATGGTTTCAGAAGTGCTGTGTGTTCCCCACCAATGGCTCATCGTAAGCCCAGTATACTTCTATTCCTTGAGGGGAATTTGATCCATCAAAAACGAGTTCTGACTTGCGTGGAAATCATTGTTCTTGTTGTACGAAGTCGTGAAGACCCACGGGTCCCCAATCATCGTGGCAATCTGAAAGGGGAGATGATGAACCTCACGCAGCCTTCTCTCGGTCATTTGGTCCCCAATGCTCATGTAAGCTTTCGATGACCATTTTGGCGTTCGGAGGTGAGAGAATAAGACGGTATCTAAGTTTGGTAAAGATGTATCGGACGGCATAAAAATAAAAGTCCCTCTATCCACAATGAAGGCATCACTTCTCTCGCTACTGACATTCTCAGCTTATGCTGCCGCATGCGCAAGCTACAGCATGTGACATTGTTATAACAGTGACGGTAACCCAAACAACGCTGCGGTCGAAAACCGTGTGTGACCATTTTAGCGGGTCAATGAGAAAGGCCGAAAGGGAATATGGCCCAAACACTAGCTTTCAGGAGTGTGAGGCGAGCACTTTCGGAGGCGCTTCCAGTTTTGACAACTATGACTGGAGGGGGAGATGGGCATCCGCAGGTGCCACAGGCCACTAATTTAGCTGTAGACTGAAGTATCCTTAAGAATATCCGTCATCAGAAGCAATGTCCTCGGAGGACTGAAAGGGTCTAGTCGTTGTATAGAGTTCCAATTCTACGATTGGTTTAAGCTCGGCCGAATGGATCCAGGTCTTACTCTTGCACCATTTCCGGCATAAAGTCACTCATTATACATCTATATGACCCATTTTTGTATGCTCTTATAAATCAAAATGGCCTACTCTTTACTTTTAGCATAACAGAGGTCAAACATAAAACTCCATTACCAATCTGTAGTGATGTCCAGGAAGCCAAATACCGGGTAATTCTGGTTTTAGTATAGAACAAGTCATGGATGAACAAATGCGTCATTGCATAAATCTTTTGCCGGGAATGACATGAGCATTTCTCATCCTATTTTACTTTGCCTTTGTGTCACATATTCTTGCCACAACTACTATACTTAGAGAAACTCTTCGCATTACCATTACCACCTCCACTCCTCTCCACACACACACACACACAACTTCCCTGACGGCTCAACCTATCTAACCGATTTGGCCTTTTTAGACGCTGTTAGAGTCACTAGAAAATGGTCTTCTTCATTTTGAAAGCTTCTTAGTTAAGTCAGTGCAGATATGATCTGAGTTAATAGTTAATGCGTTACAAAAATGAAATACGTTCATTAGTAAAGAGCGTTGTAATGGTATTCTTTTGACCAACTCCCTACTGCCCAGAATACGTCGCCAAGTAGAAGCCTGCGAAAGCATAACCTCCTCCAAAGCAGCGCACGTTAGAGTTGTTCGGAATCATGTATACAAATCCTCCGTGGTTAGGGCAGTATCCAAAGCCGTGCACGACGGGATTGCCAGTAGGCGAGCCGCTCGACGTGCAGCCGCCGTAGTAGGCGCCTGCAACACGGCCCACATTGAAACAATTAATACGGTAATTCCCACTGCCCTGCACGGCGCTGTACACCTTGTCGTTGGCGGTGGCGGGGTCGGGCTCGTAGTAGTTGACCAATGTTTTGTTCGGGCTATTGTAGTTTCGCATCTGTCCCTCGTTATCGACATAAAACGGTGTGGCGACGGAGGCGTCGGGCACCAGACGCAGGGCGCCAGCGCTGTCCACGCTCACGTATAGAGCCCTGTTGGATGTCGCCTGCAGCACAAATGCTGTTGGGGTGTTGGTGGGTGTGTACGCGGCCAGCACGGTGGTGGTGGTGGTCACGGTGACTACAGATGATGCGGGCAGTGTGGTCGTTCTGGCAGTGACGCTCCCGCAGGAGCAGGCGGTCGAGTAGCGGGCCGCGGGAGCAAGCGTTCCAAGAGGCTGGCAGGCCTTTTCGACATAGTCCGGCATGCTTCCCGGGCCGTTTTGCGAGGGCGTGCAGGATGGGGCACCGCCGGCGGCGGTCGATGAGACTTGGCGCCCTTCAAGTTCCTCTCGCTTCATCTTTTTAAGTCCGGGGAAAGTATTGCCGACAGTGGTGGTAAAGGATGTGACGGTCGCTGTCTGCGTTACAGTTGACGCGCAAGGAGTAACGGTGACTTGCATCCATGAACTACAGTCAGGCATCGCCACCTCTGGCCCAGGCCGAGAGCCGAGAACAGCGCGAAGACAGTTGTCGCGGGGGCACCCAGCCTGACGACCAAGTAGTTCGTCCAACGGAGAGGCGCCCACAAGCCCAGCACCAATGCCGCTGACCAGCGAGACAAGAACCGAAGACTTCATCTTGTAAGAATGAGAGTTGAAATAGTCATGAAATTGTATCAGATGAGAAGGGTATTTGTTGTAGGCGTCACCAAAGTCTGCAAATGCTCAAATTCAGATGCTATGATTGCATGGCAGAGAATATTACATCGTGGGCAACAGCCTACTCTTATAGTAAAGCTCTCTTACAGTTCTAATTGCTTTCCTTCTCTCATTTGTAAGATACACTCACAGGCACCAGAAGCAAAAATCACGGCTGGATAGAATGAAGGTTCAGGAAGCCTGAGTTCTTGGCCTCATTAGACTATTCACGACTCGGTAATTCCGCAAGCATGGGCTGAAACACAATTCTTGTCCGCTCTATCGAGAATTATCGTGGCTCAAAAAAGCTGTTTCCACTAGCAACAGTAGGATAAACAATTGCCTGCTGGTGAAAAGTCATCCGGGTGATCAACACTTTCTGTCTATCCGACCTTGTGTCTATATCCACCCTTGAACCACATAAGCGGACGAAACCCCAAAACCAACATGTTGATACAGAACTAAACAAAAGCAAAGTTCCACAAGCCAGTTCAACCTCCGTTCCTTTTCCTCAAGCGGTCCGCATATCTAACTTAACCCTAGTCTATGTTGAAACATGCCAGGTTTTAGGACTCGGCTTGAGTTAGCAATACGATAACATCCAATATATGGCCGCCGGTGCGCCTCAGTGGACTAAGCACGTATGGCAACCAATCGCCTTGGCGTTTGGCATTTAAAGTGCATGGAAAGGCGTCGTTAGCGTGACGCCTTGGTGTTATGTCTTATATCAGCTCGTGGGTTGTCTACTGAGTCCTGAACATCACTGAAATTTTGTTGTTATCAAGCTAGGCTTCTCATGTTTTAGACCAACATTCCGAGATGGAAACCGTAAGGTATGCACGCTGTCCGACGACTTGACCTCTTACACCACGTTTTCCGCAACCGACTACCACAGGAATTAGAGTACGCTCGTTTGGGCAGCAGTATTAGAGTAGTTTTGTTTATTTGTGATTTAGTTTGTTCTGCGTATGGCGGAGGACGCAATTATTGCTGCAAACCTTTGGCTAGCTGACATGAGACAACTATACTAGGTTTAGTTATAGAATCCAGGCGTTCTGTTTATCAGTTTCGTTTCTAAGAGTTCTACAAGCCCCTAGCTGTCTCGGCATTAGATATTTGCCCAAGACAGCTTCGGCCGTCAATGATCATACGGCCAAAGGCATTGGATTGTAGAGATTCATTTCACGGCGAGTAAAAATAATTTTTGCCGAGAGACTAATAGTAAATATTTGCATTCATAGCAAGATTCGTTCCTCAAGCGGAGGCGCGATAATTATTGCCGAGCTGAAAATGGGCCTTGCTTTTGGACACAGCGGCAGTCTGGCCGACGCTTTACCATAAAACAGGCTAGCTGCACCATCCCCATTCCGATAAGATAAGCGATAAGATAAAAGAGGATTATATTTTCCAAGGTCGGAAGTTGTGTGCATTAGAGCAATTTGATTCAATGGAGCCAGGCTTTAAATATAATATAGCAATTCATTAATCAAAAGTTATTGCAGTGTTACCCCTTGTGTTGGGATGTAAAAGTGTCCACGCTCATTTTTTGAAGTGACTGTCAGCACTCATGTCAAGCATTACTCTTATCGCTGATGATGCTAAGGTTCCTCCTATCCAAAGCCCTGAAAAGCTCAATCGGAGAAATCGTATAATATTTACATAGACGAGTATGCATAGCACAGAGGACCAGCCAGAGTGTCCATATAGTCTTTGACAATGGGCTCCTTGTCGGCAAGCTCCAGCACCGGCATAGTATCCGTGATCGATGCCGGGATGGTTTTTCCAGTATCTTGGAAACCGGAATAATCTACCAGACGGGTAGTATTGCGGCCCTGCTACTATCATGGGATTAGTAATTGCACGCTAATTGTTGGGTTGGAGATGTAGAAAACGTACCTTAGCCCAAGCACGGTCAACGTTACCGTGGTGCAAGAAGAAGAGCGGCTCGTCAGGCGATGTTGCAGGGCCCATATCGCAAAAAAAAAAAAAAAATACAGCTATAGACTGCGCAGTCGTGTTAGTATCCGGTGTCCCGGCCGACGAAATGAGAAGATAGAAGGAAACATACTCTAAGCGTGCAGAAGGCCCTCAAGCATATTAACCATGCTAGGGAACGTGCCTATGGCGTAAGTTCTGTCTATGACTGTAGAGTTGTACGCTCCCTTTTATATGTTACTGATGATTAAGTCGCCGTTCTCGTCTTCGAACCCTTGATCTATTAATATAACCTACCGGTGAAACGATACGCAACCTATAGTTAGTTTTATAGCTTCAGCTTCTGCCAGCAGAAACCCTACTATCATTAGCTGGCCGTAACAATTAGTTAACCCTCAAGGTCGACTTGCAAGTCAGCAGGACTATTGTGGCTATAATCATCAGGCGGATAGTCACTCTTGCCAGCTTCGCCGGTACTTGATGAGCTGTTAGTCCCGAGGTGATCTCCAAATGACACGGTCTGCAAAATGGCTTCCCGCTCATGGTTTGACGCTGATTTGAGGCCCATAATGAACGACTCGAGCCAAGCAACTCGATCTTTCAGGACTGACTACATATTCTTGTGTAGCAGGTCTTTTTTCTTATCCACATGTCTATATTCACATGCCTGCTTTGCTGCTGCGCAGTTCTGGCACGGTTCGGTGCGGGAACACTTCAACTGCGCAGGCAGAAGGGGAAGGTCAGTAAATTGGTAGTGACCAGGTCTATTGTGTTTCACCATTTACCTTGCGGTATTGGCATCTTTTGCAACTAAGTGATATGTTGTTAGGAATGACATGATAGTTTCTGTCAGAAACGGGTCTTAGTATATTTTCTCACTGATTGAGATGACATCTTTATTTACCCAGGGTTGTCACATTTTAAGTTACAACTAACTGCCATGAGGCTACATATATATCGCTGATACAAATATTCTCCAATTTTACCCTGCACTGTCTCTCACATCATCATGTATTTTCAAAGCATTCGACAAACAACCAAGGGGACCAGTCAATTATCGACTCTTCCATCCGAAGAAGTCAGGAGAAACGGAAACAGAACAAAGAAAACGTAACAGTGATCACCCATCTCGGAAAGCCATGCTGAAATCCTGAATCATCCTTGGCAACTACCAAAACATATGTCACGGATAAAGACCTAGACGAGACTTTTGCAATTGCCTTCTCTTTCTGTCTGGCAGCTCAACCTAGCTTTTTCAAGCATTGCATCCTTGTTTCTGCTTTTAGTTCAAGTCTAAGCACAGCAGATACGAATGAGACGAAGTTGTCGAGATTATGGTGCTTGCAGTAATATCTTTCAATAGACTCCGATGTGATAGAGAGCCACCTTTAAAGCCTGACCTCTCTCTGACCCTTGTTCTACAACTAATCAAAAAAGGAAAGGAAGCAAGCGAGCTCTAGATAGCAATCAAACGGGGTGGGAGACAGCTACCACGTACAGCCTCTTGTGTAGAGTTTGCCATTGTGAGAATTCATTTCTTTCACTATGCCATGGTAGCAATCTGCCAGTTGTACCAACCTCCAACCAGCAAAACTTTCTGTAGCAATACTACACCTAGCTATTCATCTGGGAAGACACTGTTTGTGCGGTACTGTGAATTGTTTAGTCCCCCCGTGCGCTATTTTCCGAAATTCAATGGCAGTCAGTGGGGCATCTCTAACATGCTTTGTGCTTTTCAGCTGCCTGAGTGCCTATGCACAACTTGTTTGGGCGAACGAAGCATTCATCTACTACTCCAGTGCCTTGGTTGTGGCATTTACAACACCTTACCTTGTTTGGCTAACACAACCGATCTGCAGGTACAGGGACCTTACACCATCCAGTCTCCACGCAGGGGGGGATTCCTCTTAATTAGGTACGTATATATGCCCCTCCAGTACGAACCGGCTTCCATCATCTCACTTATAAGCGCATCTCGCCCCTCCATTTCATCTCTCGTCTGTAACCTTCGAATCCTTTTCATACTAGACAGTCCTCCCGGCTCGCTCTCTTCTACAAAACCAGAAACTCCCAAGGGAAAAAAATAGTCTCACCATGGCATATGATCGAGACGAGTTCATTCGCCTATTGACGGACTACTACGAGTTCTGCAACCGTATTTTCTGGAAGGCCACCGTGAGGCAAGCTCCGCCTGGGGGCTGGCCCTCGATCAATCACGAGTCCATTGCCGGCCTTGCGAAGAACGATACGGTGATTGACCTTCTCCGCCATCTCCCTTACGTCGACTACAGCGAGCAAGATCTCTACTTCATGCCCATCATATTGGACGAGACGCCCATCGTAGACTACCGCCGCGAGGATCTACAACAGCTCGTCAGAGATGGCAAGATCGAGGGCTACGTTGAGCCCAACAACGGCGGCAACCCGCCCATCCCGCCCTCGTGTGCCTGTATCGCCACTTGCCTGGGCCGCAAGGGCTACTACGTCGTCGTCGACACGGACGACGGCTACGTCTACTGGGGCGACCCGAACGGGCAGCACGACGAGCCCCCGACGGAGCTCAACGACGTCCTGGATCGGTACGAGGGCGACAGCGCCAACTATTGGCGGAACAGCGGCGTCAACGTGTACCGCCCTGCCGATTTCTTCTCGCTCTGCAAGCAGCGCTTCCGGGAGTTGCGCTGGGTCGGCCTCGGCCAGTGGCAGATGAGCGCCATGAGGATGGGCGATGAGTGGGATGAAGTGGATGAGGACCACCTGGACCTGGTCGAGAAGATGAGGGCGGCGGGATGGCCCGGCGATGGTGAGGGCGGCGGTTGGGACCGGGCCAGGTTTGAGGCAGAAGTCTACACGGACGATTAAACAAGATGGGTTTTGTTTTATGTATCAGTAAAATAGAGCAACGAAATGCGAAATAGTATTAGTAGTAACATTAACATTATTATCCATCTATATATATCTATACATGTATGGCTCATTAACAGATAGAGTCAACTACTACATCTTGCCCCTCCAACACTTTGTCAGAGAGCCAAGGAATGGGCCGCTCAAGGTCCGCTGACGCATGCGTAGGCGTTGGCCCAGAGGGATCGACAGTCACTGCCGATGGAGGGGTTCCAGGTGGTGAGCTGCTTGACGGTGATGCCGTTGCGGTTGGCAACGACCTCGCAGGTGTCGCCGCCGTTGATCCATTCGAACTTGCGGCAGTTGGGCACGATGCTTCCCTGGATGGGCTGGGGCGTCGTGACGCCGGTAGGCGGCTTCGTGGTGGTGGGGGAAGGCGAGCTGCCAATGAGACCGATGCAGGCATAGGTATCACCCCAGAGGTTGGAGCACGCGGAATTGAGGCTATTCCACTGGATGAACCGAGAGACGGGGATGTTGTTGCCGCTGGCGATGGAGGCGCACGTATCGCCAGACTTGACCAGGTGGAACTTGTTACAGTTGCTGGCGATGCCTGGTTGCGTGGGCTGGGGGGTCTGGACTCCGTTGCCGGCCGCGGTGGTCGTGGTCTTGGCCGTCGTCGTGGGCGTGCCCCCGATGAGGCCGACACACGCGTAGGTGTCGCCCCAGAGGTCGGTGCAACCGTTGTTGAGACCGTTCCAAGATACCACCTGGGAGGTACTGAGTCCGTAGTTCCGAGCAATCACAGCGCATGTGTCGCCGGACTGGACGAGGTGGAATTTGGCACAGTTCTTGACGATTCCGTTGTGAACGGGCGCAGGCGTCTGAACACCGTTGCCAGCAGTCGTGGTTACGGGTGCGATACTCGTCTGTGTGCCTCCAATCAGGCCAACACAAGCATAGGTGTCGCCCCAGAGGTCAGTACATCCATTGTTGAGGCCGTTCCAAGAGACGACTTGGGATACGCTAACGCCGTAGTTCCTGGCGATGACGGCACAAGTATCGCCTGACTGGACGAAGTGGAATTTGGCACAGTTGTTCACGATTCCGTTATGAACAGGTGCGGGAGTCTGAACACCGTTGCCAGCAGTCGTGGTGGTTGCGGGTGTGATACTCGTCTGCGTGCCTCCAACCAAACCAACACAAGCGTAGGTGTCACCCCAGAGGTCGGTGCAGCCGTTGTTGAGGCCGTTCCAGGAAACCACCTGAGCAACGCTGATGCCGTAGTTCCGGGCAATGACGGCACAGGTGTCACCGATCTGAACAAGATGGAACTTGGCACAGTTCTTGACGATTCCGTTATGGACGGGCGCAGGCGTCTCGACTCCGTTACCGGCAGCCGTCGTGGAAGGGGCAGCAGTGGTTTGGGTACCTCCAATGAGGCCGACGCAGGCATAAGTGTCGCCCCAGAGGTCGGTGCAACCGTTATTGAGACCATTCCAAGATACTACGTCAGCGGTGGTCAGGCCATAGTTGCGTGCAATAACGGCGCAAGTATCGCCGACCTGGACCAGATGGAACTTGGCGCAGTTCTTTACAATACCGTTGTGGACGGGAAGTGGTGTCTCGACGCCATTGCCGGTGATCGTCGTAGTGGTAACTGGCTTGGTGGTGGTGCTGGGTGGCTGAGTGGTTGTAGGAGGAGCGGAGGTGGTGGTGACACGGACAGTGGTAGAAGCGGCAGCGGTGGTAGAAGGCTCAGCAGGTGGTTTGGGCTCGGTCCAAGCCTCGACACAGTAGCTGTTTCCAGCCGTCAAGCCGTTGCAGTTTTCGTCAACCGTAGGGTTCTTTAGGTAGGCACAGTTCAAGTCAGTCATTGGACATGTTTAGCTATGGGAGAGTTGAAACTTCATACCCAGCGGCGAAAGTCTGAAATCTCAATCCAGTTCCATTCCAGAACCTCTTGGCATGTTTGCGAACCGTCGTAGTCGATCCACCAGGAGCAGTAAGAGGTGGTGTTGGGATCATGTGGCAAGCCAGGCTCGTCGCCGGCTCTGGCGTGGAGGCGGAGAGCAGCAGCAGATGCTAGACTAGGCAAGCCGAGAAACTGCGCCGCCGCAGCAGCCACAGCCAGTTTTTGAACGAATGTGAAGACCATGGTCAGAGGTGAGTTGTAAATGAGTGTGTGTTGAAGAGACGAGGTGGCTGAACTTCACTTTCCAGGTCGTGGCAGTTTAGGTGAGGAACCAGGTCCTTTTTATCACAAAGTTCACGATGGAATCATTGGGACGAATCCTGAAGACAGATAATGAAAATAAAAAAAGATAAAAACCACCAGATTTCCTTGAGCTCCGAATAGCCTCGCCAAGTTGTAGCTTCTGTTCATTGCCAAGTCCCAATTTCCGCGTATGCTGCAGGTTGCAGGTGCTTGAGGGTAATACACGACTTCAGCTGCAGGCAGCAGACTGCCATAGGATTTTGCCCCCTCATGTCGAGTCATTTTTTAGGTGTATCTGCTGTGTCTTGCAAGATATAAGTGCCCTAAAGCGAAATGCAGGAACAGAAGAAAGCTCAAGGGTCATATGCAGGAACAGAATCATGCGTCTAGACCCTTACATTGACCAGATCGAGGCTAGGTTGGGGGGGGAAACGTAATCTCCGAGGTCCAGCCTCGATGTTGTTCTTCCCGTGGACTCCGAACTAGCATGGCTTGGTGTGCTTGTTTCCCCTTGCCACTCTGAAAACCCCCTGCAAGGTACGATCACTTTCTTTTTGCCCCGGTTTTCTCTTCTCCCTTCGGCACGGTGTCAAGCGAGATGCCGGGCAAGCATGCGGAAGCAAGTCCGAAACCAGAAAGGGCAACTCTCTTAAGCAAAAAAGAAAGAAAAAAGGGTCCTAGATGGGACTTTGGTATCCCCACGCAAGGCTATGGCAACTTCCAAGGGGGCAATGTTGGTCAATGGCCGCAAAGGTGCGGAGTCCCGTCATGTCAGCTGATAAATAACGCTGCAACGAGCAAGGTTCCATATTGTACAACCACAATAATTGGTTAGAATAAGAGCAAACTACCAATAGCGAGGCTGGGTTGAGAAGGAATATTAGCTTGAACATCAAGTCACTCATTGCGCGCTTGGCAGAACTCATAGAGCTAGACAAGTCATCAACACATGACAAAAACAATTTGAGTAGTGTCTTCCGGTTAACAGGATGACTTTTTTTGCATTTGACGACTCATAAACCAAGAGGCCTTGGAGGTGATCTCAAGTCGAATAATAAGCCTTGGTAAGGTAAGACTAGTTAATCAAATACACTACTTATAAACTCTTCACTCATTTGCAATGGGTTATTCAATAAGGTTACAGTCCTTCAAGGTGCTAAAGAAAGTCGTGTGGAGGGCGCCACCACCATCCGAGTTAAGTATTCGGATTAAGGTTAAGAATCCTCGGAGGGGTAAATCGCGGTCCGTAACCGCGGTCCGCAAAATTAGGTGGATCTGTGGCGTCCGGCCACTACGTTTTCTCGCTATTCCCCAGCCCTGTAGGGCCAAGGCTGACATGCATAAGCCTATTGGGATTCCATCCCCTGAGACCAAGGAATATGCACGGAAAGGGTATTAGAGGCTCTTGTGTACCTCATGATTCTTCATACCTAAAGTAGTAAATGCAAGTCGTTTCCTAAGAGTACCTCAGTTTCCAGGGAACTAACTCTCTCCTTCGGTACTCTGTAATTATGGAGTGCTGAGTGGTTTACACTACTAGTACATGCCCCTCTTCTTTGGCTTCGCCATCACCCGCATAAGTGGATACTGAGTTTCCACTCTTGCAAACATTATAATACGCAGTACCGGAGTTATCTGATTCACCTATCCGCACCAACATCTCGCTCCCCGCTTATCTTACTATCCTATATATAAACAATCTAGTCTTACTTGCTTGTACATCCCATGTCCATGTTGCATCCAACTGAATCCCCAATGTGACTGTCTGTCTCCCTGTCACCCCTAACATTTACGCCGAGACGGCATCCTCAGGGTGTCTAAGCCCCTCTGCAAGGACATGACCGTCATTCCATCTCCAAAGGCCCGCTTCAACAGCTGATTGTTCGCCAGGCTCCGTTTGCTGTTGGACGAAGTGCTTACGGAGCCGCTATTGATGTCTCTGCCGATGGCGACGATCTCCTTGCGCATCGCCGCCCTCTTGGTCTGCTGCACCGACTCGATGGTGGCTGTCGAATCGAACTCGTCAAACACCCCGCCAAAGTAGCCGACCGACCTCGTCTTGCCCTTGCCCAGCCGTTCCTTGGAGAGGCGGCCGTCGACATAGGCGAGGAGGTCCTTGGCCTGGGACGAGCGTCGGCTGTAGTGCGCGTACTCCATGGCCCCCGTGATCTGCTCCAGCCGCGCCGGGTCGCCGTCTTTGCGCAGCTCCGTCATCCTGTCCACCAGCCGCTCGATGACGGTCGGGTGGCCCGGCCTGGAGGAGTTGTCCTCGTCGCGCCACAGACCGCCGAGGAGCTTTTTGGCGTCGTAGACGAGCTCGTCGCTATCTCCCCAGCCCTCGATCTCGTCGAGGCCGGGGTTCTTGGGGTCCACGAAACCGCCGTCTATGTCGCTGAATATGTTCAACCGGTCGATATGGATGACGAACTGTTCAAAGTCGCAGTCCTTGCACCCTTTTGCAATCTTGACGCTGCTGGAGTCCTTTTCGTAGTCGGAACGGTACATGTCGTAGAACATTAGGATCTCGTAGGCGTTGAGATTGGCCAGGATAGGTACCGGTGCCAGACCCAGGGCGAGGTAGAGGTGAAGTTTCATCTTTCGTTGACGACGTGTCTTTGGTCTTTTGTCGTTATTGGTATGAGCTCGCAATGCTTCTTGCTCACACTCTGAGAGCCTGAGTGAAGGGGCACACGTTGGATGGGAGAAGAGAGCTCAACCTGCCGTTTGAGCAGATAAAGAATGAGGGGTCGACCGATGGCATGGAGAGAAGGAGACTTGCGGAGGATTGGTGGCGAGTTTCCACGAGGAGATGAGCCCCACACGCTCGAAAGTAAAGGCAGAAAAGAGGCATATCAACCATAGTTACCAGTGATGAAAATTGGCTCACTACATGGCTTGGAAATTATTCATGCAACAAATTGCATGGCATTGTAAGACCGAGTGCCTAATCGAGTAGGTCGACAGCCCTTGGTGTTATGATAACACTATGTTTCTAGGGTGTAGATGCTTACTAGTAGGAGTTCCACTTCTTGTTCATCCTTTGATACTCGTCCGTAAGGCAATGCAGGGGTTGAAATGTTGGTTAATTACCGCATGTGGTTTCAATCGGGCAACAGTGGGGGCCGTTTCTCGGACTGGGCCTCATGGTCATCCGAGGCAGTCATCCGAACATGCTTCTGGACCATGGTCTGAGCTATGCAGGGCACAGGAGCTCGCATGCATTCCTTTGTAGCGTTACATTGATTCCGCGAGTATCCTTCACCGTCTTCAGCCTTGTCGGCTGGAAGTTGGCAAAGCTTTCTCTTTTCTTTTATGAAGTAGAGATTAAATTATCTACTGAGGTTGGTTGTTCTCCGTCCCTCCGGCTTCTTCATCCTCTGGGTTGCCTACCTGACCCTAAGTGACTGGGACGTGGTGTATACTCAAACGCTTTTCTCTCTGTCTTTTTATCGACATTTACACTCACTTGTTCTATCTATACGCTCTTTTCCACGTTTACACACCACTGCACATTATTCACTCTCTTGCCTGTACACTCCTTATTGCATCTACCTACCCGTCTCTTATACATTCATTCTACTTATTCACTCTTTTTCTGTATACCAACACAATCATTATATCAGTTTCGTTATCTGATAAAACCCTCTCTCTCTCTCTCTGCCTTGGGAATGTGGGCACATGTTCTCTCGGCCGGTCTCGGCCTCCTGTACCTGACCAATCCTGGTTCTGCTCAACAGGAGGCCAGTCCCGTGAACCCGTGTCCAGTGCGCTGTAGCGTTTCCGGTCCGAATCCTCTCAACTGGACCTACTTCCATGGCGTGTTGGCATTAAACCGCTGCGAGGAGCCAATGCTCTTCAAGACGATGCTGGGAACGAGCCTCGAGGACCCCAACAAGCACGTCACCTTCCGAGCTTGTACGGCTTCAGAGAAGTCTACAGTTCAGGCTATGGATTATGAACCTGTACCCTTTACCTTTGGCGGCCCAGGCAAGCGCTCCGTGGATAAGGATGAGTCCGGTTGCGCGTCCGACATGCAAAAAACTCCGAACATGACGAGCATCTCCTACCACGAGTGGCTGACCGACTCGGACGCCGGCATCAGCGGTAGCATTGCAGACACAACTCTAGCCTTAGACACGCTAAAGAGCTACCTGGACAAGGAGGAAAGCTGCAAGCGTACTGCCGTATTTGCAAAGGTCCGATATGCGATTGCTGGCCTCTTTGTCGGCTCAGCTGTTGACAAGCCAACTACGGTGCCAGTGGTGGAACAGTTAATCAGCTCGGTCAAGGACAAGGAGAATTATGAGGCTGGCCGCATTGCGGTCCAGAACTGCAAAGGAAACGGGCCGTCCGCCTGGAGCGTTGGCATCATTGCCGACCTTCAAGGAAACATCACCTCGGTTCAGAACGCCCTCTTCAACTGGAACGATGCCAAGTGCCTCCAAGGTTCAGACATGAGTGCGGACTGGAGAGAGATGCAAGTCAATCTCTGGTCTGTCAAAAGCACCAACAGCTCGGACATGTACCCGCCAAGAAACTCCACTGGTCTGCCGAGGAACTCGACTGCACAACCTGCCCTTGCTGACCGACATGTCAATTCCCTGCACCGCAGAGCTGAGTGTCGCGCCGAGAGGGTCGAGTCAGGAGATACTTGCATCTCGATGGCCGACCGATGTGGCATTAGCCTCACTCAGTTTTACAAGTACAACACGGGCACGAACTTTTGTAATCTGCTGAAGCCGAAGCAACATGTGTGTTGCAGCTCAGGTGACCTCCCAGACTGTAAGTACACACAGCTCGATAGCGTCCTATCTACATCTCGTTCCAACAGCTGACCATGTATGCTCGTTGTTGTAGTCCGCCCGCAGCCAGATGCCGATGGGAACTGCCATGCTATTGACATTGAGGAAGAGGACGGGTGTTGGGACATTGCGGACGCGCACTACTTGACCGTCAAGGACATTGAAGAACTCAATAAAAACACCTGGGGTTTCGCCGGATGCGGTGACCTCCAGCCGGGGCAAAAGATCTGCCTGTCCAAAGGCGAGCCCCCCATGCCCAATCCCATATCCAACGCCATCTGCGGACCTCAGAAGCTCAACGGTGAGCCCCGCGGCAACAAGAAGCTCGAGGATATGAACCCTTGCCCCCTCAACGTCTGCTGTAACGTCTGGGGTCAGTGTGGCCTGGATAATGACTTTTGTGTCAAGAACCCCGCAGACAATGGCGCGCCGGGCACGTCGAAGCCCGGAAAGAACGGCTGCATTGCAAACTGTGGCATGAATATTACCAACAACGACAAAGGTCCAGACTCGTTCTCTCATATTGCCTACTTTGAGGCTTGGAACAAGAACCGGGCCTGTCTGCACATGGATGTCACAGACATCGACACCAACAAGTACACACACATCCATTTTGCCTTTCCTAATGTCACGGCCGGCGACTTTAACATCGACGTCGGGACCTTGAAGGACCAATTCGACAAGATGAAGAAGATGACGGGCATCAAGAGGATTGTGTCTCTGGGTGGGTGGGCCTTCTCAGCCGAGGCCCCGACCTATACCATCTTCCGTGAAGCCGTCATGCCTGACAACCGCGCAAAGTTCGCCGCCAACGTTGTCAAGTTTGTGAATGATCATGAGTTAGATGGCATCGACTTTGATTGGGAGTACCCTGCCGCTGAGGATCTTCCTGGTATCCCCTCAGCCAACCCACTGGAGGGCCAGGACTACCTGGAGTTCCTGAAGCTCGTCAAGCGCAGACTGCCCAACAAGTCTGTCTCAATCGCGGCACCAGCCTCCTACTGGTATCTCAGAGGGTTTCATATCAAGGATATTGCCACTGTCGTCGATTATATCGTCTACATGTCCTATGATCTCCACGGCCAGTGGGACCACGGAAACAAATGGTCCAGCCCCGGCTGCGAGAATGGCGACTGTCTCCGCTCGCATATCAACATCACCGAGACCATGACTGCCCTGGCAATGATCACAAAAGCCGGTGTTCCATCTTACAAGGTGTTCGTCGGCATCGCAAGTTACGGGCGGAGCTTCAAGATGTCCGAAGCGGGCTGCACGGGGCCCGAGTGCACCTACACCGGCACTAGGGAAGAGTCAGATGCCATGAAGGGTCCTTGCACCGATACCGCGGGCTATATTTCCTCAGCCGAAATCCGTGAGATTCTTTGGAACGGGGACCTGCTCGGCGCCAAGCAATGGCACGACGACGATTCAGACTCGGATATTGTCGTGTACAAGGAGACGGAGTGGGTGGCCTGGATGAATGATGACACGAAGGCGAGCCGGATCGACAAGTACAAAGGCCTCAACTTTGGCGGCGTCTCTGACTGGGCTGTCGACCTTGACAAGGACTACGGCGACAGCGACATCGGTGGCGGCGGCGACGATGATACAAACCTCTCTGGCGGCAAGAACTGTCCCTTGAGCAAGAGGTATAACGACCTCGAGGAGCTCGCCAACGACGGCGATGTCTCGGATGATTGTAAACCTGTGCTCGCCATGAACGTCCTGGAAAACATGCTCGACAGCTCTCTGGCCAGCTACGAGGACGTCGACAACGGGTACGACAAGAACTTTGCAGCTTACCGAAGGGTCATGAAGGAGAGCGCCAAGGAAGCCATGTGGAAGTTTTCTAAGTGGCGCGACGGCAAGTACACCGAGTGGTTCGACTGCGACTTTAAGGATCTCGACGACTCAGGTCGAAACTGGAAGGGCCCCTGTGACCAGATGAAGGATCATGTAGATGCCTGGCTCAAGGGTGTCATGACTGTGAAGGTCACACTCCGAGACGAGGACGGCTTCTGGAAAGGTCTCGAAGAAGAAACAGGTATCATCCAGGATTGGGTCGAGTTCGGTGATTTCAAGCAAAACACGGAACCAGGAGCTGGTTGTAACCCGCCCCCTCCACCCCCTCAGGTCTGCACGATTCAATACATCCTCTCGGTAGAAGGAATTCCTGTATTGAAGGACGACTTTGAGATCCCGGACCCCAAAGATATCATCAAAGACATTCAGGGTAACATGGACGAGATTCGCACGGGAATCGCCTCTCGGTTCTTTGATGTGGTAGCTGGTATCTGGGAAGGCGGTAACGGTGATGTTGTCCAAGTGCTCTCGGTACCCATCTTCCTTTTGGCGCAGGCCGTCGACTCTATGGAGGAGGCCAAGAAGAAGGGTGGCGAGATCATTCAACAGGAGAGGGAGGCCCTGATCTTGGGCATCATCTCGGCTCTCTTATTCTTCATCCCTTTCGTTGGAGAATTCGCCGCCATGGCGGCGGGGGCAGCGACAGTGGGCCGCATGATTGCACTTGCAGGTCTGTTGGGCAACACGGCCTTCACCATTCACGACATCGTTGGCAATCCAGAGAATGCGGCCATGGCAATCATGGCCCTGCTAAGCGGTGGACGTGTCCGCAAACCGAAGGATTTTGTCGATCTGGGGGCTGCTAGGAGAGCGCAGACAAACTCTGGAATCAAGAGGATGGGTCCGACCTTTAAAAAGCATGACGACTCGCTGCAAAAGGTTCTAGGAAACTGCCGTAAAGATGGTGGCAACGACGACGATGAACCCAACATGTGCAAGAACAAGAGGGGGTTGTTTAGAAGAGCGGCGAACAACTGCCCGAATGCAGATGTGCATGAGACAGTTACGACCAAGGTAGAAACCTTCATGACCACTCCAGACGTAACGTGTTCGGAGACGTGGAGCCAGGCCTGCTACCACTACAGCTCGGTCATGAGTGTCCATAGCAACACTCCTGATATGGTCCGCTGGACATGCTGGAAAACCGCCAGCAGTACGAGCGGCAAGGCCACCAATGACTGGGGTTCTTTTGGTTCGCAGAAGAGGAAACTTCCCAAGACAGCCCAGCACCATTGGGACTGGGCTGTTGAATGGACAGAGGAAGCGCGTTGCGATAGGGACGAGTGGCCTCCGCGTAATTTTTGGCCCAAAGCCAAGAGAATGCAACCTGGTCAAATCATCCGACTCCTCCCGGCAGATCAGAACGAAAGTGCTGGGACGATGTGGAGGCAATTTTGCGCAACTTATGACGAGTACAAAACCAAGACAAATGGCAAAACGGAAGTTAGGGATGGTGCCCGAACTACCACAGACAAGAAAGTTGAGAAAAAGGTCGATAAAGGAACAACGAGTAAGCTGATGAGCCCGCCCTTCAACACCAGCCCTGTAGCAACTCTGCAAGGCTGCCGACTGATTTACCTCTGCTAATTTGCATCCTGTAGCCTACATCACCAGTGTGGGAGTCAAGGTTCCCAACGCTGTCTTCGAGATCAAGCACTGGGACCACACTAAAATTACCTCTCTGAGGGATGATGGTCTCTGGGACAACCCTTGCTGGCCGAGTGCGCTGCTCCCGAACGATCCTGGATTTGTCCTGCTCACGGACGACCCCTGGTACGGGAACAACGCCAATGCCCAAGTCAGCACCGACGAATATAATAGCGCACCTCCTTCAGCCCTAACCAGCGGCATGACAAAGTCACGAGCGCTACCAGGTCGTCCAATCATTGCTGTACGCTCAGTCGGCGATCTTTACGAGGAGTCTGACACATTTTATAAAGAGATAGCAGTGGAGGAGAGAGCAACCTTTATTGATGAGAACGGCGTTGAATACGAGGAGATCCTGACTAGCGACGATCTTGACTGGAGTGAGACGGACTGGTCGGAACTCGACTTTGCGCCTGCACTGTCTCTGCCTCTTACAGCCGAGGCCGTTCCATCTGCCACTGTAGTCTTGGACTATATTGAGAAGGAGGAAGAGGCTAAGCCAGGATCCGTCGTCGTGGATGGTCTTGCCAAACCCACGAATGGCCTATCTTGAATAACCGTACCAGAAACCTAGAATATTCCTTCTAATCCAGATGTAAAAAGATGTTTTAATCTTTCATGAGAATATTATAACTAGAATCATAAAGATTGTACATGGATACGGCAGAGGGCCCCGTGATAAAACTACATGATATAACTATCATCTGTAGCTTAGTCCCGTACTACTTTACCAACAGCTTTTCTTGATGTCTTAAACACGTGAAGAACGCCCAAGTGTCGCCTCTCTAAATGTAGCACTGCCTCGTCAAGGCACCGTCGACACTGAGCTCTATTGAGTAAAGCACTCTGACCTGTGCACCTCTGACAGCTTGGAATGTACTGTACGGCTTGAGAGCTGTGAAGTCTGGAGATTGGGTTTTGACTCAAGGAACTGGTGGCGTCAGCTTGGCTGCGATTTAATTTGCCGTAGCTGCTGGGGCAACTGTGGTAGCAACTACATCCTCGGACGTGAAGATAGACGCCCTGAAGAAGCTTGGTGCTTCCTACGTCTTCAACTATAGCACCGATCCCGCATGGGGAGAAGCTGCGAGGGCTTTGACTCCGAAGAGACATGGATTTGATCACATCCTTAAGATTGGCGTGCGGCTACGGTGGCCCAGTCCTTGAAGGCAATTAAGCTGGAAGGCATGATCACCATTATCGGGTTCTCGACTTCAGCCGACAACGATAAACAGCCTAGTGAATACCAGCGGGGAAGAAGAAACTTTGGCAAGGTTGTAGTGCGGATGTAAAATTTACAAATCCAATAGACGACGGACTTTGATCTTTGTTCTCTTCATAGTAGCCTAAAACAAACAGTCGCTCAAATTTGGTCCAAATTTATAAACGATACCGCCACCATATTGCCATATATCTAAAAGATATAATCAATAGCTTTAAGCCTTATAGTATTTATAAACGCGTTTATATTACTTGAAGAAGGCTCAAAACAGAGCTTTTGGGCCGCCATCTCTAGATCTCCAAGCATTTTACAAACCAAATGGGAGATTTACCGGAAGCCCATTCACAAATGGCACATTGACAGGCAGTCTACCGCCACCGTTGTTTCGGCCCCCAAACGGAAACCCTGAGTTGCCAAACGGGACGTCAAAGTTTACAAGAGAAGGACCTGAGCCTCCGAAGGGTATTCCAATGTTGACGTTAGCTCGGTCACGGTCGTCATTTCTGAATGACCAAGAACGGCTTCCGTCGGTTCCTGTGTCGATGTTGATGTTAACGCGACGGTAGTTCCCATCACCCTCCTGTTGGTCCTGTTGGTCTCTGCGATCTCGGCGATCTTGACGGTTTTGCCTCTCGTATTGCTGGTTCGGACGATTTGTATTACTACGTCTTTGGCCTGGCCCAGGACTAGTGCGCGCCCGGCTGTAACGGGGCCGTTGGGCTTCAGGTTCAGGACGTCGCGGAACCTCCTCATCGTAAGAGTCTTCGTCGTCCTGTTGCTCTTGTCGATACTGTCGTCTCGACTGTTGGTTTTGCCTTGGTGGAGGATCTCTTGGCGAGTTCATGTCTCCGTACATCCCGTATATGCTTTCCTCGTAAGCCCTGCCGGCTTGCTCCTGTCTGGTCTGCCGACGCGGCTCGGGCGATGGAGGACTCCTTGTATCTTGGTTGGATGGCGGGTCTTCGCTTCTGCCGGTACTGTATCTTGAATTGGTTCGATCAAAGTTGTTGCTGTAGGAGCTTGTGTATGGCTGGTTTGATTGTCGAACCAAAGGTCCAGACGGGGGGAAAGGAGACTGCCCTGGTCGAGGATTGCTTGAGTTCCCGATCCCACCGGGTCCCGCCTTGTTGTTACTCATTTCGAAAGCCGTGATAGGACTTGAATGATGACTGGTGGTAAAGTGTTGTCTGCAATTAGCGCTGGGGAGAAAGCAATTGTCAGCACTTATAGTAACTTGGTTCCTTTTTATGCCAGATACGGACAGCCACGGACCTCTTTGATGGAGCCATAAATCCCCACAAGGGTTGCAATGCGTTTCAAGCGCGTTTATGGAGTTCATAAAGAGTACGAGGTTCCCCAGAGTGAGGGTCTGCAACCTTACGACCTTGCTGCTGGAAGTGTTTCATATCCAGCCCCCGATGGCCTGGAACATACCAACATCAGACCACTATGCTTCCGACAACCCAGGATTCTTCTAAACATGCATCGGCTTTGCTTTTCAGCTGATGTGGCCTTAATGGGTTTTGAGAAAGATTTTGCCGGCCATTCGAAGGATTCCAGACGGCTTTAGTCAAGGCCCGCTCTTCTGCCTTAAGGTGTTTGTGTATCCAAGACATCGTCGGCCAATCTCGGTACCATCCCTGCCGCTGTCACAGGGAACAGGTTATGGCGTGTCCTTGTTCTTGGCGACATTGTGAGTTAATATTTCTGTTAGAAGTGGAAGGCAACAAGGTAACCCCCAAATGAAGATTGATGAATAGTGAACAGCATTGGGTCCGTTGCGTGTCGTCGAAAGAACAGATGAACCACCCGTTCTGCTACTTCGTTGTCGGAAGAAAGGGCTGCGGGGAAAGCGATGGACGCATCAGAGATTATCTGGGCCTTGTATGAAAAAGAAAGCGTTCCCGTACTTGACGAACATCGTTTTAGCTTTGGAATGGTCTAGAAGCACCCAAGAGGGCTCATCGAGATCAGCCACTCCCAAAGATGACTTGCCAAAACTCCAAAGTTTATTCACACACATTGTGAGATAAATGTCACAACTGATCATGAGGATGTCTCCGGCGGATGATACCCGTGTCTATCCAAGCCTGCGCAAGGAGGCCCGAGGCATTGGTACTTTACCAGATTCGACCGTAGACCTAAAAAGCCATATAACGAGACGGGCAAACTAGGCCTGGTAGTCTGAAAGCTCGGCAGTGGAAACAAAAAACTAGCTGGGAGGCAGGCAGGAGGCGGGGGCAAACCAGGGCAGCGCGGCTTTTTGAACATCACGTTTTATAGTACATTCACATACATGAAAAATACCCACCTTGTCTCGGGCTATTGATCAAGCCGGCGCAGTCGGTCCAAGTTAGTGAAACATAATGTCTGAGTGATGCATGTCGCTCTAAAGTATGGCACTATGTATTTTCCTGAAATGTTGGGTTAATCGGAGCAGCTTTCATTTCATTCACATGGCTGGGAGTGGTTTTTGAATGTTAGCCATGTCCAATAGCTTCTCGTGCAGGCGTGACATCTAATCATGGCATAACGAGGCTTATGGCCGTGCTGATACTCTTCAAAAGATATGGAAAGATTACACGTTGGTCGCCTGCATGGTAGTGTTCTGCATTATACAAGCCATAATTGATAGACTTGTAGCCTGCAACCCTTAGTAATGTCGGCATAACCACCACTTGCCTTGCACAGTTAGTTTGAACACGTGATAACAATATATGCCGTTGCTTTTTGTAGCACATAGGAAGATCCAAGAGTAGTTGCTCTACCTTCTTCATGTTGAATGACTAATGGATTCGATGCATGCGTCAAAGTGACCTCCCAGTCAGAGGTTAACTGGCATTACTTACCTGTGTGCCCGTAAGTAGTAGACCATCAATTCGGATCTTAAAGTTTGCTACCGCTTTAAAATTCCATGCATACTATTCCTTCCTGGCGTGCAATGGTCTTTCTTCGCACGCAGAATCTGCATAATGAAAGTTCCGACTTGATCGTGATTAGGGGTATCGCCCCGCCGGCTCTGCGGCGTGATCCACGACACTATCTCCTTTCCAGGCTAGGTCTAAGTTTCCGGAACTCTTCTTTTGAAGCCCTTATAATTTAGGGCCCTCGTCACCAGCAAGAGAGTGTTATGTAGGGTATCCCCTACTACTGGCTGGCGTCGCGGATGCTGAACCTATTTAGAATGGCATATTCCGCGTTCGTGATGTGTTCTTCCGTGTATTTCGTCATATTGAATCTCGTGATAATGTTGCTAGGGTTATCTCAAGTTTAGACAAATAATCAAAGAAAGTCGTGTTGTGAATTTTCAATGATTGTGTTGTACTTAGGAAGGGAAAGCAAGGCTTGAAGTGGTGTCTGCTCTGGGGTTCCTACTGGGAGAGTCTTAGGCTGGGCACATGATATTGAATGATAAACAAACATCAACGCTAGCTGGACTACTGATAAGAGTAACTGGGACTTACCTACTAGTCTCTAACGCATTGAAGATGACAAATCATAATTAAACATATGCTACTTGTTCTTACTCGGGGACTTGATCAATTCTTGACTGTTTAGATCAATTCAGCGCTTATGTCGGAGAAACTAACGCTGTGATAAGTCCAGTCGGTACGTGAATGAAAAAGTCGTTAAAAGCGGTGATAGATATATAAGACATCAAGTCCCTCGGATTAGAGAAGTTATTTTATCACCAACCAGATTCTATCATCTGCAGTATCGTCTCATCAAGCTTAATCTTTCTGTTCTCGTAGACGCCAACGGCCTACGCAAACATGTTGTACACTGGAAGCTGTGACTGCGGAGCGGTTAAATATAGATATGAAGGTAACCTTGCCCTGTTCATGCTTCCAAGCAACCCGGCATCTTGCCCATATTTTGACTTGAGGCAGGACCGCTGACCGTTGGACAGGCGAGGCTCTTGCGAAAGCTATTTGCCACTGCATACCCTGCCAAAAGGTAAAGTAACTTTCCTCTCTTAATTTACCCAAACAAGTTTTAACAATTATTCAGCGATCTGGCAGCGCTTTCAGCGTCAATATAATCGCCAACAAGAGTCTCTTCCAAATCCTTCAAGGTGAACTTTTCTAATCCTCGTTACGGGCCTTCGTCTTACAATCTGTGTAGGAACCACGAAGACAATCGATCGCGTTGGCGATTCCGGTAAACCGTACCACGCTCATTTCTGCGGTGACTGCGGCACTACAATTTATGGGGAGCCAGAGTCTGCTCCTGACATGGTTTCTATCAAGGCTGGCACTTTGGATACGGAATTGAGTGATCTCGACGCTATCGACGCAGAGGTCTATGTTGTCCGACGGAAGACCTATCTGGAGCCAATTGCGGGCGTCAAGCAGTTCGATGGAATGCTTTCGCTTTGAGAGGTTCTCATCGTGAAGTGTAGCATTCTGTACGTCTATTATGTATACGACTGATTCGCTACAATTAATGAATAGTGGCACGACACCACAGCGCAAACTCATGATCCCATTCCATTGTCAAGTTGATAAACGCCAGAGTACCTGTTCATCTCTAAGCTGCCAATCTTGCTTCATAATCAGTCACTGGCATCAGTGCAGGCTTTGAGTGGAACTAGCTGCTCAATGTCGTGAAGGCCCTCCACATCTCGGATGTGGATTTTGAACGCGATCACAAGGTACGGCCCAGCTTGTTGCCTGCCCATTGCATGGGCTGTGGAAGCTTGGCCAGTCTTGAGAGCCCTTGATAATTCTCGTCCATCAGAAAAGTGTGAAGGAAAAGACATAATCCAAAGGTCATGTTGTCTTACTAACTAATCGCCGAATCTAGGTTAACGCCAGCGTGGCGCAAAAAAGGTCCTTAGCACGGACCTAGTAGTCTTATGTTAAGGGCCACCACAAAATCGAAACAGCAATGAGATACACTGCGCTTTAGAGCTTAGACAAAATCGTAAACCTCTCGACCAATTCGCCTTTAACCAAGGGCTCAGTTCAAGACGGGTACAAATTGACGAGTGCGATTGGAATTGGAGGATTGAGATCGTCGTTCAGGTGCTAGTTGTCACTAGCTAAAGTAGTACGGAGTAACTGTCAATGAGAGAAGCCTTTCTGACTTAGTGGGTGTATCTAGTCACACTAAGAATTCTGGGGCATGCGGGGAATAGATCAGAAGCCCGCGCAGCTGCAGCTTCAAAGACCAGGATTATCCACTAGCCCCGGCTTTCACTGATGTTTCCCTTGACCAACATTTGTAGATGTCGTTGAAGATGCCCGAAGGCGACAGAGATCAACGTACCCAATTTGCGCGATCCCCTCAAGCAGTATCGGGGGACACTGGTAGTCGGCCTTTTGACTCGGGCCCATCTACTAGGGGACTCGAGACAGGTGACACAGTAACAGTGAACAGTGGTCGGCATGCGACGGCTTGCTTCGCCTGTCGCGCAGCAAGACAACGATGTGATCGATATACGCCTTGGTAAAGTTCTCTTGATTTTGCTAATCTGTCTCTGGTATCAAAGTATTAATTACAACGTAGCATTCGATGTGTCTCTAATGGCCGCGTGTGTGATTATCCCACACGGTCAAATAGGGGTCGAAAAGAAGGCAGCACCAAGTAAGTGCTTTTATCATGGGTTGCTGAATTGACCCTCATATTTTTTCAATCATCTGATGTCCGACTGACATTGCCTCAGCAAACCAGACACCGTGGAAAAGCTACTCGCTCGAATAAACCAGAGCAGTGTCCGGGAGCAAGTGATTGCAGCTCTTCTCAAACCTAGTAGTGCACACCCAAACGCCTCGTTGACCAGCCTAGGTTCTCATTTAACACCCCCAAACTCTGAGCAAATCAGACCCAATGACACGGCAACGGTTTCTCCGGTTTCTGGGCCTACTTCTGGGGCAGATAGCAGCTCAGAAATAAATGCTGTGTTCGACCCAGCCCAAGCCCCATGTATAACCCGAGTTAAGAGGGAGGGTTCTGTTGTGTCGCCGCTCCATATCATGGCTTCAACTTTTACAGAAGAGATGTCCAAGTCGAATCAAGAAACCACAATATCTGCACGGTCTCAAACTTCATGTAACGTCAGTCCTGACAGCTGGTCAAGGAGAGATCGATTATTGGAGTACTTCGGTAAGAGCCCTGATATTTTTACATGATAATGCTTCCAAGGATGCAGACTAAGCCGTTCACTAGAGCCTAGAATTCCTTACCAAAAAGACTGGCAAGTATTGGCTTCTCAGTCAATCAACAGTACTTTGAAGCTCGAGCCAACAGCCTGCGACCCTCTCAGAGCACGACTTGTGGACCAGAGCGACGTGGAGCTGTATTTTGAGCTGTAAAGAGGCATAACCCTACCGAAACGTGAGACCTTGTTGACTGACGCGCGTTGGCCAGTTTCTTCAAGTTCCGTAACCCTTTCGTGGGTTTGTTAGATCCTGCCCTTCACACCTCAGAATACGTGTACTCTGCGTCGTTTACTCTGTTTTCTGTCATTTGCGCCTTGGGTTGCGCTATTTCAGTAAGACCTAGGGACCGAATTCTCTACTCAGCTCTCTTATCTCTCGCTGAAACGAATGTCATGTGGTCTATCGCCGCCTCCGTAAAGTCTCTCGAAGTAATCCAGGCTATTATCAATATGAAATACTGGGCGCCGGTCCATCAAAGGCAGACGGACGATCCCTACTGGCTACATTTAAGCCATGTAAGTAAAAGAGACACCCTGTAGTCCGTCAGGTCTTCTGAAATATATACTGAAACAGTTTGTTAAAACATATGCAGGCCGCACAGCTCGCAAGGGAACTAGGTATTCACACCTCAACCGGTGTATCCAGCCAGATCAGCACCGTCGCACCCGGTGCGGCCGCCCATGTCAAGGAACGTCTCCAAAGAAACTTTGAGAGGACATGGCTTCATGTCTGCATTGCTGATAAGAGTTTTGGTATTATCACTGGCCGATCTATGGGCGTTGCATGGAACGAGCTCCCTACGAATTCCTGCCAGTGGTGGCGGAAGCCGATGACCACTACGCTAGATCGGATGATAAGCGGGGTCATGGAGATACGCATACAGCTGGTAAAGCTTTTCTTGCGAGGCACTGCCGTTTGCCGAACTCGCTAACCACAAATTGGCGTTCGATCAGTTGACAGAGCTGAAACGATTGGAACGCCTTCGAAGGACCGTCGAATGTGTTGTGGTCTGGCATTCACAAGCATTGGACACCTTGGAGCGTACGCGGAATATCAGGTGCTATCCGGACGGCCCACAGTCAGCACCAAACTTCCCGATCCTTGCCTTTTATATAGACCACAGTATCATGGTTCTCAACACCCAGGCTTTAAGAGAATTGGCTGCTACAGAGGAGGCAGAGAAGTCGACTGAGTTGGAGAAGCTGTCACGCAAAGCTTTTGATGTTGCGATGAGGCTCCTTGACCTTGCGCACACAAACCCTTTGATCCGTGAGCTCAAGTTTGGATGGCAGAATAATCAGTTCATCATGGTTGCACATGCAATGACGGAAATTATACAAGTGAGTATTCGGCTTTTCCATCTTCGTCTTGCATGCCTCGCACCAGGGCAGGATGACTTCGCTAATGAATGTTTCCCCATAGGCTATCAGGCGTGATAACCTACCGTTCAATGACGTTGTGGAAGCTACATCCAGAGTTCATGCCGTCTCAGAACATCTGGAGGGGATTGCAGAGGAGTCACCAGCTACATCTGCTGCACATATATATGCCTCTCTCACGCGCATGTTCATCTCCAGGTTAAACACCACCAACGTTGAGGACGGAGACGCACCACAAGGGCCAAATATTGACGCAAATATTTCGGTGCCGGGTTGGCTAAGAGGTTCCGAAGCTGGCTCGCTCGACCCGGCCGCTTGGTTTCAAATGGGATTTCTGAACACTGATGATTCAGGTCTTGATCTTGGGGATATTTATGATGTGGTGAACATGGGAGATTTGACGTTTGCCCCATCCGCGGAACCATAGCGCTGAAGATAGGTGGCCTCGATAAATATGACCCGAGGCCAAATCTAATGTGTGAGAAAGCTATATCAAGCTCTAAGATTGTCAGAATATTTTAAACCCGAGCTAGTGCACCATAGTTGTGTGAAATATGTAGCAGCTGACTATGAAAAAGTCTTTTCGCTATTTACTTTCCCCAGCCAAAAAGCACTGGCCAGCAAGAAAGCAAGACAAGCCACAGCCGCTAAAAACACACTAGTCAAGGCCAGGTCGCGCGACCTTTAGGCGGGGAGTGATTGGGTCCGCGGTTGATGACCTCATCAAAATTTAATGTCACAGCGTCATAGACATGCGAAGCAACGCATTCCTTAGTTTATATTTGAACCTTTTGCGTTCCTGGCGCTTTATGGACAGTAATGAATCGATGACTTACGCTCTTTTCAACTGAAAATAACTTATTCGATCACGACCTTGATCAGAACAGCTTCGAAATCATGGCACAAAATGGGAGTACTGGTAAGGAGAGGCGTAAGCGCGTCCTTGTCGTCGGCGCTGGTGCAGCTGGGTAGGTCAAGGCAGAATTCGTATTTCTATGACCTGATCTGATATCAAGAAGCATGTCGACAGCTTACCATCTTTCAAATCATCCCGATAAGTTCGATGTCACTCTTATCGATTCTGTCGACTACTGCGGTGGGCAGGCCTTCTCAATCCCGCTTAACAAGGAGCGACATGGTGCCAGCTGGTTCAACCAAGGAGTACAGGGCGGTAGCTACATCTTCCATCACACGCTTTCCATGTTCGCCCGACAAGGATTTCATGCCGATCCTGTCAAGCTTCAAGTATCATTCGGCAAGGATGAAAAGTTTTGGACCAACGTGTTTCCGACCGACTTCATCTTGAAGCATCAGAGCGAAGTGAGGAGGCTCACTTTCATGCTCAAATTTATGCGCTGGTTCGAGGTCTTCTTCGCGCTGATCCCGCTGAAAATACTCTTCAAACTATTTCTCTTTTCTGATGAGTTTACCAATGTCGTCGGTTTGCCCATGACGGCTTTGTTCCTGGGGACTGGTAACGCTACACCGGAAGTCCCAGCAATTATGCTTGAACGCTTGTGTACCTCGCCGACTTATGGCATGTGGTGTCCTTTGGACGAGAACAGCGTTGTGTCGAACTTCCCCCCAATGGTTGTGTTTCCCAATTTCACCGACTTCTACCAGACCTGGAAGAAAGATCTTGAAAACAGAGGCGTCACTGTCAGACTCTCCACCGAGCTCACCGAGATTATCCACCGCAACAAGCGCGGGGTTCTTGTCAAAGTCAAAGGCCGCACACCTGCGGAAGACGGCCACAACCCACTTGGCGGCGATGCAAATGCTACAGAGTCTGAAGAACATTACGACGAGATCGTGCTCTGCGTACTCGCTGATACCGCCAAGAAGATTCTAGGCAAGACGTCCTCATGGCGTGAGCGCAAAGTCCTAGGATCTGCCAAGTTTTCTGACGATATCACAATCACCCACACCGACGCCAGTTACATGAAGAAGTACTACGAGAATTTCTACGATGAGTCCAAGGCCGTCAAAGCGCTCGGGAACAAGCGTGATTTAGATCAATCGTCTCGTCTAGAGTACGCCAAGGATAACTTCCGACCCATGTACTACATACGCATGTACGATGAGGACCTCTCCAAATTGGAGATGTGCTTTGACACCACGAACTATCAGTCTCAATTCCCGGAGAACGTACCTTTTGAGCAGCATGTTTTCCAGACAATCTACCTCAACAAAGACAGAGACCGCAAGCATTGGACCGACGACGAAATTGACAAAGATAAAATCATCCGCAGCGACTGGTGGCACCAGCTCTGCCACTCTTGGACTCACTACGCCTTTTTGGTGCCTTGGATGATGTTTTTGCAAGCCAAGCGGCGAGTTCGGTTTGCAGGTTCGTGGACGCTAGTCAATGCGCATGAAGTTGCCATCATGTCCGGTATCGCTGCCGCCGTGGACATGGGAGCTGAGTACCCCGAGGATCTTGAGCACGACAAGTTTGCGTTCTTGTGTTTCAGGTTATACTATCTTCTCGCATACGGCAAGTGGTACCGTCGAAGATTCAACGGTAGCCAGAGCCAGAAAGCAAAGGATGGCGCAAGCTGGGCTTCTGGGTTGTACGGTAGCGTGTATCAGGGCCCTGGCGTGTCTAAGCAGGAGAGGTCAATTTGGAGAGAAGAGGTCAAGGCTGAAAGAAGTACTGAGAACCTCGCGGATGGAAACAATGGAAGAAGCCAACCCTAAACCTGGTGATATCAGGTATCTTAATGCGGCACAGGTTATACTTGGCTGATAGGTCGATGAGATATATAATGTAGCAGTATGGTTCAACTTTCAGAAATTTGGTAACTTTTCGCATTAGGTCCATTTACAAAGCATTGCCATTCGTAACCAAGTGGGCTTCTGATAAACAGCCGAGTCCTTTTAGATTCTGTTCAGTGGTTGTTGAAGCCACCCCATCTTGGAGATTCTAACATAGCGAATTGTGACCTCTGATGCTTGTATATGTGCATCGTCAAGGCAAGTAGAAAACCGGAACCTTGATTCATCGCGACCTTAGCTAGTAGTGCCGCTGCAAAACGACGACGACCTCATTATGAATAGCAAAACTTGGTAATGCTACCTTTGAGATATAGAAATCCTAAGTAGCTTCACCTTTTACTACAGCGGCGAGTTGCTCAAATGTAGCTGCTATTAGCTCATGGTCATCTAATCAGGTCAGGCTTGGCAGATGTGGAAACACAGTCTGTCGCGGCACTTATATACTAGTATGGACGATATGCGGTCTTTGTGGGTACCCACGGCGATATCGCAGCCCCATCATCTATTGACCGAGGCAACGTGGCCGATGGAGATCATCAGATTATCAGATGACACGTTTTGCTCAAACGGGGTCTGAATGTGGCTCTGTGACGAAAAAAAAGACTTACGACTGTCTCTATCCGCCTACGGTACCTCGACTAGCTACTCGACAGGTTCCGTGGAGGTTGCAATAGTCGATAGGATAGATAGCATGGAACGACTTTTTTCCCCATAGTTTTGGCCAATGCTGGGGTCGGACGGGCCCCGTTATGTTACATCACAACTCCTGATCGAAGAAGATTGTGGGGTTTCACATAAGACCCCCAGTCGTTGTTACATAGGTAGTCATAGTAAAAATGGTCAAGTACACTAAGTAGGACGATTGCTAAATCCTTGCTATGTGAGCCCCATTCGATAGAATACTAATCAATCGGACAATCGATCACGCCAAGAAATAAACTGAGCCCATGTGGATACAACTTCACCCTTCGGCCCTCCGAGGTCACCACGGCGGGCTCCCCAGTGTTTCCATAGTCCGGTCAACGGACCCAATCTAGGGTACAGGAAACTCAAATCCCAACACGGATCCTGGCGAAATACTGCCAAAACAAACTGTAAGGGGTGCATTCTAGCGGAGCACCTCCACTAGAGAAGGAAAGCATTATCTTGTACAGTTGAATCTGATGGGTAAAGCTTGCCGGCGGCACTGCGGAGCGTCACCTGTTGCATCAGCCATTATGTCGATGATGTGGAGCAACATGGAGCATGGCGGCTAAAGAGTGAAAAGTTGGGTTCCTTGACGACTCAAGGGCGGCACACAGGCGGCGAGATGCCGCCAGCGACGGATAAACACTTCAATAATATTGCCATCTGGGGAGGTTTCAATCCAGTCTGGCCTAGTCTTTGCAATTCACCCAGTCCAGATTCGGAACATGCCTAATTAATGGATTTCATTATGTGGAGTTCTTATTGTTACTTCCGTTCTCCCACATTCCGGATGTATATGGTACCCAACACGATGGTTAAGATTGCTCTTAACTTTAAATTTCACTGCTATTATATGGCCTTTGTGGGTGTATAGTACCATTCACCATAGTCAGCTTGTTCGGTACGAACGGTTCGCATCTCCGCCGACAGACGGCGCTTAGAAACCGCCGGCGGAAGTCGCCGAATCTGGTGCGTTCCCCAGGAACCGTCTACATCATTGTACATACTGCAGCGGCAACCTGCAGTAATAATTGGAGAAAATACCGCAGTCGAGCCTATCTTACGCTATCAAAAGGTTACAGGAACAGCCTTGGGCGGAGGTGTGATTTCTGGTGCACCCTTGACTACGAGTAGCCTGTAACGGATCCCAGTGGTTCATTGTCGACGTAACACCGGCCACATTAGACACTTTTTGGGGGTCACTCATCCTAGTATTATGGGACTTTCCTTGTGTTCGGTCTACCGAAGCGGTCCGTCGGTAGTAGTGAATATGCCGCTTGTCAAAAGCAAACGGGGCTAAAAAAAATGGAGAACAATCGACAGGAGACATGCTATACCATGAGTATACACTGACTTCGGCACTTTCTAAGTTTCTAGACCTAACGGCATTCGTCCAATTTTTAGAGTGTCGTAGGCTTGGCGAGGAGGGGTAAACTCACTGACGTCGTTCAGATGGATAAGATAATCTTATCTGATTTGCAGGCCGTGTCGCATCACCCCATCACACAATTTCCATCACGAGCTCCTGAAGCATGATCAGCACTTACAGTTGCGATGCAATTACCTAACAAGCAAGAGGGGGAGGGGTTTCATTTGTTCCGACAACGGAAAACCTTGACGGGTAGAGGCGGGAAGCTTAGATGGCGTATTTTCTTCTGGATGATTTTGAAGGAGGGCGGAATGTTTAATAAATGTCGAATCTCCCCATCTCTCATGCCGTGCGTCACTTGATGATTGACCTGTCACACTCTTCCGCAGTCTTTTTTCTTATTTCAAAGGATACCCTCTTGTTATTTTCTTCCAAAAACACAATGTCGGCACCACAGCCCACTATCAATGAGCTCGCAGCCAAGGTCAGCGACCTTTCTGCTGAGTTTAGCAAGTTCCTTGGGGAAAACAAAATTCCCCAGCCAACTTTTGCCGCAGACAGTGTCCCTAGCTATGATGGTCTTACGTCAGAGTCCTTCCTGTTGCGCCAGAAACTACTGGACACCTTGAGAGACCTGGCATATCTCGTCGAAGGACCGAGCGAGAGCATCTTCAACTACACTCATAACGTGAGATTATCTTTCCCTGCAATGAAACCACAGACATCGTCAGACTAACCCGCCTCAAGTACGGCCCCGACGGCGCAGCACTCAACACCCTTAACCACTTCAACTTTTGGTCAGCCGTTCCTCTTGAAGGTTCGGCATCTTACGCAGACATCGCCAAGCACGTCAACCTGCCAGAGGAGGTTGTCCACCGTCTTCTCGAGCACGCATACACCCTGCGCATCTTTGAGGAAACAGACCCCCTCAAGCCACTCACCACACAAGTACGACACACGGCACGGTCCGCAGCCTTGGCGAAGAATGAAGGCCTCCAGGGACTTGTTTTCAACATCATGAATGATGCGGGCCCTCCGATGGCGGTGCTTAACTATGCGCTAGAGAAGTTCCAGGTCGGAAAGAAGGAACTCAAGGAAGACATGAGCGAGACGGCATTTGCGCTGTGGCAAAGCGGCGAACTATCCAAGGGGTACGCCAACTCGTGGGAGATGATGGAGGAGGACGGCGAAGGAGAGAGAAAGGGATACCGCATGAGAAGCTTTGTGAAGTGGATGAACTACATCAAGGAAATCTTCCGTCTGGAGGGCTTGGTCAACACCGCATACGACTGGAAGGCTGCTGGCAACCTCAAAGTTGTCGACGTGAGTTTTTTCCCTCTTCGCTTTTGATCGTATGCAATCAGGCATGCCAACTGACACGGATAAACTAGCTTGGTGGTTCTGGAGGTCATGACAGTTTTGTCCTGGCGAAGAGCTTCCCCAACCTGAACATAACGGTGCAGGACCTGCCAAAGTGCCAGTCCTCTTTCGACGAGAACATTCCCGAGGAGTTGAAGGGTCGCGTATCCTTCCAACCTCACAGCTTCTTCGAGCCTCAAACGCTGCAGGCGGATCTCTACATGATCAAGCTTATCCTTCACGACTGGCCTGATGCCGAGTCCATCAAGATTCTGCAGGGTCTCACACCAGCCCTGCGCCCCGGCTCCAAGGTGCTGTTCATCGATTACGTCGGCAAGCAAGGTACGGTCGAGGAGAACGCGGCGGCGGCAGCGGCACTGCCTAGGTCTATCCAGCAAATGGGCACGTCAACAGATTTGAGAATGATGGGACTGTTTGGTGCCAAGGAGAGACACGTAGATGCATGGAAGGAGCTCTTCAAGCGGGCGGACAAGAGATTTGATGTCACTCGTGTCGAGGCCAACCCGCTTTCTTTCTTCGTCGTTATTGAGGCTGTCTGGCGGGGCGAGTAAGGAAGAGGTTTGATAGATGAGATGTATATACATGATAGATGATCTGATAAAAGTTTTATACCATTACCGTTGTTCTAGCATTTCATATATCCTCGAAACTGGACAGAGTGAAATGTTATCACTTTTCTTCCCGTGGTCTTCCTATGGAGCGAAGTGGGCTGGGCTTCTTTTGTACCACACCCGATGGAGTGGGTTCCGGCATATGCCCGTAATCACGTCCCACTACACTAGACCCTCACTCCACGATGCCCTCCACTCCCACAGCGAGCCGTTATTTTCGACAAATAGACCACACGAGTCATCAAGTTAAATGGTTTCGTGGTGTAGTTGGTTATCACGTCAGTCTAACACACTGAAGGTCTCCGGTTCAAGTCCGGGCGAAATCATCCAATGGGCGAATGGTTTAGTGGTATAATACTCGCTTAGCATGTGAGTGGTCCAGGGTTCGATTCCCTGTTCGTCCATTCTTTTGATTTTTTGAATCAATTGAGAGTTATTTTTCTTGTAATGCCGCTATTTGTGATGTGTTAAAAAGCCGGGGCCGCCTCGAATGGAGGTGTGGGAGGGATAAATGGTGGGCTGTTGGGTAGGTGGAGACCTTCTAAAGATTTGCTTATGTAACCGAATCGAGTTTCTCCAGGCCATGGTGTATCTCATATATGTAAGGTACTACATGCAATTTTGCTCTCCATCTCAGACTATGCATTAATCATATTTTTATCTTGGTATTTCTTAACAACATTTGGTGACATTCGGACCCTTGAGGGTTTTGTGTGAACAATGCTCTACAAACATGCATCAATGCGCAGGCATGTTTGCCCTCGTCATGGCATGGCGCTGGTACATTGCTTGGGGCTGAACCGAAACTTTGGGTGAGACAAAGCCTCATATTGGCACTGGTAGTACCTATGCATGTTTCTTCTTGTTGGAGCCGCGATTACGATCGATACCGAATCAAAGGAAATCTACCGAGGAAGAAACTTCAAGGGCTGTCTAAATGATGCTTTTTTTTTTTTTTTTTTTTTTTTCGGTGCCAATGCCACTATTACCTAAGGTAGTATTCGCTCTCCTGGGACGAACCATACATCGAGATGCAAGTCACCACGTTCGCTCACTCGCAGCCGCCGAGGCCCCGGGCTATGTGGCTTCGTCCGTGATCTTTGTATTGCCAGTTCAACGATGCAACGGTGCCATGTCAGCAGCCAATGCCTAAGCTGCAGATGTTATCCCATAATTCAGCCGGCCACCCATTCATTCGCCTGAACAGGCTCTGGGATTGCGGCAGTAAGCATGTGCCATGTGCTGGCGCAATTCTTAGCGCTACGGTAAATGCAACTCAGCACAGATCAGGTAAAGGACCGATGTGAACCAAGATGCTCCCCGGGGGGGCCCGGTAGCCCAGAACGGCAGTACGAGAGAAAATCTGCTAGCGGATTAGGGGACGCTCAACGGTAAGATGAACAAGGAAGCACACCTGAGGGAGCCAAAAGTAGCAAACGGCATGGTGAGCATTAAGCGGCGCTTTTTGCAAACAGGTTTGCGTTGTCGATATGCATGCTTAGCACATGCAGTAGCTCAGTAGCTTTCGACAAGCTGGCCATTTTTTGACCTGGCTTTTTCGTTGTAGGTAGGCATCGCAATCACGAATAGACGAGGATGGAAGAGGGCTTGTCAAACGCCCCTTGGCGAGTCATCAAGTGTTGATTCAAGTGCCTGATTCATACGGGGAACCCGACCGAAAAACACACAACGCCAGAAAGGCCTAGGCCGCCATCCCGTCTTACCCCCTTTCGCCCTAAGCATGAGGTAGGCTGTATTGAATCTAAGAATCTTAGCTTACTTTGCCCCGAGGTATGTTAGGCGCAGCAGATGCTGGATTGAATGTAACTGAACCCCCCCCCCCCCCCCCCCCCCCGGGGCTAGGCCATGCCATCCTGTCCCTCCGCCCATTGACATGCTTCACCTAGCGTCACCTAGCGGCATTCTCATCCCATTCAGGCTTGCCCCCGGCTTGACAATGACTTTTGGCTCTTGAAACGGCATTTCGACCTGGCTACCTTTTCATTGTCATAAAGTTGAGCTCGTCCCCCAATACCCCCCCCCCAATTCCCAAATCCCCATCCCCTACTTTTCTTTAATCTGACCTCCGTGCCGTTATCCCACTCGCGGGCCACACATTTTTCCAAGAGTCCCGACGCTCCGGGACTGGGGTCGTTCTTCAGTGCCGACGTGCCTTGTATTCTCCCTCTCGTTACCAAACTGTCGGGTCCGCAATTGAATGAGAAGTGACAGAACAGTCCCGGGCTGTAAGACTAGAGCAAGACACCAAAAAAAGAGAGTAGCCAGCCTTATTTGGAACGCGAGCAACCTCGAGAAACAATTAACGGCACATTTTTAAGGAAAAACTCGACGAAACGCCATTTAAAGCACAAATTGAAGTCAAGAACCCGAACGAGAGCGACGGTGTCGGTCGAGCAGCCAACATATATTTCCAACGAAGCCAACCAACAGCGCCGCCACACCCCTGCTCTATACTGCCGAGCTTGTGCGACGTGCCGGCCAGCCAAGCGAATTTGTTGAGCGGGAGGAAAAGAGGAGGAAAAGAGGAAGAAAAGAGCGGGAAGAGATGGTCGGAATATTGACCTCCACCGTGGGTGTCACGTTAACTTCCGGCACTTGGAGTTTATTACTCAACCTCATCGCATTCATTGCTGTCGCCGTCTTCTTTGCTTGGGAGTTTAGGTCCTGGTACCGACTACGAAATATTCCCGGTCCATTTATCGCCTCAATTTCGGTCCTGTGGCAGTTGAAGAAAGCAGTTGGCGGAACATACCATGAGCATCTGAATGATGTCGCCCGGAAATACGGTACGCTTTCTCCCTTTGCTTTAGCGATTACTTCTCCAGCACTTATGCCGCCTCATTTTTTTTTTTCTTTTGGAGGGACTGGCTTCTACCAAGTGTATGTCAAAGATGGAAGATTAAAGAGATGTCATCACAGGGCCTTTGGTGCGCATCGGGCCAAACGAGCTTCTTTGCACAGACCCCGACTCGCTTCGCAAAATCTCGGGTGTTCGCTCGCTGTATACCAAGGGGGACTTTTACGCTACCGGCCGTATCACGCCTGGCGTTGACAATGTCGTTTCGATGCGGGATGAGGAGGCGCACAAGGCCATGAGGGCGCGCATGGCTCCGGCCGTAAGTCTCCTTTCTTCCCGTCGTGGTGTTGTCTCTCCCTGTTGGAAAAATAGCCGGCGCCGACAGAATTGATTGGCGGTGCGACAAGCCAACCTGCAAATTGTCTCATTGGCTGACAGCTCTGATTCGCATGTGCACAGTACGCCGCCAAAGAAAATGAAGGGTTCAGCTTCGAGAGTGGCATCGATCGCCAGCTCATGAACTTTATTCGCTTAATTGATCAGCATTATGTCTCTACCGATAGCGAGTTTCGGCCATTGGATCTCGCCGAAAAGACTCAGTTCTTCGCGCTAGATGCCATCGGCGACATTTCATTTGGCGACCCGTTCGGGTTCCTCGCTGAAGACCGCGACCTGTTTCGGTACATTGAGATTAACGAGTCTTCCCTGCCGGTCTTGAACGTCGTATCGGTGCTTCCGTGGCTCGGCCGACTTGTTCACAAATGGCCCTTTCGCTTGATGATGCCGAAGGAGAACGACCAAGTTGGTTTTGGTCGCCTCATGGGGTGATTCACATACGATCGGGAGCTACAAACAATCGCTAACTCAGAGAGACAGCTTCGCTAAAAATTATGTCGAGATGAGACTACAGCCCGGCGCAAAGCCCCAGAAAGATATGATGCAAACTTTCATCAACCAAGGTCTCAACTTGGAAGAGCTTATTCAGATTGTTTATATTCACATGTAGGGGATCAGTTGCCTAAGTCTGAATACCAACTGACGTCCATTTCAGGATCGCAGGCACTAATTCAGCTGCACAAGCCATGCGCATGACTTTACTCTGCCTAATAAATAATCCAGTAGCCTATCGCCGACTGCAACAGGAGATTGACGATTGCATCGCGGCAGGTACCATCAGCTCTCCCATCACCGACGCCGAAGCTCTCAAACTCCCTTACCTCCAAGCGGTCATCCGCGAAGGACTAAGGGTGTACCCACCCGTCACCGGGCTTGGCTTCAAACAGACGCCCAAAGGTGGCGATATCCTCAATGGCTATTTTGTCCCCGGCGGCACGCAGATCGGACAGAATTACTTTGGAGTTGGGCGTTCACAGTGGGTTTGGGGGCCCGATGCCGATGTTTTCCGGCCAGAGAGATGGCTTTCGGCAAGCGAAGAGGAGGTGAAGCAGATGGATGCCGTTCTGAGTACGCATTTCGGCCATGGCAAGTATTCTTGCCCTGGGAAACCGATTGCCATGATGGAACTTAACAAAGTGTTTGTTGAGGTAAGTTCTCCTGAGTAACTAATGCGGGCGGAAGCAATGCATGTGAATACTGACGGATATCAGCTGCTGAGGAGATACGACTTAACAGTCGTAAACCCAGAGAAGCCTATCAAGACTCTCAGTGCAATTTTCTTCGTTGCGAGAGACTTCTGGGTGACGTTAACAAGACGGTCACCTTAAACAGCCATCATTAATATAGTCGTCTTTTCGAATGTCATCCACCTCATCCAGTCCAGGAGATTGTGAATATTATGATAGCGTATCGCGTGGAAGCCCCCCGAGCCTGGTGACTTACTCTTAGCTATAGCCTTATCGATGTGTGTAACAGTCCGTTCATTACCACACAGTAGGCCCAGACGGGTGTAAGGCCGGGAGAAGGACACGGAAATTCCATTCAGAGTGGAGTCAAAAGTCTGAAGCCACCCCCCATTTCTCTGTGATGGAAGTTCGCCTACACTTTGACCAAAATTTACCTGGGCAATTCTATACCATATATGGGCGGCTCTTATATGACACAGACTCATGAAGGCGCTGCCGACGATAAATTTTCACTCAAAAGCGGCATCCCTCCAAACCATGTCGTCTTCGACCGTTCAACGGCCACTCGAAGATGCCGATGTTGGCTAGCCTCAAAATGCCTTGTCCATGGCAGAGCATATGGTTCGTTAGGGGTCCAGCCGCATGCGTTAGAGGGGCTTTGAAGAGCTAGGTGCGAACTTATCACGCTGTCGCTGTCACCAGCGGCTTGTCTCCGGCATTGGTTGTTTGCTTTTAATTCCAGCACCATCAAGTGTGTAGGTGATTGAGTGCAATCAATCGCCTTGCACGATAACACATCACTTTTTGCACGCTTTCAGTTGTAATCATTATATTTGCGGTAGGGCGTTATTTAAATTATTTCCTATGGCCACTTCCTGGAGCTTATGAGGTTAGATGGAATGATTGCATTGGAAGTTCCAAGGGCCTGTCTGCGTGAGAGTTTTGGCTTCATCATCAGCTAAAGAACCTGGATTCATCTGCTCATCATGTGTAATGGAGAGATTGGCCATAACTCCTGAAGCTTGAAGTCCCAGTTTCTGCCGAAATAGTGCCAAAGGCATCTTTATATAAAGGTTAGTTCAATGCCCTAAAGAACGCTACAAGAAGACATGGCATGCTCGCTGCTGATTTAATCGAGCAAGGATATCTGACAGCTGTGCAGGCGCTGAAAGACAGGCGGATGGTTGCTATAAAAAAATGAGACTTAAGATACAGCTTAGCGACCACGCTAGGTGAGTACAGGTATACTTGTTAGCCGAGAATGTCGCTACTTAGCTTCGACTGGACGAACCCGGTATGTCGATGACGCCGATGCGCGCTCCCTAGACATCGTCGAATTGCGTGACGTTATCACGTCGTCATCCTCAGCTGTTCACTGCAATTGCGAAATTTGAGTGTTGGCTGCGAACCCTTACCGAAGGGGGCTCTAAAATAATGCCAGCCGCTAGCTTACCGGATGAGTTTCCTCCTTCTAGACATCACAACAAACTGAGCTGCAACATCAGCATGGAGAACCCCAAAATGGCGACAAATCAGCCTCAAACGCTCTCCCATGCTCTGGCAGCGACTAACCTTGTAGACACATCGCACGCACCTCTCAGTCATGATGAGTCCGTCTTCGACCTGGGCTGGGATCAAAAGGCTGATCACAAGGGAAGACCATGGATCAAGGGTCTACATAATGAAGACGTGTGGGCGCTGGTGCGAAGGCTCAACAAGGTTGCCTTCCTCTTCATCCATATACATCATGGTGCACCTTGACTGAACGTGAATAGGAGGTTTTTGAGCTCAAGGCAACCAACAAGATTCCCTATGGAGATTTGGACTTGGTCGTGGCGGAGAAATCGGAGTGTTCTCCCAACAAGCTACGCAGTGAAGTAGAGAGGCTCTATATGGGATTGGTAAGGCTAAATTTATTCGTGAGGTTGCCTGGTGTACTGACCTTACCCATCAGTTACTTGGGATGTTTGCATTTGCAAAGTCCATTTCACGACTGCGCTCATGGCACGAGCCTAGAAGGACTGCTGCATTCTGCGCAGTGAGTCACGATATCCTGAACGAATATTCTGTGCACTAACAGTTCAGGTCTATTTTCTCGCATGGTTTTTCGACTTTCTTCTACTCGCAGTAATGGGCATGGTAATTGCATATATTGCGTCACCCAAGGCTCGGACGATTCTCTTTCCACCAGCACCACTGTCCATGGTTGACATGACTACGGGCGACATTGTTAAGCCAATGGCTGGCGTTCTCGGTTCGACAGATGCGGCGACAGGGGCCCCCCAAAATTTGAAGGGCGAGGCTGTTGAGAATGAAGCCAGTAATTTCGTAACAAGTGTGGCGGCCATCGCTACCAACTTGCTAATGGGTCAAGATCCTCATGGGGCGCCCGGAGAAGTAGGGGGAGGTAGCAGACAGGGATTCAAACCCCAGCTAGATGTCACGACCATGGCCGTTGTCAAAGACAAAGCCGAGGGTATGGACAGACCATCTCAAGATAAGACCAAGGCGCCAATGGAGGAGGAGGTATGGCCGACACAATTCCTTCCACCGAGATCATCAAGGTTAACTGACATATCTGCAACAGGTGTGGAATCAAATGACACCACTGCTTCACATCTTGATTTTAGTCTCTGACACTTGGGAGCGTTTCTTAAAGTCCGTTTCCTCATCACGCTGTCGTTAGCTGCTTACTTACTCTGTTCATAGCATGCTGAATCCCACGCCTCCTTTCGACCGAGAGAAACACCACCTCCGCTTGGCAACGTATATGTCGCCCTTAGCCATAGCATCCTTGTTCTTGACCAGAGAAATCGTGGTCAGAGGCTTGACGTTCATGTTCGGTGTTGGTCTTTTTGGAGGCCCCCTGATTGCACGGGCTTACCAATACTTGAACGAGAATAAATGGACAGAGGTTTTCCACCTAAACAAGTAGGCTCTTACAGGTGCCCTTTCTTGGACTTTATAACTCACTAACCCAAAAACAGTACTCTCTTCAAAGGAGTTCCGACCAATTTACAAGTAGCGTTGACGCTTCTACGGTTAGGAGAGGCGAACAAGGCCCCCATCCCGCCTCCAGCACGTGCCCACCGTGCCCCTCCCGAAGAGCCCATCACGGTAGACGAGGATGTAATCGATGCCATGGGCGGTGACCAGCCACTTGGCGCTTCTCAGTCCAAGCTTGACGAGATGGCTGAGCGGGACCCAGAGATGACGGATCATGCCGGCGGCGAGGATACCGAGGTACAACAAGCCGTCGGGCACGGCAAGAAGCGCGAGAAAGTGTTTGGGCTCATCAAGAGCGGTGCGAAAGAAGTGGCCAAGGCAGCCAGCGGCGTCGAAAAGATCAGGGCCAAGACGGGATCGGAGCACGCGAAGCAGCGTGTTGGCGTGATTCCCTCATCTCACAACGGCCCGCAAATCATCGGGCCTGTGGAGTTCAGCGCTCGTTACGAAGGACAACAGGGTTTCGTATATGTCAACTCGACGGCCGAAGTGCCGTTTGTGGCGTTTAACCGGAACTCTCTCGACAAAGGTGATCTCGATACCGTTTGGGCTGTCAACATTGAGGGCATAACGCAGCTGAGAAAACATTCGGGCCACGGTATGAAGTCAAAGCTTGCCGCGGGCTGGGCGACCGATGGACCCATCTATGACAGTCTGAGGATTACTGACCAAAATGGCAAAGACTGGGTGGTTACGGCTCTTCCTTACCGAGATGCCCTGTTCAATCGACTTTGCGCGATTGGAAAGGATGCTAAATGGGAGGTCTGGTAAGGGTTAAACATTGGATAAAATGAGAATAATACTTGAGTAGGATTAATCAGATACTGAAGCGTTGCTTATTATCAATCCAGAATAGTCGTTATGTGACTGAAAGGCGAACATGGAGTCAAAGGCAGATGAGTAAGGCCTATGCCACGAAAAACCGAAGACCTCTATTTAGATACCGGCAAGTCCAGATTGTCTACGACGCGTTCTTTTATCTCAAATGTTGTTTATCTGAGTAGCAGGTTACTTTGGTGCATCCGAAGTAACTGAAATCGCTGCTCACCACTGGCTGGGGGTTTCACATCAAGCGGCATTGCAAGGTCGGGAAATGAGGAAAAAATCCCTATCAAGGGTACATTCAAGCACAGCGAGATGTAACCGTGTAATCGGTGACATAACAGCCTCTACGCTCATCAATCGATGCAAGGCCTAATTTTAAGAGATTTCTATTATTTATACTTTTATTTTTATTTATTCCAGCCATGTACCAACCGAACAAACTTTTCCACCTCTGTCGCCTCAGTCGCCCAAGTTGTAAGTAGTCTAACAACAGCCTCGTCATCGCCTCGCTTTTCCCAGACATAAAACTTGAAATGCTCCTGTAGCACCTTGATCAAACCCAAAGGCAGAACTGCAAACACCTGATTCGTTTCCGTTACAGCGTAAACCGAGAATCCTGCAGCAGCGACACCGCTGGACAGAGTCTCGGCACACAGGTTGGCTTGGCGTGCAAGATCGAAGTACAAGTCGTCCTTGAAAAGCTCGGCGAACTGAGCGCCCATGATCCGGCTCTTAGCCAAGAGGGAACCATGTTGTTTAACAAAGAACTCATACTCCGTCGCCAGACGAGCGTCCTTGACAACAACGGCTTCTCCCAATAAGGCTCCGTTCTTGGTACCTCCAATCCAGAAAATATCAGTTAGTTCCAGGACGTCTTGAAGCGTCATATCGTTTGCTTTGGACGCCAATGCGGTGCCGATGCGTGCTCCATCAAGGAATAATATCAATTGATTCTTTTCGCAGACCTCCTTGATCGCTGCCAGTTCACTTCGCGTGTATATCGTTCCGATCTCCGTCGCGTTCGATATGTAGACCAATCTTGGCTTTGCCATATGCGGGAAGTGCCAATTATCATCCATTGCTCTCTGGATTGATTGAGGCGTCAACTTGCCATCAAGCGGTGCGACGTTGATGATTTTGTGGCCACTGGCCTCCACGGCTCCCGTCTCTCTCGTCACGATATGTCCTGAGCTTGCGGCTATGACAGCTTCGTGCGGTCGTAAACATGCCGCAATGGAAATGGCATTCGCCGACGTTCCACTGGGCACGAAAAAGATACCCACATCATCACGGCCCAAATGCCGACGGATCCGTTGTCTGGCAATGTCGCAGTATGTGTCGCCGCCGTATCCGGCTTCTTGTGATGAGTTGCTGGAGAGTATGGCTTTAAGCAGCGCCGGATGAGCTCCTTCGCTGTAATCGTCCAAGAAGCTATAGCGAGGAGCTACAACGGGGGCAGGAAACTGCGACGGCATTTTCTTTTTTTCTAAAGGCGGGAAGTATGACGAGTATGATGGGAACAGGATGAGAGGAAATGAGAATCCAGATCCGTTTCCTTGGAATTCTATATAGAATTCGCCCATCCCCACCAAAAACGCCCACTGAAGCATCAGACGATGACAAAACCCGAGCGTTAGTAAGTGGAATGTTAGTCAGTGCGATGTTAGTGAGTGGAATCTTGGCCAGTGCGGCGTAAGGCGGTGGGTCGGTGCTCAACAAAACATGAACAGACTCCGAAACTACGGACGTCGTGGAACTGAAAATGCTTCCAAAGAGTCGGCTATATGCGGGGCGTGGCGGATACTGACGGCACCACGGATGCGGCTGGTTCTCTCCGGTATCGTGAAGCATATTTTGTTGACCGTGCTGTACATGCCGAGATGGCCCCAGGTGCTCACGAGGTCGTCGATGAGGAGATTGTATTGGTTGCGTCGAGGGAAAAGTCAATGAAACTCCGGTAGGTTTCGACCGTTGAGGCGTCGAGGGGCTTGGGGTAGGTGAGTACCTTTTGAGACTTTGGCCTGAGGGGTATGCCTGTGGCGGTGAGGTCGTTTGACTGATCGAAGAGTTCCGGATACTTCGCGTAAAATGCCGGGTCAATTTTGTAGTACGATGCGCCTTTGTCCATATTCAATAGCTTGAATGCCGCACGAGCGTGAGAGGGAGATGAAAATAGTGTCGTGATATCTGGGACGGGAAGCGTCGCGGGCGGCTCTTCAGGGTTGTCGTCTACATTTGACGCCATGGCCGTAATTAAATCAGTCACCCGGATGTAGACAGTGATATGAGGCGCTCCGAGGATAAGGTTAGACATTGTTGTCTCCACTACGTATCCCGTGACGGCGTCACAAAATATTTGATCAATATGTGGGTTGGCTGAGTGAAGTTGTATGAGCCGATCTCGGATAGAGGGGAACGGGATCCAATCTATTACGCGTGGATGCGGGTGACTCATTTGGGTCTCGGTTGGTCGATATCGCTGGTGAAGTTTGTCAAACGTCGCCGTAGAGGGATATAGTTGCCAAGCTGTGAGCTCTATGATATGGTAGAACCGTGTTTTGGCATACCAGGCCATTACGTCGGGCCGCGTCATGCTGTTGAACATGGCTAGAACCATAAGGACTGGTTGATAAAGGCTACATCCTTTTAGCATTGGCTTCTTTCGCTATCTTGAAATCTGTCCTTACCCTTGCATTGGGCGCTGGCCATCAGGAGCAAATCCCGAGGCCGCTAGTTTTGACTTCAAGAGACGTTGAAGGAGCTGGATATGGTCTGAGAATGGCGAGTTTGACAAGGCCCAATCCTTTCTCAACATTACGCTAGACTCTTGAGTCGCTTCCATGGCAACCTGGTATGGTTCTACCCCGGTTTGATATTCAAAGCTCCATATGTTCGGGATCTGAGAGTAAAGCGGGTTTGTGCCGGCGACGTTAATAAGTTCGGATGATGTAAGTACGTCTTCAAATTGGCCTTGGGGCATGTCAACACGTCGTTTTCCAGCAATAAGCGGTTATATTGCTTACCCGTCGAAGGCTTTTGCGTGAGAGGAGGGCTGAAGTTCAGTATCGACGTGTCAAACGGTTCCAAATCCAGAGAGGAGCCTGTGAATGATGAAGCATGTAAGTTTTGCCTGTTTTTATCGTTTGAAGATTCGAGAGATAAGCCGACGGCGTCATTTGTCTCTTTGAACTGCCCGCTATCATTTTTGGCTGTGTCATCCAGCGTCTTAGAGACAGAGTCGCTTATGCCTTGGATACTAGCCAAGAGTCGAGACATCTTGCTCTGGACCTCAACTAGCTGGGCGCGGAGCTGTCGGTTTTCTTCCTGCAACGCGTCCATACGCTCATTATCTGACCTTTGATCCGAATTGGCACGATTGCTTAGTTCTCTCATGCGTTCCGCCTGCCTTCGACGGAAAGCTTGCTGTGAGAGACGGTTGCGAAGCCGCCTATCATATTACGTCAGTTTCGATATTGGAGACCCGAAAATTCAATGCCGGCGGATAACCACATACTTCCTTTCCTGTTCACTCATTGAAGATCCTTTCTCATCATCCGGTAGTGGAGGATTATGAAGTGGCATTTTGCTGACAGTTGGCTTTGGCATATTTGCTGGTTGAACTAGAAATGTTAACTGGTTGATGAGGGTGCGTGGGAGAAAAGAGCAACTAGTTTGTCATGGGAGCAGCCAAGTGGTCCGTGCCCTGTCGCGCGCACCCACCACCTAAACAAATCTGGGTTTATTAGGTTTGTGGCTTATAAAAGGCTGGTGATTATAAGGGAAAAGTTTCTGCTACCTTCATATCGAGCTTGTATTCATAAGATTGTTATTTTTTAATTCATGTAGTTTAATCTTGGGATAAGGGAAAAATTAGCACAGTTAATTGCTGGCTTTACTAAGTAAGCTCTAGAACCACACAGCATCAGTGGTGCAACGTTAGAAGGGTCAGCATGGGTGCCATATGCTCAAATACACTTCTGCCATGAATAGCTTCGGGGGAGGCTCGCGTATACTATGAGACGCCAAATGAACCACAATGAACGACTTCCAGCTCATCCAGGCTTCTACGCACATTGCGTTTTGTCTCAACTGCATATCTTATAAATGTAGGTTTGGGCCAAGGAAGCCTGTCAGTGAGTGGTTGCGGCTACTTTTTAGTGTAAAGGACCCCTAAGACCCCAGCCTCTGCAGTATGAGTATGGCGACCGAATTCATTCTACTAGGAGCCATCGTACTCGAGGAACAGAACTCATGTTGTGGATTAAATTATAGTGATCTGCTAAGAACACTCGATAATAATTCATCTTTGCCCCTAACAACCCACGTGGGCAACGTATTGGTGAAATTGACAGCACATCATTGGTAAAGTTTGTTTTCCTCAGGCTTCGCCTAATTAACAGTGAGCAATCCATTGCTCTTCCTCTTTGTCTATTTTAGGCTAAGCACAACACACAAACTGAGGTGGCTCTTATTGAAATCTTCAGACGTCGTCTTTATCACCACGCCTACGTTTGCGCCACATTACGACCGCGGCCATCACCAAGATGGACGTCGCTAATGCCAGGTAGAGTCAGCAAGGGCTACATTAGTGCTATAGGAAATCTCGTCATGGTCGCTTACCTATGCCCCCAAGAAATCCAAGGGCGGCTATGCCAGAGTCGGTAGCGAAAGATGCGCAGTCCGAGTCAATGAAGACAACGGATGGCTGGAGATAGCCTCCGCGATCATTACTGCTGGAATCCAGTGTTGCAAGAGGAACCACTGAAGCAGTCACTGTTAGAGTCTGGGGAGCCATGGTAACGAAGACGGTCTCAGTCGCATTCGGGATGGATGTGGCGCGTCCCCCCGCTGATGAGCTGCTGGTGGCTGCAATGCTTGGGAGCGGTATGCTAGATAGTATTTTCGGTGATTTGGGTGATTTGGGGCTTTCCGAGGACGATGCCGGTCTTGAAGGAGATGCGTCTCCTGCAGCAGGCGCCGGATTTTGGCTTGCTGATGGTGTCGATGGCGTAGAGGCACCTGGGAGCGGCGAATTCACCAGCGCCTCTTTAGGCGTGATTGATGTTGTCAGGGCATTGAGCTCATCCTGTTGCAATTCTTGCCCATTGGCCTCCAGGTTCAGCTTCGGCGGTGGTGCCCTCCTTTGAGCCAAAGAAAGACCTGCCATCTTCTCAATAGCGCTTGTAACAGTAGCACTGTAACCCCTTTGGTTGGCCTCTTCGAATCTCAATTTGAGAAGGTTATAGAAGTCTGAATAGTCAGTGTCAGTACAGACTTGAGGCAAAACCGGCAAGATATTCAGCCTGGGCCATGAAAATCCTACTTACCGTGCTTCAGCTAGCCAAACCTAGAGTTCTTTCTTCCTTGAAAAGACTCTTTATCGTTATCAACTTTCGCGTACACCTTCATAAGAGTCCGAAAGATTGAACTTCACCAAACCTAAGAGCTCATTGCCAGCATCAAAGATCGGTTTATTTATTGTTGTGTCTAGCTGGGGGACCCCAGCCGGCTGCCGCCGTGGCACATGGTGTCTAGGACGTCATCTGAACTTCGGTGCGTCGCTTTGAGCCTGGTTTCACTCACGACGATAATGTATCCTGCCGGGTGCATCTCTGTCCGTTTTCAAGCCGTAAAAATCACAAATCACAATCAGGGGAGTTGTTCAGCATACTTTGGTCAAATGCCTTTGCGGTCTGATTATCAAATGGCCCTGGTTACTGCATTGTTGATTGTGCAGTCGATTATCATATTAGTAGCAGAGCAACTGGTTTCTCTACGACACCGCCAAATCCCAATCACAGCATTTGTCTTCATTAACTTGCAAATATGTGCCTTTGACTATCGCTACACAGGTTGCCTAGGATCAGAAGATCTTGCCAGTGAGTTGTCATTTTGAATTCATGTCAAAAGATACAACGCAGGGTTACATTCTTAGCTATTTCCGCTTTGAGGGGTTGGACGTCTGCCATCTTCATTGCCTTCGAGACCAAAGAGCCATGAAAGTTATTACCATGGGCATCGTGATCCGTGTCCATCCAAACGCAATTAGGAAAACGTTGAACGTGTCTTCAAAGCAACGAATTCAGGACCGTCCGAAAAAGAGTTGTTCGGGCATTGGATCTTCCAGTGATCTATCATTAGTAAGGAAAGACCGAGAATTGCCGCAGTTGTTAACACCACTGAATCGTTTTACAAACTCAACCATTACTTATCCCATTTTTTCTGCCGTTACTGGGTTACAAAATTATGTTTTTTTTTTTTTGCGTTTATCTCCATTCCAAACGCCCTAGTGGTGTACTAGTAAAAGAGCTTTTCGCAAGTTGGCTGATTGTAAAAGCTAACGGTATGCTTTAGGTTTGGTTTCATCATATGCCCGTTTCTATCAATCAACGGTGTAAACAAGTTTCGGGTTTGGCATCTGAGCAAAATCACTGTCTCTCGGACGCCGTCCCATGCTCAAGGTTCATCCAACACGGACCCCGAAATGATTGGAAAGGACAAGATAAGATACTGTTGATGTAAATTGTTAGCTGTAGACGTCCATCTTCCGACTGCCTTCAACACCACTAAGTCACCTGCCGTTGAAGGATGCAACTTGGGATCATACCCAGCCACTTCCAAAAGCTGCGCTTCGGCATCTCTGTTCATCATACTTAGTAGGATCCCGTGGGACCTCTCACATGGGCAGGCAGTCACAAGCTATCAAACTCCTAGACCCATCTACACATTCAAATGTATCTGGATTCATCCACAAACGCGAAAGGCTCAATGAATCAAACTTTGAAGCTGCCAAATATTAAATGTCTGAGTCAAAAGAAAAACTGATTTAATACTCAGATCTATGGGTTGTTGGGATGACCTTTTTGACATCAACGCTGAGATACTTTGGTGGCAATGCATTGCTTGAAATGAATCGAGTCTTCGCTTATCCCTAAGGTGTTCTTCTCTGACCTCATCTATCTGTGATACCCATGTTTAGTGTTAATCCTTCAGTTTCGATCTCGCGAATTTCATTAGTCAAGTGACTTATCTGGTTAATTTACGAGCAGAAGGCTGCATAAAACAGTAACACAGTACGCAGGGGCTTTACCGCAGGGGATCCGATATGACCGCACGAGCGTCCATCGGGACTCTCTACTAATTATACCAGAGGGCAGAAAATATACTTCCTATACAGTTATTACATAGGCCTCAGGTAGACGAGTATTTATAAGAACAACCAAAGCGATGTGAGAACCCTAGGGGTTCTTCCACAAGCGAGCCTAGTGGAATGTAAGAGTATACAGACTCGTTAGAAGTGGGGATTGTTTTGGCGGCTGTGCCAAAAGAAAGACAGCCAAAGCTAAAGCGGGCTGCTTTATCAAGGTGAAGGTGTTGGAGTTGACTATCAATAAACACCCAATATGCTCGCGAGAAAAGAACAGTTTCATTTTTCCGAAAGAAATAAGGTGATAATGAAAGATAACAAGGACGAATCCTACGCTAACGATGCCATTGCGTCTGTTTGGTTGAAGAATACAGCGGATGAGGACTTGTTCGAGTACTCAGAGTCCAATAGCTAGACTTGGAAGAAAAGAAATTTCATATTGTTATTCCACGTCTGTACTAAAACCATATCTTCATCTATATATACTTGGAGATAGGCCCCCACCGGTGACTTTATCAAGCCTCTTCTGCCGTCTTTGCTTCTTGCATTCTCTTACGCAGCACCACACACATGAACCGATCAAAGTAGCTGAAATGAGAGGTATTCCGATTGTAATGAAGAAAATCAGACTCTGGCTCGGATACTGATTTCCACTTCCGCTTTTAGTCGCATCATATTTGCCGTCGGGGATCTTTTCGCCGGGTGTCCACGTCGGTACCGTCATGTAGTTGGTCAGCGTAGGCAGCTTCGGTGTCAGCGTCGGTGTGTCGGTTCTCTTCCAGGTTACAACCCAGGCTTCATGCACGGTATCTGTTGAGCTCGTGTCTGGCGTAGCGGAGTTACTTGAAGTCTTCGGGCCCCCTTTCACACACCCAAGAGAGACTAATGACCCAAAGGGTGAGTAGTCGTTAAAATACGTATAGGAGAAGCCGCTAGTTTAGCAGTTAGTAATCTGGCTTTCTGACGAGCTATTTATTGCTGAGAAATAAAGAACAAATCGGGGCGAACCTATTACAGCAGAAGGCCGTTGAGTAGAGTGCGGCTTCAGCCATGTCGAAGTATGTCCACCCTTCAGGGCATACCCCCGGGTTGAAATGAAGGCGACTTTCCCTCGGAAATTGCTTCCATCCGGAGGGGTAGCATGATGAAGCTGGCTCAGAAACGACTACGGGAATGGACAGTGTAGTACCATTAACCAACGTCAAGGGTCTTGCGCGTACAGTTGTGGTCCTCCAGGAATCACAGGCTGGTGGCTGCACAAATGGAGTGGTAATGGCAAGCAACGCAGCGGCTGTAGTGGTAATGGACGTCGAGATATTGGTAGACATGGTTGTCCGTAAAGACGCCGCAGTTGATGTGTGCTAGCATGGAACCGGAGAGGAGAGTTTGCGCCGTTGGGTGTGTTTGGGGGATATGTTCTTATACCTCTTCGTTTTCATAAGGGTCATGCGCCAAGAAGGCGAAGCAACCAAAAGAGGGATGCCAAGAGGTGATGGGCCTGGGGTCTGCAGATGTTAAATGATTGCTAGGCGGTTGGTCGTTAACACAGAAGAATATGGCGCTAGTCAAGCAGCGACATCCTTATAATAGTCGATCCAGAAAGGCAGTGTTGGACGCCAGCCGTCGTGAGGCCTGTTATTAGTGTCATTAAACGGGGCCTTTCCCACTTCAAATGCCTCCATAGCATGACTATGTAAGGGACTAATGTGATGGGATTCAACGTAGTCACTCTATGAGATAATTTGAACGTATCTTCAGAAACAGGTAAGTACTTGTCAGGACTTAATCATTATTTTCCCTTTACTTATTCAGGCTGATTGTAGACAATCTGAACCCATCGATCATGTCACATATCACCACAGCGCCAAAGCCAGTTCTTGTTGTATCCTGACATATTCGTGTAAAATCATGGAGAAACAGGCATGATGCAAGGCTTTCCGTTAAGATATTGGTAGTAAGAGGCATCACCCTAGGTATCTATATCTTGAGGGCCCCAGGGCCAGGCAGCCCAATTGAACAGGCCATCGGCGATGCCTCCTGTAATACCGATCCAGCGTTCCGCATTCTTGGGGCCTTCGAAAGGAGAGAATTGGGGTCTCCCATCGCTTTGTTTGAAATACGCTGCCATATACATATACTTCTTCAAGTAGCTGATAGCAGAAAATTTTGGCCAGGGCCCTCTTCCAGCATAGTCGACAGAAAACATAAGTTTGAATCCTTCAGCTGGAGCAACGCTAAATGCTCGCTCAAGAAACTATTCGTTCATGGGCTCGTTGTAGGCCAATGTTAAATGCAAAGGCATCATCGTGCGCCTCTTTGCAAGCCTTGTGTCTGCCTGCCGAGTAGTTTCTGTATACTCAGCCATATTTCTTACCTACCAGTAAGTCAGCAATCAACCTTCAAAAACCGGAAGTTCGGCACATGTACTAACCATGAAATGGACAAAGGCCGCCGCAGCATAAACACAGCATACGCCGGCAAAGGCAGAAATCAAGCAGCAGACTAAATCCATATCGGTAGTACTGCAAATGAATGAGATGGATGAAACACAAGGTTGGCAGCCGATATAGTTAGCAGCAGACAAAGTATATGTGTCAAGGACAATGTGAGCATCATATTATTCACCTCATATGGCCACAGAACAGGGCAACGTCCATCGTCATATTTGCGAAAGCAGCTTCTACTGGATTCGCTAGGCCAAAAAAGGGCTGCTTGAACAACGCTTAGCTTATCTCATTTGAAGCATCATCCACCATTGACCCATGGTTTAGTGCATACGTGAGGCACAGTTTTGGTACCTGTAGGGATTTAATGAGAACTTCCAAATCCTTTCTCAGAAAGAGCCAAAGGTTTGTGCGGTGTACCAGCATAATCGCAATGTAAAGCAATACAGGCGATTGTTGCTATGGCCGTCGCACGGTTAACACAGTCGACATCTAGTTTCAACCGATTGCTCATCCAAAAGAGCCCTGTAAGGCAGCACAGGAATGGTTGTGAAGCTTTCGTGATCGATCTTCATTGCTACCGTTGCCCATTAAAGTTACTACCATGAAGCATTTCATACAAGAACCTGCCGCAATGTGTATGACGGGACAGACTATCCGATCCGTGTTGGACCGAGCTGACCCAACCAGAAGATAGTCTTTTTTCCAAATGCGTCGATTTGATATTCCTTGGCAGGTCTGCATCCAGCCCCATGCTGTTGGAACTCCAGTTAAGCACCAACCAAGCATTCTAGGGCTTGGCTAATTACCGACCTGCCTGTTTAATCTGAACCTGTGACAAAACCTTTCGACAACCAACACAAACTAACCCCCTAAAACCAAGGGTCTCATGCGCCTTTCAGCTGAGTGTCTAATTTAAATCTAGTAAATGACCAATTGCACGCCTAATTCCCCGCGATTGGACTCTGCAGTCGCGTCTGGACTGCGTTATACACCTGTTGAAGATGTATCACACGCCCGAGAATCTAAATTTACACGTGTGATGATGCATATGGTGCAGCCGTAGCTTCAAATTCAATTTCGAATCAATATTGGCGGTGATTTGAACTTGGGCCTTGGCGCAACCACCAACTTGCAGAGACCTCCCATACTTGATTGAACCCCTATAATTCCATCGCTGAAATGATTTAAGCCTAGTTTTCTGCCTCTCCTATTCTATGGGAATATTTGGTAGTAAAAAAGAAAAAAGGGAAAAAGAAAAGGTCGACTGTGACGTGGGTATTGCGGCTGGGTCTGTTTTGTTTGAGGCTGAATCTAGGTTAGCTGGTTTCTAGAGCAGAGTTGGGCGACATCCCCCTAAATCCGTGCATGCTGGGATACTTTCATAAGCTTAAGGATGCGGAGAAGGCATGGCATTCCATGTTCATTGATAGAGCTTTTCGAAACCCTCGTGGGAAAGGAGTAATTGCAGGTTTTCCCTTCTCTGTGTTGGAGGGAATATTTAATTTTCACTGGCGTATGAACTACATACGTACAGGGGTTTTAAAGTCGTCTTACAATGGAAATGTGCGTCTGGACCTGTTGGATTCTTTGAACTCACCATTCATATAACCAGTTTTCTATGCTTTTTTATGAAGTACCAATCTTATGGTGAGCAAAGAAAGCTCTGGAAATTTTCGACACTATCCAGTTCTAGCTTGTTTTCTGATATTGCAAAACCCCACAAGGTAGTGAAAACATCAATTTGGAACCTAGGATTTCTATTGTAGAAGGCTTGACTATGTGCGATAAAGAAGGAGCGATTGTCAATAAGTCCATAAAAGCTCATCAGTGGTCATCCTATCGGTCTCTCTTCATACATCCAGACACAAGGTGGATTCAATATACTGAGGGGTTGATCATAAATGTCTCCATTTCTGTCAAGGAGGAAGTGAATATTAAGACAACCAGCCTAAGACGTAATGAAATGAAGGTGCTGATATACCTAGTGGCTTGCTAAGCTGTAACATACAAATAAGCAAGTCCGCTCACGGCTCATGTTGAAGACATCCCTTAAGATACTAAGATTAGGGATGACATGTGGCTATGGAGTAGCCCTCCATTATTTAAAAGATCTCCTCTTCCTCCTCATCCTGAGTGAGTTGGACATCACGCTTGAAGACCTCCTCCTCTTCCTCGTCTTGGGTAAGCTGGACATCACGCTTGAAGACCTCCTCTTCTTCCTCGTCCTGAGTGAGTTGAACATCGCGCTTGAAAATCTCCTCCTCTTCCTCATCTTGAGTAAGTTTGACGTCTCTCTTGAAGATCTCCTCCTGCTCGTCGTCCTGTGTAAGCTGCAGCTCACGCGCCTTCAAGCCGTTCTTTGCAATCTCCGCATCCTCGGGGTTCTCCGCGGCGAGAGCTGCGATGATGGCGTTGACGTCGTCTCTCTTGAAAATCTCCTCCTCCTCTTCGTCTTGGGTGAGCTGGACGTCGCGCTTGAAGATCTCCTCTTCCTCCTCATCCTGAGTGAGCTGAAGGTCACGGGCGTTCAGACCATTCTTGGCAATTTCGGCGTCTTCAGGGTTCTCGGACGCGAGGGCAGAAAGAATGGAGTTGACGTCGTCCTCGCGGGCGACCAACGAGTCGAGAGGGGCAGCAATGGCAACGGCGGCCAAAGTGGTGAGAGCGACAGCGAAACGCATTTTGGTGGTTATATGGTGGTTGGATTAAAACTGTAAGTGATTGACAGAATCGAGCACAGCTCTGGTTCGCGAGGTCTTAATAATATAGGCACACACGGAATTTAGGTACGGAAAGAGATAGTTCGTCGAATTCATCAAGATTTTCGGGAGGGAGTATGCGTATTTCAATGTCTGGGCAAGATGACAAGATGACGGGATGTACAGTAGCAAGGTTTGGAGGAACTTTCTCTGTAGAGACTGTGCACTCATGCCGCACTGATGCCGCGACAGCCGACTCAGTGGATATCGAATGGCAGACGTCGACTGACGTCTCTTGGCGACGCAAGCATTCATCCGAAACAGGGCGACCGGGCGAACGATCTGAGGCTTGCCTGGGTGTAACCATTTTGGTGTTGCTGGTTTCAGTAGTTGACGAATCGCAACAACGGCTGCACGTGGAGATAGAACGGACGGTGCATGGATAAGACATCGGAAAGCCGATACACCAGATTCAAGATTGCGGGAGCTGAAGATGGTTGCTGAGGATTCCTGGTAGCCCCCCCCAAACGGAGGTAGAAGACGGTATGAAGGAGTTGAGATCGGGTGAAGCGATACTTGTCTGGGGTTTGGAGTTCCGTCTCTGAGCGTCGTCTGTTGCATTGCACGCTCGGGCATACCACACTCAACAGGCGTCACATTTTTTGAACTCAATCATGGTCGGCACAGTCTTTGGTTGAACGTTACTGTTATTTACACGAGACTGTAGTTCAGATATTGATGATGAGAAGGTGTTCCACGTCCTCTCCTCGTCAATGGTGAGTAACCGGTAAATGAAAAAGTCGTCTAAAACAAACAGCCCGCTAACTGAAAATGAGCCACGTCAAAGTAGGAGCAAGACTAGCGGAACATTATTGATTCCGCAGGTGGGCTGGAGACTATTCTGAGACAAGCTTATGTCGGGAATTTTTGCCGCCATCCCGCTACCACGTTTCGTTTTGCGTCTGGGGTTGTCCCAAAATTGTACATTGCAGCACAAATGTGAATCATGCTTCTGTAGCCTTAAAGTAAGTTTCTCCCCCTTCATAACATTCGATGAAATTCGCCTAGAGCCTTCTCTGCAGGATGATCACGTGCCAAAGTCGCCTCCTTGATAGTCCTCATCCGGGGAATGGTATTATGGCATGCGGTGGTGGTTGATCTCATGCAATTTGGTTTCCGTCCAGTTCAACAGTCAGATAAAGTACCAACGCCAGCTTAATACCTTTGTGAATGTAAGATTGCCGGTGCCTATTGGTTGGCTGACTGCATCATGTGGTATCCCATCAACTGCGGCGTGGTAACAAGTACATAGCCAGAGGGATACTACTTCACAATCAGACACGGATGCTGTAAGTTTCGCTCGAATAGCGAGTATTACCATAGTATGTTAGTGTGGTGACCGGCTACGGTACGGGCAGCAATGGCTAGGAACAATAAGGCTTATGTCCTGTAAGTGAGTGAGCGGAGCGAAGGTCGCTTGAGAACTTGGCTGCTAGAGGGAAGCTATTGCATGGCTACGCAGCTAAGGCGTGGCAAAGTAGGTTCGAGGGTGTTACTGTGTTGCGGCCCGATTTGTGTTATCGATCAGGCCGCATAGACAGTGTTGGGTAGCTAAGACAGGACACCTTTAGACAGGATGAGGCCTGTGCCACGTTGCCAGAAGTCTGCAACCACTTCTTCAGCCACTATAGCGCTCACTCCTAGTAATCTCGGAAGATGAGAGGTACCCCTTTTTAGTAATCCGGCGCTCGGATTTTATACACTCCAAGGGAATAACATATGACCAGATATCAAATCGATACAGGGGGTATAATTGACTGTTTGGCCAAAATATTCCCTGAAAATTGGTTTATTGATTGACTGATTTGATTGATATATCAATTTGGGCTGGTGCTACTACTCATCTAGATAGGTTTTCCCTAATACATCACATAATTCGCCAAGTGTCTGGTGGCATATACTGCTATGTGGCATTTATACCTAACGGGTCGTAAAACACGATGTGATTAAGGCTAGTTTACCAACGTGAGTTCTGTTTACACCATTGTAGGTCGGATTCTTGATCTGGCTAATCAAAGAGCGCGAGGCCAGGGTTAAATCAAGGCAAAGGGTAGTTTTTCTCGCCTTTACGGACAGGGAAATTAACCTTGCCTAACGGAAGGCACTGCAGCTTAAAGGACATGCTTCATGAATCAATTCCTCGCTCACATTATCCTAAGATACACACCTTGCTTCAATTTGGGGCGATGCCGGCAAGAGTTTGTTACTAGCAAGCTATGCTGGGTGAATCCGAAATCTTGTTAGTGGTGATGGACTTTTGTGACTCACACCGCGGGATGGGGTGTTTGCTAGGTAGACATGCGTAAAAAGTTTGACTGGACTCCGCCTTCCTGAGGCTGTGCTGGTAGTAACTCCTAATCATACCTTGTTAGTCTCGACGGGCCCGACCTATCTAGTGGCCCATTTCGCTGCCCCTGCACTTACAAAAGCTTCTGATGCTTACAGCTTGTATTCTCGCAGCTTCCACTCGACTTTACCATCGTTGTTCATGAATCATTGGAACGCTATCAACGGTTCTACTGAAAGTACCAAAGACACGAAAACCATCAGCGCTATTACCGCATATACGGCGGTTGTCCTCTTCAACTATTGGAATGGCAACGGTTTGCGTATCAGAAGACGCTTGGAAAGGAGTGCTAATCTATGGCACGAGTACTAAGGAGCAGCACCTACGAGCTCACCACTCGTGCGAACCGTGAACGGTGAACACCAACGACCCCTTGAATTAGTTGACTTCAATTGACCCTTATTGTTTTGTTTAGACTATAGATTATTTCATTGAGGTCCACGACTTTGCAGCTATGGCCAACCTGGACTCCCCTCCGATGCAACCGCTTAGTCGACGTCCCACTATCAGATCATCCTGCCGGATCATGTCCCTTCCAAACTCAGTAAAAGCGTTTGCCAACGCACGGCGACGCGTGCAAGATGTCGATGTCCACGATCCAAAAGCAAGCCGCAAACAGGGGGGCAATCTGAGTGGCGAGACGGAGAGTCTTGATTACCAGAAGCACTTCGGCAATGGTCTAGGCAATGACCAAAGGCAATCATGCGCTCAGGATGGTGAACCTCCCTCTACCTCTAGGGGATTCACTGCGGCCAAACTCTCAGCAGATAACAGCCAGCCCGAAAGTCTGAGGGCCCGACTCGATATCGACTTCGAGTGTTTGGAGACTTTGATCAGCGCAGAGGACCGTGGCAGCTTGCGCAGCCCCGACTTTGGCAACCCTTCTGGCAGTTCCAGCCCAATCGTCGTACCCATCTTCACAATTGACGGTGACTTCATTGATGTGGCGACTGAGCCAGCCACAGTTTCAGGGGAGAAAGATACTGCAGCCCAGGTTCCACCCAGATCTGTACACCAGGGTGAACAGAGCCGTTTCAACTTTTTTTCTTCTGCGTTGGAATCGACCATTCATGCTGCAGAATTTGGGGACCTCATCTTACCAGGAGAGAACATCAGGTCTCTTTTCGACTTACCTGAAGGGGACTCTGGTGGTGTCTGGTGGCTTGGCCTAAACAGCCCGACAAGTAGTGAGGTTTGGACAATCTGCAAGGCATTTGGCATTCACCCTCTCACCACTGAAGATATTATTCAAAAGGAAAGCCGCGAGAAGGTTGAAATCTTCCCATCGTACTACTTCGCTTGCTTCAGGTCCTTCATTGCCGTTGTTGAAGATGGTGAGACAGATTACTACTCCTTCAACCTCTATGCGGTTGTATTCAAAGAGGGAATCATCAGCTTCAGTTTCGCCTCGAACCCTCATGCTTCTAGAGTCCGCTTTCGAATCTCTCAATTGAAGGAGCAAGTGTCGCTGAGTAGTGACTGGATTTGCTACGCTTTGATGTAAGTTTAATGTTGCCCACCGAAGTGGTACCGAAACAACACAATGGTTCCACATGGCACTGAGCTGACTAGAATCCAGTGACGATATTGTGGACTCGTTCGGCCCAGCGATCAACCAAATTGAGCATGAGGCAGACGCTATCGAAGACCAGGTTTTCATTACCCGCGTCGAGGATCATCAAGCCTTTCTCCGCAAAATCGGTTATACTCGAAAAAACGTCATGAGTCTCATGCGGTTGCTTGGTGGCAAAGCAGACGTTCTTCGTGCTTTCACCAAACGATGTAATGAAGACTACGAAGTCACGCCGCAAATGGATATCGCCTTGTATCTCGGCGATATCCAAGATCACGCTGTTACGATGATGAATAGTCTGGTGCACTTCGACACTATGTTGTCGAGGTCGCACAGCAACTACCTGGCGCAACTCTCGATCGATAATATCGACATGGGCAACCAGACCAACAAGTTTTTGAGCCGGGTGACGGTTATCGCCACCGTCATCGTGCCTCTGAATGTTGTTTGCGGAATTTTTGGAATGAACGTCAAGGTGCCCTGGAAGGACGAAAAGAGTCTGACTGCCTTTTTTGGGATTTTGGGTGGTATGGTGGTGTTCGTGTTCATCTCTCTGATTTTGGCTAGGCGATTCAAATATCTGTGAGACCATTCTTGGCAACACAATGAAGTGTAAATAGTATGCTTTAATTAGACGTGATTATCTTTGGTTGAAACTCACTCGAGCTTGCGCTTGTATCATGGAGGCCTTGAATCTTTGTTGGCGCTTATCTAGAGAGTCGAAGTTATTAGACTAGACGTAAAGATAATAACATTTTGCACGTTTTCAAGGGGCATGTTTCTCAACCATAAAGCCCCCTCATTACTTTAGTTCTTGCTAAGCACCAAGCATACTGGGTTCATTTTGCTTCTCCTTATCGGAGTCACGTCGTTTTTGCCAAGTGGCAGAGAACGCCAGTAAGATTTACCGCCAAGGCGATTACGTCTACCAGAAAAATTCAAATGAAATGTTATTTGGAGAAACAATGGAGAAAGTCCAAAGGAAATGACTCCGCGATAGAGTTTTTTTGCGGTGGTTGGCTACTCATTCCTAATCATGCTTACCAGGTTTGGCAATGACATTGCCATGATCCCCCGGCGGCCTCTAGATCAGCTCCAAATCAACGGTCATCGAAGCATTAGCTTGAAGCACTAGACTCCTTCCGGAAGGAACATACCACTTAGTACGGTAGTAGAGATGGCCCCCCCACTAATTACTGTATCCATCTTTACGACACAACCAATCAGCAAATCGTTAGTCCTGCTGAGCATCTTGTCGGAACTGTGATGATGGGCAGATATCTATTGAACAGCTTGACAGGAAATCGAGTCCCGAAGGACCAATCGCAGTGTAACACTCGGCCCCCTCGAGGTTCTCAATATCACTTGGCGTCTTTTGAACGATTATGTCGAAGAGGGTCAAGTTTCTTCGCTCTCCTGCGTTTGATTGCCTTAGTCATGTGGCCCCACGCCGCTAGGTAACCATAAAGCTTTAGTGATTGCCTTATAACTATTCCATCGACATCGACTCGATTTCTGGGTGCCACAAAGATCTTCCCAGAGTGATATAGCATTGTTTACTTCGTTCTGCTCCAAGTTTCCTGCATCCCGACTCTTCATAAAGTATGTATCAGTTTCCTTACTCCCTTTCAACCCCTTATTTCCCATTGCTCTGCCTCGATCATACATAGCCCTGGCTTGGACTTGACTTGGAAGCTCCGAACTGCCTTGCGAACCTGTTTCCTGGTCTTGTTTGGTAATCGGTAAAACCAATGTCTTGCATTTGAATCTGTATGGGCTTATTGAGGGGCCGCTTGGTTGTCTAACAAATGGCCGGTCTGCATTATCCCCGTATTTCTATGAGCATCGGCTCAGATCCCGTCACTGGCTTGGTTATTCGCGGGTTTCCTTATTCTCATTTACTCCTTGGAGCTTTGAGACGATTATGCCGACTCCGGGGACTCTTCCGCCTCACTTTGCTCTTTTACTCGTTGTCGAGCTTCTTATCGACGAGGGTACCCCATTAGTGAGTGAGTCTACTAGGCTTAAATCGGGCTCATGCCAAAGCACGAAGGCAGAATTAGTGGCATATGCGCCTGCGAACGTTTGCCCAATGGCCTATGCCGGTTGGCTCTGACCTCTCAGATGCTCCCGGTTGGCCTTTGCTTCCTGCTCTTGGAATTTATAAAGCGGTCACGTTGTGGCAACCTTACCGGCCTCGATAACTAGCCAAAAGTTGCTTCGATCCAAGCAACATAAGAGCCATCACTCTCGAGCATTTAGCTTATTTCGACTTGACATTTGTCCTCCGAGAACTTCATTTACCAAAAGCCATGTTTATCCGACTTGGCTTTGACAACTGTTGTACAGCTTATCAAATCATGAAGCTCATGTCCCCCGTCTTCTAGACTGGCCTAACATCCCCTGTCCCATCACACTTTTGAAGCTCTGCATATCCCGATCGTCGTCTACTGGAAGTCCAGTTACGATCTGCTATAACCTAACCATTTCACCCCTTGCCTATGCATACATTTTCCGACCGAAATATCACAAGAATTTCAACGCAGATGCTTATTTTTGTATTGCACTAGTCCTACCGCTAGGAGCGTTTCCAAGATCTACCAGGATCTTTGGTCTCCTTATCTGCCTACCCGGGTTGGGTTTGATTAAGTTAAGCTGTTGATGAAGTTCGTCACCATGGACAATTCGAAACAGGTATGTAAAAAGTCGCCCAGGCAGCTGGTGGGTGCAATAATGTATCGACTCTACTAGCGCCACTTACCGCGGGTTATCACGGCAATAATTCTTACCCGCAACCATATTGTGTTCAATAGAAAACGCTAACCAGCAAATCCATAGCCTCGTAGGGTTGATCTCACCTCAAAACCACACATTGCAGTGGTCGGTGCCGGCCTCGCTGGTCTCCGATGCGCAGACATTCTCATCCAGAATGGCTTCCAGGTCACCATTATTGAAGCGCGCAACCGCATCGGCGGTCGCTTGCATCAGGAGGTCCTCCCCAATGGTCACATGGCCGATGTTGGGCCTAACTGGATACACGGCATAGATGATAACCCCATGTTAGACCTAGCCAAGCAGACAAACACTGCTGTCAGCGATTGCGATTCCGTTTCTTGCATTTTCAATGAGTCTGGCGAGCTTTTGTCGCGAAAGGATGGCGAAAATTATTCCGAGATCACATGGGAAATCATAGAGGATGCCTTTGAGCATTCTAGCAGCTGCTGTCAAGACATTGGTTCCAACGAGAGTCTTTATGACTTCTTTTTACAGAAGGTGGAGGAGAAGATACCCAACACCGAGGCCAACCATGAGACGAAACGAAGTATCGTCATGCAATTATCTGAGACATGGGGTACTTACACTGGCGGTTCTGCTTCTGGACAAAGCTTGAAGTTCTTCTGGCTGGAAGAGTGCATGGACGAAGGTACGTGGAGAAGGAATGTTCTCAAGAACAGCCGGCTGACTACCACTAGAAAATCTGTTCTGCGCTGGCACTTATAAGCAGATTTTAGACGAGGTCGCAAAACCCGCTGTTGAGGGTGCTGAGATCAAGTTCCAAACCAAGGTGGACAAAATATCATACCCAGCGAATCTCGAGGAAAAAGTGAAAGTCCAAATACAGCGTGGTAAAACATTGGAGTTTGACGAGGTTGTTGTAACGGCACCTCTCGGTTGGTTAAAACGGAATCCCGATGCCTTTGAGCCTGCGTTGCCAGCTCGAATGGTCAAGGCAATCGACGCTATTGGTTACGGATGCCTTGAGAAGGTCTACATTAACTTCCCCAAAGCCTTCTGGCTGGGAGGTGAGCGTGATGATAGAAAGGCCGAGGGCTTTGTGCAGTGGCTCTCGCCGAACTACGTTCCTGATTTGAATCCCAAGAGGTGGAATCAAGAGGTTATGGAACTGGCAAGCCTTGACCCAGAAGTGTCACATCCCACGCTCCTCTTCTACACTTGCGGTGAGCAATCGCAGTATATCACCGGCGAGTTATCCAAGATCTCAGATCCGCAAAAGAAGGACGATTTTCTCCTCGACTTTTTCAGACCTTACTTTTCACGACTGCCTCATTATTCGGAGAGCAGTCCTGACTGCAAGCCATCCGGATTCTTGGCGACAGACTGGCTTCACGACGAGTTTTCCGGCTTCGGAAGTTATAGTAACTTCCAGGTTGGCTTGGAGGAGGGCGATGCGGATATCCAGACGATGAGAGAAGGTCTGCCGGACCACAAGTTGTGGCTGGCAGGCGAGCATACGGCGCCGTTTGAGGCTCTAGGCACGGCGCAAGGAGCATACTTGAGTGGCGAGTCGGTCGGGAAGAGAATAGCGGAAGCTTATGGCCAGGCCAAGTAAGAGTTTGTCATTTGAAGATGTTTTTCGAGAAATTAGTTGTCAGGTATGCTATCCCATGGACTGCTGTCTGGCAACAGGTACGTGCCCATGAAGGGGGACTAGCCAGTCAAAGACTAGCGATGACTTTTTATAGCCAACCAAATAACTTAAAAAATGGCACTTCTGTTATCTACATATTCCGACAACGACAGAGATACCTTGTATCCCCTTTTGTGCGGAGAAAAGAACTGGGTACAAAATTGGGACTTTTGCACAGGTTGCCAGACAGCAGTCAATGGCATAGACGACAAGCCCATAATCGACGTGGGTAAGCCGCTAAAATCACATTATCCACTGTCAGAAGCTTATTCAAACTTCTCAGCCAATCCCATATGACTTCTATGTCATGCAATACGTACAAACAGGGGCGTCAACGCATCCAAACTCATCGTTACAGTTGTAGCTATCAAATGTCCTTTGACTTGCTGGCCAAGCGATAGTCCATACCAACCGTCACACTTCCGAACCACAATGCAAGCTTGTCCACGATAAGGTTCGTTCTTCCATACCAAGGGCCCCGGTTTGTCACGACAGGCATCCGGCTGTGAGCCTTCTTGAAGTAGTTGGATGTGGCGTCCACACAGGGCAGTCGTGGAGCGCTCTTCTTCTCTTCGTCAGACAATATCGGAGTGGCTGAGACAGCACCTGTTTGCTGCATCTGCTTGATGACGCGGATGCAGAGTCGAGTGACGGTGTCGGCGCCGGGCGTCCAGGTTTGAGTAACATAGCCCATGATTGCCGCGGCGTTTGGCACGCCGTCGAGCATGCACCCGCGCCAGCAGTACTTCTCACCCACCTTGACAGGGACGCCGTCGACAGTCACGTCGGTGCCGCTAAAGAGTTGCACATGCAGACCTGTAGCGGTAATGATGATGTCGGCCGGAAGGTGGCGGCCGGATTTGGTGAGGATGCCGTCAGCGGTCACAGTTTCGATGTGGTCCGTAACGATCTCGGTGTTGGGTTGGTGCAGCGCTTTGAAGACGTCTCCGTCGGGAGACATGTTGAGACGTTGTTGGAATGGGTTGTAGACAGGATTGAAGTGGACATCGACGGGGTAGTCCTTTGGTAGTTGCCGTTTGGCTTCTGCTCTGAGGAACCTCTTTGCGATGTCGGGGAAATTGAGAACGATTTGAATGAAGATAGTTTCGAGAAGAAGGTCCTTCAGCAGAATAATCCAATTGGCGAGGAAAAGAGGTAGTAGCAGCTTCAGCATCTTGTCCAATCCGGATTCTGGCGAAAGTGCGAAGACATAGGAAGGACTACGTTGAAGAATGGTGGTGAAGCCAGCGTTTTTCGCCATATTGGGGAAGAGGGTCATTGATGTTGCGCCAGAGCCAACGATGATAACCCTTTTGCCGGTGTAGTCGAGATCTTCGGGCCACCACTGGGGGTGGATGACCTGGCCTTGAAATTTGTCGATTCCAGGAATTTGTGTGTCTAGGGCCTTCTCGTACGAGTAGTAGCCTGAGCACATGAACAGGAACTTGGCCTTCAACTTCTTCTCACCCGTAGGTGTGTCACATGTGACTGTCCATCGTGCCTCGTCGGTATCCCAACTTGACGACACGACCTTGTGGCGAAAGCGGATGTGTTTGTCAATGCCATGTGTCTTCACCGCATCTTCGATGTACGCAGCAATGGGCGCGCCCTCGATGATCTTCTTGTTGTGAGGCCACGGGTGCCATCCAAAGCCAAAGTTGGTCATGTTTGAGTCGGAGCGGAAACCAGGATATTTCCAGTATGACCATGTGCCTCCAATAATGTCACGAGCTTCAAGCACAGCAAAGGAGCTTTGTGGCAACTCTGTTCGGACACGGTAGGCCGCATTGATACCAGAGATACCAGCACCCAAGATGAGGACGTCGAGTTCTTCTGCCATTGTGATGGTTGTCGTCTCTATGGTCTCAAACCAATGGGCTCTGCAACTAAGAGTTAACTAAGAGTGGGTAGGAATCTCAGATCTTAAATCTCTGGAATCAGGAGGTTTTTTTTGTTGAGTGTTTGGAAGCCGAGGCTTTTTTGGTGGGACCATGCGCTATGGTGGCGTCGATCCTGCGGCAAGTGGAGCTCAAAACAAAGGTTATGAAATGCAGGGGGGTTACATGTCTTGTCATTACATCCCTCCCACATTTTGACGGCTGGTTGGCTGCGTCAGGCTAGTAATGCTACCGTCGAACCATGCCTAGAAGCCAGGTAATTGTAGTATCGAGCCTAGCAATGCGAGTGCGAACAGTAAACGTCAGCTAAGCATCTCAAGTATAATGGCCGCTAAGCATCCCATGTCGGGCGGGTTTGAACTCTGACACTTCCGATGACAATTCTGTAGCGCCAAAGCTGCCAAACAAGACACTTTTGTGGGCTTCCACGGGTGACATTTGGCCACTGCACGAACTCACAAACACATGCGCTAACCTCGGTATGATATAGTGTACTGGCGAACTGGTGCAAGTTTGGCCTATTTACGCCACGATTCTCGCCACCAAGCGTCGTATACACGAAGTGGTAAAAGAAATCATTGCCATAACAGGTAATCTAGTCGAAAGGCAGCTGAGAGCTGAAGGATCCACCTCCACTATTTACTGCAGATAGTAACCTAGTGGAGGAATAGATTTCCCCGAGGTGCCGTTGGACTACAGATAGTAACCTAGACGGAGAGGGAGTGCTTCCGCTCTCGAGACACCATTAGAACAAGGCAACCTTCTAGAGGAATAGATTTCCCCGAGGTGCCGTTGGAGCCCCGCAATCGAAGTCCGTCAAGGCCCTTTGGAAGCAGGCCAAGGACATTGTAGCTAATGGAACATGTGATTGACGGGGATGCATCCACTAAGCGGCCCTGGAAGCCTGTCAATGTTCCCTCAGTTGAGAATGCCATGGAACTTCATTAGCTGGGTCTGGATGTTTATCCTCGAATTGACAATCTCCAGCAAGACTGCGCAGGAATCGACGACGGGACTATGCATGGATCGCCATGTGGTAATTGGTGGAACCAGGTGACATTTAGACACATATGTGCGTCAATAGACGTTTTCACATTAAAGATCCAAATGCACAATATTTGGGCGACAGTTGTGCCAAAGACAACCTCACAACTCACTACTTCAGGAAGTTCAAGTACCTAGATAAATGAGCACGAGGAAAGAACCGAACTGAGCCAAGTCATGTAGGCTTCTTGGTAAACATTTGGCTTGTTCTAAGCTCTATGTTTGTTATGCACATGGACGCCATGCAGGCTTGGCCTGCTTCTACCTTGCTTATACAAGTAAAACTAAGTGAAACCTGATTATTGTTTTATTCACACTTCCTTGGCTATTGAAGAGGGTATCCCGCACCCATTAAAAGCTACCTTAGGTGTCCGTCAGGCAAAGGCTCCATATTCATTCTTCTCTTCACAACACCTATACACAAAAGGTAATGCTTTCAAGTTTGATTAGTCACTTTTCTAGGCGAGCTGTATTGTAATCGCGCAACATTTAATGCAATGCGACAAGTTAACAACCGAATGCCTACAATATGGGACAATCTTTCATGGCTTCCCACCATCCTCACCCTCTCTTTTAGTTACATGCTAGATGAGCATGTTCTAGAAGACCGAAAGAAATTGCAACGTCATATCTTCACTAATGTTCAAATCCGACCCGTATTACTAGGCACCACGACATACCATACGATTCAATTTGACGCGAGTTGCATCGCATTAGCCCTAGCTTGTGGTCATCATTCCTTTGAGACATCATCTTAAATCGAATTAGTTTCTTATGTAGATGAGAAAGAGGTTCTTCAGGTCACAGGAGTTTGAATAGAGAACCTAGTGATCTTCTCCAACTCCTTCAAGCAAAAATTCAGTTCCAAAGAACGTAAAGATTACCATACCTAGGTACAGTAGACAATGCCACGGATAGTCTTCTGCATAACCCATTCCGGTTGACTAACTAGGAGCTCGATTATATTGCCTAGAACTAACATTACCCATAGGTCTTTATTATTCGATGCAACCACTTTTGCATCGGCTAACTGATCACTGGATGTCGTATTGCCAGTGACTTGGTAATTCCACAAAAAAGAAAAGCTATGCTTACATCAGTTTCAATCCGGGCGTCAATTGTCGCATTGACTGGGGTTTACCCGTGCGCCTGCAACAGCCTCCAACGACTTCAACTCAGATCTATCTGATATCCCTCCTACCTTTTTCCAACTAGCCCCTCAGATTAGATATGCTATCTTCATTTTCAATCAGGTGGGTTTTACTATCCTAAAAGGAAGATCAACATCAACAAAAACGCCCCTCATAGCGTCGGTGAAGATCGGGAGGGTTTCCGATCACGTGGCGGTAAATGAGTAAGACCAACGACAAATGCGATATCCCGATGTTGACAGCCTAACAACTCCTATGGCAAATTAGACAGCAAACTAACTACTAGTTTTAATCCAACTCAGATAGGATCTGAAAAGAATGCAAGGCGAGTCATGACTTGGTTGTTGATGCCGTCAAATCATTGTAAAAATAGAGGAATCAGTCATATTCTACTTGTTGCCTCGCGACTTGCTTCGTCACACCATTCCTGCGAGAATAGCACAAGGCATATTTTTTACCTTTAAATAAGCCAAATCTAAAACCCCCTAGACCACAAAACCCGACACAATTATCGCCGACATGTCTATCGACTCAATAGATCAAATCGCCAGACACCAAACACCGACTGGCTAAACGCCGATACTGCAGTGGGATGGGCCGCCCGGATGAGGGGTAAAGGAGATGCGTCGGATGAGCGGGGTTTGCGTTGCGGCGAAGCAATTACCTTTGACTGAAACTTTGCGGGGTAGATATCGCCATGACTCTCAAATCGGGTGTACACCCGACGGCTCGGCGCCCTCATAATAGCAGCAAAACACCTCGAGTCGCCAGATTTGACGCCATTTGGCAAGTTTATCCTAGTTGCGTGATCGGAATCAGCGTCTGACCGGCATTCCCGCCAACCTCGAAATGCGGGGAAGCGGTCAAATCAAGTAAGCTGCCGCGTCTTGTTTCGAATCCAAGCCGGCCTCTTCGGGGATCACTCGGAAACCTGAACCGCCAAGCTGTCGGTAGATATGGCCGACAAAAGTTGGAAAAGGCACTCGGTATAAAACGGATTACCCTTCGACTTTTATACACCATTACTACGCCATCAAGGTTCTCGACATCATTACTGTTCGTCAAAGCCCAAGCCCACACACGTTTTGATTAATCAACAAATCACCATATCCACAATGGCTCCCTCGCTTCACCCATTGATTGATAACGGCATTACCAAAGGCGATGCAAACTTCCCCGGCGGCAAGCTCCGCTGCCTCTGCAAGAGCAATCCTGTCGAAGTCACTCTCGGCAGCAATGTCGCCCATAACCACGCCTGCGGTTGCTCAAAGTGCTGGAAGCCCGCCGGATCCCTCTTTTCCGTCGTCGGCGTCATCCCCAGAGACCAGCTCAAGGTGACCGCCAATGAGAACAAGCTTGCCATCATCGACAACTCCGCAGTGATCCTGCGTTACGCCTGCAAGGAGTGCGGGGTACATTTGTACGGACGTATTGAAAAGGACCACCCATTCAAGGGCCTGGATTTTGTTCACACCGAATTGTCCGACTCCAAGGGATGGCAGGAACCCCAGTTTGCCGCCTTCGTCTCGTCGATTATTGAGCAGGGTTTCCACCCCAACGGTATCGACGAGGTCCGCAGGAAGTTCAAGTCTGTTGGACTCGAGACCTACGACACGCTGTCGCCTCCTTTGATGGATCTTATTGCGACCTGGACCGGTCAGCAGTCAGGTCGCCTCCCGGCCAAGTTGTAACGAATGATGTTAGATGCATGGGATATGGATGTTCAATATCAAGAAGCACTTCATGTTCGGACAATGGGTAATTGTTAGGTGTAAAGTAGGACTAACTTGGCCACATGAATGATGAAAAAAAAACTAAGTTGTTAAAAATTTATCTGTTCAGCTTCCTCTTGCGTGAAATCTGAGACGATTTTAATGACAAGTGATTGGCATGAATATAAGCGAATACTGTAAGACTTGGTTCTATGTTTGGTGCAATGGATAGACAAAACTTCACTCCACATTCGAGCAACGTAATATCTCAAAACAATAATAGGATCAACCTAGAATTATATCACAGGTTGGTAATAGACGGGCGCTTGTTCGGCTGTATTGCCACTGCACAACGTCTCCACGAGTATAGTTGGTCTATAACACACGGCATCCACAGATACTGCCAATCATTTTCGAAACAGCGGGCGTATAGTAGCCTTAGTTGTCGCTCAGAAGGTCCGTACGACCAGTCGAGCTGGACATGTCAGTGCCAACGACTCCAATATATATATTACTTCGTCAATGCCTCTTTTTAGATCACTTAGACGTGTTATTCGTTGCCTTGGAGGCTGAGTATTGATGGACTCACTTTCTTGCACACTCTTAATGTCGAATTTAGTTCAAGATAGCTTACGCTACTTGGCGAAAGACAATGAATCCTCCAGGTCAACATACACCACCTCTCAGCAACTCCAGCGTCCATTTGTTAGATTCAGTGCCGGCTGCAATCTGATACTCCATATTATGTGCATGTATCATTGAGTAACACTTGATGATTTCGGTCAATATATACCAGGAACACTTGATGATTTCGGTCAATATATACCCACAAGACCTCCGAAGTCCTCCGTCCTTGCGGGTTGTGGGCGGTTCGAACGACTCGGCTTTCCGTGTAGTTGGCAACAGCCAGGGATATTCAATTGCATGGTCCCATATAGCCCGAACTGAGGGAAGATATTGTTTTCACGCTCTATGGCCTGCTACGCCAAAGTACATGCACCAGTACTTACAGAGTGCCTTGGATTAATATGACGAGCTGCATTCCTTGAATGACCGGCCGGTTTTGACCCAAGTCGGCAGGGGTAGTCGGAGACCCAATTCGCCGTGCAAAACCTAACATTAAGTGGTGATAACTCACTACATCTCATCATTGGCCAATACTTATGCACGTATATTGCCCTGTCGTTCTAGGTCTTGGCGGCGCCGGCGGGTGGCAGCAAAGCTTGTTCCCAATAGATTTCTTCAACCGCCGCCATTCCATCCCCATTTATTATACCCACGAGTTGGAGATCAGGGTTCTTTGATGATCAAATAGCCTTCGGCATAAAGGAAGACGAGCAGCGTCCCGGGTGAGAAATGATAGCTTGCGTGATTGATTGCGCACTAATGAGGTCTGTGTTTGCGATAGACCCATTCCTCGGAGGGGCTTCAGAACCTTATAATGTTGCAGTTGCAAGTGTTGCGGAGTCGCAAGGGTTCTGAGAGAGCCAATATGCCATGCGCGGTAGTGATCGACAAAGGCAAATTTGCTACTTGGTGTGGAATTTTAGCCCCCGACCAGCTCTTTTCCGCCGTGAAGGAGACGGCAATGGCGGTGAATTTCAATCTGGGGTTTAGGGCTGTGCACGATGTTGGGCTTAAGCTTAGTTGGCTCATCATCTCAAACGACACAATTGATGCTCAAGCTTAGCCCATGTGACTATAAAGTGCCGTAGAGCTGACGAGAATAACTTGGGTATCATCGGAACAAGAAAGAGACAAAGCGGGAGCCCTCTGATAGATTTAACTTTGTGTTCATAGTGCTGCCCACACACGGCACCATCTTGGTCCGGGCCAGTTGTTCTAAGCGGCTTGGCGGACTAGGCCCGCTCATCTGTAAACCCCTGAGGAAGAATACAAATGCGACGGAGTGATGCGACGCACGACATGAAAGACGATCCTCAGACGTGAATAGCATCAAAAAAAACAAAAAGGTACAACATTCCTACTGTAGAGGACTTGATATCTTGCTCGGATCCTTGGTGTTTGCTGTTCCGAGCATTTATAGATGTGAATTCTACTATGCAACCTCCATCTCCATGCACGATGCCAGCACCAAAATCTCCTAGAAGCTTGCTATCTAAAGCACAAGTGACCCGTTCAACTTTCCGTACCGTCCACGGCAGTCTATATATATTAGCGTCGGCCGTGGGGGCGTTGATGGACTCTGGCAGTATCTTCATACATCGGGACTTCATATAAGCCTACCTAAGGTTCGGACTACTACACATATGGGGCAAGGGTCTACATGTAAGTTAGACTAACCTTCAACCTGGTTCCTGGCTCCCCTTCCCATGTCTCCGCTAGCGTCTCCTTCGCCCGCTTGTGGTGCAAGAGGTTCACAAAGCCAATAACATGCCCATTTCAAAGGGGATGCCCGCGTTGAGCGCAGGCAGAAATTGAAGCTAGAGCTCAGCAAACGGCCCTCGTTTCCACATCCTTCGAAATTCCGCCTTGGGACACGAGGAGAATCAGGAGCATGCCGTCCACTTTCCAGGGTCCAAAAACTTTGTTCTCATTAGCGAGCTTCTAGAGCCCGTCAAGCCTATCTCGTTTTGTATCATGTTGAACATAGCATAGTTGAAATCCTCCAGTAAGCATTCTTGTCTTCACGGGAAGGAGAGGGGGCCGCCGTGGAGACCTTGCAGATCTCCCATGACTGTTTGAAGGCAAATGATATACAAAAAGAATGTGTCTGTCTTCTTGTCCACCTCCATTCTTTTTGTCACTGCTCTACTCTTCCTATTGTTTTGGCTGAGCTTAACTAGCAACTCCTGGGTTCTTGCCCATCCAAACCCCGGCTCGGCTCTTGGGATTGGACCGAGCAACAGCCGTTCTGTTATAAGAGCTCCGCCTTAGGTGTCGATCTGTTTGTCTCTGATTTTCTCCTACGCAGCCGGCGTCAGGCTGTACCTTTTCCAGGATCTCATCGGCTGCCGATTACAACATGGAGTTCGCTTCCCTGGTTGCTCGGCGCCCAGAGCATGTCGATGTGCTGACGATCCCAACTCCGCCGCACCAAGCCACGGCTATTTTCATCACGTTCTTCTTCCCTGCACTTTCCGTGATCTTCTTTGCGGGGCGGGCATATAGCAGGCTTTCCACGCGACAATGGGGTCTCGGTAAGTTATCCATGTGTTATGGTAGGCTAAAGGAAGTGAAATGTTCACGGTGGACTAACATGGTTGTTGATAGATGATTGGCTTTGCGGTTTGGCCGTAGTATGTTAACCATTATCAACTTGGACTTTTGTTGAGAGATATTCCAATGTATTGACCTAAATGTCGCAGCTATGTTCCCTGTTAATGACGCCGCCTTTCTTCATCTGTAAGTCACTATCCATCCGCTCTTTACACATTTTTACCACAGCTCGGGAGTAATGAATGCTTCTTACCTTACTAACAACAATCGAAGACCTAAAACTTATGTACGTTGGGTACTGGGCTGTTGATGTGCCCCCGACCTTCGACCCTAAGCCAGCAATGTGGTGGTTCTTCTTGATGCAGATGTTCTACAACCCTGTACTGGCTTTTGTCAGAGCCTCAGTGTTGGTGTTTCTTTTGCGTCTAGGGGGGCAGAAACCCGGTGTCAGGTGGGCTATTCATGGCTTAAACATCATCAACGGCTCCATGGCTGTCGCCGTGTTCCTTGTCGCACTTCTGCAATGCTTGCCCATTGAGGCCAACTGGGATCCGGTCGTCCGCCAATCCGCGAGATGCGTCCACAACTCCTTCCACATCTCGATATCCTCCCTTAATGTCGTGATGGATATTCTGGTATTGGCCTTTCCCTTTTGGATTTTCCTTGGGTTAAAGATGCGTACGGGGCTGAAGGTTGCGGTTATTTGCGTCTTCCTAATCGGTGCTATGTAAGCCAACTCATTCTTCTCTTCACCCCTTTTCATCTCCATGGAGTCCCAGCACACGGTAAACAACTGTGTCTTAATCTTTTTCTGCTAACCTTTCTGACTACCAGCGTCACCGTCATTGCCATCATTCGTCTTGTCCTTGTTTACAAGCTTTTCTACGTGCCACCCGATCCTAACAAGGACCCGTTTCACGCCATTGGTGTCGTCTACAACGTCGTCGAGGTCAATCTTGCCATCATCTCTGCCGCAGCACCGGCCCTTCGTCCGTTGTTCCGCAAGTGGTGGCCCAAGATTTTCGGTGGCGACTCCACCAAAAAGACCAGCGATCTCCATTACTACGGCAGCTCTTCTCGACCGCGCAACACCAAACGAGACGGCGACGACATCACGCTGAAAGACATGCGCATGACACGCTCGCAGCATCATACCGAGATTAGAAGCACCTCGCCTACGGGGTCCGAGGAGGAGATAATGACATACAACGGCATCGTGCGGACAACAAACGTCAACTTGACGTACGAATCAAGTGCTAGCGTCGCAGACGATGGCCGCTCATCGACAGATTTCAAAACTGGGGAAAAGGCCGAAAGTGCCAAGGGACCCATCACTTGAGGAAAGCCGGATAACTAGCAGTTGAGAGCTTGAGTTTGAAGAAAGGGCAAGCAAGTCTAGCAAGTATCGAGATTTCCTGTGCAGCGAGGAACGATGTGTTTGCCAACATTCAGAGTACATTTATAGTTCACGAAGGATTGATAGTAATCATCCATAATAATCTGATCGTATATGTAGTCCATGATATACTGAAATGTTACTGAGGATAAGGCAGCGTCCCGGAGGTCATATAACCTAGCTTATGGTGAGTGTATCTACACCACTTGATAGTTTGAAGGACCAAACAAAACGGGACCAGAAAAGCAATAGACATGCAGAGCTACAATAACCATAACATGTGGCCTTTTTTTCTTTGCCGTCCGGAGATTCTTTCTCCATGCCTGACTCGTGAGACCTCTAGCCTGAATGGGCGTTACAACTCTTATTTTTGTTCATGATATCTACGCATATCGAAGCCTCCACCAATCTTCTATATGCCCTTTCCTTTTCTGCGTATCTCACAATGCCTGTCTGCTACCTGAGCGATTTCTCTACGGTTGTTTTCAATTATACTCTTTCTCTTCACATAGAATTTTGTATTCCTCTCCTGGCATGATCGATCCTGTTGTAGTTTTGCCCATGTTCTTGCCCCGAAACCACTGCCGACGTCCAGGTTAGATCTGTGGAGGCCACCCCTTTCATCAAACGCACTCAGTCGCCTGGATCTCGCACCCTGTTCAAACAAGTTTGAAGATTATTCCCTGCCCAGCGTTAGCTGTGGCCCAAAAAGCCGGTTCATATTATCTCTATCTCCAACAATAAGAAAGTTTCCGCGTTGATGATTGGACAGTAAGCGGCCTGTCTGATGGCCTGAATTGTTCTAGACAGCTTTTTTGAAATGTCGCTGCTACCTACACGTCTCGACCATGACTATCTTCTCAAACTTGTGATGCCCGAGATGGAAGATAGGACCTAATGCAGTTTTGGTACAATATTAGAGCTGGGTATCTTATTGAAGCTTAAAAGAGTTGTCCTCATTTAAACATCGAATATATTCTCCTACAGAACATTACAACGACCTGATCTTAAGCCAGGACATTAACGAGCACATCACCCGCCTGCCATCGCTTAATGTTGTCCACCTGCTGCTCATACCAAGCGTTCAGTGTCTTCTCCTCTACGTATCCCATATGAGGCGTCAAAAGCACCCTGCTTCGCCCATCACGCCCCCATTCCGTGGTCCGCCACTCGCTCTCCGTCGGCAACGGCTCGATATTGAACACATCCAAGGCACAGCCTCTGATACCGCCCTTCTTCAAAGTCTCGAGCAGATCCTTCTCAACGACAAGAGGACCCCGGGAGGTGTTCACAAACAACGCCGTCTTCTTCATCCTGCTCAAGTCATCCGCATTGATGAGCCCGCGAGACCGGTCCGACAGCACGAGGTGAACGCTGAGAACGTCAGCGGTACTGAAAAGCTCCTCGCGGCTAACCACCTTGAAAGTCTTCTCCCCGTCAGGGCCTTCAACAGGCAGACCCTCGGCCCTGGCCTTCTCGTCCGCAGCCTCCTGCGTGAGGTTCGTACTCCAGGCGATAATCTGCATACCAAAAGCGAGATGCATGATCTTCGCCGTCGAAACACCCAGCCTCCCGAGACCAACGACACCAAAGGTCTTGGCCGTTAGGCCCATGGCTAGGTCAGTCTGCCACAGACCGGACTTGACGGCAAGGTCGTCGGCGGCAATGTTACGTGCCAAGGACAGGATGAGGGTGACGCAGTGCTCCGTCGTGCTGTTAGTGCCGACCTGCTTGCCGGTGGACTTATCGGCGGTGCCGGCAACGGGGATACTGCGTTCCTTGAAGGCAGGAAGATCGAGGCTGTTGTTACGCAGGCCGGTGGAGAGGAGCAGCTTGAGGTTCGGGAGGCGGGCGATGAGGTCTTTGGGGAATGGCGTGCGTTCCCTCATTGTGCCTTGATGTGTGTCAGCATTCCAATCTACCTATCGTGGTGGTATATGGGAGTCCTTGAGAGGAACTCAAGATGCAAGGCTGATGGCAATAAAATGGGCTCTTTACAGATGACATCGAAAGGCTCCAACCTAGAGACCAGAGCATCCTTGACATATGCAGGGGTCTCGGGATGATTGTAGGGCAGCAGGGTGTCCTTGAAGGTAGTGACGTCGAAAAGCGACTTGTCCAGCTTGTTGAAGTGGGGTTCTGAGACGCCCTGGTAATCGTCCAAGACGGCAACTTTGAGTTGAGTGACTTGAACCATGGTTGCGAGATTTCTAACTGGTACAGGCTGAAGATGACTTGATGATGATGAACTGGGGATGTGCGGTGGCTGGAAACGACGAGATATTCGGGACGAGGTGATCACGGCCGGCCAACTTGGCGGGGTTGTTAAACAAGTGAGGCGAGATCGGAGCAAGATATGCCTCATGCGGAACAGTCGTGATTAAGAGTTGGGGCGTTGAAACGATGAGTTCGGGTTTGGTGAAGATGGGGTTGAATAGGATCAATGGCACAAATTGGATTTCAAGGGAGGTATGTGATAGCGATAGCGATATCAATCGGCTTCGGTTGATGGTTAGGTTCACTTCGGCATTTCCAAGTCGGCTTGTTACTTGACAAGGCGTTATGTCATTATTCAGCAGAATGGAGAGATGTTGCATATGCAGCCCTGTGTCTCAAATGTCGTCAAGCTTAACATGCGAGCTAGCCAAGCTGGAAGAGAGCTCCAGGATAAAGACTAGACCGGGGTATTCCTCTCTTTCGGCGACTGCTGAGATGGATTGTCATCGCCAGGGTGAAGGCAACTTCGCACCGGAGGCTGTACCGGCCGGTTCAGTGAGGGGAAGTTACCGACTCGGTGCCGACAACTCCGATGTGGTAGCTGACTGATGGCCATTCGAAGCAGCAGCTTGAGAGAGGAACACACAACACTGCCGGCTAAAATTAGGCCCCTCCCCTTCACAGCACACTAGTCTGCTCGGCATTGAATCTCGTACCTTATTGGAGTTCCGCCTCTCAACCTATCGCAATGCCGGTAAAGGTCCGCATGGAACAGGGTTGGCACGGACAGTATTGGAGATTTGACGGCGGTTATCTTATCGAGCCTACGGAGCATTTGATGGGAGGAGGAGTTCCAAATCGCTCGTTGCCCCGGGGTTCAGATTGTGAGCACAGATTACACGTGTTTGTGAGGGCGTCCGCGTCCGCAACCTGTCACCCACATCCCTGGGCTGCGTCTCCATATTATCCTTCGTGGAGGACAGTCCGGGCCACTACGCGGCCTTTGGTGGGACTCTATCTCGTCCATAACATCTAGGAGCAACCATGATGCTGGTTATGGAGTTGGACTGGAGATTGCCTAGGAAAAGTCGTTAAATTTGACAGCTCTGATGGCTTAAGAACAATCCGGCGGAGAGCGGCGCCTAGCCCGTCTTGTTGAGTAAGCCCGTTGACCGCCGGTGACCGTTCAGCTTGAAGTTTGGGGTCCAAGAATGAAGAGTGGAACTATGATTTATATCAAGCGGAGCATTCTACATCCAATCGGCATAGGAGTCAGTGACGCAATTGCTAGGCGAGGCGCTAACGAAAATTTGTTTGCAAAATATCAAAGAGTTTTGTGATTCTAGAATGAACAGCTGCCCAAATATGGGCAGATGTTCGAGTGAGTTTCGTCAATGTCATCTATTCCGTGACTGCTGTGGATTCAATCTGCCCACACGTTATTTACAATGCGGACAGATGTTAGCTTGTAGAAATGCCACCGGGTTATAGAATGGACTTTGTCACTATGACCATGCTAGTTGGTATTCTATTGGATCTGCCTCGGAATACCAAGAATGAGGAACGCTGCATAAGTTCCCAGCCAAGCGAGCCAGAACAACCACCGCGTCCCAAGGCGGAAAATCGGTTCGTTGCCGCCAAGCAGTTAACATTTTCCATTACAAATGTTTATTCTATAGGAGCCTGCCTGTTGGGTTAATCGGACTCTCGCCTCGTCAGGAGATCCATGCCCCAGATCCTTTCACCTGAGTTTCTGGGTGTCTGGCTTCCTTTTCAAGCATCCCAAGCCCGACTGTCCGGTCTAGGGCCTTGGAACTGGGTGCGTCCTGATCAACCATTGCCCATCAAATTGATTTCCATCAGTGTTGCCAACCGTGTTTGCGGATGTCACCTCTGCATGGTAAATGAATCGAGATTTGCCGATTTATCCCCTAAAGCTGGGGAACCACCACACTTGGTAGCTGATACAGGGTGTCGACTCGCACCGCTGTTCCCGCCGATCCCTTTTCTGTCTTGCAAAAATGCAACGTGTTGTCGACGCGATAAGCTTTTTGAGTGGTTTTCTGGTCGGTCTCCAGCGTGTTCCCTCGGCCCAGCTCTCGGCGCTGCCGTCTCCCCTTAGAAATCTGTCTTGTGCTCTTGGAGGCCGCTGCGTCGAACGCCGATCCCGCCGCGGCGTCGCCTTGACTCGCACAATCGTAGTAGGGCTACACAGTAATGCTAGCCAAAGACCAAGTCAAGCTTTGCCTCGGCAGCAGGCTCTCGCGCTCTTGACCAGCGCCTCCCGCTGGACAAGAGACTCGGCGGAACTGGGGGAAAGGCCAAGATGAGCCACGGCTAGGCACACTACTGATCTGATGCGGCGAACACACTCAGTCGTCCTGATTAACTCGACTGTACCCTGTAGTCCACTGAAGGGACATGGTCCTACGGGCTGTCCAGGGGGTCACGGAGAGTCACTAGGTGCCCAGGTATCTGCTCGAGCGCCCCCAGACGCCACCTGCAGGGTGCTAAGCAGTGAGCATGACAGGGGACAAGGGGACTTCCGCCGTCTAGCATGCGCCATCTCCATCACTTTGCAGGCGTTCATCCCAATGGCATATGCTGACCGCACACCCTTTTGCTGATGGTGGTTTGCCAGCTATCTTGAATATCGATGTTCCGAAAATGTGCCCGATTTATGAAGTGAGGGGGGGAGACGACGGAATTGTGAAATCACAGCGAAGATGATCCCTACGTTATTATATCGATTAAAGTCGTCAGTTGTTTCTGGTTAGGTAGATGGCGTAAACATATCGTAGATGATACTTTAACAGGCGTTACAAGACCCGCGACTGACTACGCAGTGATGACGGGCTGTATGGAGTCTAATTGTATCGAGAGCTTCACCAACTCACTAGATAGATGAACTCGGTTGACCATTGCCTTCGCCCTGATAAGCTAGTTGACACACATTCCTTTTCGGGGTTTGGAAGGTATCCAGCCAAGGAATCCTCCACGACAAATCATGCTTTTGGGCCGCTTCACTCTGCCCACCCAGCTCGCACGCAATACCTATTACCTACTCGACTTGCCCCTTTCAATGGGTCGCTAAACGCCAGAGACCGGGCTTGATTCCCTTTCATCTCATCGGGATACATCCTGACAACCCTCAGCAGCGAATCGATTTGCAAGAGGGAAAACGGGATGCCGTGATGATTGCATACGACATCCCGCGTCCAACACTCCCACGGCCCAGAGTGGTGTGGCCATGTCCATGTGCCCGCGCCACTCAGAATCTGACAATCTGGCAGCACAATCCCCTGGCTTGGTTTTCTTGGTCCCCCTCAAACCAGAACGCCCCCGACGCCATTCCCTTTGCCTCTGGGTGGTCGCGCGACACACACACACTCACCCATAATCGACAGTTGACACGCGACACAAGACAACTACACACGGGCTTTGATCTCGAGGAGGTCGGGAGTACTTGGAAAAAGAAAATTAGAAGAAAATAGTCAATGCCTCATCGGACGCTAATGCTGCCAACAAACAACAAGCGATGAGGCGAAACTTGCTTGACCGGAGCATGCCTGCAACTGGTGGCTTGGCTTAACACTAAGAGCGAGCACCAGGGCACTTTTGCAAAGACGAAATCAGTAAGGACATGAAGCCAAGACTTGCGCTTTTATGAATCCTGTACCACCTTTCGTTTTGGTCCCTTGAGCCCCATATTCTGTCTCGCCTTTTTCCCCAGGACTCTGGCAAACCCCGTTCGACTAACAGCAAAGACCCATGCACTAGGTAGATAACTGTTAGACCCAACAATGGTTTACTTACAGTAACGCACTAATGTAATGTGAGACCGGTCACTCCCACATCCCCCCCAGGACCCCCTGGGATTCCTGCACAAATTTCGGCGGTATTCGGTGGGGCAGAAGCGGTCGTGCGATACGAAGCGCCCATCCGACTCGTCCATCTCACCAGTCAGAAGTGACCAAAAGGTCCTTGGAATGGAACCGATACCAAGAACTGCAGACAAAAATCCCCCGGGGGGGTGGCGCTGGCCGCGGCTGGAGCTAGACCAGGGATAGGTTTTTTCCCCATCCAGGTCAACTAGACTACTGTTAGTGAAGCCGGACAGGGGAGAAGGGGGTTAGCGACCGCAGTCCGCAGGGACATTAAGCTCATGGGCCACAGCAACGGCTCTTATGGTTTGGGAAGGTCGCTGGAAGGGGGTTAGAGTGGTACGGGAGGAGAGAAGCCTGGTGTTTCTGACCGGGCACATTTCTTAGCCAACACCACGCCTGGTTGCGCATCAGGGCGAACGCCAAGTGCACCAAGACAAGTAGGAAAGAGAGAAGCTATCTGAAAGGTGTGGCAGCGAATTTGGCAGTTAGAAGGTAGTGTGGTAACGATGACAGCATCATTCAGCGGAAAACCTCGGCCCTAAATTGCACTTGATCTATTCTAATTAGCACTCGCCTTCATCTCCAAACGCGCAATGGAAGGGTATGGTACAAAGAACAGTCTTCCTACCCTCCTTTAGCTGCCTAAGCCAAGGCCGTTTACACCCATTTGTTGGGAGTAACTACTTCTCTATCTTCATCGTGTCATAGTTTGACCTTGGCGAACCCAAAATGGGCCTTATCGAGAGGCGAGATGAATGATGAGAGATATCATCACACAAATAACTGGCCAGCAACGCACTGAGGGGCCCTGATTCCTGCTTGATGCTGTGCCGTGCGTGGACAGGTTCAGACAAACATACGACAATCCTTCTTGAAACAGCAAATCATGGGATAACGGTGGCGCTCTCTCGGTTATCAGTTAACCCTCCATGTTCCGCCTCCCACTTCATCAACCCAGGCCAAACTTCTTCTCGAAGCCGCGCCAGAAGGAGGGCATGCAGCCGGCCGAGAACACCGGGGTGGCTTCTCCCGCGGGCATACTGAGGGAGTCTCGAGGAAACACAAAGAGGCACGTACACACACACACCACTTCTCCCTCAGAGGCCAACGCCCAACGAGCGACTCGTACCAGCACGGAAGCAGAAACAAAGCCCGATCAGCGCGCCAATAACGGCGCTCCAGGCTACAAGTGGCGTCGATGCCAAGGTCGATCAACGTTGCTGCCAAGTGACCCAGCCGGCGCATTCCATGGACCAATTTTTTTTTTTTTTAACAGTCCTCTCACCATCCTCGGGATGGACGACATATCGACCGGGCCTAATACGATACTTGCTGATATGACCCAGCGCGCTGAGTAGCTGGCTGAGTTTAGTTGTGTGGCCCGAATCACCAATCTCGAATCATATTGCTCCGTCAAGGGGGCTACCTGAATTTCCCCAGACGCGACCTGACGCCGCCTATCTGTTACCACTCCATTCGCTTTCCCTTTACCTGCCTAATCGGGCTATTAGTCCTGGACTGGACCCCATTATGGTCCATCAGGTCTTTGGGATGGTCCATCGGTGGCCCATCATTTCCTCGCTCCGTCCCCATTTTCACAGCTGTGTCTCGTTCCAGCCTGGTTGCGGGCCGCGGTCTCTCACCTGCTCTGCTTGGGTATTCCGTCTTCATCCTGCGTGTCTATTTCCCTCACGGCCTCCGAGGAGTAAAGCCAAGTAGGCTGAGTGTGTAGAATAGAGAAAGGCTGATGTGAGTGAGTTGTGGGGTTGGGGAATGGAAACTCTATCCGCGTGTCTCTGTTTAACTCTAAAGTCTCAGATCTCTTACCATCACCATGACCTCCTCATCACGGAGACTTGTATACTAGGTATCTAAAGCTATCACGACAGGTGTCCTGCGATGATAGTCTAGAAAGATATTTACGTCTAACCGTGCCCTGCAGCCCATCGCATGGGTACCAATTTGCCTCCCGTCCCGTGGCGACGGTTTGCGCGAGCTGTGCGACCACGCCTGCGCCCGCCCGCGCACACGACCGCATATCCCACAGAAACCTTGCAGAGTTGCAGAGGAGCGAGGTTGTTGGACCCAATCTTATTCTGTGTGTTCTGAGCCCGGTCCATCCCATGCCATCTCATGCCAACACCACACCGCGCTAAACATCAAGCCAGTCCCTTGTCCTTGATACTCTCCCCCCCCCCCCCTGGTCTCCCACCCTTCACCCTCGCCCCCCAGTTCACGCTTCGACCCTCCCACGCGCTAGTTATCCCCGCCCATGTCAGTATCTGCGGATACCTACCGGCTGCCGAATGCAGCTGGATGCGACCCGACCTGCCAGTCCAGTATCGCCGCTGGGAAATATAAAACATGTCCCATGAGACGCTCTCCCGTACGACGACCTCCCCTTTCCCCTCTCTTCTTGCGATCAGCAGCCTATTCAACCAACAGCTCAGGTCCCAGTCCGACCCCCCTACCTGTCCATTGCTGTGACAAGACTCGTTAACTCGTGTCTTGTTCGAATATCGTTAATCGGGACTCCTTGTCTTGTTGTTCTTCAACCTTAAATCCCATCCCCCCCAGGAACACACAGCACCCCCGCCCTCCCCCCAAAACTCATCATGAGTAGCTCTGGTGGTGGCCTCCAGGATGATATCCTGGCCAAGGCCCACGTTCCCTCCGCTACCTTCCAGGGCACGGAGAAGGAACTCCAGGCCGGCCGCGGCTCGTTCGACGTGACCGCTGTCCCTCATCGCATTCAGTCTAACAACGATGATGTGTATGACTCCAAATCCGACGATGAGGATCACTACCCGGACAAGCCCACCGAGGAGGAACTCCAAACTCTGCGCCGTGTCTCCGGCCCCATCAACTGGAGCATGTACACCATTGCCTTCGCTGAATTGTGCGAGCGTTTCTCCTACTACGGTTCTGCCGTCCTGTACACCAACTTCGTCATGCGTCCCCTGCCCGAAGGCTCCAAGACCGGTGCCACTTACAGCAACGACAACCGTACCCCCGGTGCCCTCAACATGGGCCAGAAGGCCTCCCAGGGTGTCTCCCTCGTGAACCAGTTCTGGGCCTACCTCACTCCTCTGTTCGGGTAAGTTTTCGTGTGTGAACCAGTTTTGGAATCCTTAAGCAGCCGTCAGTCGCTAACCCCCGTCGCAGTGCCTGGTTGGCCGATGCCAAGTACGGCCGTTACACTGTCATTCACATCGCCATTGTCGTCTCTACCGTTGCCCACGTCATCCTGACCATCGCCGCCGCGCCCCAGGTCCTCGAGAAGGGCAAGACGGCTTTCGCCCCCTTCTTCATCGGCCTGTTCACCCTTTGCACCGGTACCGGTCTCTTCAAGGCCAACATCTCCCCCATGCTGGCTGAGCAGAACCAGGACGCTCGCATGCACGTCATCGTCGAGAAGGGCGAGCGCGTCATCGTCGACCCTGCCGTCACCAACACCCGTATCTTCCTGTGGTTCTACTTCGCCATCAACGTCGGTGCCACGGCCGGCCAGATCTCCATGGTCTTCGTCGAGAAATACCACAGCTTCTGGCTGGCTTTCTTGCTGCCCACCATCCTCTTCATCATCTGCCCCTTCGTCCTCTACTTCAACAAGAAGAGATACCACCTCACTCCCCCCACCGGCTCCGTCCTCGAGAAGTTCCTCCGCATGTCCAACTTCGCCCGCAAGCGCTCCAGCAGCATCTTCAAGATCAACTGGGACTCCGCCAAGCCCAGCGCCATCCCCGTCAACGAGCGCCCCGGCTGGATGACCTACGACGACGCCTGGGTCGAGGAGTGCCGTCGCGGTCTCAAGGCCTGCAGAGTCTTCCTCTTCCTGCCCATTTTCTTCCTGGCCTACAACCAGATGACCAACAACCTGACCTCCCAGGCCGGTTCCATGGTCCTCAACGGCGCCCCCAACGACGTCATCCAGAACCTCAACCCTCTCTCCATCATCATCATGATCCCCATCCTGGACCACCTCGTCTACCCCGGTTTCCGCCGCATGGGCTTCAACTTCACCCCCATCAAGCGTATGACCGCCGGCTTTGGCTTCGCCGCCGCCGCCATGGTCGCCGCCGCCGTCATGCAGCACTTCATCTACCAGAAGTCCCCCTGCGGTGACCACGCCACCATCTGCGAGGAGGGCGTCGCCGACATCAACGTCTGGGCCCAGTGCCTGCCCTACATCCTCATCGGTCTCGCCGAGATCTTCACCAACGTCACCTCGTACGAGTACGCCTTCTCCAAGGCCCCCGAGAACATGAAGTCCCTCGTCATGTCCGTCAACCTGTCCATGAGCGCCTTCTCCGCCGCCATCGGCCAGGCCTTCACCCCCATGTCCGCCGACCCCCTCCTCGTCTGGAACTACGCCTGCGTCGCCATCATCTCCTTCGTCGGCGGCGTCGCCTTCTGGTTCTGCTTCAACCACCTCGACCAGGAGGAGGACCACCTCAACTCGCTCAAGAAGACAAAGTTCATCGGCACCAACCAGCCCACCGCTGCCGCCCAGGACTCCATCCACCCCCCTGTCCACCCCGTCGGCGACGACAAGGTCTAAAGAGGGTGGCGAAGTGTTTTCTGATAATGTAATCACGATCAGTCTTGCCCTGCTGGTATGGCTTGGACGTTACTCATGTTCATTTGGTTGTAATGATTTCCCGCGTCAAATGATTCCCCCGGTGGTTGGTCTTGGACCAGTTGCCAAAAATCTTAGGTAGTTTAATTGCAAACTAATTGCAAATAATCAAAATTTTTATCAAGTCTCAATCCTGTCTGCTGTGATGTCCGCCGTATTCTGCCAGTTTGTTAAACCCAATTGCTAATGGTAATTGACGTTGTCCATAACTCAAGTTGTGTCTTTAAAAGCTCATAAAGTTGCGTGGCCTAGCGTTACGATTACCACAGTTCTCTCCTGACTTACCATGGCGAAACATGGCATTGGCGACGTTGTAATACCCCAAAGACATCCGAAAGACGAGTCTTGGGAATTAGTCCAAAGTCTAGCGAATTCATTGTAAGAGTGCTGCACACAAGATGCCTTGTGTCTCCCCGAGTTATCCAGAAGAAATTGTAGTTTCTCCTGTTGATTTGTCACACAGGCTTACTTAACAGCATATCTTACGGACAGCCGAACCCCGAAATTGCTGTCTATGGCTTTTGGCAGTTGATCAAAGAGTAGAAAACTCAGTTGGTCTATTGCTAATGATAAAAAGTTTAAACCAATCCACGTCCGCCAGCGTTGCTAGTCTATCTTCTCTGAGAGGCTTGCGCTCTCGTCACACATTCACATAATGGCCCTTCCAATACCGCCATTATCCACTGTTGAGGATCCTTGAAGGGTACGACGACACTGTATTTCATGAGAGCGACGTCCTTCAACCACAACACTGATCCCAAAGTTGGTGCGCTGAATACAAAGGTTTATTATCTACGACAGTGTTCCTACAATTTACTCGGCATTCTCATACCGCCATCCAGACGAAGCACCGTCCCGTTGAGCATGACGTTCTCAATAGCATGCCTCGCCAACGCGGCAAACTCCTCGGGCTTTCCCGCGCGGACGGGAAACTCCATGGCGCGCTCGAGGCTGGCGCGGACCTTCTTACCCATGACTGCTGTCATACGGGACTCGAACAGACTGGGGGCAATGGTCACGACGCGGATGCCGAAGCGGGCGAGGTCGCGGGTCATGGGGAGAGTCATGGCGGTGACGGCGCCCTTGCTGGCGGCGTAGGCGACCTGGCCCTTTTGGCCGTCAAAGGCGGCTGACGAGGCGACCATGATGACGACGCCGCGCTCGCCGTCCGGCGCGGAGGGCTCGTTTTTGGCCAGAAGAGCGAGAGCCTGACGCGTGAGATCGATGGTCCCGCGGAGGTTGATGTTGAGGACAAAGTCCCAGTCGTCCAAGCTGAAGGGATTGCCGTCACGGTCGAGGATCTTGGTGTGTTGTCAGTACATGCCCCTCTCCGCCGTGTTTTCCTCACCGGAACCTTACCGTTGCCGGATTTCCCACACCGGCGGCCGGAATGACGCCGCCTAGGGCTTTGCCAGTCTGCTTCACCCACTCGGCGGTGCCCTGGACGGCGGCCTCGATGCTCTTGGTGTCGAGGACATCGCAGACGAAGAACTTGGCCGAGGAGCCTAGTTTGGCGACTAGCTCGTTACCAAGGTCCTCGTTCATGTCCAGGATGGCGACATTTCCCCCATTCTTGCATATTTCCTCTACGCAAGCTTGTCCCAGGCCGGAGGCGCTGCGGTGGGATGAAAGTCAGTATGGAAGGGAGTTGAAGAAAGACACTGACATGTGATAAGGGATGAGAGTGATAGGGGGGGTTGGTCTGAGGTGCATTGTCTTGCTTACCCGCCTGAAATGATGAAAGTACGGCCTTCAATCTTCATTTTACTGAGAATGTGTGAGATAGGATAAAGTTAAAAGGTTGGTTCGGCCACTGGTTTGATGCCGAGTGAGGTGTAAGCAGCGGCAGCGGGAGGTAAGAGCTTACAGCGGATGCTCCACTGAAGCTCGGTAGACCGGTCAGTCGAGCCTCGGTACGGAGCCAGGGGCTTTCGGTGGCCGTAAGTGGGTCTCCTGGTGGTTCTATTGGAGAGTGTCTTAGAGTGTGAGTGATGACATAACATGAATGACACAAGAAGCTGACGTAAGTGTGATGACATAAGAAAAGATGGGCTTAAGGTACGTACTGCTAGCTTCTTATCGGCCACGAGTGTGGCTGACACTGATTTGGGCTGGTGGCCTGTCAGCTCGACACCAGAAGGAGAAGGAGAAGCAGAAGCAGCAGGAGAAGGAAAAGCTGAAGCTGGCGCTCGTGCCTCCCGCGTATCGGGCATGCAAAGACCTCCCCCCACCAGTGAGTGGTCAGTGGTCCCCAGCGGCACAAGATCCTCTATTACTAGTCTATTACTAGTACAGTAGCAGTATCCGCAGGTGGTCCTTGTAGGTGGCTCTCCAGGTGGCCCAGAAGAGGTCCAGGTCCTGGTCCCCTCACCGACCATCCCATGTTACAGGTCCGAGACCCGGCAAGGCCCAGTAAGGCCCAGTAAAGCCCATCTGCTGCTCTTCCGTCATTCTGTTGTTTTTGCTCATTTGTGCATATCTGCTTCTGCGCTTTCAATCTATTACCATACATCACATCACATCGCATTCCCTGCTCGACACGAAACGCAGGGCCGAACTCGAACTCGAACTGCTCGCTACGACCTCAACGTCGTGTCCAGCTAGAGAGGCCGTGGCTTTTGTCTTTTCCATCTTCTTTTTCTTTTTGCTCATGCTCTAGTTGTTGCTTTTCCCTGCTTACAAACCCCTCGATCCCGCGCCCAACTTTTTTCGTCGCACCCCCCCATCACCGATCACCGATCACCGTTATAAACATTCCGTGCCGCCACCATGACGAGACCGCGCGGGACAAGCGCCGCCAGCGAGGAGAGCGATGTTACCGCCGGCCAGCAGGTCAGCAATGAATTCAGTTGCCGATGAAAATTACCAGGGACGCAAATATGCTGACGGGATGACGCGCACAGGAGCTGGGTAGCATGTACGACTACCTAGCCAAGATTATCCTCCTGGGACCGAGCGGGACAGGAAAGTGAGTCGTCTCCCACTCCGGTGCAAGGTCGAGAATACATTCGGAAGACGAGACATGGCTGACGATAGCCTTATCGACGTAGATCATGCTTGCTGCATCGCTTCGTTAAGAATGAATGGCGGGTCTTATCGTCCCAGACCATCGGCGTTGAGTTTGCGAGCAAAATCATCAAGGTTGGCACCGGATCCCGGCGCAAACGTATAAAGCTACAGGTATATGGCCCCCCTCACCGCCTTTGGCCGGCATCGCCGCGAGGTAGCGGAGAAGCTAACAAACTGGGTACTACAGCTCTGGGACACCGCCGGCACCGAACGATTCCGCTCCGTCTCGCGATCATACTACCGAGGCGCCGCTGGCGCCATATTGGTCTACGATGTCACATCTCACAGCAGCTTCCGCGGTCTGCAGCCCTTCCTTAACGACGCCCGAGCCCTCGCCTCTCCCAACTTATCTTGCCTCCTCGTCGGCAACAAACTCGACCTCGCTTCCGATCCCCTAATCGACACGAGCCTCCCACCCCCGACACCGAGCAGCGTCGGCTCCATGTCCTACTTCACGAGCGGATCAGTCGGAACGAGTATGCCGTCGCTCGGCACGCAGCAAAAGGCAACAGAAGCCCCCGAAGGCCGCGAGGTCGCCAACGCAGACGCAAATAGGTGGGCGAGCACGGTGGGAATACCCGTGGTGATGGAGGCGAGCGCATTCAGCGGCGAAAATGTGGACGAGATCTTTGCGAGACTTGCTCGCATGATCCTCACCAAAATTGAGCTGGGAGACATTGATCCGGACGATCCGATGAGCGGCATCCAATACGGGGACGGTTACGGTGGGGGCTGGAGCGCGGGGGCCAGCGACGGTGCGAGTATTAAGAGTTCCATGACCGGCGCGACGCTCGACGACACGGGCACCGTGAGGAGACGGAGAGGAAGACGAAATACCCGGAGCGGCGCAAACTGGGGGCTGCGAGATTGGGAGGAAGTGTTTACGTTGTCGAACCGACGTAGAGGAGGGAACTGCTGCTAGTGCATACCATCGTAGCGGAAGAGGAGGAAGAGGAGAAGAAGAAGGAAGTGGACACGGCATGCATCCTGCGACAGCGAGGAGATGCTGAACTTGGACGCGAAATGCTTTCTTTTGTTGAAACTGTGGGTTTGCGAGGAGTTTTGGGACGTTATCTTGCTGCTGTCGCCGCCGGGCCGGGACAAGAGGCTCGGAGGATTCCTTTTTTTTTTTTTTTCCTTTTTTTTTCGACGCTGTTGGGATCTGATTTGCCTGACGACGGGTTAGGCGCGTTCGCTTCAAGAGTCGAGTTGGGCTGGCGTTCCGGGATAGATACCTCGTTCCCAGGTCGGGGCCGGCCGTATACAACATACATACACACTTGACAACAGACAGCTACATAACATTAATGACACCTACCATTCCTGATACCTACCATTACCCGAAGCAACACTTTCGATAGACGTCTTTGACAGGATGAGGTTTGACTTCTGCGGCCCGTGAAGGACGGCTATCGATACCCGGCTCACCTGGTTTATCATGTGAATGAGCTGATCAGCATCAGTAACGAAAGCAGTTCATGTCGAAGGACGGAGCTTCGGCTTCCAGTGCGGGTATAACGAAGGTGATATCAAAGCCTCCAAGACGTCCATCCGCCGTCCTCGGCGGGAATGACGTTGCTTCACTGGACTGCTAAATGACAGTTTACAAGGCTGGACAGGACAAGGGCCAGACCAGACCTGGCGAGGTGCAGAGAATGGTACCACGAGCCAAAAGTGCTTGGTATACGGAGTAGTGATTTGTCAGACCAGGAGTCGGTGACAAGTTTGACCAAGTAAAATCATAAAATAAAAAAACAAAAAAGAGAAAAAAAAAAGCCAAAAATGGAGCAAAATATTCCAGCAGTGTTAGTCGTCATAAGGTTATACCTAAGAAAAGTAGAGAGGATGCGATGACATCGGGTGCGTGATGGTACCTCATCCCCAGTCCCGAATAGGAAAACGGAAGACCTCCCTCCGTGACGAGACCCCACCAGGATGAGCAGGGGGGGGCTTGTGAGCTTTGGGGACGGTTTTGGGGTAAGTGAAGAAGCCCCCACATCAAAGACAGGTGGTGATTTATATTTCCGAATGGGGGAGACGGTTCTGGTACCAAGGAGGCGGTCCTTCGAATGGGATGAGATACCGCATTGCCATGAGAGCGAGTCGGGTGATTGAGTAGTTTTCCAGTAAAGAGTTCCTGATTTTTCGGAAGACACCCCCGGTTGAAAACTGGCCTATTAGTGAGAGAGAAACAACGAACATGATTAGGACGCTTCAAGCCCGTCCCCAATATCCTCCATCAGGTCCCAAGGGCCAAAATGATCACCACCAAAATGGACCCTTGGCCCTGTAAGCGGTACCTCGTGCGTGGTACCCTCCCTCCCAAATGCAGCCCGTCGGCACGCCGAGTTTACCCAGCATGGGATGTAACGCTCTTTTACACCGATTTGCGTGCTAATTGTCGGACAATTGGAGAAAAGAGGCGTCCCTCATTCTCCGCTTCCTGGTGAGGGGGAAGCGGGCGAAGAAGACAATAAAAACACATCTATGGTGTAGAATTTGAGGTGAGCATGGGTCCGCCGTTGAGAGGATGGAGATGCATCTCGGCGGATGTCGTCCCGTCGTTCAGACTGAGAAACGGCGCCTTCTGCCCCCCTGGAATCCCGTGTTGAACCTACATACTACATCCCTGAACGAGGCGAGGCGAGGGCACAGTAGCTCGGCTGGTCGTGGAGTGTCAAGTCGCATGAGGTGACGGGTGTGATGAGTGAGATGGGGATGGGATGGGTACGGGGGTATATGAAGACGACGCATCCTCCCGCAATTTTCCTCACATTTGCACGGTCAGGTCTTTTTCTGGCTGAGAGCTTCTGTTTCTTTACCGGCAGGAAATTGACATCGTGCTCATCCATTATACCCATCATCACCGTTGCGGGTTGAATCGTTGAGTAAGAGTTGTTGCGTCTCTCGTCTTTCATCGTCTCATTGAGCAATTGTACCTGCCCCTCCATACCCCTCCAAACTTGGAAGGTACCCCCGTCATCTTGCCCCTACCCGACCCCGCCATCCATCCTCGGTGCTCGACCCGTCCGACATCACCTCGTCACCGTCGTTGCTCTTAAGCTGCTCTTCTCCCCCCCCAACACATTGTTTGTAAGTTTCAACACTTCTTTCACACACTCAATTGACGGGCCAATTGCAACCGCCGTCACTCAGCCAAATGCGCCTCCACTCCAATATACCGTACAAGTCGAACGCAGCTAATACACGCAGGACCATGGCTCCCCGAACCGTGATCCCAATCGACAAGAACTGGCAGTTCAGGCAGGTCGATAAAGAGGACAGCAAGCTTCTCGCCGTCAGCCAGTTCCCCACAAACGTCCACCTTGACCTCATCCACCACGGCGTCATTCCCGACCCCTTCATCGGCAAGAACGAGCTGGACGTGCAATGGATTGGCGAGGCCCAATGGCTGTACAAGACCACTTTCGCCTCTGAGGCCATCCCGGAGGGTGCCAAGGCCGTCCTGGCCTTTGATGGTCTCGACACCTTTGCTACCGTTGTGCTCAACGGCAAGACCATTCTTGAAACGGACAACATGTTCACCCCAGAGCGTGTCGATGTTACCTCGGTACTCAAGAAGGACGGCGACAACGAGCTTGAAATTACCTTTGATAGCGCTTACCTGCGCGGCTGGAAGTTGGTTGAAAAGTACCCCGACCACAAGTGGGGATGCTGGAACGGTGACAACTCGAGACTGGCTGTCCGGAAAGCTCAATACCACTGGGTAGGTCCCCTTTCTTCTCCTCGCGTTTCTATGTGAACGGCTTGACTAAAACTACTTAGGGCTGGGACTGGGGCCCGACTCTGCTGACCTGCGGTCCTTGGAGGCCCATCAACCTCGAAATTTACGAGTCCCGCCTATCCGACCTGTACTTCGAGACCACTGTCGACGAGTCCCTCAAGAGTGCCAAGGTCGTTGCCCATGCCACAACAGAAGGCAAGGCATCCAAGGTCCGCTTCGACGTCTCGCTCGACGGAAAGTCCGTTGCCTCCGAGACCGTCGCAGCCGAAGCCGACTCGGATGTTGCCGCCACTTTCCAGATCCAGGACCCCGCGCTGTGGTACCCTATTCGCTACGGCAAGCAGCCCCTTTACACTGTCACCGCCACGCTTGTCGACGGCGATGAGGAGGTTGACAGCCTTTCGAAGAAGATGGGTATCCGCAAGGTTGAGCTCGTTCAGCGCCCACTCAAGGAGCAGCCCGGCACATCCTTCTTCTTCCAGGTTAACAACGTGCCCATCTTCTGCGGCGGTAGCGACTGGATCCCTGCCGATAACTTCATCCCCCGCATCAGCAAAGAGCGCTACTACGACTGGGTTCGCCTGCTGGCTGACGGTAACCAGTTCATGGTCCGCGTTTGGGGCGGCGGCATTTACGAAGAGCAGGAATTCTACGACGCATGCGACGAGTATGGTATCCTTGTGTGGCAAGACTTTATGTTCGGCTGCGGAAACTACCCCGCCTGGCCGGAGCTGCTCAAGTCCATCGACAGGGAGGCGAGAGTGAACGTCAAGATGCTCCGCCACCACCCCTCTATCGTCATTTGGGCCGGCAACAACGAGGACTACCAGTATGCAGAGAGCGAAAATCTTACTTACGACCTTGCCAACAAGGATGCCGAGAGCTGGCTCAAGACAGACTTCCCCGCGCGCTACATCTACGAGAAGGTCCTCGTCGACGCCTGCAAGGACCTCATCCCAGACACCTTTTACCACTTTGGCAGCCCCTGGAGCGGTGACAACACCCGCGACCCCACAGTCGGTGACTTGCACCAGTGGAACGTCTGGCACGGCACGCAAGAGAAGTACCAAAACTTTGACAAGCTCGTCGGCCGCTTCGTCTCCGAGTTCGGCATGGAGGCGTTCCCCTCAGTCAAGACCATTGACGCTTATCTGCCCCTGGGTAAGGACGACCCGGATCGGTACCCGCAGTCCTCGACCGTTGATTTCCACAACAAGGCCGACGGCCACGAGCGCCGCATCGCGTTGTACCTTGTTGAGAACTTCCGCTACGCCCCGGACCCGCTGGAGCATTTCGTCTACTGCACCCAGCTCATGCAGGCGGAGTGCCTGGCGTCCGCCTATCGCCTCTGGAAGCGTCAGTGGAAGGGCCCCGGACGTGAGTACTGTGGCGGTGCGCTTGTGTGGCAGATCAACGACTGCTGGCCGGTTACCTCGTGGGCCATCTGCGACTACTACCTCCGTCCCAAGCACGCTTACTTCACCGTCAAGCGCGAGATGGCCCCCATCTCCATCGGCATCACACGCCACGAGCATAAGCACGCCCAGGACAAGTACACGCGCGTCAACGTTGACGTCAAGCACCAGATTGAGATTTGGGGTTCCAACCTGCAGCTCGAGGATCTGACCGTCGACTGTCTCGTCAAGGCATGGGACGTTGAGACCGGCGAGGAGACGTACTCCGAGACCGTCGCCAGCGCATTCGTGCTCCCTGAGAACAGGTCGACTGAAATCGCAGCGTTCGAGGTGCCTGCGCCGAAAAAGGGAGATGAGGCCAAGACTGTCGTCGCGGCGTACCTCATCCAGGACGGAAAGCAGATTGCGAGATACGTCAACTGGCCTGAGCCGCTCAAGTACCTCCACCTGCAGAAGCCAAAGAGCCTCAAGGCTGTGCTGTCGGAGGACGGATCTGTGGTGCGCGTCAGCGCCGAGGTCCCCGTCAAGGGTCTCGCGTTGGAGAGCGAGGACGACGCGGTCGTATTCAGCGACAACTTGGTCGATATCGTTCCTGGCGAGACGGTGGAGATTGTCGTCAAGGGTGCTAGCAAGGACAGCAAGATTGAGACGCGGTACCTGGGTATGCTTAACTGATGGCCCATGTATCATGTCATGAAAGGCGAAAAAGAAAGAGGGAGTGATTTGTTAAATGAGGAACATTCGAGGTATCATTTGAAAAAAAGATTAATAAAGCGTTTTAATATCCTGCATCTTTCCAGACATCATTAAGCCCGACATTACATGTGAAACATCCCATCTGCATTACAATCCTGCTTGCTCCTATCGTCTCTTTCCCTTTCTGCATCTTTTTTTTTTTTTTTTTTTTTCAACGAAGTTCCTGGGGAGGAGGCTTGTTGAAATCCTGTCCCTGGGTAGGTGGCGGCGAACCCGAGACGGGGGAAGGGTGGTAATGGTGGCTGGTGAATTGCTGGGTGGACGTGTACTGGTGGTGCTGCTGCTGTTGAGGCGGCGGCGACGAGTGGTAGACCTGGGTGTATTCACCTCCGCCTCCGCCGGTGTGTTGCTGCTGGAACTGCTGCTGGGCAGGCGACGACGACTCCTGGTAGTGTTGGGTGGTTTGAGTCGTGTAGGGCGGCTGTTGCTGTTGCTGGTGCTGGTGCTCGTGTTGCTGGTATTGCTGGTACTGTTGTTCCTGTTGCTGTTGGTGCTGCTGGTGCTGTGGCTGTGGCTGCTGGTACTGCTGCTGGTTTTGCTGGTACTGCTGCTGTTGGTTGACGGTTGTATCGACGGAAGGCGAGTAGAGCTGCTGCTTCGACTCGAGCTGGATCTCGCCGGAGCTGGCGGCGGCGGAGGCGGCCGGGGCGCCGGTCTTGCGCCACTTGAGGAAGACGACGAGGGTCCAGACGAAGGTGACGATGAAGAGGATGAGCTGCAGCGCCGACAGGCCGGCGATGGCGGCCAGCATGGCGAGGGCGCCCTTGCCCATGACGATGTAGCGCTTGAAGACGGTGCAGCGGCCCGAGTTGACGGCGGAGCCGTCGGAGGAGCAGGACGCCGTGACGGGGACGACAAAGGTGGCGCGGCGGGCGGCCGTGGCGCCCATTGTGCTTAGCCACAGGATGCACATGAAGAGGTCCAGCGCCAGCACGGCGTACAATTGGTACGCCTTGCGGAAGTTGACGATTTTCTCCGTGAGGAGGGCGTAGAGGACTATGATCCATGTGAAGAGTGACTGTGGTGGTGTTAGTTGATGTTGTTGTTTTTTCCTTTTTTTTTTTTTTTTTTGGTGACTGGGGGAAACAGAATGAGGAGGTACCATTGCAAGGGAGAGACCGAGCTCGTCCATGTAAACCCAGTGGATGATGGCTCCCGAGAGGCCGAGGATGATGATGGCGAGAACGAACTGAAAGGCACGGATGGCAACGATCCATGCCGGCGTCGTGATGACGGGCGGCTGGCTGAGGGATCCCGAAGACGTCGTCACCGGCGCGTGCGTCTGTTGTGGTGCCTGCTGCTGCGGCAGCGGCTGCTGCTGTTGATGTTGTGTATTCTCCATCGCGGCGACGGTAATATGATGTGATGTTTGTAGAAACGTATCCGAGCGGCCCCTGACGGTGGTGGCGGCGTATAGTCAAACGGCTTTTTTGCGAGCCCCAAAAACCCGGTTCCTTGCAAAAAAGGTGTAAGGGGGGGAAGTTATTCCCAGTCTAGTCGTGTAGTGGAGGAAAAGCTTGAAGGGATGAAGGGGGATGTGAAGAGCGCCATGGCTGTTCCGAGGGCGTCGAACGTACTTATGGGCTGAAAAAGCCACTGGGCGAGGAATGTTTGAATCGGGGGCTCGTGTTTAGCCAAACCCAAACGGGCAATGGGAATCTTGCTTGTTGCAATCTTATCGTCCATTTCTCATCGAGCCCGACGGACTCGTACTACTCGAAAAGGGGGGAGAGGGGAGGGAGGGAGGGAGGGGCGGTGATTGCCTGGCAGCTGCAGGGTCCGTTTCCAGCCGCTCGCAAAGCCATGATTGAGTATCACTCTCTCTCTCTTCATGGTGAGGTGGTGAGGCTCCGGCTCGATCTGCTGCCAGAGGCTTATTTTCTTACCACCCCGGCCAGCAAGAAATATGCCCAACTGCGGAGTTGACGTGAAAGCTGGAAACGGTAATGGGGGAGGAGTGGAGACTTTTGATGGACAGAAAGGGTTCAGCTCGCCCTGCATGGTTTGGATGGTTCGTCTTGGCGGGAGATGGGGAATACCAAGAGGACAAATCTGCTTCGTACAACGCACGCGGTGGGTGTTGCGGTGATGACTCGTCAATTGACATGATTGTCGCGCTGCTGGACTGGGGGGGTTAACTGGAAATATCGTGTCTTGGTGAGAAAGCCCTGCCCAGGCTGCCTGAGCCAACCACATAGGGCGACGTCAGACATATGATTCCGCGCTGACCGGGGGGGGAGGGAAACAGACCACGGGATGAGTGGAGATCGGAACGCCGGTCTAGGCCGGTTCGGGAGATGGGGTCGTGCCCCGTGGTCGCTAGTTCGCTGTGGCGTCTTCAGCTCTAGGCTGGAAGGCGGAGTCTCGCAGATGTTATCGGCTGTTGTTGTAGTATTGGGTTGGTAATTATGGGCGCTAGATGGTATGGAGAAGGCGTTGCGATGGGCTAGTTGATAACGAATACCTGATCGTCTGGCTGCCTTGTGGGCATAGTTCGTTGTATCCTGCTAACTTTCTATGATTATCGATAGCCTCATTGAAGCCTCAATGCTTGGCACTGCTCCGGTTGCCGGCCGATAATCTTTACCGCTGCACGTTTCATCAGCCTAGGCTAGCAGTGCCGGGCGCAGCTTGTCGTACGATGCCCAATGACTGATTTTTGGTGTTGAGCAGGCGGCAGGCTTCTCTTGGTAGCATTTAATATATGCGTAGCGGGCTTGCACATGGTTCAGACAGAAACACCTAGAGGGGAAAAAAAAAATGAGGGGGGAAAAAAGTAGTAACAAATAGATCGTCATTTAGATCATATACCAATATACATGACCATCGTCAATACCATACATGCTGCATGCGCCGTAAAATAGATCGCCAACCCGCCCAGACGCCCACTTTTCAACACCCGCTCGCCGGCTTCGCTTTTCCCTATTTTTTTTTTCTCATTCTTGTGTCGTGTCTCTCCTTTAGCAGCATCCGCCCTGGTTGCCGTTCTCGGCCACCTTCTTGGGATCGACGCTGGTGCTCAGCTCGCTCTCAACCTTCTCGTTGGGGCCAGCGATGAGGATCTTGATGACCTGACCCTCCTTGACCTTCTTGAAGGCCTCCTCAGCCTGGTTGAAGCTGACGATGCCAGTGATGAGCTTCTTGACGTTGACTCTGCCGTTGGCGACGAGGTCAATGGCCAGCTTGTAGTCACCGGGGCCGTAGCGGAAGCTGCCGCGAGCAGTGACCTCCTTCAGGCACAGGGCCATGATGGGGAAGTTGATATCGGCCTTGCCCATGCCACCCTGGACGTAAGTACCGCCCATCTTGACGACGTGCAGAGAAGTCTGGATGGAAGGCTCGGCACCGCTGGCATCGATGACAATGTCAGCGCCCTCACCAAGGTCGCACTGCTTGATCAAAGCCTTGGCATTCTCCTCGGCAGAAACGCGCTGGGAGAGGTAGGTATGGGTGGAGGCGAGCTCCTTGGCGAAGTCGAGCTTGGACTGGACGATGTCGACGCTGACGACCTTGGTGGCACCGAAGGACTTGGCGACGGCGGCGCAGAGCAGACCGACAGGGCCAGCGCCCATGACGACAACGCTGGCGCCGGGGGTGACCTGGGCCTGCTTGGTGATGTGGACGGCGACGGCGAGGGGCTCGATCAGAGCACCCTCCTGGAGGGAGACGTTGTCGGGGAGCTTGTAGCAGAAGTCAAAGGGGGCGGTCCAGAAACCGGTAAGGGTACCGTCGTAGGGAGGGGTGGCAGCGAAGCGCATGTCGGGGCAGAGGTTGTAACGGCCAGCAAGGCAGTTCTCGCAGCGGCGGCAGGGGTAGCCGGGCTCGAGGGCGATGCGATCGCCAGCCTTGAGGGTCTTCACGGCCTCACCAACCTGGACGACGGTGCCGGCAGACTCGTGGCCGAGAACCATGGGGTCCTTGACGACGAAGTGGCCGATGGCACCGTGCTCCCAGTAGTGGACATCGGAGCCGCAAATACCAGTGTAGTTGACGGCGACGAGAACATCGTGGGGGTCAGAGAGCTTAGGGATAGGGCGCTCGGCGAACTCGACGTCGTGAGGCTTGTTGAGGATGAAGGAAAGGTTCTGCAAGAGGTCAGTTTCTATCTCGAAGGGACCAAGTATGCCAGATGTGGCAAGAAGGCGGGGGGAAACGTACGCTCTTGCCTTCGGTGCCGGCCATGATGACGATTTTGTGAAAGAGGTGGAGTTGGAGGTTTGGTGTTTTGCGGTTTTGGGAGTGGTCGGGTGTCTATTCACCGAGAGAAGAAAACTGATTAAAGAGCTGGACAATTCGTCGCAGAAGTCACAAACCGACAAGTTCGGAAGGGGGTATCTTTGGGAGAAGCACACAGAAGAATGCAAAGACGGATGGTAAGTAAGGAAGAAGAGGGAGAGGAGCAGGAAACGACTGAAGCTCTGGATATCGTGGTCCGGTGCGCAATGGATTAAATAGCTATGACAACAACCCTGGCCCGCAGCACGGCGAGGACCGAAGCGGATTGGACGGGGTAGGGATGGCGAGTGGACGATAGACTGGAACAGAAAATGGGGAATCCGGCTGGAGACGACAACTGGCGTAGCCACTGGGATGCAGTCCGATGGGAAAAGGGCTACGATTGAGAGGGAAAAAAAAACGGTGTTCCATGTCGCCTATCGGTGGTGGTGGTGGTGGTGGTGGTGGTGGTGGTGCTGCTGCTGCTGCTACTGCTGGCGGCGCTCTGTTGCCCCTCATTGCGGCGCGTCTAGAGCTCCAGATTTCCATCATTAACCCGCACCATTACCCATGCGCCGGGCCTCGCTCCCTGTCACTTCCAAACTCTGCCATGTTAAGCGGTGGTCGGCCGGGTCGAGACTTAGCGATGGCATCCCCGTCGGGCTAAGGGGAAAAGAGCTGTCACCGGTGCGGGGTGGGGGGCGTCGATATCGAAAAATGAAGACATTCCGAAATAGAAATAAATAAAGATAAGTAAAAGAATAAGAATAAGAGAAAAAAAATAAAATTGAATTATCAAAGCCAATGAGGCTACTCCATCGATATTGGGAAAGAAGCTGCCGGTGTAGAGAGCTCTTTCCCTCCCGCGTTGTTGCTTAGTCCTTAGGGGGCGCGTCATAGGTCGTAGTGGGGAGGGGCGATGGAGGGGGGGTTCCGGCAGCGCTGGCAGGAAGGCGTGGGAAGCCCGCACCTGCAGCAGCTTCCTTGGTGCTTTCCGCAGTTGCGCAGCTTCCTGGTGGTAATTGCGATTGTTGCGACTGCCCCCAAATATGGTGAAGAGGGGTGATAGGTGCGCAACGGCACTGGCCCGGATTTAGCGTCCTGTACCTATTTATCCAGCATTTTACCCGCACCAATGGGGTATTCTCAATTGGATCCGGTAGCTGGGTTCTGGTGGGGTTCAAGATCCGGGGGTCTCGACGCCAGTGGGGGGTAGGTAAAAATGGGCTGGGGAGGGTAAAAAGTTCTCGGGTCATGCTTCATGCTCATGCTGGTCATTCACTCTCGCTCTCCCACTCCAAGTGTTACTTACCTTTACCGCTCATTCTCATTTCTCATCTTTTTTTGGTTCCTTGTCCGGCTTCATCTGTTCTCCGTCACCGGGTTCGAGACCGGTCTTTCTGTCATGTGGACCGGCAGACTTTTTTGCTGATTCCTCGTGTTGGTCTTACTGTGCTCCATAAACTCCTTATTTTATTTCTGTTGAGAGATCCTAGACCTAGACCGACACTCCTCCCCCCTTTGGACTTCCTGTCTGTGACTTGCGTATCCGTAATCTTTCTTCTTCTGTATCTTTCGGGGCCCCCGTGAGTCCGGTCATGTCCGGCGGCTGTGCCATTACTGATACCACTTGTGCAGATCGTTGCCGGGGGCACAGCAAGACTCGGTCGATGTTCTCGTCCAGCATCGGCTCAACGTCTAGGGGAGGGTTCCTTCTGTAGTGGTGGTGTGTGCCCGGTTGCTTCGCTGTTCGGCATAAGTCTCGCTTTCTCTCGTAGGATCTCTTTGTAGTAAATCTTGGTCGACGAGTGTCGATGGCGATGCTGTGCAGCTCTCTCACTCATCAGAGTCTGCATACCTACTGGTACAGAGGGGGGGCCATCCTTCATATTTATGTTCCTGTCCTACCCGAAATGCTAACTTGGCTTGCGGGACGCTCTCCCGCTGGAATCCAGCCGTCTTGGGACACTTGCAGGGGAATCTGTCGATCTGGGGAAACGGCTTCTTCCTCAGTCCACAACCTTATCCTCCGTGGTTTCCCTAAACTGTCCTTGCACGCCACTGTCATGCCATTGCACATGGGGCCCCGGTGGGCTCTAAGTGAGCTTCGTAGCCGCCCTGAGCACCTTTGAGCGAATCGACGTCTTGCTGGGAGCTACTTACACGCTATTGTCCTATCAAAAAGCTTCGCCTGCCTCGCCATCCTGCATGTTGACCGGGATGTGTCGGCCCAGGCCAGCAGTACCCTGTCCGCCTCGCCTTTGTGAGCGGTAGGACACATGAAAACATGTCCCAGTTTGTGAATTACCAATCTACATGGTCTCGGTTCTTCGGTTAGCGCTGTTATGCTATTCCTACATCTTAAACTGTCTAAGCTGTTGTAAGCTATCATTTTGAGCCGTCATATCCGATGATATCATTGGTCCGGATGATTGTCGTTTTACAAAAGCGCATATTGGCTTGCTGGGCGATATCAATACTGCAATTTGTAGGGAATATTACAACACCTTACTCAAACCGTATCACCTGGGTGAGTCCAGCTATGATCAGACTTTATTTTCACACGGCAATGCCGGGTTATAACAGTCAGCCACGCAGGTAGTATTTGATGCATGATTTTGGGTGATCAAAGTCTGTCTCCCTTGAAGCAATCTCGATGGGCAAGTCACATCAGTCTAGGGTGAATACCCAAGGACATGATAGTTTTCCCTTGAGCTTAGTATCTCTCATCTTGCAGCGACTTGGTGGACGGATTGTGCTGGTATTGCTCTCTTCAATATGGCACTTGACAACGCGAAATAGGAGTGCGGCTGCGAGGAACCCACCCTCCAATAGCGGTTAGAACCGTAAAGCCCCGGTCACAGACTAACAAGAGCTATCTCTATAATAATTCAAGGAATCCGGTCCAAAGTGATGCAATTGGCTGTTTCTGTTGCCTTACACATACGGAACAGGGGATCCTGCGCGTCCTACACAAACCCAGGATAGTAAGGTCGCCACAGGTCCATCGTCTCACACCTGCCACTCTTGTAACACATTGGTCTTCTGTAAGATATTCAAAGGAGCCTCTTGAAGTGTCACCGTCTAAAGTCTAACTCTAGGACTTGTAGCTAGGGAAGATCTGTTCTAGGGGAAGGCCATGAAAGTGCAAAACAAATGGCCATTGCTGTTCTCAGATGTGGGGTTCACAGCGACTATGGCACAATCTAGATTGGAAAGCATATCCGGTTTAGCAATTGCCGTCTGCCTTGGGGCAAACTGTTGTCACGACACCAGTTAGCAGGTGGGTTTGCCCCCAAAGCTTTCAGACATAAGGTATGGAGCGGTACTTGAAATTCAAGGCAAGAAACCAAAGCAGAATATTGTAAATTTTCAAGCAAATGTTACCGAGCAAAATGTTTATCTTGGCTATGTTGCGACCCATTTGTCAAAGTGATGCAACGAAGAGCTTGATTCCATTATCTCACCAAGCATTAAAGCAGCCAAACCCTTCATTTCACATGACTAGCAATCTAATACCCCTTCGCCTATCTAAAGCATCTACCCAGAAAATGCTTTCGTAATTTTCCATGTTCTCCATCTTTCTTTGATAGCAGGTGTCGAAATGTTGTAGTGTAAACACGGCATTGCGGATTAATGGATGCTGCGAACCTAGTGAACAGGGTCGTTTAGGTATTTGACATCTGAGGTACTCATGTCAGCTCATAGTCAGGCCAATGAATGCAAAACCTATCCCCGCACGCGAACAAGCCGTTGATGCCGCAAAATTAGACTTTATTAAAAGGTCATTCGACGAAGGTGTCAGTTCTTGCATGCAAAAGTGAGGCAATCATTTCCTGATATCTCTTCTTTTTCTCGGTGGCTTCTTCCACGTTGGTTGGCTTTACGGATCTGCCGACATGCAAGCGACCTTGTTGGTGACGCTGGTATTGCCAACTTGTGAACCCCTCACGGATCTTACTGAGGCCAAACGAGCAGATCATTCCAAATTTCCTGTCACTGATATGACTCGCATCTTGGTGCTGCAGGCAATACTGCATTGCGGCCTGAGCCCTGCTGCTTTGAGGATGAACGAGCCGAGTTGGAGCAGGCTCTGAGGAGGCGACTGATTGCCTTCTTAATTCTATCACTCATTGGTCAATTGGGTAACCCGTTAAGGCAAGACTTGCCGGACAGAACCATGAGGATACTCATCGAACGCGAATTTTCAATGAGTGAACAGCAACGGAAATTTTGCGTCAAGCTATTGGGACAAGCGAGGGTCTGCATTAAGTAGTTGACGTTGGCAAGGCAGACTCCAGGGAATCGCGAGCAGCAATTTGAGTAGCAGAAAAGTTTGACATTTAAAAGCTCTTGATCGTCCTCACTTGAGATGTCTTTCTTTTCAAGCTTCTCAACAGACTTCACATTGGAGATTTTGCATCAACGTTACTTAGAACCATTAACCTACCTTGAAATGGCGCCAATCAGAGTCTACAGGATGACCGATTCCATCGGGCCGGAGCACCAACAGCTTCTTTACGAGCCTATCGTACTCGAGCAAGCTCTGCAGGAGGTTCCCCGCCGCCGTGGCAACGTTGCTCCCGAGGAGTTAGAGGACGAATATACTACTCTGACGTCCAACGAACAAGCTTTCAGATGCCTCCTAAACAGAGTCGCTGAAGTCTGTGAAAATCGAGATGGCGGGGAGACGGATACTTCGATAACGGTCTTCGAAACCGATGAAGGCCCTCTTTTCATGTTCGGATCGAAACAGAGGAGCGCAGATGACCTCAAGGAGACAGAGGACTTTATCAAGGATCTGCTCAACATTGCCGCTAATACGCCTGGCATAATAAACCAAAAGGCCGTGACGAGGGAGATTCTCCGTAGGGTCCTTAGGTTTAACACCACTCGTCTAAAACGCTATCTGAAGCGGTTGGGATTTTATTTGAATGAATGTGTCGAAGACCCCGAGGTCCGTCTTCCAGAAGGTCAGTATGTTCCCTTTTGATCCGGTTGTGAACACGTTTCCGCGACTAATACACCTTGAAACGCTAGAATTGAAGCTTGACCTACAGAAATTGAAGGGCCTAGCCGAGTTTTCACACGAGATTGTGGATAAGAACAGCCGGGAAAAATGTAATATCACATTCAAATGTTTGCAATCATCATTATACATACTGACGCCACAGGTGAAGTCCTAAAAGATTGCGGAAAGCTTATCAAAGCCATACATGTAATGAAGGGCACTGCACTTGACCTAACGATCATACACAGTGGAAAGAACGAAAACCTTTCTGGAGCCAGAGACTGGTACATGCTACATCGCTATCTTGGGTGCCTGCTGGCTTTCCGTCAGGCGACAGAAGTCATCAGCGATGTATTGAGCCGAGCCAAACGAAGCGACCCTTCAAACCCGTTCAAGGGGCTATTACAGAACGCCAAGGTAACGTCCCGCACCCACATTTGGGCACCCCCCACATTTGGGCACCCCAAAAATCATGATGCATTTCACTATATATCAACTTCAGCCATTGATTATATTTAATCTATTGCCACAACAATACTATTTCCCTCAAGAGTAGGTAAATCAGACTTGCTGGATTTATCTGAGCTATCCTCAATTTCGCCCGCTTCAATTTGAGCCTTCCGAATAGCTTTAATGTTGGCAAACTTCGAATTTAGGCTCGTTGTGACCTTCTTCCGCTTCCTAGCCCTAGATGCCTCAACTTCTGCTTCCAGCGCCTCAATCTTTCACTAAGCTACAGCCAGTTTATAGCTCTGTTTATCAAATCCCTTTTGAACCTTACGAAAAAGTAGTCGTTAAGTATTTCGATTATGCCTAACCTTGTTATATAAGTTAAATTAATCCTATAGCTTAGACTGCTTCGTTAGCGTTAACTAGCATACTGCTAATGTCTCTGATGCTTATTTTTCGCCTGCTATAGCATTAGACAGTCCCTTATAAGGCTGATCGGTCTGTCTAGCTAGTGTTGATAGGTTCCTAAGTAGAAGAAGGCTTATTAGCGGTTTGGCTATGCTTATAGGCTATAGACCTATATATTTCCAACCGCTAATAATATTCTTGCTTATAAATGCTATATAGCGTACTTTTCCATAGTAGAGGAGAAAGTTTCTCTTGCCTATAATAGTGCTAGCGTCCTATTGATCTAGGTATAGAAGCTTTTTCTTATATATGGCTTTCAGCGGCCCAAATACTGACTGATCAAGCGGCTGAAGAACGTGGGATGTATATAGCGGTAGGAAGAGTAAGAGTATCTTATTCTTAAAGCAGATATACATGAATTCTGTTGTTTCATGGCTACCATGCCCATCAAGAATAAGTAATCTAGACTCTTTAGGGTCTTGGGGTTAGGTCAATAGTATGAAGACCTTCTGTAGCTATTTAATAGTAGTAGAATCCGACGTCTAGCTATTTTCTATTGCTATGAACTTCTAGCTATCATATTTAGTTAAATCGAGAGGAAACTACTATTATTAAACAGTCTTCCCCTTATATATTATAAGTAGAGGCAGTGCCTTGCTAGTTGTAGAGATATACTTAATCAGAGATGTCTAAGCCCGAGACCTAGGCTATTTCTTTCGAATAAAGCAAGTTTCTAATGATCTAAGAACTAATCTATTTGATCCTCTGCCTTCTAGAATACCTGTTTTATCTATATTATATCGATTGCTTGCTTTGATTGCCTGTATCTTAGGTAGAGCGAGATGCTTGAACTATTCCCTAATTATATTAGTTGAGGCACTATTGACACGCTAGGAATCAATTGCTTTGCTTCTCTAAACCTTGATTGATAGATTTCTCTTGATAAATGATTAAACCTAGTTTCTTCCGAGAGGCTGGAAGTCTCTACGTGTCTGTAGAATCCTCTTAGCAAAATCCTTGAGCTGTTGATAGGTTGGTGGAAGGCCTAGGGCAGCTTGTATTCGAATCCATTCAGCCAAGTGACTTTCCTAGGTTGGTAATAGCCTCTGTAACCTAGCGAAAGCAACACCTCTTGTTTGGTGACCTCTTATTCTGTTTTGTAGTGTAGTTCGTAGTATGCCCTTATCATAAGCTGCTTTTTTTATACTACAGCCGCTAGTAATAGCCTTAAGTGCCTTAAGCAAGTCATCTTCGGTATATTAGCGTATATAGGTATAAATAATAAGCATATAAAGTTAGATTATAATTAGTAAAAAGTTAAAAAAGTAGTAAATAATTAAAGTTGAGGGGTAGTCATGGTGTTGAGCGATTTTTGGGGTGCCCAAATGTGGGTGCGGGACGTTAATTGGGATTCAATCGAGCCATCCCATTTCCAATTCTGTCGCCAAAGCCTCGTCACCAACCGCGGAATCTATCATTCGCAACATGAGCTTGGAAGAGCACGAAGAAGCGTTATATCTAACAACAGCGGCGAAAATGCAGCAGTTTGGACTCGATAGCATCATCCAGGAGCAGGTCAGCAGCTGTGTCCCTAGATCATATGTGCATGCAGAGCTATTGGTGCACGAATATTACCGGCTGCACAGGGACAAACATCAGATCAAGAAATTCTGGAACGATTGGAAATATATCGGAAGCAACAAACCTACTTGTCGGCTATGCCAGCACTACATCAACGCAACCCCGGAACAGGTTTCGGTCAGTAACTCGCACCGCAAGCTCTATCTGGACTGTCAACTTCCGACAATCTTTGAGAACCATGGATCTGCCAATGTTAGCTTGGCAAACTTCACTATTCTGAGTCAAGTAACTGAAAGTGTTCGGAACGATTTGAAGAGAGCGTTGGATAAGTGCCTGTCGACAAGAAAGAATGAACTCAAGACCCACTTCACATGGCCGTTGCACTACAGGTCCGGCGCCAATGACCCCGCCAATCTAAATGATGCTGTGCCCAGGGTGCCTAGAGTTCTGGTCAGGCGTCACCCTAGAAACCAGGTACAGAATATGGCAGCCAGGGATGGCGGGAGCGGTATGGTTGGGAAGTTTGAGGCGGACATGGCTGATGATGATGAAAACGGAGGTGTCAGGGTGTCATCCGCGTATTATTGATCTGGGGGTGTTGAGAAGAGGCACATTTTATTACAGGTGAAATGTGCAGTTATGGCCTTCCATGAGTCTTTTGTAGTTTGGTATTTACTGTTTGCTCCATTGATTTTAAACGGGACTCATCGTCATATTCTACTGTTACCGTGAACAATGGCACATGTTCCAAGTTTAAAGCGGCGCTTTAGCCCGCCAATATATGTAGGGCTGAGGAAGCGCGCTTGAAAAGATGCGGAGTATGCAAGATTTAAGACGAAAAAGGCATTAAGCCCGAGTGACACCCAAGGCCACCGCAATGGGGAGGAACGTCCGGATATGCCCGGTAATTCGGTAAGTTAGGATGACTTGGAGAAAGGCTAAAGACGAGCCATCCAAAAAGAAAATATCACGTTCCAGGTATGTGCCGGATACCTAATCACTTCGGGTAGGGCTGCAGATAATCAGTGCTCCACGGGCCTGCTGCAAGTAGGGGGCTTCCGCATTACGGAATGGAGGACGCTTTGAAATGCCCATTTGTATTCGAGTTTCGAATTGGCCTTCAAAATTGCGCCGTATCAACCATTAATATATACTTGGGGTAAGTTAGTTGCCAGATGTTTAGATACTACCCAGCCAAATCTCTCTTCTGACCTGAAGATGTATGCTCATTTTGCGTTGACCGTCGTAAACTCATCACAGAATGCAGTCCAAAACCCCAACGTACGACTCAGCGTTTCAAGATGCACAACACTCATGAGAAACGAGAAAAAACATGGGATTTATAGAATTGGTTAGCCAAAGCTGATAAAGAAAATAGCTCGACAGGCGATGTTGCGATTCTTTTCTAAAACATCCAACTTTGGTGAGTTATGGTCGGGGAATCAGCCTCCACTCTCTCCTCGTTCCCCGGATTCCGAGGTGATAATTACCTTTTCGGGAAGCCAAAGTGGAGCACGGATTCTAAACCCGCGGGATCAGGTATGATGCCATCGTCCGGTTTTTTGGCGTTGCACATGATTTCCAGCTGTTTTGCGGATAAACTCTCAGCTCTAAGCAGTGGAACAGTACTGATTGGGCAATTTTTCGCCGAACATATCCATTCTGGACGCGAGCCATTCGAAAAATCCGCGCTGAATTGGGATCAGAGACAAATTTGGTGGGGTTCGGCCCATTTTCGGGGTCCACGCTTTGGCCTTGCAAGTCGAATTGCCATTATTCCATTGGCTGGCTATAGATGGGAATCCAAGCTCGACTCTGCCGCGGGGCAATGAATCGTGGGGGAGAGCTATGAACCACTTGAGCTTTGCCCAGCGTAAGAAGCCCGGAGTTGTAGTTAAAAGGGCATGCCCTGCCCCTTTGATGCTTTCTCAATGATTTTCTTGGGTCTTTCCACCTCTCGCACTACAAACCATTGCTCCGACTTACACTGACAACCGCCCCCGCCACCAACATGCCTAACATCACTCGTTTCCGTACTTTGTGGGGTATCCCTCCTGGAGATAACTTCGCGACATGGAGGGGATTGTTCCCTGAACTGAAGGCTAAAGGATACAGTGAGTGACAGCCAAAGGCTTCAAGGGTCACGATCAGGATCTCAACTAACGGGTGCATGACAGCCGGAGTGGAGATTGATTTCAGAGCCGTCAAAACCGAAGACCTCCCCGAATTGAGAAAGCTCCTCGACGAGCATGGCTTTCAGTTCATCGCCCAGTACGTTGAAATCTTGCTTTTTTCTTCATTAAGTGCTAGAACCCATAGACTAACACCGCCTCCGTAGGATCATGTCCTCATGGCCCGGATATGAAGGCCCCAGACCTCCTGGACTGACACCCAAGGACCATCTCGACTTCTACCGCAGTCAACTAGAACGTGCCAAGATCCTCAAAGCTGATAAAGTCAACGCTCAATCGGGAAGGTATGTTACCAAATCGAAGCAGAAGAGGGGCAGCTATGCAAGTCGACTTGGTCGCTGACACGCTGTAACAGTGACATCTGGACGCCCGACCAATCTGTTGAATTTTACCAGGGTACTTTCAAGATCGATGAAGAGCTAGGTTTCGCTGGCCGCGTAGTTCACGAGACGCACCGGAACCGCTCTCTTTACCACCCTTACATTGCGAAATATGTCTTGGACAGAGTACCTAAGTGAGCTTTAATTTTGTTCACTTACCAGTACGACCGCTAACCCTACTATAGCCTCCGTATTACCGCCGACATTTCTCATTGGGTTGTTGTTGGAGAGCGGTTGTTGGACGTTTCAGAAGAAGACCGGGAGATTCTCGAGAAAGTCATTCCTCACGTAAGCTTTGAATCCCCAGGCTACACCCCAGCCTTTGTGGAACGTACCTGGACACACAGCTTACAGTTTGAAAACGCAGGTATACCACATCCACGCTCGTATTGGCACGACCCAGTCGTCACAATGCCCCGACCCCTCCAACCCTATCTACACGGCCGAGAGAGAGTTTTTCGAGAAATTGTGGACCAAGATCGTCCAAAACGCTGTCAAGACACGTGGCGACGACTTCCAAGTAACATTTACTCCTGAGTATGGGTGAGTAGTAATCCGCTGGATGGAATTTGCTTCTGTTTTGCGATATGAATGAAACTAACACGTGTATTCAATAGCCCATACCCTTATCACCCCCATTTCGGACCGAGAGTTTACACCGAGGTTGCCGACACTGAAGGCGTTCGTCTGGAGAAGCTGTTCTTGGCAGCACTGTAATACTGTTTGGTTGTTTCGATCTTTTAATAGAGAGATAAGGAGGAGTTACACTCGAAGGACATACGAATTTACGGCGATAACTATGAGCGTATGAAAATGGGAAGGTAGAGAGGATATACTATCACTTGGTCTAGAGGGATAGATTCTGAAATGAGCCCAAAATAGAACTTTTTAGATCAATCATGGATCCGTTCTTGTTAGAGATAATGACAAATATCGAAACTGAATTTGTTGTGAATGTTTTCTACTTTCCCTGAATCTAGGAAGTGCTAGGATAAAGACCCCAGCCGAGTCTGCTGTCGCTTGCAAGAGCCATGCAACGAGACGCGTCGCAATCCTGTTATTCTTGATGAAGTTGCTACCAGGTACGTCCGAAACACAATGCTTAACGCTAAGTTAAGAAGCCTGTTCTGTTATGGATGAAGGCTTATCCAGGATGTCAACTTAGCTTCTGCTCAGTTATGGAAAAAGCTAGTGAAAAAGGTCAACGAGCAAGGTGGAACATACGCATCTAGTATGGTGGTCAGTCTTTTGTTTCTGCAATACTTACCAGGGAAATGGTTTTATTAAGTAAATCTATTAGGTCAATAGGCAATGCTACTAATCTTTACATTTTCTGTTTGCCAATGTAGCTCACCTCTGTTGATAGTTCTCTTTAAATAGCTAGACTCACTCTCCTCACATTTGCTCTCGCATGACTACTGAAGACGGATTACACTGTTATCATTATAACTAAGAAGAGCAATGAATTCCTTTATATTCTTGTTACTATGTGTTTATTACAAATATGCACGTTGATGTGCTGTATGTTGTGGCTGGCGCAGTTGCCTTTACATGAAAACCGCTTCAACTTCGTCTATGATTAACATGTTGTCCTCCCAGTGTATAGGACAAGCGATGGGATTCGTCTTCATGAGCCCCAATAGTCTTATTTTTGCGGGAGTACTCTCCAAAGACAAGCCAAGCAGAAGCTAGATGAGATGAACGTAACTCCGGCGAATATCTGAGCTCCTGTGTACTTCCCGGTCTGCGCAAATATCTCCAAAGCGATTGGCGAGCTAAATGTGGAGGGGAGAGCCAAAGCTACCCAGAGGATGGATAAGCCAGAAGGTAGGTTCTTGAGGCCTACTACATGTGCTATTATAGGCCCGATCGTCACCCAGAACGCACCGGCTACAAGGCCCACAGCGAGCGCAAAGAAAATGAGGAGCCCAAAAGATTTCGCATTCAGCCAAATAGCCAAGCAGAAGACCCCAGAGAGGAGGTTCATCAACAGGGCAATCTTGATATGTCCGCAACGATCGCTGAGCCTTCCAATGACCGGTCGTCCTATTGCTTGCCCCAGCATAAAAAGAGCTGGTATCCAGGCAGCTTGGGACGCGTCAAGTCCGATGATGTTGGCGTAATTAGCCAAAGTAAAGATGAGGATGAAATAGCCCAGCATGCTAAGGAAGCCGAAAGCGATGATGAGTAGAAACTCCTTTCTCTTAAGCAAGGAAATGTCGAATGCCACTGGAAGTGCTCCAGTGGCAGCGTACCGTGTTTTTATGAAGAGAGTACATGCGATGTTAACGACCGCAGAAACTAGGCACAGAATCCGGTAGGCCCAGTCGACTCCGAGGTTCCGAATCATGGCACCGGTACTGAGAGAGTAGGTGAACCCGCCGAGCCCCGCGCCGGCAATGGCTATCCCGTTGGCCAGAGCACGTCTTCTGTTAAACCATTGGGATATGATGCCGTAGGACGGAAGGAAAAGCATGCCCATGCCCAAGCCAAACAATACTCCTTGTGACAGAAAAAGATGCCATATTTCCTTCGAAAGGCTGGCACAGACAAGACCTGCTGACTGAAATAGCGCGCCGACTAGCATGGTCGGCCTTGTTCCAATCTTGCGCACGATGACGGTCATTGCAGGAGCAATGAAGAGAGTGCATCCCACACTAAGAGACCCAACTAGGGCGTATTGCAACTTGGTCGTGCCAGGAAAAGTGTCGTGAGCGATGAAGTCAGCCAGGAAGACAGAGTAAACTGAGCTAATGCCCCAGGAGTGGCCGTTTATTAAGGCGACGCTGATTGTGACGATCCAACCGTACCCTCCATCTGGTACAGGAGGGGGATCTTGTGTTATGGTCTGAGAATCGTCTGATATGTGTTCATGTTCGCGATTCTGCTGCAAGTTTTGGTTGTTTTCTGGCAGGCTGCTCTCTGACTCGTTTTTCTCGTTCATTTTGACAAGAGAGGTAAGATCTGTTTGTTTGAGTAGGTGGATTTGCTGAAAAAAACCCCAAACGACGTTTCAACACATATGACAGGAACTATTTTCTTTTGGAAAATCGGTGGTAGTCCATTCCATATGACTGCTTGTCCAAATTCTACGACCCTGGTGTGGTTAATGAGCAATCGAATTTAGTGCCCATTTGAGCACCACGAAACATATTTCCGCCGACCCATGGCAGGCAATCGGCGACCAAAACTAGCCATGTAAACATATTACCAAAGATATGCCGAATCTCGATTTAATTTGTCAGCTAAAAGTTTCCGAGAAAGATAATGCTTGTTTTACAAGAACGACTTTTCCACTTCTAACACCATCTAGTTACAGTTCGTGGGAGTTGCGGCGTGTTAAATATTCCCCGCAAGAGAGCATTACACATTGGTGGGGCTATTTGGTTACATGCTATTCGTCAAAACTATCCATTGGCAGCGAATGTCTCCGACCGAAAGGACATGGCGTCCAGCTTTGTTTAATCAGCACTTATTAGATCCTAAACTAGATGCCGACGAAAATGTGGTCCCCGAACCTATTTCATGCATGACACAGACGAATGAGACACTTGTACGCCCTATGCTCCTTAAAAGCCTTTACCAAAAATGAGTGGCAAATACTGAAAAGGACATATATGTCTGATATATATATGGCGTCTCATGCTGTTCATCACTTTCAGGATACAGACATTGGCAGCATCAACATCCACCGCCACACCCAAGTTTCACTGATAACTTACAAATACGATGGCATTTTTACGAACCGAGAAAAGCGGCAAAATCAGCGCCGATGAACCTTACTATGATCTTGGCGAGCACAGCAGAATAGTCAGTACTCAGAATCCCGACGCGCAGGCCTGGTTTAACAGAGGCCTCGTCTGGACATACTCCTTCAACCACAGAGAAGCAGCTGCATGTTTTCAACAAGCTATCTTGCACGACTCCCAACTCGCCATTGCACACTGGGGAGTGGCCTTTGCTTCGGGTCCGAACTACAACAAAGTCTGGCAGGCGTTCGACCAGAATGACCTGCAGGTGTCACTCCAAAAATGCTTTGATTATTCCCGCAAGGCGAAAGAGCTGTCATCCAACGCTACTCCCACCGAGAGAGCCTTGATAGAAGCATTGCAGCATCGCTTTCCCACAAGAGACAAGGTGCCCTCTGATTTTGCGCCATCCGTAAAGGCGTATGCGGATGCTATGAGGCAAGTCTACCGTGAATTCGGGCAAGACGACTTGGACATCACCACACTCTTTGCGGATTCTTTGATGAACACAGCTCCTTGGGGACTCTACGACGCCAAAACGGGCGACCCAATTCTGTCAACGCCTGTCCTCGAAACCACTGAAGTTCTTGAGCGAGGATTAACCAAACCCAATGCTAAACGCCACCCGGGACTTTTACACATGTACATCCACCTTGTTGAGATGTCCAAAACCCCGGAGAGAGCGATCAAAGCAGCCGACCATTTACGAGATCTCGTTCCAGAAGGCGGGCATATGAGCCACATGCCTAGTCACATCGATGTTCTCATTGGAGATTATCGCCGGGCGTTGCACACAAATCTGAAAGCCACTATTGCCGACGACAAATATTATGCGCTTAACGGAGGCTGCAACTTCTACTCCTTTTACCGTATGCACAACTACCACTCGCTGATCTACGCAGCCATGATGGCAGGACAGGCTGAAGCGGCCTTCGAGGCCGTATCGAGAATGGAGGCTACAATCACCGAAGAGATGCTGCTGGTCCAGTCTCCACCCATGGTTGACTGGTTGGAATTCTTCAAGTCCGTCCGTGTTCATGTTCTCATCCGTTTCGGAAGATGGCAGGAACTCAAAGAGCTTCCCGTTCCCGAAGACAAGGACCTTTACTGTACCACGGTCGCGACAATACATTATGGCAAGGGCATAGCTTACGCTGCGACCGGCGACATCGAGAATGCAGTTCGCCAGCGAGAGCTTTTTCAGTCAGCGTTCAAGAGAGTTCCAGAAACGAGGATGAGCTTTCCTAATAAAGTGGTTGACGAGCTCAAAGTTGCTGAAGCAATGCTAAATGGAGAACTCGAGTATAGACGCGGCAACTACGAAGCTGCATTCGAAAGCCTTCGTCTCTCCATTAAACTGGATGACTCGCTTATTTATGCAGAGCCATGGGGTTGGATGGTTCCCACTCGGCATCCTTACGCCGCGCTGTCCTTGGAACAAGGTCATGTCGAGGAAGCAGCAAGGGTCTACGCCGAGGATCTGGGCCTGGATGAGACTTTATCCAGAGCCCACCAGCACCCAAATAACATTTGGGCCCTCCACGGATATCATGAGTGTCTGGTTCGCTTGGGCCGCACGGATGAGGCCAGACTCATCAAAAAGCAACTGATTTATGCTGAAGCAAGTTCCGATACCGTTGTCACTTCTTCATGCTTTTGTAGGCTGGATACGGTCAAGAATGGGAGCAAGAGCTCGGGGTGCTGCCAGTAGGACCATTACAGCTAGCTTGTTAAGGATAATTGGTTTCATGATATTTTATAAAGTAGAAGATAAATGAAAATCACACAGCTCATTAGGCAAAATGCAGGATGAGTCTCCCTTGTGGTAATAACAGCAACTCTTGTTGCTCCTTAATTGTAGATGTCTGTAATTAATAATGGAAGAAACTCGGACCTGATGAGTTTCACCTTCAGGACAAAGAGCACAAACCATAGAAAGGAGGGGCCGCATTTGTAAACATTTTGGAGGGTATGTGACGCTTAACTTTTAGATATTCTAATCGTCCTAAATCGCGCCAAACGTACGAGCTGCTCACGAGTGCTCATGTGCAGAAAAAGAATTAGTTTGAATTACATGATATTCCAATCTGTCCTTTGTAGGATTACATTACAGTACATTACAAAAGAGATCAATTTTATTTAATAAGCACATCACAAGGGGAGCTTGCCAACAACTGGTGAAGTGAGTCAAACGTCGTGAGTCAAACGTCGTCTATCTTCTGAGGTCGCCTGGCTCGGCGCCACAACGCCATAACCGCCATTATCAAGAGCCAAGTTGCCACTATCATCATCAAGTCAGCAACCGTTTCATAGTTATACAGTAAATCAACCGACAGAGGCTGCTTACCTATCCCTGCCAAGAACCCGAAGATAGCTTCACTGGATATAACGATGAAGGATTGATTGAAGCCGATGTCGACTACAGACGGCTGAAGCCTTCTAGAGCCACCGGCATTTCTGAGGTCGTCGGTTGGAATAGGAACCATGCCAGCACCCACCGTCAAGATCTGAGGCGTGAGGGTGATGTAAACAGTTTGTGCGGGATCCAGGCGAGTAAGTGGCTGTGCGTTGGGAGCAGCTGTGGCCGAAGGCGTCGCATAGACAGTTGTAGTAATAAACACTGTTGTCGGAACTGGAACTGGCACATACACCGGAGGCGGCGGCGGCGGCGGTGGCGGAGGTGGAGGTGGAGGTGGAGGTGGAGGTGGAGGTGGAGGTGGTCGTGGCGAGGGCGGACGAGGTGGTGGTGGTGAGGGTGGACGAGGCGGCGGTGGTGAGGGTGGACGGGGTGTTCCAGGAGGAGGGGGGGGGACGAGTTCCTCAGGAGGAGGTGGAGGAGGAGGGACGAGTTCCTCAGGAGGAGGTGGAGGCGGGGACGGAGGACGGGGTTCAAGCGGAGGCGGGGGCGGTCCAGGTGAAAGTGGAGGGGGCGGAGGACCGGGAGGAGGAGGTAGAGGAGCGAGCGGATCTGGAATCGGCGGCGGGGGTCCAGGTTGTTGCCGTCTTTGAAGTTGATGATCCACGTTGAGATTCAATCTTGGTGGTGGAGGCTTCCGCTTAGCCATAGAAAGACCGGACATCATGTTTGATATTTTCTTTGTATTACTTTTACTAATAGTATCTTGATCCTGACCTTCATTAGCTTGAGCCCGGTAGGTCAGAGTAGGAACCAAGCAGGCATCTAGGATGCGGAGCAGTTGAACTTGTAAAGCATTACATACCATCAACCCGGTGATCCGAGTTATGTCGTTTGTTTTATTGCAAGTGTCTCGGTGAAATTGACAGGTCTTTTCAGCGCATTAACCGTTGGTGACACCGTGAACAGACCGGGCGCCAAGGATAACAAGGACCATGGGGTAGCGGAAGTGAACCGAGATGGGCATCCTACCATAAATACTGGGATTTTTTTGAAAGGTTTTCTTCTTAATAAAATCTATTATTAACAACATTCGGGGTGTGGAACGACGTCTGATGTCGGGTGCGTCACTTTCGAGATGGTTTCACTTGCATTGACCCGGGCCACTCAAGCTGCATGTTCTGCAGCAATTGGAACTCAAAAGCAACTTCCGATGAGCGATGAAAACCTAGTTTGAGGCTAAAAACAGAACTAGTTTTATGTTGGGATGCGCACGTAGCTGATGAGCTGAAGAAACTTATCTAGCAGCCATCCTGCAGAAAACGGTGTCGCAGTAGGCGGGGTGTTGATGATCGGGCTTCTTCTGCATCTTTATATGTCGGCGACCGAAAATGGCTGGTTTTCTTTTTCCATTCGAGGTGGCAGCTAGGCCATCCGAGCTCACAGACAGAACGCTGGGATACGTCAAGGCTATCAACCGTTTCACGACTACCAATTAACAGCTCAGGCGTCGGAACTTCACGGCAGCTTTTGAACGGAGAATCGACGAGTCGGTCATCAAAAGGCTGCTGAATCTGCATAGGCTATGACAACAAATGCCTGCCACGGACGCAATGAGTGAAATTCGTAGACATGAGCTAGTCAAAGTGATGGGAAAAATGAAACGTAGTATCGTCCAATCCCGCAGTTTGCCACTTCAACTTACACCGCTAAATAAATTTAGCAACTTGTTCAGACCGACCAAAGTTTGCTCATTCGAGTGGTGAACTGGTTTGAATCGCCGAGTATCATGAGATAACTCAATTTTGAAAGCTGTCACTAGGTAGGGGATTACCTTTTCGGGCCATTATACGCGAACATGAACTCTGGTGGCATGATAGAGGTGCTCAAAGTGTACTTTTACCACTAAGCTGTCTTCCTATGGGGTTAGATATAGGAGATAACGGAGCTGACAGTGACAGGTAAACTGGAATTTGATTGGGTGTAAGTCGATGCGAATGAACTCTAAGGTAATTCAGACTCGAGAGTGGTTCGCGTATGGCGGAGAAGGGTCAACATTTGTTGGTGGACTTCTCCGTGGAGGTGTGTTGCACTAACATGTGATATTTGATCGCGCGAGATTCGGAAAGTAAATGATTTGGGGTGGGTAACCTTTGAGCAGACAGTAACTTCATGATCTGCGTTGGACCCCAAAAGTGATGAGAAGACAGGGTCTTTTTTACCCCTCCAACTTTGATAGGAAGAGTAGAAAACCAGTTTAACAGTGCTCGGCCTGTAACCACTTACTCTCTTAAACGCCTGGGCTGTCCCACATTCTGGTTGGCCTGGTTTTTCAAATGGTGGCCATGAAAAGTAAGTGGTCATATTGTAATTAAACTCTTGTGGGCAGCTTGACATGAAGATCTCGGCTTGCACCTGCGTATTCCAACGGGTCAAAGTTCTCAAAAGCGGTAGGTTTATTCATAGTCTTCTCTAGCACAGAGTATGGAGCTCGCAAGCTCGAATATGGACATTACTTTGACTAATCAAATAAGACGGTAAACATATTTTGAACTGAAAATGACATTTACTCCCCGGATAATTGTCAACAGGCTAATCAGCAGTCGACAACAGGGATCCCAAACACCATAAACGGCAAACCATGCCGCAAGCTTTTTATCTTTTATCTTTCCTATCCAAAATCCAACCCACACCTACTCTCGCGGATCCACAGCCACCTTCAAGCCGCTGACACCCCTGTAAAGGAGATCCAGAGCCTCATTAAGCCCGCCCAGACCACCACTGACCTTCCGGACAGGAAGAGGGAGAAGCTTCCCGCCGCCAGCCGCTTGCGCAAAGTAAGTGCCAAACGCCCACCTGAGCAACTCCTCATTCTCCTTCTCGCCCAGAACCGCGCTCCACGCCCCAAACTCCCGAGTCACGCCTTCGGGGAGGTCATCCTGGCCGAAAGGCGGCAGAAGCGCGTAAATCTTTCCCCCGCCCTGCGCAGCTAGCACGGCGCCCGCAATCTTGACCGTGTCTGGGAGGGAAATGGAGTCCACGACGAGGTGGTACGGCCCCTCTGCGACTAATGCCTTGATGATGTCTTCTTGGCTCTGCGTGTGGTCGACGACCTTGACGGCGCCCAGCCTGCTTACGAAAGAGGCATGTTTGGGAGAAGTCGTAGTCACGACGTCGTATCCCGCTTGGGCGACGTACTGCGCCGCAAGACTACCGAAGCTCGACGTGCCGCCGTAGACGAGCACTTTCTTGCCGTTGGACGGCGCCTTGGTGTTCGGGTCGGGTCTGTCCAGTCCGGCATGCGCGTTGAACAGGCCGACGACGGTGGTCAAGTTTCCGATGGACCCCACGGGGCCGTTTAGGTCGGCCACTGTGTCGGGAAGCTTGCTCGTCGTGTTGTCTCGTGCGACTACAAACTTCTGGAACGCGCCGTACTGGTTTCCCTCCGCAGTGGGACTTTTAGCCGCGGCAACCTTGTCGCCGACTTTGAACCCCGTGACGGCGGATCCGACCGCCGAGACCGTGCCGCCGTATGACGTTCCGAGTATGGACGGGTACGGGATGGGGAAGACCCCAAGCTTGGCGATCTTAGCGTCGATAGGCACGAGACCGATGAGCTCGTTCTGGACGAGAAGCTCGTTGGGGCCGAGCTGGGGTGTCTCGACTTCTTGAACCTCCAACGGGGCCTTGGCGGCGGGAATAACGGCGGCAGAGTGAGGCATTGTGGGCACGTCCTTGTTTTCTTCTTCTTTTTCTTTAAGAGTGATAAATGTTATATGGGTTTAATTGTTGTTAGTGATGTGAGAAGGGCATATGGCCAAGACCGCGCGCTTCAGTTCATTATATAGCGAACGGCCGGGAACACTTGATGTCGTGCTTTGAGACCCAGTCATTGTGATCAACCCTCTCAGGTAACCTCCAACAAGGCAAACCGGCCAACTCGGTCAAAACATTCATGTTCGAATACCGAAAGCGAAGCAAGTCGCGATTTTAGTATGTTGCGGATGATGATTGATAAGCAGTTTGGCGGCTTGAACTACCAAGATAAGTAGGTCAGGTCACCCAAGGTGGATAGTAAATCGGTCACCGGCTCGCCATTTACCAAAACTCCGAAGTCCGCAAATAATTCCGCCCTTATGTAACCCCCTCCCATTTGTAACGAACAACACTTCCTGGATTGCAACAGTAACTGCAAGAAAGCCGCAATTCGTATTATGTTATCAGAAACAGTATCGTTCGTCTATTTTCGTGTACTAAATTTGGCCCATCAACATGCCATCCAAGACATCATACCGACACGCTGAATTGATTGGATAGAGTTGTGTCTCATGTATTAAGACGATCGCTGACCAAACACCAAAAGTACCCCACACCTATCGCTCCACAAGCTCGATGTCTCTGTCAACCTCATCCAGTTCCTTCTCGAACGTCATTTGGATATCCACAACTTGCTGCAGCTGCTTGCAATCCAGCTTTCTCTTCTTATGAGAAGCGAGGCTCTTGGCGGTGCGGACGATATTCTTAATCTGCCGTCCATTCAACTTGCCCTCGGCAAGCTTGTCAAAGCCCTCCTCGTCAATGTCCACCCCGCCGTCGACGTTGGCCAGGAAATTCTTCCAGACAGTGAGCCTGCTTGCCTTCGGCAGGTCTTCGTACTTGAGCGGCACGTGAATGCGACTCTTGAACGCGTCGTCAAACGTCTGTACCCTGTTCGTGGTCATGAAGAGGATACCGCTGTAGTACTCCAGCGTGCGCAAGAAGATGGAGACGAGACTGTTGCGCTCTAGGTCGTGAAGCGATCTCCGCTCAAGAAAAACGTCAGCCTCGTCAATGAGGAGCACGGCTTTCCATGTGCTCGCAAGGTCAAGTGCCTTGCTGAGCTTTTCATCCAGCTTCTCTGCAGACGTCCCCAGGTCTCCGGAAGAGACGATGTACAACGGCCGACGGCTGAACTCCGCCACGCACTCTGCCGTCAACGTCTTGCCTACTCCCGGAGGACCATGCAGAACAAGAATCAAGCCTCGGCCCTTGCCCTTGACGATGTCGTCAAACGCAGAGACATTCGGGTCGGTGGTGCGGGCTGTGTGTTCCGCCACCAACGCCTGAACCAGCTCCTTCTGCGACTCGGGCAGGACGAGCTGCTCGAAGCAGCCTGTGTTCCATTCAATCTCACTTACACTGTGAACGAAGAAATCAAAGAAGCGCTTCTCCGTGAAGCTGAAGCCGCGAACCATGGTGGTGGCAAGCAGAGCCTGCTCGTCCGTCAGCGGGGCGCGCTCAGTCTTCTCTTTAGGGACTAGGTCAATTTCGTCGCTTGCGGTCGCCTGTTTCCTCTTCTGGCCGGAAGTGTTAGGGAACGGAATGACCTCAAATGAGTAATCAGCCATAATACGATGATGCGTCTCAGCATCAATCATGATCCGTCCATCAACGTTGTATCGTCGGTTGCGGTGGTCAAGTGCAATGCCCTTGTACTCGCAGAAGTTTTGCCCGGCGAGCTCTTCCCAACGCCGGCCGCGCTTTTTCAAGAGGTTCACCACGGCATCCTTGATTGGATGGTGGTCGAGAGGCAGGGCGTTGAGCGAATCAATTGCTACCGCGCCCGGGAATTGGGGGACAAAGAGTTCCTCGCTTCTCATTCCGAAGTCGCTGCCGTCGAAATCGACAAACTCAACATCCAGTCTCATTCCAGGACACATACCGCAGACATAACTGTAGCTGTTCAATCTGTACACCCGGGCCTGGCTGAGACGGGTGGCATAAACAAGGCAACCCGGACGAAAGATGGTCCAGAGGTATTCGTAGCTGATGAGACCTTGCTCGAGGAGGTTGGAGCCGTTCTTGATTGTGTCGTGGAATTGCTCGTCGATGAATTCAAGAAGTAGAGGAAGGTGTCTTGCCCCATCTGACTCCGGCTCGAGATCGGCGGCTGCATCAGCTAATTCATGGCGGTAGTGGTAGAGACTGCGCGGGGGGAAGTCGACAGAAATGCTGGACGTGAGGTACGATTGACCAGGGAATTTGCCTCCAATAACATTCTTCAAAATGTCCTTCAGAGCGGGGGAGTTGACTTCGAGAGATGTTCGGCAGATGTACTCGTTCCGAGAGTCGTATTGGCGTGTGACCTGGGTAGGTTAATATCGACACAGCAGAATGGGTAGGGGAATAGACTTACACAGAGGGCGTATTTTTCGTACCAGTTAGTCTTCTGCTCAGGCACTTCTTCATCTTCCTTGGGTTCAGTGACATAAGCACGACCCTTCTTGGTCCACCGCTTCTCGAGGTGCTTCAGTTCAGGTTGCATGGGGGCTTTCTCAAGCTCCTCGCGGCGCTTCTTATCCTCTTCAGTAAGAGCATTGTTGATCTCTTGCTGATCTTCCTCGTCAAGAGGCTCATCAGAATGTTGAAGAGACTTCCGAGCTGATTGCTTGGTACGGGCCATGCTGTCTAATGATTGCAGGAATATCTTGGATAAGTTTTTCTTCATGTAAATATCCTAGGTCAACAGACTTCCTGAGGAATCTCAAGCAGATCTTATACTTAGAGCAAAACATACTTTATCAAGAGCCTTAGGCATAATATTCAGGGATGCAGGCACCAGTACCCCGCTCTGACAGAAGAGTCATCGACGCGAAGGATGCAATACAGCGGCAAGGCATTGTGACTCAAAGTGAAATCAACAAGGACAAAGACATTCAATATTTGTTTCCTTTTTCGGATTACCCGCCTGTTTCACTGGCTGCTTGGCTGGGTCATATCAACGGCGCGGGGCGGCTGCTGCCTGGGTTGCCTTAGATTCAACGGGCCGTTCGCCGCATGTTGGATGGCGGCCCCCCGCAGCCTCGACTATGAGGCGCCCGCGCATCGCTTCATAAACCGTGTTTGGCAAATCAGATTTGATCTGGTTGACGACGGATCTAGGCAGAACCGGGGTGTGGGGGTGTGCCTGGACGACGAGGGCCCGTAGAAGATAGTATGCAATTTCAAGTTGTGTGATGGAGCAACCTTGCCCAATCCGTTACTTATGAAGTTGTCGAGTTGACAGTTTTGGACGTGCCATGGCATTCAGGTGCATTTCTATGGTGAGGGCTCCAGAGCTTGCAGAGTATCGATGGGCGTAATTCTTTGTGGAAGTGAGATGAGACCTATGATGTCGTCAGAGAAGTAAGGAAGCTATCAGAGGAGGTACAATGGTATGACTAAGCACAAGCACTAGCCACTGCTACAGGCATCAGCTGTGGCGCACTGCTGTCGCAAAGAAAGAACATTCACCATTCACCTTGCACAGTAAGTTTGGACAAAGAAGCTCTTATGTATCCGACTCTAAATACAGGGCTGGCCAGGCCAGCGCACCATCATAATTGGGTGCCAAGCTTCCTCCTCCAATCACTAAAACGCAATGCAGCGAATGCGAAAATGGTGTATCAATCGCCGTGTGATGTTGCTCTATCCCCAAAACTCCGTAATTATATCATGCCATTGCTTATTTACAGCAAATCACTCTTTTAACGACGCGCCCGCTCAAGAGCAGCGGCGCTCATGCTGCCGGCCTTCTCGACGGCGTTGGTCATGGCCAGGCCGACAGGTGTCTGGGTGCCGCTGGGGGCGGGGGTATTGGTGCGCGTGGGAGGCGCCGAACGGTTGTGCTGCATGTGAGCCCTGACCAAGTGGCCGGCTGCCAGAGCACTGCAAAGGGACAGTTCACCGGCCAAGACGCCGGCAGCAATGATGCGAGCAAGACGGCGGGCGTTCTCTCCAGGGCTAGTGGGGTGGGGACCGCGGATGCCGAGCATGTCCAGCATGGCGCTTTGAGGCTCGAGGATAGTGCCACCGCCAAGAGTACCGACTTCAAGAGAAGGCATAGAGACGGAAATTTGGAGAGAGCCACGGAGGCTGAGAGTGAAGGTTAGCAATTTGTACAGGATACAAAAGACAGGACGGTTACTCACTTCTTCATAACGGTAATACAGTTGGCACTCTCCACAACCTGGGCGGGATCTTGACCAGTAGCGAGGAAGATGGCGGCGACAATGTTGGCAGCGTGGGCGTTGAATCCACCAACGGAGCCAGCCATGGCCGAGCCGATCAGGTTCTTGTTCACGTTGAGCTCGACGAGAGTGTCGACGTCACTCTTGAGCACATTCTTGACCACGTCAGCGGGAATGATGGCCTCGGCGACAACGCTCTTGCCACGTCCGTCGATCCAGTTGATGGCGGCAGCCTTCTTATCCGTGCAGTAGTTACCAGAGACGGAAACAATGTTCATATCCTCGAAGCCCTCGGATGCCATAACGGAGAGAGCGTGCTCAACACCCTTGGAAATCATGTTCATGCCCATGGCGTCACCGGTCGTCGTCTTGAAGCGGATGTAGAGGTTGGTACCGGCGAGAGCAGTCTTCATGGACTGGAGACGAGCGAAATTACTGGTGGAGTTGAAGGCCTTCTTCATGATGGACTGGCCAGCATCGGAGTCGAGCCAGATCTTGGCTGCACCAGCACGCTCGAGGGTCTCGAAACTGACACATGGTCCACGGGTCATTCCATCGGCAGTAAGGACAGTAACAGCGCCACCTCCAGAGTTGATAGCCTTGCAGCCACGGCTGGTACTGGCGACCAGGACACCCTCAGTAGTAGCCATGGGGATGAAGTAGCTCTGACCATCAATGACGAGAGGACCAGCGACACCGACGGGAAGAGGCAGGTAACCGATGACGTTTTCGCAGCAAGCACCAAAGACACGCTCCCAGTTGTAGTTCTGGTAAGGCAGCTTGGAGCGCTCGAGACTGCTTGTGAGTTCGGAGGTAGCGTTGGTGCGAGAGATGATGCTGCGGCGAACCTTGACGGCGCGGGTGTGGTCCTTCAAGGCGCGCTCGAGAGAGTAACCAGGAATCTTGCCGCGAAGAGACATACCGACAACCTCGTGATCAGTCATCTCGTGGACCCGCTTCTCGTCAATCATCTTTTGCAACTCAGCAATAGTTCGCGGCTCGGTAGGAGTAGCAGGCTCTGAAGACTTGGCTTTGCCTTCGGACTCGTCATCTGTCGATGAGGGGGTCGCAGGTTTGGGCGTCGGGGGAATGTACTCGCCAAGGGGCAGGGTAGCCGAGTCAGTATCGTTAAACTTCTCAGCGCGGGCAAGCTCCTTGGGGTCGATCTGGTGGTCGGGAACATTAGGGTCCTTAATACCCCAGCGGGCAGCGTTAAACAGGTAGCCGTTAAGAGCGACGCTCATGGCGAGGGCAACAACGATCCACTTGGAAAGGACAGGGTCTTCCAAGCTCTTCAGGATGCTGCCGACCATGCGACCACCGACACCGTAGTTCTCGAAGTGGTCATACTCATCCTCCTCTCCGGATCCCGACTTGCTCGTCTTGGAAGGGAGAGCATAGTGGACGGAAGGATACTCGAGCTCATACTTGATGGGCGTGAGGACAGTGACGACGGTCGGGCGCTCGGCGCCCTTGGCAGACTCCAGAATGGCGTCGAGGCCGTTGGAAGCAACCTTGAAAGGGTCGACAGGAGGGGCAGTGACAACGGCGCTCAGGCCACCAGTCCAGGACGACAGGCTCGGGAGGGAGTTTGAGTTGCGGAACGGAATGGTGCAAATGTTAATGACGTTGATCAGAACGAAACCGGTGACCATCAAGACCTTGAACTTGGGGACGTTGCTGCTCTTCATCTGTTTTCCGAACAAAGAAGCCTCCTTAGGGGCCTTGCCGTTGAACTCGGGCCAATCGTTGCTGCGGGCCACGTTTTCGGCCACGCGGTGGCTCACGCCATCGTCCTCGAGGGCGCGGCGCATCTGAACGTGGCGCTTGATCCGGTTAATCTCGAGCTTGATGCTCAAAATAGCAGTGTAGAAGGAGAAAAGAAGGATGCAGTCGAAGAAGAGGATCCAGGCAGCGAGGAAGCAAAATTGCTGCAGACCACCCTGAACGCCAGATGCGGCACCGAGAACGAGAATTCCGATTTCGATGGCGTAGTCCTTTACAATGTCGTAACCCTTCTCCTTAATGGCGGCCTGAACAGCGTACTGGATGACATTGGGGGACGAGACCTCAGACTTCTTGGACTTGGTGTCCTGCTTCTTGCTGTCTTGGGGCTTGCGATGCTCAATGGCGTGGGACAGAACGGCGCGGGTAAGGACAATATTCTTCTCAAAGCCGATAGTCACAACCAGGAAAGGCAAGCCCTCGGAAAGCAGAACCATGGTGATGGGGACACCAAGCTTGGTGGTGACCAGCAGACCGAAGAGGAATGCGAAGACGGAGGAGAAGAGAACATTGGTGAAAAGCCAAAAGTTGGAGCCCATGCGGCGCATGGAAAGGAACAGAGAGACGAAGGTCAGGTGCATCGAGAGGTAGCCGAGGACCATGATGAAGATGTCCAAAGCCTCGGCGTTCTTGAGCAGGTCAATGAACTCGGTCCAACCGTTGCGAACCCACTGGACGAGACTGTTGCGAGTGTGCACTTTGGCAGCCTTCATGATCCACATCTTCTTCTCCTTGCCTTGTGTGGTCTCGCGAGCCTCTTCGCTCGAGACATCAGGGATCTCCTGGGCGACGGACAGGAACTCGGGAGCTTGGGAGTAAGGGACGGCGAAAGCAAGAGCGCTGTCCTGGGAGTAGCTCGTCAAAGAGTTGGAGGTGGGAGGCAGCGAGGTGATGGACAGGTTTTGAGGAATCGGGACCGCGTGAGTACGGGGAGCGGTGTTGACGGACTCGGGAGACTGAGACTCGGGGAAGACGAGGGTCAAGAGAGCGAGGTGATCAACGTCACCGGTGACAGCGGCCTCGGGCTCGACGTTTTGCCATTTCCAGGCAGTCTCGGGGCCAGCCTGCAGACGACGGCTGCCCTCGGTGAGAGAGGACCAGTCGGCGGTGCGGACGCTGATTGTGGCATCGAACAAGCTCTCCTGCAGAAGACCAACGTACGAGGTGCTGGCCAGCACGGCGACAATGACGACAGTATGAATCGGGTGGGAGCAAGCGACCTTGGAGAGGAACTTGAGAGCGGGAGTGATCTTCTTGTTGAGCCAGGAGGGGGCTGCCGCCTGCGCAGCGGGCTGCTCGCCCCGAAATCGGGTGGGAAGAAGTGTTGAGGATATCATGACGAAGATAGCGGTGAATGCAGAGGTGCGATTAGGAAGTCATTTGGGGTTTGACGGTCGAAGCAAAAGAACGAGGTCGTAGTCTGGATGGTCAAGTTAGCAATTGATGATTTCGCGAGAGCTACAGAGTGATGGCTCAGGCGTTGTTGAGATGTGCGAAAGCTCGCGAAGGTGGGAAAAGAGGCGGGCAGCTGGAATGGATGAGGAATTTTGGGCGGTTCGGATCTTGTGCGGTGCAGGATGTGGTACAATCAATGTCAGTCAATTGTAGGGGTGAGCGCGCGTACCAGTAAAAGTAGACGCCGTTGACGTCTTTTCGCGTTCAGACGTGCAGCTTTGACGAGTGGCTCAAGGTTGCGCACACACTTTCCAGAGAAAGTGAGTTGGTGAGGGAAATAATAGAGGGCAAAAAATATTAATAGTCAACACACGGAGGTCGGAGATCGAGGACGGTCGGTGGTTGCGGAGGCCGAAGTCGCAAAAGAGGAGCTGTTGAAGTGCTCGATCGGAGATGGTGTGGGTTTTGCGGTGCGCGGTTCCTGTTGAAGAGGACGGCTTTTGCTGGCTAAGGGGAGAGAACAGGAGAGAAAAAGCGAAACAAGACCCTCGCGATGCAACGGCAGCCAAGTACCTTTTTAGATATGGAGCCCAACTGGGGGTCGGGACGGGGCGAGGGGGTTCAAGGGTGTATAGTTGTGGTGGTGGTGGTGGTGGTGGTGAATTTTTTGGTAGGGGTGGGAGATTGATTAGGTGACGAAATTGTATACGTTGGTGAGATGTGGACCAGTCAGTTGCTCAAGAGTAGCGAGAAACAACTGAGAACCTGGTGATAAGGGAACACGAGCCGTCGTGAAGGATGGAGGGAGGAGCAAGTTTAAAGATCCTGGGGAGGCTGGCGGGATGGTCGAGGCAAAAATAAGAAAAACAAAATTGGTGGTGACCTTCCCGGATGCTTGTCACTTTTTTTTTTTTTTCCAAAAGACACGACGGACGGACGATGCGAGCGGACTTGGAGCCAACAGGGAGAGGAATCAGACTAGAAATTGGCACAGCACAATGGGAGGTTAGGTAGAGGTACCTGTTCTTAGAGGGAAAAGAGCATAATGGACAAAGTAGAGAAGAGCTCCACACGGGACGAAATTGAACGATGCTAACCCCAGCAAGTTTTGGTCTGGAGCAGGTTTATGGCGGGCGTGGCCGGTGATGATCCCTTTCAATGGAGAGAGAAAGGGAGTGTAAGGAAAAAGGACATGACAGACAAAAAAAAAAAAAAAAAAGAATTTGACGTGGATAACCCAGCAATGGCAAATTTACCGATGATGGTCTGTCCCCCCCACCCCTTCCCTTGTATCTTGGTACTTTGACCTCCCAAAAAATAACAAAAGAGACTAGATACTTTCCATATTAGGAAAGGTGGGCTGTGTGCCGACTTTTCCCGCACCACCATAAACAGGTGCCCCACCATTCTCTCTTTGCCCTCGCACTCTTGGCCTCTGTTTGGGACAGTCACTGCCCGTCAGTGCTGTTAGTGTCTTTCTTGTCTTTTCTGTCAATGCTGGGGGATGGGCTGGGCAGACGTTGGGTTTTGTCGCAAACCTCCCCCCTAGCGTCTCTCTTCGTCAACACGCTAAGTACCTTTTTCTGTGGTGTCATGGAAAGGCCAGGCGGCCGCTAGGGGCCACTATGCTCTCTAGAGCCCCAAGGACCGCCGAACAGTGCCGTAGTGCGTGTGTCTAGATGTGTCAGAGGGGGGTTATACACGTAGAGATCACAAATGCTGGGCTGTTGGTGCTTGTTGATACTGTTCTACCGCTACCACAACTTTTGCAGCGCCGCACAGATGGCGCGTACAATCTTATCCAATCGCTTTGTTCCGCAGTAGGTCCAGTGTTCTGCCTGAACCATCATGATTAGCAGGGAGGTGAGCCCAGCTGACATTGCACTTTGGACACCAAATAGAAGAATAAGCTTAGCAAAGATGGCTCGAGTGTACCGCCACACTGTAGTTGCTGCCCGCTACGTAAAATTGGCGTCGAACTGACAGGCTTCTGTTGAGCTGTTAGTGGCCTGTGGTTCTTGACTTTTTTCTTACACTACTGGACTGGCGTCGCCCGTTGTTGATAGCTCGCCTATCGTTATCTGTGGCATGTCAGATAAGGAACCTGGTCATTTCGGAACCTTGACACCAGACAGCAGCTCAAACTACCAAGAGCACCGCCAGCGCCGCGTCACAGAACACAGACACAATTTATAGGCACGGGACCTGCTGCGCCAAGTTCATCACCGTTATGATGAAAACGTAAACAGGACAATAAAAATAAAAATAATCATGACACCGCAGGCGCGGCAGGGACAGCGGTAAAGCAAGCAGGGTCCAAGGTGGTACGACGATGTGCATCGTTTTTTTGCTCTTCCAGAAGGGTCCGGGTGTAAGGCACAGTCGATCAACAGGAATAGGAGGGGAGCGGTAAGGGGGTCAGAAAAGAAAAGGAAGAGAAAAAAAAGGGGACAGGGACAGTCAGAATGTTGTAGAGGGGTTCAGTGTAGGTACCGTAGTACAACGGTTCTGGCCTATTTCTCAGGGATACGGGTAATTTTGGTCAGTAATTTATTTGTTGGTCGGCCCGGATGACAAGTCCTACTACTGCTGCTGTTACTGCAGAGTACCCGCTCTTGCAGTCCTGCAGCTTTCCTCCCTCCTTGCCTACTCCGTAATAGCCTCTGCTGCTCCTGCCTTCTTTTAGTAGTATCTTCCCCCACATCTGCACTTGCCTGGCTCAAATTGACACCGGGGTTACATTGACGTGATTGAACCAGTCGCAGCCTGCCACTTATGGAATTGCAGTGGATCCTATCTTGTTCCTGCCCGCTGGCACTCTCCAACTGCATTGCAACTGCCCTTGACATGCGACGTACGCATTTCGTAGAGCACCTTCCATTCAATTCCGTTTACCCCCTGTTCCTGCTCCCTTTCTGTTGGAACCTCCAGCCTCGACACACACTACACCATAAGATCATCTTTTTTTTTTTTTTTAATCTTTTAAATCACAATCCCTATTCCTACTCTATCCTTATGTTAATGACGTTGGATTTTGCCTCGTTTCTAAAGATGACCGGATTTCGGATTCATTCTACTTTTCAGTTCTCTTCCTTCGTGCCCTTCAAATGACCCTGTCAATCCAACCCCTGCCCTGTTGCTTATGGCTTCGGTCTGTTTGCCTGCTTAAGCGTTTCTGGCCTCGCCTCCCCAGATGTCCCTCAATCGACATGGAGATCTATCCGAATCTGTCGCTCTGGGACCTCTGAGTCCATCCAGTTTGTTTCTTCCGCTTTCCCGCCCTCTTTCTCTGATGCAGACCTGATCTGACACGATGGGTCCCCTGGTCTTTCGTCTTCCTCCATGCCGTCCCCCCTCCGCCCGGTCCTTTCCCTATGCCATCACCGATCTCTATCAAAGACTTCAACTCTTATCCGGCGGTGGGACTACCGGCACGGCTCTACCTACTTACGCCATACTGAAAATACATGCACATTCCCTGGCGGTGTGAGCCTCTTTTTGTCGCTGCCGCCCGCCAATGGAACGCCCTTCAACATCGGATCTCTGCAGCCATCCCCTGGCGATCTCCTTATTCTTTCTCCGTCTTCTTCCATCGCCTGCAGGGGCCAGCTGAAGGCCCGCCTGTGGACTGCCACCCTGCCGCATACTCGCGGGGCCAACGGAGCCCTTGCAATCCGCTCATACCCAAGCACAACTCACCACGTCTGCACCGCAGCAGGGCCCTTGTCAATTGTTCTTGTCGCTGCCCCATCCCGGTTACTGCCGCTGTCTGGCTACAAGTTACTGCCCGCCGGCTCCTGAAAGCTGCCGGCTGTATCAACTTACTTCAAAGCAGGTGAGGGAGGTGGTTGAAAATACATCAGCCCCACGCCGTACTAGTAGCCAGCGACGGAAGCAGTTGACCTTCACACGACTGGAAGAGGACGACTAACCATCTCACTCTGCCGCTAAACATCTCAACTCAAACTAAGCGATGTGAGTACATTTGTTTGTCAGGATAGGGCTGCATCAGAGGAAGCACTACGTCACAACAGCAGCAAGCATACGCTAGCCGTGCCCACGGATTCCCCAAAAGCCAAATCCCAAAGAGCCCTCTTTTGAAACACCGTTCCCGTGTAATATCACACAAGGTTTCTGGGGGCCCATACGGACGGATACTTGGATCGCGTGCCATGTTCAGAACAGGAAACGGACTACTGCCCTGTTCCAACACACCTTTGGCCGCCTGGAAATGCACATTTGATTTGGTCTCATGAGACGATTCCTTGAAGGAACGACAATTTCCCGGCCCCTCATCCCCGTCTTGCCGTTCCAACCTTTCGGACCTCCGGACCCTCCACGCTCACAATCTTCACCCCGCTGGCCTCTAACTGCACCTTGCAGTCGTCCCATTTCTCAGCGTCCACAGGCCTGGTTCCTTCCTCGACAATGAAGGTCCGGAACCCCTCCTTGTTCGCATCCAGCGCGGTGAATTTGACGCAGTAGTCGCCAGCCAACCCGACGACGAATACGTCTGTGATGCCCTTCTCTTTGAGCGCCCCTGCAAGACCGCTGTCTGCCACCCTCGGTGACTGGAATGGGTCGTAAAATACGCTGTACATCTCCACCCCCTTCACCTGTCCCTTTTCGATGACAGTATCAACGGCCGAGACATCCAGCTCCGGCACTAGGGCCGCTCCGGGCGTTCCCTGCACGCAATGCACCGGCCACAGCCGCGTGTGATACGTCTCGGCGTTGTTTCGCGGGTTGACGATAGTGATTGAGTCAACAAACGGCTGCTTTCCCTCATGGTTCGAGGCGAACGAGATGTGATCCTGGGGATGCCAGTCCTTGGTGGCTATCTTTGTCACAAACGGCAGGCGCAAAAGCGAGTTGACAACAGGGTGAATATCGCGGCCGTCAGCGACGGCGAGTGAACCGTGCTCCATGGTGTCAGTTACCTAGCTTGACCTATCCAACTCCCCCCCGCAACCTCTTTTGGTCTTCCTCGGCGCCTTGTGAGCAGCTGAGGGCCTCGGCTCAGTGACTCTAGGCCGGCCTTGGCATGACAACTGGAATGCGAAACACGGTATTTTAACAACTTACTGGTGGGCAAAAATCCTCTTGGAAGTCAACGACGATCAGCGCCGGCCTGAACTGTTCCTCCTCCGCCATATTGTTTGACCGTTTGTCTTGTTGCTCGCCGACTTTCTACTAGTCTGTTTCCTTGAAGACAATTTAGTCGCTGCTGAGAATGAGCGTAGGGTGTCTCTGCGGACCGAGGCGATACGAAATTAGGTTGGTAAATCCGCGTGATTAGTCGACTTGTAGCTCTAAATTTTGAGTTGCCGATTGTAAACTGTCGCGTGTCGCAAAATCGCATGTAAGGTTGATAGGTTATTGGGATAAGGCGCTTAAGGTGGTATCCAGCCGTATCATGTCAGCACAGGGCAAGCACTGGCGTCCAAGGCACACCACCACACTGTCTCTTTTCCTCTCTTATCGGGATTCAGGCTGCTTATCGCGGCCTGGCTGGTGGACCAGAAGACAACAACGTGGATGGGCAGGGGCGCCTTGCCGCTCTAGCGACGCCCTATGCTATGTACGCCAAGTCATTTCTGTAGGGGACTGAGCCTGCTACCACTACAGCGACCTTACAGCTCCATCCCGCTCTTTTAGTCGCTCAAAGCAGCGCATCATACAGAATGTTGCTGCTCACGGACGCCACATTTTATCGAAATTTGACCCTCACCATTAATTGGCCGGTCTATTGCTGAAGAACACTCAGTTTGACTCGGACAAAGGACAAACACCCCATTCAACCCCCCTGGATCCTGTCAACGGTCCTTTTGTGTTCTCGACTGGTGGAACATGGAGTCAGGGAAGCCCTTACAACCTTGCCCATCCATCATGATGATGCACAAAAGTACCCGGTACCTCCAAGGGGAGTCCTAATCCTTGGTCTTCACATCACTGGCAGGCAATGCGCCACTCTCTGGCAGCTGAGCCAAGACTTTTACGGCACTTCTGAGCTCTCATATCAACCTCTACCGGCGCGCCGTGAACCGTTACTACTGCCCGGCGGAGGACCTCAGCCAACGCCGGCGGAACTATCCGAATACCCGATTTGAATATAATTTGATTCACTCATGGTCGTTGTTGTGAGACATGATCATGTTCAGCTGTGCATGGTCAACCCTCCATCTCCACAGAGATGCAGATAGCGAGAAAACGAAGACTGGGACGTTGATCCCGAAATCCGTTCATATACCTTACCCAACGTACGGGACACTCCACTGACCTTGTGGTGGATCCGACGTCGGCCGCCGTGGCTCTGACGCGCAATCATGCAGCTTGGGTCAAGAGCTCTTCCTGATAATCAAGGTCCACCATCTCCGAGCCGCCGATCGGCATGCTATGCTTGTTCCCACATATTCGGTGAATGTCCTTATCACCGCGATGAGCCTGGCCGGGACAGCTTTCGCTGAAGCTTTAATACTGATACCCTCCTTGCGAGCTTCTGCTGCTGAGCTCACTGAGCTGAAAGCTCTCAGCAAGCCTCTTGCAAGCCTAGACCCTAGCTATCTTAGCCCTGTCAGAACAACCTCCAATCACAGCTCATCAGCGGTTGCTCAGCTACGGGAATTCCCTACCTGTTAGGCGCTGTGACTCGTACGCCACATCAGATAGCAGCAGCCACTTGCTCAGGGGTCAACAGCAATGTGCTGCAAACAGTTAGAGTTTCGCCGGAGGGCGACATGAGGCTTCGATAAGAACGTTGCATCTGCCACTACGTCGTCAACCTTTCCAAAAACTCCATCGTCAACTTTTTTATATATTCAACTACATCAAGATGCGTTTATCTGCAGCGCTGCTGACCGTGGCCGCTCCGTTGGCCCTCTCCTGGGGAAACGTGGGCCACCGTACAGTGGGCTATCTAGCCGAGAGATACCTGACTGATGAAGCAGCCTCCGTCTTTGGTGAATTGCTCGCCAACGACCGCAACTATGACTTTTCTGATGCCGCAACCTGGGCTGATACTCTAAGGGGCCACATGGGCTGGGCAAGCAAGTATCACTACATCAGTGCGCAGGCTCCTTGAATGCTGCTTTTGTGACCAGGCTGCTTACTCTCATCATCAGATCCCCGCGATGATCCTCCTCGTCTATGTGGTATGAAATATCCTCAAGACTGCCCTTCGAGTGGCTGTGTCATCTCCGCCATTCAGAATTACGTATGGCTCCCAGCCTCATCACATGCAACTCTAAGCTGAACATACTAGACAGCACAAATTCTCGATACATCGCTCCCCCTCATCAATCGGAAGAATGCAACCATGTTCGTGATCCACTTCCTCGGCGATATCCACCAGCCCTTGCACGCCACCGGCCTTATGAGAGGCGGCAACGACATCCGCCCCGTATGCTGGCGCAGACAGCCCAACAACGGCAGATGCACCGGCCCCATGAGCCTGCACTCCGTCTGGGACACCCAGATCCCGCACCGCCTCCGCGGTCTTCCGCCGCACCTCAGCATCCCTCAGGAAAAGGTCGCCGCAGCCGAGTGGGCGGCTGACCTCCACCGCCGCCACGGACAGGCAGGCGTCAACACGACGGGGCAGTGCATTGACCTCGAAACGGGGACATGCGCGCTTGGCTGGGCGACGGAGTCCAACGCGTTTGTGTGTTCACACGTCCTGAAGCCAGGCCTGCAGTGGCTCACGACTCATGATCTCAGCGGGGGGTATTTCGATGACACCTGGGAGGTCGTCGACGAGGTCATCGGCAAGGCGGGCGTCAGGCTTGGCGCTTGGTTGAACGCCATCGCTGCGAAGCTAGCCGCCCAGGAGGCAGGCCCTGTGTTTGAGGAGCTTTGATTAGTAGATGGAAGGCCAAGGAATATTCGGTCACCGGCCGAGATGTCAACTTCAAACTGTTAGACTTTTAATAGGAAGTATCCGAGCACTCGGGGTATGTTTGCTTTTAAGAAAGAACGTCTGAGGGAAAGACGAAGAAACTACGCCTTCGCGCCAAGGGATCCGACGTGCATACGACATGCATGCATGCATGCGCGCATCATGAACTTTGTTTCAAACAAACAAAAATCATCAACTCGCTAGCTGCATACTAATTTGCTGTATCAAACCTGCAGCTGTGAATGGCATCACGTCACCAGACATCCATCTCCCCCTCATCTCAAGTTTCTCCCTTCATGACCTGATTCATCAGCAGACGAACCTTTGACCGTCCAGTTTCACGAACAAACTCGAGACTCGTCCTATACAGCCAAGTGTGGCGGTGCCTACAGTTCAGGGCGTCGTCATAGGAGAATTCACGGCGCCTGAAGAACTTTTGTGATTTTTTTTTCCCTCCTTTTTGTCTTCTCGTCACTTTATTGGAGATGGAATTCCTACATGGCTTCTTACTTGATTGGTGAACCTGCATGGCTACTACTCGACGACTGCTTAGCTTACGACGCTGCGGCTGTGGGATTCGTCCTTCTGCTGTGGAAGGAGGGGGGAGGGGCCACGAGAGGTACACGATTGCCCGCCGCGGCGCGGGGTGGCTTGTTCATCGGGACGGGATGATTTGTATGACTGCATTCCCGCGTGACCTGTTGTGGTTGTCCCGACCCGGTGGTTCGGTTCTTGAGCATGTGAAATGGACCCTGAGGAGGGTGGTTTGCTGGTGTGGTCAGCTTACGGGTGGTGGTGGAGGCTGCGTCACGGTTTTTGGTAGGGTGAAGCAGTTTTGCTTCTGTGCTGGTGTATGTTTCGGTGTGAGCTGGCTGTTTCTCAGTGGAAGTCGCTGATGAAGGTATTGGTAGAGTTGTTATGAGGTAGAGTAGCTACGGGATGTGGAATGAGGTTGTGGATAACCTAAGCGGACAGTCTTGGGATTACTGTCCAGTTAGTACCGTATTACTGTCCTATCCGGATGCATAAGTTGAGACCGTGAGACGATTTTGGGTGTTGTACTTGCGGCCTACTTTTCTACTTTTTAGTTGACGAGAGTAGTGAAGAATAGAGTATCTGGAAGTATGATCGGTTGCTGTTACATGGTCAAGGTGATGAGAATGTAGTAAGAATGATCAACCTTATGTGGGTGCTGGTGGTGTATAACGAGCTCACATTTGCATTATCGTGTCGATGAGTCGAGTTAGGCAGGTAGGAGAAGTAGAAGACTGTTTTCGAAATGTATCGCAGTCTTAGATTGCTGATGTTTTGCTTTTGACGACCTCGGGACCCCTTTACGTTGGTGGGATGCGCATCGCCGGTATCAGAAATCTTTGCATATATGCATCAAACAATGAAGTCTCTAATTAAGCCAGCTTGCCATTGATGATTAGTTTCCAATAGAGCCTTCTAGGCCTACTTTGCTTATCCTCCTAAAGTTCGGCCGTTACAGAACAGTTCGGTTTGTATTCTTAATCCTAGCACACTTGCTCGGGTCTCTATTGCAAAGTCGCTGTCAACAACAGATGGGTTGCCTCACCTGGCAATCGCGAGATTCGCCTCAATCTGGTGGGTGCTCTCCATGGTTTTGATATCGACGGCGCAGCCACGTTGGTCGGAACCCGACGAGCCTCGCCACGCCGATGGGCCCCCCCGGATTCTCCGGTCCGGTGCGGCAGTGTGGGGATGACGACTAAGGGTCCTCCAACCGGTGTTGGCTGAAGCCGACAGCTCACATACGGATGGTATAGCTGGGGCTAAAAACGTATTTAATCACTGCCTAGCCCCGTCCGCAGCAAATACAATCTGCCTTACCGCCGACACCATTATTGAAGTGGACAAATCAGGCTTGATCTTAATCGCTGATACGGTGGCGATTTTTGTGAAATGCAATCACGACCTGCAGATGATAAACGCCGACGGCCTTTACACGGGAATTTCACAGATGGCGACCACGACATAGCCACGATAGCCTGAATTTGCTGTTAAGTGTTACGTCATCTCACCAATGATATTTTTATGCTAATGGGAATAGTTGAAAGATATGTAGGCAACAAGTCGCCATCTATATTATTTCGCGATTCCATTCAAAAGTGTGTTCTAGTGCTGGAAGGCAACAATTTGGCGGTTTTGTTTTCGTACTATCTTTATCAATTCAGAACCCAACGTCAACATGGCACCACTAGAGAAATTTCAATACGTGGCCTTATCGAATCCAAAAACCGAGTTAAGACTACTCAGAATCCTTGAAGCGGATGAAGGTGGCACTGACGGCCTGAATTGCGAACTTACAACATGGCCCATCAAATCCTCACCAACTTTCCATGCCATTTCGTACACTTGGGGCAACACAAAAATCACTAAACCCATTGTCATCAACGGCAAGCAAGCTTTTGTGGGAGAAAATTGCCACTATGCCCTGAAACAGGCACACTCGAGTGGCCTCAACCCTGGTGGCGACTATTACCTTTGGATAGACTCCATCTGCATCAACCAGGAGGACATCAAGGAGAAGAACGAGCAAGTCAAGGGTATCAGCGCCATCTACGAACATGCCGATATCGTCCTTGCTTGCGTGGGCGAGGCCGCCGATGAAAGTCATTTCTTCTGCGAGTACCTCCTAAAACATGCGGTCAAACTCACTTACTACAGTGACAAATGGCGTACCAAACAATCCGTTGATTCTTTGTTTGGCCAACTGATGGCAAATCGAGAACTTGGTATCAACTCACCGGACCGAGGAAAGCTCTTCTCGGCATTCCAGGCCTTCGTTAACCGGCCGTACTTCACCCGCGTCTGGATATTGCAGGAACTCTTCATGGCCAAAAACATTAGCATGTGCTGTGGCGATGATGTTGTGCCGCTGCAAGCCCTCGACGGGTTTCGCGTCATCATCTGTCAAGCGGCTGCCCGTGGAATGTTCCCAGGGTGGTGGGCTGATTTCAGATCTGCGCTCCAGGCAATTAATCCCTGGAAAGAAAACAATGCCAGTAGTCGCCTTACAAACATTCTCAACTACAATTTTGCTCAACACCACATGGACCTCGCCACCCGCCCCAACACCAAACTGCTACCCCTCGGGGAGGCGGCGGAGATCACCTTTGGATTGGATTGCCAGGATCCGAGGGACAAGGTTTATGCTCTTTCTGCTCTGATCGACTGGGGAAAAGTAGAACCCATCCAAGCCGACTACTCCATCGAGCTTTTTGCTCTCGCAATCGACGTCTTCTTGAAAATTGCACAGCTGGAAATCATAGGGGGCTCGCCCGAGTTCTACGACCCCAGAATGGAGCTTATTCCTGCTCTGGGGCTGACCACCCAGACGGCAGAGGTTGCAGAAAGGCTCCGCCAAAGACGCTCACCAAATCCCGATATTTCCCGTCCTGCCTGGTACACGAGCGACCGAGTATCATATCTCAAGAAACATAGTGCTTTTTGGTTAGCTTGGAAGATAATATACGACGACGAACACGGCTGGAGACTAGAATGCAACAGGCCCATCTCGTTGGACCCGGCTTTCGACGAATCCAAGCGCCAAAAGGGGTTGATACAGGTACATATGCGTGTAAAGAACGTCCGGGTTTCGGTATGCCTCCCGCCAAGCGTCCAGCACGGTGACTACCTCCTAGCCCAAGGCCGTTTCACAGCCTCTATAGGGAGTGAGAACTGGCTAGGCGTGGTGGCCCGACCCAACTCCGACTCGCCGCGTTGCGATGTTGTTGGGAAAGCCATCATAGAGGGAAACCTGGGAAGTGACACCATTACCATCCGTTTTGGGACTCTGCAGGGCGGCGTGATGTTTGATCCCGAGGACCTGGTCATCTTCACCGCTGCCGAGCAGCAGTATCCGTCTTGGGAAGGAGTTGGGGAGGCGGCGAGGGCCGAGTTTCTCAGCACGAGGGTGTGCAGAGCACCTGGCTCATCGTTTGCTATTGTGGACTCCCTCTTAGAATATATCTCCCTCCTGAAGAAGGAAAAGGAGTTACTCTCTGAGGGCTGGAATAGAGGTGCCGACTCTGATCAGAAAGACGGAACCGCGCCTACGGGTGACAGGTGATGAGTTGGCTCTTACCGCTTATATCAGGCTGCATCACAGGACCATGTAAATGAGCACCACGCCGAGCAATTAACCTTGAACGACGTTGGGTATATCGTTGCGGGGGTCGAACTCCAGGCATATTGTCCGAGCTAGAGGTCTTGCCGAGGCTGAACCACCATTCTTTAGTGTGGAGTGTACAGAGGATCCAGTGGCAGTCGAAATGGGGTTTCAAAGCTGAGTATGGTTTATGCTTAAATAATAGAGGAAAGTAACAGGTATTTATCAAGGATAAAGCAAGGCGTTGAGGAATAGTGCAAATGAAGTTCCAGGAAAGTGGAACTAGGATTTGGAGTATCACATCATGCCAACCACCACTGTCTGGCCTAATCAATCTAACAAATATTCACCAAAAAAAATAAAAAACCTTTTCGTATTGACGTTCGTTGCGGAATAATCCACACTAGACGTAACAAAGATGCATTCTTGTAGTCCGAACTTCATACCCATACTAGCATACACGCCGAGCCATCCCGATTGGAAGAATGCTTAGTTTGGAGTAAGAGAGTATCCATTCAAATCTCTTTGTAGCATGCTGAATTGTTTGAAAATTTGACCGGGCACCGAAGAAAACACCAACTGGCACTCTGAAGGGTGTTGGCTGCTTGTAAGGGACTTGTAGAAACAAGAATCGAAGATATCATACCTATGAGTCCTGTTGAAGAATGAGGTGGTATGCAATACAGAAACAAGCCAATATGCCGGTTTGAACATGAAACCAAGGATGGAGTGTGGAACAAACGAAATGGTGTGGACGAATGAATGAAGTCACGGTGGTGATCAATCAACACGAAATCAGACAATGCGATGATGGTGGAAGTCTACATGAAGGTGCAAAAGCAGGCAATCAGCAAGGCAAGATGGCCGAGCGGTCTAAGGCGCTAGCTTCAGGTGCTAGTCAAGTAATTGGCGTGGGTTCGAATCCCACTCTTGTCATCATTATTTTGTCTTTTGTGACAATAAGCTGATTCCTCACTTTTTTTAATGTCCCTACATGTAGCAGGACAATGATAGGATATTTTTAAAAGAATTATTTCAGTTTTCAGTGCGTCCGTCTTTACTTCATGGCCCCACCTTCCGTAAGGGGCAGGTCGTGATGTCAACAGTGACGCACCTTTGTTGACCTTCAATACTCCACCGTGGTACTTAATCCTGCTTTGGTTGGCAGTATTCACTCTTGCCTTGGAACGGACACGGATGTTGTAAAAGTGTATAGTGTACAGACTTTAGAGCGTGTTGTTCTTGCAGTTCCCTATCTCTACAAACATTCTCAACCACCTCAGTTGTCACCTAAATACCAGCCTCTCATTTCCAAAGATGTGCTTAGTCTTTTGCCAGGAAAAAGCCCAAGATCCGCTCCATATCAAATTGAGCTTTCAAGAAACCCATGTGCTCTGTCTTCAATAGGCTGTGCCATTGCAACTTAATGTTGTTTATCATAAGCCCACCTCATCGAGTGCCAACTCGCAACGGTACGAACCACCCATTGCAAGACCGGTTTTCTCCCTACACTAAATAAATTTGTTCTTGCTATTCGGGTAGAAGTTACACTATCTGTTTCTGATTGGCTATCGTCTCTGAGGCCATGTCTTGTTGCGAGTCACCACTAAATAGGGTACCGTCGTTGCAGATCGAGCTAGTATATGAGTGGGTATCGACGAGGAACCATGGCCACGGATATCATGTTGACCAAAGACATTCTTGATAAGAGCCGTTTAGCTTAAAAACACTAGTTCTCTCGCTTGGCTTTTAACCACTGCCGTGATTCTAAAGACTTGTTCGCAAAAGAGAAACAGAGCAAAAGAGAAGACGAAATGATTTGCGCCAGAGTCTTTGTTCGTACCCTGTTTACACACCCATATCTTCTATCCTTTAGAAATCACGTAAGCTAACTAGTGATAGTACTGGCGTTACACTATTAAATTGTAATGGCATGATTCATTTTTTGAGGCTCTAATATGGTGTCTAATTTGCTCTCATGAAGAACACCCTGTGCATCCCCAAGCTGCACTGCTTCCAGACCACGTATACCCGTGTGCTGTTGACTCTGAATCACCAGTTTTCATTCTTGAAAACAGCTTGGCAGCCTACTCCTCCGATGAAATTCCGCGCCTCGGTCTCAGACTTGACGATGAATGGATGCCGGGTCTTGCCGTCACAACTCGTGTCCATTTGCAGAACCTCTGATGGGTCGACAATAACGACGCTCCTATCATCCAAGAGTAGTCGATCTATGTTCTCATGTATAAGTCTTCGTGCGATTGCATTCAGAGAATATACGTCACGGAATGAAAACACAATCGCGCAGGCGTTCGCGTGACCTCCAGAGCCAGGATCGTCTGGGTTTGGAGGGCCAAGTTCGCGTGTAATAGCCCTAGTAAGGCGCTCGGAACCTGCGAAGCGAACCGCACCTCTAAGACTGAAAATGAGGACTTCTTTTTGGCAGTTTGAGGTATGCGGCTCGCCCTCGCCTCCAACGATGGTTGCCACTGATGTGTGCACGGTGGCCCTGGCGATTTGGCTGGCTTCCATCATATGCAGACCCATATCCCTCGACAGTTGCTCACATATCGCCACGCCTCGCACGCTGTTGCCGCGGTCATCAAGCCTGGGTGAGAAGGCGGCGATACCGACTTGACCTGGTAGAGCGCCGATGATGCCTCCAGCGACACCACTCTTGGCCGGGATGCCGACGTTGGAAACCCAGTCACCCGCGGCGTCGTACATGCCGCAAGTGGTCATAACGGAAAGGACCTGGCGAACACTCGTTTGAGGAATAATGCTCTCGCCGGTGATTGGGTGTACGCCGGCGTTGCAAAGAGTTGCGGCCATCAGGGCCAGATCGCGAACGTTGACATTAATCGAGCATTGGCGAATGTAGCCCCTGACGACCTCCTGTGGATCGCAGGAAATGATGCCAGCTGCCTTGAGCATGAAGCCGATGGCCATGTTGCGGTTGGCATCCTTGAGCTCAGCCTCGTACACTTCTTCGTCTACGTGCAACTGCCGACCTGCGAGCCTGGATAGCGTTTTCAGGATCCGATCTGTCCGCTGTTCCACGGTGGCATTGGGTCCTACGACGAGAGAATGGGCAGTAATGGCTCCGGCGTTGATCATGGGGTTCATGGGCCGGTTGGTGCCCCGCTCGAGTGACAGCCGGTTGAATGCGTCGCCCGATGGCTCTACGCCAATCTTTTCCAATACCTGTGCCAACCCTGCATCTTCAATTGCCAGTGCATAGACAAACGCTTTCGAGATGGACTGGATAGAGAACTCGACTTGGTCGTCTCCGGCTGAGTACAAGTTGCCATCCACCATTGCCAGGGCCACTGCCAATTTGGACGTGTCCGCCCTGGCTAGAGTGTCTATGTAGTCAGCAGGCGCTCCCGAATCATTGGGTCGTGCTTTTTCAAGAACATGGTTGAGATAGTCGGGAATCGGTGATTTCATTTTCAGCGTTTGTCAACGGGGACAGTGTGGGCTTTGGCAGAACAGGGTGTGGAGGGAGCTGCTTGTTCAAAATAGCATCGGAAGAACAAAGGATAAGTACAGCTAGATACGTTGCTTACTAAGGCCAAGCCGTACTACGTAGTACACAATGGCTAAATCATCGCTTACTCAGGTACCTGGTAGATTACCCCGACTTGGTAGCTTAGTGGAACTCCACGAGCCACTCGACATCTACACGTGTTCCCTAAGGCCTTGGCTACCAGCCAGTATCATATCGCCTAGGCTGAGATACGTCTAGTAACACTCCTTCTCAGCATGGCGCTGATTACTAGGAGAAAGATGTGCCAGGACGGTAGTGTGAATAAGAATATGAGAGGAGAAGAGCGATTAGGATCAGACGCCCTGTGATGAGATATCCCGTGATACATGAATAATGCGCCAAGCCACGACGGAAAAAGTTAATTTTAAAAACAGTGGCCACCAGCCACAATCACCTTCAACAACAGCCGTAGCCAAACACGATTATTGCCTTCGTTGCAGACTTTGGAAATCTGCCGGCGATGACATTCATTGCACTATGCCTGAATCGATCTTCTGTTGGAACGACCTTGCATGGCGGCAGAGGAAAGAAAGTAGTAACTAACAGCCACTCCCCTCAGTGTCTGTCATCCCATTCGGTTGAACCTGTTCCATCTTTTTGGTAAACGGCTTTTACTTCAGATAAGAACACGTATAAGTAACTTACCCTAAAATATTGGTTTTCTCCTATTTTCTGGGCTCTAGGCCTATAGTGCCACTGACTGAAATATGCAGGGGTCGTGCCATCATTTCCATTAGTCGTAGCATACGAACCCAGTAAAGCGCCTGTCCACAACCTCAGGTCAGCGACGTCTAACATATCAGTGTGTTTAAGGCCTGCTTACCTGTGAACTTCCCAGTACCGCCGCTAACAATCTCACTACTGAGTTGGCCTATCTCAATCTCGTTCCAGGGCTGTAAGGCTGGTGCGACAGTGAACTTGTAGGTCTTATCGTCAGGCGCAGCTATGCGTAATGTAATAGGCTGGCTAAGCCATGACAATGGTACAGCCTTGACGTTTATTTGCGGCGGATTGATGTTTGGAAGTCCGGATGTTTCAGCCCTCAGTCGGAAGTGAGTCGTTAACTTGTTCTTTCTAGACCGTAATTGCACGATACCAAGGTCGATGTGCTGAAACTGGGTGAGAAAAATAGAAATGCCGGCCTCAGCCTCGTCATGAAGAGGTTGAAACAACACATCCACTGAGAACCGGAATAATGTACTTGATTGAAGCCGGGAAATGAATGCTTGGCTGTCTATGCCGGCGGTAAAAGAGCTACCCCCGGTAAGATTAGCTCGCGAAGGACTGATTCTTAGAGTATAAGGATGTCCTTTGGGCGATATTGTGAAATGCGATGCTGGCTGCGGCCGCCATGTTAGGAAGTGTTGGGGAATTGTTGAGCCTGGCGGAAAGTCCATGTTGTCCCCTTCATCGACGAGCGGCCCCCTCCCAGGTGGGTTTCGGTCTTTGCGCGGAAGACGGCCTTTCATTATGCCATTCACAGGTGCCAGCTTTGGCCAGTCTCCTTTCTCCCAGGTTGCCGGGAAGAGGACTGTTTCCCGTCCCATTGGATAAGTTTTCCAGGTAGGACCAGACCTGGTAGCTAGTGCTACACCCCACCAGTTACCCGACTTGTCTTGAAAAAGGTCCGCATGTCCTACGGTCTGAAAATAGTCGAAGGTGTTGTTGTTAGTTAAGATGGGATTCCCTGTGTAACTCGCGTAAGGCCCAGTCACTCTAGTAGAGCGAGCAACCGTGACGGAGTGATTTAGACCGGTACCACCTTCCGCAATTACCAGGTAGTAAAACCTATCCTTTTTGTACAAGTGAGGGCCTTCGGCCCATGGTGCACCAGTGCCAGTCCAGATTGTATTCCAAGTGCCAGACTTTCTAGTGGTGATGTTGAACGTGGCCATGATGATTTCAGTGTCGCGTGTGGTATTGTAGGCAGCAAAGCTTATGTAAAGCTGATTGTCGTCATCCCAAAAGAGGTCTGGGTCATAGCCGTAGTTGTTGACAGGGACACGGATAGGATCACCCCAACTCGCATCGTCATATGGATTAAGAGATGAGAAAAGGAGAATCTGTGGCACGTTATGACCAGATAAAAAGCCCGTAGCAAGATAGAATGTGCCATCATGGAAACGTAAGGTAGACGCATAGATTCCATCACTTTGCTCAGTCGCATTGGCGAGCCCTGGAACTTGATCTGGACGACTCAGCACGTGGCTAACCAATCGCCAGTTGACCAAATCCCGGCTGGCAAAGATGGGAATACCAGGAAACGCCAAAAATGTGGATGTTGTGCAGAAAAACACATCACCCCGGTCTGGAACAAATATGCAGCTTGGATCCGGGTGCCATCCAGGAAGGATGGGATTCATGTAAGTGCTGACGTGCCGAGTATCGGAGTTTTTGTTGTTGGTACTACGCCCAAAGCCACAAGCGGCGGAAGCTAGCAGCAGGAGAGCGTTCCAAAACATTGTTACTTCTTATCAAGAGTCGACTCTCCGGGGCTACCCTATGGAGCCGGAAAGCAAAACCTTTTGTCACTTCGAGAGTAACGTAAAACACTTCCATATTTGTATCAAATCAAGCAGTTGGATTATGTTGGTAGGATACAGGGACCAGGGAGATCCCCACAATTTCCCCCGCCCTAGGTTGACTTCCCCGCGCTGAGGTTACCCCGGGAGCACAACAACCTTGGTTGGCCCTTCGAAGGGTACTGAATGTCATCGGGACCGAGGGTTCGTATCGAATACGATATCTCACTTGCCTACTGTAAGCCAAGAATCTGCAGAATTGAAGGATTAATCATTTCAAACAGGTCTATGTCGAAGTAACGTTGCGAGATTCTTGGTCCAAAACTGCTTTGGGGGGTAGCAGGATACTGTCACAACGTTACAATACAATTTGCGGCGCGATTGAACCATGACTTCTGAATCGCCTGGCCCCATGGTTGCTTCTCATTATGATGTCTAAGTTGTGCGGGCATAAGGAGCTAGATACAAGGGCTCGGATATGAGAGACGTACTAGAATTGCTACTTGTGGCATCAGAACGTTATATACTGTATCTTGCTAAGCACGGCCTTACTTAGGTCCATGACGCTTCTTCCACCACTTTCGTGCCGTTTACTCTATAGGATAATGATGTTGTTTATCAGCGCCATGAGAAATCTGACACTGTCTATAATACTCAACAGTTTTATATTTGTTGGAGGCTGTAAGTTCTTCATAGCGCTAATCTCTCTCTGCCCATGTCAGACCTCAAGTAAGCCGATGCTAACTCTTTTACTAGCATGGGGGAAGCTTCTAACAATTCCTTCCTTTCCCTTTCAGCACGATGGCTCAGATAATTTTTCGTTCCACCGTCTTAAGGGCATTGCAGTTGATGCTTTATATGTTGACTCTGTCAACAAAGACAGCCAGACTCTCATCCCACCAACTCTCAAAGAATTTGTAGATACTTTTAAGAAAGATCTATATTCTGTGACTGGTGTAGATGCTTCCGTCACTGAAAGTAATGCACCTCAGCAGGACACTATTTTTATCACTCTTGATCCAAATGGCACGTATGTCGACGCAGCTGGGCGAGACACTTCCGAAGGTTACTCTCTTATTGTAAATGAGAGTGGTATTTCATCAGTGGTTCCAGCGCCCTAGGGGCATGGTGGGGTACTCGAACGGTATTACAAGTAGCTGTAATCAACAACGGCAGCTTTCCGCATGGCCACGGGGTGGATGAACCCGGTTGGGCGACCAGAGGAGCCATGGTATGTATCCTCCATCCCAGATCATGGCATCTTGAACTTTTTCCTCCTTATAGTTCATCTCTAAAATGAGAATTTAATCATGCAAAGGAATATGAGGTCTAACCATACATAGCTGGATTGCGGTCGCCATTACTATCCTCCAGAGTTTCTAATCGAGATGTGCGCGTATCTCTCTTTCTTCAAACAGAACGAGTTTCACCTACACCTTAGCGACAATCTCTTCGTCAATAAAGCCTTGTATACCACAGAACAGATATGGGCCTTGTACAGTTCCTTTCGGTTGAGGTCCGACGAACGCGCGGTGGCAGGCCTCAACCAGCTCCAAAATGAATCATACAGCTACGAGCAATTCCAAGACATTCAGAAGCAGTGTGCCGAGCGTGGCGTTACCGTAATACCCGAAATTGAAGCACCTGCGCATGCCTTGGTCATCACCAAATGGAAGCCAGAAATAGCTCTGAATCAAGATCCAACTATGCTGAACATCTCCCACCCCAGCACCGTGCCCACATTAAAAACAATCTGGAGCACATTTCTACCGTGGTTCAGATCCAAGACTGTGCACATCGGGGCAGATGAATATCAAGCCAGCCTTATTCGCGACTACACTTACCTCGTGAACGAGCTAAGTATGTTTATCCAAGAGCTATCCGGCAAGGCGACTCGAATCTGGGGGACTTTCACACCCGCAAAAGGAGCCAACGTTTCGAAAGACGTCGTGATCCAGCATTGGGCACCTTACGAAGACAACGCATACTTTGACTTCATTCAAAATGGATACGACGTCGTCAACTCAGACTTTGCCTTTTATACCAACGTTAAATGGAACGGGTACTTTCCGCCAACTTTACCCAAGACTCTGATTTTTGAAGGAAACCCTATGGGAGGAAGTTTTGCTCCTCATATCTTTGACGTCAAGAACGCTACAAATAATCCAGATCGGAGCAACCCGAGAGTTGTTGGCCACATCGCGGCGCAATGGAATGACTTTGGCCCGGCGACTTCAACGTACCTCGAAGCATATCATGGTTGGCGAGACGGCCTCCCAGCTTTGGCAGATAAACAATGGGGAGGTTCTCTCAAAGAATACGAATATGACGCCATAATAGAGACGCTTATTGCGGCCGCGCCCGGGCAGAACCTTGACCGTCGTATTAAATCCGAATCGAGTGTCATCCTCGATTATCATTTTCCGAAGCAAAATACTTGCAGCAGGAAGATTAAAGACCAGTCCGGAAACGGATATGACGGAATTTCTCACGGTTGCCAGATTCATAACTCCACTCTACATCTCGATGGGCGATGCTACGTCGAGACACCCTTGGATAGCAAGGGAAGAAACTACACCCTCTCGTTCTCTGTCCACCCGTTATCTTCCGAGCCGGGCGTTCTCTTTTCCGGTCCTGACTCTGCCCTGGTCGCTGGAAATGGTTCTAGTACGAACTTGACCTTCATTGCAGCAGGGATCGCATTTCCTCTGAACTACACCCTACCACTGCATACTTGGACAGATGTTGTCATATCTGGGATTGGGGGCTCAACTTTCCTGACTGCTTCGAGTCAAACCGGCAATCAAACCCGAAACATGGAGTTCCTCACAAGAATTGAGGCTAACGGCGTCCCCAGCGCTAATGGTGTTATGGTCATCTGGAAGCCCATGGCTATCGAAGCACCGTTAAGAGAGATAGGAAGGGGGTTCATCGGCATGATCAGGAATGTTACCTTAGCTTCACTTGAAAGCAAATGATCAATATAGGGATAAATATAGCCGTCTTCGATACTGCTACCACTGTCGCTTCATTTTAACGAGAGCATCGACATACTGCGACCAATTCTGATGTCTTCTGACGTCTACCGGTTCATCTCTATGAATACACACATCTTCGTACCGCAACCATTTGTGAGCAAGCTTTCTTCAGAAAGCTGCTTTACATGTTCATGATATTCATCGACATTCCCCACTTCGTCGGCCTCTCGAGCAGAGATTATCTGTAAATTCTCATTTTTGATTCTCCTATAGCCCACTCTATTCTGCTAAATGCGTTCTGACGTCCTCAGCCACTCGCGTTATCAGAAGTGGCAGCTTACAAACGCTTTTCGGGTGCTGTGTTGCCTTGCGCCCCCATCTATCCTCGTGTTTTAAAAGACGTGTCATTTGCTTGTCTCATTTCTCAAAGAATAACCATGGTTACTTCCAATGAACAAATATCTGAGTAAGGTGCATACAGCAAAAGAGTATTTAATGTAGTCCGAAACAGTTGATTGGTTTGTTCCCCTTCAATCCGAGCAATTCAATAGGCCAGACCTCGCTCCTTGTAAGCATTGCCTCGAACCAAAGCAGGCTTTTTGTATCCATTCAGGACCTCAGCATCAGCTTCAATAGCCAGAGATTCAAGACGAGCACCCGTTTTCTCCAAGGACCACAGAGTCAATGCTATGTAATTGTCGCCGTTGTAATTCATTATACCCTCAGGGACCACGAAGCGATACTGTGGTCCGATATTATTCACTTATAGAAAGTTACCGATTAGCCCCATGGAACCGCTTGTTGGAAGTATCAATACGTACCATACTTGCCGATTTGCCATCCGTTGACGAAAAGCTGAAGTCGAAAACTGGTGGCAGTGGCTCTACTAGTGTTGATCCCTTTGTCCACAACTAAACTAAGGGGTATGTCGTATCCTTCCGGCATGTCGAGGTTTAGATTTGTGGCGAAGAGTCCGATGCCCGACTCATTTAGGCCTTCAAAAGGGCTTTTAATAATCCATTTAGATGTAGGGGCGCCAGGAAGATGGAAACCGTTCCGCTCGGCATACATGGATCCTTCGTTTAGAGGACCTCTGCTGTGATCGACGTATTGCTCGCCCCCGAAGTTGCCCGTGATCTTCCATGTAACTTCAGATTTGTCAGGAAAGCCTGAAATATCATAGTTGAGTATTCCTCGTGGCTCTCTCATTCCTTGGCCGTCCGCTTCCCAGTTTCCGTGCAGTCCCATATGGTCAATCAAAACCGTAAGAACATAAGCTTGCCCTTCCTTTAGGGTCCAGGGGAAGTTAAAGGTCTGTTCATATGAGGCGTTGGAAGCATTGCCTGTCCATGATCCCAGGTAGGTGTTGTTAAGCCATACAGAGTGACCGAAGGCATTACCACCTTGCGCTGAAAGGAAGAAGGCAGTTTCAGCACCTGTCGCTTTGAAATTTCCACGGTAAAGGAGAGATCCAGCTTGAAAGCCATAGTCACCCGAATAAAGCGATGTTGGTGTAGTGAGATTCCGTGTGTTGTTCGTGTGGGTGATAGAACATGGGACCCAACGACTGTCATCATAATTCGGCTGGACCTCAGGCAGCGAGTCGATATATCGCCACTCTAAAGAGGAAAGCTCTGGCAACGTAAAACTCGGCTTGTTGTATTCGACTGTTCCCTTGGCTGTCCAATTGGCTTGCTGAGTAGTTTTGAACTCTTTGCCATTGAAGAAAGTTTGCGTGGGGTTGAAGGGAGCAGCAATGACCTCGATTTCGGTTGTCGCGTTGACGTCTCCTGATAGATATAAAGCCTCTCCTGAGCTAGAAGCTGACCGGATGAGATTCCCTGCTTTGACAATCACAGTTGCGTTTGTAGAATTCAGCCGAGAGGCAGAGGGGTAGCGACCAATTGGTTCCGGGAGAGGAAGGTCCAAGGTCCAGTATTGGTATGCTTCGTTTCTCCACAGCAAGTGTATTTCGACGCCCGAAGCGAAGTGGGCAACTCTGCGGACTTCTTGAACTTCCCACTGAATAACAGCAAGCGAATTGATAATTTTGCACCTTATGCCGACTCCACCAATAATTTTGGGGCAACCATGGGACGATGGAACTGCAAACTCATGTAATCCATTGGAACCCCCGTAAAGAATCACTACTGTTTTGGAAGTAAGGCGTGTCCAAGAGAAAACCTCTGCCGTAGAGTAAATCAGTTTGGTGCTGCCGATGGGATAGTCTGCCACGTGAATCTTGGAATCGCGGCCGTTCAAGGTCAGATTGCCACCAAGCAGCGGAAGGGTGAAGTTGCCCTCTTGAGTGCTAACTCTTAGCCTGTAGCTTACTACATCTTGAGAGGCATATGCGGCATGCCCTACCACGTAAAAGGCTCCTGAAGGCTGCGCAAAAAGCGGCGTGACGACCAGGGCGTCCGTGTCGGTGTATACCCCATAACTACCGTTGGCTGGCTGGGCTACGGACCAGGTGGGAGATGATCGGAGGAAGTTGGCCTGAAGCTTTAACTCACTGTATTTCTCACGAATGACCTGTCGGTTCTCGTCAATAGGACTACCGCCATCGTAAGAGGTGTATCCCCCTTGATGCCCGAGGTTGCCCCAGTTTGTCCCCCCAAACATCTAATATGAGTTAGCAGAAACCACTTGTTCACATGCAAAGGATGATCTAACCATGTAAAGATTTAAGACGCTTACTCGCATCCCAAACATTATCTTGTTAAATACCCTTGAAAATTCATGGTTGATGAGCGCGGAGCAGCTGTCCACTCCAGCGCCTCCCCTGATTTTCCACGTTAGCCTGCAATGGATACCCCCAGCCAGGTTATATAGTGGATGCACAAACCATGGATCGGCCGATGCGGCTTGAAACTCGGGCACTGCGAATGGGCCGTTCGGATCCCACGCCATGTGCTTTGTGAAGTTGATCATGCGCAAAAGAGAGTGGCTGCGCCCGTCTCGACCCCAGTCTGAAGGATTTACACCTGGCGCGTTGCTTAGCAAACAGTCCCTTTACAGAACATGGGAAAAGAAGACAGACAAAAGACTCACAGCCAGAACCCCACTGAAACGGGTAATCATCTACACCGAATATGTCAACCTCGCCAATGCCAGTCCCCGGTGCGAAGTTGCCGATTGGTATACCATCATTGTTAAGAAACGGAACTACCACACCAGCCGCTCGAAGTTGGGACTGAACATTTGCCATATACTCCTTGTCCAAACATGCAATCATGGTCGCTGGAGAGCTATAATCGGAACAGATTGAATACTCGTTCTCAGGCTGAACGAGAATGATAGGCCCGCCGTTAGTGATTTGGGCTTCGCTAATTATCTTGCCGATTCTGTTCAGATATGTTTGAGTTGCGTTGATAAATTCAGGAGCACTCGTTCGAATTGGGGAGCGGCTGCGCTGAAGCCAACCGGGAAACCCGCCCCCCGACACTTCCGCGTTGATGTATGGGCCTGGTCGCGCCAGCAGGTAGATGCCCGCTTCAGATGCTGCCTTGAAGAACTCTTCCAGAGCAAAAACGCCATCAGCCCGAAACTGGCCGGGTTCCCCCTCCAGGAGACCCCACATAACGTAGAATGACACGCCTGTGAATCCCATAGCCCGAATCTTTTGAAAGACATCCAGCCAGAGCCCAGGAGATGGCAAACGAAACGGGTGCACCTCCCCCGAAAAAAAGATTATCCTCTCGCCGCGGGCTTTGATAGTATACTCATCCCATGAAACAAGGTCTTGTAAGCTCGTCGAGTTGTTTTCCTGACGTATAGATAGTCCGCTTTGAGGCGGTAGTTTCGAAAGGGCGGCTGCGACATGGCACAATATCGCAAGCCAAATAACAAACCGGTATGTTTTGGCCATGTCTATTGAAACCGGTGGTTGAATAAATGACTGAAGAGCTATCTCCGTGATAGTTGGTCCGTGAATTATGTTTTCTCGACCACCACCTTTTCTTTTATGTACGTCAACTTCACTGCTCCTTGGCTATTCTCGATGTACATGCAAATGCACCAAAATCGTCAGCAACGTTTCTTTCTACCACTCGATAATTCTTAACCCAAAGGTTTGCCTGCAATTAGCTACCAAAAACAACTTTACCAACATTCATAACTCTCCACACTTGATTTACGTCACGCATCAAAATTCCGAATTAGGAAATTTGCATTGTTTTGATATGGTCGGTTAAAGTTGCATTGTGGATACGATCGATCTCCTAGTTGAGTAACGTTGCAGCCGTATACAATACGCGGATAAGAGTCATGGGAAAACACTGGCTGTAAAAGAGCTTTTTAGGTGATGAAGGTGTTTCGTTTCCTTCTACATCTATACGCCCTATCGTCACTAGGTACTTGAACCGTTACCCACCCCCTCCTGGTGGCTAGCGTTGCTGCATCAGGTTACTTCAATATCTCATCTTCAAGATGTCAGGTCGTAACATCAGCCCGCATCACGTTCCCGACCATTCGTAGGGATAAGAATGTAGCAGCGCATAGGAAGAAGCAATATGCCTTTCAAGCGAGCCCGAACAGACGTGACTTGACTTGGACCAAGTATTGCAACGCTAGATGTCAAAAATGGCAAGCCCTGTAGACCAAGAGTGGACATATGCTACCCACCTATGTAATTGTGTTGGCGGGGTTAGTGAGGCTTGTTTAATTGGTTGATTTCGACATGCATATTGCCCTTTCTTATTAGGGTCCTTACCTTACTTCAAAAGAAAAAGGACATCGGATATTAGTGTTTCTTAACTGAGGGATGATGCGTTGAACCGGTACGCATAGATTGGCAAAAGTGTAATTTCTATCTCCGCTATTGATTGATCCTTTGAAAGTTTTGTCTATGAAGTCGTTTTCGATACGTAGGATCAACTCCCATACTTTATTCTCGTCTTTTAATTCCAGTCTATTCCATCTCAATGGTACCTAATACGTCTCAATTAGTCATGCATACACATACAGCCAACCGTCTGGCGACAAAGACAATAAACAAGGGAAAGAATGACTAACCAGGGGGCTTGCTGGTAATATCGTAAGTGACACGAGCAATGCCATCCACCTCGTTGACAATACGTGTCGAAACTCTCTTGATAAAGCCGAAATCAAACTCGAAAGGCTGCGATGACGTTAGTTCTGGAATGGCAGCGCAGATTGGCAAGCATTCTTACCTCGGCTGACATGTAGTCGAGAGTCTTGACGGCACGAAGACTAAAATTGAAGTTAGAATCTTTGTCTAAAGCATTTGAAGGGGCCATGGGTAGTCTTCTTAGAGACAGGCCCTGGAATGCACGATTGTAGACCATGAAATGGCCAAAAGGGACAGAGCCACCGCGGACAGACTAGACCAAATTGAATCCAAAAGAAAACAGGGTTCCGGGACTTACATAGCAATATATCCGTAAACTCTAGCATCGCCTTGGACTCCGACAGCTGTGGGATTGTTAGTCAGTATGATAGGCAATGAACTCAAGGGTATTTCCAATGATGTTGAAATGGTATGACTATCCAAAATTCTTACCTCTATCTTGGCTGATGGCGACGTATGCTTGGGAAATCTACCGCGTGGTCAGTCACGTTCACAAAGAGAACGGAAAGTGTAATTACCTGGTCGTATACTCCAGCTTCCTTGATCTCGGAAATGAAGATGTGGTCCGCAGCCCGGGCAATGGCGACTCTCTCAGGTGTGACCTCACCCAAAATACGGATGGCAATACCGGGACTACAGGTGGAGTTAGTATGGATACTTGATTTTTGGATCGATGTACCTACCCAGGGAACGGGTGACGCATAACAAGGCTTCGGTCGATGCCCAGCTCTTGGCCAAAACCGCGGCACTCATCCTTGAACAGTTCTCTCAGAGGCTCAATAAGTTTCAGCTAAGTAAGGTGCGGTCAGCGAATATGTCACGTCAACCAGTGAAATGTACGGAGGTGAGCTGGAAACAGAGCTGGCCGCTGGCCAGAGATCGCCGGGTTGGGGTCTCAATCACATACCTTGAGCGTGTCGGGCAAGCCTCCCACGTTGTGATGAGCTAGTCTATTAGTTAGCAAGAGGAAAAGGCAGAGGATATAATGGGGACGTGCTCTTGATCGTGGCACTCGGTCCTAGGAAGCGTTAGTTTGCCTACTGAATGTGCCTTGCGCTCAGGTGGATCCTTACCTTTCCAAGAAACTGACTCAATACTGGGAATCGTTAGTTGCATATAACGGATTGAAGGGTCCTGGCTACACGTACACATCGGGATACAGCTGCAAAGAGGCATTAGCATATGTAAGATTAACGCATAATCCGGGTTCACTCACAGTTCCCTGGACAAGCCATTCAACAGGCTGGTTGTCGGCAGCTTCCTTCTCAATACGAGTAGCTTCCTGCTGGAACAGATCGATGACTGTCATTTTGTTAGCGACTAGACGCAATATGCAAGCAAGGTCTGTGGAAACAAACATACAGGTCTTTCCAATAATCTTGCGCTTCTCTTCGGGGCTCTTAACGCCTGCCAGACGGCTGAGGAACAGTTCGGCTCCATCAACCACCGTCAAGTTGATTCCAAGATGCTTGTCAAGAGTCTCCTTGACCTGTTCGCATTCGTTGAGACGCATAACTCCGTTGTCGACCTGCAAGTTTTCCGATCTGTTAGCTTATCCCCCACTGTTAAAACTCACGGCGGCAAGGGCAGCGCACCAGAATGGCATGGAAACGGTTTCCTATGTGACCTTTAGCTTCCAGATGTGATTTGAAGGCACCAGATAAGACTTACCAATGGCCTCAGTCATCAGCTTGGCAGTAACTGTGCTGTCCACACCACCGGAAACAGCTCCGATGACCTGTGCGCGATCGCCGACGAGGTTTCTGATGCGGACAATCTCATTTTGGATAAAGTTGCTCATGACCCAGTTGGTTTGCGCACCGCAAATGTTGACGGCGAAGTTGCGCAGAATCTCAGTGCCACGAGGAGTCTATTAAAAGCTGTGTCAGTTCAAGAATTTTACGTATTTTCAGTGGTCAACCTACGTGCTCCAGCTCAGGGTGGAATTGCACGCCTGCAATAGCTCAAGTTAGCCAAAATTTCATGAACTATACCGAGGTCGAAGATTTGTCTTTCCGAGGGAAAAATAATGGTAAGAACAGGAGCGCAGGGTAACGGCAAAGGGCACAAATAAAAAGTAAAGTAATGAGTAGGGTCTGCAGTAGATTGAGAAACTCACCGTAGATTGGCTTCGTCTCGTGGGCGATACCGGCGTATTCAGAGTTCTTGGTGCTTGCGACAACGACAAAACCAGCAGGCAGCTTGACAAGCTTGTCAAAGTGGCTCATGTAAGCTGGAATGAAGTCAGATATTTTGCTTGACTGGCCAAAGCTGTTCAGCCGAGCAAGACTCACCATGCATGGACTCTCCGATGCCAGCGAAGAGGCTATCGAGATGGGCATTTCCTGTAGCGTGAACGTTGACATCGGCGTGGCCGTACTCTGCAAATCCCAAAAGTTAGAACATACACCCTCTCTATCTGGGTTCCCCACAGTACCAACCTCGGATCTGTCCACGAGCGACATTGCTAGAATCGATTCTCCAGGCAATTTCCTACAAGGGCGGTTGATCAGCTTTGGTTCGTAAATCCGACATCTGAGAAGAGAAGGCCCGATTCGCTTGCATGTACTGGGTTCAGGCCAGGTGCTGCAGATGAAAATTGGCCCAACACAACAAGGCCATTCTCTCAAATATCTGACTGCTATGAGTCTTACGAGGGGATATTACCTGGCAACCGTAGCTGAAAATGCCAAGTTAGCAACCTAGTATTTTTAGAGCGATGGCATCCTTACCAAATACCCAGGATTGGGACACCAAGATCAAAGACAGCAGGATCAACGTCTAAGCAAGTCAATGAGACCATTCGGCGAAAACTGAGAGATAATTCTTACGAGGCGCGCCCTGGTCGTAAACAGATGAGGGTCCTGTAGCCTGTTAGATAGTCCGGACACGGCAGGCAAAACTAAGATGGCATCACTCCTGAGATGCTCTTCACTATTGCATACCTCCGGAAAGCACGATACCCTTCGGCTTAAAGGGCAAATCTTCCAACTTCGTGTTGCATGGCAGCATCTCAGCATACACCTTAAGGCTTCGCAGACGGCGAAGGATAAGGTGACTCGTCTGGCTGCCAAAGTCCAGAACGAGGATGGTCTATCTCACACAAGGTCAGTGATCTATATTTACTGACTCTCGCGGCAGGAACTCATGAAGTGAATCACGTACGTCGAAGTTGTTGTGAGGCGCCTCGGCCTCAGCGATCTTATCCGTCATCTTGAATGATTTCTCGGTTGTCGTTGCGTTTGTGACTCGAGAAGAGTTTTGGAGGGGCAATTTTTTTCAGTCAAGCGTTCGGCCTGATGGCGGGGGCGGGGCACTTGGACTTTTTTTCTTCTTATCTTATCTCATTATCTTATCGTTCCACACACTTATCTAATCCAGGGGTAATGCCGCCGGCTCCACCGATCTGGTGAATGCGGACTTTGAGTGTCCTGCATATCTGTTGCCTTCTTGAATACAAATCTCAATTTGTGAAGAAACTTCATTTTTCCAATGGAGTTAGGACTCACATACGAGACTACCACTTCTTAAACTGCTCATGTAAGGTGGAAGAGTATCTGTCTAGGTTTCATGTGTAACGCATCAAATGTGTTCAACCGCCGAAGTCGGCGATTAATCATAGCCCCAAAAGTTCTCCAGAAGCAGGCTCAATCGAATCATTCACACTGTCCTAGTTGTCACCACCCATGCATAACATCAATCATATCCTTGCTATCACCCCTTTTATTGCGCATAAAATACAAGCAATGCGTGCTTCTCGATACCTGGGCAGCTCACTTTCAGTTCACAACCTTAGAGCGCCCCATCACATACAAGGATAGAACAAACTCTAAGCCCAGTGACGACTACTGTGAAGGCAGAGACTCTGACCGACAGCATTAAAGAAATAGGTACTTAGATAATGGAAGGGAACAAATTCGTAACCATATTGTAGCTAGGCGTAGTACTTTGATATTCAGAACCGTTGAGCACCAAATGTAGATCATCTACCTTCAAGCATTTGCTCATTTACCGTGGCTTGATCACTGATGAGCTTGTTGACAGGTTTCCTGAACAGTAAAGCAAACGCATTGCAACTGAAAGTAGACTTCTGCCTAGGGTATTCTCATTCAACGAAATGGGGTTATAGAGTCTTATGCTCGGCGAGTACGTCTATGAATTGCGCAATCTTCCGCTTCCGCGTCTCAGGCCTCTTGGTTGTCTCGATCCTCCATAGAAAAGCATATCTCTGCGTTCTATTCAAAGCGTCAAAAAACTTCCTCGCGCTCAAATTCTCTTCTAACGCCGTCTGAAAGTCCAGCGGCACTTCCATGAGGCTTGCAGAAGAGTATGCCCTATCCCACCGCCCGTCTACCTTCGCAGCATCAACCTCGGCCTGCCCCGGCGCCCTCATACGCTTCAATTCAGTAAGACGGGCCACTTTGTCCACATTTCTTTTGGACCACAGACTGTTCTTACGGCGCGGCGTGAATCGTTGTATGAAGTGTTGTTCATCGTGGGACTTGCGTTGGCCATCGATCCAGCCGTAACAAAGACTGACATCAAGTGCTTCGTCGTAGCTGACGGTAGGGGTTGGTGCATTTTTCTTACTAATTTGAAGCCATACTGCTGATGTCTGGGTGTGGTGGTCGACAAGCCATGCCTCCCATGCTGCTTGATTCTCGAAAAGTAGAATCGGAATCGAACCAGGGCCTTCAAGAGATTCCGTTGGAATTGGTAGTTTTGCAGAAACCTTCTCCGTCACAACATTTTGTGTTCTTGCACTGGATCTTGTGGTCCGGCCCATGCTAGCACGCGTCCTCACTGTCAACAATGGATATGAAGAGAGGAGAAGAAAGGGCGAAACTTTATTAAAGAAAAGATTTCATAATAATTTGGCATTAATGAGTAAGAGTAAAATGGCGTTGAAGATAGAAAGACTTCGCACTACGAGATTGACAATGGTTGGGGAGATGGACGCAATTGATAAATTTGGAGTCGCCAGGCAGCAATGAGTTACAGGGCCAAGGGGGTGACATCCCTAGCTTTGGTTAAGTGCGGGGGAATAGGGGCTGAGGGTCCCAGGGTCCCGTGTTCTGCTGAATCAGCACTTGGGCATTATCTGCATCCTCCTAACAATCTTACGCTCTTTTTTCCCATCCTTTTTATTGAGCTTGCAACTCACTGTACCTAGTCCAGATATTGTATTGTTTGAACTCAGGTCGGCAAAACATCTGGCTCAGCCGGGTTTGTAAACCATGATTTACCTCTTCGCAACCTGGAAACAGAAGGAAGAAGGAGACTGACTCGATGAAATTTTGATGGCATCACAAATTTCCATAGCAGGTGAGTGAGACTATTATCTTCATCTTCGCTATTTACGCCTGCGAGAATTTACATTGCTTACTCATCTTCAATATTTAGAGCTTCATCATTGAACCTTGTTATTCTGATAGGAAGCGGTGGCAGCTGACTACTGTTCGTCTACCCTCGTGCGGACAATGTCTACTTTTCTTCGTCTACGGTATTCGTGCTAGCGTGGACGGGTGATTTGTGGGTGCTGCCAGTTCTATCCCCTTCCGTTTTTTCGGAGGACAAAAAGCTTGTCACCTTTCCAGCTTTCCTGAAGACGAATTTGCAGAAAAACTGCCGCGTGGTTGGTATACAGGCTGTGAAGACGCCTGCGCACAACTCGATATCTGACCAAATGACAATGGGTAAAGTATCAACTAGATACTGCGTCAGTTTGGGGGCGTAATTAATGGGGTTTAAATCGGAACTACATACCAGTAAAGTTATGAGTACCTGCGCGAAACTGTATGAGCGACTTCAAACGTATTCCACTCACAATCGTCAGGCTTCAGGCGGTGTAGGATTAGCCAACTTGATACAATAGAATAGATCTGAGGACGAGAATGGCTCACAAAAGTCCCAGACTGAACAGGAACAAAACAGCAAACTTCTTCCGCTTCTGCATGTTTAATCCCATGACCTGGGTTCCTGGTAAAACCAGCATCCAGATATCTAGAGCTACTTGAATGGCTCCGTGGATTGTGCCGACGAGAACTATATTTAAGCAGCTCCCCTGCCTGTTAGGGTCACGGCGCCAAAGTGTCCACGAGAGGCTGATGGGACGACACTGAAATATTCCCACAAGAGTGAAAGATATTCCCAACATCAGGTTGAAAACTTGTGTCCCCACCAAGATGGCGCGGATCTTTTCGCCTGTGAAGATTCGAATAAACGTGAAGATAATGGAAGCTTTAATCAAGAACACAGAGCAATGGTAGAATATTTGGACGATGTAAAAGCCCTAATAAACGTCAGTTGACATGCTCGTGTTTAAACCGATGCAACCCAAATCAAGATGAGCTCCTCCTTACCCTGTAGTAATTGGTGATTTGTTCGGGCGTGAGGGTCCACATGTCCTTTCCGGTCCCATTGTGTCCAACTATGATATTTTAGTTCTATCGATCAGTGAGTCAGATTCGTAAGGGGATCGTTACTCACTATACACATTTATCGGAACAAGAGCAACTAAAACAAACTATGTGCTTTGTTAGATTATGTGTTGACGTCGAAGCAGTAATAGAACACCTACGTAGGCTATCAAAATGAATGCATCATCCGCACCCCAGCTAGAGATACGGGAAAGCTTCACGATCACCCGAAATATTATGGATGGAGTGGCTAGCAATAAAAACAAAAGAAGCCGGGGTATTTTGGTTGTCTCAAAATCATCCTCTACAGGAAATCCACATGCTGTCCATGTGAGATTCTGTGTAGCTAGAACAACCTGTTAGCTGTTGCATCATAATCTAGAGCATTTTCTTACCCAACGCATCTATAGGTAAACAGCTGCTGACCACGCAGTCTGCTACTGACTTCATCAGATTCCCATCATTGCAAAGGCACGTCAAACTTGACGAGACACAATCTGATCGACTTATTGTTCCCTGGATGCATAGTTGCTGAGGTTCAAATCAGCTTAGCAATGAACAGAAGGGGGAAGAAAAGAAAGTGAAAAATTATGTTCTTACAGCGCATTGGGGAGCATCTTCAACAGAAGACGCATGGGTGGCGATGGCCAAGCACAAAACAAGGAGCCATTGAAACTGCCTTGGCGGACGCATGGCTGAGGTGAATAATATGATTGGGTTTTACAGGAGTTGTATGCCTAGGGTCAGAGAAGTGGTTCAGATTCTGTCAACATCCCAGCTTTGTGTGACGGTGTCAGCACTGCAGAATGATCCCTATGTTTGAACCTTGCAAATTGTGGAAAAATGTGTGAGGTGAAGTCCACGACGCACATGCACATGCAACCAATACAATATAAAGAAGAAGGCCCCGGGGCTCTTCAAAGACCTTGATAGCATTCCAGTGGCCATTTTCCTTTGGTACAGTGTCTTGCGTCCTCTGGCTAGACCACCTGGGACAATTTTTGGGTTGCGAAGATCTCTGTACTCCCTTGATGCTGACATGAGAGGCGCCACCGGACGACTTGCTGAACCTACATGGCTAGGTACTAAAGCCGGATGAAGTTTAGTGCTACCAGCAGCACCACCCCAATGGCGAGGACCACGCCGGTTGCAGAACTAAAATGCAATCAGCTGTACTTTCGCCGCATTCGGGACCAGGCTTCGCGCTTATCCCTAAAAAGTAAACGGTGGAGGCAATTCCGTCTGACGGTTGATTGTGAATTGTGTACTAGTGTAGATTGTTCAGCCTCAGTTTGTCTTTCATCCTTGCGTCTGTGTGCGTCTGAAGAAACCAAAGAAAAAAATCGACCGCTGAAGCGAGAGCTACATAATATCGTACCTCCATATTTCGTCGTCAATAATACCTTCACAGCCCGTGCAATCCTCTTCTACTGCGAACAAACGAACAGTACCTGGTCCTAGGTTTTTGCAAACCGAACGAGCTAGGTCTGTCGCAAGACCCATACTACCATTAGCTTCCACTTGATGAAGTTTGCAAGAGTGATGTTCTTAGCTAGTGTCACAGATGTGCCAGCCTGTATTCGTTGCCTAAGTTCCTCGCAACCCCCCCCCTCCCCCCCTAAGCCAGCCATGTTAACGCAGCCAAAGTTATCCCATTATCCTCTTTAGCTAGGTATAGTCGAAAAAGACGGGTGGGTAAAGGTTAACTGCAGAGTGTACTTGACTCCGCACTGCTGTGAACTAAACATCATAGTGTATAGTGTAAAGCTGTTGTATGTTCACTGGCGTGGACCTCTCTATTGGACGCAGTTATTGGCGCATGCAGGAGAAGAGTTCGATACTACTAGTATAGGCCTCGATATTACTTTAGAGTCCGCTTGCTTCCCAGCTCTCGCTGATGTAGCTTGCAGATACAGAATGGTACAGGAACCTTGATGAAGGCTCTCTCGACTTCTGACTGACACACTGAGCCAGGCGACAAGAAGGGATCCTGTCTAGGTTTCTAGTCTTGTTAAGGCTTCATCCGAAACATCTCAGACGTAGATCTTTCATGTATTACAGATCTTATAGTTGCAGCTAGGCTGGTCGATGGAAGATAGCATGTGTAGATGCAGCTGGCGATCGTGAATGAAGAAGTACTTGACAATGGACCAAATTGGGCCGAGAAAGTGGTCTTAGATCATCGTTTATCATGTTTTCAAGATGAACGCTAACACAATCAGAGGTCTTGGTCGTCCACTCCATAGCAAATTGGTCAGCAGGTACCTGGTAGTCGATCGAAAGTGGCGATGTGATTATAGAGGTAAGGGCATCAACTGCACATAAGGTAGCGAGCTGTTTAGGATTACATGCAGGTCTTGAGTAACCACCTGCTTCCCTGGTACTTTCAAAGTGATATCATACTTACAATCTTCTCAATCATATACAATAATCATTACATCTATTGTTAACAACACGGAATTTGGCTAGTGCACAGTCATACTTGAAAGGCGTGTCTGGGAAGGCTTCGGACAATACTTGCTCGCTGTGTGTGAAAATGCCTTGGTCAAGCAAGGGGTAGACATTGCTTTCGCAATGCATCTCCCGTTTGGGCAGCTCGCTATTGTTGAATCAACCAACTTTGCCAACATTAATTTCCTTCCTCCTCCTCTTTGTTTTACTCCTTTGAGTCCAACACCCCTGCACAGGGGGGCTGTTACAAGCACTGGGCATGCGAGCCTTCGGAAGATGCTCCCTTTTACGCGCAGAGCCCCGGCTGACATTTCTTCTAGAAAAACGGGGATCCCGCATTTAATGTCACATTCCCCCCGCTTAGCAGTTTTGACGGGGATGGCGGCTATCTAAATCATGCTCTGATCCGGGGCGGCTCAGCGGATAGTAATATGGGATCAGGGATCTTTTGGCTAAACAGCAAGCGAGAGGGGGTCCGAGCGACGATCGTTTGAACAACTTTGGTCCGCAATATGATAAAAGGCGACTCGTGCTGCATCAACAATGCCTCGATGCGGTATGAGAAAGATTCTGGTAGCTTGAAAGGAGGTTACGGCGACTGAAAACCTACTATGCGGCCTATCTTTCTCGCCCTTCTCTGGGCAGTGTCTGTTGCCTCTGTCCCAACCAGTCATCATGTTCAGGAGCGACAGGATGACAGCCACTGGGTTGTGACATGGACTTCCATGCCGCAAGAGGTTGAACAAAACAACGTCCCTCCCTCTCCATTTGTAAGAACCCATCATAATGCTATCTACTTTCGAAGCTAACATGTTCACGTTTGCAGAACGGAGGAAACGTTCAGTTCCGCGACGCAACCCTCCGTCAGACTTTTCACACCTCCATCGGCGCATCCCGCCTACGCGTGCAAGTTTCCAACACGTTCGGCGGCTCCGATCTACCCATAACAGCAGCATCATTGGCTTTGCCCCTCAACGGCGCTGCAGGAGTCTCGGGGATAGACACAGCAACCCTCAAAGGCCTCACCTTCTCCGGTTCTCCATCGGTTGTAATCAAGCCAGGAACGGTGGCCTACTCGGACCCAATTGACTTTAACGTTGCACCTCAGAGCAATATCGCTCTGAGTCTGTACACACAGCAGGGACAGTCGGGCACTCGCATCACCGGACACCCAGGCAGTCGCACGACCTCGTGGATCCAGAGTGGTAACAAAGTCAACGCATCTTCTGTCGCAGGCACCAACACAAAACATTGGTACTTCGCCAGTGCAATCGAGGTTTGGGCACCCAAGAAATCCTCGGCGTTGGTCATCCTCGGTGACAGCATCACCGATGGACGAGGAAGTGACGATGATAAGAACAACCGGTAAGTTGTAACTCACCGCACATAATCTCCGCAAACATAGGCATACTGACAAACTCAGATGGCCCGATCTTCTCCTCGCGCGTCTGCAAAAAGAAGGCCTGTCCAGCCTTGCCGTCGCAAACCAAGCAGCAGGCGGCAATGCCGTGCTCCAAGGCGGCCTTGGGCCTCCCCTCATCACCCGCTACACCCGTGATGCCCTCACCCAGCAAGGTGTGAAATATGTTCTCGTCTTCGAAGGCGTAAATGATATTGGGGGTGGAGGAACGGATAGCGGATCTCAGCAGCGCATCGGCGATGGCTTAATTAACGCTTATAAGCAAATCGTAGCCGACTGCAAAAAGGCTGGTCTCGTGACCATCGGCGCAACCATCACGCCGTTTGGTGGCAGTGGGCAAGCGTACTCGAACCCCACACGGGAACAGACGCGGCAGCGCGTGAACAAGTGGATTTTAGAGAGCCGTACATTCGATCATGTGGTGGACTTTGCGGCTTTTATCGGGCAGGGAGATCATTTGAAAGCGCAGTTTGACGGCGGTGATCATCTGCATCCAAATGTAGCGGGTTATCAAGAGCTGGCGAATAGGTTCCCTGTGGAGATTTTCAAGAGTTGAGAAATTTATGAGAGCGAATCTCTCAGACTGGTTTTGTTTCCTCAAAATCCCTGTTGGTCTTTATCGCGAACGGATGTACTTGAGACCATCATGTCGATTGCATTGGTAGGCAACCTAAGTATGTCAGTGTAAGTATTGTGCGAATATAGGCATAAACAGTTTAACCAGCAAGTGGAAAATCACCAGTTTCTCAAGGATTCAGATGCTACCTGAGCCAGGCTGCCATGGCTGTGCAGTGTTACTCTCTAGCAAATTGCAGGCTGAGCAGGGCGAAATGAACTAGCGTCGTCTAGGGTCTATAAGGCGAAATCATGCTTGGCAATTGAGGAGGGACCGCCTGACCTTGGCGGTCGGCTGATGACATGGATCAACAACATACTTGAAAAACTCCTTCCGCTGCTGAAAACCGCCTTTTGTTTAGAAAAGAAATACGGTTGTTACGAAGACAAATTTTGAAGAGGCTTATATTAGGCCTTTGGACTCAGGCTTGGCACAGAGTGAGTGTAAGTGCTCGTCTATAACCAACATACAGACCTAACCAGAAACCGTTAGAGGAATCGTCAAGTCAAGGTGATCTTTTGAACAGATAGCATCCAAAAAGGGGAAAAAGAGAGAGGAAACCTTAGCCAAGAAAAATACCCTCAGGTCTCACTGATGGTGGACAATTGGAACTACGAAGTAGAATCCCCAGAGGGGTTTGCCGATGCTTCAAGGGAAAAAAGGAGTAATTCAGACGATGAGCTGGAGGTACATGATGCGTCAACGTCCCGGCCATGGTCTCGCGCTTCCACGCCTCCGCCGTCATATACCAACCCGATCCTAGAGAATCAGTTCCGATGTGGAGAGTTATTTACTTTCGAGGCCGAGACTCGTTCCCTTGTCCGAGAGGAGATACGGCAACAACCGCAGAAGCAGCAAACAGCCTTTTTCGTAACCTTTTTTGGCTGTTTCTGCTGGTTGGTTTTCGAGATTACTGCCATTGCGCTATCAACAGAAGCGGCCAAAGACCTTGATCACTATGATCTAGAGTCTGATGTCAAGACTGTGATGTAAGCTTCATTTCCTTGGCGGTAAAACTGGCCAGACAAGACTGACAAAACAGTAGCAATGTGGTAACACTCCTGTCTGTAATAGATTTCGTCCTGGTTGTACTGTCGCCGATTCTTTACCGTTACATACAACTATTAGGATTCATTGCATTGCCTGCCCTTACCTGCTTGGAAGGACTCGCACTAGGATCATTTACTATTTTCGTTGCCGTTGCCAACTTGCAAAATGGCTCGTGTGACAAGTACACTAGAGACGGAACCGAGTGTTGGAGCGGACTCAGGCTAGCCACGGCAAGCGGCGCTTTCAAAGTATTACTTTTGTAAGCACCCTCAATGACTTGTGTGAATATTATTAACACCGAGTCAGTCCTGTCGGAGCGGTCATAATGGCTGGGTTTTGGTTGCAGCGCGAGGCGAAGCGGCCCAGCAAGTCTGGGGACAGCTAGTCCCAGGAGAGATAAAAGCCGGCCATACTTAGCACAGGAAAGTACTGTGCGTAGTTAGTGTACAAACATCTGTTTTAAATTCCTTACTGGGCACATAAATGGATAGCATAATTCAAAATCACTCATATATATTCGAACTCATTCGGAATCGACCCTGAAACTGAGGGATACGAGGTGAGGAGGGTAGAAAAGGGTTAACAATGGGGTGAAGGTCTTAAGTTCGGATTATCGAAACCTGGTAAAATGGCGATGACACCTGTCTCTTGGTTAAAGGAGTTAATAAACTTTTAATGGGCTTCAAAATTAATTTTCTGATGCTGCAATGCGCACCATATCCAATGGCAAAATAAGGTGGGTTCGGTGACTTTTGTCTCATTGTACATCGATGCAAGCCTTTTCCATATGTAACTAGGCACAAGGACATTCAAAAGGAGCGATAATCTGTGACCTTGACCAGTTCCAAAATCGCTTTTGTCCTTCGATATTATCATAAAGGTCGATTTAGAATACCTTAAGCATTGGTGAGTATTTGGTATCACAAGCTAGTCTATGAACATATTAGTCCGCTAATAGATTATCTATTTCCCATTTTGCAACACATGAATATCCAGAGCCAGCAAAATTATCTATATGGTATGATTTGGGACTCAACAACTTCTTCGCCGCCTTGGTTCCAGACAACTCCTCATTCTGTGCGCCCAATCTCGCCACCAAATAATTTGGGGACTACCTAGTCCGCTTACTGGGGTTCAGCGCCAGCAGACCATTCTACCGGCGCATTTCCCAAGTAAATGGCACGCTCAAAAGTGAAAGCAACCGGTTTTCAATGGGCCACAAGACCTACTATGGCGGGAAAAGAAAGCATACGGCCGGGCCACTCCAAGGTTCAGCCGTATCTATTTGCTTCAGCCATGCAAGCCGCATGGAACGGTAGCTGCAGGTTGCCACTAAACCATTGGTTCCGAGCTACTGGAACCTAGGGGCCCCTCACCCGGCGGGTCATACTTGTCTTGCCGAGGGATGCAGGAGGCTCATAGCGGACAGCAAATTTGGGAGACATGTTTCCTTTTTTCTTTCCTAGTGCTGTTTCTTACAGGCGCCTCCTTTATTCTGGGAGGCGAGAACCCGGAGGTGTGGTTTGGATTTCTTAGGTGTAGTGGCCTTGCCGGGCGGTTAGCGGTGAAGACCTGTGCAAAGCCAAAAGAGGGACATCGCCCTTCGTTACACAGAAGGCTGGCCCTTATGTGGTCATTTCTTTTCCTTTACGTCTTGGCTCCTATCCTGATCGGGCCCATTTCATCGCGTGGGCTTTCGAGAGCTTATGCAAATGAATATCTGAAGTGATTTTCCGCGATGGGATTGCCTTTTGTTGTCGCCACCTAAAGCATGGCCGCCACAGCTCCGGACGTGATCCCAAACCCAGAAGATATTGATTTTTGGGGCATCAGATCGTTCCTTGACGAAGATGAATTGGAGTTCTGCGCCAGCCGCCGTTCTCCATGTGCTTCTAGTATCAGCCTCGGCCCGGTAAAAGCCAACCTGACCTCCGTGTTGTGTGTTTACACGCTCCAAATGATGTAGGAATTATTCTGACAGTCACCAGGACAGAACCGAAGTCGACCTCACCACCGTTTAGTCGTTCAAATGCGCCATCTCCAGAGTCGCCGGCGGGCGACAAGCCAACTGGCAAACCCATTTTATTAGTGAATCACGTCGAAGAGGTTGAAGAAGATGATGATGCTGTCAGAGTACACACACCAAAAGCAGATTCCAGAAGCAGTATATCAACAATCTCGGCGTTTGCCAGCCCAATGAAGTCTTACCTAGCTTGTCCCCAGACACACGAACGCAGAGCCCTATCCTTGTCAATGGACGATGATGCCGAGGAAGATGGATCTGAGTTTGAGGGATCGGTCATTTTGGGCTTAAAAAGATTGCCTGGAATTTATAAAGCACGAAAGACGAGTCACCATTTTTCTCTTTCAAAGCCTCTAGAAATGTCGCATGCAATGGAGCGGTATCTTGCTTCGGCAGTCTCCAACGAGCCATCGGAACCTCAGGTTGACAAGGAACTCCCGAACGTTCCAGCAGATCAACCACATGCTCTCGCCGAGGAGCCAACCCTCGATGTGCCTGGAAATGTTGCTCTCCCTGTACCGAGCGAGAGAGACGCAATATCCGCCCTTCCGGTTCCTTTGGAGGCAAGTCAAATGCCGTCGCTAAATCCGGACAGGCCGATATCGGTTGGATCGGAGCGAAGCGCACCTGACTCGGGAATAGAGGATTTGGAAGCAGCCGATATTTATTTACGACTGTAAGTCGCTGTATCCTCTTTGATGATTGTCCGAGTGCTTATACAGTGTAGGGCAGCGAGTCGAAGAGCCCGCGAGGCAAATATGATCCGGTCTCACGAGCCACCGCGAATACCGAGAGCTCGAGTGGAGAGGAAAAAAAGAATGAGGACTCGAGACGGTTAATGAAAGCCAGATGAAAGATGACTTTGTTATATCTCCTGGGGTCTTTAGCCGTGGACAGATTGATGAGTATTCGCAAGACTGTGAGGTAGTCATGTAGGCTGGTTTGTAACATAGCTCATGAACGCACATGAAATAGTAACCGCCCATAAACCATGACTGAATTCGGCATAATGAAAATGTGAAGGCTTTACCATATCATTATTATCTTGATTTCATCAACGGCAGTGAATATGAGAACGATGTAAAAGAGTGATGTAAAGTGGAATTATAAGTTGCTCTTGTTCCCTAAGAAGGCAGGAGCTCCATCCCCCACCAGAGCTCAGACCAGTCGTGTGTGCTTATCGCATGTCTTATCGTAATTTCCTTATCTCCTTATCGCATTCTCCCGTAGCGGACTTAGAAGCCAAACTGAGCTTCGTTCCCACTTTGACGGCGCTATCGATAGTCGCACGTCGCCACGACCCAATTCTCCACCTTGAAGCTCTCTCGACCACCGCTTGCGATACCACGGCGATGCCACATGGCGCCGTGTGAGCCTGAGCTCCATGTATAGCCGCGAGAACAAGATCATGCGAAAACTTCTCGGCAAAGTCACTGCCGATAGCAGCACCGACACGAGCCACACCATTGGCATCACCAGCGCGCCGCACCTACAAACCTTCCGACCGAGTGCCTCCCAGAACGCCGTATACCCCGCCGGCGTCCCCATCCTATGTCTCGATACCTCCCCTGACCACCGCACTGCGATTATCGCCGGCCGACATATTCTCAAGACAGTTGTCTTCGATGGCCTGTCCGTTAGCGAGGGCATTGATGTCCGCGCCGCCATCACTGCTCAGTCTGCTTCCAGCAAGGGCGCATCAAGCTCCTTAACGGCAGATCAGCTGTCTATACGAGATGTCAAGTGGCACGGTGACTCGACAATATTCACCGCTTGCGCGAATGGCAAAATCTTTTCCTATGATCTTGCTAGGATTGCGACGGGTGGCGCTGCTCTCGAGTTTGTCCAGACGAGGGAAGACTCGCGTCAGGTCAACTCGTTGGATATTAATCCGCACCGACAGACGACTCTGCTATCTGGAAGCCAGGACGGAATAGTACGCTACTTTGATATTCGTGCACCGGTACAGAGCAGATCCGGCGGGCTCACATACAGCCCCCGAGGTGCCTACAAATGCAACGCAGACGGCGTTCGCCAGGTCAAATGGTCGCCCAAGGATGGGTTCTACTTTGCCTGCGGGACAGAGTCAGGAGTGGTGCTCAAATGGGATGTGCGCAAGATCGCGCAGCCATTACTCAAGATACCCGCCCATGACAAAGCATGCGCATCTATCTCCTGGCATCCTGACGGGAATCATCTTATTAGTGGAGGATGGGACAGCAAGTGTGCTGTCTGGGATATGTCCAAGAACGCTGATAAGAGACAGAAACCACGCTGGCTTGTATACACACCTGCGCCAGTGTCCGCTGTAGCCTGGCGACCCGGGTTATGGTCTGCAAGTGCTCAGGGGAAACGTGCTGCCCAAGTTGCTGTGTCCTACGACGACGGCAGCCACAAGAGGTACGGGATTAACAGCGTTCATATTTGGGACTTGGCCCGGCCATCTATGCCCTACAAAGAGATTGACTGCTTTGACACATCACCGTCTGGTCTATTATGGCAAAATCAGGACCTTTTATGGACCGTCGGCAATGATGGTTTGTTCAATCAGTGGGACGTTGCCTTCGCACCGAAGGTGCTTGACCGGCAGTCAGTATCTAGCATGGCACTCTCCTCACGGGGCGATGCTGTCATGTTCCTGGACGAAAGACCTCATCATCGCCCTCGCCCGCCGGTTACTCATCACCATCAATCTAGTGCCGTGCCGCCGAGAACGTCATATAGCTCGAGCCCGACAACACCGATGCTCAGTATCAGCCGTAGCGACTCAGAAGAGGACGTCGTTGGAAGCTTTCTGGGTCCTCGTAGGAGGATGGGCAGGAAACGCAGACACAGTCTACGTTCCATTCCGGTTTTAAGCACGACGCCGCCCTCCGGTCCTGGCCTGCGTGATGATCAGGTCTTGGGATTAGAGCAGGCCATAAAGGTGACTGGTACCTATAAGACACAGCAGTCAATGGCTGTTGGCCATGTACCGGCTGCAGCAAGAGTCGACATCTACCAGTTTCTCTCCAGTAACTACCTCGAAACTCTTGAAAGAGAACTTCCATACGTTACTGGCGCAAAGCCTCTGGCTAAGAGGGTTGCTTCCATCATGGAGCAGTACGCTCGTGCTGCAGAACAGGTCAACCAGTTCCGTCTGGCGCAAACATGGCGAATTCTCGCGTACTCCGTCACTTTACTTCTAAACAGACGGGCACAGTATCATCTCGAAACTCGCTTGGGCCACTTCCAAAAGAGGCCATCTATCTCAAAGATAAAGGACATACCCAAAGTTAAAGTTCCAAAGCCATTAGGGGTTGTTGTGGAGATGAATGGCGAGGAAACACCCAGGCGTCCATCGACAGCTGTCTTGTCTAATAGCGGCGACAGTAGGTCTCTAGGCGTGCGATCTCTGTTGTCCGATGAAATTGAAAGCACATCGAACGTCGCAACGCCTATCGCGCGTGCAATTAACGTGGAGCACGCAGATCAGGCTGGTCACAGATCGGAAACGCAACTGCCGCCAGTCATGGAGTCGGATAGCTTTGCTTTGCCCCCTGCTGCCCATAGTACGTTTAACAACAGTCCTCGCAGACGGCTGGACTCGGTTCCTTTGTCTGTCACAAGCCATCATAGCGATCGGACACAGATCTCTAGCACAGATGGCTACGATTTCTATGATACTGACGCCCTGGCTCACGCTATAGATGTGCCCGAGCCAAAGAAAAAGGAACAGAAACCCCTGGACTACGGCCCCCGCACCCCGAATAGCCGGCGAACATTGAGACACGACTCGGAAGAGAGCTTCTCCCAAATGTTCTCCATGTCAGAGAGCAGCAGGCAAACGTCGGGGCTGGCGTCATCTTCCGAAGGGGGTGCCTCAACGCGCTCGATTACGAGTTATCCTGTACAGCTCAGACATCAGGCGGCAGAGGAGCAGGGCGAATACGAAAGCCGCATCCGTGGAAAAGAGATTGAAGACTCTCCCGAACATGGTGCGTTGTCGGGTCTTGGTGGGCCAGGCGAGAGCGCACAGAAAGACTCTCCAGAAGAGGTCTTTATGATTTCCCAGACGACCATGGCATCCGATACTGCGACAGATCCGCCATCGCAGCAATCCCAACTGGATTCCATCCAACCCACCTTCGAGGAAGACGCACCACTTCATGTCGGTGTTTCGTCGTCAAGCCCACCAAAGATCAGTCCGGCACTGCAACACAATTCCTCGCCAGATATTCTGGAATCTGACTACCTCCTGTGGCCGGAAGATCCCTCCTACCCTCATCCCATCGCATCAAAAGAAACGCTCAACAGCTCGCCCCCGCTGAACCCGTACACCCTCCTCACCCGCGCCCTTGATTTTGAAACTCGAACCTCAGCCCTCAACGCCTCTGCAATGGTCCTCCTCCTCAAACCTCTAATGCCAGACTCCGTCATCGATCCCTTCCGAGCGACCTCCATCTTGCGTCAGCAACACGCCCGTCTTATGGGCATGAAACTCTTCATCGAAGCCGCCCTCCTACGCAAACTATGCATCCAGGGCTGGCCTGAGGGAATCCCAGCCTGGGGCGAGAACTACACGTCCATCTTCGGCCCGGCTCAACAGGGCGTCAAGGGCGGCTTCATGTGTCCCAGCTGCCGCAAACCGAGAGAATTGGACCCCAAACTCGGCCAAAAGGCCCTCTGGAAATGCGAGCGATGTCGTGCGGCCATGGCGCCCTGTGCCGTGTGCGGCCACCGCGAGACAGCGGCCACAGTCACCACTATCGCCGAGGGGGTATCACAGCAGTGTGATCCGGTGATGAGCATATGGTGGTACTGCCCCGGCTGCGCACACGGAGGCCACGCAACCTGCCTCCAGGACTGGCACGCTCCGTCCGAAGACGGGAGCTACGAGCACAGTGACGGCTGCTGTCCCCTCGACGGCTGCGGACACGCTTGTCTGCCGGGTAAGTGGCGGGAAGAGAAGTCGACGGCGAGATCGGACGAGGTCGGTCGCGCCGCGGCCGAGAAGACGCGCGTGCTCGGCGGCAGCGTCAGCGTCAGCGTCAGCGGGAGCAAACCGCAGAGCCCCGTCATACAGCCCAGTATCCGCGGCGACAACAACGAGGTGCCGCAGAGCAGGGCCGTCGAGAGCGTGCGCGAGGCGCTGGCCAGTAGCGCGCATACAATGGGAATCATGAGTTCCAGTCCCGTGAGCAGGTCCGGTGAGAGAGAGAGGAGGAAGAGCGTCAAGTTCGTGCCGACGGAGCGCTAGTGGCACGTCAGCATTCAATTTTTTCGTTCTGTGTAGTTCTTGTACGATGGGCACTCGTGGGTTTTGATGTCACGATCATTGCTTGGCTGGCATAGTGCTGGAGCATAGGCGTTGCGCTGTTCTGGGGGCAGTTCCAATGGTGTGATTTAGTTATGTGACATTAGGATTTTATTAACGGCGACGCCGCCGGGGTATCTCAAAACAATGGAAGCTATTTAATGAGCCGTCCAAATTTCATCATCCTCGCGCGCTCTAGTAGGTGTCTCTCTACGTTCAAGGCAATTAATTCACCTTCCCACGTTCTCTCTCAGACCCTTGGTCCGCAAGGACATCTTCATCTCACGCTCGTCGAAAGGGAGACCGGCAGGTGAGAACGCCGCAATATCGGGTGACGCAGCACCATCCCGCGCAGCCAACGCTTTCCGCAGTTCATCGCGCTGGCGGCTGAGATATTCGCTATCGTTGCTACCGCGCCGACTCCCGCCACCAACGCTGCTTGTATCCCCATCGCCGCCTCTAACGGATGATGGCATACGTCCCACCAAACGCCCAGCCCAGAGGCCACGGACGCCACCTCGCTTACGATCAGGTAGCTCGTCCGTGCCAGCGCTGCATACGTACAGCAAATATTTGAGGTTAGGAAGCGTCTGGCGTATATCGGGGACCTTGAGACCCTGGCTAGCACAGAGGGCCTCAATATTCTTATTGAGGAGAAACCAGCCGTAGTCGAAACGGTAGTGGGCGGCTGTCGACCCGCCACGGGGAATGAAAAGTGGGAAGTCGCGTTGTCTTGCGGCCTGAGCGGAATTTAGGTCGGTCAAGAGGGAAATATCGTCACGGATGGAGGAACGCGAGGCGAAGACAGTGATTGGGTAAGGCAGAGGAACACTGAGGTAATACTGCAAGTTGTTTGTGAGAGCTGCCACGTGGCCGAGGGCAGCAGAGAGGAGATCGTCATCTGGGCCACGGGAAGCGGAAGTGTCGTAGTCTGAATTAGGGAGAGGAAGACCGGCAATTTGGAAATTGAGGGGGCCTCCGGAAGGGCTGGGGGTGATTTGGTAAATATGGCCAAGATCGGAACATATGCGGCGGCGCTGTCCCCGGATCTGTTCTTGTGTCTGAATAAGAAGCGTTTTGGAGGCGGACAGGTGCTCCAACGCGTTGGCGACGTCTTTCTCGGCCTTCTCCTGGAGAACGCGGCCATTTGCAATGGCCTCCCTGCGTGATCTGAGAGATTCGCGCAGTTCCTCGCGGCGCTTCTCGGATGCCTTGAGTGCGCGTTGTTCCTGCGCTACGTATTTCTTTGCAAGCTTCACCTTCTCTTCGGCAGCAGGTGCTTCATTGTGGGGTGTCGTTTCGAGCATATCATTGATCTGCGAAGTAATCTGCTCTTGTGTCGCGATGGCGTCCTGAATCGAGTTATCCAGCGTCGCGAGCTTCATCAGGGCATTGTAGGAGGAAGTATGTAGCGGAGGAATGTCCTTTGGATGCGCAGGCTTGCCGAGGACGTCTAGTGAGTAGATGCCGTCGGCGAGGTGAATGATCAGGCCATTTGGAGGGAATTTGTGGCCCTGAAGGCTCCCAATGAAGTGTAGACTTCGGAGGTCGACGACGTCTTCAAGAAGAAGTGTCCAAGAGGTTCGCTTCGCCCATATTTTGATTGTGAAGACTGGTGAACGTGTAACGGAAGGGCCCTGGTGGTTCAGATCAAAGAACTGGAAGTTGAAGTTCTGTTAAAGACGATTAATGTTAGCCAAGCGCTGAGACAATGGACGAGAAGCTACAGCTTACTGTCGCATGCTCTTTCATCTCACTGATATAAACAGGCTCCTCCTCTCCCTCGCAGTGCAGCGAAAAGAACGCATCGGCGGCTCTACCGTCAACAGTGTACTGAAGCATGCGCTGTCTCGTCACAGGGCTGGCCTGGGCCAAAGCAGTGCTCCTTCGGCGTGCCTTGGGGCGGAGGTTATCGCTGGACAGAGCATGATGCAACTGAGGGGTATCGCGGAGGGCATCAAGCTTTGAGGGTGTGGTATTCAGGAGAGTGTCGTCAATGGTGCGACCCCGGGGTCGGACAAAGCTTAAATTCCTAAGGTATATGCCGCGTAGATGACGAAGCTTGCGGTTTTGTGGGAGGAGGAGGGGTCGGGATTCGGGAGGAGGCATCGTGACGTTTGGGCCTAAGCTCAATTCATGGCATTGTTTGGGTGATAAGAAAGGTGTGCTGTTTGCTCGTGTTTGTGTCGCAAGTATCGTGAAGGTAAGGGAAAGGACAAGGTTCTTTCCATGAAGGACAAGGCGAGCTCGTGGTGCTGCTGGCCGTTTACTATTAAGTGTTGACCGAGGAGAGGATCGTGACGTGGTTGTTGGTGGTTGGGGCTTGTTAGGAATTACGACACTGGAGGAACAGCTTCCCTTTGTTGCTGCTTGACAGCGGAAAGCGGCAGGAGCACAGAAGCACGGGCACCTACAGTTCGGGGCAGGAAGCTCCTTCCTCACTCCATCCCCTGTGCTGTGCTTGCCATTGGCTTTATCCTAGCCCCACCATCGTCATTGCATCAGTGGGGCATCTGCAACTAATGGTCCATTGTACATCTGCTAGCTGCATACTCTTCACACTGACTTACACCCGAGCATTCCAACTACAAATCTCCATGGTATAGTATAAGTCTTCATTTTGGTGATTGAGTGATATCTGCATCTGAAGAACTGCTTTAAAACGGCACTCATTCGCTTTTCTTATTGCCATCTTCATTTGGCCTCCACCAAAAAACATAGTTTATAAACACAAAACATAATTCTATGAACAATTCTGAATTGCTTCCCCTCACACAGCTTGCAGTCGTTTCCCCTGTCTATCAAAGGTAATATATATATGGCGGGCACGTTACGGAGGAGATCTCCCGCCGGCTAGCTCCGTCCTGCCGCAATCCAGCCCGGCTTCGGCTTCTGGGCAATTCGGGCCATTTTCATATTGATAGAAGGTCTAGCCGTTTTACACCTCCGATCACCCCGCCATCGCCGAGATCTGAGTACAGTCGTCTGAAGCTCCATACTGTTTCACCCTCCTCGATGAGGTTCGAAACACTGCCCGCACCCACGTCATCGATAAACCTTACGTCCCAAGGCTGAGGATGAGAGAGGCTTATGTCCGTTTGGATGGCACTTTAGCACACCGAGACAGGTGGCATTCATTCGCCATTGCATCTCGCCATTTACGCCTGATTATCCTGGATGAACTGCATTCTATGGCTCGCATCGTCTCACCTTCGGTTAAGAAGCCGTGAAGAAGGTAGAGTGTATCGCCGAGCTACTGAGACCTAAGGCTTTAGACCACGCACATAAACTCATTGGCCTACGTCACGAACGGTAGGCCCGCGGGCGTTTCACACCCGGTTCTGGAAAATTAAAGCCTAGGCCCTTCCCCCCAAAGCAGCTTTGGCCGTTTTTGAACCGCACGGCTCGTTAAATCTTCTTACCTATCTCTACAGCATGGAACCAACAACAGAAACACGGCACATTCTCTTCCTCGCCAGGGAACACGAAAATGCCATCACAATTGTTCTGTCCAAGCCGAAGGGTTGTGCAGTCCCTCTTTACAACGTCAACCACAATCCGAAATGTTCCAAAATGGAGATTCGAAGAATAAAATGCGACTCTGTCTCCACAGAACATCGGCCCATCGGAGCCGTCAAACTCCGCACGATACCACATAGAGTTGATGTAACAGTCCGCGGTGTCTCGTTCAAGCTGTCCCGCAAACACCCCCTGTCCAGCACCCTTGGCTTTCGATTCCTGGGCGCCGGGGAGATGAGATGGGAGAAGATTGACAAGAAGAGCAGGGGAATGAAGCTGGTGGACTTTAACGGCAAAACCCAAGCATTCTTCCACCCTCGGATGCACGTGGTCAACCACCCTGCTGGGAACGAAGGCGGTGGTGAGATAGGTGACAAGAGCGGACGCCGTAGTAGTCCGGGAACCAAGGCTGGATGGGGGCCTGGCTTCGAGTTGCTCGCGACAAGGCTCGCTGATCTGGACATGGACTTGATCGTCACGACAGGTTTGGCGGCTGCAGAGTATCGCAGGCAACTAGACGAAGACTGGGACGATTTCGTCCAGGATGGACATGGCAACATGCGAGACAACAGCGGTTAAGACATGGTCTACACCTCGTTATCTCTTTGAGTTCATATAATACCCTTGTCAAAACAGATGGTGATTATTCCTGAATTCCTGAATTCGGTTCGTGTCTCCACCTTTTTTCCAAACAAGTCCGTTGTCACCGACGCTGTCATGCCAGTTGAAGCCCATCCGGGGCTACCGGGCTTGTGAAACAAAAAAGAAGAAATAGAAACTCAGTTTAATCATGATTCAATGGCTTTTTTTTTTTATTACAACTACCAACATCAACACTATTATGTCCTACCATTCGCATCTTTCTGCCATTTTCTCCCTGGCCCTACGTTTTGTAATTCCACGTCTGTAATTATGTTTGTTTCGTTTTTTCTTGTAAGCAAGACTTGGCGTTTCCCGTCTGCTTTTGCAGCCATTTGGTCTGCAATATCAATGGGTGTTAAAGGCGGTTCTGGCTTGTACGGTGCCTCGGGTATCTCCATGAATTTGTCTTTTCCGTGATTCAGTATCGATCGCTTTGATGGTGATGTGCTCATAGTCTTTGTAGTGATGTTTCTGCTCGTAAAAAGTCGCGGGACCTTCTGTAATAGTGGCCGTAAAGCGGGTAGACTCGCGCAAAGGATCGCACAAAATTCTTCGATGATGGACCAAATAACGATGTCGACATTGTCCCAAGTGGTGTCAAACGTGCTGGAAAACATGACGAGATACTTGAGTCTCACCATGGTCGTAACACATGCACTAAAGCGTGTTAGTAGGTGCCCTTAGCAACAATTCACTGGCCATGTCGTAACCCACAAGGAACCAAGACTAAACATTAATCCCAACGCAATCTTCTTCCTGATGTTGAGCTGCAGTTTGATCAACTCGGGGATTGGCAGCACCAAGATGACGAGATCCTCAATGATGCTGAAAACTGCTCCGGCGTACCCAATAGCTGTGACGTCTAGACACTTTCGGTTCGAGTTGCTTCTATCCCAAATCGACGAAATTGGTGTGCATTGGAAGATGATGACAAGCAAAAAGATGAGGCCGTGAGAGAGCAGGAACGCAATGAAGTACCGGACCGTAAGCTGAAACCATCGCGCCGGGAAGATGCGAGAGAAGAAGAGCAAAATCGAGATCTTGGCGAACACCTGAATGAGGATGTAGATCTGTTGAACAGCGTAAAAGAGCTGGATGAGCTTCGTGCCCGAGGCGGGTTCGACGTTCCAATAGTGCGTTCCGAAGCCGAGGTCGGCGCTCGCAATCTCAACACCAGCTAACGCGGCGAGAAGCAGCTAGATTCCCATCAGCTTCTCCGTTTTGCAGCACTAAGCTTTACTTTTGAACTAACCGTTGCAAATACCGCCGTCCAATCGTCCCACCATAGTCGTTTTGTGATCATCCATCTCGAAATGCAGCGCAGCGCGACGACCGGAAAGGTGATGGCGGAGAGGGCAATGGCGATGTTCTTGACTTCTTGACTTCTTGATTCCTTCGGATAATCGGCACAAAGAGAGGCCTCGAGTTCCACGGCAGCTACATCGCATTAATACTATGTCTTTGGCGGGGGGACGAGAGACATACTGATCTGGTCCTCGAAGGGACAATTTAGTTGCACACATGTCGACAGATCTGACTGCAATTTGATGTTTGGACACAGGCACTCGGCAACGGTGGTAACGGAAGCCAAGCTACAGTTGCCAACCTGAAGACTCTTGGTGAGGCATGGAAGCTATCGTGGGTCTGATCAGCCCTATCATCGGAGAATATCCTGGGTCCACGGTGGATATGCAGGGAGTGATGTAAGGAGGAGGTCAAACAAGCAAACCAGCAAACCAAGAAAACCAAGAAAATACATGTACTTACAGAACAATTTGGAAGCAAAGAGAGCAATCCTGTTACACTCTGAGCCTCGACCGCCGAAGCGGCAAACCACAAGAGAGACAGTGGCAGCAGCAACCGCCGGCTGTGCTGCCGCTGCCTCGTTTTTGTGGTCATCTCCTGGATATCTTAGGACAACATGTAAGGAGAACAACAACGAACGGCATAGGGAAAACGGAGGAAACAAGCAGGCGGGGGGTGAGGAGCATGAAGTACAACCCACGTCCTCCGGTGGCTACCAGGGGGTTTATTTTCTCTCCGACACAGCCCTTCTTCTATGCTGATATAAACGAATCCACTCTCCCGTCAGATTTTCGATTAAAAAATAAAAATAAAAAAAAAGAAGAAACGAGCGCAGTGGGCAGCATCGTGCCCTTCCCGTCAAATAGCGCGCTGGTGCGGTCTTGGCTGCACCTGCGCGCAAGTGTGTGATATAGCAGACTCATACCCACTCACACACTTTGTTCTATACACTGGCATCTGCTTCCTGTAGCCTGCCTCCACGCCGATCTAACGCCGACGCGGCAGACTTCCGGGTGAGATGAACCAAGTGGGCTAGTCGGCCGAAAGCCAGAAGGAATATGCAGGGAATCCACATGGTCAGGGCCTTCCTGATACACGCTTCTGCATGAACCCTAGTCGAACGATGGTTTAGTCCAGAAGCAAGCTGTCAATGCGTCTAGAAACACTTTCTTCAATAGGCGTAGACCAGCGGCCGTGGCGAACCAAACGACTTCGTATAACGGTCGACGCACGAAGAGACTACTGCGAACGACATCAACTACCACTCTACACTTCAAAAAAGAGACTTGGGTTCACTTGGATGGTGGTATTGGGGTCGGGTTGGGGGCTATGAATCGGGAAGATGTTCCCGACGTTGGGAGGGGATTAGGCCCTGTCAGTGCGGGGGGGTCGATCAGCGACATGCCAAAATGGGCTGCTCTCTGCATTCTTTGAGGACCGATTCTATGGCGTCGCGCACTTGCATATAATCTCATCTCGCTCAGGGGCCGCTCATTGCTGACTGGTCGACAACTTGGGACTAAGGGGAAATGTCATGCCGGCAGGTCGGGTAATGGGTACGGATAAAGGTAGGTTCAAGCTGAAAAGAGCCTGACGGACAAGGAGAATAAGCCGCTACGGGCATGACTCGCAACCACACGGAACCAGGGGTGGTCCAGACATAATAGCCTACCAGTAGCCTCTCACGTTGGTGTAAGAGGGAACAAAGCCGGCTGGCAAGATCCAGACACTTGAGGATTTGTACCCTTGGCCATAGTGGGCGTCTTTTGCATATGTTGAATGATGCAAAATCCATTATCAAGCACACCCGGCCGTATAGAATCAGGAAACACATTCATCAAGCTTGCATAAAGTTGGGAGGTCGGTCGGTCGTCTCTTTACGGTTTTCACGTCTCTTCTTAAGGTCACATTGAACAAGTAAGCAGAATGGGGAAACCTGAATGCGCTTCTTTTTCCAGGGCCATCAGTAATCGGCCTCATCGGTCTTTTTCCCCCCCAAAGCTGAGCCGAACCACATAAAACCATGGCCGAACTCTTTTCCAATGGTCACTGGTGGCGTCTGCCGCTAGCCTCGGGGTCTTGCGCATGGATCAAGCGACGCATTGGCCGCTGAGGAATCCAAATTGGTCTTAGTTCCCCATCTCATCTGCATGCCCCATCGACGCGCGCCAGAATAAAGATGCATCCGAGTCTCATCGGGGAGAGAATAGACTTTCCTTCTCTGTCAGAACAGCTGATAATTGTCCTCATGTGGGAGCTTGTATTCGAGTCGTCATGTTTGGCACCGGGCGCTGTGCGTCATGAAGGAGGGGGACCGGGTGCCGGGTTAGGGCCCGTAAGCCACTTACACCCGAAGCTGAAATAAACTTGCCACACCCTCCAACACTCCAGCTCAGCAGCTCTCTACCCTCTACTACGTAGTACGTAGTAGAGACGTACGTAGTAGAGACGTAGTAGAGAAACATCGTACTTTGTTTTAAACTTTCGCCCAGTTTGACAGGTGAGGCATGGGTCGAAGCAAGGTCGCAGAGGGTTTCAGGAATTTATTCGAACCCATCGGGTTTAGGTCCCACCTGCAATTATCTCTGTCAGAACCACAATCGACAGTGCGGCCTTGATCCTCTTTTGTCCTTTTTTTTTATTTTTTTTATTTTTTTATTTGCCTTTTATGTACGTGACTGATGTGTTTTCCGTTTTCATGATTCCCCGTCCTGCCGCCCGCCATGTCGTCTGATCTTCGTAAAACTGCGGAGGGCTGCTGGTGATTTGGTCTTTACCAGTGACCGTGCTGTAAGAAGTATGTCTCATACTAATCTCCCATAATAGAACTATCTTAGAAGAATAAAATGGCGCCTCTTAGGAGTTCGACGGAATTCCTCTGGAATGCGTAACTGGGTTTCAAGAGCCGATGCCAAGTATCACTGCTTTTCCCAAGCAACGCTTGGAGACGTATGCTTCGTTGTGGTTTGCGGTTTACTCCTACCTATCAAAGTTCTTCCGAAAACTCCCAGCGGAACCGACGGATCCGCATTTAGGAGTCATCAAATTCTAAAACTTCTTGGTCAGCCTTTCTTAACAGCGTAAGGCTTTGTGGTTCACCAAGATCTCCAAAGCTGCGACCACAAGATGCCCAGCCATGAGCACAAATGAAGGCCTGGCGTTGCGCCACTGTGCAAGAGTCCGGACTGCGTGAGGGAACGTGCCGCCCTTCCAGCAACGACTAGCTTCGAAGATCACCCCACGCCTGATCTTGAAGAAGGTTTATGGCGTCGAGACCTGTGACAGCCCAACGGGGGTTGCTTGGATGTCCTGTGCTCATTAGGTGTTGTACCGTTATTGGAGAAAAGCCGATGAGCCGACCAAGCTGGGCCTTCTCAAAATGTACATTCAACCGAGGTATTCCCAGCTAGGAAATTTTGGAGGTGTCGGTTATCGAGTACAAAGTTACCAGAGCAAAATGCCATCCCGACAAGCGGGCCAATCATTCCCGTGGAGGCGCCGGTGAAACATGACATGGTGCAGGCTTCATGCTCTTGGACGATTCAGTAGGTTCATGATGACACTAGGCAATCTCGATCGATGGACTCTAGAAGAACTGTTCTTGTTTGACATCTAACTGCCGAAACTAAATAATCTATCCATCACTCTGGGCTTCTCCGTAAGCCCTTATTGCGGTTTGCTTTTAGACCGTCTGCTTTTACACTCTATCGCTCAAATAACTTGGATTTACCTAAATATAAACACATGACGCCGAGGGAAATGCAAGAAGGTTCTACAACGCAATTCCAAGAACCTGATCTACCTTGGTCGATTGGGCATTTCTATCCCAGCATCGACCCTGTTCCGCCTGTTCGAGCTTAAACCACTGAAATTCGGCCTCGGTCTTGGCTTCAAGGGCCAGCTGGTCTTTCCATGGTGTTGCCATTGGTCTGATGACTCTGGGAGCCACGGCGCGGTTGCAAGTCGGTTTACCGGCCCAAAACGTAAAGCGGGATGTCTTGCGGCGTCGGCGGCGATGCTTTATCGCTCTCAAGTGAGCAATCTTGGCGAAGAGGGGAATGATGGGCGGTATTGATATGCAGACAATCCCGATGGTACACTCGGCGATGGAGCACAGAATCCAAGCCACCCAGTTGTCTGCCGTGATGCCGTTAGCTTCCTTTTATGTGTTGCAATGTGATTTGCTCATCGCCACTCCCGGTGTGACTTACAGGTTGCATCAGCCTCGTTGAGAAGATGTAGACAGACGAGCTTGATCATTGCGGCCACACATGCCCTATGATTTTGTCAGTGGCCACCCCCAAGTCTTCTTCAACTACGCTGTCCTATACTTACAGTCCGGCAAAGGCGAAGAGCACTGTAACCCCGGTTTTCCTGCTCAACGATAATTGCTTTGATTTCCAGATATATGGTAACGGAACAATGCAGAGAAGGATGTCGATGGCAATACTAATTGCGGTGCTAGCGTGCAAGAAGTCAAAAAGGGGGTAACACGCAGCGTCCCCGATCGTATTGTCCCAAGCTGCCGAGACGGGTTTGCACTGAAACAGTATGGCAAATACCGAGGCTATCGCGAAACCTCCGGTAATTGCTGCTGCGGCGTACATCGTATATCGCATAATCTTATGGGTGATAATTCTCAGGAAGGAGCATATTGCCGATAATCGTGCGAATGCGATTGCGCAAGGGTAAAGCGTGTTGGCAATGAACACGATCTAAATCTTCTTTTAGCCCACGTTATCGTTACCTACTATATGCTACGGAGCGACTCACCAGCATCAGGTTCCGTGTACTATCGGGCAAAACCTCGACATCAAGATTCCAGTAATGTTGGCCCAAGCCGAGATCCGTCGCTACAGTTATCGTCAGTCAACGAGCCCATAAGTTGATAAAGTAAAGGCCCCTGCCGCCTTGCTAAATAGAACATACCGATGGGCAATAATGAGCAAATTGCAAATGTAAAGAGTGCTGCAATGATGACCAGCACATCGTCGCTGAAGAAGTTCCGCGTCACTGTGCAACGAACGATGACCCGAAGAGGGACAATGATGCCGACGAGGATGAATGCTGTCAAATTAACAGCCCATACAACTGCCACCAAATTTGATTTGTCGGATGAATCTGCCATGGGTATAGTAGTGTTTGTCATGTTCGAGAGTGCCACAACTTGTGGTCCATTGCCGTATTCGAGATACATTGTGTGGGAAGCCCACTATTTCATTGTCGTACGAGTAAAAGGTTATAGTTGAATCTTAACGACATTCAATGTCGTCAGCAATCAAGAAATGAAGTCGAATTACAAGTAAAATATCGCCAGAGTAATAAAAATATTAAAAAAAAAAAAAAAAAAAACCGCGAACGAGAAACGAAAATACGACGCGTGACGGGAAGGAGTCGACATTTCTACGACTTTACTCTGACATGTGCATTGAACAAGCCACGCGGTTTCACGAGCATTGAGTTTGTTGGTTTTCCATTTCGCGCCAGGAGCCAAACATATCTACCCTGTCGCCGCGTCAACGGGCGGGAACTAGCTATAGCCCCGATGCTTTGATCTTCAAGGCTTGAGGGTGATCGTGCACTCCCGCGTTTTTGGGAAACATGCTACAGCATGTCGATACCCTCGAATACCATTCTGAACTCTTGATTTCTTAATACAGACAATCTGCAAGGAACATGTCATCTAGCCAAATGGAACGTTAAGCAAAAAATTAGAATGTCGACCACATCCGCCTGATTACTATTTCGAAAGACACCTTAGTGAGAAAAGCTTATCTGTTGCCCTAAAAAGATCTGTGGCTTTGGCTGACGGTGTCAAACAACATAAGTTTAGCACAAGGAGCAATATTATTAAAAGCTGGAGAACACTAAAAACCGAATACAATGTCGTTCGGCGAGCCTAACCCCTTGGCGGGATTAGCTTGAGTAGAACCGGAACTAGTGCCTGGCTAAATCCAACGCACTGATAGCGAGCAAACGCGCATTGTGGTTCAGCCTGCTCAGCTGAAAGGGCTCCAGCAGATACGACTCACCTGACGGAGGCGGCGTGTCTAAATGTGGAACCGCCACGATCTCCAACACGTGGGAGCTGGCACCGTTACGAGATCTGGTTGATAAATTGTGTCAATGCTGGCGATGACCTATACGGAACGCGTCCTAGCTAGTCGATTCTCATGTGCAAAAGAATATGTGATGACGTTCCCTCGATGGGTGCTAAGACAGAGTGACAAGGCGTGGCGAAGTCTCAAGTGCGTTTATGCACACTTCCATATATGCCCAAGCCGTAATAGGTATCAGTGCCAGTAGAGGATCGGAACAATGTGTTGACCCAGCCTTGGTAGTTGCTTGTGAGACGCGTTGTTGTCTTTCTATACCGTTCGCGACGAATTGGGGTCTCTTTTCTTAAGTATAACCGAAGTGGTCTTCTCAGCAACAAACTCAAGTTATCGCCCCCCTTAAAGGGAATCATGCACTTCACAACCTGATTTATCTACGGACTTAGAATCTGTAGGATATATAAGGACAAGAAGGGCACAAGTATTGCAATACGAAATAGAAAAATAAATTGATCGTGAGCGGTAGCTATTCCCCATCTTATCACCCAACTTACTCGAAACTCTTGGCACCGGAGGCAAAATCAAGACACTGCAGGCTTCTCAATACCATCACCATGCTTCCAAAGGAGACAGACCGATCTCGGCAAGATAACGGTTCACTTCGCTAGTGGTGTTATCCCACATTCCCCTAATCTGCTTCTGGTCTTTAGCAACGGGGTGTGGGTTGCGGATCTCTCCGAAAGGCTCCAGGTATTTTCCCTTAAATTTGGAAGCATTCTCGCGTACCTCCTTGGCGGTGGCCGCAAAGAGTGGTGTCACAGCTCCCTGGTCCACGGTAAGGAATGTCGTGGACCGGAGGAGTGAAAATATGGACCCCCCGATCTCTTTACACCCATCGCTATCTACACCGCCAGGGTGAACTGAGATGGATAGAATGGGCAGATTCTGCTCGTCCAATAAACGCTGCAGTTCTTGGGCAAACAGGAGGTTTGCAATCTTGGAGGCTCCATAACGAATCATATCGACAACGAAAATGTGTCGACTGGCGAGTCGCCAATGCAGCGGATAGTAAGGAACAGGATTAGTCAAGAAGCTTGGCGAATCAAAGGTAAATTCGTAATTCGAGGGGAACATGGCGTAGTTGACGTTTGAGCTAATGGTAATGATGCGAACGTCGGCATGCTTTTCCTTCGTGGCGTTTTTGAGGAGCGGGAGAATGCCGTTGGTGAAGACGAAGTGACCGACATGGCTTCGCTAATGTTAGTGGGCGAACAGATTAGATTAGACTTATATCTCACCAAACAGCCATGTGCCACTCCCATCCAGGGCCTGCCGTCTCTAAAGACCCGGTTGCAACACCAGCATTATTTACTTTGCGAGGGCATTGAATTAGTCGCTGGCTAGATTTCAAACAGGCAGGGTCGAACTTACTCAAGATGTCCACTTTGTTTTGCTTTTCTTTCAACTCTTCAACTGCCCTCCTCACACTTTTCAGGTCTGACAAATCGAGAGGCAGCCAAACCAGCTGATCCGGGTCAATTTCCGGGTTGCTGAGTCTGATGGTTTGCAAGGCTTGTTCAGCTTTGTCCTTGCTTCTTGCCGTGAAGTACACAGTAGCACCTTGAAGTGCGAGGTACTTGACAGAAGCCAGGCCAATGCCTGAGCTGCATTGGGTCAGTTCCCATGGCTCTGGATCACCTGCACAAGCTTCGAGGAGGTTTACCTTGCCCCAGTTACTACAACCACTTTACCCTTAAGGTTGGGAATATCCGTTAGGGGGTTCCACTTGTCAGGCATCTTGAATAGGGTTGGCCAGTTTATATCCCAGTACTTTGGATAAAGATGTGGAGCAGCTTCGCAATGAGCTTGGAATAGGGCGACAGCACACTTGCTAAGAAACCCATTTTGTCGTTCCTTTGAATTGTATTAAATAAAAAAAATCTACTCAAGGCGTAAACTCGAAATTCATTACTGAGAACACCTTGTTGACTAGACTTTTGTTTGAAAGCTTCTCGATTGTTCGCATCAAAGAACCAAGAGCATTCCGCCCGCATGTAATCAACCAGCGGACGAGCGCACAAAGTTCGGTCGGAATCCTTGTCAGCACAGAACGCTATACCATTTTAGGAAAATGCATCAACCCAAGCTCGTCCGGAGTCGGGATGACTGTAAAAACATCAGTGTGTAAACATGGAATCTGATTGGCCACTTCGTACTTATGTCTCCGTAAACCCTTGGACTACCCACATTTCGTCGGAACAACATGGCTGAATGGAAGAGGGGGCTGAATGTGAGGGGTGGTCAAAGTCTCTCTCGATCACCAACATTAGGCAACACGGGGTTTCCAACAGTGTGAGCCCCATATGTCGTCCAAGACTCTTCACTCATCAGTCTCACTCTCTACACACCCCCTCCTCGAAGGATTCCGTGTTGACAGTTGGTCCACCTCAAGGCCAAGCCAAACCGGAGCATGCAGTGAGAGGCTGGCTGTACGACTAAACATTGCACCCGAATAGGCAAATGCTTTCTACCAACAGCTTGGTTATCCCCAACAGTGGTGTCACATTCCCCACGGGGCCTACACCGTTTCTCGAATCCGACTTCCTGGGACATTAAGCGCACTATACTGGGACCCCTTACACCTTCTCTCGAACAGTGTCTGGCGGATAAGAGGTCGTGCGTGAGCGAACCAAAAGTTTAGTCTAACGGATACGGCACGGTACGGGTACTCATACCGTTAGTACGCACGCTATGTCGTCACAAACGCATAATCATGCGGCGCAGACCAAGCAGCAGAGCATGTTCATGTTTGTTCAGATCTCCCACCCGAGCGAATCCGCTGCGTGGAAAAAGAAAGTCAGATCTCATGCAGCACGAAACCCACATGCCCGACGGGAAAGGGTTAGCTCCTACCAGTCGGCTCAAGAGGACGATGGGCTGCCCAGTCCACGTTCTGATAGTCGACCCCAACAAACTGTCAAGTCGTCTCCTCGATCAATATCATCGGCGGGTCGCTTGGAAGTCGCCCGAAGGGGGAAACGAGGCGAGTCCAAGACGCGACCCAGCCCCCTGACCGTTTTGAGCGCGGCAGAATTGGACCCATTTAACAGCTCAGTTAGACCACTCTCTGTATTTGAGCAAAATCTTGTTCACTTGTGTAAGTACATTAATGACCCGAATGGCCGCTTCCAAAGGGTCCCACGTGTGAAAACTTTCGTTCCCTGGATTGTAGTGCACACTACATGCACTGTATATATACACTGGATGCCTGTCAGCCTGCTAACATACACTGTCTTGTAGTCAAGGAGGAAGTCGTATTAAAGCGTATAACCCAAATACCTGGCATGGTGCTTCATATATCTCCCTCAAAAGCAAAGACTTTCTGGACGGCCATATCCCACCACTGGATGCATGCCGCAGTTACAGATGAAGGGATGCTGGCCAGCATTTTTCTCTTTACATGTCGGCATATTTACGTGAAAATGGGCGCCACATACCCTGATATACTCAAACAACACGCAGAAATTTACAAGGTCGCTCTTATAGAGAACCTTTGGAAGACAATGGAAAAGGAGATGAGGGATGGAGTGATTAATGATGACACGATAACGAAGACGCTGACCTTAGTATCTGATGCGGTAAGCCAAGGTTCTCGTTTTCCTTGATGGCGTAACACCACTGACTATAATGTACAAGAACTTGTTGAATAATTACGAAGATGCAATGACGCATACAATAGCAGCAGCAGACCTTATCAAATTACGAGACGGGACCAGAGATTCGCAAAAGCCTGAGAGGGACCCTTCCCTTGGAGATATTCGGATATTATTTTCGGAAAATGATAAAGTAGATAATGTGCTAGGCGCTGTAAGCTTTGAGGGTTCGTCGGAGGCTAGTCCGACGCCAGAAGTAAAGCAGGGCAGCCTCAAGCAGAAGCAGAAGCAGTTGGTCTTCCGACTCGGGCGAGTCGGCTAATGAAATAATGAAAAAAAAAAAAAAAAAAGAACTTTGAGCCATCACGTCAAACATTCAGCGACAATCGGTTTGATTAATTACTACTTCTAGCGCCTAAACGACTCGCAAACTTATTCATGCAACAGCTTTTCTATGTGCTTACTCCCTGAGGATACGTGAACACCCCCTTGGGATCGTACTGGGCTTTGATAGCCCGCAGACGAGGTAGACTTCCCATGTAGTACTGGTTCTGCGCATCGGAGTTACTAAGCTGCGAGTCAGCGTAGTTGATGTACCGCCCCCAGCTACCAGCAGTAGGCATCTTGCTAGTAACAGCGGCCATCCAGTTCTGGAGGAAACCGGTCCCCTGGTTGGCGTTGGTGGGGTAGGCCGCGCCATTGGTGGAATCGTAGAATTGCCAGAGCAGCAACTTGTCTCGGTGAGGATAGGAGGTTGACGACGCGTCAATCTGGGCGATCTTTGAGTTTTTGCCTCCATGGACATCGACCAGAATGAACCATCCCCGGTTGACCGTCTTGGCTTTACCCTGCAGGTAGTCTACAAAGGCCTTGAAGCCGTCCTTTGGCACCTCCTGTGTGATAAGGCTCGAGGCGTAGAATGTGTCAGTCTACTCAGACCGGTATATTAGTTCCTCGCGCGATCTAGGAGCGTATCACGTATGCAGTGAGTAGCTTACCGCGCTCTCCGTTCCCGTGACGTCTAGGGTCTCTCCACCATAGTTTTGTAGCTGACCTACGAAACATGTTAGTCTTTTGGTATTTAGGCATGAGAAGGAGCACTCAATTACCAAACCAGTCAGTGCCGTTAATGGTGGCTTCGTCAACATTAACACCGAGAGGAGTAAGGAAATCCTCCAAGACGTCGCGGGTCTTATCCTCGTCACCAAAGTAGAGGCCGTCAAAGTGCATGTCGTCCGGAGTTGCAACAAAGCGCAAATTCAACTCTTGCGGCATGGTCTTCTGGGCATATTTCTGGAGGCCTACAAGCGCGCTGACTATCTGAGTGCTTTTCTTGAGACTGACGGGCACCTTGAACACGGTGACAGTCTCAGGAGCCGCGAATGTGTCGAACTTGAACTCGGTCACGATGCCAAAAGACGAACCAGCACCGCGCAGAGCCCAGAACAGATCAGAATTCTGGGAGGTTGAACATTTGACGATTTTGCCGCTGGCCAGAACAACAGTTGCTTCGATCATCCAGTCAAGAGCAAGTCCATACATGTGCGAGGCGAAGCCTACATAGGTCGGTCAGTACTAGGTAGAATATACGCAGGGGCCATGACTACTACTACTTACCAAAGCCGCCATGTAGCGAATGTCCAGACGTACCGACGCTAAGCGTAACATTCATCATCAGCTTACTTCTCCAAGCTAGCATGTTGGAGCATATGGTAACTCACCCAGGACACGACCCATGGGAAATCGCGCGCTTGCCTTGGTTGTAGAGCTCGGTAGCCACATGGCCCAACCTCGCACCAGCCTGGACGATGGCTGTATTGTCGCTTTGTAACTTGACACTATACATCTGGTTCAACTGCACCACGACGTGGCCATTCTCGCCTCCGAATCCGGCAGATGAGTAGCTGTGTCCGCCGCCCCTGCCCGTGACCTTGTATCCGTACTGAGCTCCGCATTTTACGGCCGCTTGGACGTGACTCGGGTCAGTTGCTGTGACAATCGCGGCCGGAGTAAACTGAACGCGGAGGTTGTATGGACGGACCCCGTCGGACCAGTCTGCAGAAGATTGAGTGCTTATTGGAGCCTTGGCGGCGTTGAGACACCCTTGGAGGGTGTTCTTGGAAGATTTGCTTTGGGCGTTGACATCTTGAGGCAGTGGGTTGGCTGCACACAAGGGAATGGCGGCGGCTGCCAGCGAGAGAATGAGCTGGGAGCGCATTGTAGTTTTACCTTAAAGAAAGAACTCAGGGTCTAAAGAATGCACCCTGTTCGAATCAATACTTTGGATGAAACGGAACAGATTTGACATATTCGGCGTTCGGACGACACATTTATATCGCATTTAATTGATGTCGGAAACAAAAACCGCGTTCATCGTTTTTTCTTTTTGTTCAACTGCCAGCTGGTTTCTTTCATATTGTCGCGGAGCGAAAAAGCGATCTATCCTAAATGAATGATTTAGACCACCTTGGTCGCAGGGTTCGGGACTGATCTGTGCCCCAAAGGCGCAAAGTCTAAGGCTATTCGTGAATCGGGGAACTCCTTATCGTCCTCAAAGCTGACGACGCAAGAGGGTTAGCTTGCAGGGAGATCCGTGTTCATACCCGAATGCAGATTGACGACGGGCGAGACCACAGAATAAGAGTTTCCTTTTAACCCGCCAAGGAAAAACCTTAGCCAACGAATGATTCGACCTTCTAGGCCCAAGATCATTGATTCGGTGACCTCATTAGCTGTAGATCAAACCAAGCCTATTCAAGCATCGGCTTCTCTGGACGGCGAATTATTCGGCTTTATGGCGTCTTTCGTTGCTGCTTATGCCTCTACAAAGTCTTGGACAGCAACCTGGCATGTAAACACAGGGCTAATTAATGGGTTCGGAGAAGCATCTAATATCCTGGTATAGGGTTTTGAAACTTCGTTTCATTGCGTTCTATCTCCCAAGAACTAGCAACTACGTCCTTTGAGCTGATAATAATGGCCAGTACCCTGCCGATACCTACGCAGCCTAGTGTTCTCAGTTGGTACATCGTCTGACAAACGCGTCATCAAGTCGGCAAACTATGCCGGCAATTCCTTCTAATCTATCACTCCAATTTTAGCTTTAAAAAAAATCTTAACTTTCGCTTTCATTTTCTATAGCTGTCTATGGCTTGTTATCTATGTGGGTTGCATACTTCTTAAAGGTGGCATCCGACCTCAACTTATCCATATCCTCATCCCTCAGACACGTTACCAATGTAATATCACCATCCGGCGTCTTAGGAAGCAGGTACATGAGACTCTCAACAGGAGTGAACTGAGGCCTCCTAACGGACTCGGGCCTGCCCAATCCGAGGCCGAACTCCTGCTCATACAAGTCCATCTTCACCCATGAGCTTAGCATGATGTCCCTATGCAACTCGAGGGTTCCCGTAAAAGAGAAGCCTGCCTTATTCGCAGTTTTGTCAAGTACGGTTGCGAAGGCGCGCGTAGCATATCCCAGAGCTTTCGGGTCAACAGTGGACCGCAAAGCGGACGCTACAACGCCCAAAGGTTCGTCTATCAGTCTCTTGAGACTGAAACTATTGTTTGTCATGCTCTGAATGAGTCCGGGGAACGTCTGTGGGACGTTGAGAAAACTACGGACATTCACCGCCCGAGCAAACTTTACATCCTCCTCAGCATTTAAACGCGGTGCGCGGATGCGAGATACTGATTGCCAGATGAAAGCACTGAGGGCGTCATCAGTTGTGATGTAGCCAGACGTGACAGATTCTGAGGCGAGCGCTTTGAGGGCTGAGAGGGAGGCGGATGGAAAGTTGAAGTAAGCCCATCTGCACGCTGCAGGCTCTTGGGGTGGTCCCTTTGGTGGCGTGACGAGGAAAGGCGCGACATCAGAAGCCGGAACCTTGTGTTCCAACAGTGGGATGATGTTTTGACGGGGAAGATTGCCTGTCGCAACTTCTTCCTCGGTAAATGGCTCATTTCGACATGCCTTGGACAGCAGATCGATGATTTGGGCTTGGCCAGTGCCGTCCATCAGTTGGTGATGACCGAGAAAAGTGAGAACAAGACCACCTTTGATGAAAGTAGCCTGCACGATAAAGACTGGCTGGGGCTCAGATGCCAGCGCGGGGTCAATCGGCAGTGTTGGGCGGGGTGCGAAAATACTCTCGTCCAACATGTTGACTGGGAAGTTGGCTTGCCTCAGGGCATGCATCGTGGGTGCTGAAGAGGTATCGCGAAGATCTTTGATCACCAGCGGAGGAGTCGCCTTCAAGGGTTTGATTTTGTACACGCCCGTGTTGCCGTCGCCGGCACCTTCGTTCACAACCTGACCAGCAACCCATGGGAAGCTGCCAGCGAGGCGCTCAAGACCGCTGGAGAGAGTGTTGACGATATTCGGGTATGAAGAGTCCTCCTCCACTGCGAAGAGAACAGCTATTTGCGTGTAAATGTTGAGGCCTGGCTGCTGGCCGAGGATCTCAATCACTTCGTCCATTTTGTGTGTGGTGTGGAGTTTAGTGGTCGACGGTGACAATTCAACTCTCAACATCCGGTTTAGTGTCCTGTTCGCAACGTCGTCGTAGGGATTGATGGACGAGGTAGTTGCATACAAAACACTGTTGATTTGGTTACGCTTCTAAAACGGTTTATTTAAAAGACTGTTGTTCGGCTTTATATCCAATTACTTGACATCTCCCAGAGCCTCTTCCTTTTAGAGCATTTGGATAGGAGCATGGAGATAGATGTACATCACACCAAAAGGCTCAGCCATTGGTTAGAAAGCCACTTTTGGGGGAACCGCTAATGTCCCTAGCGTTCTGCACAGGCCAAAACTACAGTGGATTTCAGCATCATGCTTGGCTCATGATTGGCTATTTTGACGATGAAACCGTCTGGTTCATGATGATTCATTCACACTCACGGATAATAAAATTTCATAACAAGGAGAGCTTATGACAATTTGGTACAAAGGCGCCAAAAGTTCAAATGAGATCCCCAATGCCCATGTATATACATATGTATGCCCTTCAATCTTTATCAGATCTGCTAAAGACCGACGCGGGCCGGATCTAGGCCGTCAATAAAAGTCAGATCCGCGATGCGTCTAGGGGGTAATTTTCAGAAGCTGAGCCTGTTGTGAACTAAGCCTTGTTAATTATGGGCATTTTCCCAGGGTTCAGATCCTCCAGTCAGCCACAAGGTCTCGCGGCGAAAATTCGTCGGAAGGGCATTTCCCCTTTGCGGCCATCAGCGCCACGCTAGTCCATGCCGGCCGCCGAGCCTGAAATCCCTCGGCGAGTGTGGGCAGCGGCTCCGACCCTATGCCAGCTATACTGGGTGATGGCCGGCCGGCGCATCGGTGTCTAATCCGCCGATCCTACTGCACACGAACCCCCTCTCAACGATGGATAGTGCCTAGCTGATTTCGTTCCCGCCCTGTGATATTCATATATATATCAGCCTTGATGTCGCAGCATATTGTCAAGTCCTTCATACATCACCAAATCAATCTACATCTTTAAAGCATCTTATTGCATTGAACATCTTCTTACCCACAAAACTACCGCTTTTCGTATACTACGCTACATCATCCCATCTTCAACAAAAACCAACACATCTCAGTCATGGCTCAAACACAAGGCACCTGCGACCCCAGGTTTGAGGAAGTTCGCACTCAGCTGCAGCAATTTATCGAATCAGGAGAAGAAGTTGGAGCTGCCATCACAGTCAATCTCGACGGCAAAGACGTCGTCGACATTTGGGGTGGATATGCCGACAAAGAAAACAACAAGCCTTGGGACAAGGACACCATCGTCAACGTCTTCTCCACGACAAAGGACGTCTTGGCCCTCGCTGTTCTCATTCTTGTTGACCGCAAAGTCTTCTCAGTCACCGACAAGGTCTCAAAATACTGGCCCGAGTTCGCCGCCAACGGCAAGGAGAACATCGAGATCAGACATATTCTATCACACACCTCGGGCGTCTCGGGCTGGGATGCGGACCGACCACTTTCTTTTGAGGAAATCTCCAACTTTGACGAGGCCAACGCGAAGCTGGCAGCTCAGGCACTCTGGTGGACGCCCGGCTCGGCTTCGGGATATCACACGTGGACTTTCGGGCACCTCTTGAACGAGATTGTCCGCCGCGCAACCGGCACTTCGCTCAAGGACTTTGTCTTGGAGGAGATCGTTAAGCCTCTGGGTGCTGATTTCCAGTTCGGCGTTGCTGAAAGTGATCTGCCTAGAACAACGGACATCATCTCCGTGCGCCTGCCCCCACTTACCCCTGGTATGGGTCCACAACCAGGCTCCATCACCTTCAAGACGATGAACCCCATGCCCTTTCCAACCAACTTCGCCAATACACCGTCGTGGAGAAAGGGAGATATCCTTTCTGCAAGTGGACACACCAATTCTCGCGCTCTTGCTCGCATCCTGTCGGCAATTAGCCTCGGTGGTAGCGTTGACGGCAAGCAGCTGCTCTCACAGGAGACTGTCGACCTGATTTTTGACGAGCAGGCTAACGGAGTCGATCTCGTCACCGGCATGCCTCTACGCTTCGGCATTGGTTATGCAGTAACGGGAGAAGGAAACACGGTCGTTGCAGACTTTTTGCCAAACGGGCGTGTGGCCTTCTGGGGAGGCATGGGTGGTTCGCTTGCTATCATGGATGCCGACAGGAAACTCACCATCACATACGTGATGAACAAGATGTCGATGTCGGGTGTCGGAAACAATGTGGTAAAGGAATACGTGAAGTCTATCTACAAGGCATTGGATGCTGCTTGAGGGACATCTTATGATTTGTTCAAGGATAATTAATTGGCTCGCTCTCGGAATGCGTCATGATGCTCTGTAACATTACCCTCTGCTTTAGACCTGATTTTAGACATGGCTCTCTCATCTTATCAATCAAATAGATTATGAAGATACATTATGACTGTTCCCAGCCAGCCTTGTGATGATGCCATGGTGTCAGGAGTTTTTTATTGTCCCCGAATTCTATTAAACAACCTTCTTGTTCAACACCAGCCTAGGTCCTATTCTGACTCAATCAACTAACAAGTTTATTGATTTTCTCTTGAAATCCGACCTTGAGAATCTATAAATAAAAAGTGTTCCACTCCCAATCGTCTTCCCATCATCAGCAACTCACGATATCTTCTCAGACATCTTCTAACGTTGGGACAAAACAACTCTTGATCAACTAACCTAGTACTTTGCAAAGTTCTACGACCTACCAAAAATGTGCCGTGAATTTCAGCAGCTCGTTGTCTGTTGCTCTGAGCACTGCCCTGAAAGCAATTACGGCGTCCGTCTGCCACTCCTCCGCCTCAAGCTCAAGCCAAAGCCCTTCTACGTTCTATGCGAGAAGGCCCACGAGCTCGGCTATCGTCCAAACGCCAACTGCATGGGAACTCTTGTTGCCAACTACAACCCGGAATGGTGTCCCGAGTTCCGCGGCGCCGGCCATTTCCAGGAGGAAATGGTTCTCTCGGCGGTTGCGTCCCGCAACATGATGCAGACACTGGCCAACGTCCTGGTCTTTTGTGGCACTTGTCTGGGATTCGGCCACGCCGAGGCTCTATCCTTGGAAAACGGTCGTCCCCATGCTCGGCTCAACTCTGGACCTGGCCAGATGCACGATCCCGCCATTTTGGCGCAGGGCAGCTGCCAGCGAATGGAAGGTGAGTGGACCTGTTGCGCCTCTGGAGAATGCGGCGAGGAAGGTATGTGCGAGTTTCGCGCTGCTGCTATCCTTGCTTCGACTACGGGACGTGAGCTTGCTCGGGAGGAAGCCCAAGCTGTTGCCACTGCTGCCGCCGCTCTCATTGAAATGAGCTGTCAGCACCAGAACGAACCCCAGACTGCTGTCGCTGTTGATGATGATGATCAGGCTACTGGTGTTGATGATGTGATTGTCGTTAGCGGCTACTGTCCTCGTGGTTGCAAGAAGTGCAACTTTGGGCGGAACTCGCACCTTCGTATCGACTAGACCCTTCGTATCGCTGAATTACTCTGTGAGTAAGAAACAGGAAACTTGAGGAGTTAGGTAGGCCAATTGGTATTCGTATTATTATCATTTTCCTTTATTAATTATTGCAACGTGCCACGATACTCTTGTTATTGTTCGACTTAAGAATCTCTGATTAGGTCTGAATGTTCCATGAGAAGTTGACCAAAAAGATTAGTACGTCAGTGAATTCCATAGGTAAACCAAGTCAGCTACCTGCAACTTTCACGGTGCGTTTAAAGGTAATGTTATCGATGAGATTTCTAAAGACGATGAATTGCACCGTGCCCCTAAAGTGCAGCGGCAGGCTAAATTTAGACGTTCAGCTATATTAGTGGAGTGATTCACAACGTCGCTGGCGTTCATTTACGATTTACGCTAGTCAAATATGCGGACGTCACGGAGGCGACCCTTGATGCCATGCTACGACACGGGGAAGGATAATTAGAGGCCGTCGTGGGAGCCATCTGTTTAGTGCCGACAATCGTCGCCGATCTTCCCGGTGATGCATTGACGTCAGATACCGACAGGGTATCTGTAGGCCGACAATGGAGTCTGCCTGGAGGACCGGCACCGATGAGTGGACGGGCATTTTAGCGGAGGACACAAGCTTGATTGCGGCGATCATTGAAAGAAACACTGGTGCCGACGTCAGAATTATTCATTCTTGGAACCGATAAGCTGTCTTTAGAGGTAGATCCCATGATGTCAAGCCCCAATAATAAGCCTCTTGAAGGCATGAGATGCCGCTGGAGATGGATAGGGATGGCAATGCCATTAGAAGAGTTTGTTTCCTATGTCCCATGTTAGCAGCCTTTCGACTCATCATTCATCCCATCTCTGACTATGATTGCCCGTGTTCGGCATGGCTGGCATGCCGTTCACAGCCCCCTTTTCTTGGCGGTTTATGATGGAGTATACATGGATTGTGCCTGTTTCCCGGTAAGAGGGAAAAGAAAAGGCATGAAAAAAGAGTTGAGGACATGAAAAAAAAATCTGCTGGAAAAAAAAGGAGACAAGGAATTAGGACCTACCCACTGCATTTGCATCCCATGTCGATGTTCATGCGCTATATTGTGCTGGCGTTCGTTTGTTGGCGCAGGGGGCGGCCCGAAGCCCTATGCCTTTCTATTACGGCAAGGCACATTGCCTTTCCTTACCTTAGCATGGCTAAGTATTCAACATCTATGGGGCCGCCAACAAGCTCACAAAAGACCCTTTTCACCCCCGGCTACACCGGTGTTCTCGCCCATCTTTTTAATGGGTAAACATGACAGGATGGCCGAGGGAATTTACAGCACGGTCTGTGCCACCTAGGTTTGTTGCCCAGCCCAGCTTGGCAAACTGCCGGTAGGATTGCCATGCAACATGACCCCATCACGCTTGTTGGCGCCATAGAGCTCGCTTATGTAGTCTGCTGGTGAGATGATCAGCCAACAGTGAAAAGAAAGGTCTTTTTGTCCTAGAGTACTAATCACGCCGGACACTTTGCATGTTATGGCAGTCTTGCCCACTCATTATAATGCTACAGCACCTCCAGTACAGGCCATGTCCTTGGCAGCAAACTGGGCCAAGAAGATGGGTCGGGTCATATTTTACCTCCCACGTTCTTCAATGCGACTAACCCACTTCATTCCAACCGGCCGAATTCGTATTTTGAGGGGTCCGGCGCAGGCTGGCTAGGTTTCTCGCGAGGCAAAAAAAAAAAAAAGATGACAGGGCATTGGTCCTTTAGAAAACCGCCTTTGCCGGTCGTCTGCAGTGGGGACCGACTAGGCAAAATCCGACCGAAGAATGCGCCTGACTGCGCCGGCCTGTCATGACCCCCAGATCATGATACCGCCGCTATTTGTAGTCGCCGCCCACCCCTTCGGAGACTTGCTCAGGATGCATCTAGTCATGGCCATCGTTCGTCTCATGTCCTCTCAGACTTCAATATGAGGTTTTTCGTCGCCAGCGCCCTGGCTGTCTTTGCGCCACTCGCCCTCGCCGCGGCTGATGCTCTCGAGTACAAGAATACCGCCGCTGGGCAGGTCATCAAGGAGGGTGTCAAGCTACGAATCCTACCCATCGGCGACTCTATTACAGTGGGATATCAGAGTTCCGACAAGAACGGGTATAGGCAAAGACTACAAGAGAACCTGTCCAGTGAGTATTTACCGCTGTCCCGTTCCTCTCATTTGAGAATCACAGCTGACCAACGTGTCAGAAAATGAGGTCGTCTTTGCGGGGACCGAACACTCCGGTTCCATGAACGACCCTTATCATGTGAGTGAACACGACGGCGCTCTTGATGCATCAAAAATCGTATTGACATGTCAAAGGCGGCTTGGAGTGGACGAACAATCAAATACATCAGCGACAGCGTCCCTCAATCCCTGAAGCAACGTCCAAACGTCGTCCTCTTACATGCCGGCACCAACGACATGAATCTGAATGAACTAATCTCCTTTGAAGGGAACGACCCCGCCGGCGCAGCTCTACGGCTTGGTGCGCTTATTGACAAGATCATCGCCGCCTGTCCAGACGCCGCTGTCCTGGTTGCCCAGATCATCAACACCTGCGATCCCGGACAGCAACCGGGGACGGAGGTCTTCCAGAAGCTCATCCCGGAAGTCGTCCAGAAGCGGAGAGATGACGGTCACCACGTCTTGGCTGTCGACTTTGCAGCCGCAGGTGACGACATCTTGTCCAAGGACTGCATCCATCCCGACGACGACGGGTACCACAAGATGGGCGACTACTGGTACGACTTTATCACGCAAATACCAAAGGACTGGATCAACCAGCCTGTTGGTGACGACCCCAAGAGGTCCGCCCTACCGTCGTCCAAGGCTGTCCCTGGGGACGACAGCGGCAGTGGCACTAGCGACATGTTCAAGGCGAATTTGGCACTGCTCTTCGTAGCTCAGGCACTTCTAAGTCTAATTTTTAATTGGTAATTGAGTTTGGATTGACAAAAGCATCACTCAGCCTCATGCAGGCTCACCAATCCACTGTGGATTTGAACTGGAAAAAAATAAGCAGGAGCAAGCATCCCGTCCCCCCGATGTGAATCACAGTGTCTAGGCTTCAGTGATTGAAGTCGGAACGCGCTGGACAAAGTCGTTGTCCTCCCCATATCCACTAATCTTATCCCGGCGAAATGTACCGAGACACCTAAAAAGCTTACGTCTTACGCGTCTCAGAACGAAAGCGTCAGGATCGGCTCGAAGCATGGCGGCCCATGGCCTTGATGACCCAGGATTTCGGCTTGAAGGGACGGTCAGTACGTCTACACAATGGTGTTTCATCGCAAAGGCCTTCTAGATTCTTGGACCGAGACATTGTGATCTTTTCAGTCGACAGTGTCCCACTGGATCATTGTCTATTCGGAATCTCGGGCAGCCGGCTCGGAAGACATGGCTGGACGGCGTAATGCAATATGAGGTTCGGTGCAATTGGTCGCAACGTTTTCGCTACATACCGCGAAGAAGTTTTTACATTATGAGTATCACGAAACCATGGGCGATGAGAATAATGGGAGCAATGAGATTCCGCTCATCTGAAAAGCTCCATTCGGAATATAGTTAGGGTACAATCACTTGGATGTTCAGTTTCCCCCAAGATTCCCTCTTTTTATGTACCAATTTCGACTTGGAAGCACCGGAAGTACCAATTTCTGCAACACCCAGCACACAGATAGAACTTGAGGCATACGCACTCACACATGTATCAAAAGTCATACTATTGAATTGTCTACTCACATACAAGGAGTGACTCACCATAGTCAGGCGGCTTCCCCTCATTCTCGTTAGACAATCACAATCCTTATGAGACGGATACACCACTAACCTGTAGATAATTATAGCCCGGCCTAGATCAAATCATAATGACTTGACCCCGCCTTGACCGACTTATCGTGTGCAAGAATCCTTGCCTCAGTGGTAAAGAAGCCATCATTGATGCGGGGTTCCTCACCGTGCCCTCGAGGATGGTGTCCTCGAGACTTTCTCAACACGACGTGAACCCCTCATCCAGACACCGCGATGACGTTTGAGCATCACATGTACAGTGTCAAATTGAAACTCACTGAGAACATATAGGCCAGTGCTACCCCGAGCTCTATATCGAGCTTAGGTTTCCCCTCCTTCTCCAGAGAACTTTTACCACAACTTTGCCAAGAAAGAAATTTGTGTACCGCAGCGAAAGATGTCAAACAGAAAGGACCACGGGCTCAAGGAGCATGGGCTGTCGGATGATGCCGTGGAAGCTGGACATGACTTCATCCATGAGGCTGAGATCGAGGAGGAGAGGGTACGCACTGTCGCGTCACGTACTAAATTTGTATCAGGTGGTTCGGGACTAACTTTGTTCCTTTTCTCAGAGACACAGCGGTGACGCGAACACGATGTCTTCAATGGCCGCCGCTGCGGAACAGAAGATCAAGAAAAAGGTCGGCCTAGAAGGAGCGCCGCTGGGCAACCTCACTGGGTCGGACAAAGCGGGCAAAAAAGCGTAAATGACGACTTCTGTATCACGTACATTCAATCTGTTCCGCGTCTTTGTATATGGCGTTCTGTGTTACAGACCAGATTGATCAACAGGCTGTATGATATTGTTATCTCATTATGGATTCTAATAAAAACGATGCTTCGATGTACAAGGGGGGTAATATTTGGTCGTGATTAGATTCATCCTCAGTGTCTTGACTGTCGGTGATGAGAGACTTTATACACTTGGCCACTTGTAATTCAGCCACTTCTCCAGAGTTCCATTCCAAGCACCGCTTCCAAGTTGGACATGCACCCACGCATCAACAAAATGCTTCCACACGATATCCCGTGGGACTGCATATCCCAACTCTTCAAAATTGAACGGCGCATCCGGGTTCGCAATGCAGAGCTCTCCTTCGTGTAGTTTAACCTGCAGCTCAACCTCGATGAGGTCGGAAATCATAGCATCAGCCGTGCCGTCCAAGACTGCCTGGTAGACTGCGTTGTTATCCTCAACCAAAACGATCTCGGCCGACTTCAGGTTAGCCCGGTCAAAGGCCTCATTCGTACCGCCGGGGTTGACGGCGACCTTGACATCTGGCTTGTCCAACGATGCGAGGTCTGTGAATTTCTGCGCGTCGGCGCAGCGGATGCAGGCCGTCTTGCCAACGCGCTGAACGGCCGTCGAGAAGAAGGCCGTCTTGGCTCGCGCCAGGGTCAAACTGACGCCGCCCATGGCAATGTCAAACTTGCCAGCTGCCAAGTCGGACGTAATGTTCGCCCATATTGTCTTGACAAACCGCGGTGGGTTCGGAAGACCGAGAGCATTCGAGAGCGACTGCGCGGCGTCAATGTCGGCTCCAATGTAGGTCGTGTTGATTGAGGTGGCATTGGGAAGAGCGGTTTGGTTTGTTACGAGGTAGGTGAAGGGCTTGTAATCTCCCGTCGTGCCGACATTGATGTACCCACGAGCCAGGACGGTGTCGAGGATGGAGGTGATGTTGGCGTACGCGAGCGGCTCGGCATCCAGATATGTTTGTTGGGCCGCGGCCAAGAGGCCGAGGGCGCTCAGCAGCAGCGCAGGTGTTTGCAGGTTCACCATTTTCTCGGGCTAGCAATACCAGAATAATGAGATTCTCTACGAGAACCATAAAGCAGTCGAGCGCAGGCGTCTCTCATCTTCTTATTCTTTACCAAGGCCGATTCCGGGACCCCGCGTTCATTTCCCCCGGTGGACCCCTTATCGCGGATCTGATGATTTTGTTCGGTATCGGAAGTTCTGCCATTGGTCAATGGGGGAGGCCAAGGTCACTAGTTGAACCGGCATTCGAGTTCGCGCGGGACTGAATCAGGGACCTGCCCGGCGCCCATGAAGTAGAAGCTATTAGCCTACGCTATTAGTACTACCTCACTTGAGATACGTGAAGCTGGAAGTTGGGCCTACGAGCTTCCCCGCTCCCCATCATCCTCCTCTTCGGTTAGAATGCTAGTGGCCGTTATGGTGTACCGGACAGCTAGGTCTCGTGCTAGGCCTCGCCAAGCGTTAAGAATGGAGTCAGAGTTTCCCCTCGGCAATTGGTGTGCCGGGTTTGAGTTTTGTGACAATGCCCTGGTAACTGGCTGCGAAGGCTTATGGCGACACCCCCGGGGATAAAAAGTGTTCATGAATAAATATCATTCAACGAGGTTTTGGTTGTTAAACCGTGTGATTAAACGCAGTAAGCCTAATGTCAAACTTGTTTAATCATCAGCACAATACCGCGGTCTTCGATAAGTCGGCAACCCAGTCAAGGTAGCGCAGCTACGTCCAGACGGGTCTACAAGGTCTGTGGATCAACAACAGGGTCCTATGCAACCGATGTAACGACATCACACTTCAAGGCGTTGCCTAGAATCCGACAAGCAAAAGGGAAACTTGTTGGTCTCTGTACCTAGTTCAAGCAGTTGTCCTTTGGGCAATTAAACTAGTCGGCTTCGAAATCACGCATGTAATGATATAAGGCATTGAGTGGTGTCTAGAGACAGTGAAAATAAAAGTCTAGGACGATGCGTGGCCCATCCCTGTCCCATTCTCTCATCAAGCAGGTTAGCGATTGAGCTGACTGAGACTGCTCAAGATTATAAGAACTATATGAAGAAGTGAAGAACAGTTTATAAGTGTAATGTAAACGTGAGGTACATTCAGAACAATATTCGGGCGAAAGACGCACATTCGAAAGGAAAGGGTTACCGACCTACCAATTCGACACCACAACACAATGCCAGCATGTAGATCAACTCGGGCAAAGTATTAGCAGTGCAACAGTTTTTGAAGCAAGATTTGACAAATTCGATGGCGGGGGTTTGCAAACCTCTCGTTGGCAGGATCAATGATCACCATATTTCAGTACAGGGTAACCTGTGTCACAAAGCTCCAATGACTAAGCTACGTTCTGAATGGGAATTGTTTCCCTCTGATCCCAAGTGGTGATTTGAAACACATCTTACACGGCAGCATTTCCAGGCATTTAATACAAGAGGAGTTAACTACATATATTATAACAAGGTTTAACCGACTAGCACTAAAGGCTAGCATAGAACCATGCCAAAGTGGTTGATATTTTGAGAGTATCTTGAGCGATTGCACACCATCACTTATTAATGACCCGCCCAGAACCTCAGGAAGGCTTCCTTCTTGGTCTTCGCTGGTGGTAGTGGCTCGGGGTTGCGGTCCTCCTCCTTCAAAATCTGTCCATCGTTTCCGACATTGGTAACGGCGTTCTGCTGCTTTCCGAGATAGAAATTGGTCTGGAAAAGAGACGCGATGAGGGGGATAAAGGCCAGGGCCAGAGCTGGCGCAAGGCAGTAATACAAAGTACGTCGGTAAGCCTCGATGGCGCCTTGTCTCATCGGGTCATCGAATTCGTACTTGGTACGGATTGCCCTCACGCTGTTGAAGAGGCTCTTGACATCTTTATCCGTAGCCGTAGCGGGCAAGTATTGGCGCAGCAGCTTGGGCATTTTCTCGGCCCAAATGACCGCAACAATAGCACTGCCGATAGAGCTGCCAATCTTGGACCACAGCGACAGAAGGGCGATAGCCAAAGCAACATCTTGGTGAGGAACAGACGCCTCAGAAGCGACACGAGAGCCGACAACTGAAAAGGCACCACCACAGCCAATCAGAACAAGGGACATGACCATCGGCGCTGTTGAAATGGTAGCACGAGGGCCATCAAGCATGATGCCCATGCCAATGATCTTGATGCAAAGACCGATAATTTGGAGCAGCTTGTATCTGTGAGTCCATCTCTGGATCAATCCCGCAACCAGTCCAAAGACACAAAGGGACAGTGTCAGAGTGTTGTTGTAGTAAACCCAGTCTTGAGCAGACCAAGGCTTCGCAATGTAAATGTAGGACGACCAATACAATCCGCGAATGTTACCCGCAACTGTAATCATTGTTATTAGCCAACTGAACATATGAGACTCCTCCGGTTGGAGGAAAACCCAAAAGAAAAACTGTTCACTTACGCATGTAGAAGGCGTCAATGATGATAGCCATGAGGAACGTCTTGTTCATAACCAGACGACGCGGTGCGCTAGGCACCTTGGCCCACTTAATCTCATACACAACGTAGGCAATGAGCAAAACACCGCCAACAACCATCATCGCAATGAGAGAACGGTTGCGGAAGCCGTGGTCGGCATAGGTCTTGAGACTGAACGGCAAGAGCAACAAGCTCCATCCAAAACCCAGCAAAATCAGACCAAGAGCATCAATCTCAACGAGGTTGCGCTTAAGGCTCTCCATCCAGGAAGACTTGGGGTCGGCGGCAGGGGCAACGATTGCTCCGTGGGGGCCGTCATATCCCTTCTCGCCAGCCAACTCTCGCGCAGCCCGACGAGCCGCATTGGAAGAGGCAATGTTGACAATACCATCCTTCTTGGCCTTCTTGTCGAGATAGAGCAATGTTCCGATAGCTGGACCAAGCGCCGCAGGCATAATGATGGCGAACATGCCGTAGCCCCAACGCCACTGGTTCTTAGCCTGCATGGCATCGACGATTTTGCCAGCGAACCAGGTGTTGATGATGAAAGGCGTGGAGAGCATTGAGCTGACGAATCCGCGCCATTCAAGGGGCGTCAAGTCGGCAACAATAATGTCGTTTGTGAGGTCCAAGCCGGAAGAGCCGATGGCGACGAAAACTTCTCCCACAACATACGCGGAAATGGAGGTACTGGAGGCCGCAATGATGTATCCGATGACATAAAAGAGCAGCGTCAGGATATAAGTGTACGGGCGAGAAGTAATATCAGAGAACTTGGCGATGAACGGTTTGGAAACGGCGGAGATGGTGTTGGTTGCAATCGAAAGTGTCGACAAGACGGAGGAGTGCTGCTGGAAGTAGGACGAGGCGTCGACGCTGTAGTAGGAGGTCGTTGAGCCGTCGAGGGAGTATGCCCATGCGCAAATCAAGACTGATATTCCGACAAGATAGAAAGAAATGCGGTTTTGCTTGGCCTCACGGTAGACAGCCTCCATGCGGGTTACTCCTTTGGACTGGAGGATTTCACCAACTGAAGAGATTTGCACCTCTTCAAGTTCCGTCGAAGGTGAAATAGTGCCATCCTTGGGGATTTCCACATCGCCTGAGAAGACGGTCGACTCTTGGTTGTTGCCCATGGCGGATAAGGTCAGCTCACGTTGATGCTGAACCCGAACTTACAACTTGTGCTGGCAAAAGTGTCCACCAGCGAGAATGGCAACATGGGATCTAGAGGATTAATGTACTCTTGTTTAATACTTGCAAGACCCATCAGTAACACCAACAAATGGTGTTACCCAGTATGGTTGGGCAGGGATTTTCGCCAACGGCGTAAAAATTTGCAGCAGAACTTCTGAACCAGGGGGCAGCGATCATCAGGTCTAAAGAAAATGGTGGTGTGTCCCCTCTCTACAGTAGGCAAGGAACCGGTTGAACCTTGCTAGTGTGGTACGAGGCCATGTAAGATGATGGCCTGCGATGGAGCACCACACACTTGTCAATCTAATCAGATGCTTCTGTCATCTTATCTTCGCCGCTATGGCCCCCGGCCGAGTGCACTACCCGGCGGCGGAACTCCGTAACTAGTGACGTCGAGCTAAATATGTGGGTAGCCGTTGTGCGAAATCCGATGGTCAATCGAGGTGGGTTGCGGAAAGAATTGGCAAAGACATTTCCTCTCTTGGGATGGATGCCGCTAGGTTCCTCCCACTTGACATCTCCTAACATCAATGTTGCAACCAACCAAACCAAATGCTGTTACTTTCAAGTGGTCAGGTTGACATCGTCCCCCCAATATCGTTAAGGAAGCCTGGCTTTCACCTGCTGCGTGTACCCATATTGCCGCTTCATTTCCGTTATAATCCACCTCGCCTATATTTGGCATAAATCTCAGTAAGCAACGATGGAATCTGTTGCCACACAAGGACCTTGGGGTGTGGGATTTTCAACCCCCCACTATGAATTTCACTTACGATTGAAGATGAGTGGCATGATTTGTGACCAACAGAAGTTAGATTTTGCTACTCAAGACTCTTCAACGCCTGCTAGGCCCAGCAGCGTCTAGATGTGTTCAACAGTTCAAAGTCGATGCTTTACTATTTGCCGTTGAACTGATTTTTTGAGTATCTGGATGATTTCTGTATTTGTTATCAGCGTTCTCCCCGGCTATGATTGTAAAAATTGAGTTTCTACTCTACAAACTTTGCACATAAAGCTCCACTGTAGTTTCTGAGCAAGTTCCACAATCGTCCTTGAACCGTGTATCGTTTCTATGTAAATTGCTGATCCGCCCAAGCTTTCCAAGCCGCCCGATCCGTGCTAGAACGCCCACATGCCGCGGGCTGCTTTAGCTTGTTAGGCCATGTTCACATGGTGTTTGTCAAAAGATTGGTTATTCAAATCTCTTCCCGGGCCTGAACCAGCTCGTCGGAAAAGATGAAGCTGCGGGAAGGGTATTTCATTCGATTAAGGTAAGGCACGTAGCACTCAATGTGGGAACCATGCTCCCACCGGTCCAGTTCGCGGGACTCCACGGGTTGTAAGCGGGGCTAGAAGTTCTAGTCACAGTGAGGTGGCCCACCCAGTGCCATGCCACACATGTAAAATACGAAAGGGAAAAAATATCTCAGCTCCTGATGTCGGAGAAGAACGTCCAAACCATTCGACTGCTGCAAGAAACCCACATCCTTTGCGCAGATGATGCTGGGACTAGCCGTGAAGGTTGCCATCCAACTGGATTAGCAACCTAGACAATAATATCAAAATGGACCATTGACGGGTTACAGGAAACACATACTCAAAATGGTTCATGACACTAATTCCACTAATGGTCGAGGTAGGGACTTGCGGAACTTGCGAGGTATCAGCATTAAATATGAAGACTATTGTATTAATTGTTCCACTTGACCGAAAACAAACTCCATGAAATGTGCTACGTAGTTCATACTGGCTATGCCCAGCTCGTAGTTGGCATTTTTCCGAATAGAAGAGTTAGCTCACAGTCTCATTTCTTTGATTCTGCCCTTTAAGCCCTCCCAGACTCTTGCAACAACTGCCATCATCAATGTCATCAGAATTCCATCATATGTTGGTCGCGATATCGAGCCAAAGTTCTCGCAGTGGCGTCGTCGTCCTGGCTCTGCATTTATCGGAAGGTGTTAACTACCTCTTCTGCCTCAGCGTCTTCAGTGCTTCGAGTACAACTTCCGACCTGCGATCCGAATCTGTGTGTCACGCATAATTGAGACTTCTGTCTTATAGGAGCCGCGATCAAGGACAACCACTTCATTGCCGAGGTACACAGAATCAAGACTTTGTTGTTACAGTGGGTTGGTGCGGCTGAGAGGAATGATTCGACCATTCTCCAAACATGAGATACACACCTTAGAAACCAGAGCGTGACGAGGAGTCTTCGACGGCGGGCATGTGGGGTGTGCTCGAAGGAGTCTTAGTGCACCCAAAAGTCATGATGTTGAACTTAGCATCGGATGCGAGAGTTTCAAGCCTATCATCTTCCGGTTGCCCCTTTTTCGTCAAACTGCTTTAGAAGGACAAGAGTTTAAGCTGAAGCCTTAACGGAATGATCATTTGAGAACCTGGAGCAAAAGCGTAGACTGACAGGTAAATAGTCAGGTATGAGCGAAGCTCTAGCCCAGAGCCAAGTAAGTACGGCCTGACTGGTTGCTATGGCTGAAAATTACTCAAACATCAAATCACCGACCTGGCGTACAATAGCTTCTTGGGGAGTAAAATATACACGGCCAAGATGTTTAGTGCTCAGCTGAGAAGATGCTTTCCGTAACGTGGGCAGGCTTTTTAAAACGGCCCAAAAAAAAAAAAAAAAAAAAAAAAAAAGAATGGCAACAGTCTGGGACCGACTTTGCAGGTGTTGTCATCGCGAGGATTCTCAGCTTTCCGGTGGTATCAAGTCAGCGACGATGCGGTTATATGCCAAGTTCTCTGCTATATTACTGGGACGATCTATTTCTCTTTCGAGTCCTGACAACACTTCTGCCAACGCTCTCACGGGAGAGCCAGAACTGCCAAGTTCCTTAGCATTCCATGCTGGCATTTATATTGGTACGCAACCCTTGGGATCTCGCAAAAGAATTGCGGAATTAGGCACGTTTCTCCGTCGGGTCGTATTAAATTTCCAGTCTCCAGTCCAAACCATTCACACGTGGTTCGTTTCCACAAAAGCCGCACAGCGTAATGAGTGTTCCGTGCACTTCTAGTTAGCCGATCATGAAGGGTAAAATGTGGGTTTGCTACTCGTTTGTACGGATGGACGATCCGACGACAACTTTACCTTTGGAAGATGAGACGTTAGTTGGATAAACAGCTCAAGTCGTCTCCAAAAATATGTGGTACTGGTTCCAAAACTATGTTGCGACTTAAAACAATTATCAGTTCGATTATAAGCAAGCAAGGCGCGATGCACTACCAAACTCTTTCGATCGTCTTCGGTAGATTCATACTTCATCGGACAGTCTCGGAAATACAGTTTGTGTGGTTATTGACTCGAGTTCTGCCACATCTCCTCCCTTCGGCGTTAGAGTATTTCATCCTTTCACCCCTGGCTCTACCATAGTAAAGTTTTCGCCAATTTTCACAGTTACATCAACACTAGCAGGGACACCCATATGAAACGGCACAACATCGTACAGGCGCTATTGTCCCCTTAATCAATCCAACGCTTCTACATCTTTATGGATAGTGCAATTTTGCTCCCCGCGAATATCGTCATCCGAACCCAGTGGATACGGGAATGTAGAGGCGGGCAGTGCTGCCGATGACCCCTGAGGATATTGTCATTGCACGTGGTAAATCGGAGGCAGCGGCTCCGAGAGTACCCAATAGCCAGAAGCAGCCCTTTAACCACACAAAGCCCCAACACGGTAGCATCCAGGTACGAACGGTAACCATCTGCCATGTTTCAAGCATAACCCCTGCCGGTAGAGCTCGGCCACATTGTATCTCACACGGCCGAAAAAGTAACGTCAAGAAGCTAGGCACGGAGAACTCTAGAGATCGTCCCGTCATCCTTGAAGGTCATCTCTAAAATGAAGGACTGTTGTTTCCTTGTAGGACAACCCTTGGTCTTTACCTACTACTGGTGGATCAGTCCGTCATTTGGCTTGAGGCTTGGCTCTTTAGAATGGCGGGATGTACGACATGTATAAGAGTAAGAAGATGCCGGCATCGAGAAAGATGATGAGATGACAGCTCCAACTCCATCGCGCAGCAGCCATTCGTTTTATCGCCGGTTCGACACTCTTTTCACTTCATCTTATATCTTCGCACTTTCTTGAACTTCCCCTAAAATGCTTGCTCATCTTCTTCTCGCCGCTGCGCTTGCGCCGGCCGCTCTTGCCGGACCTGTCAAGGCCCGTCAGGTCGCATCCTACGAGGGAAACCCGCTTGCCGACAGGCAGCTGTTCCCTAACCCTTACTATGCCGATGAGATTAAGAACCTGGCTATTCCCAAGCTGAGCCCTGAGCTTGCCGAGAAGGCCGCCAAGGTCGCTGAAGTTCCCTCTTTTGCATGGCTGTAAGTCTCGTCGCAAAACTATGCCCAAGAAGCTTGACTGATGGCAACGCAGCGACACTCGTGAGAAGATCAGCCTCATGAACAGCACTCTTGCGCAGATCCGTAAGCTGAACCAGGAGGGTGCGAACCCCCCGTTCGCCGGTACTTATGTTGTCTACAACTTTCCCGACCGCGACTGCTCCGCCAAGTCCTCGGCCGGAGAGCTACTCATTGCTGAGGATGGCATCAACAAGTACAAGAAGGAGTACATTGATCCGATCGCCGCCCTTGTCAAGGAATACTCTGACACCCGCATTGTGTTGATTTATGGTATGTGCGCCGTACTCATTCTTAGCCAGCGTTTCCAACTAACTTTGATGAGAACCCGATGGGCTTGCCAACCTCATTACCAACCTCAACGTCCAAAAGTGCGCCCAGGCGGCGGATACTTACAAGGAGGCCACCGACTATGCCTTCAAGACGCTCGATCTCCCCAACGCAGCTGTTTACGTCGATGCCGGACACGCCGGCTGGCTCGGTTGGGAAGCTAACCTTAAGCCCACTGCTCAGCTGTACGGCGAGTTGTACAAGAAGGCTGGCTCTCCCAAGGCTGTTCGTGGACTCGTCACCAACGTTTCCAACTTCAATGGCTGGAACCTGACGACTGCTCCCCCGTACACAACCCCCAACAACAACTTTGACGAATCCAAGTTCCACACGGCGCTGACCCCGCTTCTCAAGGAGGCCGGATATCCCGCGAATTACCTTGTCGACCAGGGCCGCAGCGGCAAGCAGCCCACCGGACAGCAGATCTGGGGTGATTGGTGCAACGTCAAGGACGCCGGCTTCGGGCCTCGCCCAACTGTCAAAACCGGTATTGACACCCTCGACGCTATTGTTTGGGTTAAGCCTGGTGGTGAGAGTGATGGTACCAGCGACTCTACCGGTCCTCGTTACGACGAGAAGTGCAGTTCTGGCTCTTCTCTTACCCCTGCTCCTCAGGCTGGTACCTGGTTCCAGGCGTACTTTGAGATGTTGCTCAAGAACGCCAACCCCGCCTTCTAAGCGTGTTGGGCGGGTGACGACGACGAAGATTTTACGTTCTCTTTAAGGTACATATATAGGGCAACCCGGGTTTTTTTATGTCGCCAACGTTTTCAGAATGCCGTGAACTTGAATGCTCGTGAATATCGTGGTCCCATGCTATATTAATTTCGCAATCCTAAGCTTGTCAGTTGTTCAAGTAAAGAGTCCTTTTCGATAATGGTCTGGGCCACTCCTTCTGCAGACAATATACCTGGAGCATCTGGGGAACTCAGCAAGAAATTTTGGAGGGGAAAGATGATTCAGCTGCTCTAACATATGGAGGTTCTTTTCAAGAATTAAGAGCCCATAACGACAAGATCCGGTAGCTTCTGCCAGCAGCTCGGATTTCAAGCTAAGGTAAATAGCGTCGTCATGCTCTAAATCCCTCCAATTCTGTACGAGACTGGAAAGTTTCCTATTTCAGAACACAATAACCTCTTTTAGGTAACATGGAAAATCCGAATGACAGCATCCATCCCCAACTCTTGATGAGACGGGAAAGGGAGCGAATGGCCCAACCCGATGCCCCGCACGCCCCAGTGGACACACCTGCAATTTCACCCCTTTTGGGGGGCTCGCACCGTCCAAGCCCGGGCCTCAGTGAAGCGTTCCACCAATCACAGGGGATAACGGCTCTGCCGAGGATGGGGAATTCAATGTAATGCAAACGCGCCGTGACGAAAACCTTCTCTCCTTCGCTTCCACAGCGCATTTCGGGAATGCTCCAGCGGCTATCACAGGCGAGAAGTCCAATATAATATGTCCCGAAGCTGCCATCCCATGTGAGACGGCTTCTGGGTTCTTTTTTGGTGACGGCTAGCCATCTGTTTTGTGTCTCGTCGGCTGACTATCGTTTTTTACTTCACATTCGTTCTTCCATTCTGATTTTAACTGTTCATATCTGCTAGTGCTGTATATAGGTGCCCTACCACACCAGACAATATGAAGTCTTTTACCACAGCCCTTTCTCTGGCAGCCGGCCTGTCCCTGTCCTTCGCGAGTCCTACCCCAGCCGTCGCCCCTAGGCAAACGAACAACTCCAAGAACCTAATCGTCTTGTAAGTCCTCTGTTATGGACTTGGACAACACCACTAGGCCGTGACTTACTCTAACCATAGCGGCGACTCCTACTCCACTGTTGGCTTCTGGCCTGGCGGCACCCTCCCCGCCGCCGGCAACCCGCTCGGAAACCCGGCCCTCCCCGGTCAGACCACCTCCAGCGGCCTGAACTGGGTCGGTCAACTCACAAGCACCCTCAACACCTCGCTTGTTTTGACCTACGACTTTGCTGTCACTGGCGCCACTACCGACAAAGAGATCGTCACCACTTACGCCCAGTATTGCGTCGATGACCAGGTCGACCAGTACAAGCAGTATGTCTCGAGCAAGGTCAACAAGGCCAACACCCTAGTCGCCATCTGGATCGGCATCAACGATGTCGGCGAGCCCTTCTGGAAGAGGACCTCCGCCCCGGTTGCGAAGATCATGGACCGTTACTTTGAGCTTCTGCAGACCCTTGCCGATGACGGCCTGAAGAACTTTGTCCTGCTCACGGTTCCTCGTATGTTCCCATGCCCCCTTCCCCGGTAGATGCCAATGTACTAATGTAGTATCGCCAGCTTTCTCCGACCAGATCCCCGCCATGATCGGCCAGTCCGAGACCGACCTCCAGCGCCTCCGCAACGACATCACCGCCTACAACAAGGCCCTGAACGATCGCCTCACCACCTTCAAGTCCAAGAACAGCGGAGTCAAGGGTCTCGTCTTCGACACCAAGCCGTCTTTCGACACCGTCGTTAAGAACTTTGCCCAGTACGGCGCCAAGGACGCTACCTGCTACGGCTCCAGCAACTGCCTCTGGGCTGACAACTACCACGCCGGCCTGGCCATTCACAAGTTGCTTGCGCAGAACCTTGTCAAGGGCGTCGCAGCGAACTTCGTCTTCTAGGGCTACCTAGTGCGAGGGATTGACATTTTTTTTTTTTTTTGTATTTATTTAACTTGGTACATATGAAGACATGGTAGCAGACCTCTGCTGCTGCCTTGATACCATTTTGAAAAGGACTGATGACTACGTGATTTGTGCGTGGGTTTTCTCGAAGCGAGAGCCATGTTTGAATTGTGTCCTGGAAGTTATCTAAACGATACTCGAGATTTGCTCTCCAAGCCTAACACATGTTAACTTATGATTACTATGGTTAGGAACCTGAATATCGGATTCGAAACCTAACTGAATTTGACATTTGCTGGGGAAAGTCTATCTCATCGAGTGTCATAAGGGATCACCTACAAACCGATTCATTCCAAAGACCCTATTTGTCTAAATCTAACCATATGAGTTTTGTCATTCGATATAAAACGCACAATCAGAGCATGGTTGGATAACACTCCACGTGTTTGGAAACGGTGTCTTATGGCAGTCTATAGAATACTTCATCATATGCTAATTTGTTGGGGAATAAGACTGTTTTGGGTCCTCAAAGTCTGTATCATTATAGCTGTTAAAAAAACCAGATTTGCGGAAGGAACTGGGTTCGCAAAACCCACTTAAACTCTTGTGAGGCGGCAATTTCACATCGATGGAATTAAAACTACTGTACCTTTCTTCGCCCACTGTTTCGTGTCGCTAGAATTGAAAATCATGGTGATCGTGAAAATTCAGCGTATATGCTGTTAGTGCCACTTTCGAAACCTTTATTTAGACGAGACAACTTCGTAACACGGCTTTTGGCCAATTTTGCTAGAATACGATCAGACGTGGATTAAGATAGAGACTAATGGACCCATAAGGTGAATATAGCTACTCGTACTTATATACCCAAGTAGAACACCTCGAAGTTGATGCCTTGTGCACCAGGTTACGGTATTTGCCTTCCCTCAAACCCTTATAGGAGTGATAGTGATATGTTCATCCAGTACTGCTTTATCGAACCTCCTCTTCGATTCTGGGCATATTTAAAATGAGTATAGACTAGGCTGAGATAGAACAGAAACCAAGGTACGGTTGCAGTATGTTTCTAGGGGTTGGGTTTCCTCCAACGTTTTGTTGGAACCTACGTATTTGCCAATTGGTCAAGCAAAGTCGAGCACCTTTTCTTAATGCAGCTAAGGACTGTCGTATGAGCCATCTGAGAATTGACCCATGGCTTCAGATTATTCAAATCTTGGCCGACCAATGAAGTTGCATTTGATGGCTAAGCAAGATTCCCGAGTTAAAGGACCAAGATCAAAAGACTCCGTGATGGCTTATCTCTCTTCGTTGGCCAAGAACGAAAAGCGACAGTTGGGAACCGTTGGGACCGGGGGCTAGAAAGGGAGGGTTTAGTGTTGACGTTAGCATCCATCCCTCTCGTTGATACTCCAGTAAGCCATTGCTTCGGTGCATGCTTTAGCTTGGCAAGATAGTGCTAGCGCTCACTTTAACGAAGCATCAGATCGCCCAGCATCTTAGGCTCATCTTAGGTGTTGCCCGACTAAGCTTAAAGCGACCTCTTTTTGCAACTGGACTGCTGTGGAACAACGGACGCACACCTGACCATGAGCTGAAAAGTCAGTACAACGTTGAGCCAATGCCACAAGAGCACCCCTGAAAATGAACGCGTATGCAGACAACCTTTTGACCGAAGTTCGGTATCAGTACAGGTAGCCAATATTCCCCATGGGGCTATCTTGAACAATCATGAGTCCAGAATTTATGTACTCCATCCTCCCCCCACAGTGGCCAGGGGGCGCTGTTGGAATGTAGTACTACATTGGATGTGAGTGGACGATAACGGGGAAGCCCAGCATAACGGGTTGCCAAAGGATCGCAGCCCACCCTAGATTCTTACCCAAGGCCAGACCATCCAATAGGCCGATGCTTCTTCTTATGAGGGGGTGCATTCGCCCGACCAAACCGGTGTTGAAGCTTCGAGGTGGCGTATCGAGCGACGGGCGCTAACTTCTTGCGGTTGCAAAGGCCTCATGAGCTGCGCCACAGCCCTGCATGCCTCTCACTGTCTGCCTTCCAGCCCTAGACATATATATGTTCAGCTGATACGATGACCTGTTCATTTATCTGGTGATCGTGAATTGCAGTCTGCATTACGCGTCCAGCCAGACGAGGCTTTTTGCACTTTGAACTCGGTGCTTAAAAAGTCACACTGCAACTTTTCGAGATCGACCTAGCCAGTCCCAACGGGTACGTTCCCCGGAGCATTATAAGGTACTTCCTAGTGCATGTTGGCTCTTGTGCCCTGCCAGTCAGGACCAACCCCGCACGCTTCAGTTCACGTCTGACTTATCACTCCCCTATCTAATCTCCAACTCTTTCGGACTCGTCATGCCCTCGTTTTTCAAGAAGTCTAAGAAGGAGAAGGAGGCGGAGGCGGAGGCGGAGGCGGCAAAGGCTCGGGCGGAGCGACCCGCCACCCCGCCGCCTACTTATCAAGATGCGCAGGCCGAACCGCCCCCGTTTGATGACCAGCCGCCATCGTTCGAGTCCATTCATGGTTCCAAGGGAGGAAAGCAGCCGCCAACCCAGGAAGAGGTCGCCAACATCACCGCCGCTTTTTCTTCTCTCAGACTCGGCACCCAAAAAGACCCGGATGTTGATTCTTGCCTCGCTCACTTGAAGTTCCTCTATGCCATCCAGACATTGAAGGAAAACATTGGCTACACAGATGGGCTCTGGGACCTGTGGGACACGCGTGCCGGGCCAAAACCCGACAGCGATGAGGCCGGCTCGAGCAAGAAGTCGGAGAAAGAAGTCAAGGATGTTTTGTCATTGATACGTGAGAAGCGATGGGCCTTGTTCCTGGCGAGGGCTGTAGATCGCTACGAAACTTGGTGGAAAGCGTTATCGAGCGAACGTCTAAAAGAACAGGATATGAATAATTCTGAGAAGTACTTGAAGTTTCCCGATGGCGGCGAGGATTTCCCCTGGACTGTGGATATTTTGCCGCCTCTCGGTAAGATCTCAACGCCCAGTATACCAGTGAGCTACAACTAACAAGAGCAGACGTTCTCATGATCTGGCATGCTCATATGCTCAACCCTAGGGCCTTCTTGGAGGATACCATGCGTTATGGTCTCAAGGCCTTCTGGACGACTGGTATGCCATGGGCTCAAGTCAACGAAAAAATTGACTCAAAGTTCAATTACAACCCCACGGATGCAGCGAAGCAGAACTGGGAGGCAACAACTGGTCGGGCTTGGAATAACACCGAAGAGCCAATGACAAAGCATCTGAAATGTCCCGCCTGTCATAAAGATATCGAGGTCCCATGGACAACCTGCGGGCTTCCTGAGGTCTTCAAGGGCGATCAGTTAGTCTGACCCTGTTTGTTCCACTTAAACCTCTACTGATGCGGTCTAGGAAACCGGGTGTAGTTGGAAAGGGATACGGAGACGGGAGCTTCAGCCAGTTGTGCACAGCAGGCTGTAACACCCTCATTACCCAGCACCTTCTCTCCGTCGTCAAAATAGTCAACGACGCGAACCACTATGTCAATGACAAGTACGTCGTCCCTAGCTCCGTTCTAGACCCCAAAGTCGGCATGCCAGCCACTCTCGACACACGACTCAGGGATGTCCAATTCCCTAACCGTCTATTGGGGCTAGGCGTCATTGAAGAGCTGAACAAGCTCATTCAACCAGGCATGCAAGTGCCTGCAACTATGGACAACGTTCGATACATCATTGAGGCTGCGTTATCCGACGATGATGCATATGAGAGGATCCAGGGGGCCAAACCCGTCCCGGCCAACAAGGCGGACCTCACAGGTGGTCGAGTACTCACGCGCACTGAGCGCTTCCAGACGAGAAAGATGATGTCTCGGTATTGGGACAATTATTCTATATTTGCCTTGGACCTTGTTGGGGCAACGATGCGTCAAGGTACATTTGTTGAGAAGATGTACAACGTAAGAGAGTCTGAATTCCGCCCATACGGCCGTTGTATAACTAATGTTCACAGATCGACTGGCTGCATGGCCCCAACCAGCGCGGTACCATGGACCGTCTCCTGCAGAAGTACCAACGCTTCATGCTCATTATGACGGAGAATCCATACACCTTATGTGTTCCAACGCTTGACGTTGATCTCGCGTGGCACACTCACCAGCTGGCTCCGAGAGCATACTACCAATTTTCGACCTTCAACACCTCGACAAAGGGGAACAAGGAGATGAGATTTATTGACCACAACGACAAGATTGACGAGGAAAAGCTCTCGAGTTCATTTGAGCTGACCAGTAAAGCATACCTGGACAGGTTCCAAGAGGTGTATTCTGAATGTGTTTGCGGGTACTGCGAAGGTCTGTCGGCTCCCGTTTTCTTCAACTGTCAGTTGTAGAGGTCCGTAACTAAAAGTATCATATCAGTCATTCGCATCCATCACACGTCTAACACTAGCTCGGTTTTTGGAAGAAGTAAAGAGCAAAAAGGTACGCCATCCCCTATGATAGTACGCTCCCCCTCTCAAAAAGAACGTTAGCCTAACGCAACCAAGCCATCGACAACTTCGTTGCAGGCGCCCAACCCTCTGCTCCTGGTACTGAAGTCCACATTTCGAGCCACAACGCCGTGCATTCGAAAGAGGATGCAATCCGGAAGAGGCTTCGCTCACGGCAGCGCACGGTCTGGAGAGTCCGCTTGGATGACGCCTATGACCGCGCGGCGAAGCGTGCTGCCAAGAATGGCAAGACACTGCCTCCCCGAGATCAGTACTACAACCATTGGGGAAGAACTTACCATCCGTACGGACCATGCATGTATCCAGCCTATCTCACGGCTGGAATTTACGTGACCGCCGACCCGGGCGTCATACATGCTGGGACTGGAGAGTGGGCCAACTGTGCTCAAGGGTCGTGCGGGACGAACGATATCGCAGCCGGTGGCTGCGGTGGCCCTGGTGGATGCACGAGTCTGGATGTAAGTCGTGTTGATAATTTCCAACCGTGCTTGTGCTAACTGTGTTATAGGGATATTGGAGTGTTAAATATTCCTCAGCAGGCTGTAAGGTTAACCCACTCCGTTGTCACACAGGTATAGTTACGCTAACGTATTTCTCAGTGTGTGGAGCAGCGTACGCAGGATTGGCCGCGGGAGGATGCGGTGGAGGAGGTGGTTGCGGCGGCGGAGGAGGATCGTGATTTCGCAGTGCGTGATTCGGTGCTCTTGTTGCAGTATCTTATTTACCCCGACACCATGGCGTAGTTTACTTCGTCTTATTTCACCTCTCGAAAGGTCATAGCCAATGCTAAGGATGTGAATGAGTGTACTGGAGACTAATTATTGGAATCGATGGCGAAGAAGAGAATCAAATAAGAAAGAAGGCAAAGTTTAATATGTAGCTGGATCGGTAACTATCTTCTTTTTATCTTGGACGAGTTCTTACATCAACTTTCCAATGTGTTGCCTCGGATCGTACCCTTGAAGTCTGCGCCAGAATCCTCGGACCAGGGAGTCATTACTAAAACACTACTTCGTACTGATATTCCCTGATTTGTAAGGTACAAGTGATTTTGAAGAATTTTTCAGCTACCACTTGAGTGACAACGAGTTTGATTCTTCCCATCATGTAAATCCACACACAGCGCACCCTACCTTACAAGTTGTTATAACGACAAACAACGTAGATGATGATTTAGTGGTTTTGAGCTTTTCGGGGCCATAACTTGTATTCTTTCATGCTATCAAGGCTATACCATTGGTTTCTTACTTAGATTCAACACATCATATCCTCTGATGCCCTGTAATATGGCAAAGAGGCTCCACTCATGGTTCTAGGAGAAGCCCACTCAGAGAGATGGAAAGTACTCATTCATAAGTTTCCCAATCAACGGATTCCGCATCCCAAATTGACCGAATGCGTTTCAAAGCGACCCCCCCGGATAATTCAATGCCACGTTCAAGCAGAATGAAATGGTTTAACGCCAATGCCAAGGGTATCTCATAACTCCGCCTTGTTGCTCATGACTACTCCCCCGTGTTGCCGTATGCAAGCGCAAATGCCACAAATTATCCGGTGTTCTGATTTCATAAAGTTCTCCGAGTCTTCTGAATATAATGATTACTCCTTTGGTGGTGGTGGTGGAGGAGGTGGTGGACGAATCAGCCGGTCCGGCAAGTTGCTAGTGTCGCTAAGGAAGACGTCAAGCATTCCGGAAGAGTCACTACTTCTACAATCACATGCTTAAGAACAGTTCATCAAGCTGGCGGTTCTAACGATGAATCTTACCTGTTGATCATAGTAGCGGAGCTTGTGTTCGTATTCATTGTAATGATGGTGGGGTAAGGGTCTCTCACCACAGTGCAGTGAGAAGGATTGATGATAATATCTTGCCTAGCAATGTTGAAAACAAAACTATGTTGTCTGGATTCTTGCGAGAATTCTCTGAGTTTCAAGACCACTAAAGAGCTATTTATACCCGTGAGGGGCTCAAAATAGGGAGATATCTAGGAAGCAGTGGTCTTCGGGTTCCCCCGTCCCGTCCTCCCGAGCGCATCCCGGTCACCTGCTGCAACCACAACTGTCTTGTCCCCTTTTCCATCTCACAGCAAAGTCCCGATGGCGTATCCATAACCAATACAAGGGTTGGGATATCGCACCCTAATTAAGACGGAACAAATCAGTCAAGACGACTCGACAACACCATAGCTCGGGGCCACCCCAAAGGCCGAAGTAAACAAAGAGGGGACCAACTGGAAGTGAAAGCAACCACATGAATTGAGGCTCTTCTTCTGCAGTCATGCTGCGAGGTGTCGAAATGCGGCATTCGAATGTCATCCAGTAGTTGCGACGAACCGCTGGTCCAGTGATTTCCCCAGTCTCGTATCAGCCCTCCTAGCTAAGGCGGAGATGCGCACGCGGCATGTCTCTCCAACGGACATGTCAACCCTGAACTCTTGTCTTTCAGCGGACACCCCTCCCTGTCACATCTCCGGGACGGAATGTGTTGGGTCTCTCATTCGTTTCGGGAAAGATTGTAGCATCACCTCCGCTTGGGATGGTTGCTGTGGTTGAATGCAGCCAACAATGCAACATCCATGCCCCCCTCACGTCGGCCCAATCAACCCGGCCTCGTCTTTCCTTCCTTGCAGTAGTGTGCATGAAACTTCGTGGCACCGCCAAGTGTTTCTTTCTGCTGTGCAGTAACTGCTGCAACTGATCCATCTAGGCCTGCTTGTTGGCGGTTAAGAATGCGACTGGAGGTCACCACGGGCGGTACGCTTCTCATAGGCGATATTGCCCCATTGGTTGACAGAATTGACAAGGGTACCTCTATGTTGGTGTTGGCTTCTTTGCAGGCGATTGCATAAAGTCAAGTATACGGCATGGCATGGGAAGGTGGTGTGGTGTGTATCAACAAGTACAGCTCGCAAGAGATGCCGTCATTCTTCAGTGATGGGCGGGGATGTGTGGTGATCAATTTGAGAAGATTGGGACTCCCGCAGCATGGCTCATTGTCTTAGATTTCTCGTTTGCTTCTCCAAATAGGATGTATGTGGACATAAGACGCCTCGCCGCTCGATCCCCAAATACTGATGAAATCATGTACAAGTATTAGCTACATTGTCATTCGTTCGGACTAGTCTTGATGTCAACGGACATCCGGGCCAGGGTTGTTTATCAAACATGTTACGAGCCTACGACAATCTCACGATGGGAGATCTTCCAATAAAGCCTCTTCCACGAGGAGCGGCTGGTACCAGCGACATGAAACCGAACGGAGCTAGAATATGTACTCAAGGCAATAGGGGTGTACAAGTTCGTGCGGAATATCAGAGTGCCGTAAGAATCGCGTACACAAACGAACAGATTCGTACATGTTGCTAACTAGCTTGTTTTTAATGCCAAACATGTACTAAGATCGTCAGCTCGACAACCCTTCATGGAATGAATACCTAAGCAGTCGGCAGAGGACCAATTGTACGTATTACATAGCAGTTTACCTTCAGACAAATATTATTGCTTCGTTATAACGGTACGTATCAATCTTAGACGGCTTCCTTGTTGCAGCCTCTCGATATTGAATATCTTGAAATACTTTGGAGGTGAGTAACAAGATCATTCCTACCCTTAGTGCTCAATGATAAAGTAGCAGCCCAGTTTCCATAGAATATATACACATGATTCCAAAATATAACATCAGCAATGCAAAACCATGGCGTACAAATTCCAAAACAGGGTATCATAAATCTGAGTGTCCTTTCCTTGTTGCATATCGTACCAAACCTCCAAGCCGTCGCAAGACGAATGAGATAAGAAATAAGTCCCTCAGTTACTGACGACTGGGTGTATTTACTTTGGCTTGTTTATTTTATCAACGATGCTCTCTGTCTTGATGTAGATGTCAAGCATTGGGCTTGGCGATGTGCTGCACATTGGTGAGCATTCTATCCGCGTATGCTTGGTTGGTGTGTTTTACCTGTCAGACATTGTGGGCGATTTCGATGTAGCAAGAGCTTGGTACTATTGACAACAAGCTAGCAGGTTGCGATGGTAAGAATACTTGGAAGTAGGATATAGACGTGTCAAAGAAGACCTGCTTCGATGGATTGCATTGAAACATCATCATCATCTTGGGGTCTTAATGGCCCATTTATATCTTTCAGTTTTTGGATAAATCCACACGTTGAACAATTATTGCCTTCCCCTCTTGGATACTTGACAACCCTCGCTTCATCCGCCAGGCAATCTTCCTACTCGGCTTCCTACCCGTGGGTCAGCTGCTCCTCCATAAGCATGAGTTACATCACATTTCACAGCAATCTAACTCAATGTTTCGATTACCCTAGTTCCCGACCGGAACCAGGACCCAATGCGCCGACATTAATCCTAGACTAGATCGCCTCCATATCATCTGCAGGGCAGGGGAACTGACCAACCCGAAGACCATGTTCCCATGACTTGCGGCTCTGCGTAACTCTCTCACTCTGAGTTGTCCGTTTCTTGGAGAATGTGAACCCCTCCATCCCGTGTCTGCTATACCCAGCTCGAAGCCCAGCATCTATCCGTCTGCCGCCCTCTTGATGTTACCATCCGATTGGAGCCACGATTTTCAGCATAAAACGACATGATGACGGGGTTTCGCATTGACGCCTCTGTCAACGAACATCCACCTTTGATACTCGTGCTCCAAACTCCGCTTCTCATGTCCTCGTAGCCATAACTCCTCAATTGTTCGTTTTCGTTCTTTGCCCACTCCCCCCCTCATTTCTCCCTCTTCTCGAAGGTCTTTAGCTCCATTGAGCAAAGGGTCCGCCGTATGAACACCTCTCGACATTCGACGTGCATGAGCCCATGCTCATACAGGTTAGGACCAACCGTTTCTGGATACAGCTCCCCCCAATCACATCCTCTCAAACTACCTAGGTGCATAGGTACATATGCAATATGCATAGTATAAAAGTGACTTGTGTGACTAGCGTACGTCTCCATGCTTCTCTTTCTTGCGTCTCTAGCCGGCAGGCATGGGATGGCGTGCCGCTCGTTGCGCTACACTGCATTCAATTCCCTCTTTTTTTTCGATAAGCCCTATAGGGAAAGGTTTTGTGTGTGCAGGCTTCTCCGGGTGGGGTTCTCAGCGCAGATGTTCTGTTGCTGGTATGCAGTTCGTCCCTTTGGGAGATCATTTGAGTTATGAGAAATAGTTCCTCGGCAAGTGAGGGCATTAACCGTGTCGTCATTCTTTAGCGAAGCAGCGGTGAGTGTACCCGACGTCGATCATTTCGGAAAAGGACAAAGTTCTCTCTTTTGCGGAGCGACGATGTTGGCTTCCGTCTTTGCCGTACTGGACAGGCTTCTCTGTGGAATATTTAGAGATCTCTCTCTGAAGATGGCGTTAGATAACCCCCACGGGGACGAAAACTTTGAGACGATTGGCTGTCAGCTCTTCAATGTCAAATACACAGAAGTCTGAGCTGAGGGTGTGGCTTGCCTTGGTCTATCAAGAAAGCATCAGATTGGAAGCCGGGGCGAATCATGAAAGCATCGTCGCAGACTTCCGCCGGCAAGAGAACGTCATCATCATCCGATGGACTGTCCACGGGACTGGATGTCGAGTCTGGACAATGTTCAGACCCGAGCCACGTATGTTCAAAAGAGGGCAAATGCAGCGAATAGAGTCGAGTGGGCAATCTTATGGACGAGGATCAGGGATTAAAGGCGTCAACACGCTGGCGCGAAGCAGTTGTTGGTGCTGGAGCCCCCCCGCTCTAGAACGCATCTTCGAAGAGTCACACATTGGGAAAGAGAACCAGTCAGGAAACCTTTTAAAGCATGTTCTCATGCAAAGACTTTTGGCACGAGGAAAAATGAGGGGTACAAGGGATGTCCGCACCGTACAAAGAGCCATATTCTGAATGGCATCAATTCGATGCGAGAGGCATCTCAGATAAACCGAACCAACCAGCACCATCCGATCAAAATCGGTGCTTTACGCGGATTGATCAGATCATCAAATGCGTATCTGGGGCCAATTATCCATCGGATGATGTCCCCGGCATCACCGAGAAGGGACTAGACAAGTAGAGGAGAGGGAGGGGAGAACCACAAGGGTTGATAGGAAGAAGGGGAAGAGAGAACTGAATGGGAATAGCTGCTGGATAAGTGATTGATGGGAAAGGAGGGGGTGGAATCTATCCACGCCATCCACCGACATGCAGTGCGAGGGTGGTCGCCCCGAAGCGACCACGGCGCAACATGTCTGCATCGGTTAGCTGCTCGCAACGTTGTTCCAACAGCATGTTCCAGTACGTCCACCTCACCCCTACTCGCCTCCTTGTGGGGTTCCATCACCCTTCCCCAGCTATAGTAGAGGCGAGCAGAGCCGCACCATTTCCTTTGCCCCGAGAGGTTTCAGGGACAAACCGATCCCCCAGACCCTAGTGAGAATCTCAGGACCTTCAAACTACGTTTGCAGTGAAGGCGGCCCAGAAAGCTGGTTTTGGTGTGTGTGTGGTGTGTGAGGGGGGTGGCTCCGCAAGCTTCCTGCGCGCAGTGTTACTCTCTTTGCTGTGCAGTGTCGTTTTTATTGTTTTTGCACTTCTGTGCCTTCTTTTTACCTACATCACATATCATTCTTCTGATCTTGCAGTTTCTCAGTTCTCTTCCGGAGCAACAGTACAAAAACGAGAGCCCGAGGCGTTCTGGTGCAAAGGCGGAGGCCAAGGTGTTGTTGGTGCGATTGGAGCTTGCTGACAGGCACTGTCAAAAAGCGGGTGTCAGCAAACTAAAAGTTCAAGAAAAAAGAGCTCAGGTATTGAAATCGGCATTGCGTTTGCTTTTTAAAATGCTCCCGTTTCTAATGTCTAAAGAAAAGGCCATCAAATCTTAGACTTGCCGCTCTTCTCCGCCTCTTCCTTTGCCCTCTTCGCCTCTTTCTCCTCGTTCAACACTTCCTCTCTCCTCCGAATCTCGACCTTCCGCGGTCCGTCCTTCGTGAATTTTACCAACACGACTCTCTCCCAATCTCCTCCGCGCCCAGAATCCTTCAACTCGGGACCTGGCTTGTCAATCCCTAGAACAATTCGATTGTCCTCTTCGCGAATGAACAAGTTGTGCGGGCTCATGACTTTATCAGACCAAGGTATTCTCGACTTAGGCTGCTTTCTCGCCGCCTCCGAATCTGCCGTCGGAATCTTGTCAAGAAACTGCTGCAGCAGCTTTCTTTGCGCCGCAAAATGATCCATGCCCGCCTCGGGCGGTGCGCCCTTACAAAACTGCGAGACGAGGTAGAGGAGAAAATACTGCGGCGGAAAGAGAATGATTTCACCCTTGTCGGCACGGGATAACCACACGGAAGCGTCGTCAAACTTCGCGGCCGTGTGCTCTACACCTCCGTCAGGCGTTGGCACGATGATCTCATGCTCTGTCGCTTCAACGCCTGTCGAGGCAGAATGTGGAAGCATATAAATGTACATCTGCGTTGTGAAGCGTTTCGGCACGTTTGTCGGTGTTACCCATCTTGTAAAGGGTACCAAACGATCTGTTATACATGTGAGTGGAGCGATTAATTGAGGCCAACAGAGTCACATACCCACGTCTGGGACACCGCCGACGCTCTCGACCCATTCGCTGAAGCGAGTTTGATTCCCGTGAATCTTCTTACGGGCTGCATCTCTGTCTGCTGATGGCACATTTACAAGAGTATATGCGTCACCGGAGTCCTTCTTCGTGGCGAGGAGGATGCCCGTTTCCTCGAAGCATTCCCGTATCGCGCCGAGGCGATACGCAGGGCCATCTTCATGCCTCTCCTTCACTTCACTGGGCGGAATGTCCCCATCATGAAATGGGTCCAGATTCCCCCCAGGAAAGACGTGGGCCGATGCGAAAGACGTGGATGTCTTTACCCGGTGAAGCAGTAATACCTGGTTCGTCGGCGAGAGGAGCAGGATACTGTGAAGAAAGTCAGCATCATCCATAACATCAGTGTTCGACAGTAGCTTACCTTGAGCTTGGCCGCGGCACTTGGACTTCTTTCTTATCCTTTGATGAAGATGCTGATCGCTTTTGTGACATGATTGCTACCGAGAGGCCGTTGAAGCGTGGGATTGGGCTTGAGACAGTTGTCAGTGACGTAGTTGAACTTCGACCTCGGCTCGAGACTCTGGTCGCGACTGTGTACGAATGTGAGGCAGTTATGGCTCGAATTGCAATTATTGGTGAATTCTTTCGCATGCGAAAACCGCGGTGGAAGTTTATTGAAGACATCAGAGGTTCTGTGGCGGCTTTCACTTAGCTCAATTCATGAGATGTTAGGGACCAGATGATGGCGGTGGGGTTTGACGTTTTGCCGAGGTTCGGTGAGCGCCTTGTGACCGCGCCCTATCGCCAATTCAGGAATGCCGCGCGCGAGCGACAAGCGGCGCTAACAATCATTTAACCGTCCTCAATCGTTCATGATAATTTTTTTCTTTAAATATTCATTCAAAAATGACTTTGTAAGTGCTGGAATGCTCGTTGTATTGGAAAACTCATTATGCGCCACCGTGCCGTGCAAGTGACGCCTTAAACTCAGATGCATGAATATTCAGGGGGTATCGTTACTCCAACTCCTAATCAATACCTCTTTCTTTCGCCCCCTCTCAAGCTTTCACGCCATAAGCAACATACGCTTTTAGACTCACACCACTGCTTTACCTCCGTCGGGGAGACCTCGCCATCGTATCCGACTCTGGATAGTTGGCCAGTGTTTAACCATGTGGCGAGATCTTCAAGGACAATTGGGTCATACATCAACATCATCTCATGGAAGGTAGGCTGCTTCGGGTCCGTCGTTGGCGGTGCTGTCGTGACCGCCTCCGTAATGGATACGAACAAAACCGATGATTGCTGGCTTTTTGGTGACGCGGCAAGCGACAGCTCAGTGTCTTCACCAGCTGAGACAGACACATCCACAGGAGGTGGTGAAAAGGTAGGTTCAGGTGACGAGTAGGGAGACGGGGAAAGAGAGCCTTCCGACGCCGAATCTGGAATCTCTATAACTTCTTGCATCTTGGGCTTCCTCCCGCGAGGGGACACCGCCGCCGATCCCATCTCTGGAATGGAACATGTATCTGCACCAGACTTTGATTTGCTTTTCTTGCGTTCTGCGGCGCCAGTGGTTTGTGTCGGCTCAACGGTTTTCTTCGGCCGTCCCCGTGGCCGTTTGGGCGATGGCGGCGGAGGCTGAGCTGACGGCGGCGGCTCACTGGACGACAGCTCCGTATTACTATTCTTTCTTGGGCGACCCCGCGGGCGCTTGGGTGACACAACTGATGCGGCTCTCAGCTGCTTGGTAGCTGCCGATGTCTCAGAAGATGTCGAGATCGAGTGGTTCGTAGGGAGTGATGAAAGCGCCGCTCTTTGCCTGCTTGCCCAGCACTGGTCTAACAGGGCGAGCATAGCCGTCCGCCGCTTGACCGGCTTGAAACCGTAGGAGGAGATCTCCCGCGCAAGCTGAACGTCAGTATACAATTCAAAATTGGGTTTACTGGGTTCTGGGTCGGACTTTGAGCTGGTCACAGCCTCTTCCATTCCTACTCCAGTCCCTGAGGGCAGATGAGACGGTGGGTGACATTTCATATCGTCGATGATGTCAACCACATTTCTGTCCAATGTTGCGCTTTCGCTAGGAGAATTTTCCTGCCTTTCCGCTGGTTGGGGAGCGTTGGCGAGTGCAGGTTGTTCTGTCAAAGGCTGCGGGGCCTCTGTTTGGCCCACGGGCAACTCGCTGGTTGTGCATTTACTCAGCAGGTCGTCGATATCCGGGAACGAGTCTTCGGACGGGAAATGGTCAGGAAATAACAGTTGATGCTTTTCGGGAGCTGCATAACCAAATGGATTAGGACCCTCTGAAAGGCTTGCAGCTGGTCCCGGTGTCTCCGCCAAGTCAATGATTTCAAGATCTAGAACTCTGCCATCTTCATCCCTTGCGCCAACGTTCCAAAGCTTCTGCTGAGGTTCTGGATCAATAGCGTCGCTGTTGATAGGTGTTTCAAATGCATTATCTTCCATTGCTGGTCTGTTGGAGGCTTGCAATGCGGATTGAAGATCTCTAAGAAATGTTGGCGAATGCTCTCGTGCCAACTGGCTAGATGTTCCGAAGACGTAGTCTTGATTTGCAGCTTGTCTTAAAGCTGTTGTCGGGGATAATAGAACTGGTTCTGGGGGTGGCACCTTTTTCGGCTTTTTTGCCCTCGATGGTCGCTTCTTCCCCTTACCCTTTGCCGCTTCACCATCGCCTCCGACGCTCTCAAGTGGGGGCCCAGGCTGTTGCTCTTCATTCACGTCTGGAACCACGTAGGCAGCCGTTGCTAGCTCCGTGATGGTTCGTGGCTTCTTCTTGGGTGCCTTTGGTTTAGGAACCACCCGCTCAGTATGTGCAGCATCTGTCGAGTCGTTGATGGACACCGTCTCTATCAGCTTTCTTTTCCGCAAAATCTGATGGCTGCCATTGGCCGATTCAACAGGTCGCACAATTTGGTCATCAACGGGCCGGCCAAAGTCCCTGTTCAAGTTCTCAAAGCTGGCCTTAGATACGGCTAGGTTGTCTGCCTTCGCTGTCGATGAAAGCAAATCGATAACTTGCGATGACTTAGATCCAACGACGGTGTCCTCAGGCGGTGGCGTCCAGTCCATACGCCGTTTTATAGCTGTCTCCAATTCCAACGGCTCATCGGCATTTCCTTCACCCTTTGCTGGAGTACTGACTTCTTTGGCCTTTCCTTTTGATTTCGTAAAGTGGCGACTGCTGATTTCGCCAGCTTTCGCACCTAACTTTGCCTTCGAGCCTTTCCCCTTCTTTGCCTGACCTTCGCTGGCTTCTTTCAAGTATTTCTTCCACGGCTGATCAGCTTCGGTTTCTTCTGCCTTCGTGACCTTCGTGATCTTAGAGAGCTTGGGTGGAGGTTGATTGGCCTTCTTCTCAAGCACTTTGGCGCCCCTTTTCCGTTTCGGTTTCGATGAGACCGTTGCAAGAGAGATGACTGTCACATCATCTTCGGGAGGCGGAATGTTGGGGGCATCGGCCGGATATTTGCACGGGGTTGTCAGGTCAATTGCAGGTTGCCCATCCTGAGGGAAGTTCAAAGCATTGAAAGGGTTATTGTTCGAATTATCGGCGAGGCTTAGCACCTTGCTACTACTTTGCATTGAAGGTAAGCTAGCGATTTGGCTATTAATCTGATTCAATGATGGGAGTCTCGGCGAAGAGGAGAGATTGCGTGGGTCATGACGGGTACTTCGGCCTGGCGATACCATCGTGAATTTTGAAATGCCTAGGGCAATGCGCAGAGCGCATGATTTCGACACGAGCTGCAGCAGGTTGAGAGGAAAGGGGTTGCAAAATACTCTGACGATCAGAGCATGAGCAGAAACATTGAATATGTCCGTATTTTTAAGGAAGCCTCTTCGCGAAGGTTGACCAGAACTCGGGTGGCGATGACGGTTCAAATGGCGATTTCGCACTAACACAACAACAAAAAACACGCGCGGGAGAGCGACACCCGACCAAGACATCCAACGAAATGGGGGGTAATCCTGGCACCCTGTCTATGAAGCACGGACCAGATGCGCTTCACTACCCGCGTCATTGCCGCGCAGTCACCTGACCAAGTTACACGTGACCTCAGCCCTCCTGCCGCTTCGGCAGCCCACCGAAATTTTGGCAGCACCACCCACACAATTTGGCTCAATTTCAAGAAGTCTCCCCCACCAAGCACTTCCTGCGACGACCACTTCCGCGCAAAAACACCACATACTTGCCTCTAGACAACCCCCGAACGCAAGTCGCAGCAATGGAGAACGACAAGGGCGAGATCGTCGATCTGTAAGCGCATCCCCGAGACGCCGTCAAACCGAATTCATTGGAGAGCTTCGTGAAGAGGGAGCATTCGGGGAGGTTGAGAAGCTTTTTTTGATGCGGAAGCCCCTGCTTCACGAAGCTCGAACCAAGGATCGCGAAGGATGAAGGCAGAGACAAGAAGGACATGTTGCTAACGTCTTGCCTAATAGCTACGTTCCGCGCAAGTGCAGCGCCACCAACCGCATCATCAAGGCCAAGGACCACGCCTCCGTCCAGATCTCCGTCGCCAAGGTTGACGAGAACGGCCGCGCTGTCCCCGGCGAGAACCACGTCTACGCCCTCTGCGGTTTCGTTCGCGCCATGGGTGAGAGCGACGACGCTTTCAACCGCCTGGCCCAGCGTGATGGCCTCGTCAAGAGCGTCTGGTCCGCCCAGCGATAAATGCTGAGGCTTCGTCCTCGGGGGAGGAAATGGTACGTTGCGGGAGTTTTTTACTCGAGGAATTTTTGGGTTTTTGGCGTGGCCGAGCACGATGACTGACTTTCCTCAAGGTCTAGTCGTTCGGTTCGGTCGGTCTACATCATGGATCTAGAGTTGGTTGCATGGTACAAAATCGCCAATTCGAGGCGTCCGGCTCTCTGAGGAGAGGAAAATGGCATAGGAATGGTTCACGACTACCCAACACAATGAGATTTTCCGCGTTCGAGACAAACCAAAAACCTCTAAACCTAGTGACCTTCCTCGTACACCCCGATTGCGATACCACCCCTTTTCGTTCCCGGCTAGCGAAGGATTCTCGTGCCACCCTCGATGGTCTACATGGTCGGGGATTCTGGGGCTACTTTGATAGCCTCCGTGCCGCAGATTAATGCAGGCCTTGAAAAAGCCGTGGCGGTTAAGGTGTTCGTCATGGTACAGATACGGGTCTCACATGTCTAGGCACAATCAGCCAGGTCAATACGACGCCGACTTGTTGTCCCGAGCATCCTCCCGAATGTGCGGTTCCTTAGTAACGGGGTTGGTGAATCATCCCTACGTGAACTTGTTGTCCTATTGCTACCCTTCTGCCGTTCCCAAGTTGTGTGTTGCCATTGGCGAAGCCAATTTCCAGTCAGTGGTCTCAGTTTATGGGGGCATTGTAGTGTTGCTGATATCTGCAAGAATTCTTGCCGAGCACGATTCAATGTGACACGATTCTGCTTTGGCCATTCAACGATTCGTGCATTTCAAGAGCACAAGAACTTGGTCATTACATTTAAATTTCATTACATACGTCCAACGTGGTGTATCATTGTGCCGTTGGTGAAACTTTACAGCACATAACGGAAGTTGATGTTCTAACCATCTGTTAGTAATAGCTATCACTTGTATCGTTGAGCAACTCACCTCTTTATCGGTCAAATCGACACCGTCATCTTCATTCTCAGCGTCCAGTGTAACAGGAGCAGCCGCCGCCGCCTCATCCCTCAACTTGTTACGGCGCATCAAAAGCATCCGCAGGCCAATGGCAACACACATTTGCGCTACTGAGCACGCGAGGATAACCTTACACCCGGTTGGGTATAGTGGTGCCTCTTTTGCCAAGAATGCATGAGGACCGATAATGTTTCCGACGCAGTACGCAGTAAAGACAATGGCTGAAGCTGTGATACGCTTCGTGTATCCACCCAAGTTGGTCGCCGGCATCTGCAAGGCGAGGACCAAGGAGGCAACGAACGCGCCGACGAGGTAGTAGCCGAAAAGGACTCCAATCTTGTGGTGTTGTCTGTCGAGCTTCCACATCATCACGCAACCCAGGATGGTAGGTATCAACCAGATGGCCATGACTGTTGTGCGGTGATTCTTCAGCTTCGTCGCCGTAAAAGTTCCAGTCAGAATCCAGAACACCTGGAACGCGCCCTGTGGGATACCCAGCGCCGTGGTGAGTAGAGGGTCCGAGACCAACCCCTTGATGATGAGCTTGCCAAAGTTGGCCACACCACCATTAATGACTTCGTTGAGCAGTACGAAAAGCGTGAGTAGCCAAACCTGAGGGTCAAGACACGCCTCCTTAATCTGGTACCATTGAATTGTCTTGTTCAGAACGCCTGTCCTGGCAAGGCGTGCACGGCCGACGAGGAGAGCGCGTTCCTCAAGAGAGAAACGCTTCGCGGTAAGAATGCTATCGGGCAGACAGAAAAGAAGGACTACGCCCCAGATTATGGTTATGCCACCGCAGATGAGGAAAACGGCCTTCCACACGGGGAAGGAGTGGATCTGCCCAATGGCGTAACTGAGAAGACCGCCGAGCATGGATCCGATACCATTGCAGCAGTAGAACATACCAGCCCTCAGGGGTTGCTCCGACCGGACGTACCTATGAGTCCGGTGTTAGTCATTCGCAGAAGACGTTGGAGAAGAACCAAAACTTACCACATCGAAACCATCATCATGAAGCAGGTAGTAATCGGCGCCTCAAAGGCTCCGAGCAGGAATCTACATACCGCGAGTCCAGGGAAGTTGGAGCACGCGGCCGTGATCATCAAGACGGAACCCCATGAGAGCACACACCCGGCCACGACCTTTCCCATGCGTGTCTTCTGCGCGAGATAGACCCATGGGTATTCGGCCACCAGATAGGCCAGGTAAAAGATGCTGGCAAACCACGAGTACTCTGTCTGTGTGACACTGGTACTGGTGAATAGATCGAACACGGCCGCGTACGACAGCGCCTGCTTGTCAATATACTGGAGCACATAAGTGCCAGCCAGCAGAGGCAGAACAATGAGGTCGATCTTTCGAACAAGGCGGCGGTTCTTTTCCTTGTCGTTTACCAATTCAGAGAGGTACTCCTCACTGATGTTGTTCTCGTGGAGGAACGCTGTCGATGCATCCAGGTGCTCGAGCTCGCCCGCCGTCAATGATTTGGTCGGCTCAAGACCATCCTCGGCGGCCTTGATGTCCTTTTCGACTTGCGTATTGTCGGTCATGTTGTCTAATCCCTCAATGATGAAACTCGACAAGACATGAGGAACAACAACGGGAGCATGTTCTCCTCTTCGAGAGAAGAGAGCAAGATTTATTGTCTCATTACCGATTGGCTACCATACTGAACCCCCGCAAGACCTTGGCTCACGAGGCCTGTTTTCCGGGGTATAAGTGATAAACGAGTTGTCCCAGATAGGCCAGATACCCCGGGGAACGACGAGTCCCTCCCGATATGCACCTTATCAGAAACGGCATCCATACACTATACCTTATCAGAGGAGTAACAGCTCTACTTTATCACAGGGCTCCAACTAGGTCATAAGTCTATAGCCATTTCGAACAGCCGCTCACGTTTTAGTGGTAGTTGGAGGTCCGACCGGCATTGATAAGTCTGGAGATCAACTTTCGGATCACAAATCTGGGCCCGACGAGCACGTCTTCCGCCGAGATCGGCCACCTGATCCCCGCGGGAAAACTACCTTTGTATGAATGCCTCGACTTCCCCCTACTCATTTAACGGGCTAATCAAGTCCAAGCCAAGCGCATTGGATAATTGTTGCCGACAACTGCACCGGCATTTCGATACAAACATCCGCCGACTGCCATCTACCCCCAGTCGAAACTCACTCTTAACACCTTGAATACAGACAAGTCCCAATTGAGCGAGCATCTCTCAACATGGGCTCAAAGATTGATGACCGTCCATCTGTAACCCTCACCCAGGGTACTGTGGTTGGTACCGTTGTGAAAGATGACATCCCCCGGCCAATTGAAGCCTTCCGCGGCATCCCGTATGCCCTTCCCCCAACCGGCGACCGCAGGTTCCGGCCCCCGGTGAAGGTGGAACCGTCGACGGCAACGATCGACGCCTCCAAATTCGGCGCCGTCGCGCCGGGCAAGCAACTCTTCCCCGGCGGTCCCAAATTTGAATACAGCGAGGATTGTCTTACTGCAAATGTATTCCGCCCCCAGACTCGGAATGGCGATAAGCAGTTGTTGCCCGTCGCCGTGTACATCCACGGCGGCGCCTTCAACCGCGGCACATCCATGATGCACAACACACCCTCCTTCCTCGCCAACTCGGGCCAGGACCTTGTTGCAGTCTCCTTCAACTACCGCATAGGTGCCCTTGGTTTCCTGCCATCCTCAATGAGTTATGAACAGGGCGCCCTCAACCTTGGTCTGAAAGACCAACTGCTCCTGCTGGAATGGGTCCGTGATAACATCACCGCATTCGGAGGTGATCCCAACAACGTGACTCTCTTCGGCATCTCTGCCGGGGGACACTCTGTAAGTCCTCACAGTCTCTTTCCCAAGTCCGCTTGCACTAACACGTCATTCCAGATCGGCCACATTTTGATGCAGGACGAAGGCCAAACATCTCCACCCCTCTTCCACAAAGTAATCCTCGAATCTGGAGCCCCGACCTCACGAGCCGTCCGCCCGTATAGCGCCCCGATCCACGAAGCCCAATTCGCCGATTTCCTCAAGGAAACAGGTTGCCCCTCCGGTTTATCGTCGGCCGAAACCTTCGCCTACCTCCGTAGCGCGCCATCCGAAAAGGTCCAGGCTGCCCAAATCGCCGTGTTCGACAAGTACAATCCCTCCCTCCGCTGGGCTTTCCAGCCTGTCATTGATGGAGAGGTCATTCCGCGCACACCGATGGAGTCCTGGCGACTGAACAAGTGGCGCAAGGTACCCATCATGACGGGCTTCAACCGCAACGAGGGGTCAATTTATATCAACAAGTCGGTCTCGAAATCCGAAGAGTTTACAAAATTCTTTGCAGACCTGTTGCCGTTACTATCGAAGGAGGACGTTGAGACAATTGATAAACTCTACCCGGACCCTCTGACCGTGTCTGATTCACCGTACAAGGAGGAGCTGGAGGGCACCGGGGCGCAGTATCGCCGGTTGGAGATCGCGTACGGGCAGTACGCATATGTTGCTCCCGTCCGGCAAACGGCGGAGCTGGCAAGCAAGTCCACCGAGGAGCCGGTGTACTTGTATCAATGGGGTCTCGAGAGTTCGTTGCTCGATAGGGCGCGACACGGTGAGAACATGTACTATGAGACGTGTGAACCTAGCAAGACCAAGATCTCTGCGACGCAGAAGGAGTTATGTCTGACGTACAATGCCTATATCACGAGTTTTATTGCGTCAGGAGACCCCAATGCGACCAAGGGGTCGGCCCCGGATAGGCCTGTGTGGGAAAGGTACCGGTCTGAGAGTCCCAAGGCCATGGTCTTTGGAGAGGAGAACAAGGAGTTGATTGGTGGTCCGGCGGGCGTTCCGGCGCGGTTACACGATGATACCTGGGCCAGAAAAGAGTCTGAGTTTTGGTGGAGCAAGGTTGATGTATCACAGCAGTAAGCTGTGCCGAGATAGACATCTCGAGTAATGCAAATCCAGTTAAATGTGCGCGTTGGCATTGTTTCTTGTGATTGTACTTGCCGGGCGACTGTCTATAATACCAGCTCCCCAGAATCTGCGAAAGGACGACAAGCGGACGAAAGTCAAAATATTGAACAAGCTAATTGCATCTGTTCGGCCTATATGACGCGGTTTAACAGCCTCGCTCGGCTTGGATATTTACTAAGTAGTGTCGAAATGTGATTCTGAGTACAACATGCTACACTGCCCATCAGTCACCGATCAGATTCTCCCACACGCATCGACAAGCCTAAGCCGCCGCCTTACGACGAGGAGACCTGTCGTCCCCGAATACCCCCGACAAATATCCAACTTTGATCGCAAAGGCAAGCATGGGAAAGAAGATTAAACTCCTCATCTCCGCGGACCACGCCCCAAAGTCCCACAAGTGGCCCAGACTCCCCATCCCATTCGCCAGGGCGGCCCAATGTGGGAAATCCGCCAACGCACTGACTAGCACGTAACCCCTCACGACCTTCCTTTCTGTGCTGTGGAACATGATGACATACGTGAGCAGCGCAAGCATGAACAAAGACGACGAGTTCTGGTGCGCCCATAGGGCCTCCACTGGTCGAGGCTGCTCGGCGCCCGTAAACTTGTTGTCGGGGTCCCAGAGCCAAATGCGACCCACCAAGGGTGCGGTTATGGAGGTTGGGTTTAGGAGAGGCCGGAACGCACGATAGAGATAGTAGAGTGGTTGGATGTAACTGAAAAAGATACGTGGGATTGGAGGCATTATTTGAGACATTTTGAGGAATTGGAAGTAAATTATGCCTTGCTCTGGACGGTACTATAATCAAGTGGTTGTACAAGGTTGAAGGTAGCTTACACCCTGGAGACAAAGAAGACGGCTTATATAATTCGTGAGAACACAACTCTGTCGTGTATATAGCTGCTGCCTGTACCGGAACGTACACACCGGCGAATGAGTGCAGCGGCTTACGCCCCATGTCTTGGCATGGAGGAGGCCTCGGGCGACCCAGCTCACATTGCCTTATGCAAAAGCAAAATAACACGTTTCCTCTTAGATGCTTGATAATACTTCGCAGTTTAGGAGATAATCAATTCACAAAAGCAGAGTTGCAGCTTTTTACAAGATGTTTAGGCACACATTGTAATTGTCTTGTTTTGCCGGCTATATTACGTTTGCGTCAAGAATTGTTTGATAATAAGTCAGTATGGTGTTTCGATGCCTTTTATAAATGCTCAAGGATAATTTATCAACTTTCGATCGCGTTTGTATCTGCAAGGTTGAGTTGTGATCATACAGCTCTCTAGACTAAACATGGTATCCTGTAGTAAGATACCTGCGGTCTGGGTTTTGTCGATGTTATAAATACAAATATGCAGTCTTATACTTCTCTGGGATATAAAAAGCTCTGCGTTACTTAGCATTCTCTCTCAAGTATTCTGTTCCAATAGCTTGTAAGATTTCACCCTGTTAGTCTATTTCGGTATTAATTATCTGCAACTTGTTGTAAACTGAATTTAAGAATTTTGTTACATTTTCGAACCAAAGCACTTTATTTCTTTCCATCAATTGCATTTATATAGACTTAGGATATGTCATTTTCTTTCCAGTAAGAGCTTTACTACAAGTAAAGAAAGAAAGACAATAGCAACTGGCAACTTGATGCATACGCAACGTCAAGCTGGACTTCGTATCCTTGCCACACCACCACCCTCTTCACAACTATGAATTGCCAACATGTTAGGCAGGCCCGAATAAGCTGTAGGAATTAGAATAGACCAGATAATCCAAACGCCACGGCAGATCAGCCTTGCCTGTTTATGTTTGGGCAACGGGCACTAGCATCAAGAGGGCTAAGCCAGACTGAGTGCCACAGTTGTTCACAATGTGGCTGTGTCTAACAACGGGAGGAAAGGAGGAAGTGACCGGTTTATCTTAACGGAGAGATCCAACCATAAATACCAGCCATGCCGCTACAATTATCTTAGCAATGGGAGGGCAATTAAATGCATAAAAATCTGTGTCATGGCCAAACTGGAAACATGTTGTGGTGGTGAGGTGGTACTGGGGCAGCCAGACGCCTTCCCGATTTGGCGAGGGTTTCCGTTCAAGTTAACGTCGAACCTCTTCTGAGACTCAAGATGATTAACCATTGGAAATCAGAAAATCACAAGGCACGGCTGAGTATTCTACGTATGTGGCGCTAGAATATGGTTCATCTCGACATTCATCATCATCATCATCATCGTCGTCGTCGTCGTCGTCGTCGTCGTCATCATTGAACGCCATGCCCCAGGGTGACAAGATTCATCGCCCAAATGCCCCAACTCCTTGCACAATTGGCAAAAGACTAATGTGTTTCGGGCCGCCAAAGATCGAGGCTCTTCTCGGATCTTTTTTTGGCAGCAGTCTCTGAGGACGAGGATGATACGCCGCGAGGTGGACGCTGGTGAGTGCCAAGAACCCTGCAACCACGCGATCAAGACCAATGTCACCTCCACCATGTGGTGATACACCGACTTGCCGGAACGTCGCCAAGTACTCCTTGATGCCCGCACTTTCCGGGTCGACGTCCTTGGCTCGGGGACGCACCTCAAGTTCGGCCGGGTCGTGAATTCTTTGGCCGCCAGGGAGGACCTCCTGCCCGCGAACAGGGAAGTCAAAGGCATTGGACACACTAACATTATCTCTAACCATTGCACCGGCATCGTCAATCTTGGCATAAAATGGCCGCGCCGTGCCGGGGTACTTGTCAATGACGTAAAAGTCTGTGTTGTACTTGGCGTGGACAACTTCGCTGAGGGCCTTCTCTTGGGGATGCTCATATCCTCATCGTTCCGTACGTTTGCAAACTCTGGTAGGCCTTCTCGTGAGAGTCTCAGTGCCTCGGCGAAGTTCAAGCGGACTTCTTAACCTGGCTCGGGAAGGAGGATCGGTTTGGAACGGTAAACGGATCGAACTGTGTCTATGTCGTTGGCACAGCGCTCTGTATTGGCGGCAAACCCGGTCAGAACACACCCAAAAAAAAAGCCCGTCGGAACGAACACCGCATGAGTACCGAGTTGATGAAAACTGACCTTGGATTCCACGGAAAATAAGCAAAAATACGCTTTCCAGTACGAAAAGAATTCCAGTTCAGAAGTCAATACCTAGATCGTAACCCAACCTCAACACCGATGTACCGCAATGGCCTGTTGAACAGGAGCGCGTTTGTGCATGGCGATGTTGTCGAGGTGGGCGATCATGCTTGCAGCTGGCGTCGCAGTCTCGGCAACAACCTTCCCAGCGTTAATACCCTCCTCTTGGGCTTTCTCGTCGCTAAAATTGACGATGAGCTGGCTCGCGGCCCCGGGGTCAAGCCGAGCATGGCGGAAGCTGGCGCGAGCACAAACCATTTTATGATGTGAAGCTCGAGTCCCGAGACTCGGCAACTCTTGACGGGTTCGAGAGGCTTCTTCACCTTGGCTTCAACAGCTACGAAGCTCTCGGGGCTGATGCCGGTAACCCACTTCACCATGCGCCGGCTAACAACGGGCTCATCGTCACACAATGACGTCCTGAATGTCCCAGGTAACCCCTTTGCGGAGCTCAACGAAGCCCGTCTTGGCACTCTGTACGCGAGTGTTCTGAAGCCATGCGCGCACAACTACCTTCTTTCCATTGTATGTTTCGTCAAGGGAACGTATTTCGACTTGTTCGGCGTCCTTGCTGAAGGCCAAGATCGTAGTCTTTCTGTCGCCATAGTTGTTTTTGAAGGGGTCGTCTTCGAGGTTCACGCTGGAGGCGGCGGTGCTGAGTTCTGCGCTTCGGCTGGGCTTTCAAGGGCCTCCTTCTGAATCGCTTTGACCTCAGCCTTCTTCGCGCCCTTTTTTTCGACGTCGGAGCGGTGGACTCTATTCCATGACACTAGCGTTCCTCGTCATTGATCGAAGCTAGGGCCACGGAGGGGCATGGAGGGGCAGTGGGGAAGAAAAATGGATGACTCAGCTTGCAACGTGACCTTGAGCTCAAGAACGCACACTGCCAGATTAAGGTAAGGGCACTTTAGCTCCACCAAGATTGGCCACGTTCTGTTCTCTGGGGAAGCGGTACGTACCATTCCTTCATTCCCGCTGTTGCATTGGCAGCTGCAGCTTCGCAGGATGGAGCGTCATCTTCCATCCCGTCGACAGCGGGTAGTACCATCTTTGACCTTGTGAAGATGTTTTTGCAATTAAGAAGAGCAGCACAAACCCGCCTAAAACTTTTCATTCAAATATATGCTCAAGGTAATATGTCATGAAAATAATATATAGATTATTATTACTTGCTTATTCTAGTGACATTTGAAAAATAATATTGAAGAAAGTTTTGTTAACTTTTTTACAAATCCCTTGAAGACAGATTAAATGGTTTAACCTTATACCTCAATAACAAAGTGCATAGACTATATGCTATATAATAAAGCATCTCATTCTTGTTTACCCACGTATTCGAATCAATAACTGGTTTGTCTGGCCGCACCAACCATCAGTGTGACCAATGTCCAGTATGTAAACTTCGACGAGGATCACATCCTTAGTCAACGCAACAGGACAAATGAGACTCTATCATGTATCGTTCCTCGAGGTGTTTAAATGCTCTTCTTCGTGTCGTCTACCCTTCGCTCTCAAGATGCTAAATACGACATAATACTTGATTATAATCACTTGCCAACCTTGCTGAGACTCCCTGCGACCTTCATCTCTCCCCTCGCCTCCCTACTCGCGCCTTCAAACTTGACAAGCTCCAGCCTGCGATACTCGGGCGTCCACATCTGCTCACGGATCCACTCATCCAGCTCATTATCATCGTCAGGGATCCCGTCCTCCGTCGCGACGCCCTCCTCCACGGCGGCTTTGATCACGTTCCGGGCAACCCTGACGCTGACGTCCCTGACGACATCAACGCCCGGCAGCAACGGTGCCGTCTGGTCTTTAAGCGCGGGGCTGAGCGATGCTACGCCCTCTACCGCCGCGACGAGCATCTTGTCGGTTACAAGGCGGGCCCGTGACAACACGGAGCCGAGTCCGATGCCGGGGAAGACGACGGAGTTGTTACACTCCGCCACTTCGATCTCGATCTCCTTGCCGTCAGGACCCCAAGGGCCTTTGACGGGTTTGAACGGTGATCCCGTAGCAACGAGCGCTTTGCCCTCCGTCCACTTGTAAATGTCTTCCGGAACAGCCTCGTGAAGGCGGGTAGGGTTGGATAAGGGGAGGATGATGGGCCTCTCAACTCCCTCGGCCATCGCCTTGACGATTTCCTCGGTGAATGCCTTCGGTTTCGTCGATGTGCCGATCAAGACATTGGGTTTGACGTTTTTGACAACGGACAACAGGTCGCCACTTTTGTCCTTCCACTCGGCCGCGTCTCGTGCAAAACCCTTTTGCGCGGAGGACAACTCGCTTTCCGTAGTCAACAAGCCGGGCTTGTCAATCAGCCTACACGTCGTTAGTATCGCACAAACTTGAATTGGCTACAGCTTCATGAACAATGACATACCATATCTGCTTGGCCGCGTCTTCCTTGCTAATCCCCGCCTCCGTTGCAATCGCATCCGCAACCTGATCGGCGATTCCAACGCCCGCGGATCCGGCGCCAAATATGACGAGTCGTAGATCAGACAGTTTCTGCTTGCTCACGTGCAGAGCGGCCATGATCGCCGCCAGCGTAACGCATCCCGTTCCCTGTACGTCGTCGTTGAAACACGGGATGTGGGGACGGTATTGCTCCAGAATTCGTCTCGCTTTGTTACATCAGCTACCGTTCATCAAAAGCAGGATACAAGAGTGAAGCATTGGGTGCGGAAGAGTACGAAAAAATATACTAGACGTACCGTTTGTGAGCCCGAAATCTTCAAAGTGGATATACGCCCTCGGATACAGCCGCCTGGCGGCCGTGACGAACTCGTCGACGAACCGGTCATATCGATGTCCCCTGACACGTTTCTGCCGCAGACCCAAGTAGAGATCGTCGTTTAGCAGCTCCTCGTTGTTGGTGCCGCAGTCTAGGACTACCGGGAGTGTGCGATTCGGGTGCACGCCCGCACAGAGAGTTGTAAGGACGAGCTTGGCGACTGAGATGAGCACGCCGCCGACTCCCTGGTCTCCTATTCCCAAGATCTCTTCTCCGTCTGTTTCTCCTGTTCAGTCACTGTTTCGATAACGGCCGAGAAAAGGGGAAAGAGTACCTGTGACGACGATGTAGTCGATATCATCGGGTGTTCCCCACTGCGCAAGGTCGTGGTAGACCCGATCTATATCGTTGATGTTCAGGAAACAGCCATCAGGCCGCCTGAAAAGCCGCGAGAAGTTCTGGATGGCATCTCCTTCGGTGGGAGTATACACCACGCTGAACATCTCCGGCAGATGCACTTGCAATAACTATTCCGACCCGGGCATCAGTTACCTCTGCTTCTGATGGTCTAATACGTAAACACACCTTGTAATAGAGCACTTCATTCTGCTCCTTCAACGACGTCAAGAAGGTATTCTTGGCCAGATCATCCTGTCGCGTGGAATACTGCTGATACGCCCTCTTCAACTGCTGATCCAGAGTATGAATGCTCTGAGGTAACAGCCCGGTGAGGTTGAACTCTCGGCGTTCGTCTTCTGGAAAGGCGGTGCCTTTATTGAGATAGGGCGTGTTAAGCAAGGCGCTGCCCGTGACGGCACAGTGTATTGGGCCGCTGGTACTAAGAGGCAGATGGGAGAACTTGGATCCCTTTTGGCCGTTGTTGGGTGCCATCACGGCGCTTAGATACGGGTGGTAGTTACTCGAGGGGAGATCTTCACAAGCAGCGGGCGATGCAGCAAAACGGGGAATATTCAAGACATCAATTTATGAAGAGCCGGGATGAGGTGTATTTGAACGTTTCACCAAACAGAAAAAGACACAACATCAGCGTATGCAGGCGTTGTACGATTCCACAGGCCATCAAGGCCGAGTGTGTCTCCTTCCTTGGCAGGAGACAGGCCCGAACGCTAATAGTACATGCAGCAGCTGCTGGAGAGGGTAAGGTGAGGTACGGTGCATCGCTGACTACCATGTGACGTCAAGCGGTTGGTGGTGGTGGTGACAACAGAAAACGATGGGTAACTCAGCACCGTTGCCAGACGGACGAATCACCAAGTTCCGTTAGAGCCAGAACTGGGTCTTTAAGCGCTTTTTAACTTTTCTCACGCTCTTGAGTGGTTTATTTTCTTAACGGTAAAGATGTCCCGGGAGGCATGACCTAGGTAACTAATCAAGCCGTCTACGTATGTATAGTAATCTTCACTGTCTGATGCAATATTCGACATTAGGAGACAGCCATTCTTAGTAAGCTTTGTGTCGTATTTACAACATACAAAGTAATCACTATCACGAAAATATGTTGGTACGCCTGGAGCCTCGCCCATGTGGGAAAAAAAGATGGGCATGGACTATGATGGTCCGTTTTCTCTCGCAGCGGAAAGTTCCAGGAGAGTCGCGAGTCGGCCGAAGCCAACCGCGACATTCCTGTCCTATCCCCGTCCTCTTCAGATCTGCACCGCAAAACGCGGCACAAGTAGAAGACCCTCGCCGGAGCGAAGACTCGTTAAGATTGCCGCAAGGGCCGAGTGACTGGTATGACGCTGCTGTGCTTGTGCTTGTGCTTGTGTGCCCCCCGTTCGAGACATTTCATAAGGTTTGTAGCAATGGGAGGGAGGGGCAATGAATAATGCCAACCCTCCCGCGAGGCTCACTTGAAGACTTCGCGAGTGTGGAAAATATCAAGGCAACCAAGATCCTCTCTGTTGATCGTTGGTCGCTGGGGAGAAACGAGGTTGGTTGGTGACGGGTGAAGAACTGGAATTTTGGTGGAAATTTTCTTCAGGTTATTTCTTTCGGAAGTGGGTGAAGGATTCTGCTTATATAAGGCGGGGCAAGGGTCCTGGAGATGACAGGGAGCTTGGATATGCAAGGAGAAAGCTACAGCTGGTGCCACCCGCACGATTTGAACCGTGTTAGTCTGGCGGCTGGGGTATCCATCCTTTACGTCGACTACATGATTCACGCCCATATTTGGTTTGATGGAGCAAGCCACTGCCGATACGGAGTACAAGTAGAGCGTGTACAATTCGACAGTATATCTTACTTAAAGAGGGGGGCTTTCACAATCGGAAATCTGTGAGAAGAGGCTCCTCATGATAACGCGTTCACCACTGAACATGTCCTTACGAAATATGCCCTCTGTGCCAAAAGAAAAACAAATACAAAGCCGTAATGTTTCAATAACCAAATCCATAGGTGCCCCCCTAAGCAGATAGACACACGGCTGCAGTAGTGATGAGAGCCTGAAACTACATGGTCTAGTTTGAGACCAGCAAACAGAGCTGCCGGTTGTGCTAATGGATAGGAAAAGCAGGTATACCCGAACTCCTAAGCAAAACCAATCATACAATCTTGCCGTCGGCTGGAATCTCAGATGAGTCCGGCCCGAGCTGCCTCACCGGCGCCGTCATTGACCAGCTCATCCACGCGTCTCTTTCCCTTGCCAATGCCACCCTCACCAACACCCATCCGCCGGGCGACATATCTCTGAGCTACAATACCAACGGCAAGGCCTAGCAGCTCCTCGATCCACTCGGCAACCCACTCTCGGGGGTCGACACCGCCGCTCTCAACAATTTCACGAATCTCATCAGGAATGGACAGGCTTGTGGCAGGCTCATGGCCTTCCTCGCCGCTGGTGGGAGTCAGCGGGTTGGCGGCATCCAACCACTGGATCCACTTGGCCGGGATGGACTGGCTGAGTGCCGAGTACTCAATCTCGTGGACTGGATCCAGGCAGAAGACGGCGAAGCAAACCATCTCATCTGCGTCGTCCTGGTCTGCCACGGACGAAGCCTCCTTCTCCTTCTCGACAGCAGCTGTACGAGCAAAGAGGGCAGGGTCCGACGTAGTGCCCACAGCCTGGATGGCAAGGAAAAGATCGGAGCTGCGCACGGGGTTGTCCTCGCTCAAGGGTTCGGTAGCACGAACCCTGGCCTGCTCCAGACCGCCGTGAGCAGCAAAGTATTCGTTGGCGTAGCCCTCAGCGCCAGCGCGGCATAGCTTGGTACCCTCGGTCAGTCCCTTAATCAGACCCAGGTCTCGCGGCGAGTCGGACTGCCTCCACCAGGGACCGTCTCTCCAGCCCGCTCCTCCATCATTTGAGTATCTTCTGCTAGTGTTCTCCTGACCACGCTGGATGACCATCAACTCGCCGCCTTCGACCTGCGACATGACGCGCGAGAAGGTGCCGTAGATCATAGAGTCGAGAGACGGGTATCCGACCATATCGTGAGTAATGTGAATGAGCAGTCGTTCGTGGGAGCTGATTGGGGGCGCAAGGGTGTGTAGGATGTTTGTAAAGGTCGGGAGTGCTTGCTGTCGAAGGTTGTCACCTGGATAGATATAATTAGTTTTACTGATGCCGATAACGTCTTTTGCGAGTGTCAACTATAAAAGCGTATTCCAGCACATACCGAGTGCTCTCAGGCCACCGACGTTGCCTCGCACCTGCTCAGCCCACTTCAGGGCCTCTTCATTCTTTTGAATCTCTTTGACAGCGGCCTCAGCCTGCTTCATGGCAGCAGAGGCAGTGGAGAATACGCTTCCCCACCAGCCACCGCCGGTAGACGCGGGTGCAGGCGTAGCAGCCGCCGCAGAAGACGAAGCGGCAGCGGCGGCGGCAGGCTGCTCAGATGACTTCTTGTCCGTATCCTGAAGGTCGGAGCTGGTGGCGCTAGGAGTGAAGCTTGCGCGGAGGGATCGCGCGCTGTCGGTAGACTTGCGGGGAGCAGCAGCCTTGTCCTCGGTCGTAGGCGTGGCAGAGCGTCGGGGAGGGCCCTTCGCGGCCGTCTCCTTAATACGGGGCGTGTGCGGGCGGGATGGCTGCTCGAGATCCTTTTCCAGCTCAGCGAGAATGTCCTGGTCGGCCATGGCTTTAGAAGCGGCTGTGGTGGGCTTTCCCTTCTTCTCGAGCGACTTCTTGGGGGCAGGAGCGGCATCATCGCCAATGCCCTCAAAGAGCTCATCGATATCGTCGCCGGCAGCGGCGGATTTGGTCTTCTTGGAGGCCATGTTGGTGGTTGGCCTTTTTTGTTGATTGGTGGTGGTAGTGGTGTTGTTGTTGCTGCTGTTGCTATCGGGAGATGGGGGAGGTGAGGTTGCGGGGCAGACGTCACAAGCTACAACTGGCTAAAGCGGCCTGAGGTAGGGGACTGGAATGGTTCAAGGTAGCTTTGTCTGAGGGATGGATGGATGGATGGATCGGGAAGCTGAGTCAGGGGCTGGCAGGGAGGTAAACAGCTTGAAACACCAGAGCAGGACTAGTATAATGCTGGGGAAAGAAACTCCGAAAATACCTGGCCGCAGGAATGAGTATGATATGCGGCCACAATGCAAAGGTATCACTGATGAGGTTGCTGGTTCTTGAAGGCCAGGAGGCTACTGTTAGTACTACCACTTAGGTACTGCCTGTAGGCTAAGCTGAGCCAGGCACCACTGTCTAGGTAATTGGCAGCTGGAGACAAACGTGCATCATCAGGGACATGCATGGGACCAGAGAAGAGGCGACGCTAGGCCAAAAACGGAATAAACCGAATCAGGCCATGCTTATTGGATGACCAACCCTTGGACCAAATGAAAAGCGTGTCCCCAGGCGAGCATTGTTACTTTGTTTCCCCGCCCCGCTCAACGCCAGCGCATAATACAGTGGACTGGCGACGCTGTTGACAGTGCTTACAGTGACTTGGATGCCCTGAAGAACATTAATCTAACAGCGGCTTAGGGTTCTTGATGCAGGCACAGGCTTACAGACTCGATCGTTCGTTCACTTTCCCCTGGGTTAGTTGTAGAGAGAGAAAAAAGAGAAAAGATGATCAAGTTAACAGTATGAAATGGCACGAACATACTTGAAATTATTCATATTTAGAATGCTCTTCTATGTTTCCTAGTTCATCATCTCCTCTAATCCAGCTCAAGAGGGAGAGCACGAGATCTCGGTCAGGAGGAGTAAAAATGAATTTAAAAAAAATACGTATCGCTTGGATCCACTACCACCCACGTATACCGTTTTTTGCCTGGTGGCCCTTGCCAGCCGTAGCCACTCCTTCCCCCAATGGAAAGAGGTAGTAGAAAGCACTGCCAGCTGTCAAAAGTCGAGACAGCTGGCAAAAATTGGATTTGCATTGTAAAGAAACAGGAGGACCAGGAGCAGGAAGGAGGCAGGAGTAATGCAGCCGCCTCACCTCTGACAAAAGTGAGAAGGACCTAGTTAGTCGCAGCAGCAAAAAAGCATCTCAGCAACAAGAAGGGGGCCACCATCCTTAAATCACCAACTTGCGTCCCTGATATTCCCAGGTTACGCTCTTCTGGGCCTCTCGAAATTACAGTCGCCATCATCTCCTCTTCCTCAGCTTTCTGCAAGAGGTAATCTTTTTTGGCCCAGCAGCGTATACATCTGGCATTCCAAGCCCGGTCTTATTTTTTCCTCTTTCTCATTTGCCCGTTTTACAAGCAAGGCAAAACGGGAACAGCGCACACACGCACACACACACACACACACACACACACCACACAGCGCACCGCTAAAGCACCACTCAGCACAACGCCTCGCCAGCCAGTTAGCAGCCAGCCCCAGCCAGCCAGCACCCAGTTTACCCAGTAAACCTGCACCAACAAGGCAAGGCAAGGCAAGGCAAAGCAAAGCAGGGCCTCAGTCAAACCACATCACCACTTGCAGCTCAATCCCGGCTTTGCCCATAATTTTCACCAGCGCCGTCCGTCCCTTACACCAACGGCAAAATCTCCTTCGGCCTCACAATCGACGCCGTCAACTTCTCAAGAAGTCCCTCTGCCGTCTGATCGGATGATATATCCTGCCCCTGTGGCATCCTCTTGCGGCTCTACTTGAGGTGTCTTCGTCTACACTTATCCCTTTTTTTCCCTTCTTCTCTCCCCTTCCTCGCCCATTATTCCCCGTCTTAATTTGATTCTGCTCTATCGTCCTTCTACACAACCCCCGTCAACTCATCAATATCGCCGCTCCTTCCTCCGGATCATGGAGCAGCGCTCCCGTGTTGGACGCCCCAATCGAAGAAAAACTTTACCCTCCTCCAGCTTTCATTCGGACAACAGCACCGCAGGTGACTCGACTCCAACCATCATGACGCGCTCTCCCCCAGCCGCTGCCTCACGTACTCCTCAGACGGCACCTCCCAATCGCCGAGGTGCCAAGCCCGCTCCCATGAACAATCCTTTCACCAGCGTTCGCTCATCTCCCAGCACAGGTGCCTCTGGTCCTGGCAAGGCTCTTAGAAAGAAGTCTCGTACCTTTGAGGGTGCTGCGGATGATGAGGATGAGACTTATCGCAAGGGCCCTCACACCCTGCGGAAACGTACAAAGATTGATTATTCCGCTGCTGACTTCGAGGATGAGCTGCCCGAGATTGCCATTCCCGCCCCCCGCACCGCTACTCGCAAAAGAAGAGCAGACAGCGAGGTGGCTGATGACGATTATTTCACTCCTGCCTCTCAAAAGCGTCGTGCCACTTCGAGAGATTTTTCCGTCTCCAGTCTGCCTGCCGCTCGCCGCCGGACCCCGGCTCGGAAGAGCGTCGTCGAGCAGCAGTCTTTTTACTCTCAGCCATCAGACGAGGACATTGTCAAGGACACTATTGAGGTTGTTGGCGATTCTTCTGATTTGGTGAGCTCAGACGAGGCATCTGACCATGAGGACGATGAAAATGACCTCTCTGGCCGCATTTCATTACCTGACAATCTTGGCCAACCTTCCTCGCCTACTCAGCGAAAGGCTCAAGAAGTTCATCAACTCGTCTCACCAGTCGAGCATCATATTATCAAGCAAGATGAGAAGCAGCCCGTTCAGGTTCAGCCTGTTTCCGGCGTTGCTGCCACCGACATGAACTCCGGCCTGGTAATCGCTCACCCACAGCCCATCCGACTCAATCAAGTCACCTTATTCAACAATACCGCCCCAGCCCAAGAGGCCCACCCTACTCATACACGCGGCCACGAGTCTTTGGAAGACTTTTCATTTCAGCCCAAGAGAGAAGCCAGCTCTCCCGTACGTCCAACTGACACCGCTCCCCAAAAGGCGGTCGAGCCGGAAGCGGCTGGGTCGGCCACCGGACCTCAAATGGTTTTCGGCTCACAAGAAAACTCCGCACCGGCTATTATTGCTGACAACTCAAACATTACCGCACCCTCCGCAACCACCAATAACAACAGCAACATAATCAGCTTTCTCAACAATGAAGACGCCTCTATTGCACAATCTCCTGAGCCAATCTCAGAACCTATCGTCGACTTTACTGTTAATGGCAGAATTACCAATGGCTACGCTGTCGCCACCGAGGATATGCTTCCGGTTGAGGAGCCGCCTCAAGGCCCGCCTCAAAGCCCACCTCAGAGCCAGGAATCTGCCGCAGGACCCGATCCTGTCAAGGCTTCTGAGTCCTTCGTCACCAAATTGGAGGATGCTGCGCCTGCCCACGATGAGATGGACATTGACGATGCCCCTGCTGAAGAACCGGACACTAAAATGCAGGAGGAAGTTCCGGTCGAGCTGCCCGACTCTGCTCCCGAGGACCCAGAAGAAGTTTATGAGGAGCCCGAGGTCACGAAGCCCCGCTACGCATGGTCTCACCTGACGCCGTACATTGATGGCGAACATATCACCCATTCCATTTACCCCGTCATGGTTGAAGGCTCTGCGCCAAACTCCAATGGCGACGGACCTTACGCCAATGGCGATGCTGAAATTGCGGAGGAAATTGCAGAACAGGCCGATGCAAATGCCGATAGCCACCAGCCTGACGGCGAGGGCGATGAGGACGCCAACGCCGATGCTGAGGGCGAGGTTGAAGAAGCCGATCGCGATGCTTATCACGAGGACGAGCACCCGCCTGACAGCCAGGGTCAACAGTTGTCTCAGGAATCTGCATACAACTCTGAAGCCCCAACGCCCGCGCTCACTCCCCGTCAGGGCTCACCAGCCTTGCCATCTACTGCCGCAACCGGCACAAACACACCCGCTCCACCCAGGCCGAGGCAGCGCTTTAGGAAGCAGTACAAATTCAAGAAAGTGAGAGACCCATCAGAGTACCTCGAATTCTTAAAAGACACCAAAAAGCTTTCCTACGAAGAATTATGGGACCTGTTGGCCCAGGTCAACTCTAGCCTCGTCGCCTGGCAAGACGAGTACAAGGACTGCACCAAGGTTGTCGACGACCAAGAAAATGCACAGCGTCGCGCGGTTCAGGATGCCGCCTTCGAAAAGAAGACTGCTGACTTGGACGCCTTTGCCAAGGTAGAGTCATACATTGAGAAGGACTTTGACATCCAGGGCTACCGAGCGACTATCAAAGAAAAGGATGCTGGTGTTCTCGAGCAGCGTTGGCAGGATAGGGTCATGGCCAGCGCCTTTGGATTTGAATATGACCCTCATCCCAATAAGGTTGGAAACCAAGATCCTGACGCCCAGAGGGATGGTGGCGGCGAGGGTCGGCAGCTACGAAGCCAGCCACAGGCAAGTGCCAAGGCCGCCGAAGGTGACGGTGTTATCGTCTCTGGCAAAAGAACCCGCAATCCTCCAAAGTTGTTCGACGGCGTGTTACAGGATGACCGCTCGTCGACTCCGGGAGCGAACAAGCCTGGCCAAAAGAGACGGGGCCGGGCAGCTGCCGCTGACCGGGTCTCGAACTCGTTTGTCCAAGATGAGCAAGAGGCTGAGCAGGAACCCCAAACGATATCACCAGCCAAGGTCGGGCGTAAAAGAGGCCCAAGAGGCAAAAGAGTCATTGTGGACTCCGAACCCAGCACCCCCGTACCTGACCAGGATGCCATCGCACCACCGCCTCCCGAGCCGGAGCAACAAGACCCCCCCAAACGGAAGCGCGGCCGGCAACCCAAGCCCAAGCCCGCTGAGGAACCAGAGCCAGAGGCTGAGGACCGCACTCCCAAGCGCGGCCGCGCAGCGAAGAGGCAATCCAACGGTCACGTACCTCTTCCAGAGACGACGGATGAATCACGTCCGACATCGTCGTCCTCCAATGCCACCATTTCAGACGACGGATCTACCTACGGCTTGCGCCAAAACAAAAGACAACGCAACTGGAGAGAGGAGGCAGATGTTGATGAGGAGGCCATGGAGGTCATGCAACAGCAGAAGCGGCCTCGCATCCGACTTAACCGGAAGCAGAGCGCACCAGAGCTGGCTCCGAAGAAGACGGTATCGGAGCGTATCCTCACGGACTTCCGTGATTTCCATGCCCCTACCACTCCTGATACCCCACAACTTATAGTATCATTCAAGCTCATCGGCAAGGACCAGTGGACCGTCAAGACCGCCTCAACGCCGCGCCAGACATCGACAGATGTCAGCGAGTACAACGTGTCGACTCCCCGGCCCGCGCCGGTATCTGCGCCAGCATCGGCCAAGTCCTCTGCTCCACCAAGCCAGGCTGGCGGCGAAGAGAAGGATTATTCCACCATGACCAAGTCCGAGAAAATGTCGGCCTCAATGAAGAGTAAGTACAGCCATATCTTGGTGTTGGGAATGCGACTAATCAACCACAGAGCGCTGGCTCAACGGAAGCATGCAAGGTGCTGTCAACAAGCGAAAGGCCACCTTGGCCGCCAAAAAGGCAGCGGCCGCAGCCGCCGAAGCCGCCCAGGCAGCTCAAGCGCAGGCCGCCCAGCAAAAGGCAATTCAATTTCAACACCATGCCGGAATTCTACCCATGCCCCCGAACCACGGCCAATAAATCGACCACATCGCTTATATATCAGACCGTCCCGAAAGACTGACTGTATACGGTTCTTCCGCATCGAAGGGAACTGTTGACTATAAAAGTCGCAAACATTATCAGCTTCATCTGTTTCACAGGGCATTTTTTTTTTTTTCTTTCACACGACTATCGGCATTTTATATACCCATTCGCCTGATGACTATTGCATGCGGATGGCGTGGGATGGGCGGGCGTGCGAACAACACACCAAAATCAATCTCTCTCTCTCTCTTCCTACAGATACAATAACAACAACAACATCTAATCAATTCGTGTTCGAGTACAGCGATGGAAGCCAACCTGGGGAGCGGGAAGTGTCTTCTTCTCAAACCAGCATCGGAAAGCGAGGGCATCCATTATCTATTTGCTTGCTTTGGAAAAGAGAAAAAAAGTGTACGTGATTCTTGCATTACCGGCGGTCGGTGTCGATCCCCACTCGGGCGGGATCGTGGAACCGTTGTTTCACTTTTTCTTTTTATGTTGTCTTTTCCATTTTTATTTTTCATTTTTTTTCTCTATTGTTTACCGGGCCGTCGGGGAGAACAAGCCTCCTTCGTCTGTGCTTGGGCTCGGAATCTGAGCCGGATGAGAAGAATTTCAGGGTTGGATAGCGGAGGGAGAGTCAACCCTTGTACTATCTAGTATTCGGCATCCCGGGAAGAGCGAAAGTTGGCTCTGGGGTTGTTCTGGGATTCTAGTCGGAACGTCCTGTTTGTGAGCGTGGCGATGGTGGCCTGAGACAGGCTAGAGACCAGAATAGTGTCGATACTCTTTTGATGAATCTAATCTTGATACCGAACATCCATATCCTGTAACAAAAATGTTCCCATGAAGAATCAACGCTGAGGGGGGCAATATTCCGCTGCTTATTTCTAGTAATACTGGTGGTGCACGCACAGCGGGATGCTTTGCCACAGTAAGAGTAATTTCCACGACCCCTCCAGGGCCCGAGATAAGTGGGTCTGTACATGTGCTTGTCCACTATGGAGCACATTTACCTGTGAATTTGAAGTTCTAGGCTAGAGAGGCCATACCTAGCGAATACTTGAAAGCAGCCCGCCTCTGTTCCGGCTCCTAAATCTTCGTCCCCGGATTATGGCAGGCGGTCGAGTCGCGAGATATTTGACACAGCTGCTGAGGATTTCCGATAGATAAGGTGGATTGATGGATCGTGCAGGATAATGGTCGGAGCCTAACCCGTCTCTCTTCCACAAAGGGACCGCATTTTTTCCGTGGCCGTGGCATGACATAGCTTTCCTCTTCATACTTGACCTTCTGTGGTATATCGTACGGGTTACTGCCGAAGCTGAGTAGGTTGTTTGTCTGAAGATCATGGTGGTGATGCTGCCTGCGTATAGACCAGAAAGGAAGGGACGGCGTAATGTCCAGCTAGGTCATGCTCGCGGCTCGCCATGCGCAATATGCTCCCGGTGCGAGGCAGACGTGTGTTTCTCAGTGTCAGCCGTCTTCGAATACCTGCCCAATCTTTTTGGGTTAGGGACTGGTGACGGCTCATCAAGCAGTTCGGAATACCTTTTCCGGTCCCTGCCGTGGTCTCTCCAGAGCCTGTCCTATTCCGGCATTTCAGTTCCTTCAATGACCTTCTTATCTGGCTGTTAATCCTCTTGCTGACACAAGTTGAGCCTCTTGCGGCGTGGTCTGTATATGAATGTTTAAGAACAGTATCAATTGAGCGTTGGCGTCTTTCCTTGTTGGCATCGGATACGTCGACGGCCTTGGTTTCGCCTCATGGTGGAAAGGTGGATAGCAAACAACGCCATGCTAGGTTTTCTCAGATCCATCTTCGCCATCTCCATCATTATCATGTAATAACATATGAGAAGCCCTAGTAGACGAGAACAAGGTGTAATACCTTGTCGGCTGCCATCGAGATGGTCGACAAGTCGGTGATCATGCGCGGTGCAGAACATGTCGACTTGTAGTTCTGACTACAATAATGGCTCTCAGACCTTTCCGAGAGAGTGAGTCCCTTACACATCAAATCTGCGTCTCATCTTATGAGTTTGTGTGTCCCGAGGCCCATCAACACTAGCATGTTTCTCAAGGTGACATGCGATGATAATCTGACGTTAGTCTTCGTTCCGTTGATTTCTGGTCTCTATTCTCCTAAGGAAGGCGGAGGTGAAGTCTTTGCATCAATGCTCCGACAAGACGTATCAGTCAAGTCAGCATTCGCTCTGTATCCCCTCTTACTAGCAGTCATGACTGCAACACAGATTCTTAAACTTCACCTTCAGTTGTCGCTGGCCTGAGTAATCTACATAGGTGCTTCCAATCTATACTACCTAATGCAGGTACAGAAAGCCCACACTGCCTTCGCTCGATAGTCCTAAAAGTCTCTTGATCAGCCAACCAAACTCGGAGCCCACTCTCCTCCTTTGGGCGCCACCAAGAAATCGGTTGGCCGTGGACGCCTCATCGGTGTTGAATAAAGCACAGCTTCAAAGAGGTGAAGGAGCGCCAACGATGAACAGTAGCATGAACATTCCAAAACCCTTAAATATTGACCTTTTTTGTTGATGTATTCTGGTGACCTTCTTGGACCCAAGACATGAAAGCTGAAGTACTGTATCCCGACTCGGTTGCCTTCCAGGCTCTAACATTACCTAAGGCCCCTGCTGACGAGTACCAGCTTTGCTTCCAGACGAACCTCATCCTTGAGTCTGTCCCCGTGAGCTCAACCTGGAATTGGGATGCCGTCGACTCTCAACTTCTGACTTCTCTGCCGGCTTCCTCTTCTGAGCGTATGCTACCATCCCAGAGGCTGGTGCCTTGAGTTGGTTTTACTATGGTGGTTTTTAGGTCTCGTCTCAACTCACACAGCATGGCGTGTGCCATTTAAGCATCCCAAGAGCTTCATTTTCTGGCACATATTGCTCAACCAACCCACGGGCAGCTCTCAGATTGGAAGTCGCTACGAAGTCGTTAGGTCCTCCGGGAATATCCTCCCTCGGCATCAATTGTAGTTGAGTCAATCGGCCTTCGGTTCGTTGACCATACCCGTGCATAGCATCACCAATCTGGAGAATGTTGCTGCGGGAGTGCGCGTCAATACCCCGTCCCAACCCGATACCATGGCTCCCAGCCTTCTTCAGATTGAGGTAGATGAAGCCTTATCTTCATCGCGCCCGCTGGAGCGAGACAGAGCCGATGAAGGCAAAGTACACTGGTTTCAATCAGTTGCTTGCCTCGGCCTTGGAGTATCTACTACTATTGTTTGCAGTACGTACACCCCGGTGTTGTCCAGAGTCATCTTCCTGAGCTTGGGTCGCACTTTAGTTCAGACTTACGGGCTCATCATTCTCGTGCCTGGCGAACCACTCGGCGAACTTCATGCACTACCAGCCATTAGTGACATGATTCGCTGGTTTCTTGTTTCTCCATGCGTATTGGTCAATGGGCTTCGTGGCAATCCAACCAGCTTTCAGCATTTCAGTTGGGTAGCAACACGTAGTCGAGCCTCACCTTCACTGCAATTTCTTCTCCCCTAAAGGCCGCTAAAGATCCGTTTCAAGTAGAAGGCCTCGACACAGTAATCCCGTTTTCTGGCCCATTTCGAGACTTCTCGAAGACCTCGGAGCCCGAGTCGACGCGTCCACGAGATAGATAGATATGCGACCACTGGTTTGGTGGAAAAATTGTAGACAACTGCATCAACAGTCTACCAAGAGCGAGCAAAGCTACTACAGGAGATGTCTTAAACCATCATCAAGCTCTCAGCCATGTGTGGAACCTTCACCATAGCCTATCCCATTGTGGTAAATTATGTGAAATGGTGCTATCTTCGGATGTGAGTCGCATACTGCCCTTTTCGAACCTCCTGAGGTCACTCAGGTCCGCACGTAAACTCTCTCTTTCTCATTCATTGATCTTGGAACTGTTGCCTCAGTGAACACAGCATTCTCACAATCGCCAGGTTTGTATCCCTCCCCTCCTCCATTGGAAAAGCAACCACTCCGTCGCGATCATGATCAGGATTATCAGCAGTAGCATTCGTCTCACGTAAGCCTCGCCATGTCATCATTTCTGATTAGCTGTTTCGACTGTGACTGCAAGTGAGATGGATGTTTTGTCCAAAGGGAAGAGCGCATCGATCAGATGTTGGGGTATCGCGCTGATGCTGATGCTAATGTTCGAAGATGTTCACTTGAATGTGGAGACATAGCGTTGGTGGCCGCAGTTTGCTGCCGTTCAGACAGCAGAATCCTTCGGCAACCAAGCTGCGGTCTCCTGCATTTACCCCAACACATCCAACACCAAAAACACAAGCACCATGACATGACCGTGATGACAACACAACGGGCCCGCAGATAGGAACAGCATATGTAACGTGCGCAAAGAATCGGATTTGTATATCTCTCCTGTATGCGAAATGCCTGGTATGAATTTCTTTCCCTGTACACGCCACAGCCGAAATGCAGAGCCTGCCAGTCCAGCGAGGAAACAAAAAAGAAAAACCAGGCCCATCAACCCTCTTCATTCATTGTCCTATCTTCCCGTCGTCGGGTTTGTATGCCGCGTCGAGAACACAGGCAGGGTGGTAAATTGGTGTGTTTGCCCATGGTTCGCACCGGTTGACCTAATCCGTAGCCATAACGTCGTCCTTTTCGCCCTTTTTGTTCTTGAAAAAAACTCCCTTACATAACGACACCGGAGTTGCTGGCAATACGCTGTGGGGCACGTGTTAGTGGGGCGCGTCCGCGTGGAAGAGTTTGGGCATGACTTACGGGCCAGAGCTCAGCAGCCTCCTTACCGACGGGGCCGGTGATGGCAGAGCCCTTCATCTCACCCTTGGGGTTGACGATCTGTGTGGACGTGGTCAGCGCGTTGTTCTCGTGATTCCTATGCGATGGCTGCTCTGTTCAGGTGACTGCCGTACGCCGGCAATACCCCTCCCATCCATCCAAAGCTAAAGCGGGAGTACTTACGACACCAGCGTTGTCCTCGAAGTACAGGAAGACACCGTCGAAGCGCTTCCAGGGCTTGGACTGGCGGACGATAACGGCGGGGTGGACCTTCTTGCGGAGCTCAGGCTTTCCCTTCTTGACGGTGGCCATGACCATGTCACCGACACCACCGGCAGGCAGTCTGTTGAGGCGGGCACCGATACCCTTGACGGAGATGATGTACAGGTTGCGAGCACCCGAGTTGTCCGCGCAGTTCATGACGGCACCGCTGTGCACCAAGTCAGTCTTCTTGTTCTTCTTATGCGCTCCTCAACAGAAGAGTTTGGGGTGGGAGCAGTTCGTACACGGGGAGACCGAGGGTCATCTTAAGCTTGCCACCAGGGGCACCACGGCTGTGAGATTCCAGTCAGCATCTCTGCGTTCAACGTCGTTTCTTTCCTTCCAGGTCCTTCGCGACATTCGGTCTCGACGATCGGCGGGCGGCTCGCAGGAGTTTTGTTCATATGCTGCACTCGCATTCATGTGCCATCTTCCAAGTCGTGACCCTTGAACTTTGAAAATTCTTCCCGCCTGCCATCCGAAGCCCACAGTCGAAGTTGTCCTCCTCTTTCCCTGCGTCGTGCTGTGCGTCGTGTTCGTTGCCTGCCCGCCCGGATCGCCGAGTACCTGCCCTCTTCCCCAGGAGGGAAAAGAGGGTGTCGGAAAAATCGCTGTCGGTAATTCGAGAGTGTCAAGTAGCGACTTACGAGAGTTTGGCCATTGTGTCGGTTTGGGGGTGTCGAATTCAACAACGGGTGGCTCGTGAAGGTTGGATGGGCGTCGAATTGGAGTTCGTGCTGCACGGAAATTTTCCCTCTACAGAGATGTTTTTGCCTGTGGGGGTGCGAAACCCTACGAATTTTCTGGGAAGCGAGGACCCGTCCGTGGCTATCACGTGGTGATAAGATAACAGCGCACTGGTTTTTGGACACTTCATGGCGGGCAGGTGGGGTTAGTCAGACTGAATTTTTCGGAGCGGGCCTGCCCCGGCTGCGCCAACTGGTGTCTCCAGCTCCGCTTATCGCGTTTATCCTCGGGAGTCTGCCGGCAGGTCAAGCCACACAATCTCGCTCAGCCACGGCAAGTGGTAGCTTCAATGTCCTTTGGCAGGAATCGATTGCAGTGTAATCGGATCGCATCCGCGGTTTCGTCATGAATTTCAGAGTACTTTTACGATACGATGAAAGACTCCAAGGTGTGGGTTGTATTTTAGCGTAGTCGTCACAATACATCAATATCGACCTGAAGCTGGGGCAAGTGTGGGCAAACTGCGATCACTCAAAAAACCAAGAGAAGCTATTGACCTTTCCATTGATCCAGCGAATGGAACTTCTGAAGTCTGGCAACTTATCGCTTGATGGAGATCCAAGACTTGAAATTTTCATAACTCAGGGGTCTAGAACTAGAGCTCCTGATGTTCTGTTTCCGAGAGAAAGATGCACTGCCTCTTGTCAAAGCATTTGCTAGTGAGTTTTTTCAGTGATGAAATAAAAGCTTCATCGTAATCTTCATATATTTCGTAAGGTGTTTCAGCGTCATCGCAAGACATTAAGATTGAACGGCACCAGAGCGTTTATGTCCTACTCCGTGTTCGCTCTATCCCGTCTGCACCATGTGTTTAGCTCTTGAAGACGTGAAGTTTCTCAACCTCATATCTGACAGCGAACTCTGATGAAGATGAGCAGCGAATGTACGGGACAATTTTCCATGTTTCGTTTGGGGAAAACGAGTACAATCCCTCATCCATCCAATTCGGCCTTCTTTCCTATTCAATCGTTCATTACCTATACCTTGACTTGTACAAATGCATTTTCAGACGAAGAGAAAACACCAACATCGAAATATCTCTACTGTTGAAATGAGCCTCGTATTTCATACTAGGATTCGAAACAATTATGGTGTGCAATGATACGCCGTAATTTCGGATTCTTTCCCCCAAAGTCACAAAAAAGGAAATAGGAGCAACTGGGATTTTAAAGAACACGTAGGCCAGACAGAGAACGTGTGGTGGAGTGAGACAAATTAGAGTAGCAGATCAAGACCTAAACCTGGCCCCAGATAATAAGTTTGTTGATTATCGCCAAAAATATGACGCCTTGTGTTGTGGCTTGATGTGCAGGCTGATACCAGGAAAGGAAGCTTCTAAGCAATTTTAGCCGTACAAGATTAATGAAAAGGAAGTTTACGCCAGGTACTAAGGGTCCGAAACGGCACGTAGTGGGATAGAGGCGATAGGATAACATTCAGAGGGGTTGAATCAATACAACTGCACGCGTTCAAAATGGGAAGTTAGCCGTGTGAAGGTCGGATAAGTTCCTCGTGAATGCACGTTAGAGCCATTCATCTTTGTACTTGGCCATCTTCGAAGTTTAAGGTACTATTTTATTTGCAGAGACATGGCTATCACTAGGTCTTAGTATTCCATTATTTAGGGAAAACCGGAACCGGAATGTTTCCATGTACACCAAAATGACCTTCTCTTGCACTTACCACACATCTTCGGTTCTTACGAGACCCAAAACCTTCAACAATAGCACGATACTAACAAAGTTTTTGCAAAACCATCAGTTGTTATCACTTACAGTAGTACGAACATGTTACAATCTAACCAACAATGATCTCATTCGCTGTTGAAAGGCATCAAGGAGCACAAATTTTCTTTTGCGTGTACTTGTCTTCTGATATCATACAACCAACGCTCATGTCTCTTAGGTGGGCTCTCAACAGCATACCAAACGGACTTGATCCTGACCAAAAACCCCCAGCAGTCATACGCCAATTATGACAACATTATCAAGCCGTACCAGAAATTGGTCTCAACCCAGTCGTCTCTAACTCACGAGCCGAAAGATTCACCCATACTATGCCATAACCCCTCGAAACCGCCACGGACCAAATCCTTATTCCTTCAAGCCACCAACTATCCGTCTTCACCTCCGACTTCACGCTCCTCCCTCACCTCTCCACCGCCTCAAACCCATCTTAAACCCTTTGCTAATCAAAGCAGCAATAACCATCCCGACGAACCACCCCACAAAGTTATCAGCCATACCCTCCTCGAAGTGGCCCCAGTACCAGTCCCACCACCTTATCACCGCCCATTCCGAAGCTTCTGCCCCGGCGCCGTTGACCTGGGACCCATGGCCCGCGTAAAGAGGGAAGAGGACAATGAAAGGCAGGCAGACCAGTGGTATAATGTGACGAGCTTCCATTTCATAGATTTTACGCGTGAGACGCTGGAGGCGTGTGGTATTATCCGCCCGCCCAAGCCTAGGATTACTGCTTATTTCGACGTTGGGAGGCATCGCGTAGTGATATTTACGACTAGTTTATCACGTTGGGTAAGGTGATACTCAAATGTTTCGTCAGTTGCCGTTGCAGGTGTTTCTCAGAATAACTCCATATCGCAAGGGAAAATTGAACGATTTCTCTCAATACAGAAGTTTGGGATTCACTCCCATACTAAATATCAACTTGAAACGAGGCAGTGTTAATCCCGACATATCAGCCCAGTACATCCGTCAATCCTCACGCTTATCGGTGAGTGGCTCATTGTGGCGAAGCCAGAACATCAACGCATGAAAAGCTCAGTAAAAAACCGGCTGCCTAACGGATCAGCGACATCCAATCACCGCCGTCATCGTCCCCCCCTCTACAGAAAGAGCCCTCGCTCCCCACTCTTGCTCGCCCATCCTCATCGCTCGAGCAGTACTTCCAAAATAAACGCCGCCACAACGCCCACAAACCCCCACGCGAAAACCTCATACATCCAGGCCCACAGTCTCCTCAGGACCATCCATCGTAAGGACCGGAAACATATCCTCCAAGTCATCTTCCACCCTGGTGGCGGCGGGCCCCACTCCGGTGGTGGTGCCGAGGGACACCACATATGTCTCCCGTCCTCTTGGAATAGCAGGAACGCGATGCTCCGGCAGGTGTAGTATGTAATGTATGCAATGTAGGCGAGGTATATGCCGAGCGTGATCTCGCGGATGGTGAGGAGAAATGGATGGCGAGCGAGGTAGAAAACGCGGGAGATCAATTCACTAGGGGCGTAGCGCCGACGATCGCCGTTTAGGTAGCCATTTATTATGGTTGGCATTGTGGTGTTTGTAGTGGCTTGGTATGCGTTAGAACGAAGGACTGGAGGGAAAACACTTTCAAGGGTCTCTTTTTGGAGATGGGTGACCATCTTAAGTTTTAAGACGTCGACTGCAATGATGAATTTTGCTTGTTGGTGGTGACTAAAAAAAGTACTGTTGTTGGCTGTGCCGCAATTCGCACTCTAAACCAGGGTCATACGATAATTAGCTGCCTGCAGGCAGTTGGTCGGGGTCTACTAACAGGCTCAATCTTCAAGATCCGGCCGCCAGAGTACTCAACTAATCTTGATGCCTACATCTGTGCACGTAAGCACGTACGCAAGAGCATTCGAGCCTTTATGAAAGCATATTCCATAAAGATGTCTGTATTAGGTAGGGGGTATCCGAAAGAAAACAAAGTCATCTAAGATCTACTAGGATGAGCTTTGCGTATCAAGTAAAGAGGACCGAAGTCCCTACAACCCAAACTACCGCAAATTCTTTCCCCACAATTGTAGCGGGGCACCAAAAACGCATCATTTTCTTCCCAGAGTGAGGTTAGTCCAAACTCACCCGTCCATGATGGCTGGCCTTGGTCTACGCGTTGGCGTTCGGCCGGACGCTCTGCGGGTTTGAAAATATGTCTTTCGGATCCCACGCAGCCTTGATACGCTGGAGAGTCGGCAGGTTTGACCCCCAGTAACTTTCCTGCGCGTTCGCCAGCGCTGGATCGACATAGCCGGCATAAGTACTCAGCTCGTTCGGGCTCGCCTGACGGATTGTCGACGCGATGCCTGATATAAAGTTCTTGGTCTTCTGTGTGAGTATGGGAATTCCAACGCCGTAGCCTTGACAGAACATGATCTTGTCGCGATGACGGTAGGCAGTCGCATTCAAGGGCACGTCGTTGATGGCACCGCCTGTGACGTCAAAGATGAGGAACCAGATCAGGGTGCCGCGGTCAGCAGCATCGATGTAGTTCATCAGATCCTGAATGGCTTTGTCAGACAGAATGTCGTCGCGCGTGAAGGCGAGACTTTTGGCCGTGAATGGTGATTGAATCTCGCTCAGCCAGAGTGCTGCGTCCTGGGCCTTTTGGGCAACGTCGCCAAGCCAGTCGTTAACTACAACAGAGGCCTTCCCAGCGGGTAGGCGATCCGGTATACCCGTCTGCTTAAACTCGGCTTCGGTTCCGAAAAAGGTGGCCGTAATAATGACGCCGAGTTCCTGCATGACGAACTCGCTACCGAAGCGGCGGTCCAGGTTCGGATCGGTAATGAGATCCTGCCATTTCTTGAACACCGGAGCAAGATCACGGTGGCGGGCAAAGGTGATGGCGTATGAGTACTGTACAATCTTGCCAGGCTCGGGGTGGGTCTTGACGACGAACTCGGTGATGATCCCGAAGCCGGCGCCGGCACCTTTGAGGGCAAAGAACAGGTCCGAATTCTGGGTCTCACTTGCGCGCTGGATCTTACCATCCGCAGTAACGACCTCGACTTCGAGGACATGGTCCAGACAGCTTCCCCACATCCGTGAGCTGGGTCCCAGGCCTCCCTGTTGTTTTGGGTGTCGTGCATTAGAACGGCTCAGCAGTAGAGAGAAGGTGAGACCGGCCACCACCTGACCCGGGTCCTCAAACGCAGGGAGGACTTACAATGGTGGCATGACCGCCGATGCCAACACCGGGGCATGTTCCGTGGGACATTGCGCGCTTGCCGTTGTTGTGCAGCTTTTCAGTTACGTCGTGCAGCCTATGACCTCCGCCGATAGTTGCTTGCCAAGTATTTGTGTTCATGGAGAAGTGCTGAAGATTGACAAGGTCGATGACTAGGGCGCCATCAGTGCCACCCAGGCCAAAGTTGCTGCGGAAGAAATGATCAGCCTCAAGAACACGAATAGAGAGCAATGAACGAGAAATGAGATTTCGTCAACTCACGCGTAAGAATGCCCGCCTGATTTTGGCTGGACCTTTACATTGTTGGCTGCGGCACATTTAACGAAACCGGCGACGTCTTCCTTGGTTGAGGGCCTGGTGACGGCGACGGGCTTGACTGGGATATCAAGGTTGTACGGCTTCACCCAGCTGACCTGGAAGAGAGGGTCGCTTGGATAGCCAACGCACAATGGCCGTCCGTTACAGACAGTGTTGAGGCAGGTCGCCAATGGGCTGCTGGGCTGCTGTCCCATCCTGTCGCCGAAAATGTATAGAAATGCCACTGGCGGTGAAAGTAGTGATGAGCCGTGGTGGACCGGGGACAGAGATGGATGGCGAAGGCAGATCGACAGATGAAGGAAAACCACTGGGTTTATACGTTTTCTGTGGCGTGGTTCGTCGAAAGTTGTTGGTGTCGGGAACTCCCATGCCCTCCAACAAACGGATCGACGTCCAGAAAGGCCTTTTCAGGCTCAGCTCGACTTGTATGATGGGTCAAGAACGTGACCATAGAGTTTCAATACTCTGGGAAATAGTGGCGGGGCCACGAGTCACAACGCCTTTCTTAATTTGGGCGATCATCCCATCGTTAGTGAGCACTCCTGCCATCTCATCAATCCAGTACTCCAGGTTTCAAGTCGGCCCTGCCGACCAAGGGAATTGTACTCGTAGACATGGCTGGTGGGTGGCAGGCTGGCATATAGGTAAGGACCAATGAGTGACAGCAGACGGGCATCATAGCTCGCCACCAGTTCCGAATTGGGCGACACAGAATGCGTAGGGAGTACTGGGAGGTGTGCTTGTCCCGCACATCATCCGCTCCGGCCATATCCGTGAATCCCGTTCTTGGTAAGCCTGAAGCTGGCCATTTCCGAGGACGAACCAGTCGGAACTCTAAGGCTTGTCGGCAGGGAACGTAGAACAAGTTTGTTTGGCGGGGGGTGGAGTAGCATTGCTGGATGTCAAATGCAGTCGATAGGTTCCTGGAGGATCTTGGCGGTTCAGGAACTTTTCATGCAGACATGCAAGGACTATAACGTCTTCTGTAATGGTGCGTTAGGGGTGTAGGTGTGCTCAAGGTACATGAGTCTTTAGGGTGGCAAGAGTAGAGACGTTTGGTTGTACGGTACAGCGCTAATTTAAGGAGATAAGGCGATCCCTATGGAGCTTGGGTAGCAGTAGGCAGGTAGGTTTGGAGGCGCTGTAATATAACGGGGTTGCGTCAATCGTGGAAGGCAGAGCGGACGATGGCGTCTACCATTTGATGAAAAACGAAGGGGAAAAAAATCTGGACAAGAGAAATAAATAAGTAAAAATAAATAAAAATGACAGCCAGAAAAAAAGAAAAAAAAGAAGAACTACATCGTGTGTTCTACAACCAGTGTGGCTATTGATGGCTTCAGCTCATCACTTGTTGCACGGGCCTCACAGATCCCTTGCTTGGTAGATTGGCTCTCATGGGATCCGCCGTACAAGTTGCCTTGAATAAGACATCCATCGGAAGAGGCAAACAGGGAAATCTCCCATGAGCATACACACGAGCCGAAACGCAAAAGTTGGTGGTTGGGATAGGGTTATTGAGTCCAAATCAAAAGGAATATTTTAGTGCAACGCTATCTCGGTCCATGCCATGTGTTGTCAGGTGATCGACCATCCGGATCGCACCGCTCACCGTGTCCAAGACATGTCAAACGGGGAGCCTATAGTCTATTTGAACGTGTGCCGGTAATGATAGATGGGAATGAAACTGCCTGTTACCGAAAGAAAAGAGGACAGCGACGGTTCAAAATCAGACGGATGCAATCTACATCATAGGCTTCATCCTATTTCCATCAGTTATTCTTACCACAAGAGAGAGGACGAGCTTGTGTGTGTGTGTGTGTGTGTGTGTGTGTGTGTGTGTGAAACAGCTGCTACTAGGCCAGGATGTTATTACAAAGTATTCTACTTTTATAAGCATTATTTTCTTCATCAGTTTCAAAACTCACCTTATTCTTAATACATATTCAACGTCAGAAGAATCCTCAATGTTGTGATGCCCTGGATGATGTAGCATGAGAATGATTTACACCGTACATTGGACAGTGCTAAATGCTCCACTTTACTCTGGCAGCAAGCCGTGGTTGGCTGCACTTGTGGCCCAAAAGCGCGATTGTTATTGCCCAACGCGCTATTGGAAAGCACAGTTTTTTCCCCTTCTCTTACTGTACGTGGCTGCCTGACGCTGGCGCTGACGTAGGAACAACAACACACAAAGGTGTTCTGTAATACCTTCTTCGACGCGACTCAAGTGCCTTTCAGTTGCAAAAATTCGTTGCGAACCTAGTACATCACCTTTCGTCTCTCATTTTGCGCGTACCTGCCGCAACTACTGATATTACAATACAGTAAATCTGTACAAATCCGGCGAAGCGGGGAAGCGCCAAGTAGTTGGTGTGCGAGACACACCTGTCATCGTCATCAAGGTCACCCTGTCGACCGCGACACGAAGTATTGAACGCAAAAGAAACAGGGGTCTTGCAAACCTGCCATCTGGAGAGAGTTCAATACACGGCAGTTCGATCTATTGTACACGGGACAGCCGTACCTTTCATCTCCCAGTGCGCTGTTACCAGATTTCGGTGTCATTCTTCACGACACGTTCCTCTGCAACCATCACCACCTGCCTGACCGGGGTTACTATAGAAGCCGGTGTCACGAGCTGAGCGGGGCTTTCTAGCATATCGTCAACAGGTTATACACATCGGCGGCCATGACAACACCACCAGTATGGCGGCCGCTGCCAACCTCACCATCAGCTGGCCTGCCCGACCTATTGGTCTCAACGACCTTTTCGACCACATCATACGAAATCCATGTAACAGACCTAGCCAACATTTGGACCGAGTCAATGGATCGCAAGGCAATTTACCTACGCAGTCTTACTGAATCAACGAGCATCGACCCAACAGACAGTGAAAGCAACATGCGGGCCTTCTTGTCCAAAATTCGGTCAGTCTTTGATGACTCTCATGAAGACCATGAGAAGGCCTCGATGACGCTGTCTACAAACTTCAACAAAGATGCTGGAAAGGACGGTCTAACAATGAACATCACTTGCGAACTGGCTAATATGAAACCGCTTGAGTGGCCCGTATATCTGCGGAAATCTCCCCAGTCTAAACTCACGGCAGAGCTCATCCTACCACTTACGAACGCCAACTCCACCAAGAGCCAGCAAATTGACTCTCTTTTGGCTATAATGAAGCACAAGGATACCGTTATCGCGAAGCTCCTCGACAAGCTGGAAGCTACTGGTACTCGTCTTGAAAACGTCTTCACCATCTTGTCAGCCAAGCAGAAGCCGACGCGACAAATGGCGGAGGAAAAGGTCAAGGGGTTGGCTCCATTCCACTTTGGCGAGTGGGAATCTCAATTTCGGAATCACTCCACCGACATTCCAGACATCATTCGCCACGTATATGGTGATCGTGGTCTCGAATATCGCCGTTACCCTGATATGGGGCATTCCGATCTAGACGACTGGTGGACTAAGTTAGAGTCTTCAACCATTCCCATTGTCGGACCGACATCTAGACCCATTTCTACTGAGCTAAACAAAGTGTCTCCTGGGGCCGATACTGAGAGTCTTACGGATGTGGCAACTAAAAGGGGAATCCAGGCTGCTGAAGAAGACGATGATTTTCAAGTCCAATCAACACCACCGCATCTCAAGTCTTCGCGGAAGCGGGCCACAGCTGCAGCGGCAGGGAACCACCAAGACGACAGCACTGAGGATGAAGACGAGGAAGCTTCGCACATCCCCGATAGCTTGCCTGCACCCCCTCAAAAGCCCAATAACCATCCTATTCGCTTAGGAACTATAGGGAAGAAACAGCCGGCAACCCCTCCGTCTCGGTCACCTCACAAGTCTTTACAGCCGGAAGGATCGGATACCGAAACCGAATCAGACGCTGATGCCACTGCATCCTTGGCAGAGATTTCGCCGCCGCCCAATCGAAACGATTCTGAACGCACAACAACTGCCAGAGGTAGACTTGGGCGCTTAGGAGGGGGAAAGCAACGCTCAGTCACGCCGGAACCACCGCTAAAACTGGAATCACCGAGGAAAGGAGGACTTGGCCGTATCGGTGGAACGACGCATCACCCGAAGTCCCCTGAACCCTCAAAGAAAGGCAGCTTAGGACGGATAGGTGGTGCTGCCCGTTTATCAAAGACACCCGAACCGTCTGCTGTGAACACCGAAGAAAGAGGTCGATATCGGACCGAATCTAAGCCGCCAGAGAAGCCAAGGGAGACGTCTCAGGAAAGGGCAGATAGGAAGCGAGACGAGCTGCAGAAGGAGTTACAGAGGAAGGCTGCATCAGGCCCAGCACGGAAGAAGCGGAAGTTCTAAATCGATTCGAAATGCCGATGACCAAAGTATCACTGCCGTTCCCAAAATATCTAACCAGTGTGCTTGAGACATATTCCATCAGCCAACGTGGCCTCGACATGCGGAAGAGGTCACCAAAGGTGAAAGATTGTCACCTGGTTTAATGCAGATCCACGTTTGTTCCCAATACTGCCACAGGGGCGTGAATGTTTATACTGAATGATAAGCTCATCGAACGGGAGACACATTGAAGTGAAATCAGAACATAGCTGGAGATGTCGTACACAAAACCGGCACGTATCGAAACAATGCTGGCACCCTCAAGCGAGACACTTACAACTGCGGCTCTTTCTTAATTAATCCGACTTGGCTGACACTTCGGAGAGACTCTAACGTTGCACATGATGCTCTTTGCGGTACCATCAAGAGCCTCCCAACCACAAGTTCCCGACAACGGCCCGAAACGCTTTTCACGTGGACACCCGCTTGTCTAACGCTGGATGTTGGCTTTCTGTCACCCAACACGGAACGCAGTTCCTTCAATATTCCCGTATGGGGCTTGAATCTGTCGGATCTGATATGTCTGTCTGGGGCGTTACCAAGAGTTGAAGAGTTGCAGGTTAATTTTGGATACAGCGCAATACAGGAAGAGGCATCAATGTCTTGTGTGCAGCGATTGCATATCTGTAATTCAGGGGGGCTGCGAAACAGATAATAACCCCTTAATACTCATCAGTTGACATAATCTCACTGCAATGACGTATACTAAGATAGAATACTGTGGTATACGACGATCTTAGGGCATTCTTTAATACGTCAAGACTTGCTATGGCCAGACTTAGAGTCACTGAAATAGAGGATAGCTTGTCGCTCCACGTGTCCATCCCTAGTATCTTGAGGACACGTACCAATCATTCATTAAACGGGCTTCAACATGGCTTCAAGATGGATTGCTGCCGTCTTCATGCAGCAAGTCACTGGTGGCTACATGTCTCGTGGAATTCTAGCACCTGAAACGAGAATGAAGCCAGTATAGTATCCCGCACGGTGATAATTCGCCAAGTGGTCTCGTATCTCGTTTATCGCGTTAAATCTCGCGGCTGCTGAACGGCATTAGATGTCACTAGCATAATTGCCTTCTGCATATGATACAAAATGGAGAAAACATGAGTTACGGGTTCCGCTTCGGCTTTTCCTGGTCAAGCATCTCCTTTGCCAGCTAACTGTATTTCATACATCAATCTAAGGTAGCCAAGATGTTGCCCCGTTTATGCGGCCTTGCAGCACTCAGCCGTGAAAAAATATGACCTGTATCTCAAGGTGATATACAAGGACACGGCTTCTGGAATACGGCCTTAAGAGTCTTGACAACGCAACACTGCATGTGGTAGAAGGCAGCCCACAGGCAGAGATCAGTGACAGTCTCGGGCCTTCCGCTGGACTGAATGTAAAAAAAAAGAAATATAATTACTCGATGAAAGAGGAAAGTGTAACCGATGACTCAGTTGTCGATCTGCCAGCCTTTGTACGGCATCGACACTTGATACGTTGATGGGTGACCACTTTGCAGGTGGATAAATGCTCTAGCGAGCAGGACATGCCGGATCAGGATGGCTCCTAGAGGCATAACAGCAACGGCAACAAGTTACAAAACACCAACTTCTTGACGCTAGCTGGCGCTCTTCAGTTACATCAGCGGGAAAACAAAGCCATGAAATATATTTTGATCAAGTTGAGGGACTGCAAATGCGACAAAGTTGACGTCAAACATGAACCTACTCATACTTTACATCCGGCCGTAAGAGAATCCCGAAAGTCTATGAAGTGACAAGTTCCGCAGAAAGTACACAAAGTAGAAGAAGACTTGCTTTCTTTTTTGTTTCTCATCTCGCATTGTTTTCTTCTTCTTCTAGTTGTGGCATGCTCGCGATGTTTTGAACCGCGAGGCACGGGCGTTGACGTCGACATGCGGATAAGGAATTTCAGCCCTGCAATCCACTCATTGTGGTGATGACGCAACGGTCACCTAAACGTGGGGTTGGTCTTTTTGACAGATCTCATCAATCTCCTCTTAAGCTTACAGTCATTCATGCACATTATTGGGCGCTCGTGAACTGGGCCCCCAAAGACTTCTCATGCAGCTTTGCCGTCCTTTCCTGATAAGGACGGGCAACAGCACTTGTGATTCCGGCCGAAGCGGTTTAATGTAACCGAGAGCGAGACAGCCTTTCTCAGTTATCAGATCTGGAGGTTGCTGAGATGTCACCAATGTAACAGCGGGCCGGGCATGTCTGTGCATTTAAAGAGGTGTAAGGCCGGCCCGGGCCCCAGATACATGAGCATGCAACCGCATATGTCCTGGGGCCTTTGCAACTTACTCGGCTTCAAAAATATGATAAAAGATCTTTCTGAAAAGATGCGGCTGTTCGGCCGTTACGCACATGCATGCCAGATGGCAGCAGCTCGGGTTTGGTAACGCAGACTTGTGTCCGAACCCGCACACAATGGACCGATTCGACTGCAGCTTGCCAGTGCTGAACGCCATATCTGTCTTTCCGTGTTACGCGGGAGGCCTACTGACGGAAAGCATACCGGCTCGTCCAGTTTCAGTGTTCATCTGGTAACCAGAAACGTTAGTGGCATACAAGTTGCAACTTTCGGGTCCCCGGGGATGCGGCTTTGATAGACCGGTCGGGATACCACCTCTGTTCGTTGTCCCACTTGATGATTATAAATCTTTAGAAGGATTGACGCCAGTTCGAACAACTTTCAACATACACTAACAGGTAATAGGAAATAAATTTTGTGACATGCGGACACTTGTTGGGCTCGGTTAGGGCAGTGGTGTGCACTGTACGACCTTTCATCTCTGATTTACGCCCGTAGAGGCACAGCAGAAACGATGAATGGGCCAACCCCCACAAGCCGCAACAGCTCGATCACCTGAGATCTAGGATCTGTCACAAATGGCAGCCATCGAGGCGCCAAGTCATTACAAATGTGATGAACAGGCAGTCACTGTGCCGAGTTGCCGGTCTTCACGATGTCTAGGTAAGGCAGCATTGGTTCACTTCTCAGGGCTAAACCACGATGCCTCCCTTTTACATCAATGATCAGGGTTCGAAGGGTGGCGGAACCCGAACAACCTGCCTTCTCTAATCAATTACCAACCGGGCTTGAAGCCAATACGCCGTCTGAGAGAAACTCCCTTTCTCAGCAGCCCTGCAGGCAGTCGTTCTGGCCCATTCCAGTCCGTCTGCAAGGGCATCGCAGTGAGTGTTGGGGATGTCTTGAAGCTAAAGTCAATTCGAGGATGTTCCACTTTAACCCATCCACAAACATTGTCAAGCTGTCACCAACACCGGTTTACCCTCTCTGGCCACCCCTCTCTGCTCCGAATTAGGAAAATGCGCCAGTGCCAAGCTGTCGAACAGCGAATCAACGGCATGCAAAGCCATACTTGAATAGGACTTCGGCTAGAATGCCCTTCGCTTGGAATGTCCGGCTGTGGCGCTGTTCATGAGCTTCCATCGGCCCGCACTGTTCAAGGTTCCCAGGGTTCGGCGGTTGGTGTTCGTTCTCTTCCATTTTCTTGAGTTCATTTGCCCACCCGGTCAATACCTGGTGGATATCACAAGAGATTTTGTGGGGATGGGAATAAGCCAGGCCATAAACATTCCCTTGCAAGTATGATCACTGCACGGCACACTCATCTCAGCTAGTCTAGTTGTCTCATTATGTCACACTCGGAAGACGCATCAGTAAAATAGAAATATCAAACTCTAAGCTGAAATGAATGAAAATTACGCTGTGAAGCAGAAAGAAACTCATGCCTGCCGAAAGGAAGATCCAAGTTGGGGGGACGAACCGGCGGTTACATAAAAGTTAAGCTTGACAGCCTCAAAGGATTCATCCGTTCTGAAAAAAAAGAGGACAATGTAAAGAGAGTACATAAATGGCCCATGATGGCGAAATGTTGTTGGACGCGATATGCATTGAGGGTAGCGAGACAAGGATCTCCCCTGTCAGTGTGGTCCTGATCCGTCGGGCGATTTGCCCGCCTCCGCAAGGAGAACGAAAGAGAGGAAGGGGGAAAAAAGGAAAGGGAAAAGGGCAAGGGGGAAATACCCCCCGAAATGAGAAATCAAGGCTTTCTAGACATTGACTTCTTAGGATTGCGAAGCCCTGGCCGCCAACATCGCCAACCACGAGAGAAAAGATAAGATGTCATAATTATTTCATCGCACCTTGGTTACCATCCATTACCGGAAGATCACTCGGACATTATCATTAACAACACATCTACAACCACAGCGCATCGTGTTGTACAAGATTCTACCACCGATCTTATTAAAGCAAGGAAAACAGCCTACCACACTCGCACTCCTCTCGCTAACTGAGGGCTTGTGATTTGTCCACTGGGTACCAGAAGGGGCCCACGATCGTATGAGCCACGATGAAAAAGTGATTACCCACCTGAAGATATTCATCTGCTGTCTGGGTCGAGTACTTCTTTGCCACACTGCGTCCTAATGGCGATCCACTGCCAACATACTTCTGGGAGCGCCCGCCCCAGTCATTGTGTAGCTTGGCTACATACGTGAGTGTTGCGATTGTGTCCTTTATGTGACATTCTCTCGTAATTGACACTGTCTCTTGGCTTGGTGGGAAACAGCCGGTGCAAGGCTTGGCAGATTCCCTGGAAGCTTGGATTTCCGCAATCTCCCATTTGCCATCGGGGATTTTGACCAATTTCTTGTGGAAGAAATTTTCGCTGGGAATATCTCTGGCTGTCACCTGTGAGACACTATTCTGTGTTCTTCATATGCGAGGAACTGAACATAGGCAACGGGGGACGGAACTAAGCAACTGACTTACTCTACCACTGACACTTCCACTAATTCTCGCTGTTCCAAGAGCACATCTACAGACGACCCTGACCCTCATGCTAAAGCCTGCTGCAACGCCTAGCATATCTTAGCAAGGGAGGGGTGTGTCCTTCTAGCCCCAAGTTCGCAGTGAAGCCTTCCAACCTTGCCTAGTCGCGCCCTCCACCTTGTGCCAGCAGACTGCACATCTTATTTGAGATACGCAATGCTAGGTGCAAGATCCTGCTCCTCAGTCTGTCCCGACAGTACGGAAACCAATGGTAGCCCACGAGGGATGACGAATAATGGGCCGCTTCACCATCGTTGACGCCAGAACTTCTAGACAAGGATGGTATCTGCTCGACCGTTGATGGCACTCCATGGCTGCTGCATGGCAAAACTCCCGGCAAGGTCAAGTCATACACAAGCACGCGGAGTTCGGATCTGAATCATGAGACGAGCTTTACGCCTCCCACCCTACCCCCACACCCATCCCCCTCCCCCCTTTCGGTTGACATGAAGCAACAGGCAGCGGAAAGCCATGCAGCAGATATTGACGTTGGACTCGAAGAATCGTATGATTGTGTGTGTGTGTGGGCCTCTTTTCTTTTCACCGCCCGTATGCAGGACTAGAGTGGACGGCGCTCTGTGGCCAGCCTCATCGCCCAGACTTCACGGCTTTGCTCCCAGACTGATTGTCTTTCATTCAACCCCGTGTCACCGATGGTCCACGTCTCTCCTGTCTGTGCTCGACCTATGAGCTGGCCCCAGAGACACATCTTTTTGCCGCCACATACGAGAGGAACACACCCATGTCGAGCTAGACATTGAAAGTCTTTGATTCTTTGGCGCCAAGTAATGTCTAAAAAAAGAGACGTGCAAAATACAACGATCCCGGGGTTGTGGTATGTTCCGCTTCCGACCGCCCTCGCCAGGTCAGTCAATGTCGTTCTCAGGGAGGCACCCCTGGTAGTAATATCAAATTTCATTTTTTTTTTCCCTTCTGCCTCCTTCTCCACAGATGCACGTATCTCATATCTCAAATCCTGCCCACCAACAAGCGGCCCCGCATGCGGTGGCCTTGAATCCCAGTTCTGAAGGAGATCGCCAAGGCTCACGATAGCCATGAGGAAACAGCAGGCTTCGTCAGTACGGCATGGCCACGGTCAACTTGGGCCGCAATTTCTAGCGTAACCCTTACCGTTGTTATTTCGGACTTTGCTTTCCAATATCTGGGATCTTCTCGTTGGAGCCCGCCAACCAGGATATAAAAGTCTGCGCCGGTGATCTGATGGACAACTCCGATTAGCTGGAATCGGTTGAGTAGTTCTGATCTCACCATAGTACAGGCATCGTGGTCTCTTTCAACAATGGCACCACCGAGTCTAGGCGCAGGGTAGAGCTGGTCGAGGTCTTCATGGAATTGCCATTGTCCCATTGCCGATCCTCGTGCCATCCAGCAGCCCTTTTTTTTGCACACTCCCCCCCCTTGTACGCCTGAACATCCCTTCCAAGGCGTGTCGTGGATGATGACAGGCGTATGTCTGCATCTCTGTCTTTTGTAACTCTTTGTTCCTTGTCCGTCCACCCCCGGTCACTATGGCCACCCCCACCCCCCACCCCGTCCAACGTAATTCTAAGCCCGACAATCTAGGCCTCCAGGAAGAGGAGTCAATCACGGTCCGACGAGAAGAAAGGGAAAAAAAAAAAAAAAAAGGAAAAAAGAAAAGATGAGAGCCTATCCGATCCGCAGAAGACCGACCCGGGCAGATTTTCTGATCAGCACTCCCTTGCGCAAGACCCTTGCCCTACCCACCTCGGCCCACCCCCACCCGGCCCCCGGTTGATACTACCAGACCCAATAACCAACCCATGCCATGCTCAGGACTCATTTCATGAACTTCAAGTGCTGCGACGGGAGGAAGTCAAGAGCAAGATATCTAGCGAGGCTTAAGGGTCTTTTCTCTCCAATCCTTTCCAGTCTGTCGGTAAATTGAGGGACTAGGATAACAATGGGGCAAAAGAAGTCTATGATGCAACAGCAGACTTTTCCAACAAAAGCCTGAACTGGTTGAGATGAGCAACGGGACAGGGCAGGCCATCAAGACTGCGCCAAACTTGGTTTTTTGCCGGAGTCTCGCCGTGTCTAGATAGTCAGTCTTCGCGCCCGCATCGCTTTTGAGGGCATTAGGAAGGTGGCTTGCGTACACACGATGGAGAGCCATTGGATACACAACACTACTCTTCAGACTCAATTCGATCGGCCCAACTCCCCCGCATCTTGAACGTTGTGTTCATTTTAAACAGACCAATTCCATTGCTGAAATCAAACTTGACACTAGACTTTTTCCAGAAATTACAAATGTGCCCTCCTTTCACCCCCTCCCTCTGCGTTGGAGAACTGAGTCCACCTAGTAGATTTTGATAGAGACAAGGGAAAAAAAAACAAGAAAATGAAAAAGTCAAGAAAAACAGACGTGAATGGGAAGGGTATTTGTGCCACAGTGGCCGCAAACGCTCTATGTATGTGGAGTTTTTTTCTTCTTCAGTCGACTAATGCCCCCAAAACCCAACCCAAAGTCGTAATAGTAGCTCGTGTAGCTATGAATCTTTGCGCGTTCATGAAGTAGCAAAAATGACTTTCAATAAAGTAAAGCCGCCCAGTCTCGCCTTTGTGTTGCCGTGGGATGAGAAAAGGGGAAAAAAAGGGAAGTACCGTGTTCCCTCCTGTATCCTCCCCCCCTGGTGTGTGTGATCTTGTTCCCCCCATCTCTCATCTCTCATCTCTCTCATTCCCCTTGTCTTTCCCTTCCTGGCATGGCACACTAATATGTGCGATCACACTGCGTTCCATCTAGTCCCAACATTGACGTCTCTTTCACAAAAAGAAAAGAAAAAAGAAAAAGAAATCTTCCAGGTGCCATGGCATGAACACCGTGCCCTCCGCTGGTCCCTTAGGTGGGGGATAGTTAAAACAGGGGGGGAGGGAACGACCAACAGTTAGGTGCTGCGGCTTCTCCACTTAGTCAACCTTAGCCCCCCTACACGCCCCCTTGGCCCTCTCCCGCGTAACCTCGAACCCCGGGCCAGAATGTGACAAGACGGAGTGCATGTTGGGGGTGTGTTGGATAGGAACAGAGGGAAAATGAAAGAGGGAGGCCTGCCCAATGAGAGCACTCACCCAAACCGAGCCCCCCTTTAAACATCTCCAACAAATGGGATGTTACGGTTGCCGGCCCGGATACCGGGACCGACGTTGCCTGTCGAGGATTCAAAGAGATACGGACGGTACACTCTCTGGTTTCCCCAATGGCCATCGATCACACGGCTGATCCTGGATCGGCTGCTGTCATGGGGCAGCCCACTTTTGCTTCAGACCGCCATCCCTCTCTTTCTGTGCCGTGGTCGGTAAAGGGGGGGGGGGGGGGGGGGGGGGGGGGGCAGGCGAGGACTGTGATTTGTCCAGGAGAAGCAATACCGAACTGGAAGTTAAAGAAACAAACACACAAGATCCCGGGAGACGCCCAGAACAAAGACAAAAGAAGGCCACATTGAAGAGACTGCGGCAACACAGAATGTTGTAAAGAAGACAAAAGAGTAGTACCAGAGGATCGATACCCATCTTTTCCGTTATGCATAATGAAAGGTGGGTGCGTCTAGCAGAAGTGGCCGCAAGGGGAGCCGTTTACAATCCATGGTTTGTGGAGTTCCCCCACCCGTACAGGACGTTGTCGCTCCGGGGATGGGACTGGGGGTGCTGCTGGGGGTGCTGCTGATACTGCTGCTGGGGGTGCTGCTGATACTGCTGCTGGGGGTGCTGATAGACGCCAGTGACATCGGTCATACTGTAGTCCGCGAACTGGTACGGCGGCTGGGCAGTCCGGATGGGCATGGAAAGTCCATGATGTGGGATGTTGCTAGCAGCGTCCGCGTTAAGCCCTAGCTTCTGCTCTTCGTCACGGATGAAGAATCTCGCGTTGGAGTTTTGGCTGAGATCTTGAGAATATGTCGGCATACTGGTGCTCATAACCCTCTGAGGAGACCCCCAGTGTTGATTTTGGTGGGGCATGAGAATGGGAGAGTTAACGGGGCTGGTGCGAACCCTGAGGTTCCTAGCGATGCTCTTGGAGCGTGTGGTAGCTTTACCGCCGCGCCTGCCCGACATGGCGCGCCCAGGCATGGTACGGTTGGGAAAGTTAGGAGACGGGTGATAGGTGGCCTGGCGATGGCGCTGGTGACCGACATGGACAGGGCTTAGGTCCTTGCGCTTCTTGTGACGGGTGCCGCCCCGGGGAGAGCCACGGTAGTATGTCGTGGACCGAACACCATCTTCGAACTCAGGGAGGAGGTACCACTTGCTGGGTCTCTTCTCGTTTGTGCAAGATGTGCTACTGCTGAAGTTGGTCTGGATGGGTTCTTCTTTTCTAACAAACGCCTAGATTACCAATTAGACAGGGCTCAGATGATTAACAGGGTGGGCTCCTGTGTCTCAATCATTTTGACAGAGAACTTGAGTGACAGGAGCTCAGAGCTGCCCTGTGGTTGTGGGTTTGTGATTGTGGGTTTGTGACGAGACTCACATGGTTCATGCTCAAGTTGTGACGGATGCTGTTGTGCCAGCCTAGACCTCCCGCTTTCTCGGGCTTGTCAGTGTTGTCGAGGAACCACTGGTAGAGCTGCTGTAGAGTCATGGAGCGGCTCTCCTGAGCCTTCAAAGCCTTCCAGATGAGCTGCGCGTAAGGCTCGTCCTCATCCTTTGCTGCAGCCTTCTGTGCTGCCTCGTTCTTGCTCTGACAGTCGGGAGGATGCAGAGGGCCCTCTTGTTCTACTGGCGAGGAACTTCGACTCAGAGGAGGCTTTGAACCATTCTCGAAGTTTTCCTCGATGGAGATTGGCGAAGCCATGTAAGGAGAACCGGATGAGACCATAGGGGGAGGGGACTCATACTTGGAGGGAACGTTGTTATGGGGCCCTCCAAAACCTTGCTGGAAACAGGTCGAACTATATTCTCCAGGTATGTTGAGAGGTGCACCTCGGATCTCATCCGAACACATTGGTAGTTGGTCGCCGGGGAGGCCGTCATACTGTTGCTGGTGATGAAAGGGAACTTCGTACTGGGGAGGAGGAGTTTGAATAGATGAAGGCCAGGTCCGCGGCGAGAGAGAAGCAGCGTTGTAGGAGGTTGGAGCCTGGCCATGGTAGGAGTAGTTTTCGAAGTCGTCCACTGACGAACGAGGAGATGCCCACATCGACTGGCTCATGCTTGGTGAATGAAATTGTTGGCTGACGGCCGAGAACTGATTTGGAGTATAGAAGGAGTGATAAGAATTGTTGACAGGAACTTGCTGCTCGGGGACTAAGGGGTAGTAGTTTTCTGCAATATCTGCCTTCATAGAGAGAGGCTCGGGGGACCGGGAGATTCCAATGGGCGAGTGATTCAAGCCGCTATGTACGGGCATGGTTCCCATCCGCGAGGGCTGTGCGTCCATCGCAGTCACGCTGTGCGAACAACTACAGCGATACTATGGGGGTGGTGACGGAGAGGTGAAGACGCCTGAAACAAGTATGGTGGTTTGGCAGGATGAAGTTTCAAGAATGAGTGAGATGGTAAAGAGACAGTACAGGGTCAGGCCTTGGTATCGGCAAAGAGGCGAGGCCGAGGTCTAACAAAGACGAGGATAGACAATGAGATATCACTGAAGGTTGATATCAAATCAAGGTGGTCTCGAGGTTGTATTTGGAGGGAGAAGAAGAGTGTTATTAATGCTGTGAGACTCAGTGATGCTGGCTTAGAAAAGAAGCATTGACGGTTGTCAAAAAATGCTTCGAGCATGGGTATCAACCCCGTTGATAAAATAAGAGAGATGGTGGTCCTCAAAATGCCCATGCTGAAAAGAGGCGGTCGTGTCGTGCAAGGTAGGATGTAGGCCTCTCATTTTGCCAGTACACTAAGTACAGGAGATACGTACACGATGGAGTAGCGGATGACAAGGGGAAGTGGCCATCGAGGAGAAAATGGACAGGGAGGGGGGTTGGATTAACAAAGCCATGTGGATAACGGGGGGGAGCAACCCGCATGCCAGGTCGTTGCTTAGCTTGGTTTAGCGTCGTTTACCCGTAGCCGCGACGCCATGTGTGCGTGTATGTGTGTTGTGTATGTGTCTATGTGTGTGCGTGTGTGTGTGAGTGTGTATGTGTGCGTGGTGTGTGCCTGTATGCTTGTTGTGCGTCAAGGTGTATCTAAGGTGCTCTCGTCTTCTCAACCTGCTTGCTCCCTTTGCATACATGGGCCTCTATGTTAGTATGTGTGTCAACTTAAATGGGAAAGGCTCCACCCTGACCTGTGGCAGTTCTGGCGCCTTGGATGTACAGAATGGCCTGCCACCAGCCTGCACCTCTCTCACTGATGCAAACGGAATGAGAGCTTCGATATGGTTACCACTGCTGTCTGCGAGGAATCAACAGGGGTGAGCTGGTTCTCATTTCCCATTCGATAGTTGGGGGAACATTGAGGAAACTGCCAGTATCTGGGGTGCTTAACAGTCTCGCCACTCAGTTGATCAACCGTGTCAGTGACAGGGCATCGCGTGTCCTGGCTCACAGAGCTATGCCAGACACAGGGTTTATGAGAATCCCCCTTATTTCTTCTCTCCACATCTTGCATTTTGCCAAAGGGGAGGGTACCCTACGGCCGTTGAGGCTAGCGGCACAACTGGCTGTTGGCCCCTTCGTTCAGCTCTCAACCCATGATCCAGACCGTCTTCGTGCAACACTAGATTTGAAAGCAGGAGTATAACTTCGCATCAGTGATCAATACAATGGTGGTGGCGGCGATCACGACGTCTGGTGTTAGTACGAGCTGGGAAATGTGTAGAAAATCAACGGCATGCCACTGACATGGCGATTCAGGTTAACATCGGGTGAAAGGCGTTAGAGAGATGGTTCCACACATCCAACCCCAGGTCGATGTGGGTAGCTCTGAGTTGGTGACAAGAGCCTTGTACACAGCTACAACTTGACAACACGATGCATGTCACTGTCACTCCTGGGGGAGCCAACGGGCCAGAGCTGTGAGCATCTTGAAAAGGGGAAAAGGCCGGAAGGCAGCAGTTCTCCCTCGGAAGCGTGCATGGCCTTTGGCGAGAGAGCCAATCACTCCCAATCTTCTCTTCAGTGATGCCCCGGTACTACTAGTATGCCAGGCCCGACGGGTTTGTAAGATGGCCACAGATCGCTGAGGTACTCTGACGGACACTGACCCTCAGCGTAGAGATCGACTTCGCATTCTAGAACCCCGCGGGACAGGATTATTGATACTGATTTAGAACAGAGTATATGAAGCTGTGAAGGTTCAATCCCGCCTTGACCGAGATATCGCCGTTGGTTGCTGAATATTTTGTTTTGGATTTCTCTGCCATTATGATAGATTACGGGCTTTCCCGATCATTGAAGGCACACTGGGACGCAGCGCTCATCGCTATCCTTTCCATGTACTTCGTCATATTACCCTAGACTTTATGTCTTCGATTAGTTAGCGAAGGGGCTGGGTCGTTAACCCTGGTAAGAATCAGGTGTGGGAGAGCCAAAACTGATTCATCTGCGATTTTGTGGGGGTGAACAGCAACCACAGCCCATTGTATTCCGTCTCTAGCCAGCCTGCCTTCTATCCGTCTCCTCCAGACGTTAGGTGCCTTGCCTTTCAGGGCGCTAGGACATATCATTGGAAGAGGGGCAAACTTCAGCATCAATGGTGACACAGGGATGATGATAAGCAGGCAATTCATTAGTTTGAGGCGAGAGCTATGGTCGCCTGAGTGTTTGTGCACCATTGTGTTTTCTGAGGTCGACCCTGAGCGGTCAGTCGCGGTCGTCAGCATGAGTCGGTAAGGCATTTTGTCTGGTGAATATACATGGCACCATGGAAAGTAAGAGTGACGACGGATGCGTGAATGGTGAGGCGGACATTCCTGTAAACACCGGGCAGATCCGTCTTTTCCTGGCCGTTATTCAAGAGTCTATGCCCAAACGCTTTGTCCAGTGTAGCAGCCTCAGGTGACTTTTGTCATATTTGACATGCTACCCAACAACACCAGCAAGTCTCGAATGCAGACCCACAGTCGGGGGTCTTTACTTTCGATAAAAGATCTGCGCAGACCCTGTTAGTATATGGCAATCGCTGGAGTAGGCACGATGGAGTGGTACTTATGCCATACCTTTTTGAATTGAAAGTGAAGCTGCAAGATACCCTGCAGGAAGTATAAGATTAGCTCAAGCCAAGCATGGGGTGAACGGAGTCTTGATATGTGACAGAATCAGAATGAGAGAAGGAGTCACCGCGTGTAGGCGGTTGGGGCGCGTAGGCAGGCAGTGGCCGTGATGGGTTGGCACTGGGCGGAGATGGCGGTCTGTCTCCTTGGCCTGGTGTCTCCTAGTACTGAGGACAATCAAGGAGGGTCGGTTCCTTCAGACCAGCCGCAGATGGAGGCTGGGGGCGGCTGGAGAAAGGAGAAAAGCCAAAGCCACTCTGCGGGCGCTCTTTGGTAGCCTGACATCTATCCATCCCCCTTGCGGGTTGCGATGCATATGTACAAGGACTCCGCCTCCAACGGAAAGGGCTGTGGGAGACCACGTGTAAACGATGTAAAGGAAAGCCTCAAAACATACCTTGTCGAAAGAGCTCTTGAAACCGCGATCCTTCTTTGCGCTGTAGTCCCACTCGCGATCTACGATTCTAAACGCGATGTCCTCGTAAGGGGGGCCTGCAATAAAACGAATAAGGCACGTGTCCTCCTCCCCTGCAGCTGCAAAGGACTCTCCCCTTCTTCTTCCATGTTCTCGAATAATCTTGAAGGTGGGCGCCTTTGTCTTGTCGATGAGCTCTGGATAAAAGATGTTGAATTTGTAGCCCTGAACCACCTTGGGCGGTGGGTTATCGTGGTCGTAATGTGTCTGGTTGTACTTGTTCCATTCGTATCCCATCTGGACGCGGTTGAAGTATTTTGGTTTTCGCGGACGATACTTGTCTGCCCACTGCGGTTTCGAGACACTTGGGACGGCTTCCTCCGCGGTAAAAATCTCTTCATCCTCGTTGATACCACGCGCGACCTCACGGTCATAGAGGGCTTTCGTAGCCTGGGAGAAGTCTTCGTTGCCAGCCTGTGCAAAGCGAGCGGTTCCAGGGGGTGCGCCGCCCTGTAATCCAGATGAAACAGATACAGCCTTTGTTTCGGTCCTCCCGAGCTCAGATGACAGGTTTTTGGCTGCTGCAGGTCCAGAAATAGACTGGGTCTGAGAGGCCTGCTGTCCCAATGCCTTTACCTTTTCTGGATCCTGCAGCTTGAGCATCTCGGCCTTGCTCTCGCTGATTGCATCACACACCCTCTTGAGCTTTGCCTTGGCTTTCCATACGAGCAGGCTGCGGAGAAGCTGCTCCCAGTAATCAACATCGATATCGTCATTGGACCGTAGCTTCGCCTTAATTTGAGATTCGAGAGCCTCAAGCTGCTCGTACGTTTTGGGACGCAAGATCTTGTCGACATCTTCTGACACTGTGCTGACCACCCGAGCGTCCGGCCCTTGTGGTTTCAACTTCTGCCGCCTATCGGCACAGATGGTTTGCAGCGATTTCCAGTATTCGCGGTTGCGGCTGTTCGTCTCTAGAGTGTGGTAGGACGTGATGTCAGAATCTAGCTCCTTCAGCTGTGATTCGTCAAGACCCTGCAGAACCTCCTCTGGAGAGGGCACGTTGATGTGCAGGTCGACATCATCATCGTCAAAGACGTCCCGGTCGGTATCGATAAAGCGTAGATTGAATGCAAGCAGATCAATGGGCTTGGCTCGGCCTTCCCGTACTCGAATGTCCGACTTCTTCTTAGCCTGTTTCAGAACAAATTTGTCCTCATCGGCAACAAACTGCCGAGACTGCTCATCCTGGGTCATATAGCTCGAGTTCGTGTTGTGGTTTTGTCGTGGTCTCGACGACGGGGGAGGGTTATTGGGCTTTGAGATGCGAGTGTTGGAGTCGCGTCGGGGAGATGTGATGCTCCTTTCTCGTTCGCGGTCTCTGCGACTTGGGGACCTGCGCCCTGTGAGCATCATAGCTCTGCGTCCCGGGTCCATGTTTGTGTCGATGGTAAGGTTGAGGAGGTGGTACAGGTAGCAAATAGAGAGGATATCTTTGTTGTTGATGTCGAAAGGAAGGAAAAGTCGCAAGTCTAAGATGTTGCTACTGGCGCCTGCCTTGGGCTTGAAAGAAGCTTATCGTAGCTACCCACAGACGTCAGCTTAGTCAGTCGTTTCTTATCAGCACGTGATGCCACACAACCCCCGGGAGAATGCTTACTATGTGCTGTGTAGTTCGGACTTGGAACGTGGGGTTCTGGAAAACTGTCTCATTCAGTGATTGCTAGACTGCCCGACCTTGTAGCATATTTAGTTTAGCTGCACCAGTCACAATGGGTTATTGCCCCATCGGCATCTGGACCCTAGATCTCCACTAAACCAGGGCCCTGGAGCCGCTAAAACCGTCCTAACGTCCACTGAGAGAGATGCTCATCCAGATCTCCCGATTTCAGGAACCCGATGACGCACAAGACATCGGCCGATCGCAGGTTATTCCCCAGGTTAACGCCATCGCGCTCGTTCCAAAGCTCAAAGCTTTCAGAAGCAAATCTAATGTAGCAAATTAGGTAGAATCTTTATTCATTTTCAATCCAATTGTCATTGCTGTCTGTCTCCCCTCCCATGCTCCCATTTCGCGTTTTGCTCCCCACCAACACGCGTCTATCCTCCGTTGCCCTTACTGCCCCTTCCCCCTTTCAGATTTCTTACTTCACTGTCCATCGAACGTGTCCAAGCAATTATTCTATCGCCAAGCGGCTTTTCGTAACAATGCCGCCGAAACAGAAGCGCAAGACTGTTGCTACGGCAGAGTCCAGCGACTCTGGACGCAAGAGGACAAAGATTGAACAGAATGGCAGCGTACCGTCCGACCCTTTGCGCCAGCCGCACCCCTTCTACAAGGACGCCGAAGAACATGGGATCGTCCTTCGGAAATACTACCCCCACGAGATGAGCAATGACAGAGCGCGCGCTTACAACGATGAGGAGATTCCCCGACCCATTGAGGAACTTACGGCGGCGCTCGAAGAGACATCCGGCGTGTTCAAGAGAGTCAAGGTCAAGGATGCCGTCGTACACTGGTTCAAAATGGACCTTAGGACAACAGATAACCGGGCACTTTCCCTTGCCAGTGAGAAGGCCAAGGAGGCCGGGGTCCCGTTGATCGCCATGTACATCATCAGCCCACAAGATTTCGAGGCGCATCTCACGGCCCCAATCCGCGTCGATTTTATGCTCAGGACCCTGCGTGTATTGAGACAGGATCTTGCGAAACTCGACATCCCACTCTACGTCGAGACTGTCGAAAAACGAAAGACTATCCCTGAAAGGATCGCCGAGCTCATGGATCAGTGGGGTGCTAGCCATCTGTTTGCTAATATGGAATATGAGGTGGACGAGCTCCGGCGGGAGGCAAAGATGGTTCGCATGTTTGCAGACCGGGGTCTCTTTTACGAGGTCTTACATGACACATGCGTTGTTCCGCCAGGGCAGTTGACGAGCGGATCAGGCAAGCAATACGCAGTGTACACTCCATGGTACCGCTCCTGGGTTCGCCATGTCCATGAGAATCTCGACCTTTTAGAACTCTACGACCCCCCGGCGAAGAACCCAGATAGTGCGAGGGAGAAATTTGGCAGTCTGTTCGACACGGATATCCCCGAGGAAGTCAAGGGCAAAGGCCTTAATGATGACCAGAAGAAGCGGTTTCGTGCTTTCTTCCCGCCAGGAGAGCACGAGGCGCGAAGCCGCCTGGACAAATTCTGCGAGGAAAGAATTGGACAGTATCATAACAACCGTAATATCCCCCATGAGGCTGGAACCTCGTCCCTCTCTGTGCATCTGGCCAGTGGAACTTTGAGTTCGAGGACGTGCGTCCGCTATGCGCGAGACCGAAACAAGACAAAGAAGCTGGATGCTGGAATAGAAGGCATCCGGGTATGGATCAGTGAGGTGGCGTGGCGAGACTTCTACAAGCACGTCCTGGTGAACTGGCCATATGTGTGGTACGTGAGCTAATCCTACCGCCGTGGCGTCTTAATTGCTGACATGGTCTTTTAGTATGAACAAACCATTCAAACCAGAGTACGCAAACATCGAGTGGTCGTACGATATGGACGAGTTCAAGGCTTGGTGTGAAGGCAAGACAGGTTTCCCCATCGTCGACGCTGCGATGCGCCAGATGCATGAAATGGGCTGGATGCATAACCGATGTCGCATGATCGTCGCATGCTTTCTAGCAAAAGACCTGCTTATAGATTGGCGCATGGGTGAGCGGTACTTCATGGAGAACCTCGTTGATGGAGACTTTGCTTCCAACAATGGTGGATGGGGTTTTTCCGCCAGTGTTGGTGTCGATCCTCAGCCATATTTCCGCATCTTTAATCCCTTACTACAGAGCGAAAAGTTCGACCCTGACGGAGATTACATTCGGAAATGGGTGCCTGAGCTGAAGGGAATCAAGGGGAAGGCTATACACGACCCGTATAGTCGCGGCGCTGCCTCTCAAGCGAAGAAGGCGGGCTATCCAGAGCAGATCGTTGACCATAAAACCTGCCGTGATCGAGCATTATCAGCATACAAGCGCGGCCTGAACAGGGACGACATATAATATATTGCCTTCCTACAGGGTCCCGTGCAATCTTTTTATCGGATACATCGTAATGTTCTTCATACGGCCACCAGGATGTGATACCTAGGCCGGGACTGCCCATCATGTAGCGATATAGCCGATAATGGAGGATTAGTTCCTCCCAGAGTTGGGTTTAACACTGAACGAGTTTAAATGTAGTATCAAATTTTAACGAGTCTCGTTTATGCTGTTGATGTTGTTATGTTTACTTCAGATTATATGGTCGACAAAGTTGAAAGATATCAAGATACAATATTAATGCTGTCATCTAATCAGACTAGGAACCAGCGTAGTCTAGCCAGCCAGACTACCATTAAACGCCCTATTGCTTTCAAAAACATGTGGTAGCCTATGATTGTCTCCTTTCTTCAACCACGAGGAACTACTCGCTGCTATTGTGATTGTTGTCAGGCGACGTTTCTCTCAACGGCGATTGAAAATCCGGGGTGCTCATGTGATTTGAGCCGCGAATTCAGTTTAACGCCACAATTGAGAACATTGACCAAGCCATCGCGTCATTCAATGCCAGCCTCTCAGAAAAGCTTGGTCTACACCCGGTATGACTGTTTCCGGCTTCTGCATTCAGGTTGGTGGTTTTGAGTATGCCTTGCCTGGCTGCGAGCCTCGAGGCAAAGGACCACGCAATGAACTCTCTGGCTGTTAACGCCTCAAAGTCAATTCAACTATTAATCGTAATTATACGACCTTTCCTACTCGTCTTTAATTATCATTGCTTTGACTGAACCTTGCCGTGCTGCCGTGATCAACCGGGACATCGGATGTCAGGGTAGCGAGGCCCTTGAGGCCGAAGAACTTCTTATTTGATATCACATATAGTTCATTTACATATTGGCTGTAACTGGTGGAAACATGGCTATAATCACTTTAAGATTCCTGGTACCGATGATGGCCCGACTCATAGTCACATTGCCCGATGCCCCGGTCCTGTGGTCCGATGCAACCTCGGAGGCTTATATTCCGACATAGCCTGTCACCTTTGAAAACGAGGTCCTCGCAACGCGCCTCATGAGTTCCCGCTCTCGGAGATGAACTCCTCACCCATTGGTCGCATCCGGCAATGGTCACATGGAAGCCAACCCCGGCACATACCTGGTCCCAGCCAACCGGTCCGACGTGGCCATCTTTCCTCTTCAAGCCACAATGACACCTGCGGCTCCAGCCCTCCCGGACCTCGAACGGCAAGTCAACGAGGAACAACCCTTGGCCATTCAAATCTTTTTCGGACCCAGCAGCCGACAGAACAAACCGATCCCTTGTACGATCACATCACCAACACACTTTGCCAAGTCGGCGGGGAGCCGTGAAGTCACCTGTGACCCCACGGGCCTTTAAGACCACGATGATAGAATAGGAATGGCGCCACGGAATGGAGGGCTCCATGTCAATTGTTGCACTTCCGCCTTTGGATGTGCTCTTACAAGAGGGGCACTGCGACAAGGCTTGCGAATATATAAGAAAAGGCAGCCAAGGCTAGTTGCCGAGACCTTGTTTACGCCTCCTTATCCCTTACCCTCAATCAAAACCGCGAAGTCAAGCTAATATGAGGTACACAATTGCTCTTGGCGCGCTCGTCAGCGCAGCAGTCGCCCAAACAGCCGGACCTTGGGAGCAATGTGGCGGCCAGGGCTGGAATGGAGCAAAGACCTGCTCTGCCGGGTACACTTGCACCTTTTCGAACCAGTGGTATAGCCAATGCCTTCCCGGCTCTGGCCCGCCCCCGGCCGGAACTACACTGACGACAGTCACTTCCCGTACGTCCTCATCCACGAGCAAACCGACCTCAACTCCCGCTCCCGGCGGTGGCTGGAAGTGGTTCGGTGTCAACGAGGCCGGTGGCGAGTTCGGCGAGAAGACGCTTCCGGGTACCTGGGGCAAGGAGTTCATCTTCCCAGACCCTGCCACTATCACCGTGAGTTGCACCTGACTTGTAGAACAAAGCATCCATGAGATACTGATACCCGGGCAGACCCTCCGTGGCCAGGGTTACAACACCTTCCGTGTGCAGCTTAAGATGGAGCGCCTGACCCCTAACTCCCTGACTGCGGCCTTCAACACGGCCTACCTCCAGAACCTGACCCAGGTAGTTAACCACATCACCCAGAGCGGTGGCTGGGCTGTCCTGGACCCTCACAACTACGGCCGATTCTATGACAACATCATCACCGATACTGCTGGTTTCCAGACGTGGTGGAAAAACTTTGCAAACCAGTTCAAGGGCAACGACAAGGTCGTATTCGACACGAACAACGAGTACCACACCATGGACCAGACGCTGGTGCTCAACCTCAACCAAGCGGCCATCAACGGCATCCGCTCTACAGGAGCTACCCAGTACATCTTTGTCGAAGGAAACCAGTGGTCTGGTGCTTGGTCATGGACTAATGTGAACGACAACATGAAGGCCCTTACAGACCCCCAGAACAAGCTTGTATATGAGATGCATCAGTATCTTGACTCGGACAGCTCCGGAACCTCAGAGGCCTGTGTGTCGACGACCATTGGCGTCGAGAGAGTTCAAGCTGCGACCAACTGGCTTAGGCAGAATGGAAAGGTTGGCATCTTGGGAGAATTCGCCGGAGGTGCGAACCCTCAGTGCCAGACTGCAGTTAAGGGTCTGTTGGATTATCTCAAGGCAAACAGCGATGTTTGGACGGGTGAGTCTGGATCCCTTTTGGCAGCCTTTCATGTGATGCTAACGACTTTAGGTGCGCTGTGGTGGGCTGCTGGCCCTTGGTGGGGCACATACATGTACAACTTCGAGCCTCCCACTGGTACTGGATACCAGTACTACAACAGCCTGCTCAAGAACTACGTCGCCTAAGCATTAACGAGAAAGCGAGGTTTGGCTACCACTTTTGAGCTGGACATGCCGTAAGGAGAAGGCAAGATCGGAAAAAGAAAACGTTGACCAACTCCGTATATATAACATTCTATTGCTTCACTGTACATATTTCACCGTATATACACATCTTCCGCAGTGTTGGGTTGAAGAATCAACACTTTGAAAATACAGGCACTAAGCCATGCGTCACTTACATTCTCCAGTTGAAATACTGCTTTGAGGCTTTTTCCCATGATAAGTGGATTTTATTTTGAAAGACCGACTTACAACTACGATCATGGGTAATGCCAAAGTGACCGGATGGTAAATCCCACAATCCGGTCCGAAATATCGGAAGTGAGTGGGCCCGGCCTGGACCGGGTTGGATTCTTTGAGCTCCGTAACATCATGTAAAAGCGGGAACATGTGCAAAAAGCTGCTAGATCCGGATGTTGCCGTGCGGCCGCTATTCAAGGATTCTGCTTTCGTCGAGACTCCCCCAGGTAAAGCACCCTACCTGCGAACTAAGCATCTAAAGGAGATAAGAATATGCAGCTAATAGATCATGGTCTTAAGAGGCAGACTTCTTGAAGGCATGTAGAGTACCGTCTCTTTGGGGCCTTTTTCAGCTCAATTGTGAGTTTGACGCGTGGCGTCCCCCAATATCTAGGCACGCCCATCAATCACCCCTAGCCTTGGATAGCGCGCCACGCTGAAAGGAGATAGCACCAAACCTGCCAATAAAATAGCGTCTAACAATGAAAATGTGCCTGAAAATTGAGCGCTGAAGCTTCTTGCTGCTTCTGTTCTAATGGTTTTGCTCTAATGCTGGTCGCCACAAAAGCCACTTCGATGTTGATTTGGGCTGGGGCTAGAACACCAGGAATGATAGACAATGTGGCGAGGATTGAGTTTACCGCCCAATTCAGCTCTGGTAAGAAGTTTCTATAAAGAAGAGATGCCCCATGGACAGGTATTATAGCAGTGAGAGGTCTTCGATCGCGTCCGTTAGCAGTTGTTGAATCAGCATAAATACTAGGCGACAGCACACAATCATGGCTCCCGTATACGCTGACCACCCCTATGAGCTCATACAAACACCAAAATTCCAGGCAAGTCAAGATGAGAAAGGATCAGAGGTATGTCGTGCACAATGCGCCCCCTTAAAACTTTCCATCAACTAACCGTTTCAGCCTGACATGTTCTGCCGAGTCGCATCCGAGATGGCTGTCGTCCACAATATGGTGATCCGTGGGTTGAACTCAATCTACCTTCAAGCCCCGTACGTCTCTCATGCAGAGAGCAAATACTTTGTCAAGTACATGCTAGCATGGTACAGCCTCCTGCATGTCCATCATTCCGGAGAAGAAACAGACTTTTTCCCGGCAATTGAGGACATGAGTGGCGAAAAGGGGCTTATGGAGTGTAACGTATCACAACACAAGAAATTTCACGACGGCATAGAGAGCTTCAAGACTTACATTGATGCATGCGCTTCTGGAAAGGAGAAGTTTGATGGTGAGAAGGTGGTTACGTTGATTGCGGGATTTGGGGAGGTGTTGACCCAGCACTTACGGGATGAGATTACGACCCTCCTTGATCTTCGGAAGCATGGACTGGACAAAATGGGTGGCTTGGAGGAGAAGTTTGGAATAGAGGGGGAGAGAAACATGGTATGAGCCTCTATTACCTTTGTGGCTTTTACGACCTTTACTGACATTTATTTTTCCAGAAAGAACTTGGGCTTGTCGTTGGCCTTCCGTTCTGCTTCTCAAACCACGACCTCGGCTACGAAGACGGGCTTTGGTCGAGTTGGCCACCGGCTCCCAATATCGTAAAGCTACTCTGTCGCCATGTCATGTACCGGTTCAACAGCAAGCGTTGGAAATTTGCAGCTTGCGACCGCATGGGGAACTTACAGCCTCTATATGCTGTCCCGGAATAGAAAGCTTAGGGGTGAGGCAATGATGGTGTTATGAATGGTACATGTCAATGATGGTCTAGGTTTTCTTACGGTGTTGCTGTTGGATGCCTTCTATACACATCTGTTGGGACGACAATGGATGTATTTATAGCATGAAATGAAACGATATGATGATAATCTACGTGCGAAGATGATATTTTACAGAGTATACATCCAATCTTGAATGCCTTCGTTTCGACGATTTCCCGCCTTTGCAGCCTTGTTACAGCGCCAAAGATGAATATCCATGATTATGATCATGACAATGCTCATCATAGACATGGCGAAAGTAACCCAAATTCCGGTCTTGAGGCAGATTAGTTAGAAACGAAGGAAATTTAGGGTCTAGGTCATTACTAACAGTATAATGAGGACTCTCCTTCGCCATAAAGGCTGTGCTTGCGATGATACCGCCGACACCACCTCCGATTAGACAAGTTGCCGACGCAACCGCACGCTTCGAATGCGAGGTAATATTGTTGGCTTGGAACGTGAGAACCCCAGGAACACAGAATTGTAGAAACCCAATACCTGTTCAAGTCATCAGTGACGGCACTATTCTCAAGTTACCCAGGGTACTTACCAAGGAACGCTCCGAAATATCGAGCCCCGTTTGCTTTTCCGTAAACTGTGATTAACATCCCAACTGCTGTCAATGCTTGATGGACTGCAATGATTGGACCACGAACCTTGTATCGATCACCCAGCCACCCAGACACAAACGCCATAATAGCTGCCAGAACATACGGAGGTGCAGACAGCAGCTGTGCCTGGGTGCTGCTGAAGCCCATGCCATTGCGGAGAATAACTGGCAAGAAATACGAGTATGCATAGCCTGGCAGTGTTGAAGCCATCAAGTTGAATGCCCAAAAATATAGTCGCCAATCTTTAAGGTGATGCAAAATCTTGCTGACGTTGATCTTGTCCTCCTCGGCGTCACCGCGATCCTGGTTGATTCTTGCGATGACGAATTCCTGTTCGGCTGGCTTGAGAAACTTCCCAGCCTGTGTAGGAAAATCGATTATGATGAACCATCCAAGTGCACAGATCACTATTGTGATTGCTCCTTCGATAATAAAAATCCCTGCCCGTGATTTGGTTAGAATGTCATCGGGGAAAGTAGCAATTGAGAACTTACAGCTCCAGCCATTAAGACCGCCTTTTCCGCGAAGGAGAGTCAACACATAGGCAAAGATAGCAGAGAAACCGCTAGCGAGTACGGAAAGAATCCAGAAACCTGAAAGTCGTTTGCCGACCTCGAAACGAGTGTACCAACAGGTGATAAGATAGGTGCAACCTTTTGTATTCATGTTAGGGAAAACTCTTATGAAGGACTTAGCTCTACAGGATCAAAAGTAGAATGCTTACCTGGTAAAAAGCCCGCTTCTAGTATTCCAAGAAGTGCGCGACACAGAGCCATCGTACCCCAGCTTTTTGTGAATCCCATGCCAACGAGTACGGCTCCAAATCCCACTCCAAGGAAGGAAAGCCAGTTGGCGGGCCCGGCTTTTGGAAGGATGAGGTTCTAAATCTTGGGTTAGAATGGTGCAGGTACTGATTCAAACTCAAAATGACCGCTTACGCTAGGAATTTCAAAGAGTCTACGTCTTGTTAGTCACATGCCTAAACTTGGAAACCCGTAAGGTGAACCACTAACATATATGCGACGAAAAACACCATGACAATGACTGTGTATCGATTTTCAACCGTTAAGCCCAAGTCTTCTTGCATTCCCGCAACTAGGGCCAAGCCAAGATTTGTTCGGTCGATGAGTGAAATCGAGTACATGATTCCTAAAATCGGGAGAAGTCGAAGATCGATTCGTCGACTGCTGCATGTTAGCTTCTTGACCCTGTTACAGGCACCATGGTTTACCTACATGACTTTCTTTTGTTCGGCAGAGCTCAATCCGCAAATGGCTTCTCCATCTCGACCCTTACTATTCTCGATATGAGTATCGTGAGCTTTTTCATCAATGGCATGGTTGCCAGATTCCTCATCCACCCGTCGAGAATCGCTCGAGACCGCTCGATTATCCATGGTCACTCCTGACATAGTCTAACACGGTGGAAGGGCAAACCAGGAAGCGTAGTTGTCTAGGATTCTTCAGCTTCCATATTTGAAGAAGTGCGGATCCCCCTGTCCTCATATATACACCAGAGTAGCCGCTTACAAGATGCGCCAAGGCCATTATCTCCAACACAGATACCAATATGATCTGTTTCCAACCTCAACTGGCAGGGCTAGAACAAAAATGAAGGCTAACAATGCAGCTATTATCTCCAGTTCCCAGCCGATGTTGCTGCAGGAGAAGATCCTATGCGGGGTAATCCGGGGTAGTGTGGGGGAAGCGAGCGTATTGTTTACGAGTCTCCCCTCTCCTCTCATTCCCGAACCCACCCCTCCCTATCTACCTGAGCCGGGCCTCGAAAGTCGGCAATTGGTTGGATTGCACTTCATGAAAGTGGAGACTGGACCGCGCCACTGAGTCAGGGCGCTAGAGTCAGTTATTGATTCTGGCGCGATGTGTCAGTAGCCCGAACCCCAAACCCTCCTCGGACCGTAAAGCGACCTTCCAAAGGCACTATCAATGATTCACGCCCTGGATTCCAACACACGCTAGACACTTGCGAACTTTTAGTCCGGGAAAAGAATACCGATGAGCTGGTTGTCCAATCATGAAGAACTTGTCTTGGAAGTCCAGCCCCTGGAGTTGTGCGATGAAGTTGTTGATGTGGGAAGCAGTGACAGGAGCACACCTATCTGAGCATATTCATTACCCTCTGAACTGTGAGAGATCAACACTTGGCCCAGTCATTGATGGCCAGTTTGGTGATGCTGGCATACATGGTAAGTTCCCCGCAGCCCATGCTACTACAACCCACATTCTCTTCGGCAGTGCTTTGCTCTTATGATATGGATCAATATCGTGTATATAAGAAGGCATGCCAAAATTGGTAAAATCCTGATCCTTTTCAAGCTGGAAAGACAATGTTGCTCATCTCAATTATTTAAATTGTCAAGATGTTTCTGGCTCTCTTCCTGACCCTTTTAGGCCAAACGGTACTTGGGGTTCCAACATGCAAACCCCCTATCAAACCTCAAGTAGCCTGTAAAGATCTTTCATTACCAAAGTTCGATGGTTTTGAAACGAAGTCGGCTCAGGGTATTGAAGTACGCAACTATACCTCGCCATTCAACCCCTCAGGCTTCAACTTTTGCAACTTTACCCTTGTTCTTGGCCACCACGATGCGGATGATGTTGTCTTCGTGAGCATTTGGCTCCCACTCGACAACTGGAACGCCCGCTTCCTGGCCACTGGCGGTGGAGGCCTCGCTGCAGGCACTTTCGCCTCCGCAATGACGGACCCAGTGTCCAAGGGGTACGCTGCCGGTTCGACGGATGCAGGCCTTACACTGAATAACACAATCGACCCCAACTCCGGCAAATGGGCCTTGAACCAAGATGGAAGCATCAATACCGCTTTAATCGAGAACTTCTCAACTCGATCTATTCATGAAATGGCCATCATCGGCAAGGCAGCTGTGAAGCAATTTTACGGGACGGATCCACGTCATTCGTATTACAGTGGCTGTTCTCAAGGCGGTAGGCAAGGGTATTTTGCCGCGCAGTACAACCCAGATGACTTTGACGGCATCCTTGCCAATGCCCCGGCTATCAACACGCCTCAAGTATCTCCTGGGGACTTTTGGCCTTCGGTTGTTATGGGAAATATTGTAGCGCCACCCCAGTGCATTTTCCGGACATACCAGCAAGCCATCATCGCCGAGTGTGATCCTCTCGATGGCGCGGTCGATGGTCTCATCTCCGCCCCAGAGAAGTGCAACTTCGACACAACAAAGCTCATCGGCGAGGAAGTTGACTGTAGTGATACAGACGGAGTTGTATCCATCACTGAAAAATACGCCGAGGTCGTAGCAAAGACCGTCGAAGGTGCTAAAACCACATCAGGCGATTTCTTGTGGTATGGTAACCCTCCTGGAGCACCATTCGACGGACTTGCCAATACTTGGACAAGAGATGGCATCACTGTAGCTGTACCTTTCGCCCCTGCGGAAGCTTGGATGCGTTACTTTGTTGCTCAAGACCCCGATCTCGATACGGCGTCGCTTACTTTTTCCGAGTTTGAAGAAATCTTTAAACAGTCCGTAAACAAGTATAATGATTCTTTCGGTACAGACAGTCCCGACCTCACGGGTTTCAAGAACGCCGGCGGTAAGTTGTTGACGTGGCATGGCATGGCTGATCCCCTGATTACCCATCCGGGCACAACTCTGTATTGGGAGAGGTTGCAGCAGAAAATGGGAGGTCCAGAGGTAGTAGATGAGTTCTACCGAGTGTTTCTTGCTCCTGGTGCGGGCCACTGCAGTGGAGGGTACGGGCCAGTACCGGTCGAACCGCTGTCTGTCCTTGTGGATTGGGTCGAAAAGGGGAAGGTTCCGGACACCCTTTTTGCTGCCACAGCTCAAGGTGGTGTGAACATGACTCGGAATCTGTGCTCTTATCCTCAAAAGTTACTATACAACGGAGACGGGGATCTTAACCATGCTGCAAGTTTCACCTGCGTAGATTAGTTTGCAGAATGGCAAAAGGCGAACAGCGCAACAAGTAAAACATGAAGCTCACTACGTCAGAGAACGACTTCGTTCATAAAAAATTATATTTGAAGCTAATCATAAATCGACACATGTGTTCAAAGTGCACTCAATGTTGTGTATCGGATGCATTGGATCTTGGGAAGTCGCCGAATGACCAGTCGTGGAATGTCGACGTGGCCGTCATGCCCACCCCAGAACTCCTCCTCCTGCTCCGTGGTGCATTGTCGGTCGCTGTGTCTTCAACTCTTCGACGCTTCCGTGTCGTATCAAGTGTATTCTCTTTCCACCCTAAAGGTTTTGGAATTTCTTGGTATACCGGGATATCCGAGTACATTTCCGGAAAGTGGTTGAAGAAGTCTGTCGACATGGTCCAGGAATTGATATTTTGAATTCTCTGCTCGAACTCTGGAGACATGCAGTATCGACCAGTCTCTACATTCCGCCTGTAGCAGTCGCGGAACTCAAATGGCCACATTATTCGGAAGCTGTCGGCGAACACTTTCCAGAACAAGTTTGAACAGTATTGGTGTTGAGAGAAAACGAAGCGCTCGCGGACGCCTGGCCTATCGAAAGCCGAAGACAGACAAAGGTCAATTTGTGTCAAGATGTGTGATACATGCCCCAGACTGTGTTACTCACCAAACAAAGAAGTCTATTGCGGAAGAGTGAGGCAATGACTGTGATGGCCTAATGGCAGTTGTTAGAATGTGGTTCGAAGATCGAAATCATGACAAATTCAGTGGAATACCTGCTAAGATACCAAGCGGGCAGCTTGGCGCATTGCTCTACGGTGGCTTCGGCTTGATACCGGAGGAGGCGGTGCATCAGTCTCAGGATTGCCAGCCTCTCGGTATTCGGGCAGTTGCGGAACTGAAGACTGTCGGTCCGTCGCAGCTTTTTCCATAGAGGCGGTAGCTTTTCTGACCGCTCAACAGCATCCCAGCCTTCCAATATGACGCGTATCGGGATGTGTTCGTTCATTTCATCCTCCAAGGCGAGTACGTTCGTAGACAACATCTCTCGAGCACCAAGAGCTTCGTTCGCATATCTCCATATGCTTGTAGTCGAGGGCACACCGGGAGTTCCAGGATCATGTCTTGAGGCCAAACACTCACAGGCCGAATCTGGCTCGGGCACAATGACGCCGTCGCCCGGGCCAAGATGACGAGCTGAGGGTGGAGAAGCGGACTTGGGAAAAGATTCCAGATTGGGGTTCCCCGGCAGCGTTAAGGAAGACGGACCCTGGACGACTCTAGAGAATTCTGTTGCGGTTCCAAAGTCAAGAACGGCTGTATCAGGCACCGGGAGCCCCCAGGTCACTGTACATGCGTCAGGGGTGAAGTCGTCCAGGACAACATCGTCCATCACATTCATCGCGAGTATGTCGGCTGCTGCATGGTCGTCCGGCCAATCTTGAGGGTCAGAAGCCACATTCAGCGGTTGGGATGCCTGGTCGCTGCGTGTGGAACTCTCAACCTTTTTGCCTTCACGGTGGACTTGGATGGATGTCTCGATCGAGGATAGTACCTTTTCTAAGTTATCTCTCTGTCTAGTCATGTCGGCTAGTTGATTCATCAAGTTGGCGATTCTGCTGTTGGATTCCTGTTCGCTCATGGCTTGAATCGTGGCCTCCAGGTATGCAATGCGGTTGCGGTTCCTCTCACGCGCGGCACGCTGGGCGCGTCGATCAAGCTCTCGCTTTTTTGCGCGCCGAGTAGCTGCATCATCAGTCGCGGATATGGTCGCTTCCGGGCTGCCGTGTTGTGTGGCCATCGTTTTCATTACGGCAGGAGAGAGTCTTCGATGCAGACTCCAAGCATATTGAACTGAAGTTGTAATGAGATGAAGATGGTTGGATGATGCAGCCTCAGACTTGGAAGCCTCCTAATTGCGGGGAATCGGGGTGAACGGGGCCATGTGGGATCCGGGGGGCAGGAAAAATGCGGGGGAAACCCTGGCAGAGCTTAGAGTTAGTAATCGTGCCAGGGGGTTTGTGGGATGTTAGTCCAAAATGAGAGCTTCATTTCAAACTAGGCTTAGTGCTATGAAGATGGTGATCATTAATCATCACTCTATGCTACTTGATGGTGAGTGACTCCAAAATTTAGTATGAATTTTGGTAAGGGATCGAAGGAAGATCTATCTATTTACATGATGATAAAGGGGTTTCAGAGCTTCTCACGAAGGACTCACTAGCGGGACAACAGTCATTCAAAATTTGAAGGACAGTGTACCATTTTCTCAAAGACAGTATTAGTAATTACACTCGGATTACGCCAGATGATGCTAGGTATGCAAGCACACGTCCTGTGTCCTCTTCTACACAAAGGGAAAGTTATTGCCTCATGAGTGGTGGGCTCTTGACAGGGTTCAGGGTCCGAAGGTTATCTGCGCGTAAGTCGACTTCAGACGTTCGGATGTCTGTAAGTCTGTCAATGTCACCTCGAGAGTGAAACACCAACTAGTATCTCATGTTCGCCCGCAGTTATTTTAAGCCTCCACCTCGCAAGTGATCATGTAGGGCAGAAATTTATGCACTCACCCTATCCCTCGCAAATGACATCAAGACAACAGAGCTTGCAATCTTTGCGAAGGAAGAAGAACGGCTGTCCGGATACTGGCATTTTGCTAGCCGTTTCTACAATCGACGTGAACTTGCAGCAATGTCCCAATGCATATAGGGGAAACGACACACACCAGCCACGGGAGCGGAGCCAACAAGCGGAGTGTCGGGGTTTCGCACCAAGTTTCAGCAATCCCGGTATCACAGGCCCAGATTGATGTCAGAAGCTTCCAGACAAGGGCGTTAAAACTTGTTCTCGCCTACCGCGACATGCATGTGTTGCTTCCAGACCTGAGAACAACTCGAACCCTAAAGCCGCACAGCCTATCTCTTCGTGGGAACAGCAGTCGGCGGTTTTCCCTTCCGATCTTACGGTGACATGTCTTTTTTATAAGTAATGTACCGATATCAAAGCTGATGACCAAATCAATAGTCTCTGGGTGCAATAGGAGATGTGGAAGCATATGTGTCAATGAATGAAGAACCTGCTAATAGGGCTATTCCTCCAACGTTTGATCATCGCCTGATCTTGATCACTACGTAGTAGATGTTGTAAAATATATGTGCGAATCATATGCTGAGTGATATATCATTTGTCACAACCATGTCCCCACAGTATTGACAACCAATGCTGATGAAGGTGGAATGTTGGTTTTAGTTCCAGATGTTGAGCTCATCACCCCATTCCGTCTAGATAGCCAATCCAGGCCAAAATTGGTGTTACCCTTAGCACTTCAGTGGTCGAGCTGAACATTCTGATTGTAGCTTATGAAAAGCTGGTAAGACCACAAATGGTATCCCATAACAGATATTCGGTGTTTATCCCTAACATCTGTCTGATCTAGATGAACAGAAAGAATTTTTCATTCAACTTGATTTCGAAAATCTCATTTGCATGAGCTCATGTATCTCCGGGGAGGCAGTGCATGCCGTCGGGCAATTTAATCTTGGCGACTCATCCCTAAGTTTGATCGGACGGTGTGAAAAACGGCTGGGCATAATGGCATCGAATTCGATGTTCAGGACTTGCAGTGGGACCTTGGCAAAGGGAACTTTTGAAAAATCCACACTCTCAAAAGGAGTAATGTGAGGATTATGCAGAACATCTAACACGCCTCCAGTGGCTATGGCGATCTTCGACAGTGTTCGTATGAGAAGCAACCAGGTTTGGATTAAGCATTAGAACCAGTCAGGGGTAGGGTCAATCTTCCTGCCCATCACAAACAAACCTCGCAGATCCACCGCTCGGTCCAAGTGTCAACAACCGCTGCAAGGGTTTGTTATGGCAGTCACTTCTCCGCGTGTCGTGAACCATTATCTTCCATAAAGGTTTTAGTGAGGCAAACTAAGTGTTTCGGAGTGAGTTCCTATTAAATTCATTTGGAAGATTTGATGCGGCATTTTTCTGTCATGTCCTTGAGTGTACAACAGCTTGTAGCATGCTTCGGTGGAACATGTTCATGGAAGTCCAGTCCACTAGCTTCACCTGCGAAGGTTTAGGTTAAATGGGTGGCCATTTTCTTGGACAGTGCAAGATGCATTCTATTAGTACAAACTCTCATCTTCGTATTCTTCAGGCAAAGGAAAGGTGGTCGTAGGACTGGTAGACTGATCTTTCAGATGATCACGACCGATGAGTCGAGCAAAATTTCCCCACGAACCTGACTCTAGAGCGTTCGGCTTCTCAAAGTTCCTGTTCCAGGCATAAAGCCCTGACGAATGTGAGGGTTAGCGGCAGAAGCTGCATAGATATGAGCCTAACGTGCTGCTAGCAGTTTACCACACAGATCTGTTAACACAGTAATTCCATCGACGAACATGAGATGAAACGCATCCATCGACTTCTAAAATACTCGTCTGATGACATCTGACTTTCCTCCCAGGTTCATTGCTGCGCAGTGTCACCCCCTCTTGGCACACATCTGCGACTTGGTGTGACAGCACGCTCAGCCACTCGTGGAGACCACAATCTGCCCCAGAGTGAGGGTATTCCAGGAAGGCCTGCCTACACGTCTGAAACGGTTCCAACCAGTGGGTTTTTCCTCATTCTGATAACCCAGCCGCGCTGCCATTACTACAGTACAGAACCATCTCAAGCCTCCTCCACTACATGATCTTTAAGCCATCAACTCTCTCACTCCCATGATTCAATCCTCAAGAATTGACCTCGGCATGGTGCATCCCTGTTTTTTGAGAACTCGAAGCCCCACAAACGGATACTCCCCTTGGCCCCCAACCAACCCTGCATCCTTTTTTTCCCCCTCTCTGGTGGATATAACGAACACGAAAACCCCCTGCACACTTTGTTTGAGGATGGCACGTTCTGCTGCACTGCTGCAGTCTCCTCATGGACAAGAGCCGAGCGCGTCCCCGTGGATTGCCACAACATCGACTTGAATAAGCTTCTCTGCTAGCCATAGTCTTAATGATCGAGTGGGTCCTTTAGAATGAGGCTGTTTTGTATCTGCCTCTGAGCACCGGCCATCCACACTTGAGTCCGGATCATCTCGACTCTGTGTTCTAAAATTGGACCCGCAGGCTTGTTGAAGTTTGTCGCAGTGCCGTTTCTCTCGCCCGTTCTCAAGGCGATGGTTCCATGAACGTTACCGTTCAGCAGCCGAGCCACCTTCGTCCTGGCTAACATCCCTCCCCTTGGTAACATTTTCCACCTGGGAGCTCAGGCCTCACACCCAGTTTTACGACGTGTGCGTGATTTCGCCCCCTGGTGGGATCGATGACACCCGAGGATCGTTCATGTTCCTTTCTCAAACGGGTCCCTGCGTGCGATCAATCAAAGCTTGTCCAGGTTTGCCATTCACCTCAGCACCAGCTTGATCAAACGGCTACACCGGTGGGGCGCCATACAGTCACACACCTCGGACGGCGAAGGTATATCTAGGCCGAGTACTTTCGTCTCTTCGCCCAGCTAGGAATCTCGGTCTTCACCCTTGAGCTTGTCTAGTTCATTTCATGCTTCGTTCCGTTCTTTTATTTATGTAGTCTTCAGTGTAGACTTTTTTTTCTTTCTTTATTTTTTTCCTCTTCTACCTTCTGCAGGCTTGATGCTTCAGAATTTCGTTTCTTTTACACAGTTTTAGTTTCTTCCAACTACATTATCGTTTCTTCCTATGGCTCCCACACTTTCGTGGCGGCGTGCCGCCTTGGCGGCATTGCTGTTCAATGCGGCAGTGACTGCTCGTTACACCGCTCGAGATGCTGAAGCCTCAAAAGATACAAAGCGGGCTTTGGATACCGGCTCAGCAGAGACACCCCATATCGAAGTTAGAAACATGGTTCAGAACTTGGATGTTGATAGCGTTTTGTCTGCTTTGAGTAGCAGTAGTAAAGCCCAAGGTTGGTTTTGATTCTCAAGCTCTTTCGATAAAACGATAAACTTACACCGTTGACTAGATGCGTCTGTTCTGGCCGCGGCTCCTCTCGCTGCCGAGGGCGCTGCAGCTTCAGCTCCGCCCAAGGAAGCAACTCCTCCGCCTCCAGCTAACGGGGAGGCACCTCCTCCTCCTCCCCCAGCTGCTAGCGGAGCAGCTCCTCCTCCGCCCCCTCCAGCCAACGGAGCGCCTCCGCCGCCGCCTGAAAATGGTGCGCCTCCTCCTCCGCCGGATCCGAACGCTGCTCCGCCTCCACCGCCCCCGGATGCCCCCCCTCCTCCTGACCCGAATGCTGCACCACCACCACCTCCTCCAGAGGGCGCAGCCCCTCCGCCTCCTGACCCGAATGCCGCACCACCGCCACCTCCTCCGGAGGGCGGACCGCCACCCCCACCCCCAGCAGATGGACCTCCCCCTCCTCCACCTGATGGTGGACCTCCGCCGCCGCCCCCTGAAGAAGCAGCAGCAGCGCCAAATGTTGCAGCTCCTCAGCCACTAGGAGCCCCAGCCGTTGGCGTTCCACCTGCACCTCCAGGTGCCGCTGCTAATGGAACAGCTCCTGATGGAAAGGGAAAGAAGGGAAAGGGAAAGGATGACGCCGGCAAGAAAGCGAGAGATGACGCCAAGAAGAAGGCTGATGATGCTAAGAAGAAGGCCGAGGGCTTGGCTGGTGGTGCCGCCGCCCCTGGTGCAGCAGCTGCCAATGGCACAGCTCCCGCCGGCCCAGATGGGAAAGGCAAAAAGGGAAAAAAGGGTAAAGATGCTAAGGGCAAGGGTGTTGGCCCCGGAGCTGCTGCCGGCAACGGCACCGAAGCTGTCGGACCCGACGGAAAGGCGAAGGGCAAAGGAAAGGATGACGCCGGCAAGAAAGCAAGGGATGATGCAAAGAAAAAGGCTGACGATGCTAAGAAGAAGGCCGAGGGCTTGGCTGGTGGTGCCGCCGCCCCCGGTGCCGCAGCTGGTAACGGTACTGCTCCGGCCCCTCCAGCAAAGGGAAAAGGCAAAGACGATGACCCCGAAGCCAAGAAGGCTAAAGAGGCTGCCGGGACAGGGGCGTCAGCTGCAGGAAAAGAAGCCGGCAAGGAAAGCAACCTCCGCCGGCGGGCTCGCTTTGTCAAATGGCGGAAACTCATGGCAGACGAGGAGTGAGATGGTCACTGCATGGATACACTTTTAACACTTTTCTTTTACTTCCGGCGAACCTACTGAGAACAAAGAGAACTGTCTGGGACAGGAATACTTTAGGGGTCAGCAAACTTGCGGATTCAACGGGAATTACTACGGTTCGGACAATTTAAAAGTAGAAAACCACATTTTAATAAAAAAGAATAAAAAACGAAAAAGAAATGGCGCCTTTTTTTTTTTTTTTTTTTTTTTTTTTTTTTTTTTTTTGGATACAAGTGGTGTTCTCCCGTCTAACAAGGTTGAGGGAAAAAACCAGTCTCTCGGTAAGTCTGTGTACCCTCCGTGACGTCCAGGTTGACACATGATGCAACGTCTGATTTGATGGAGAACTGTTTTAGGCTTTCCATCCGATGATGGATGCTTGAAACTCTACTATCTTTAGAACACCCCGTTAGCGCGATGCCAGCACCAAGCTCTTTCCATGGATGCTGTATGCTTGTTCACATGATTCAACTATGACCGAATTGGGTGATGGTTCAAACAGTTACCATACACACTGGGCAAAGAAATGAATGCCTTCTGGTGCTGTCATCCACATGCACCACCACCACCACCACCACCCACACAACCTGTGGACTCCTTAACCCATACCGTACACACCACCACAGGATTCATTCTAACTCAAAACAATTATTCAAGTCGTGTGATTCGCTTTGCATTAAAGGACGCTTCGCTATCGAAATCAACTCCTAGCACAACTATCTGTATAGTTATTATAGACAGCCAAGTTATGGACTTTGTTTCGCCGCAACACTAGACACTACTGTGATGTGATGGAAGCTGCCATATAAGAATAATTGCACAAAATGCATTAAATTTCATGCATGAATCAAATTAGTACAGTGCATCAAGGGTAGTGACACAACGCCTCATGCGTAAGGGATGTGAAGACAAGTCTGGTATCTAGCTACCCTCTACCCCCTCATAAGACTTGCGTTCGGCGAATCTGGTTTCGATGCCTTGCAAAACAGGTTACTTCCCATGGCTTAAACTTTCTGCAGTCTAAACATTACAACTGTTGCCGCTAGGTTTATTGCCCTTCCAGCCAGGTTACCCTCGGCAAGAAGTGGAAAACAAAGTGTAAAGGGAAGTAAGTAATTGAGCGTTACTGCAGAATTACCAATCCACTTACCCGTCTGGTATCCATTCAAGAGCTGTCAGACCGCCTTATAAACATAAGTAGAGGTGAGTTATTTTTGTCTCTCCGCGACCGTCAAAGCCACGGGCCGGTAAACTCCCTCTTCCGAGACAAGGCCCCTCAAAGTTCTTGTTTTCGGGGTTTAGATTGGGCTTAAATCGATAACAGGAACTCTTTTTGTGCACTGGAGGTAGTGTCTTGGAAAGACTGCTTCATGCTCGCAGGAGCGGCCTGGCTTCCGTATTCGGCTGCAGTGGGGGACACCAACTTGTTTCAATTCATACCAGGATGATCTTTCATTTCCGAGCCTGGAGGTCGATGACCGCTGCTGGCAACCCCCAGTAAAATGCCTTAACACCTGTACTTTTACCACTGGGTATCTTAACGTAGCCTCGTTGTGCAGAACACAATGGTGTTGTGAAGGTTCAGGCCCCGCCTATGGTTGCAGTGGCACCCGCACACCAGCTTCCAGCACGTATACAGAGATGCTACCCAATTAAGCTAAACGCAAAAGGATACCGAACAAGTCGTTCATTTGTTATTTGGTTGCACTTAAGTAGGGATAATGCGTAGGCACAGCTTGAGCCATATCAACCGTGGCATAGCCCGTAACAGGTGTCCCGGTATCGCGACCTGGAAGCATCTGGATCATTGCCTTAGAAATGAGGTTCCTTGAGGCCCAGCAAAGAATAGAAGCATTTGTATTCTAAAACACCAACAATCCAGCGATCGCTTAAAACTGAAGAATGTGAAGAAAGATCCGCCGATGATCAATATTTTGAGAGACCAAGCAAGAACAAGACCACCACCATCATTATTTCAAGCCCGTACCAAACATTTTCTTCTGTACCGCTTAGTCCCACTAGTCTTTCGATGACAAACACAAGTGGCTATTTTATGCCGAGCGTGCGAAACGTGAAAACTTTAGCTTTGAATAGGGGACCCATGGCTGGAAACCGTCGAGGAAATGTCGACTAGAGCATGGATTTCGTGGCCGTAAAGTAGCACGTAGAGACCGAGGTACCAGTGTGCCCAGCCTCATGACAGAATTTCCATCCCCAGGCTATTGCTTCTTTTGTAGTGCATCGTGTGGGATCAAGCGCTGGTGCACTGAAGCATCACAATTAGGATAATTGGTGAAAAATCCCGGCTAGTAATCCACTACCCGCATTGCTCAGATGACGCAGGAGTGGATGTAAATCGGCTTCTGGGTCATCAGTCAAACCTGACCCCACACTACGGAAGCCAACCCGACATACCGGGCCGCCGATCGGCTGACCGGGAGCGGCCCCGTATTGTAAGCCGGTATTTGAAGGAGCCCCACTTCGTGGGCCGGACTTTAGCCGGTACTTGCCTGGAACAGCTGCCTCATTCGCCTCCCCAAGCATTCTAATGTTTGATTTACAAGGGGCAGTTGTTACCATGGAAGCACACCACGCGTGGCCAAGGCTAACAGTGGGACTGCCACTGCGCTAGCATCTACTAGTAGAGGGGATGTTGTAATTCAGGAGGCGGAACCCGACGTTTAACCGATCCAGTCTAGATTAGCAGCGGCGACAAATTCATAAACAAAGCTCTTAAGAACCTGTTTGATTTCTTCAAGCTATTAGTGAAAATTACATGCTCAATGGCCACGATAACGCAACAAGAACAGGTTCTGACCGAGTCTTATGAGCTCGGCGGCTCTTCAAAGCAAACTCCCATTTTGGAGGATGCGTCAAGGGAGGAGACCCTCGAGAAGGAGAAGCTTGACACCGCAACACTGTTCAAGCTTGTTGCCGCCGGTTTCGCGTTTTTTGTCTCTGGAATAAACGATGGCAGCGTCGGTCCACTTCTGCCGTACATGCTTCGTGACTATGACATCAGCACTGCCGTCGTATCTATCATGTTTGTTCCATCCTCCTCTTCAACAACGAGCGTGCCCAAGGGTCATCTGACATGACAATTCCCAGATATGGTGCAAATTTCTTCGGTTGGTTTCTTGCTGCACTCACAAACACCCATCTTCGCGAGCTTTTCGACCTAGGTGGCCTCCTCGCCTTTGGCGCCGTCTTCCAACTTCTCGCGCACGCTCTTCGTGTCTGGAAACCGCCTTTTCCGTTCTTCGCCGTAACATTTGGGCTCGTTTGTCTCGGCCAAGCGTATCAAGATGCTGGGTGCAATGCTTATGTCGCCAGTGTCAAAGCGGCCCACCGCTGGCTTGCATTAATCCATGCCCTTTACATGGCTGGATGTCTTGTCGCCCCCTTCGTCGCCACACCAATCGCCTCAGCCGGAGAAACATCACGGTGGTACCTTTTTTACAGCTTTCCTGTAGGTATCTGCGCGTTCAACTTGGCGTTGACCTGCTATGCTTTTCGAGACACAATCAGGTTTGGACGGAGGCACAAACCTTCAACCGACCAGTCGGGAGCGCCATCGAGCACAAATGTCGAAGAGAAGCAAAGCCCGTCACAGCTCATCAAGAAGGCATTGTCTACAAAATCTCTGTGGGCCATAAGCCTCTTCTTCTTCTTTTTCCTCGGGGCCTCCATCACGGCTAGTGGTTGGATAGTGGAATATCTTGTAGATATTCGCAAGGGGAACGTTAGCCAGATGGGATACGTCCCTGCTGGGTTCAATGGTGGTGCCATGGTAGGACGCCTTGTCCTAGCTGAACCAACTTATCGCCTTGGAGAGCGACGTATGGTACTGCTCTACGTTGTTCTGTGCATTGCGTTTCAACTTGTTTTCTGGCTGTAAGCACACAAGAAACCGATCTGCGAGAGTCTCAACTAACCCCTCCTATCAGTGTGCCCAACATAATTGCTGCATCTGTCGCCATTTGCTTTTTTGGTTTTTTCTCTGGACCTTTCTTTGCGACTGTGAGTGTTGACCTTATTACATCCCTGTTAAATTCTGTACCGAATATTGACGATAAGCCAGGGCATTTCTGTTGGCTCGAGGCTCTTCCCTCCAGAGGTTCAGTCGACAGCTCTTTCTTTCGTGTTCGTCTTTGGACAAGTGGGTGGCTCGCTGTTTCCCGTTATTACTGGCGTCATTGCATCTCGCATTGGGGTCAGCGTGCTACAGCCTGTTCTTGTAGCCCTCCTTGCTGGAACAGGCATCAGCTGGCTACTGGTACCCAAACCAAAGGAATCTAGCAATAATGCTCTTCACCAGGAATAGGAGATTACGATGTTATCACGCATGATTGACAACCTGGAAGTACAAGTCGATCACTTTTAATGTATCAGATGCGGGACTTGCCAGCCGGCCACTCAAGTAGTAGTAATCGTTTGCCGTGACAATCTTAGACGATTGTGCGGTTGCTATAAGCCCATAATCTCGACCACAAGTGAAAGCCGGTGTCACTTTTCATTTGAATGTATGCTGGCAAGTTTGTTAGATTTGTTGGTCGCAAAAGGCTAGAGTAACGGAAGCACCTGACATGATGAAGACTCTAGGAAATGTGAAAAAGCAAGGGACACCGATAAAGTCACTTTCAAGCAATATAGGATCCAGGCAAAACTCTGATTACAGACCAAGCGTAGAATTAACCTCCTTCTTGTAACAATACGAGTTTTAAAAGTAAAGATTTGATCAGAATTCTAGATGCTGGAGAGCTCATTTGACACCACTAACTGAACATAAGGAAGTGGCATCACCTCTTATGCAGCAGGTCATGAATGAACAATTTAAAAGATTACAACCCTTGGTGAGATATGTGTGTGTGCCTCAAATGACGGCTCGAGGCGATAAACCCTCAGATGATATGGTAGCATCTATCAACGTTGCAAGCCTATTGACTTATTTGGTCGCGCTCCAACTTGCACTCCAACTTTTCTTTTTCTTACCACCAGACCACAGTCCAACTCGGCCGGTTGGCTCACTTATCAAAGAAGTCATTCGGATCCCGGCAGTGGCTTAAATCCTTAAGTTTTGCACTAACACCCACAAATACCCGGACATTGTTGACCATGTGAACCTACTAAGTGAAAAAAAAACAAGCTAGGTTAGGCTTATAATGAGTTTTGAGTATGCCGTTTGAACGAATTTACTTGAGATTCACCAGACGGGGTGACGGAAGCGGCTGCCTAGACCATCACGTCTGCCGACAGGGACAGGCCGAGAAGGGAAAAGGGGGGGAGGCGTATGGCTGAGGAAGGATCTCCTAAACTCGCAAGACCAACCTATCATACATATCTGTGATAACGGCAAGCCTGCTATCCAGAAGATAAGAGGCAGATGCCAAAGTTCTTATAAGCAAGCTTTCTTAGATCCCTCGGAATAAGTGGCTCTCAGAGATGCGCGGAAGCGGCCACGTGGACGTGGACGCGCTTAGCTTAATTCTATTCTAAACGCCTCACGCCCTTCGTTGTTCTATGCATTGTGGAAATTTCTTTAAGTTCATTCATATCCCCAATCAACAAGGGTCCCTGTACAAGCCACTGGGGAGGCAGAACCCAAAGGAACTTCCTTCTACTGCAAATAGTAAGTTGGATTCTAGAACTAGAGCTGCAGGTAAGGTTGGTGTTCGCTGACGCTCGGAATGAGCGGTTTCGCTCTCGCGACAGATAAATGAAAGTCCCAAACAGGTTGGCGCACATGCGAAACCGCGCGCCTAGAATCTAGCTTTAGGCGACACCGATGGACATTTCTACTAGTGTAGAGCATAACAGCGCACTAGGTTTTTTTGGCAACCCTACTTTCTTCTTTTCTTTCTTTTGAGCAATTTCTGATTCCACAACAATTGCAAAGCCAATAACAACACGGCTTCAGAACTCCAGTAAAACTTTCAACGGAAAACCAACGAACCGAGGATTATATTTGAAAAGATTCCGAGACTACCGCCGCTGTCAATGCAACTCATTATAAGAACAGGGCTAACTTGACTAATCAAAATTACGCATGTTCTTGTATTACTGAAGGCAGTGCTGCTCGAGACTCGAGTCACGGAAGTTTGTGACCTAGTGAAAATGTGCGAGGCAAAATTTCCGGTAGATGACTGTAACTAGTGGATCGAGGATTTCTTCATGAAATAAGCTTTCCTAGGTAGTCTCGAGTCATAGACGTTAATAAGATGGCAAAAACGGCACCAGTGCCAATCAATGACTAGAGTTCCGAGGATGTTCAATATTTTAATTGATTACCTATACGACAATTATTCTCTCTCTAGGGTTGCCACAACAGTGCTGTGCAATAGACACCGATTAAAAGAGTATAAGTATGATGAAGCCCCTTCATGGGAAGGATTCACATCTCGTCTCAACCACATCTCAATACAACAGTCATCATCTCTCATTCTCAACCTTTAGACATCCATCACCCGTTACTTTGTTTCCAGGTTATTCAGCAAATCTAAACCACCAACCATGCATTTCCCAAGCATTCTCGCTATCCTCGCCACCCTCAGCCTTGGGTAAGTTTTAACAGGCTGTCTGAGAACAACCTATCTAACTAAGCGTTGTAGTGTCGACGCTGCGTACCATTGCAGATGTAGAATTACAAGCAAAACAAGCGAATGCTGCACGAGTTTGAATTACAACAATGTTAAACTTGGTGATGGCCAGCAATATGTAAGTTTCCCTTTGGACCCACGTACGCAGCTACTGATTGAAGCGAACAGTGCTATGTCAACAACCTGGCTGGGCCGCTTCCAAAGGACTTCTCAATGAAAACTTGCTGTGGAGGCGACCAGGCGTTTGAAAAGTGCATCTAGAGTACCACCTTGTCGGATAGTTTCAGAAGCGGATGGCTAAGCGTATGGAGGTCTGCTCTGCCCTTACGGAACTCAACAACTAACAAGCAAAGAGTTTGTTTTGAGCCCTGGGCCTGCGAACAATTGACGGGTTGACTGCGACAATTTCCAATTACATCATAACCATTCTCTTGAGTACATCTTTAGGCTTTGCGAATTGGAGTGCGTCCAGTAGAAACTGGGTCTTGTATGAAACTCGTTATAGATCTAAGCAAACGTAACGAAATCAATACTCTCGTGCTTCATAAATTGTCTGATCAGACATTTTTTGGTGTAAGCCACAGTGAACGTTTCGAAACCTAGAACTGGCCTTTTGCACACCTTTACGACCTGCGATCACCTTGAGGCACCTGGATGACAGGTAATCAGGACAATGCATTCACCATACTCGTAGGAATCATTAGCCAAAGGTACCTCGCAAGAACCCTAAACGGAACGGCGACACATCTGTGGCTGTTGGCTGACGACTTTGGAGCACGGGGTTGGTTGATCGAAGGTTGGGAAGATTGAAAGAGAGAGGAGGCCAAATATTGCAAACAAGGGAGACGTAGAGATTAGCAACGGGTACTGGGGAGGAACACACACAACAAGGTGCTGGAGGAGAGGTTAATGGGGTGTAAGTGAGGATTATCGGGTTCCTAGGGGCAGCCATATGCTTGAGTATGTCAGGTTGAGATTGTATGGTAAGGACAAGGCTACGTTCAGATAACTCAAAAGCATGTGATCACTGGGTTAAATTCTAAATAATTTCAAACACTTCAATAAGTTATATCCCTTTGGTAAAGACAAAAACAATCTGAATGTGCGGAACAGCAATTGTAGAGGCAACTGTAAGAGACACGGGCGCCCAGGCCAGGCCTTAAGCTAGAGCCCGGAGGCCCACCGGTAGGACACAGGCTGAAATTACGATAATCTACAGAACCAAACTTCGTGCAAGAGGAGAAATGGAGGAGATGGGTTCGAATGATAGCTTAGTTGACCCCCTGCGTATGTGCATTGTTGTCTCTTTCACTCTGTATGACAACCAGACTGACAGAAACCGGGAAAAAGGAAAAAGTGACGAGCAAGAAGAAGGAGGAAACAAATACTAGAAATCTTCGAACCCGCCACCATCCCCAAGAGAAAGTAAAGTTTCCACAGCATTCACTCCCACAAACAAATCTCAACTTCGTCTGATTGGACCCTTCGTGTAGCATTCTACTGAGCAGACTATAGTGAATCCGCACCAAGCTCCGTATGTGATGTTCGAGGAGCTATCCAGCGAACATAATTTCTACTGTAGAGCCAAAGTCTAAACCGACAAAATACTCCATGCAGGTGCTGTTTTCAGCGTCTGCTTTAGGCTCATATTCGCCCTATCCGGCAAAGATCTTCTGAATCAATTTCATCGTAACGATTTCTATGACATACCGAGTTTCACTATCCAACAGAACGAGAAGGATGGAAATTACGCGTGAGTGTGAAAGGTCAGACCCCGCCTGCAGAGTTGCAATGGTAGCTGCACACCAGCCTCCAGCACGTGTAAAAACAGAGGTCCTACCCCGTTGAGCTAAAAGCCAAAAAGGATACGAAACAACAAGTCGTCTACTTGTTGTTCGGCTGCACTTAAGTAGGGATGATGTGTGGATTCAGCTTAGGCCACAGCAATCGTGACATATCTCGTAACAGTGAGTCGGAAAAACTCATGACGTCAAAGAGGTTCTGCATTTGGCCCCCTTGATCTTTAGGTGAGATGTGCATGAGGTACTTGTCGCAGGTGTTTTCGAGGGCACTTGCCATAGACCACGGCAATACAGCTCAAAAGGCTATCGTTATCTGCAAGAAATCATAGTTGGTTTATCTTTCATTGTAAAGAAAGAACAATGTATTCAAGGGTATTGGAAGGTAAAGTTGCGCAGTGGAGTGGTTCTCCACGGCTAGCTACGCCAAAAGCCTCTCTCCAACATGTCGACAAATTCGCCTTCCCCTGGGCAATTCACGTATTCGGCTTGAATACTCATTGGGAATGTTCAATTTCTGCTAGTACTTGGCTACAGCTGGGTTTGTAGAGCTATGATTTTGCCTTAATGGAATAAACGCATATCAAGAGAAGTAACGGAATCTAACCGGACAATGAGAGGAGGCTCAATCAATGGGCTACAAGAAGGCTCAAGGGGACAACAGCTAGAGCTATAAGAGATGAGTTTAATCCTTGATTGTCGAGAGGAGATCTGGGTGGCTTGATGTGAGGAGCTCTGTTGCATTTGAGTTGTCGTATCTGAAACTCAGTCAGGGCAACTTGAGTCAAAACTTCACATGTTTCTTGACATCGGGATTTGCCATGTCACATTGAAGTCTTTCAAGAGAAAAGGTCAACACAGAATCTAAATAGCCCTACATCAAAATCACAAATTTATTTATTTTGTCGGCGGTAAGGCCAAAGCTGTATCCGTAAATGTGATAAAGGGTTAGTATTGAGTAGAAATGTATAACCGATCCAATGGACAGGTCACTATCACATGTCATCTGATTTTATTCTATTTTATACATTGCTATTGGACCCTGTTTCTTTCAATAGCGAAGCAAAATCAATCATGGCTTCAATGTCCATTGATCCTATCAAACCGTGTGCTAGTAGATGCGACGCATCTGTTATATGTGAATTGTGTCTGTGAAATCTGAGCATATTAAAAGCCCTAGCAACCCCAATAATTCAGGACTTCACATTGTAATAGGAGGAAATAAATAAAGGTGAGTAAAGCACTATTTGTGTACAGAACTGAGGGTGGAAAAGAAACGGCCATTAAAGCGGGATTCTTCGCCTAGGAAAACCTGAGGTTCGACGGGAATCTATGTCATAGGACCTAGATATAAACGGACTGTAAATTTCCATCAAAGCTGATCTGAGCTTTCTGCAAAGATCCATTGTGTTAAAATAAGGCAGCTCAAGAACTGGGAGTTTGATGCAAATAGGCAGCCCAGTGACTAAAAAGGTCGTTGGCTTTGACATGACTTCGACCGCGACTGGATATGCCTTGAAATATATCTGGAATGGTACAATTAGCCGATAAATTTCACAATTCAGGCTCAATACTGCAGCAGTGTTGTTGCGTATGAGCAGGTCTGAAGGACGTCGAACATTTGCCATTGTTGAAGACTGGCGAATTCTTGTTGGGGTAACTATCATTGCATGTCATTAGGAATGGTGTCTTTCTCAATTACAGTACTAAGAAGCTTTAATTTGCAGTATTACTAAACAGTAGGCTGCCGTCAGCGACGAGGCGCTGGCCGGATTATGTTACGTTGTTAAAAGAGCCTTGAAATCTCTTGCTGAATGTCACCTCGGCATAATATAATTAGAACCGAGACATCGGATTTAACCATAAAACGGCGAGACTTTCCAGGTTCAAAATTGTCAAGAGCATTCAGAAGACGTCACCCGTAGAATGAAAGAAAAGTTCGCCACATGCCGACCGATCGCATTTTACACGTTATCCTGCAAGATTGCTCGCCAAAGCTTTAAACCACGCAACGTTGATGGAACAATTCATCTAGTCGTTGAATTTGAGACTGACTCAAATCGGAAGCTTTAGTGTGAAGATCAAGTTGCGAGGTCAAGGGAGTGGCGTAAGCTGAATGGACTGATTCTTGTGGCTAGACCACCAATTCCCTCCACTGACAGTGTAACCGTTGTGTTGAACTGGATTCAACCGTTGCTCTGCTCCTATAACCCACCTGGTTAAGTTGGGTTGGGCACAGTAGACACTCTAACTGAGCTAAGTATCGCCGCCGTGGTGGACCTGTACGGAAAGTCCCTAGGGCGATGCATAATCTTGTCGTAGGCAGATGGCAATCGTGGATGCCAAGGCGGTGCAGAACAACCGAGGGGACATATTATGGATAGGCAACCGTTTAGCTCCTCGTTCTTATTGGCCTGTTCGGACTCGCCCATGGTAGTCCCACAATGCTCTCCAGATGAGTGGATCAGATAAGATCTCGTCCCGTCACCCGCATTCTGTCGCCTTTGGGTCAAGCCCAGACGTTTTCCCACCGCCGCCCTGTGCTCAATCAAGTTTCCCATAGCCACCGTTAGTACCGAAGCGATTAAAGAAACGATACTAGTGGCTCTTTGAGAGTTGAGGCATGAGACTTTACAGCAATCTGAGCTTCTGCAACCCCAAGGCTGAGAGTCTTACGAATTTCCCTCATGGCTCGGAAAGGTAGCCGCAAAGTTAGAACGGGATGCATTACATGCAAGTAAGTGACCGGGCGACTTCTAATTGCCCAAAAAGGCAATACATGCATAGATGTAAGGCTGACGCTCGCCAGAGTCCGCAAGATCAAGTGCGATGAGACCAAGCCGGCGTGCAACCGGTGCGTCAGCACAGGGCGAAAATGCGACGGCTACCAACACATAACCGAGCTGCTCTCAACCAAGACCAGCCTGAAGCTCCCTACAAGCCATACATATCGCACCTTTCCTGGAGTAAGCACCTCAAGCGTTAGCGAGGGCCGCGCCTTGCAATACTTCTGTGAGGCGGTGGGCCCGTTCCTCTCAGGTGCCGTGGACCCTTACTTTTGGACACATATCGTCATGCAGTTCAGCACGTTTGAGCCGTCTGTGAGACATTCGCTCGTGGCAATAAGCAATCTACATGAGCAGATGGAAAGCCAAGACCCTGCAGGGATTCCTCTTCAAGATCACAGCTTTGCTTTACAACATTATAATGCCGCCATCAACGAGCTGAAGGCAATCACGTCTCAGGACAAACAGCCCATCGTGCTGATTGTCTGCGTTTTATTTATTTGCATTGAGTTCCTCCAGTCGAATCGTGGAGCGGCTGTGAGGCACTGCAAGCATGGCGTTGCGATACTGCAAAACACCAGCCGCGAGTATTCCTGGACCAAGGAACATCTGCTCCCACTTTTCCGCCGCCTCGTCGAGCTGTCGTTCTTTTTTGGCGAGAAGGCTGACTGCCCCGACCTAACAGGGCTAGAGGGCCCGATCCCGGCTTTTTTCTCAACCTATCACGATGCACAGATGATGATTGACGACATTTATGGCCGAACATTCCAGCTGATGAAGCGATGCGATCCCTACCGCTCCGGACCCCAGAGGGGCGACCCCGTTTGTGACGGCATTCTAGAGGAAAAAAGCAACATCAATCACTTGCTGGACCTCTGGGAAAATTTATTTGCACGTTTCAACTCCCAGGTATTCTATAACGCGACCAACAAAGCAGCAACATACGAACGGCAATACCCGCCGAAAGCGCTCCAGGGCTTCCTCTTGACCCGGTACGAATGTTGCCGAATATGGTTGAACTTGGCCCTGAACGGCGATGAATGCGGATTCGACTTGTACATAGACAATTTCATGCGAATAGCAAAGACGCTCAAAGCAATAACGGCCGACGGTTCCCGGCACGCAAGACCGCAGACTCTTTTTACGCCGTCGACAAAATTCTCCTTTGAGACGGGCTTCACGCCGATGCTTTTCTCCGTCGTCGCTACCTGCCGTCATCTTGAAACACGGCTGCAGGTTCTACAAGCCATGCCGCTACTTGGTCTTCCGCGCGAAAGCTTGTGGGAGATGGACACGTTGGTCGCTGTGGCACGAAGAATGGTCGAGAGAGAACATGCAATCACCCTTGATTTCTTTTGCCGGCCCACCTCTACGCCCACGTCATCGTGGCCAGCAAAAGGAATGAGAGTCCTGGACGTCTCAATGGACTCGAACACGGAGGACAGATATATCCGTGGCCGCTGGTTTACGGGTAAAACCGTGGGCTTTTACCAGCGTAACCAGGAGGGTGGCATCGACGTCCACGATGAATTCGTCGTTATACGGAGCGCTTCTGTCAAAGAACCATCCCTGTCCAAGAAGAAGCTTCTGGATGTGTAAGTGAAGAATCCCAAGCTTCTGGGGAGCCGCAGGTCTGACTTTTGAAGAAACAACCTATTTAGCCCTAGCTTCGTCGAACTCAACGACTTGACAGAGCCCTCTCTCAACGCATTCCCGCAGTTTGAAACATTAGAAAAGTCTGGGCAAATCAGATATGGAAGGTTCGTCACCCCGAAAACACAGATGAGGTCTATAGCGGGTGCATATTCGTGGGACGTATGGCTGGAAAGATAGACAATGATAGTAATAATAATGAAGCGGGAATGAAATTAAACATGTAACGTCGCCAATGAAAACCCGACCAAAATCTCGAGGATGAGAATCTTTACAAATCTGCGTTGTCTGGACTGTCGCTTTTGAATCTGTTCGGAGTAGTTTTCCAACACATACGACAGACTTTTCAAGTAACCTTTGCACTCACAGCGTTCCGTCACTCAAATCTCATGTTGAGCAAATATTTATGTTTAATTGCCCAATCATTCACTCTCAAATAGCATTTCCAAGTTTTCTTTCCAATATCAACTCCCTGAGGTTATAGTGGTTGTAACCGTAACAAAACCCGGCGACGTCGCCCTCAGCTTCCAACCACGATCATAAATCGCCTCGGCGACTAAACCCACCCTACGTCATCAACTCCTCAAAAATGCCTTCCGACCGTTCGTAGGCTGGAGCTTTGCTTATCAATCTGTCAAACTAGGCGCGTCCCGATCTCGGGATGGAGCAAAAGTGCCCCACGGCGGGAGGCAACAAAAACTGGCCCAAAACCCTAGTCATGACACCGCCTGGGGCGGCCCAATAAACCCGCACCAAATCGTGCGTTATCCCGATCCTTGACGGCACGCGAACCACCAAGCGTTCAACCTTTTAGCAACCCGTCTTCCCTGGAACTCGGCAATCGAGAGATCCCCGAGAGGATACCTCCGCCGGCGCGCACGTTTGCCGACAGCACACAACGACAATGGGCGATCTGCAACCGAGGAAAAGCCCTTTGGCAAACGACATCCTGCTAGTTTTCATTTCTACGGACCGCAACGAAGAATGGATCCGCAGGGTCGAGTCACGGTTTCCCGGCCTCGAGGTCCGGTGGGCCGCGAACCATAAGCCGGACGGCGGCTTCATATTGCCGGATGAGCTCCCGGACGAAGTCTGGGATGGTGTCACAATGATTTTGAGTTTCAACCCCCCGTCGCCGGAAAAGTTGTCGAAAGTGCGGTTCGTCCAGTTGACGTCCGCTGGTGCGGATAAATGGCACAACCATGAGCTGTACAAGAAGCCCGACATCCCATTCTGCACGACGAATGGATGCCATCCGTAAGCACCATCCCCCGGTGGACCCCACAAGATACAGCGGCTAAGATCACGATACCAGGCCCCAAATCGCCGAATGGGTTATCGGCAGCTGGCTGGCGAGCCAGCATCACTTCTTGCGGTATGCCGAGAACCAAAAACAAGGGTTCTGGGAAGGCCCGATGGCCGTGGACTTTGAAGATTCAGTCGGTCTGCGCATGTATGCTGCTTTCAACCCCGTCACCATTTCCAATGATACTTACACCGGCCTAGGGGTGTTTTAGGCTACGGCGCTATCGGTCGTCAGTGCGGAAAGATTGCGCAGGCAATGGGGATGGAGGTCTACGCCTACACCAGGAGCGAAAAGCCGACCTCGGAATCTCGGAAAGACGACAGCTACTGCATTCCCGGGACCGGAGACCCAGACGGACTGGTGCCTTCAAAATGGTTCCACGGCGCATCGAAGGAGGCCGTAAATAATTTCCTCGCTCAGGATCTCGATCTCTTGGTTCTCGGCTTACCGTTGACGTCTGAAACGAGAGGCCTTTTAGGCGAAGAGCAGTTCGAGATCCTCTCAAAAAAGAAGACGTTTGTCTCCAATGTTGCCAGAGGACCGCTTATTCAGACCGATGCTCTGATCAAGGCCCTAGAGTCCGGCAAGATTCGGGCCGCCGCTTTAGATGTTACGGATCCCGAGCCATTGCCGAAAGATCACCCGCTCTGGAGAGCGCCGAATGTGTTCGTCACCCCTCATGTTAGTTGGCGCACTAATGGATATTGGGAAAGAGTGTTGGGCGTCCTGGAAACGAATCTGGAGCGCATGGATGCTGGAAAGCCTTTGATTAATGTTGTCAACAAGCAGCTTCATTATTGACACTCGCCGGGTTCTCACTCAACATTTGATACCATTTCGTACCTAGGCCTGTCAAAAAACTGACTCAAGTATATCAAATAAAATGACCACCAACCAACTGTTTACTTCAGAACCAGGCCTGAAAAAGTAACCTGTAGACTGGACGAATTCTAGTGGACTCCTAGCGACGTGTTGAAGGAATTCCGAAGCTTGTTCAGTGCAATGTTCATCTTTGCGATTCATTTTGCGAGGCAACATGTATGGTAGACTACCAATTTTATTAATAACCGAATCTTGTTATCTTGTTATTTTTTTTAGAGGCATCAAGCTGGTAACGTGTCAATCCTTCCGTTTAACCCGTCGTCTACGTCCCTCATCAATTAAACCGAATATCGACATAAAGTCTAGCCACCGCGTCGAGTTATGGCTAATAAACTCAAAAAAGTAAGGCACTTTTCTTCAATGCCACAAAGCTTCAGAGCTTTGCATGGGGTATCATTCGCCGGGTCCCTCAGCTTAAACAACATTTCCGCGCACCTGCTTAATTTTCTTGACGTTGAGGTTTCTCCACATGGCAACAGAAGCTAGTGCACCAACCAACAGGCACAAACTGGTGATGAGCATGATGCGCTGCGAGTCTCCGTAAGCGCGCTGAATACCGGTGCGTTCAGGTGATCCAATGGGCCAGCTGAGTTGACTGATCATATCTCCGTAAATCTGATCAACAGGGGTGCCAGGAGGAGTGTACTTCTTAATGTTGTCCTTGAAAGTGCCGGTCCAGATGGCAGTGGCCACAGTGGCGCCAACGGCACTGCCGACGCTGCCGAACAGATCGAGAACAGCCATGATGACAGCAACGTGTTGATGGTCAGAAGGCGAAAGCATGGCCATCTCGCCGCAGATGACGATTGGGCCACCAGACCAGGCGACGAAGATCTGAGTCATGACAATGTAACCAATCGGTGAATTAGGTTGGCGGAATTGTATCATGAGACCAACACCAAGCATCATCAGGGGAACCAAGAAGTACAGGGCGAAAGGCTTGAAGCGTCCCGTTCTGTAGATGAGGGCCGAGATGATGATGGAGGAAAAGCAGGAAACGCACCGGTAGATATTGCTGATGTAGGTGGCCCTCGCAACGCCCGTGTTCCAGACAACCATCAGCATTGAGGTGAAGAACGAACCCCAGACGGCTGAATTGAAGAAGACAAAGAAAAACATCAGACCGCCAAAAAAGACAGTTCTGTCCATCAGGAGAGAGAAAGGAATAAACGTAACCGGGGCCCAGAACTTCTCCCACAGGATGAAGAGAACTATCAAGCAGAAACCGACGACAATGAACGCGATGATGATAGGGGCGCGCCATTTCTCAGCCTGGTAGGAGTAAATGTTGAACGGCAGGAGGAATAAGGCCATGCCTGCGGCAAGTATAAGAATACCGAAGGCGTCAACGCTAATGGCGAACTTCTTGGCCTTTGCCAAAGAAATATTTTTGATAGAACCACGGTCATCGATGAGACCCCTCTTCTTCGCCTTGTGAAGATTCCAATGGAAAAGACCGACGAGGGGCAAGATAACAGCAGGAGCAACGATTGCCCAAAGACCCAGGCCCCAGCGCCAGCCAATACCGCCCTTCTTAATAAAGCTGTCGCCTATGGGTCCGGCCGCCCAAGACATGAAGATGTAAGGCGAAGTTGCGAAAGATAGCATGAGAGCTCTGCTCTTCAGACTCGAGGTATCGGCGATGAAGATGGTGATAGAGTAGCTGATGCCCTGAGATCTGTGGGGGGGAAAACTAGTTAGCAATGATTTATTGCGTGTAGATGGAAATCATACCCAATGGCGTAGAAAACCTGAGCAGCAGCATAAGTCTGGACGTTCTGACAAGCAGCCATCATGATGAAACCAATAATCCAGCAGAGTAGCATCAGAGAAAGACCCTGAGGTCGACCCCAAGTGTCGAGAATCTTGGCCAGAGGGAGCTTAATCAGGCCGGCAATCAGTGTAGACATGACGCTAGTCGCAGCTGTCAAGGAGTGGAAGGCAAAGGTGCTGGTGACGAAAGGAGACAGGGTGCGCATGGCACTCTCCTGGATAGCGGTCACAACGTAGAAGAGCCAGATGCTAAGAAATTGGTAAGCAATACCACTTGAAGCTCGTCATCCCGGAGTAACTCACAAAGTGTAGGCAATGATCAGATCACGCTTGCTCCAGACGGCAGTGATGGCCTCAACCTTGGCAACACCGGCCTGAACATCCTTGCTGACAAGGTCTTCCTCGCTAGATTTCTCGGTGGTGTTTTTCAACGACTTCTCATCGACAGGCACTGTCGGCTCGACTCTGACTTGCTCCTCGGCGGGAGCCTTCTTCGAAAACAGACCCATTGTTGTGCAGCCTCTCGTGTGGATCGTTTCGTTGATGAGGAACTGGCCGTGCTTGGTGTAGGATTAGGTAGCAGCCAAACTCATAGACGTGTTGGTTGAGCAACAGAAAAGTGAGGTCGCTTTCTGTTGTCAAGAGGGACGATGCAGGCGACAAAGAGGTGCGAACCGTCAGAGAAGGAGTGCCAACGTCTTAAATGCAATGCTCTCCGAGACCCCCAACATACCCATGTACGGCCATCGGCTCGGCCATGCGATGTTGGCTTTGATGGATGCAAACACTAGCGCAGAGGTGAAAGCCGTCGCCCCTCCTGCTGGTCAAGACTAGGGATGGAAAGCCCGTGTTCCTGGTTGTCCGCCATAAATTCGCGCCAACGAACCCTTGGGCGACCTTACGGTGGTGGAGAGGGGACCCACGGGGCGTCTAGGATCACCGGCGGCCGAGGGCAATTCTTTTGGGTCGTGGCAAGGAAGACGGACCACGCTGGTGTGCCATCCTGGAGATTTTAACTATAATCGGCTCACAGGCGTGAAAAGAGATGGGCACAGTATTACGAAATCCAGTCAAGGATCATCAACCTGGCTATAGCCGGATCGTAGGCCGACGCCGGGTTCTATGAAGAAGAACATTGCAGGAACGCTGAAGAGGGTGTGGGCGAGGTCAAGGTCTTGCGGTGGATGTGAATCGTGCGTGCAGCTGCGTGACGGGTGGAAAGCCTGCCAGTTGGAATCGTTGGGCGCCCAAAGAAGTCGTAGGTGCAGCTCGGCTACCGTTCTCGGGCTGCTGGTTGTTGCATCGGGCTATGGCCTCACATGTCAGATTGGCCGAAAAAATAGCTCCTCTGGTCTCGTCTTGGCCATGGACGCGGGTTGGCTGCTACGCGAGTACAAGAAGCTGGGCTGATTCGCCCATACCCTCGCACATCCGGATAGTGGATAATGGTCTCGTGGCGACAGACGCAGAATTGCCCGGGCTGTTGGTGCTCTGAAGTCGCGAGATTTCTGCAACCCTCCTGGTACGAGTCGTGGAGCTGAAGCTGTTGGAGCTACCCGGGTTCCGCTCAGAATGCGTAGTACTGGATGAGCCTGATGGACAAAAGTTCCTCTACTTTGCGGGCCCTGACGGCAACCGGAACTCGAGATTCTGAACCCACGCGGCGAGTGAAAGTAGGGCAAAAAAAGCTTGACCTCAAATTTGACCAGGGCTGGAGGACAGGATTGAGGGAGGGTGACAAGGACAATGACTGTACAGAGAGGGCGGGAAGACAAGGAGCCAGCTGGTCCCGCCTGCCCATCGGCCGACCTGCTGCCTGCTACTGGCCTTGTATGCAGCTCCTTCCCTGCCCTGCCTTCTTTCCTAACTGCACCTTCTGTGCCTTCCATGGTTTGTTCAGAAGGGTCGGCACCGGGAAGGAAGGAGCAGAGGAATCCAAATCCAGCTACGACAGGTAAGGAAGGCGCACTCGACCCCACCATTGCAGGGGAGGTAGGTCCTCCAAAGCTACCCATTGGTTGGTCCGTCGCTGCAAATGTCATTTTAGGAGGTGGGGCCGGATCCACTAGCGCACACATAAAATTTTTATCTGATTCAGGTCCACTTTTACCAATCTTATCAGATCATCTGGCCGCTTTACTGGCAGAAGCTGCTCCCAACCAAAGCAATCATTCCCCATCTCGATCCGGGCTCTCGATACCCATCGGGATTCAACTCGCCGTCTCTCTCCACATTATCAATATTTACTGTCTTTCTCGGCACATGTACTCATGTTTTTCTATTGAATAAACAGTACCGAGTCCGGAACCACGTCGTATTCGCGCAGGGCTTCCACGCGAATCCCCCTTTACCTGAGTGTGCTGGGGGATTGCCGTATGGTAACCTACACCGATGCACCCGGCTTGGCAGTTTTCCATTCATGAAGGCTTTTCTGTATGAGCGCTAGAGAACTCCTTGGATAATGTAGTCAGCATTTGATTCCAGAGCCCCCCACGGAACTCTACAAACGCAGCAGAAATCTTTATAGTTGCTTTCCTCAACCAACACGACATGTTCCGACGAGTCCCGTTCGCCGCAGCTGGCTGAGAGTACCGCCGAAGATCGGCCCCTCATGAAAACTTCACTAAAGGGTCTCCGCTGAGCTGTGCCGTATAGCTTCAGGTGGTTTCCCACTAGTCCTGCGTCAATCGACTCACGGCACAGCTTTCGGACATGGGTCGAGTTAGTAGGGCGGCAGTCATCTGCCAGGTCAATGCATCCTTCTGCAGGGAGCATTACCACCACTTGCACATATTTCTCTGCTTTTCAGCTGTTTTTTTCTCCAAGTCATGAGCTACAGAAATAAGTGAAAAGTGTGCCATCCCGTCCAGAGCTGTAAATCTACCAAGGATCATGCCGGGTAGCCGCATGGCAACACGACTTGCCGATCTTGACAGCTTCTGGATCTGGCCCGATATGATCTTGAGCAGTTCTACTACTAGATCCGACTAGCCCGAAGCATTGAGTGCCGCTAGTCGGTCGAATCGCTTTTTGTTGCATCACGCCTTCTGCTTACTGCCATGGGGTTATTATTTGATCTCCGAACGCGATTGCCGACCGACACAACCTGAAGCCTTGAAATCGCACAGTGCTGCAGAACAAGTAGCAAGCCTTGAAGCAGCACATTCCCCGGGAAATGATGCTAGAAAGTTGAAATTTGTTTCAGAGGCGTGACAGTGACACGCGACAGGATACGACGAAGGCCAAATGCCTATGATCAAAGATAATACGTCAAGAAGCCGGCACACGTGTCGACCCGTTCATCAAGGTAACCAACATGTCGTGGTGTTACATTTCCCGCAATACCTAGTCCAAAAGCTGTAAATTGCGAATAGGCTTCCGTATTTGCAGGCCAAAGCGTACCCACAGAACAGACGGAGGTGATGCCCGTTGAGCCAGACACACAACAATCCACCACCAGGACCCATCTTGTCGGTGTAAACTTCACATAATGCAGCGCGCTTCAGGGAAAAGACCTGCCCCGGTATAAATCTTGTAATTCAACTGAACATCAAGTCACATCCAGGCTCTCAGGTTCTTCAAAGAAGCGGTGCCTGTGATCCTGATAATTGATTAGGTTCCAAGCTAGGATAAGTTGCCCAGAAGGATGCAAAACGGCAATTTGGGCTTCTAAGACATCGACCCACTGCCAAGGATGTGGTTGGAGCATACAGGTTATTTATGATAATATATGGATAGCAACTTGCATTATCTCCCTTGGGAGTAGTCAACGGGGCTGTATAGGCGTAGCCCTAGTCAAGACAGGGCCCATTCGCCGAGGCATCCTTCCGATGGATGTCGTGTTTGATAAATGAGCATGTTTTAACGACGGAACATCTTTTAACGACCATGTGACTCTGAGAGCACTAGCGTTGTGTGCCAAAGATTCTCGCTTCAAGAGGGGGAAAAAAAGCAAAAGAGATTCTGTCAGTTACAATCTCTGTGAGAGATTATCCGACAGATGGCGCGCCCTTGACATCCAAATCTGCTCTTAGCTCTGTATGCTCATGCTGGCGCTACGCACCGCATGCCGAACTACAATCCATAGGCCATCTGCAAATTTTCGATTGTTATAAAGGCAACCCAGAAAGACCTGATATGTGAGTGGTAGGAAGTTGGCCAACGTCAGACACCACTTTCGCTCGCGTCTAGGGACTAGCAATTTCGCGTGGAAAAACATCCCACTCTATTGAGCTAAGCTGGAAACTTATATGACATGATTTCACAGGCATCACTAAACACTGGCGAAATGATTGCTTGTTTCAGTAAGAGATCCTGGCACTCTCACGGCGTTGCCACTCTCAGGTGGGTGGCTATCTAAGCTATCGCACTGCTGGTCCACATAATACGGTCTGTTCAGGGTCCCGACCAACACGCCAGATCGGCGTGGCGATATTTGATAACCTGGGACTATTCTACGCTATTTTTACGTCTATTTGTGTCGTTCGGTCTTCAGAACTATGGATAAGCCGTCTTATGATGATACTCATGCCTTACGCCAGTACTGGAAATGATAGACAACTAAGATGAACACTATCAACGCAAACCTATCAGTTGATCATGTGTCATATCATGAGTAATGCATGCAGTTGTAAAAGTACAGAAATGCCTCTAACAAAGGCTTTTCATAAAGTTTCTGCGAAATATTTCGCACAAGAAGCTTGGCCACTAATCAGCGCAGTTCGGTAGATAGCAATACATGTGTGACGTGCTTCTTGATTAAGCTAAGATCTCTGGGATCTACCTAATATCAAAGATGAAACCGCTTTCCATCATTTGATCTTCCTTCTGAACCTTCAGTCGGCATGTCAAGGGTGCTGTCAAGATTGAGTTTACGCCTTCGGCTAGAAAACCTTTAACGCACTGGCAGAAGCCTCATCCTGATCCATCAACTAGTTGCGTACCATTTCTGCGCCCGTCGGCCATCGCTCTTGATTCTCGCCATAGGTATCGAAAACAACGGCAAGGTCAACAGACTGTAGGATATAGTGTGATAATAACCTTCAAATTTCACTTCTTCAATTACTTCTTATAGATTTCTGGAGAAAAACGCTCACCAACACCAGATAGAGCGCGACTTCCTTTTCCTTCTTGCCTATGTGCCAGAGGCTATCACTAGCATTTGGAGCATTTTGGCTGCCAGAAGTCGAAACGTTGTGGACAATGAAACTTTCTATCAGAGAGTAGGTCTTGTGCGCTAAATTCGGGAAGACGGCATAGAATCCGATGAGGTTATATAAACTAAACCTGCTGAGAGAATCTGATGCTTTGGTTCGAAAATATCGATATGAGTAACTCTTCAAGGTAAACCACATAAGAATGTGCTTTTATATATATGGCTAGGCAAGTAGTGAAGTTCATAGTGAACGTTCAGGTTCTACTTTGAAAAGAAGTTGTAGATTAAGATCACATTTGGAAAAGTTAACAGAAGAACAAACTACCTATACCTATGGTTATCTATTTATCATTT